TACACCCTCATTACCCCCAGATAGCTTACACTCTCTTCGTAGCCAACTCATGTTAACTATTGGACTGATAGTTCTTAGTGACAAGTGACTTCTCATACCTTGTGTTATTCCAAACCAGTTCATACTATTCAGATTGTTACTAGGAACCCTAACCCAGTTAGGCCCCAGTAGGATCTCTAACACTATACATATAGAACTAAAGATTCTTTATTAATCTATATTTAATTTAGTATAGTAAGTATATAATTTTTTTTCGTAAAGTTATTAAACTTTAAAGATAGAGAATTTATTATGGATTCGGTTAAACGAGGTTATGCATCCTTATTACTAGCACACTCCCCGCATAGGAGGCGCACTCTTCCCTCTCTTATGCTTTGAGTCGTGTACAGTATCGACCATATACTATAGGGGTACCTTATATATACGCTTATCGCTAGATTCTGCCTACTTACCAAGGAATCCCTAACAGAATTAGAGCTTAAAAAGTAATTTTTTCTAAATATCTTAGTAATTATTAAAGATATTAAAAATCTAAATAAATAGATTTATAAAGAATTAAATTTAAAATAATTTATATATAGAAAGAACGGAGTGAATGTTAATCTGATATATGGACTCTTCGCGCATTTTACCAAGACCACGAACGCTTTTCTACCCCAAAACTACGTATTGGAGCTCAGACCCTTCTCGCGAAGGCGTTTTGCTCTGCAAAACAGTGGGCCCTCCCCACTTATGGTAACTGAGTCGATGGGTCGGAGAACGGAGACAAGAGCTGGCGCGATGGCCTTTATTATCGGCGGACTTGCCCGAAAGGGTTGGTGTGGGACTAGAGCAAAGGGCAATTGCGGCGAGGCGGACATGACCTCTACTCTTCCCATGCGAGCTTCGGTTCAGTCCCCAGTCCCATCGTTGAGGCGTGTAGAGGGTCAATAGGGAGATTTGTTCAGCGCGAAGTCTCCTTTGACGCCTTTGATAGGATGCGACCACCATGGATGAACGCACGCCCCTTATCACGACTGTCTACGTAACTCGGCGCCGACCAAGATATCCGCACACGACGTTGAAACGCTTCTGTTCCATTGCACTCGCGAGCGGTCTGATAGCCATTGTTATCTGTTTTCTTCTACCGCTCGCCATACTGCCTCGTGGCCATGACTCTGTCTCGTCCTACTTTCCTTGGTCTAGTCCTTATCCTCGATCATGGCCACAAAGCGCCGGCGTCACCTTTGACGAACTCATTGAGCTGCTCCTGGAGACGCCTAATGAGGATAAGGCACGTTCGTGGAGCGAATACTATACGTCGGGTCCTCATCTTGCTGGCAAGAATTTGAGTCAAGCTCTGTGGACAAGAGAGAGATGGGAAGAGTTCGGGGTCAAGTCGGATATTGTTGCCTACGACGTGTTCATAAACTATCCGAGTGATCATCGGCTGGCCTTGTTGGTTGGGCACAAGGTCAAGTATGAATGCAGCCTTGAAGAAGACATCATCGATGAGGACCCAACAACTTCATTGAAAGACCGCATTCCAACATTCCATGGCTACTCCGCCAGCGGCAATGTGACTGCCCCCTATGTTTACGTCAACTTCGGCACGTATCAAGACTTCGAAGATCTACGAGCTGCGAACATCACCTTAGAGGGAAAGATTGCCCTAGCGAAATATGGCCGCATCTTCCGGGGGCTCAAGGTCAAGAGAGCTCAAGAATTGGGCATGGTCGGCGTGGTCATATACTCTGATCCTCAGGAGGATGGCGACATCACGGAGGAGAACGGATACAAAACATACCCAGATGGACCAGCTAGAAATCCCAGCAGCGTGCAAAGAGGCAGTACGCAATACATCAGTGTGTTTCTCGAGCTTCCACAACTGACACAGGCTGACAGGCGCAGGCACACTTCCCGGCGATCCGACAACGCCTGGCTATCCCTCTAAACCTGGTGCACCTCGTGTCGATCCCCATGGATCCACTCCTCGAATTCCCTCGCTTCCCATTTCTTATGCCGATGCCCTCCCTCTTCTAAAGGCATTGAACGGGCACGGGCCCAATGCCAGCTCATTTAACAAGAATTGGCAAGGCGGCGGGCTAGCTCACAAGGGTGTGGAATACAATATTGGTCCATCACCCGATTCCATGGTCCTCAACCTGATGAATGAGCAAGAATATGTCACAACGCCACTGTGGAACGTTATTGGTATTGTCAATGGCACAGCCAAGGATGAGGTAATTGTCGTTGGAAATCATCGAGATGCGTGGATTGCAGGAGGCGCGGGAGATCCCAATTCGGGCTCCGCAGCATTGAATGAAGTCATCCGGTCTTTCGGAGAAGCGCTCAAGGCTGGATGGAAGCCACTTCGAACAATTGTCTTTGCGAGCTGGGACGGCGAAGAGTATGGCCTTATTGGTTCGACGGAATGGGTTGAAGAATATCTCCCATGGCTTTCTAGCAGCACTGTTGCCTACCTCAATGTGGACGTGGGTGCGCGCGGAACACACTTCGAAGCCGCTGCGTCTCCATTGCTAAACAAGGTCTTGTACGCCGTAACCGCGTCAGTGCCTTCGCCCAACCAGACCACCAAAGGCCAGTCAGTCGCTGATGTCTGGGATGGTCATGTACGCACAATGGGATCTGGTAGCGACTTCACAGCCTTCCAGGACTTTGCCGGTATCCCATCGCTTGATTTTGGCTTTGCAAGCGGACCGAAGGACGCCGTTTACCATTACCACTCGAACTATGATTCTTTCCACTGGATGGATAATCATGGGGATAACGGATGGCACTACCATGTTACTGTAGCCAAGATATTGGCATTGGTGACTGCTCAGTTGAGTGAAACTCCTGTCCTGTCCTTGAGCGCTCAAGACTATGCCAATGGTCTCAGCGCCTACTTGGATGACGTCAAAGAGAGATCAAAAACGCACTTTGCAGGATCGAGCTTCAGCTTCGAGGCACTTGACAATGCTACAGCAGAATTCAGCAAAGCCGCAACGAGGTTCGACAATTATACGGCCGACCTGACGAAAAAGCTCGCGGAGGACGTGCCGTGGTGGGATTGGTGGAGGAAGGTGAGACTTTTCTACGAAGTGCGGAACGCAAATGAGAAGTACAAAACACTGGAGCGGCAGTTTCTTTTTCCGGGCGGCCTAGATCACAGGCCTTGGTTCAAGCATGTTGTCTTTGCCCCTGGGCGGTGGACTGGTTATGCCGGCGCCACCTACCCCGGCCTCGTTGAGAGCTTCGAAGACAAGAACATCACAAATGCGAGGCGATGGAGTGTGATCATTGAAGAAAGGCTAGAGGCAGCCACAAAACTATTGGAATAGTATCTCATCGACGATGGGCTACCATGTTCTTTCATTTGACCGCTGAAAGCAAGCTGCCTGGGGTGACTGGCAGAGTGGATGGTGCTGCCCCCTCTCGCCTTGCCTCGCCTCAGGTCAAGAAGAACATATTTACTTCCTCTTCAAATACTGAAATTACCTAGTTAGCATTGTTTAATTGTGCGGATTACTCTGGGTGGCGCGATCTAAAAGAAGTACGGCGCATCCATCGATCAACAATCAGGCACGCCTCACGAGGCTGACGGGGCGAAAATGCTGTCAGCGTAAGGCACCAAAACAACATCGGAACATAGTAACCCCAGAAGGATTCTCTCTTTTTCCGCGGAAATCATTGATACTGTTCTTTGTCATGGATTGGAGACCAGCATAAGCGCAAATTCTAGAGGACTTCCACCGAACATACCGTCCCTCATAAAGTGATCCAAAGGTAATATTGACTTCGCCTTTTCCCCAGCTTCACTGTTGCCTTTCCAGATTCCACGTTCAATAGCTTTTCTTGGAGTGTTGCAACTTCCAACTCATTTGAAAACAATCGATTCCATCATTCCACCACAACTCTCACTCCCAAACATGGCGGATTTGCTCAGGTCTCAACTGCCGTGGACATCCTCTCCACTTATCATAAACGCCCCCATGGGCGGCTTTGCTGGAGGTGATCTTGCAAGCGCAGTCACTAAATCGGGCGGTCTCGGGATGATCGGTGCCATCATGTCTAATGACTTAGAGAAGGAGTTAGACATCGCAGCCGACGAGCTGAAGGCTTCTACTGGACAGGGTCATATGCTCCCTATCGGGGTGGGCTTGCTACCCTTCGTCGTCGAAACCGAGTCCGTGCTGCCCATCCTCAGGAAATATCAGCCGGCTGTGATCTGGCTATTTGCTGCAAAGGAGCTTGATGACTACACCAGTTGGTCTACAGAGATTCGCAAAAGCTGCCCAAATTCTAGGATCTGGATCCAAGTTGGCAGTGTGAGCGCTGCAGTCAAGATCGCAGAATCGGCCAAACCTGATGCTTTGATCATGCAGGGTGCTGATGCTGGTGGGCATGGATTCGAAAGAGGCGCCAGCATTATTTCGTTGCTGCCAGAGGCAGCCGATGTCCTCGAGGCAAAGGGCCTGGGCGGTATTCCGTTGCTGGCATCTGGAGGGATCGCGGATGCACGCGGTGCTGCAGCCGCCTTTGCGCTAGGGGCATCCGGGGTTGTGATTGGGACGAGATTTCTGGCAGCAAAAGAGACAAAGGTCCCACCTGGATATCGGGAGTTGGTGCTGGCAGCAAAAGACGGAGCACAAAGCACCGTTCGAAGCAAGCTGTTCGACAACGTCAAGGGTCCCAATATCTGGCCGGATGCCTATGACGGAAGAAGCTTGGTCACGGAGAGCTACTCCGATCACGTTCGAGGTATCGACATCAAAGAGATCCGAGAAAAGCACAATGAAGCGGTGACAGGGGAGGATGGTGGCTTCGGGAAAACGAACAGGGCAAATGTCTGGGCAGGCGCTGGAGTAGGACTGGTGAACAGGTTGCAGAACGCTGCCGATATTGTGGAAGAGGTTCGGAAGGGGATCAGCCTGATACTGGAAAGTGCCCTAGCACAGCTGTGATTCAATAAGTCTCCAAATTGCTGCGAACCTATTCTGTACTCTGTATTTGTACCTTCCATCACGGTCCAAAATGGTAGCTGAAATTTCAATGCTGTACGGAGTAAAGGCTCAATAATAACTCGTCCCGCCGACACCTAATCCACTCCTGGTAGCTCCAAGGTCGCTACTATATCTTCGAGCTCCAGCCGGAATGATGCCTGGACCAAGTCCAATTGGGCTCGAGACACGTCGAAGCTGAAGGCTCTGACGTCGAGAAGGCGACTGCGATGTCGTCGCGGTAGCCGGTGTTAAGAAGCGAGACTCCGGCATCTCTTCGTCGTCTTCCACAGCCTCTTCGGCTATGGATGGAGCACTAGACTTCCTCGAACGCGCTTCGGCGGCGGGAATGGCAGATGCTTTGGCGTCATCGCCATCTCCTCCTCCTCCTCCTTCTTCTTCATCCTCCTCTTCCTCCTCATCGCTTTCATCTTCGTCCTGGTCACCTCCAAAGCCTTCCATCTCCACCAGAAACCACACTGGAATCGCGCCGACGATGGCGACCAGTGCCAATGTCCACCAAGAGATAACGACGTATCCAATGTCGACTCCTTTGGTGAAAGTGGCACCTGCCAAAGCCGGTCCAGCTGCTCTTCCGATGGCAGAAATACTGGTTGCAACACCATTCAGCGTACCTAGTATCTTCAGGCTAGCGGCGCTGTTGGTGAGGAGAATCGTAGAGCAAGGAAACGCAAAGATGCCGCAAAACCCTTTGATCAGCATCAGCAACATCATAATGCCCTGCCTTGACGAGTCCGTTGGCAGCAGCGCTGTAAAGGGTGTTGCAACGTAGACCAAGGGAAATGTTAGACAACAAGCCTTCAGACAATTTAGTACGCCATACCTCCTCGCGAATGGGGGAAAGACAAAGAACTGGATGAGCATGCCAAAAACACCGTAAAATGTAAAAAGCAGGCCAATTCTGTTTGAGTCGATCCCGAATCCGCCAGCAAACTTCCAAGGCAGATGGACATCTGAATCTTGAATAGATTGCACGGGATAATGCATAAAAATTGGCAGCAGCTGGTCGTATGCCACCGAATGCATGGCCAAAAATGTGTACACCACGAGGTTGATGTTTGACTGTCCCGAGAAGACTTCTGCCCAGCCCGGACTTTGTTTAAGGAGTTTGACCGCAGGACTTGAACCCGATACCGGGGTGGACAGTTCACTTGACAGTCCAGAGAGAAATGGATCGGATTCCTCGACGTTTGACCATGCCCTGCGTGGGGACCTTCGAGTGCAAGAATTGGTCAAGAATTTGCCAAGTAAGAGTCCGTAGTCCCTGTGGGATTTCTTTTCCTCGAGCGTTTCGTGCAAGAAAAGGAAACCGGCAGTGATTCCACACATGAAGAGAATGCTGATCAAGAGGTTTGGCAGCGCAAAAGGATATTCCTTGAGTAGCTTGAACTTCCCGAAGATTTTGGGATATCGTTCCACGGGATGTACCAACGATCCGCCAAAAGACGGCCCAAATATGCTGCCGATGTTCCAAACGAGCGGCATAATACTGAATGCACGCGGTTGTAGTTCCTTTTGAGGGACCAATTCTGCCACGGCTGTCCGAATGATCCCAACATTTCCGTTCGACAATCCTTGGAGAGACCGTGTGATGAAGGCCCACAGAAGATTCTTAGAGAAGCCAAAGAGTATGCTCGAGATCATGGTACAGGTCAAGGCGAGGATAATAATAGGCTTGCGGCCAAAGCGGTCTGAAGCTCGTCCCCAGGCAATCCCAGTCAAACATTGCGAGAGAGAGAAGGTCGCAGACATGAGACCGGCCCATCTGGCAACCTTATCATCGCGGACGTTGAAGGACTGGATCATCTCGGGCTGGGGGAGGTCAGTGAGAGCGACAGAGCACGTTGAAGAAACTGGGTGGCTCACGATATATGGGTAGACCGAAGTCATTGCGACGGGCTCTGCGAAGCGGCATACTGCAAGAATTAGCAGTTGCTGCTTGGGCAGCTGCAGTGCCCGTTTCGCTCCTTTGGCCATGGCTTGAGTAGGGCAAGCAAGCGAGAAGAGCCATGGAATTCACTCTGCGCGCGAGCGATGTCGTCGTAGGAATCGGGATACAGGCCTCTAGAGTTGCTCGGTGGTGGAGGAGAGAGGAAGAAGTTCAAAGCGATCATGGCGAGGGAACATGGGAACACACCGTCAAAAGGCGCAGTGTGACCGGATTCCGCCACTGCTGGCTCTGGGGTCATTGTGGGCAGTGGGATACCGAGTACTAAATGACCATATTCGCCCAATCCCTTGCCGTTGGGATGAGAAAAGTGAGGAACTGGGCGGTAAGGAAGAGGCCACTAGGCCTCACTAGTCCAAGGAGGGGCAAAGGCGCCTGTTGGGCCCCTTGGTGGCCCCCTAGCCTCGTAGCCCCAGTGCTGGAAGCCCAGGGCGGTGGCTGGTTGGAGGAAGGTTTGGTCGGGCTGCATGCCGGGTGCCGACTGCCGCCCTCCAACCTAATCGACCAGCTACGAGGTATTAACAAGTACACAGCACACACCTCCAGTACAGGCTCCGGCACCCCCGAGCCGGCAATTCCCTCCCAGAAGCTGTGTATCCTTAACCACGCGACAATCACCCTCGTTGAGCTCTGGACAATTTGCAAGGCTTAAAACCACGCCATACACAAACAGCTCACTGACAAAAGCTACCCTACGAAAGAAAATATCCCTCCCTCCTGCTGACAAAGCAAGCCCATTCGCCTGTCGTTCAGGCGTTTTTGCCTGCTTTGACCTGCAGCGCACATATCCTGCCATCCATATGCCCAGAACGCTGAAGATCATCTTTATATGGCAAGGTGGATGTGTTAGGTGTCCCCGTTCGCATGCTAAGAAGATGTTCGTGTGCTCCAGCGCCGACAGGCTTCAAATGGATGGAAGATGGGCATTTACGGCCAAAATATGACGGACTTTTCCAGATGAATCAGTGCTGGGAAGACCATCCATCACAGCCCAATCGGCTCTCTGGCGACTGCAGACAACGAGGAGAAGTCTATCCTACATGCAAGACCCGACCTACTTCCAGACATGTACTTGTACTGTAAACAGAGACGGAGGACTCCCAAGCAGGTCTCACCGCATTTCACGTTCTAGAAGCTTGTCCGGTCCAATTCCGACCCCGGGGATCCGAGTTGAGCTTAGTTAAACAGGACACGCTTGCGTCAGGATATCCTCAAGCTGTTTTCCTTCCGATGCCCGCTCTATATCGCGCCAGGGCTCTGTCTCGCGCCTCTTTGTGATCGACAATCGGCCTTGGATATCCGTTCGTTTCAGCCAATTTTCCGTGGCCACGATTATAAGGATCATGGATTCCTCTGCTATCTTGGATCTCCGCAAGCTCGGGCACCCATTTGCGAATATAGTCTCCTTTCGCGTCAAACTTCTCGCTTTGAAGCAGGGGGTTGAAAATGCGAAAATACGGCTGAGGGTCAACACCGCAACTAGCGCTGAAACCCCACCCGCCGTTGTTCGACGCAAAGTCACCGTCGATGAGGTGCTCCATGAACCACTTTTCGCCCATGCGCCAGTCAAGCAAAAGGTCTTTAGCCAAAAAGGACGCCACGATCATTCGACAACGATTAGGCATGTATCCTGTATATGCTACTTGACGCATTGCAGCATCGACAATCGGGAAACCTGTCTTTCCCTCTGTCCATTTGGAGAACTGGTCCAAGTCGTATTGCCACTCGATCTTGCTGTATTCGGGCTTGAATGGTTTATTCATGCTGCGAAGTGACTTCAGCCATCACCAACCTCCAAAAATGAGCGAGACAAACTCACCAAATATACGGCCAGTGGCATAGAACATGTTTATAGAACTGCAGACCGCTGTTAGCCTGCGCTCTGTTCTATTCGACAACGTTTCAGAGGAAGAGGTTACTCACGTCCCTCCACGCGACCTCGGCGATCCACATCGAATGTCCTTGTTTCCGATCATCGTTCAATTTCTTCACTGGGGTAGCTTCACGAGCTTCTCTTACAAGAGTCCGTGCAGAGATTGTGCCGGCCGCAAGATGTGGGCTAAGAACAGATGTCCCGTTGGCCCCGGGAAAATTCCGAGTATCATGATACTTAGCTATTCTCTCCAGCACGAATTTGTGCAACCGATTTTGGGCTTCATGCTCTCCTGCAGGCCACATACTATGAAACCTCTTCCTTTCGTCTTCGGTCAACTGTTTCGATGCGGGCGCCGCTGGAATCTCCGTGTCGAACAGTTCCGAGTACTTAGATCTAGCAATCCGAGCATTCTTATCTGGCGGGGGAAACTTGTCCAGCTCGTTGGGATTTTGATTGAGGTAGGCGCACCACTTTTTTAGCCAGGGACTGTAGACTGAAATTGGACCACCAGAACCGCTCTTCAACTTGCCGGGTTCAACAACACAAGAGTCATGGACAACATTGAACGATATCCCCGTCTCCAGGCAAGCCTTTGTCAGGGCAGCTTCTCTCCTGAGTTCGTCTACTTCGTATTCGGCGTTGCAGAAGACATGGCGAGCGCCCCACGTCGTGCATAAATCGATGAGTTTGGATGGAATATTCCTCCTCTTCTCAACCGTTTCAACGTATAACGGTATGTTCAGATCACCCAGATCCCCTTTCAGCACGTGCAGGTTGCGGAGAATAAAATCAACACGCACAGGGGCCGTCAGATGAGCTTCGAAGTCCTGAGGCGATATCAAATAAAGGCAAATCAGGGGCACGTTGTGCTTCTTGGCAGTGTTGCTCGCTAGACGCAGTCCCTTGTTGTCTGTAATCCGTGTGTCGCATTTGAACCAATGCACCACACACTTGCCCGCCTGTATCCGGTCTCGATCTGCCTGTGTCCCTTTGATGGCTTTCTCCAAAGTCTCGATAGGTCGCTCTATGTTTCCAGCACTGTATGCCGCGGCTCGTTCGTTGGTCATCTCAGGAGGATAATACTTGCGGAGGACGATGCCGTACTTGATCTCATTTGCTGAGTCTTTATATTGGTTCGAGGCAGATTGGGCAGAGCGGACCTTCTTCTGGTCAGGGTTGCGAGCAGCTGTAGAGTCTTCTGCTTTTCGCTTGGACGGGCGCATGGTCGAAAATGCTTGATTGGAGATGGTTGTCACGTCTATGCTTTACTCGCAGGTGGTTATGCACTCAAACGTGGACAGGCGCGCGTCGAGTTCGACTTATCTAGAAGAACGCAGTGGTGGCAGAAGTCAAGCGATTAACCTTCTCTAGTCGGCATGTAACACGAGTGGTGATGTAATTCTGGGCGGCCATCGGGATCGGACTTGCAAGCGAGATCGATCGATCTCCTTGCCGTGTGGGTCCAGCGTGTGTTGTGCTGCAGGAACTGAACAATGTACTGGGTACTCACTGGACTCCTGTCACGATTTCACGATAAGTCGCTCTCACCAGCTCTCGTTCTATCATACCTGGCCTACCCATCCACTGCCCGAGGAACAATTGGCGTGTCTGTACTACGTACAAACCCGCCCTCCGACCTTAGCAATTAAGGCCATGTGTGCTTTGCCCCCCTCTCGACCCCGTACATATATTACTTCGCCTAGGCCAGTAGACACAGCCAGAAACAGTCAGTGAAGGGATTAGATCAATTCAAGATGGATTCTATTTTTTTTGGCATTCGTCCATCTTTTCGGGAAAGGAACGCAGAATATTCCTTGTATAGCATGCATAACCTTGATACTCACAAGCCCGCCGGTACCATTTTCCCATTCATCTCGTACTTTCTTTCCAGACCATGGCAATCAGAACCATCATAGACGATATTCGTCAATGTAGAACCGAACTCCTCACGCCATCGCTGTCCCTATGCAACGCCCAGAGAAAGTCCAAGATTTTCGATGCTCCGTCAATAACAGCCCGCCAACAATGAACAGTCCAGCCATTGTCAAGCCTAGTTTCCGCAAATCTTCCTTATGCCCGTGACAAATAGGAGCGTTGTTATACATCTAGTGCGGTTAACCCCCCAACGTTTCCGCCCAGAACGGCCAGAAGCTACTGGGCGCACTGGTGGAGCAATCATGATAAGGGTGAGACATCGCTTGAGTCCAAGACCTCAATATTAAGCTCTTTAGATGTTGCCTGGCCGCTAGTCGATTGTGATGCTGCCTTTTCACTCACTCGGGGTACCGCAGTCGAACTGCCCTCGTTTTCTTCTTCTGGTATTGTTGCACAATATTTCTTCAATACCTGCTTGAGGGCAGGTCTTCGAATTGGCTTGGCCAGAAAGTAATCCATCCCTGAAGCCATGCATTCGTCCTCATTGGATTTCTCGGCGAACGCGGTGAGGGCGACAATAGGTGACTTGAATCCCATTTCCCGTATGAGTCTCGTCGACTGGATCCCGTCGAGATTGGGCATTTGCACATCCATAAAGACCAGATCGAACCGTTGCCCGCACTCCATGGATTCTCGAACCTTTTCAAAAGCTTCTTGTCCGTCTTTGGCAATGGTGACATCTATCTAGTGGTGAGATGGCGGCATTGCACCAGTTCAGGAAACTTACCATAGACATCTTCCAGCTTTAACATGCGAAGCACCACTTCTTGGTTTACCTGGTTATCTTCTGCTACAAGCACTCGGACTTTTCGGCCCTTTTGCGCAGCTTCGTTTTCCACCTTCTTTATTTCGTTGAGTTTTGCTTGGGATGACCCGCTGCTCTTCGTCTCTTTGGCCACATAGGGTTGAGTGAAACCAACTATCCTTGGTACGTCGGCCAATTTAAGTTGGTCATCCCGCGCCGAGGTCAAGGATGTCGTGGAACCACCATTGGTATGCGGTGTCGCCTCGGGTTGATCGTGCAATGTTTGACCGACAAGGCTGCTGGCTTTGGAGACTGTTTTGTGCGTCGAGGATGCCATTGAAGGACTCCGTTCCGATACATAGCGAAGTGGAATTCGCATGGTAAACTTGCTGCCGATACCCACTTTACTGTCAAGGGAAATGTCACCGCCCATCAGTGCCGCTAATTGAGCGCATATGCTTAGGCCAAGACCAGTACCTCCATATTTCTTGCTCAAGCCCAGGTCGCCCTGTACAAACGGTTCAAAAATCATCTTCTGTTGTTCGGGTGGGATCCCAGGCCCCGTGTCCTCAACCTCGAACTCAAAACTTAAGTCCTTCGTGTTCACTGGTGCGGGCGACATCGATCGCTGCCTTTCCGCGACTTTTGGTATGTGCGTCGTGCCGCCGGCCACATTAATGCTAAGTTTTGAATCTTCAGTTCCGCCGGAATTCGAATGATTCTTGTCATGGTCTGTGCTATCCGGTGAAACCAACGAACCGTCTGACATCCTTACTCTCTTGTTACTCGACGATTTTGACTTTCTCGAGTTCAGCGACGACTTGCGCGCGCTTCCTGCTCGACTGGGAAAGCTCTCCAAAAGCCCTGTGCATCGGACACGGACTGTGACTGAGCCATGTGCAGGAGTGAATTTAAGGCTATTGCTGACAAAGTTCATGAGGACCTAAGGGGTATTAGCACACCGAATGCTGCTTTTGAGACAAAACAAACCTGCAAAATCCTGTTCTTATCACCCCATAAACACATATCCCTCACACGGCCCGTGCCCACCGGCCCATAAAGTTTCTCTCCAGAAGAATCAGATGAGTCACCAAAAGCATCGTTCGTCCCGAGGAAAAGCACTTTGAGACCCACCTGCGCCTCTCGAGCCTGCTTCTCGAAGGTAGGCATAAGCTGTGTGCTCAGATCGCTGAGTCGGAATTCCGCTTCGTCTATCGAGAGCTGTTGTCCAACCTCATTCTTGCTGAAAGTGAGCAGATCAGTCAACAAGTGAAGCAACAAATCTCCAGATTTGTAGATGGTATTGAGCGTCGACCGAATCCGGCCCAAGTCATCCTCATTCATGCAGACGGTTGTGAGGCCGAGAATGCCATTGAGAGGTGTTTTCAATTCGTGGGAAATGTTTGCGATGAAGAGCGTCTTGCTCTGATTTGCCGCTTCAGCAGCCTTTTTGCTCTTCTCAAGCTCTGCCGTGCGCTCCTTCACCCTTTCCTCGAGGCGCTCGTATTGCATTGCCAGCTCGTCGGACATCTCGTTGAATGTGCGTGTTAGCTCGGTGAGCTCATCGGTGATCAAGTGTTTGCGCTCTGGCACTTTGCGAGGTATTCTGAACGTTCTACGACGCAGGTGGCGAGGAGTTGTTGATCGTTCTGGTTGTTTCGGCTTGGTGATTCTGGTCAGAACACCGAAGAAGCCTTCCTTTCTAGCTGCGTCACGCTCATCGGGGTCTAAAATCTCTTCCACTTCTGGTCCTTGCTGGCCCAAAGTGCTTGAATACTCGCTGTTATCGTCAGGTTGGTAAGGCTCCACTGTTCTAGCGGTAGCGGCTGCCAGATGGCGGATTGGAGTGATCGAGTAGTGTGCCATGGGAAACATAATCGCTAGGAGCAAACCGGTCACAGAAAAGACACAGATAAGAACCACGTCGCGCAGGTGATCGATGGGTGCAACCACCTCATGGTGAGACTGCTCTACAACCACTACCCAATCGACAAATTTCGTAGATAACGTGGCATAACCAGCGGAAACTCTCGTTCCATCTTCGTCGCGTGTTGAGATATAGGCACCAGCATTATTGATGGCCTTGTTATTCTTGGTCCATGCCGAAACGACTGACGGGTAATCTGACGCAAGGAAAGGCTCGGTGGCATTGGTGACACTGCTCCGAGCCTGGTGCCGATATCCCAGAGTAGAGTTGCTTGTGGGTGGTAAAACAAACCGCACGAGTTGGGATTCTGCATATGACTTGGTGGCTCCTCGAATCTGTTGCTGGAAGTGGTTATTGGACGTCGCTGGGCCAACAATCAGGGTTTGTCCGGTATTATCGAGCCCTTCTGGGGACTGCTGGATCTCGTAGATCATATCGGTATTGGCCAGGACGGTCATCCAACCCAGCACATCGGACCGAGAAGTGTTGTTAATCAGCGGAACCGTTAGCGACAGAAGTGAATAAGTCTTATTCACGACCAAAGGTCCCAGGAATAATGTGTCGTCAGGTCGGACGATTTTGCCTTCATAGAAAATAGTTGAAAAATTGGTTCCTGGCTGCGGAGGGCCATAAGTCAGATTCGGATACAGTGAAGGCGGGTAGCCCAAGCCGGGATCTCCCAAATACACTGCTGAACCATTAGGGTAGTTGTAAGGCAGTTTAATTGTGCCATTCAGGCCGAGAGCTGTCACGTTGAGTAGCCCATTGACCGCAGTCTCGTTGCCATTGAATGCATTGGGATATAATATCGCTTGAACAAGAACGCTGCCATTGGCGAGAGCGCCTTGAAAGTCGCTCACAGATCGTTGCCAGTTCTCATTGGACGTATTTCCTTCTCGATTGCCATGATTAGCGCCACCCGGCGAAAAAGGTCCTCGCAAAATTTACCGGAATTATATCTTCCCAAAGCACTCTGAATCAGAAGCCGCGTGCTGATCAACCTGGCTTGCGAATCATACAACAGCAGAGCACTCGTGAATTGTGCAGCCTTGAGTGATGCTGTTAGGGACAATCCCGATAACCTGCGAATTTTCAATTAGCACTACAGGACTTGACGGCGGGGGGAAGGGGGCTCCCCTAACCTAATACTCGTGATGAAATTGTAATTTTGAAACCACTGGCCACAGTATATTCAGTTTCATTAACCATCAGCAGCTCGGACGAGACATACCACTGCGAGTGCAAGCACCATTAGGGACGTTAGGCAGCAAAAGAGGACAAGCAGTCCGAGCTGCTCCCGTATTGAGATCCGCATGGCCGCGGCGTAACCTGGTCCCTTGCTCTTTGCATCTCAATGTTAACTGCAGCACGCGTCCTTCTCGGCCGGTCCTCAGCTTCGTGGTTGGTTCATGATGAGCGCAACATGGTCAGCGCCTTGAACTGGAAGGAGGCTTTGAGCACTCGTCGTCGTTTGGGGTTGGTCGCAGATGAAGTCAGCCTGCAGACCAGTGCCCTGTAAATTTTTGGTACCGAAATTCTGTGTCGAGGGTCTAAGAATTAAGTCGACCTGAAGACAGGATGTGGGAGTAAAGACGCAAGTCACTTCGGTAAAAGGTTGCAGGCAATGGATCGGCGGGTGCAGGGGATTCGAGTCGCTTGCGTTCGAGGCCGGGAGTAGGGTCGGGAAGTTCGGAGCACAGAGTGAAAAGGTTCAGGGAAAAAAAAGCGACACTTAGACTGAGCAGCAGCACAGTCTCTACTCGGAGTTGCTGGAGTGAAAGACTGACTGAGACCCAAGGCCGGGGGTGCCAGGTGCGGGCAGAGCGAGAGAGTCGGCGAGAGGCAAAAGGCAAAGGGTATTAAAAGGCAAAAGAGAAACGATCAACAGGTGCGAGCGACGAGCGGCGAGCGAACCGCAAAGCCTAGCCCCAAAGCTCAAGCGGATGACAGAGCCGGGCAAAATTAGCCTGCTAGCCTACAACTCTGAGTACCTACTTGTAACAATTACAAGTACTTAGAAGGCGGGCGTCCCCCAAAATGGCCAAGCGCTCGCATGCATGGGCTCGCTCCATGGGCCACGGGCCATGGGTTGTGGAAAAGGCGACACCGCCAACACCGAAATGTCAATGGAAACGCCACTTCTAAGCGAGAAAGGGAAGCTCCAAAAGGGGCAGCCCACTTGAACGGAGTACTCGGTACCCAGTACTTTGCCCCTCAAGCCACCCTTGCGCATTCCATGTCTCGATTTCAGGCCAAAAGGCTACGGTGCGCCGCATCTACCGAATGCAAGGAATACGATGTAAAGTCTGAGTCTCCAGTTGGGTATACCTAGTAAGATAGGAGTCGTAGATACATTCCCATTACCCAAAGCATATCAATGGCATTGACGGAGAAAGAAAAAGGGAACGCGGAGGCTCAAGAAAATGCCAGCCCTCGAAGCTCCACCTTAATCCCCTACTCAATAGGTCCCTAGGTACTGGGTATGTTTGAGTCCAACGGCGCCCATGGTTCAGAAGAGCATGGCAGAGTCATCATCACTAAGTCGGTGATACTACCCACTGCCCTCTGGACCCCCTAGGTCATAGTATATGTATGCTTGCGTCAACCGGGAGAAAGATCAAATTGGGATGCGAGGGACATCCACCAGAACAAATGTTTATCCCATTGAGCATATTACCTTAGTAAACTCCCTGCTTGTACTAACCTTCTCATCCCAAGTACATGGTACTCGGTACACAGGTCCAAGGCAGGTCGCACCTTTGTAAAGTTTATCTTCCCCAGAAAGCCAAGCAGGAAGACGCTTCCGTTTACGCGTACATTGCATGCTACGTTAGCTCCTACCCCTAGACCCTACGAGAAGACGCATGCCATCGTAGACGTGGTTCTAGTGCGGTGAAGGATCCGGCAACATAGTCGAAAGTCGAAATCATGCTGCCGTCTGCGATGCGGCGATAGAATAAAAAATTCATATACCTAGAGCATTCATTCCCCGCCCACCGCTTTTCTCCTGTACCGCTCATCACCTCGTCTTTTTCGATTGAGTCCTTTTGGCCTTGAGATGGCGGACCTTTGGCGCTGGACGCTATTGGAATGTCCTCACTGCCACACTGTGCAATGTGTCAAGTATGGGCGCGAGGTGAGGCGATTTGTGATGCGGAACAGAGTTTTCTGGTCGGCCAGTAACGGGCTCACACTCTGCACCTCAGCCCCAGTCGCGTTGTACTTGGACTTTGCATCGAGACCCCTACCTAGACCCATGGGCCTCCAACAATCAAGTGCCCCGATCAGCTTCATCGCACCGATCTTCTGCGGGTGTCAAAGGCATTTAGGGAATTTCGACTTTGACATGCGTAACTTTCGCCTCCCTTCCCCCCTCCTCCCCCACCACCCACCATGTGTTGTTGTTTCCTCAGCCAGCCTGCAGCCTTGTGTTTACAAACCACTGCTTGTATGCCTGCTCGCTCGATAAGACCATAACGTCTTGAATTTATCGATGCCATCAATGTTGATTTAATACTACGCATATTCTTCTCCTACACCATCCCTGCTGATTCCATGAGGTTACCTATTACCGGGCGCATCCAACATGGCCGAAACAAGTACGTCATCGACAAAGCCCAAACCCAGCAGAGACGAAACTCACATTTGCTCCTGCGCAGGCAACATCGCCCCTGTTCTTGACGTCGCCGGTGCTGGCTTCCGACTCTCACTACTCCTTAATGCAATCAGTTCCGAGGTCTCAAATGCCGGTCTCGAGGTCAAGAGCATCTCAAAGGGTGTTACAATCTTCGCGATGACGCTGAAACACACAGGTCAAGTCCTCCAGGCGCCAGACTCGGTCCACTCCCAAGAGGCTGTTGAGACAGCGAAGTCAATAGCAGACGAAAGCACAAGGGTCTTTGGCGAGATCAAGGACATGTGGATGCAGGCAAGCGCGCAGGGTGCAGACAACACCGCTTCCCCATCTCTTCAACAGAGGTTCAGGCGGATTTTCAAGAAGCACAGGGTCACATATCTGCTCGCACAACTCGAGAGCCTCCAGTTAAGCCTCTCAGTCATGCTGCAAGTAATTCAGCTGGGAAAGGTGATGGCGTCCACCTCACGAAGGTTTGATTGATCGCAGAGGGCGCCAAAGACAACCGCTAATAAACGAAAATATAGTGATTCTCCGGACGAGGTCTCGGTGAAAAAGGAAATGATCAGTCAAGAGCGTGCCGAGGCTCAGAACGCTGTTATTGTTCGTTACTGGCAGATGAGCAATATGGATATGTTGTTTGAAGCCTCGCAAAGGGAAGAGGAAGAGGACCGAAATGCAAGTCTCCATAGCGGGACTGTGCGAGACAATCGAGCATCGGTCGTTGCCACAGACAGTTCCCAGCATACCGTCGGCGCCCTCCCTCCTGAGTACGCCACCTCCAGGGCTTTGGTCAGGCTTCCAGTATTTTCTCTGGGTGAGCTTGATCACACATTGCATCAAATTAGAGACTCTCCTCGCGATATGGTTCAGGTGTCGGACCGGGCAATCGATCCTCTCCTCGAAAAATGGACAATCTGGCGTGAAATCCGGGAAAGGCGCCACAACCGTGACTCGGGTTCAAGATACGCCCCCTCAGTATACAACCTCGACGAAGACGATGAGGAGATCCCTTTCCATGAGCGATACCAGGAGCGCGAAGACAGCCCTCGTGGCTATTACCTAGAAGGTACCACGAACGATTGGAGGAAGCCAAATTCTGCTTCTGCGCGTCATGAGGCATTCAAGAGACGAAAGAAGTACTCCGGTTACCAGCCCAGCGTGAGTGCGGCAAGCAGCGACATAGAAGATTCTCCAGGAGGGAGCACTAGCTCCAAAAAGGGTTCCTCAATGCGCTATGTCATTGACTCCGGCTCAGAATCATCTGACTTTGAATCTGAAATGGCCCAACCCAAACCTCAACGCCGCGGTAGCGGCAGCCCGGTAGCTGAGCGGAGGAGACAAGTTCCTGGGGGAGACGCCCCGGTGGCACACACTTTCACCGCACCGGCTCACCCACCGCCGTGGATCACAGCAAATTCTACTGGTGGGTTCCATCGGCCGCCGTCCACCCAGCCCTCCGTGGGGTCAGCTCAGTCGACAGCATCCAGGCTATCGTCGCCAGCATACCACCCACCAGGCCATCGTCCTTGGGCGACACCCGATCAGAATTTGACGCACCATAGTGTCTCATCGCCTCTACTACCTGCCCACCTGCCCACCGCTCCGAACCCATTTATGCCTCCGCAGCCTCTCGGCTTCCCCCGTTACGGGGGCCAGGTGCTGCCACAGGCACACCCGCAGGCACATCCGCAGGTACAGCAACATAGGTATCCGCAACTCGCAACATACACACAGCCTTCTCGTCAGACACGACATAGTTCTGAAATTTCACCTCAATGGAGCCTAGCACCACGACCAGTGTCTCAAGACGGTAAATCCGCAAGATCGCCATCCCGATCATCCCAGCAGGGCTTACCTATTCGCAACCATGATGAGAAGAGGCACTCGAGGGAGAAATCGACGAAGCACCATATCCGAGAGAGTGCCACTAAGGGACTCCTAGGAGCTGGAGCCATTGCCGGGTTTTTGGAAGCATTGGAAGGCTTAAGTCTCTGATGGCTTTGTCCTTTTCATCAACATGGTCTAGATAAGAGCCACCAGACTCATTGGCTACGATTTTCGGCGATGTATAATCATTCCGTTCAAAGATCTCTCGAAATTTTTATGTTGGGCCTGTAGAATGCAAAATGCATCGGCCATACGAATCTAATATCTTTCGAATTTGGATTTAACTATGTTCGTCCTCCGATAATTACAAGCTGCCTCGTCCTATAAAGACCTGTCCCGCCCGATTGTGTAGCATTGCGGTCTCAACATAGGCCAGTGCGCCCTCTGTAAAAGATCGCTTTCCGTCGTACGTCAAATATCAAAAAGCGAACACTTGCATACTTGCCCGTCACAATCTAACTTCAACCCAACCTTTCTAGGAGGATTGTGTCATAGTATGAGACTTCCCCATGTGTTCAGTCCGCCAGTACTGGGTAAAGTGGAGTCATCGCGATCTGAAACATCTTTTAACCCTCGTCCCGTTGGAGCAGCAAACCGGGATCGGGAGCCGAGTTTCGTAGTTGACTAGGACGTGGTGAGGAGCAATTCCACCACAGCAATCACGAGCGTTATCTGTCGAGAGATCTGCTGTTTAATAGACAGGAAGAATACCCATGCCATTACCCGGAGCATGATAACATTGCACCGAAAACTTGAGAACTTCTGTATCTCTGGAGCCACTGTACGCGAATTGCGGCGGGACGAGACCAACCTTCAGCCTCCTGAGTCCTGATCAGTGTGTGTGCACTTTAACTCTATAATAAATCGCTTACGAGGTACACTCCCTAAAATGCTAACTCACCCTTTGATCTGGCTGGTCATATTCGGGGAAGCCTGTTGACATCAGGTGTGACAAAGACGTCATTGTGAGGGCGTGGCATCGCATCGACAAATGCTCGTCATGGATGGGAATGCCATTGCTGGCTGGTCTGACCAACACGATCGGGTTCCACGGGGTCGACAGTCTTGAGGAATAGCATAGCCTTTTCAATCCTCCTCTTCCTCGATTACAACCAGCTAGGGCCTGACGGACCGTCGTCACTGGATGCAGATGATCCGAATGGTGAGGTCCCTTGCTCCCCTTGGCGGTGGCTATAGAGTGGTTCGTGAGCGCCCCTGCAGACTAAACTCCTATCTATCCACATCATCTTGCCGAGAAGGGCCGCTGCGAGAGCGACGCTGGGGTCTTCTATCATGGTACAAGCTAGACAAGAGAGGGATACTGGCAAAGCAAAAACAACCCATTGTGGTGGCACTCGGTAAGGCCAGAATAGTGGCTAGCCTTGCTGGAAAAAGGTGATCGTCGATGCCTGAAGGGGATCGTTAGGTTTGGACACGCCGTTTCGGCTTGAACTCAAATTGTGCTATCCAAAATATACATGCATACGTGGTGGTATCCTAGATATCGGGCTCCCAGCTCAACGACTGCATTCCGGCTGGCAGGACAGGACTCGTATGTTGGGCAAAAGGGCAGATCGACTTTGCATAATCGCAAGGCATCCACATGCCTTCAAAAGCGAGAGGTTGTCTCGACTTGAGCAGAGGCGTGAATTGCTGTCGCCGAGTCGCTAATCGAGGATTGGGTTAAACCGCTCCTCCATTTCCCCCCCGGCTGGGTCAAAGTGAACCAATGCGGTCCAGCCCAGGGCCACCTCGGGTCTCTTTGGGGCGCCATCAACATGCAGCCTCAATTTTTGGGCGGTGCCAGTTGGTTGTGGCTCGTGGCGGCCCCAGGCGTCTCTTGTGCATCTTCCCACCTCGAGCGGTGCCCTTGGGTGCTGTCCTCTGTGCCCGCTGATGCCATTTGGGCATCTGCAGCGGCGATCTCGCCTCAGGAGGTACCCTTGGTGCGATGTTGCAACTTTCTTGCGGTAACCCGTCTTGCCCGTCCATTACCATCCCTTTCCCACTAACAAACCTTCATCCCTTCCTCTGAACCCAGAACCACCTCCAGTTTCCTGTCGTTACTCCTATTCTCGTCCTCCAACCCTACCCTCTCTCCGTGCTTTCTATGCTCTGCCCCCGAGGGCCCTCAATCTATCGCGTCTAGAGCCTGTTGTCTTGTCCTTGCTCGTCCTGCCCAGCCGACACCTTCTACCGTTTATCCGCTTCGCCCTTAGCGTCCTTTTGGGATGCCAGATCCGTTCCACCAGTCTCCCAGTCCAACCCATCCAATCGTCCACTGCCTGCTCTCGGAATCGATCGCATTCATTACCAGCTTACCAGACATCTCCAATTCTGCAACCACCTGACTGCTTGTGCCTATATCCTCTATAGACTGTGGAACGACGTCTTCGTCACTCAAAGCTCGCCCGCGAATTGTCTTCCTTGAACAAAGTGGCTCTCCGGCCATTTTGTGTACGCTGCTGGACGCAGCCCAGAACCAGAGCCCTCTGGCACACCAAAACCGCCTGTCGCCATCCTATCCCTACCGCTCCTCATGAGGAGGAACAATCCATAGAAGATTTTACATCGTCCATGTCTCGCCCGGACGAGACACTGGCAGCCGCCGCGGCAATTCTGCGTGGACTGGCCAAGGGCTCGACTGCCTCCACCTACACCAATGGCTTGAAGCTCCCACCATACAAGCTCCCCGGCGAGGACACGCCAGGGAAGGAGGACTTCGAAGCAGAAATAGCCGCTCTTGCAAGACGCATACATTACCTGGAATCTCGGGCCGATGTTGTTGGCCGCTCGATGCCAGATACACCAGGTGAATTTCAGAGTCCTGCTTCGCCTTTGTCTCGTCCGGTCGAACCTCGAAGTTCTCTGGGGGAACCTGGCGCTGATTTCTCCGCAGAAACTGCTGAGAGAGCACCCGCAAACTCCAATCACTCAAAGCGTGTCAACCATCTTCTTGCTGCCAGAGACTCCTTCCGACCCTCGGAGCCGGACCGCGCAGTCAGTGAAGATGATATCAGCATATTGCGAGAACATGTCGAAAGGCAGGCGGAGCAGATAAAGAGTCAGCGGGATACAATTGCAGAGATCAGTCGTGGTTTGCGAAATTCTGAGGAACAGGCTAAACAAGCTTTCATGCGAGTGGAAAATGAAGACGTCTCTATATTAGAGAGAGAGCTGCGGAAACATCAACAAGCCAACGAGGCATTCCAAAAGGCACTGCGTGAGATCGGCGGCATCATCACCCAAGTTGCAAATGGCGATTTGTCCAAACGAGTCCAGATCCAAGCAACAGAAATGGATGACGAAATTGCCGCGTTCAAGGTCACCATAAACACCATGATGGATCAGCTTGAGATCTTCGGCAGCGAGGTCACTCGTGTCGCGCGCGAAGTAGGAACTGAAGGCATCTTGGGCGGACAGGCTCAAATCAGTGGAGTACATGGCATATGGAAGGAGTTGACTGACAACGGTATTGCCCACATTCCTTCTGTTTCAAGCATTTGAACTAACTCTAGCACAGTCAATATAATGGCAGCGAACTTAACCGACCAGGTCAGAGAGATTGCAACCGTCACCAAGGCCGTCGCTCGTGGTGATCTCAGTCAAAAAGTGCAGAGCCGCGCAAAAGGTGAAATATTCGAACTACAGCATACCATCAATACTATGGTAGACCAGCTTCGGACATTTGCCACCGAAGTAACCCGCGTAGCTACAGATGTCGGAACGGAGGGTGTTTTGGGTGGACAAGCCCAGATCGAAGGGGTTCAAGGCACCTGGAATGAATTGACCAAAAGCGTGAATGCAATGGCAGACAATCTCACGACACAGGTCCGAGACATCGCAATGGTCACCACGGCTGTCGCAAAAGGTGATCTGACTCGAAAAGTCACCGCGAGCTGCAAAGGGGAGATTCTCCGACTCAAGATTACAATCAACAACATGGTTGATCAATTGCAGCAATTTGCCCAGGAAGTCACAATTTTGGCCAAGGAAGTCGGAACCAACGGTGTATTAGGAGGTCAAGCGACAGTGCACGACGTCGAAGGCACTTGGAAAGATCTGACTGAAAACGTCAATGGCATGGCGATGAACTTGACAACACAAGTGCGAGAGATTGCTGCAGTCACCACCGCTGTCGCCAATGGCGATTTGTCGAAGAAAGTTACCGCGGATGTCCAAGGCGAAATCCTCGACCTGAAGGTGACCATCAATTCAATGGTTGACAGACTGAACACATTTGCATTCGAAGTTAGTAAAGTGGCTAGAGAAGTCGGCACAGACGGAACACTCGGAGGGCAGGCAAAGGTCGACAATGTCCAGGGCAAATGGCGAGATTTGACAGACAATGTCAACACGATGGCTTCGAACCTAACGGATCAAGTGCGAGGTATCTCGGATGTGACACAAGCCATTGCCGCGGGCAACCTAGACAAGAAGATCGAAGTGCAGGCGCAAGGTGAAATCTTGACTCTGAAGGTCACCATCAATAACATGGTAGACCGCTTGGCGACCTTCGCCCATGAGGTGCGGCGAGTTGCTCGCGACGTGGGTGTGAATGGCAAAATGGGTGGCCAGGCCAATGTCCACGATGTCAGTGGGCGATGGAAAGAGATCACAGAGGACGTCAATACTATGGCCGAGAACCTGACTGCCCAGGTTCGTGCTTTTGGGGAAATCACTGATGCCGCAACCGAAGGAGATTTCTCTAAGTTGATCAGCGTCAACGCGTCTGGTGAAATGGATGAATTGAAGAGGAAGATCAACCAGATGATTTCGAACCTCAGAGACAGCATTCAAAGGAACACGGCGGCGCGTGAAGCAGCTGAACTGGCCAACCGGACGAAATCTGAATTTTTGGCGAACATGTCCCACGAAATCAGGACCCCGATGAACGGCATCATCGGCATGACACAGCTGACGCTGGACACTGATGATTTGAAGCCGCACTCACGAGAGATGCTCAATACGGTCCACAACCTCGCCAACAGCTTGCTGACCATCATTGACGACATCCTAGATATTTCCAAGATTGAAGCCAACCGCATGGCCATTGAGGCTATTCCCTACACAATTCGTGGTACCGTCTTTAACGCTCTGAAATCCTTAGCTGTCAAGGCGAACGAAAAGTCGTTATGTCTGGCATTTGATGTGGACAACTCGGTCCCGGATTACGTCGTTGGCGATCCGTTCCGGCTGAGACAAATTATCCTCAACTTGGTTGGCAATGCAATCAAGTTTACTGACCAGGGCGAGGTCAAAGTTACAATCAAGAAATCCAAGGATCTACTGTCGAACTGCGCGACTGACGAATTTCCATTCGAGTTTGTGGTCTCCGACACGGGGATTGGCATCCAATCCGACAAGCTTGACCTCATCTTCGATACTTTCCAGCAAGCGGACGGCTCAACAACAAGGAAATTCGGTGGTACCGGTCTAGGACTGTCCATTTCCAAGCGCCTGGTCAACCTCATGGGTGGTCAAGTCTGGGTGACCTCCGATTTCGGTCACGGGAGCGAGTTCCATTTCTCTTGCATTGTCAAATACGCGACAGACGATATCAGTGTCATCAGTTCCCAACTTTATCCTTTCAGAAAGCATAAAGTGCTCGTGGTAGACAAGGGTGTCTCAAAGTTCTTCGAACGCGTCCCCGCAATGATCGAGGAGCTTGGGCTGCAGGTCAAGGTCGTGAAGGACGAGACAGAGGTGCCGGATCCTGTTACCGTCGCCGTAGAGCGGAAAGGCAAGGCCACCGATGGGGGCTACGATGTCATCGTCATTGATGAACTTCAGACGGCGCAAAAACTTCGGGAGCTCGACAAGTTCAAGTACATACCCATGGTTCTCTTGAACCCAACCGTGTCTATCAGCCTCAAGACTGTACTTGACCTTGGCATAGCTTCATACATGACTACGCCCTGTCAGTTGATTGACTTGGGCAACTGCATGATCCCTGCTTTGGAAGGCCGATCCACACCCGTCATCAAAGACTACAAAAAGTCGCTCAATGTTTTGTTGGCCGAAGACAACGAGGTCAATCAAAAGGTGGCCATTAAAATATTGGAAAAATACAATCATGTCGTGACCGTAGTTGGCAACGGGTTGGAAGCCGTCAACGCTATCAAGAACAACCGATTCGATATTGTGCTCATGGACGTGCAAATGCCGGTCATGGGTGGGTTTGAAGCCACCCGAGAGATTCGGCATTATGAAAAGGAAAGGGGACTGCCCAGAACACCCATTGTTGCGCTGACCGCCCACGCGATGTTGGGAGATCGCGAGAAATGCATCCAGGCACAAATGGACGAATACCTGTCAAAACCACTGAAACAAAATCTTCTCATGCAAACGATTTTACGCGTGGCTTCCGATAGGGTGACAGATATTTTCAACAAGCAAGCTCGATCAAAATCTAATGGAGCTGGTAATGGTAATGGCGGTGGTGCGGATGGAAAGGAGGCATCATCACCAGTCAAGGCGAGAGATTCACGAGCGGCATCGAGCTTAAGGCCCCCTTTTAGTGAGAGGTCAGTTACAGCATCGGGGCCGGTGAACCATGGCAGTATTGAGAGTCCATCAGTGGGCAAAGATGGCGAGCCCGATCCGATGTCGGCAGCTAACAGCAGCGTACGTTCGATGTCATGGTCGGGCTGAAGAAAGTCAGAGCTAATCGGCGTGATCAGGTTCTTTTGAGAGCTCACAGTCAATGAGGATGTTTTAGGCTGACGGTTCCCGGACCTCTGCAGTTCCCCCAAAGCATCAATCGATGAGATTATGTTTTGGGCATTCATGTTGTTGGCAGCGTGGAGTAAAACGGCATTTGGCTCTTCTTGGATGTTTGCATTGCGATGTGTTTTTGATATGCGGGTTTCCCCAGGTTGATGTGGGATGAAGTGGGTTATGCACAGTTCGGACAGCCAGTGCAGCCCCCGTATGATATTGGTCGAAGACGTTCATGAGAAGTCGATTTCTTGTAGGACAAGACAGACCAGGCATGGCCAGGGTACATTGTTAGGGCAATCGGTCGGGGGGGCAGGGAGCCCTTTAACAGAGCCGAAGCGAGTCGATAAATCGCTCATATATTTCTTCTCGAATCTCGATGGAACAAATTGATCTGATTCATCCAAGGGGGCAGGTGACGCCAGGCATGGGACTTTGGCCCTTTACACTTATTCCAATCAATCGATGACAGTGGAGTTGAGCTGCATCGTCGTGCAGCGGAAACCTGTCGATGGGAGGAAGGTCGACAGCATCGTCGAGAGCCCCAGCATTCCGGAGACAGGAGGAGCCCCGGATTTCCGAAGAGCAGCAGCCGTCAGTGGAGAGGACCGCTATGCAGTGGACATAAGGACCGCTCCTAGAAGCCAGGTGCCAAGTTGTGCGGCGAAGCGGATATGTCGGTGACTTGGTGTCGATGTCCTGGTGGGGATTGGTTTGTACGAAGGGAGGGGCGAATAAACTGCTGCGACATGCTTGCAACCACATTTAGATTGTGACACAACCAAAATATATGATACCACCCTTCTGATCATTCCTGCTGCGCTGCTGATTAACTCGTCGACTGGCAAGACCTCCTGCCCCTAAGAAGAGTGGCTCTTACTCGACTTCATTTCGAGCATCCTCCAACCCCCTTAGTGCGCCGGTCCAACTATTCCCCGTATGCATTCACATTGAGCCGCGTCTGAACCGCGACCAGCAGATCTGCACCCGAAAATGTCACACTCCATCGACGAAAGCGCCCAGTCCGGCCTTGAGCCTACCACCAACGACAGTGGCCAAGCCGGTACTCAAGCTACTACAGAGAATGGACAGACCACTACTCCCTCTACGCCTCGCTTGAACCCGCGAAGTTGTGTCACATGTCGCCGCAGGAAAGTTCGTTGCAATAAAGAGAACCCATGCGCCAACTGTATAAGAGCAGGGATTGAATGTGTGTTTCCCGGACCTGGCAGGGCGCCCAGGAAACCGAGGAAGCCGCCTGATGCAGAGCTTCTCGCCCGGCTGCGCAGATTGGAAGGAGTTGTTCACAGCCTCGGTGCCCAGGTGGATGAGAATGGCGTCGTCTCGCCTGCTCTCGCAGGATCAACGGAGATGCGGGCGCGCTTTGGTGAAGTGCAATCAGGCGACTCACCGGTTTCTGATCGCTCAGACTCGAAAAGACAGTCTATTGACAAACATCTTGGGCGCCTAGTGATCAATGAGGATCGCAGTCGCTATGTGAACAATGCATTTTGGACGGGCATGAGCGATGAGGTGCTTTTCGCCTTGCTTTATGGGAGCGAATACTGGCTGACCATATGCGCAGATTGCCGAGATGCGGGATTTGCTCGACCCGTCAAGCACTGACGAGGAAGATGAGGTTCACTCACCGGAAACCGACCGTCAATCTAACCACCAAGCCTTCCTCTTTGGATATTCCTCAGTCATGCAGGATCTGAGGGAGTTGCATCCCAGTCCGAGTCAAATATTCATTCTATGGGAGGTTTTTAAAGAGAATGTCGACCCTGTGGTCCGAATACTGCATCGGCCAACGGCTAAAACGATTCTCATGAATGCTGCGAGCAGTCTCGATCGGGTTTCTAAACCAGCAGAAGCCCTGCTCTTTTCAATCTACTTTGGAGCGGTGGTCAGCTTGACTCCAGAGCAATGTCAGCAACTGTTAGACGAGGACAAGCAGTCTCTCCTGAAGAAGTACAGATTCGCGACAGAGCAAGCCTTGGCCCGCGCAGATTTCCTGAACAGCTCGAGTCTCATGTGCCTGCAAGCACTGTCATTCTTCCTCATCTTCGTCCGCCATTGTGATGATACCAGATTGGTGTGGGCATTGGGGGGGCTAGCGATCCACCTAGCGCAGTCACTGGGCATCCATCGTGATGGAACCCATTTCGGACTGAATCCATTTGACACCGAAATGCGACGCCGATTGTGGTGGCAAATTTCTCTCCTAGATAATCGGGCAGCAGAAGATCATGGTGTTGATCCAACCTTTTCAGAACAGTTTTACGATACCAAGATTCCCGCCAATTTGAACGACGATGATATCTATCCGGGAATGAAAGAGTGCCCTAAAGAAAGGGTCGGGGCGACCGAGATGACGTTCTGCTTGATCCGCTTCGAAATTAGCGCATTCTCGCGACGATTCAACTTCACCGCTCCAGGCTACGGGCCACCACAGACCCCTGAATTGTCTTTGGGGGAAAAAGAGAAGCTGATCGATGAGTGTCACCGGAAGCTCGAGGAGAAGTATTTGCGACATTGCGACATGAACATGCCTATATACTGGGTGGCCGCAACGGTCGCCCGTCTCATTCTGGCCAAGATGTGGTTGATGGTGCATCATCCGCGTGCGTACTCCAACAGCGATGGAGGATCCCCGATGCCACCGGAGATCCGTGATCGAGTCTTCATCACTTCCGTAGAAGTGATTGAGTTCTCCCATCTCCTTGAGAAGAACGAAAATACGGCAAAATGGGGCTGGCTGTTCAGGACATACATGCAGTGGCAATCGGTGGCATTTGCATTGTCTGAGATTTGTGCTAGACCTCTAGGGCCTGATGTAGATCGGGCATGGCGAGCGATTGAATCGGTCTACGGTGAAAGAATGATCAATTCCAGGTATCAGAAGGGAATGCTGTGGAAACCCTTGCGGCACCTCATGGCTAAGGCAAAGGCCCGCAGAGCAGCGCAACAGGCCCAGTCCAATCTGGTGAAGCAGAACGCAGAAATGACATTCGCCGACATAGGTAACCCTACCCCAATGGAACGGTGGATGCACGACTATCCAGTCAACGCCAGCACGAACGCGACGGAGGCATTTAGCATGGCAAGCGAGCAGCCCTATACCGGGGGAATGCTTCTGGAACCACGAGCGCAGGAATCCATTCATGCAACGAGTGGCAGCACGATGGCAGAGAGAGGCAATACCATGTCGCAGGAGAGTTCCAGGAGCGCAGGGTTGAATTGGACGCCAGAGCATATGCCGATGGGAAGCAACGACATTTTGGATTTCGGATGGTCACCGTCGGTCGGGGACTTTACGGTGCGAGGAGAACCTTTCCAGCGGTTCTTCGTGACTCTTCAAGAAAATTGGTTTTGATATGCCATATGAGAGGATGTGCATGTACCATTAGATACTGTAGGACAGGATGTTCTTGGAGATCAAGTGAGTTCCCTCCGTTTTCGCTTGGTGACCCGCCTCAAACATGTACTTGGTTCTTGTGTAAACAACTCGTCTGCAAGTGAGACGGATGGGCTGAACATGGGCAACACGCTCGATACCAGATAGGGCATGGCGTGGCTTATTGACGAGATCTATTTCGGGGATGGTGATTCCAGATGCTGGTGGCGCTGATGTGGCTGTTGACAATGTAAGCGCCAGTTGACCAGACGCACCCTCCTGATTGGTTTAAGCCGCACGATTTCTATGAAGGGGCTTAGATGCTTGGATTCCCACTTTGTCCACTTTACTGAGCTAAGCTTTTCGGAGCCCGTTGAGGCACTGGCTTGTGGGATCTTGGATCTCATCGTCGCGTTGGGGGTGGATTTGGGCTCCCAGGCACTGGCAGGCACAGGCTAGTAGGCGCTCCAGATGCCCCTGTCGCTCTGCCAATCGAGTGGATGTGCTGAGCCGCTGAGCCTAGTGGCCCTTGGCCCCTGGAGCCCTCGAGCTCACTGCTCCCTGTTGGCGCGGCCTGGAGGGCTGCACGGACCTCCGCTTTACTTGGAAACTGGTTCATCAGGGGATCCATTGTTCCATAATATGCATCTCTTTTCAGCTCAAAACAACATCTGAAACCCACCTCTTCTCAAAACAGACGCCCCGTCGTCTAGGCCACTCGTTGTTAGATCTCTCTGTCTCTTATTTTGGTGATATTCCAAGGCGCCTGCTCACTTCGAATCTCTCTTTCCCTTTCTCTCTCTCACTCTCTCACACCTGTGTTCTTTCCTTCTCTGCGTCTGCACGATCGAGTACTGGGTACATCTGAAGCCACCCCGTCTCGTTGTCTTCCTTCGCTATCTTCTCAGTATATGATCTGTCCTTCATTCCACCCTTGCAATCCATTCCTGCACAATATACCTATAGCAATCTCAGAGCACAACCGCAGGCATGCCATTCCAATCTCGGTCCAGGATCAGGATACTGGTCAGCCTATTCTTAACAAGTGAGTTGCACCCCTTTCCTCGAAACGTTGTCGCTGACTGTGGCATCGTCTTGCAGGCTGCTTCCTCTCAGCGCAGGCCGCTGTTCCCTCATCAACGTATGTCGGGCAAGGAACCTCTCCGGATCCAAATGATAATATCACTGTTTCCATTAACGTGCCGAACGACAACTCCAATTCTCTCTTCTACCACTTCTCTGCACCTGCGGGCCAGACTTGGGCTGCCTTTGGCTTCGGCAGCGGGATGGCAGGGGCGTTGATCTTTGTCACATATGCTTCGGAGGGTGGAAACAACGTCACTGTCAGTCCTCGTCTTGGGAAGGGCCATGTCATGCCCCTACATACCTCCGATGTGCAACTGGAGGTGCTGAGCGGCAGTGGTATCGTCGACGGATCTTTCGTTGTCAATGCCAAATGCTCCAATTGCCGAAGCTGGGATGGTGGGAATATCGATGTTAACAGCGACAATCAAGCCATGATATGGGCCGCTGGGTCAGGAGGCTCTCTGTCCTCCAACGACGTCAACGCTCAAATTCAAAAGCATGAGGGCTACAACTTCTTCAACCTGAACCTCAAGCAGGCTACCGGTATTGGCGGCGTGCCGGTCGTGAGCGCGTCCTCCGACACAGTGATTGGCGGCGGTCCTGTCGGCGGCGACTTCCGCGGCGCCCCTGGTTTCCACGCATTCCTCATGGTCGCTGCCTTCTTGATCGTCTTTCCGGGAGGATACTTGTTCCTCCGTGTTTTTGAAAAGGTGTGGCTTCACTGGGGTATCCAGTCATTGGCACTGCTCATGACCATCCTCGGTATGGGTGTTGGAATTGCCATCAGCAAAAGAGACAAAATTGTGAGCAACCAGTCCCAGGTTCCCCGGCGCTTGACTGAGATTAACGCGCATAGTCTCCTAATCTGACCGCCGGTCATCAAATCCTCGGGTTCGTGGTAGTTGGCCTTGGGCTTGCCACCTGGATCGTCGGATTTGTTGGACATCGCATCTACAAGAGGACAAAGCAGCCAGCCAAGATCATGAAAGGACATCGTGTCCTAGGCCCTGCCACAATAACCTTGGGTCTGGCCAACTGTATTGTCGGTTTCCGATTCGCCGAAAATACCCGCGCAACCATAGTCTTTGCCATTGCCATGGTGTTGATGTTGATTTTCGTGGGAACCGTGATGTTTTTCAAACGCCGCCAGCAGCAGCGGAAAGGGCCTATGAACACACCAGCTGCGGCTAATTTCCGCGAGGGTCAGTCTGAGCGGTCTAACTATACGGGAGAGGCGCCACTGCCTTTATATGGTCAAGGGGGCATTCCCCTGCAAAGCTATGCCAACAATCAGGCCCCTCCTGTGTATCGCTAGGGACATGAGCCCGCAGGCAATCGGACCCAGGTCTCTTGCAATGCCGGCTCGAGGTAGAGCCGGGGTAATGGTCGATGAGCGCGGCGAAGAAAGAATCGTTGTTCACCATTCGGTGTGGGTGCGGGTGTCGGTTGACAGGCTCCTCGGTGTAACATGTTAGGTCGCGGGATGGTTGGACATTAGTGTGTTTTGTTTAGATGAATTCCAGAGCCCTGGAAAGCAAGGCTCTATGAAAATGACGCAGAATAAAAGTAATCAATATGAGCATATTGGCCGCTCGTTGACTTTCAACGTAGGCAATTTCCTGTCAAATCCGAACTCGCCTATACCAGAACGCAGGGCTCTATCCGTCCACCAAAACCAAGAGTACTGAAAAGGCCGGTTCCATAGGTTTTACACGTTTGGGATTTCTAATGTGGATGTCATTCTTAGAGTTTGCGGCGTCCAAAGTCCCAAATTCTCTGACCCTCGAGCTACTTATTACTCCTCGCCATTTTCTCTTGGATATGATTTCGTTGGGATACACCTGAGAATCCCATGTGATGGCCTCGTCGACCACGTGGGTTTCGCTCCATCTGGTCCTTCATGCCCTGCAATGCGAATAAGTGACCTCGGGTAAGGACACGGAGATGGAGAGAGGCCACCATGGCTGCATCCAAAGGTTGTGGAGCAGCTTGTGTGCTCCGGCCTGTTTGTATGAATTCCTGCAGACTTGAACGTGCAACGAGATTCAAGTCGGCAGTGCTGCGTGCTGACACCAGAGAGGATGCTCTCCCATCGCGCCAAATGTGGGATTATCCAGACATTGACCGCCACAGTTTTCGGCAGTTGCAGATCGTCCTTCATGGCCTGGGATCGTCTGAAATGCCACAAGGCTTCGACGACTATACCAAGGAGCTAACCCGGTCACTCCCCGCGAGCTTGATGTTGAACGAGGCGGTTGAAGGTGGGCGACTCGGTGATTTGTGGACCGGACCTCCTCCGCAAATTCTTCTCCACGCTACTCCATATTCTGCAACCCACCAAGTTAATCTCTACTCCAAAAAGATGGGCAGTGGTGGCAGGGGTTTCGGCAATGTTCCTCAGACACCACGGTCGGCCATGCTGTATATCTACTACAGCTCTCGCTCCCCACAAGGGGGTTGCGCAGCTCTTGGTCTGCTGGTGCAGGAGTTTTTGATCCGCGAACAGACCAACATTCAATTTTCAAGGCAGATATCTCAACCCTAGAAGCAGAATCGCGACCAGACCTAAGGGGGACCTTAGCCAACATGGTTGGCAGTGCTCCTATATCCGCGAACCCACTCAAGCTCGATGTGCTAAGTCACACGAAATGTCTCGCCATATGTGTCGTGGCGACGTTGTCCACGTTCCAATATGGCCTTGACTACGCACTTGTTGGTGGATTCCTTTCAATGCCTGGTTTCCTCGAGGTCTTCGGCTACTACTCGGAGGACTTGGGCAGATGGAACATTGACCCGACCGTCCAGCAACTCATTTCCTCGTTGATGACCATTGGCACTTTTGTCTCGTCACTGCTGGTTGGGCCCTTCAGCGCAAGATTTGGGAGAAGGCAGGGCCTCTGGACGGCCACGCTCCTCAACTTCGTTGCTACCAGCATCCAACTGGGAACGACCAGCAAGGCGGCTCTTTATGTTGCCCGTCTCATCTTGGGTGGGATTTTGGAGACCTCTGACTTTCGGTGTATCTTCCACTGACTCTTTCTCAGGCATGTCTGTCGGCTGGTTTCTCACATTCGCCCAACTCTACGTCCACGAAGCTGCCCCAGCACACTTACGTGGCATCGCGTTTGCCGTGTATCAAGTCATGCTTTCCATCGGGTCCATTGTCGGCGCAAGCGTTGACTTTGGGACGCATACCATGACCGGCCGGAACGCCTATCAGATCCCTTTGGCAATCTTTTTTGTTGCCCCGACCCTCCAGTCCATCCTTCTCTTCCTCTTTGCACCCGAGTCGCCAAGATGGCTGATGGTCCAGCGCAAAGAGAAAGCTGCCGAGGCGGCATTGCGGAGACTGCGAAACCCGAAGATCGATGAGCTCGAGTTCCAAGCCGAGTTGAATGAAATTCGACAATCGACCAGAGAACAATTGGAGCAGAACAAGAAAGCCGCGTTCTTGGAGATGTGGCGAGGCACGAACTTGCGGAGGACTCTCCTTTCAATTGCTGTCGTGTGTTTTCATTCGGCAAACGGGTAAGCGCACCGTCCCTCCATGCTCAAGGCAATGCTGAAGCGAAAACAGATCAAGTTGGGTTACAATCTATACCACATTCTTCCTTCAGATTGCAGGCGTCAAGAACCCATTCGCCTATTCCGTCATGGTCACTTGCACAGGCTTGATAGGCGTGCTAGTCAGCTTCTTCTTCGTGCGACGGATCGATCGACGCATGGTCATGTTGATCGGCATCACAGCCTGCGGCATCTGCCAGCTGATCCCGGCGATTGCGTGGAGCACGAGTCCGGGAAGCGAGTCGACAGGAAAAGTGGTTGTTGCATTTATCTCTCTCTTCACCTTCTTCTATGTTGCCTACGGTTTGTTTTGTTTTCCTGTTGAGTTTCATCAAGATCAAAGCTGACGACTTTCTAGCTCCTTATGCCTGGCTTCTCGGTGGCGAGTACGTAAACAATCAACTCCGCGCATTTACATTCGGCCTGGCGACGGCATTGAACTTTTTGGGCAACTGGCTGGGAACATTCACCGCCCCATACTTCATCAACCCGGCCAAACTTGGCTGGAGCGCCAAATACGGATACATCTGGTTCGGAAGCAACATGATTTGTGTCATCTTCACTTATTTCTTCTTGCCCGAGACACGAGACCGTACGTTGGAGGAGATCCATGAGATGTTTGAGGCGAGGTTGCCGGCAAGGAAATTCAAGACTTATGTCTGTACTGGCGTGGAAAGTTATGCGGCGGAAGCGATGGGCAAGGATTTGACGGAGAGGAAGAACATAGGACAGACAATGCATGTAGAGGAGTTGAGAGACGACCATGCATGAACGACTTGATCGAGATCCCCGATCTTTCTCATTATTATGGGAAGCTATATAGGTGGTCCGGAACTGAAAGTTGTGCCCAAGAGATATCTACTCCATAGCAATGCAGTGGGTTGTGCTTTGGTCGCTACTACATACTACCGAGGACTTTTTGATATGCAGTGGCTGCGCGACCCTATTGGCTCCTTTGCTTGCCCGTAATATTGCGCTGCCCTGTGCGGAGAAGAAAAAGGCTTCCGCCAATGATGTCTTTTGGCCTTCGATTTGACCGCAAATCTCACTCCAACCTGCGCTGCTGTGAATTATGTACTATCTTGTCGAGCCTCGCAACCAATCGTACTTTATTAAGGACCGCACAGTTGACAAAGTTCAAGTTTCTCGTCTCATCTGCCGCTAATATCTCTTTAGCCTCGTTCTTTGACGACGTTCCAATAGAATGCCTCTCGACACAATCTCGACTTACTCGCAAACCCTGCTCAGACAGGATGGCCGACGATGGAACGAGCTGCGCCGCATCACTGCCTCAATCTCAACCCAACCCTCCAGTGACGGTTCCAGTATGGTCACTATGGGTAACACAGTGGTCCTGTGTACCGTGTCCGGGCCGAGAGAAGGGTGCGATTGAATTCCTACGAAAAACATTCGCCGCCAGAGAGTCAGTCGCTAACATCTACCTCTTTGTAGACGAGGCCAACGCGACAATAACAATGCCATTGTCGAAACCGACTTGAACGTCGCGCCATTTGCAGCAATGGACCGCCGCCGGCGAACCCGCACCGACAAACAAATCCAAGAACTCCAGTCCACAATATCCTCTTCATTTCAATCCCACCTGTTTACACATATGTACCCACGCTCCCTGATAACGATCTCATTACATGTCTTGAGCTTTGATGGAGGGTTGCTAGTCGCCTGTCTGAATGCTGCAAGCTTAGCGTTGGTCGATGCCGGGGTGCCTATGCCGAGCATCCTCGCCGCCGTGAGCTGCGGAGTAATTGTTCCTACAGACGATTCAAAGGCAAAAGCGGAGCCGGTGTTGGATTTGAACAGTGCAGAAGAGCAAGAATTGGCATTTCTTACAATTGCAACGGTTTCTGGCGGCGAGAAGCACGAGGACAAAGTGTCGGTGCTGATGATGGAGTCGCGCGTGGAGATTGCGGCTGGTAGCGGGAAGGTGGAAGCCATGCTGGCTACCGGCGTGGATGGGTGTAAAGAGGTGAGGAGAAAGATGGAGGACGTGGTGAGGAAGTATGGTGCCAAGGTCGTGAGGAGCCGGAGGTGATTCTGCCTTGAGGAAACGGCACATTGAGGGGTTGGTGATATGAACCCCGAGCCCTCGCATTTTCGTATGATGGAAGTTAGGACGGCCGCACTCGACTCGAGCAGGGACGGAGTCATTCTCACTTGAGAATGGAGGGCCGAGAGGCGTGGGGACCTGGTCATACGAACGCTGAATATATGGTACCTGTCCTTAGCGACGTCATCATTGAATGTTGCGGTTGCTTGGCTGCTATGGACATTGAGCGTATCATGGACGCCGGCGGCACAACTTTGGTGGACTGAATCTGTACCCTGCGTGGCGGCAATCGAAGGAGCAACCGAGAGGCAAACGCGAAAAGAGCCTGTCAGATCACCCATCCGAACCAGTACGTCGGGCCGACATCATCCTGTTACCTACTCTGCTCTTCCCGCAGGCTTCTGAATAATGCCCACCAATTCATCATTCGCCTCGTCGATCAGCTGCTTCAGTTCCTCCCGCCGAGCTCGTTGCTCTATCGCACGACTTTGTATGACCTGTGCCAGCCTTGTCATTGCCTATTGCAAAGCATGCAGCTCCGTATTGCTGCGGAGTCATGGTAGTGTCTGTGTCCGCACCGAACCAAAGTTCTGGCTACTCTGTGAAGACGACAGTTAGCTATGGGGACAGCGAATCCGGATGAAGCAGGTGCATGCCTGTGCATTGTGTTGGGCAGCACTACTTGATGTTGAAGCATTACCATGGTTCCCCTCACCGGCACTGTTTTGGCCAGTGTCACGGAGTTATGCAATGACACCTTTGAGTGTCTTTGCTAATGTGTTGGTTTTGACCCGGCCCTCTGACAGGTTGTCGAAATAACGTCGAGGGATGAGCCTCTGCACCTTGTCGGGCCTACACTGTTCTCCTCGCCGCGGCGCGCTTGTGCGAACTGCGCACCTTGAACCTTAGAAGGCATGTTGGACAATGGATGACGAGGATGCCTGTCTTGAGTGTCTTGTCGCTGTTAGTGCCCGTATTCTTGTGCTCACAGTCGAAAGAGCAAGAGCACAGACAACAGAGTTTTTATTTGTATATATACTCTTAGGCGAGCTCAGCAATGTTGAGCGTCGCCATCATCACCGACCCTGAACAGATTTTCACATACCCAAAGCAATGTTAAGCAGTGACAGCGAGGTGAACATCTCTTTGTCCAGAGGCATCCCGAGCGACTACCAGCCATATCTTTCCTTGCTCGAGCAAAGGTGATATTGTAGTTTGATGCCAATTCGCTTTGCTCCGAGGTTAGGTTCCCTCATCACTGGCTTGCCCTGGCCGTGAAGAAATCCCTGGGACTTCACTGAGCCACCTGGAGTGATATCACCCCATGGCAAACTGTACAAGCTGAGGCAGGCGTTTTGAGAAGTAGGGAAAGGGACTTTGCCGAAATAGAGAAAGGAGCCTTGATCCTGTCACTGTCTTGACCAAGAAACTAGGGCAGATGAAAAGCACAGGGGAGAGAGAGAATGTCATGTTTATATCTATTTCAACTGCCTGACAGAGAACACCTTCCGCAAAGTCCCTCTGGGCTCGCACCTGGCTCTTTTTGGCCAATGTTCTTGACTAAGTGCCGGCCTCGTATTGAAGGAGAGTGCACGGGTAAGGCAGAAGGCGCGAGTCGAGCATCAAGAAAGTAACTCTGGCAGAAGCTCCTTATCGACATACCCACCACCAAAAATTTGGTGCACAGGACATGCTTGTAAACAGGCAGACAGATCTGACCACGCCACAAAAACTGCGCACCAAGCAAACCTACTAAGTCTAAGTGGTTTGATATTGTATAGCAAACAATTTAAAATGCGTCCGATGTACATAAAATTTCAAGATTTCACCCATCTCGGCAGACCCAGGTTTCCCTTATCAATCCTACGAGTCGCTCATCCAGGATTTTGCTCTATCAAGGGGGATTGCAACACGGGCTATGAACACTGCTTCTGTTGGGTAATCATTGCTGTTGAATTGAGAGGAGATTAGAGGAGGAGCCGCAATCTTGGACGTTACGCTGGCGCGGATTGGGATAATTAGAAGACAACCTAAGGAAGAAGAAAGATAACGATAACGAGGATATGTACATACTGTACCCAGTAGATACATATCTCGATATGTAGCATGGCAGGAGTAGCAGTTTGTTCAGAATACGCAGATCTATGCATTATTCAACTTCTGGAAGACCGGTCCGCGACACAGCAGGGTAACGTTTCCTGCAGGTACGGATCAGCACCGAGGACAGATTTCGTGCCAGCCTTTCTGATGGATGTCACGACGTTTTAGAGCAACAAGGAGAATGTGAGATGCCGAATCGGCCCACAGGCGGAAGGGAATAGCCCTCGAATCAGGGCCATTAGAGCCGCTAGCCTCGCAGCTGTGGCGGTAAAAGGGTGAAGACGGGTGAAGAAGCGATCCAATCATGCCTGATAGTTCGTTGGACTAGCTGGATGGGTCGACCTCCCATACAGGCCCCCTTCCCCCCCCTCCTAAGACGCCCCCCGAGGGAAGCCTAGTAGCCAGACCGCCGGCTACCTACTAGTAGTGAGCCATAACAAGTAGGAGAGCGGACACCCCCTTTGGACCCCCAAATAAACCTGTTGGAAATTTTACGAGGCAAGGCACCGGACAGATCCATGGTCTGGTCTGCTGAACGGCTTCAATTCCCCATAAACTATCTATGCTTCTCTCTTCCTCTCGCCATCTCCGCCATATCTTTCTCTTGACCCTCACCTTCGCTGCCAAGTGACCAGTCTGTAACACTCGCTTTGCACACACTCTCGATCCCGACGTTGAAAGTCTCTACGGGCTACTTCTCCAACTACATTGGTATGCGGCTGCCTCCTTGATATCTCACACCTTGACCGCCACTTGAAGTGCACGACCTCTCTTTGCCCTTTCTTTGTCTTTGTTGCGTGCAACTCACAATGTGACATTTAGGATTTGTGCAGCCCTCCCAAGCATGGAAAGATAGACATCGGCATTTCTCCCTTATCCCACGTTCCCTGTCGTCTCCGACCACGCCTACTTTCTCTCTCACAAAATGCGAGGCTCCAACCTCCTCCCGAAACAACTGCGCTCCCTGGGCAAAAGCGACAGCTGGCTAAATCGCACTGTCACTTCCAACCTCCTTGCTATCTCCAATTTGGCCTACCAGCACCCGATCCACACCGTTGTTGCTATTGCTTTGTTTGCAAGTACCTCGTACGTCGGTCTGCTGCAAGAGAGCTTGTTCGACAGTGGCATCAAATCTCTGCAGCATAATGGAAGAGTAGATGTGGAAGCGTTATTGCAAGGAAGCAGGACATTGGAATTGTCCGAGCGGACCGCGTGGAAATGGCAGTTCCCTGACGATTCCAGTGTTCCCCTTGGGCCTTTGGTACGTCCATCTGCACCAAGCTTACCACCAAGACACAGCCGATACTAACATTGGGTACTTGTGTATGCAGGGCTCCAACCATTATGCCTTGACGACCTTCGTGTTCCCTCATTCTTCCTCGTCTCACTTGGCTCCCGAAGCCAATGCTATTCCTGTACCATCAAATGTCTCGGCCGCCAGCATCCCGACCACTTCAAACTTGCTCTCACCTATATCTCACGACACGTCTCTTGCCTTCTACACCTCCTTCTCGGAGCTTCCTGATTTCCTGCGCGCCGTCCAGGAGCTCCCTGCCCAACATGCGGCGTCAGACGATCAAAGCCACCCGTCTTGGACCATGAAAGCTGTTCGCCTGAATGGAAATGGCCCACGTGGTGCCTACCGAACATGGCTGAGTGAAGGGTGGAGCTCTTTTGTCGATCTACTGAAACATGCCGAAACCCTGGACATTATCATCATGTCGCTTGGTTACTTGTCGATGCACCTCACCTTTATATCCCTTTTCCTGTCGATGAAACGCCTCGGTTCGAATGCCTGGCTGGCGATATCGGTCTTGTTATCCAGCCTTTTTGCATTTCTGTTCGGGTTGGTGACCACAACTAAACTTGGAGTGTCAATTAACATGGTTCTATTGTCTGAAGGCTTGCCGTTTCTGGTGGTCACAATCGGGTTTGAAAAGTCCATTATCCTCACCAAGGCCGTTTTATCTGCGTCTTACGATACGAACCGGCGCGGGCTGGAGAACGGATCCGCGAACGGCAGACCTAGTGGCCCGGTATCTGCCCCAAACGCCCCGAACTCCATTCAAGATGCTATTCAGATCGCCGTGAAGGAAACAGGGTTCGAGATTGTCCGGGACTACGCCATTGAAATAGCAATTCTAATCTTGGGTGCGGCCTCGGGGATCCAAGGTGGCCTCAGACAGTTCTGCTTCTTGGCCGCATGGATCTTGGTCTTTGACTGTCTTCTGCTTTTTACTTTCTATACGACCATCCTCTGCATCAAACTGGAAATCAATCGCATTAAACGACACATTGCCCTCCGCAAAGCACTGGAGGAAGATGGAATAAATCAACGTGTCGCCGAAGATGTTGCCACAAACAATGACTGGCCCAGCGGACAGTCAAATCAAGCAGGTGCATTCAACATTTTTGGGCAGAAGATCAAGGCCAGCAGCGTGCCCAAGTTCAAAATCTGGATGGTTACTGGGTTTGTCATTATCAACGTGATCAATCTGTGCACAATACCTTTCCGAACCGCCCGAAGCATCAAGGCCCCTGGGGCTGCCATGCCAAGCGTTTTGACACCCGCTCCTATTGACCCTTTCAAAGTGGCGGAAAATGGCCTGGACGCGATATACGTGGCTTGCAAAAGTCAAAAGCTCGATACCTATGTCACTGTTCTACCGCCAATTAAATACGACTTCGACAATCCTACGATTCATCACTCTGAATCGCCAGATGATATCGGGTTCTTTGATTACGAGTACACGGACCAGTTCCTCAACGTGGTCGGTGGAAGGGTGATTGAAGGGGTTCTCAGCAGTCTTGAAGACCCCGTACTTAGCAAATGGGTTTTGATTGCTCTCACTCTCAGTTTGATCCTGAACGGATATCTGTTCAACGCCGCCCGCTGGAGTCTCAAGGAACCGCAGTCTGCGACAAGCTCACCAGCAGCTTTCAAACCGCCACAACTCGAGCTGCCTCTGACGCCAAGGCCTCGAAAAGTCAGCCTTGATATTCTGCGCCACTCAGGGAGCAACTCGGGGAGGTCACAAGCAGAGTGCGAGCAGATGCTCAAAGACAAGAAAGCCGCCTATTTGATGGACGAGGAGCTAATTGACTTGTCCCTGAGAGGCAAGATTCCGGGTTATGCCATCGAGAAGACACTGGAAAACCCGGAAGTCATGACCAGAGGTGAAGCATTCATTCGAGCGGTCAAGATCCGCAGAGCAGTCGTGTCGCGGACGCGGGCGACAAAGAATTTTGCGTCTGCTCTGGAGACCTCCAAGACTCCCTACAGGGACTTTAACTACGAGCTCGTTCATGGCGCATGCTGTGAAAATGTCATTGGTTACCTGCCTTTGCCCCTGGGGGTTGCTGGTCCGTTGATCATAGACGGGGAGAGCTACTTTTTGCCAATGGCCACTACTGAAGGTGTGCTTGTGGCAAGCACGAGTCGAGGGTGCAAAGCCATCAATGCTGGTGGCGGTGCCGTCACCGTGGTTACCGGCGATGGAATGACTCGAGGCCCATGTGTTGGCTTTCCCACTTTGGCTCGAGCTGGTGAAGCAAAGGTGTGGCTTGACTCGGAAGAGGGCCAGCGGAGAATGCGCGAAGCGTTCAATTCTACCAGCCGATTTGCTCGGTTGCAGTCAATGAAGACGGCTTTGGCGGGAACGTATCTTTACATCAGATTTAAGACGACGACCGGGGATGCCATGGGCATGAACATGATTTCTAAAGGCGTCGAAAAGGCTCTTTCAGTGATGGCCACTGAGTGCGGGTTTGATGACATGGCGACGATATCCGTGTCTGGGAACTTCTGCACCGACAAGAAACCCGCAGCGGTAAATTGGATTGACGGAAGGGGGAAATCCGTGGTTGCAGAAGCCATCATTCCAGGAGATGTGGTACGCAATGTTCTCAAGAGCGATGTGAATGCGCTGGTGGAACTCAACGTGGCCAAAAATCTGATCGGCAGTGCAATGGCGGGCAGTATTGGAGGCTTCAATGCTCACGCCTCGAACATTGTGACCGCCATGTTCTTGGCCACGGGCCAAGACCCGGCGCAAAACGTCGAAAGCGCCAACTGCATCACGATAATGAAGAAGTAAGTGGACGATGCTTAGACCAAGCAAGGGGCAATTACTGACCTTGAGTAGCAACAACGGAAACCTCCAAATTAGTGTGTCAATGCCTTCGATTGAGGTTGGCACAATCGGTGGAGGAACCATTCTCGAAGCACAATCCTCAATGCTCGAAATGCTCGGAGTGCGAGGAGCCCATCCAACAAACCCGGGCGACAATGCTCGCAAATTGGCCAGAATCATTGCAGCCGGTGTTCTCGCTGGGGAGCTCAGTCTCTGCAGCGCCCTTGCGGCAGGCCATTTGGTCAAGGCACATATGGCACACAATCGCAGCACGGTGCCCACGAGGGCAACGACGCCCGTGTCAGCTGCAGTTGAGCCTTTTCTTCGCGCGCAAAACGGACCAACCATACCTTCCTCCCTTAAAATGACGAATGGAAGATGAAAAGAGTTAGGCGAAAACGGTGTACAAGTGAACAACATTGTATATATTGACGATCTATCTCAAAGGGCGTTATGAAGTGGTCCTGGTACTTGCCTGCCATTGAGTGGTTACCAATGGTTCATAATGATCAACGACAAGGGAGAAGGCAAAATGGCTGAATGCCGGTGCTATGGAGAGCACGATGCAGTGACAGCTCTGTACAACATATGGAGTACACCAAATAGAGTAGGGAAGAGCAATCGCCACGAGAGTTCTGTAAGAATCCATCTGGACTAAACCAGAACCAACCGTGGACGAGTCTATGTACTCGTTCTCGGTATGGTGAGAGGGCGGCCCTTGGTAAGCTTTTGGATCAGGGCCTTGTGGCGCCGTTCAGGCGGCAAGGCGGCGTACCCAGGCAGCTTGTTTGTGGTTCAATTGGCATCTGTGGTTCCTGGAGAATCTCGAGATGATGGGGATGGAAACCGGAAAGTGACCACTGAGTCACCTAGGCGTGAGTTTCTTGATGGTGGCGGTCCACTATAGTACGCCAGGGCGGTGGACATGCATGATATTGGATCCATACGGAGTAAGGGGTGGGAAGAAGGGTAAGAAATCGGTGACCCTGACGCAGGTATGTTCTGCATGAGAAGGAGAACGAGCAAGAGACAACAAGATAGATCGTAAGGCATTGCGAGAATTGGAAATGTTGTGGGCGGTTGAACCAGGTGCCTACAATGGCAAAGGTCGGTCAACAAAAACATGTAGTCGCATACAGAAACAAGATGGGATTACCACGATGGGCGCCTCTTCGGTGGCGGTGAGAACCTCCTGGGTGCTTTTTGGGTGCATCTTAGGTGCCTCTTGGGCGCGTTTCATATCCCCAAGTCCCCCTGTCGAGCCTGCATTTCCACGAGCGATGCACTATTGTAACACTACTCACCCACCCGCTGAGCTGCGCACAACTCTTTTCCTTACCCAGTTCGCATCCCCCATTTCCATCTTCACTGTTCTCTCCCTTCTCAGTTATTAATTCCAACACACTCGTTTATTTACTCACATGGCCGTCTGCTGGACAGTCCGGATCATCTTTTGGAGGCCACAGCATCCCAGAGTGCATCAAGTCCGGTCGCGCCTGCGCATTGGCCATTTGCTCTCGTCCGCTCCTTGACTGGCTGCACCGCTGCCCATCCTCCGACGTTTCCTGCCTCACATACCTTTTTCCGTTCAACTGGCGCGGATTGGTCAAAAGAAACAAAGAGACCTCTTCTCCCTACCGGCATCCCTCAACATTCTTACGAACTTGAGTGGCTGAAATCGCAGAATGCAGGCCACGATGCCACCCCTCTCTCGAGGTCCTGAATTGTCGCCAGTCTCAACGACGAGTGAATGGTCTGGTGTCAACAATTACAATCAATTGCCCAGGAACGATGGGCCAGTCTCTACGCTGCCTTTGAATCCTCCAGGAGACGACTTTGCTCCCTCCAAACCTCAGCCATCGATGCGCCCTCCTCCCCCGAATGGCGGCATGAACTTCGCTCCCCCGTCGCTGGATGCAATGGGACAACGTCGTCCGTCCGAATCCGGTTCACGGGGCTCCTCGCGTGCCGGATCCATCGCCAATTCCCGCTCCAGCGACGGCACCATTTCGGACGAACAAAGCAGAAAATACCGGAGGATGGAGGCAGAGTTGTTTCAGCACTATACTATTTTGAAGGGGTTCCTCAAGGGCAGTGCTCAGGCTCCGCCTCGCCCTAACAAGGCTCGGGATAAGCTGCTGCGACTATCTCCCGTTCAATTCCACGAACTGAGCACCGATGTCTTTGACGAGTTGCAAAGGAGACAAGCTTCAACCCCACTTCCTGGCCGCCCACCGCGTCAACAAATCGTTCCCCCTTTTCTACAACCACGACCCGATTTTCACGAAAAGCGAAACCAGGCCAGGCAAAAACTCTCGTCGCTGCAAGCCCCCAGGTTTCGTGACCTTTCGACCGACGTCTTTTGCGAGTTGGAACGCAGATTTCCACAATTTGTGAGACCTGATGGAGGAAGAAGAGACAGTGCCCGTTCACAATCCAGAGGTCCAGCGGCCTCATCCAGAGACGGTCCTCCTGTCCCCAACGGCTTCGGCGCACCGCCCAGAACGCAGTCCTTCGGCCCGTCGGGCGCGGCAAACTATCCTCAAAGGCAAGAATCGGTGTCCAGCCTTCCTCAGCTCGACAATCCTCCTCCACCCAACGATTATGGGCGACCAATGGCCAAGCAATTCCAGAGCAACACCATAACGCCCAATAAAAGTATGATGGTCGAGGACGAAGACGATTCACAAGCAACAGATTCCAAATACGATCGATCTAGCGATGCCTTCGGTCTTGAAAGCTCTCTCACGAGCCCGAGAAGTGATAGGGATACGTCTGCGACGTCGCAGAGTTTCGTCAGCATGAATTATACTAAACCGAACTTACCGAGCTTGACCGAACTGCAAGAAAAGGTCTCTAATTTGGAACTGAACCTCGAATCGAAGGATGAGGAATTGCGTCAGATGCAGAGACAGAGCGAAGATTGGGCCGTCACAAAGCAGGATCTGGAGAGGAAGATTGAACAGGCAGAAATCTTGAACAAGTCACTCGAACAGGAAATCGAAAAACTCAGAGCCGAGCAACCCCATTACAGCGGCGAAAATGTCCTTTGGAAGACCAAATTTCTAAAATTGGATCACGACCATGGTGTGTTACAAGAGCAGCTAGAGCAACAACGACAGTTGACAGACGAAGTGAGCAGACAGGGTCAGGCATACCTGCAAGAGATGAGGGCTATGGCGGAATCTGGCGGGGATAATCTTGAACAAGAAGAGAAGCTGCGAGTTGATGTTCAAAAGCTTGAAGAAGAGGTTAGGAGCTGGAAGGCCCGTTATGTGAAGGCCAAAGCACAACTTCGTAGTGTCCGCGCAAGCTCGCTAGGGCTCAGCATTGCCCGCCCTGATACCGGTCAACACGCAATGGCTCTTCAGGACCGAGAAGGGTTGGTCAAGGACGTTCACGTCACGAAGTTCCAGATCGCAATCGATGAGCTACTCCAAATTGCCCGATCTGACAGTCCCGCTGCTGTACTCGACCATATGAAAATTGTGGTGTTGGCGGTGCGCGGAATCACGTCAGATATCGACGCCGGGTCATCAACAGAAAAGGACGATGAAATGGGCAAGAGACGGGCCAAGCTCAAAACCAAGGTCTCCGCTACAGCCAACAATTTGATTACAGCTTCGAAGAATTTCGCTTCGGCCAGTGGACTCTCTCCACTCAGTCTCCTGGATGCCGCAGCTTCACATTTAACTGCAGCTATTGTTGATCTGCTTCACACGGTTAAGATTCGCCCCACACCAGCTGGGGAACTGGAAGATGACGATGAACCGACATTAGAACCGCTACAAAGCAACGGGTATTTCAACATCGCCGAAACTTTGAGGAGGCGGAGTGAAGTTGAAAGCATCTATAGCGCACTGAGCACGCCATCGGCGACAAGGAATGTGCCAAATCGGGCAGGATCAGTTCTTCAACGTAATGGATCGAATTATGTGAATGGCGCTGGACTAGGAATAAAGTCGGAGTACGGAACCAGTCAGGAGGAGGCTGATCTAGAGGATCTCAAGGTAAGCCCAAACGCAAACGGGGGCGGTTAACGATGCTGACGAGAAGTCCACAGATGTACCTCGAAGATCAGACTGATGGATTAGTTCAATCCATCACCTCCTTGGTCGATGCCATCCGGAAGGACGATGCCATGCTCACGATCCGAAGTCATATGACGACAATTTCTGCCACGATTGAAAACATTGTGAACTCGGTAGACCGGACAGGGAACGAGCCATCCTCGTACCAAGCCATCTTGAAAGAGAAGTCAGGCTCGATTGTCGCCAATTTGCGAGAATGCCGCGAACAAATGTTGCAGGCAAGCAATGAAGCTCCCGACGACAAAGAATTTCTCCAGCAACTTCCTCCTCTGTCCTTTAAAATCGCGCGAGAGACCAAGGAATTGGTGTCCAGGGTGATGGTTATTGAAGCCAGGCCTGCTAGAGGCGGCGAAGATGATTTTAGCTAAAGTACGCTCACGCTTGTTATGCAGGGAAAAGAAGGCGGCCTGCGGTTGTGGGCCTGCATGCGATATATAGAGATGTATCATCAGAAGACACCCAAGGGGGTAGTAATGCAATACATGTCCAGACCAAGAGGTACAAGTGCTCCGTACAGTACTCGGCAAGGTCAAACACGAGCCCCTTTTTCTTCTTGACCACACAACAGCCGATTGGCGGGGGACAAGGACAAATTTTCCTGCCAGTGGGTACCTGGCAAGCTGGCGAGCTGGCTGAGCATCCAGTAAGGGGTACCTCGTACAGAGAGTATTTCAGCTGTTGTTTTCCCATCTGCAGCTCTCAGCTCGATCTCCAACTGGACCTGCAAGCTCGTCTTTTCGGGATACTCTTGTACAATAATACTTTGTGTATCAATATTTCGGCATTCCCGGCGGATTCCCACTACGTGGTGCTGACGGATAGGTATTTCCGTCCATCGGTCGTGCGGATTTGACATTGGGACATTGGCCTGCAGCAGCTCTCGTCCCACAAGCTACAAGCTGGTAGCTGGCGGCTATATCCATCTCTCCTTTGAGCTTTGGTCCGAACAGTAGCTTTTGACAAGCTGGTGAGTTATCTCATTTGAGTCGCAGCTCTGCACGCCAGAGCAGTCACCGTGTTGGAGACGATGGCTTCGCTCGGGTGTGGGCAGGTGAAGTGGGCTGACTGAATCTTTGCTTGCAGCTTTGCCTAGGCTTTTACCTCGTGCCTGAACCACGATCACGTGCAGTGAACTGAATAGTGTCCACTCCCACTCCCACTCCCAGTGACGACCCGCGACTGCCCTACTACCGACAAAAAAGGCCCCTTGCCGCCCTTGCCACCTCCCACCTTCCGGGCAGCGTTTATCGCTGTACTTCACTGCACTCACTGCACGCCGGCAGGCGCAGATCACCCCTCACTGAAAACCCAAGCCATGTCTCTCCCCCGCCATGCTGTCAGGTCCTTCAAATTTCATCACACTTTATTAACCCCGCCATCCTCGTCTTCCTTCTGTCTTCAACAGCCTCTCTTTCATCGACTTTCATCGTCACCCACCTCGTTCGCCAGACTCTTCTCAGCATCCCCTACCGCCATGGGCAACACCGCTTGGTTTGAGGTCGAGTGGACCGATCAGGCCCTTGACAAAGCTAGAGCTGATGCCAAACGCGCTGGCCAGACGCCGCCTGCTCGTATGTGACTTTTCCTTGGATCACTTCCCCCTCCGCTCTGAGGCTTGCTCAACCTCCCGTCAGCACCTTCAGTCACCTGCTGTCTCTACTGGATGGTTTGCTAATCGCTGTCTCTCACTTACAGCTCACCGAGGTAGAATCAACTTCATCCTCTACGATGATGTAGTGCCCAAGACCGCCGAGAACTTCCGTGCCCTCTGCACTGGCGAAAAGGGCTTTGGCTACAAGGGCAGCTCGTTCCACCGAATCATCCCTCAGTTCATGTTGCAAGGTGGCGACTTCACTCGAGGCAATGTCAGGCACACTCAATTCGAAAGATGGTGGAACTTCAGACAGTTACTGACGCACATTGCTAGGGCACTGGCGGCAAGTCGATCTACGGCGAGAAGTTTGCCGATGAGAATTTCAAGAAAGCCCACACCAAGCCAGGGATCTTGTCCATGGCCAATGCTGGTCCCAACACGTAAGCAGTTCCCGTTGTCCATGGCCATTCCTTTGCTTTCCTTGCCAAATATGATACTGACATGGCCGGCTTCCCTTCAGCAACGGCTCTCAGTTCTTCATCACGACCGTCGTCACCTCTTGGCTGGATGGCAAGCACGTCGTCTTCGGTGAGGTTGCTGATGAGCAGAGCATGGATATCGTCCGCAAACTCGAGGGGACTGGTTCCGGGACTGGCCAAGTTAAGCACGAGGTCAAGCCCACCATCGTCGACTGCGGTGCCTCTTAGAATCCTACACCGGTGGTCTCGGAAGCGCAAACCCTGGCCAAGAATGCAGTTTGCAGGAAGCAAAAAGTGTCAAGAGTCCAATTCAAACAAGCATGAACAGATCGTGTCCACAAGAGCGTGCTTTGCCGCAGACAGCTACAGCGCCAGCATAAGTAGTAGGCAAATGAAAAGTTGATCGTCTCCATCTTCATCCCCTGTAATCCGAGCTTTTCGCCGAATATTCTCCATGGCTGGCCTGATGAGCTCTTCGCGGTCTTATCAGACCCCAATACCTGTTGACCCTCCTGCCAACTGTTGTTCTAGGAACAGCAGGAAGTGTTTGGTGGCTGCCAATTTCGTCCGGAAGCTCCAGCTCTCACTCTCTTAAACCGACCATGTGGGGTCAACCGTATTATGCCATGGACCAAGTCGGGTCGGACCAAGATTAATTCGCTCCCCCACCCAGAAAACCCAATACCAATTCTCTGTTGCTCATTCCCTGGCCCATAACCATCGAACGCTCCTCTGTTGCCATCAATAAGCGATCATATCAGATCTGCGCCCTTCAACACGTGTGGGAAGCGTTTCTCGGGTGGTGAAACGCTGAATTTGTAACGAAAGAGGAAGGGGAGGTGTCTTGGAGAAAGATCTTCATGACCCTGTCGAGAAGGAAATGGTAAAGATGGTAAAGATCAGTCGCCCTTTTTCGCGAAGATGAGCTTTGAATTGTGCGTCCTTGCTTTGTCTCGTTCAATCCGACGTTGTCATGACCAAGGAAAAGCCTTCGGACTTTCTAGCTCCCTTGGACGTGGCTCTTGCTGGGTCTTCTTGCAGCAGCGAGAAAGATTTTGCGGACACTTCATGGAGCCAAATAAATGAATGGTCTTCCAGCAGATTATGTATTACTACCATAATACTATTACAGGAGGACGCGCCTTGGTCGGGTCCGTTTTAAAAGGAGGTTACATGATCCCTGCGCGCCAGCCCGGCGCCTCCTTCAGCAACCGTGCCATATCGTACTCGCAATTTCGACAGTTCGTCCCTCGCAGTTGAAGATTTTCTCGCTTCGTTGACGACAGATCTGATATCCTCGGTCTGACTGTTGATGACGATCTCGCTCGTGGTGCCCATCCGCACATTTGCCAGGTTCGCCTCGGCGTGCATAAAGCCACTCAGAGCCGCCACCAGCACGACGCTGGCCAGGACCAGGGCTGGGGGCACGAACAAGAGCCAGCTCCGACTCGCGTCCAGGCGCAGCATGGGCAGTTTGGACTCGAGGATGCCGCTCTCGTTGGGGAAATGCCGCATGATGGTCATGGCAAGGGCGCCGGAGCCGATCTCGACAAAGTTGCGCAGCACTTCCTTCGGCCAATTGTATGAGGTTGGATTCGTGGACACGCTAGTCCATGCGACAGGCAGGGTAGCTGTCAGGTTCCCCAGTTGTTTTGGGGCCAGAACGCCCGGGTCTGTGAAGGTCGGGTAGAACATGGGCTGTGTGCCGTAAATGCTCACGCCATATACCTCGACAGCGGCAGCAAGCCAGACAGAAATGCAGCCGCTACATGGCTGGCCGAGCGTCTCCAGCTTGGACAGGGTCATACTTGGGGCAGGGCACTTGGACTGATCCTCCCAGGTGCATACGACACTGTCCTTGAGTTCCACGTCAATGTCGCACGCCAGGGAAGAAACACCCTCGATATACCCGAGTTCCAACATGGCCTCGGTTGGCCCGTTCTTGTGGCCGCCTTCAATGGTGCCATTGATTGCGGCAAACACCATCGTCGTAACAGCTCTCGTGTCGCCGAGGTTCCTCCACCGGTCCACCCAAAGCGACAACTGTGGCTGTTGCCGGACCCAGAGGTCAGTGGCAGACATGTTGACCTGGACTGTGAACATGTCCGAGTATTCCGAGGTAATGTTGATGGGTGAGGCTGAACATGAGATGTTTGTGTGCGTTTCGATAGCATATGCGGAAAATGCTCCGACCGCAGAAAGATTGGCGCGATCGATGATGAAGTTCCGTTGGTCGGGCATAGGCTCGCTACTCAGGCCATTGGCCCACGACGTATAAATCGAGACCGCGTCTCCAGCTGCACCGGGAAGCATGCCCGGGGGGTTCATCTGGAATCCATCGAAGGCGAGACCCATGCCGCCGCCAGCTGAGTGATTGCTGTAGTAAGTCGTGGTGACGTTAGTTGTCGAGTATACATGCCCGACAAAGATGGAGCTGGTCAACTGGAGAAGCGCGATGAATGTGACAGTGAGCAGAACTGCGACCGGACCGAGCCCCCGAGCATGCCACAACGCCCACGGGGACGCCGTGAGGGATCCCCGGGTCAAGGCCAGATACAGGTCAATGTCGTCCAACAAGAAGGTCTTGGCCGTCAGCGCCGGCCAGAGCGTCGTCTCAGCGACTTGGAATGTCGCGTACGCCATCATAGCGACCGAGGCGGTATAGACGGCAGTGATGAGGCCCTGCACCTGGCCTAGGTGTGCCACAACTTTGGCAACGAACTCGGACACCGAACAATCGAGTGCCCAGTCTGGGCAGACAAACTTTTGCGTGCCGAGCCAGTGCGTAAAGGCAAAGCACCCGATTGCAAACGCCGTTCCGATGCTGAAAACTATGGAAATCGAAGGGCTGTGCCATAGAAAGCTTCGTATGCTTCGGTCAGGCTCTTCAAACTGCGGCATCTGCGGGGAAATGGCTCAGAATACATCCAACTGGACGGGATCGAGGGCATGTGGTTCTTACCCTGGCAATCTCCCCGTTTCCCAGGAGCTCATAGCTGACTTCACCGGGTGCTTTTGAGGTCATCGTACCTAGCTTCAAGGTGAACGGGGCGGTGACTGCTTCTCCATGCAAAATTGGCATCAGGCTCCATGGAGAGCATTCCGCAGAGTAGGTGATTCGCCACGGTATATAACCATAGATACTGAGTACACGTCGCACAAGTCGGCCGGGTTCCAGAGTAGCAGAAGCAAAAAGGATCCACGCCCTGGCGCCAGCGTGAGCCAGCACATTGTTGCAATTCGCGGGATGCGCCGGCCGGTAGACTCAGACGCGGCTCAAAATGTCTCAAAAAGACAGCCATGTAGAGCACACCGAGCGGACCCTGGCTTGGGACACACGGCGTCTACCGTACCTGCAAGCCTGTGTTAGGCATTTGACTTGACCTTTCATTCGTTAAATCAAGCATTGCATTGGGCAAATCATGTTGCTTCACGCTGGGGGTTTTCGGGGGCGAAAACATACAGATGTGGGTGTTTGACCCAGCACGATGAACAAAGCCTTGCGAGTGGTACGGGTACAGCTGACCTTGCAATCCGCCCCATCAAGCGGAAGCATGTTTCCTCTGCACGGGCCGCCAGACTCCCCGTGCATGCCGCCGTCTTGCAGAACATTTGTAAGGCTGGAGAAAAAGGACGTTGAGTTCTTGAGAGAAGATGGATGCGGAATCCGAGGGAGGTGGTCAAGTGGCTTGAGGCTCGAGCCGAAAGATTCCTACACGAAGGTGCTTCTCCCACCAGGCGCCAAGTGTATCTGTATAGATAAAGCGCGGTGCAATTCTTGCTTTGCCGGACAAGACGGTAGGGAAAGGAAGATGGCGACCAGCCTTCTCGCACATTGTACCTTTGTAGCCATCTTTAACCGCTGGGTGATAGCGGAAGGCTATTGGGGCCGCCTTCTTTTTGGCAATTTTGGTCTTTAGGGCCATTAGCACCATGTGCTTGGCCAACACGCACTTACATCGATTCTCACCGGACACGAGGTTCCCCACGCTACAGTCACGGACTAGACCTCTCTTTTCGCCCCAACGACTCTTTTGCTGCAGCTACCGCCCGGCCAGCTTCTCTCGCCCAGCTCAGACCGACCTCAGGTGGAGTCGACCATGTACTGTGTATACAAGAGTTTCAAGGTGTGCGAAGCAGCAGACCTGAAAGCCCGTTGAAAATTGAAACCGCACGAAGTCCCCCTTGGTCCTGGTCAATCGATTGACCTTTCACCCCCACCACTGTTTCTCGGTCCCTTCAAGCCGTGTGTCTTCATTATTGGTCCAAATTCATGCCATCTAAATATAAGGCATCTCTGTGGCAAACAAGATCGGGCTGGAAAGCATCAAGGCCGCATTGACTACTCTGCATTCAAGACACTCTTGAAACCGTCAGGCTCGCTGTTGTGTCACTTGCTGCGATATCTGCTTTCGCAAATTTTGCTGTTACAAACGGCCAGATTACAACAGCGGCAGCGGAGAGGTGACATGCAACAAGTTTGCTGCCTCCGCCCGCCCATCAATTGTGTAAGCCAACTGAATATTTATATTGCCGGTGTATAAATACAACCACCATCATATTGATATAGAAATAGGCTGGCAGTCGCTGTCTTCAGTTGATGCCGGTGGACCACGGTTTGCCTCCCGGGGGCGAGTAATGGCTGAAACGAGTGAACCAAAACGTAAACACCCTTTTGTGCCGATATGGACCATGTCCTGCAGCTGTCGCTAGTGTGCAAACCCCCGTCAATCATCCTGTGGTCGTTCCATTTCGCTTTCTTCACCCTGTTGGCTGTGACTCGTTCGCCGCGCCCTCCTCCCCTTCTTCCCTGAATTTTCTCCTTCTCCACTCCCTGCTCAGTCGTTCCTCACTGTTGCTCCTCTAAAATATGTCATCACACATTGCCCAATCTCTCTCCGCCCTCTTTCTCCAGTATAATCCGTTATGGTCCCAATAAGCTTCCCCAGTGATTGGATGGACCCTTTTCTCGAACCACTTGGGTCTCCATTCTTCACCTGCGGCTTCACGTTGACGACGCGCTGCACGTTGTTTCTCTTCGACACGATTCTTCTCTGTCGCCGCGAAATCGTACTCACCGTCCTCCATGGCGCGTTGGTCGGGCCGCAGACGCGTGTCGGTAGGAGGGAGGTGTGGACGCAATGAGTCGCTGACGGCATTCAACGTTACTACAAACGGGGTAAGGTTGAAAGGTATTCCCTGCGGACGATGATGTGCTTCCCAGACAAGGAAGGCCTGTTGTCTGTCGGATTGAGTTGCCCTTCCTATGCCGGGGTGGAAGCGACCTTCTCCTACTGCTTCGTCCTCAAATCCTTCCGTGACCCGGGCGTATATTTTCTCGTTCCATCTCCCGCCAATACTCCATTTCGTGACGCCATCGACGTCCATGACTTTGCCAAAGACTTGGTACGCGGAACTGGCCTTCCATCCGCGTTGTTTGAAGTCAAGGACGCAGACTTCGCCCGTTGTCCAGTTCTTGATCTCCATGGTACCATAATTATCCACTGTAGGGTTTCCAGTAATGATGCCCACGACAGAACTTGTAACCTTCTTCCAAGTGTATAGCTCCGTAGGACCACCATCTGAAGGGCGAAGGTGCAAGAACCAGGTGCCCAATGGGTTGATGTCGAATGATTTGCCGTAGAACTTCGACCTGACAGCGGATTCGCCCCAGTAGTCCCAGCGAGCAGATTCCGCATACGCAGCACCAACGGGAGGATGGTGGCTGACTTGCTCTATGAAGAATCGATATCCTTTGTCGGGACGAACATACTCATACGTCTCGCCTAACAGAGGGTTGAAGGGCTTTGCAACACGACCGATTGTGCTGGCGTATTCCGAGGCTGCGAATGCGGCAACATACACAAGCCGCTCAGTAGCGTCCGGGCGATCTGCTGCAATGTCGAGGAGATCCGCATATTCCATGTCTTCGGCAACACGCTGGAGAAGAGAGGTTGGCTCATTGAAGGAGACAGGCAGAGTCATCTTGGTCATATCCTTGCCTATCATGGACTTGAGAATGCCCCAGAGAGAAATCTTCGGACGATTGTCGGCATCTAATTTCAGTCTCTCGCGAACCCCGTCTTCATATCCGACGTAAGAGGGCTCAATTTCCATTTGTTTTCTGGCTCTTTCGTCTGCGAAGGGCTCTTTTTCTTCTTCCAACATTGATGGGACGTGCACCGGGAGAGGACTGAGAAGAGGTGGCTCGACCACTTCTACCTTGCCTTCGTCAATAGCGTCGAAGAATTCCTCATCATCCCCAGACTCAGAATCGGAGAGATTTGTAAGCTGCGCAATGATGGATTTCCGTCTGTTGCCATCTCTTGTGACAGATTTTCGGCGTACTCTTGTTGAGATTTGAGCTTCTGCCCGAAGGTCCAGTTGATTGTCAATCGCTTCCGTGAATTGGACATGGTCCGGAGATTCTTGTTGAACCATTGAACCCGGGCGGCTTGCAGGCACCGATTGCCCTTCGAGAGCCTCCTTCAAGGCCCGCTTTGTTCGCTTGCGCTTGTCCTCTGACTCGGCGATCGACCTTTTAAGATCTTCGTGCTCATAAGCAATCTTCGCCATGCTTTCTTCCCACATTCTGCGAGCATCAGCGTCTCGGTCTAGGCGATATTGCCAGTAAGCATCACGATCTCGAGCAATCTTCAGCAAGTCCGCAACCAAGCCATTGAGGCTGTTCACCGCCGTTTGATAAGTAAGAAGAGCCTGCGAGACATCTGGATCGGATAGGGTTGTTTCCGCTTGAGACGACTGCCGAGCGACCAAGGCATCAGAGACTCGTGCTAGAAGATCGAGTTGCAACTTGGCAGATTGTGCAGTGATATTGAATGCGTCTTTACTTCCCGGTTGTTGGACTTCACGACTGCTAGCATCATCTCCATCGGCATCCTCTTCTGCATCAATATTCACAGCGTTGGTAGGCACTCTCTGAAGATCCTCGCCTTGAACGCTCGCATCGTAGGAGTCGTATGCCGATCCGCCTTCCGCATCGGAACGAAAGCTTACCTTGGAGGAGCTTGCTGCCACTCCCAGCGACTGTGCAGCGTTTTTCGGTCTGCTGACTGTCGCGCTGAGGGTGTCAGATGTATCGGTTCGGGCATGCCGAAGGCTTTCGGTGTCTAAAGTACGCCTTTTCTCCTCTTCTTTTGCTTCATCCTTTGTGAACTGGATGGCATTATTGAGAGCCCAGAACCATCTTTTTGCCTCGACGACATGATTGGCCTTTAGATGGTACTTGACTGACGACTTGCCGTGAATCTCGAATCTGGTCTTGTCCTGCGGATCCATGTGAAGTTTTGCGATGCGCATGTTGATAGCTCCTCGACAGGCTGAGCCAGCGTCATCTTGATGCTTGTAATAGCTGAGAACTCCTTCTTCCAGAACAAACCAGCGTAGTTTATATCCACTCGTATAATTGGTCCATTTCTTGAGATATCCTTTCATTTCTCGTGCGTCTCTACTCGTGTCGCTGTGGCCAGTTCCGGACCTAGCTTGCAACGGATGATTCCCGAGAATTGCCTTTTCCTGTATTCCTCGCTGGGCAGCGGCGGCCGCGGGTGACTTCTTTAAGATGGCCTTTGTGCGATCGTCTTGTGTTACGTGCTGCGGGAGTCTCCCTTTACGGTCCCTGCGAAAGGGATCTGCCCCATGCAGCAGTAAGATTTGCGCCAACTGGATATCCTTCTTGCGTGCAGCTTCGTGCAGCAGTGTGCCACCGCTCTGAACTGTTGCAGGCTCAGTCGGTAACTCCAACGCGTTCACATCAAGAGTGCCCTCGACTCGAGGCTCCATCAAGATGGCCTCGAACTTCTTGTAATCACCTTGGATCAACGCAGCGTGTATTTCCTTGATCTTGTCATCCAGGAAGATTGAACGAGCTAACTGGAGCTGTTGGAAGATCTCTGGAGTTCGCGCGAGATCAATGGGGAGCTTTCCTTGCCTGTTCGCGATGGCATCGTTGATGTCAGGTATCTCAAGGAGGTCTCGGACAATAGGTGCGCGGCCGAGCTGAGCAGCCAAATGTAAAGCAGTATTTCCCTCCTTGTCCTGTGCATTGACATCAAGGCCTTTCCCTTCTCTTATAACATGTTCAACCACCTGAGGTTCTGCGCATTGGATAGCTAGATGGAGTATAGTGGTGCCGGGAATGGGTTGGGGATTGGAAGATGACGGTATGGATTCGTTGATTGCTCTCGAGATGGCAGCACTGTCTTTGCCTCGGAGGATTTCAAAGACTCGAAACGTGCGAACAGAGTCCTCAATCGAGCCACTCTGGCCGGACGAAATGCCTGAGGGGACAGGGTGCAGGTGATGCGACGAGTCTGCCTCCTTCGAATATTCGCCAGAGTCCATGGCCAGCTGAGAGTTTCTGGTGGTAGTCGGTGACAATGGACTCAATCTCGGGCCATCCACAGGAGATGTTGAGGAGAAAGGGCCAGTAGTGGAGGTGGTTGTGGTCACGGGCGACTCGGTATCTGAGCCGTTTTCTCGAGGAAGGTTGTCGCTGCGGAGGAGGTTGAGAACTCGAGCACTCTTGGAGCGCTTGTGGGCAGGTCTTTCTGTCATATTAGCATGGAGGGCGGGGAGGAAGACCGAATGATGAGAAAGCGGGAGATGAGAGAAAGTTAGATACAAGGGGTGGAATGCCACTTACATTGCCAAATGGATGGGCGAAGGCGACCTAGTTGACGGCTCCCTGCGTCTCTGGGGGAAGGATTTCATCTCTCTTCTCTCACCCCGCCATTCCTCCTGATGATTGGCGAGTCTGCAGCCGCAATCGATTGCGACAGGTCGATCAACCAATGCGTCCAGCGTATGCACAATGACGAAGGGAGCGACGGCAGAGCTCTAGCGGCGGGCAACTGAAGGGTCGGAGTCGTTCAAGCTCGGTGACTTAGCATGCGCCTCTAGCATTCCTCGAAAAGGCAAACCGGGTGACTGCTACTACCCAGTACATAAAAGAGATGGGCGGCAACTAGGTAGCAGCGAGAAGGAGAAGGACACAGGCTTATGAATACGCAACAGTGGCGAGGATAGTGAGATGGCAGTGGCAGTGCCTTGTAGGCGAGTGGGACAATCGAACACCATACTCGATACGCCTTGCTCTACGCACACTATAATATGGAGTACACAATCTCATTGCACTTTCCAATCCACAATTTTCTGCCACCATCCATCAATGCTCCGTCACAAGGCCCGCTCTTGCTGCCTACGAATGTCATGCGTCGCATGTGGACCGAGTCCATGCGAACCGGAGTCTATTTGGCCTATCCAAGGACCGCGATTATGGAAGCCGCCCCGGATTTCGGATCGCATTCGACCAAAGTCTGGCCTGCAGCATTATGAATCTGCCAGAATCATTATGTGAGGCTGCCTAAAACAAGTGAAACATTATCCCTTCGATCTATGCAAATCTCTCAAGAGTCTGATGATCAAGCTACTAATGCGCCTTTTCGTGTCCGCCGCAAACTCAGAGACTCGCATGTCTAGTTTCCTCTAACCGAGCAAATCATCCAAGCCACTCCCTAGAGGCGCGCCAGGTTTCCCTTGACCTGAGGCCGTGTTGGCAGCCATGGCGCCAGGCCTTGTGGTTGTCGAGCTCGCTGTGGACGCCGCTCCCCAAATTCCCGCCTGGCTCTTCGCTTTGGCCATGCTCGCTAGATCTGGTCCCTTCTGCAGCCCAGCGGCACCCTTAACCCCTGCTTTGCTGCTTGCACTGCTCCAGAGGTCTCCAAATGCATCGCCTCCTTTACTCGCGGCGGGCTTGGACATGGGCTTGCCGAGTGATGTTGCAGAAGTGGAGGACATGTACGGAGTGGCTCCGCTCAAAGGAGTTGACGCGGTAGATGTGGGCGTGGGCTGCGGATTCGTCGACATTGGGACTGATGTGAAATAGTTGGGTCCAGTGGACCTAAGCCCAGTGGGTTGTATAGGCTGAGAAGGTTTCTGTGCAGGTGGTGGTGAAAATGTTGTCGTTGTTGGCGACATTATCGATGAAGTCGTCGATGGGGCTGGAGATGCAGTTGTGAAAATGTTGTTGAGACCCGCAGTCTGCCCAGGAGCCACTGGTTTCGGAGCCGCAAACTGCGTGGCCGAGGTCGTAGTGGAAGTGGTTAGGGGAGGAGCAATGCTTGCCAACGGATTTGCTACAGGCTGTGTCGCTGCTGGACTGGTAGCAGATTGAAAATCATCGAAGTCGTCGTCATCATTGGCTGTGCTGCTTTGCATGCCCCCAAAGTCATCTAGGCCGCTTGTCTGAGCTGCTGGAGCTTGGCCATTGGAATTGTCAGCCACGGGTTGTTCGTCGCCAAAATCAAAGAGATCTCGTTCCGGTGCTTTCGGCTTAGGCGCATCCCGTTTGGCTGTTGATGTTGTTGTTGGTGGTACTGTTCGTGTGCTGGTGGTGCTTCTGGTTGGTCCTGTGGCATCGAAATCATCCGCCTCATCGTATTCTTCAAACTGGTCGCCCCGGCGCTGGGTGGCCGAAAAGTCAGTCTCACGTCCACCGAAGCCTCCACCGTCGCCGTAGACCTCTCCTTGGTAGCCGCCAAATCCACCAGTGTCGCTGCCAAAGCCACCATACCGACTACCGCTGGAGAAACCGCCACCCATTCCCACTCCGCCCTCCACACCACCGTATTTATGACGATTTGCGCGTGCTTTCTTTCTCTCTGATCTGATGGTATCGACGTCACTCAATAGCTTCACCAACTCTGCGGATCTGTTTCGAACGTTAACGCCCTGGTCTTTGCCATTCTGATCGATGTAATGGAACTGGCGGAGCATTCGGAGAAGGGAGAGGTGTGAGCGAGCATCGTCAATAACACGCTCCGACCCGTTTTTGCAAAGAAACTCCAGGAGTTGCAAAGCCTGTTCCGGCATGAGCACCATGAAGATTCGGGGTAGTTCTAGGCCCGTACCTTGTATATCTGCCTCCACTCCTCCGCAGTCTTGTCTGTAAACCGTTTGTAGATCATGGGCATGATTTCATTCAGTTGTTGACTGCGGCAGTTAGCTCGCAACCCCAGAGGCAGATGTGGGCGACTGACTAGTTGTGTGTGCCTTGAGCGATCTCCTGCATCAGACTTGCAGATGCTCCCCATGGATCTCCGTTTGTGGCTTCTCGCACCTGAAGGAAAAGTAAGCAACATGCTGCAATACCTGGTTCAAAGGGCGGCCGGCGGCTCACCTTGGCCTCCATCTCGGTCAAGTTCATGACGGCTTCAAAACGTCAACATCGCCCATAGCAGCTGGGAGGTCGACATACCATTCTGGACCTTCCGAACACCGGCTTTGATGTCGTAAAGGGTCAAGTTGCTAACCTGGTTCTTTAGGCTTTCGAAATCCATCTTTGCTGACGGTGTGGTGAGGTTGATACTGTGGGATCGGAACGGAAGCGGTGCCGAAAAGAGATGTGATAGCCTTGCGTCGCAGACAGATCTTATGAACCAAGCGGTCCGCAGGTGTAAAGGCAAAACGACTGCGTAGGAGTTGACTCCCCCCTTGCGTTGTGCTCCCAGATAATCTGTGGGGTTTCCGCAGGCTCAGTTGCAGTCCAACGGTCCAGCCAATCATCGCCGTGTGGATTGTAGCCGAGGCGCTAGTGATCCGGTTCTATATAAAGGCAACACATTTACACCTCGTGGTATTAACCCCAAGTCTAACACCCGCTTCAACACGTCTGTCTTTTTGGGTCTCCAAAACATTGAATTCCATACCGACATCGTCCGATAAGGATGGCATCTGCAGGTCAGTCATCTCCGGGTATATCCATGGCTTCAAACCGTCGTGGGCTTGCCGGATCAGACGGGGAAAGTTTGTTGCTCGAGCCACCTGAGCACGAGCATGGATCAGGTCGAAATTTCGCGGATAACTCCAGCCCGTGCTGAAGTCGTCAAAATTTTAGCTTCGGCGAGATGGCTAGCGGTCGGATCCGGGTCCTAAGCACTCTGGCTTGGGATTTTTTTGATGGCCATCTCAATTACCCAGAGACCCGTTCCAGTTCCAGGATCCGATACCTCGTAGATCTCTCTCCGGGCGGTGACAGGCACAGACTTCCTTTGAACAGAGGTAGACCATCTCATGCTCCAGAGCTAGCCTGGCCGGCTTGACTTCATCTTCGCAGGGGATGTTGATCGCCAATCGTGGAGAAGTATCTGCGATACCCTCATTCGTGTTCCCTCACACTTCCAGCAGACTCAACCTTAATGTCTCGGCCGAAACAGAGTCTTCTTCGCAGCCTAACGCCGAAATCCGTGTCTGCAGCGTCCCAAGGGGGGATACCTCCTTTACCCAGTGGCTCGGGGGATGTGGCGCTCCTGATCGTACTGTGAAACCGATACAGCCGTAGTTGGTACGGTCTAGTGGGTGATGGCGTCCTGCTGTTCGAATGCGGTGATGAGCAGCTAGAAGCTGACGCGCAAGGCTAGGAGGTTTATGGGCATCACGACAGTAATGATGATCATGTGGACCACTATTGTACTTCTTACCCACTCATTTTGAGGTTTTCTTTGATATTCCTTCCTCATTGCGTCCATTAGCATACTTTCACAGACACTGACATTGGCCCGGACCGCGGCTGTCGTTTATCGTGATCACAGCATATTCCACTCCAATGGCATGTCTCTCCAATGTCGACAACATGCTGAAGCTGACCCAAACTGATTTAATTCCCCAATGATCAGACTCCCATGTCAAGGAACTATATACATCATATGCAGACATTTACCATCGAGCTAAAATAATCATGGTTAGATACCAATTTTCTAGTAGTGACTGGGTGTCATACCGGGATCTCCTTAGGACAGCTTGTTGAACGTTACCTATATAATAATTGTTAGCCATTTCTAAATCGAACGCCTCTATTATCTTACATTGCTGCCGTTTCTGCTAAAACTGCCAGCAAAACACCAGTTCAAGTATCCTCTGCGGAAACGTCAGTGAGGCTTCGTTGTTCATTTGTCAATGACTGACCCATCTCCTTGCAATACAAATGGGCCCGAATCGAAGACATAACAACTATATGTCAACACCGATCCGCTGTTAGGACACGTACACTCCCGAATGGTCATTGTGCTGTTAACGAGGCCGGATGCGTCGTGTTTGGTGAAGACAACCATGACATTCTTCCCCGGGTTCTTCGAGGTAATGTCTCCCACTTGGACTTGTGTCCACGAACTTCGAAAGTCCTTATCCGCACCCGAGTTGAAGATAGCGCCAAAAATTGCTATACCGGCTTGAACTGCGCCCTCAGCGAGATCAGCCACTGCTTGTGCCATTCTTTTCGTATATGGACAATATTAAAGGAAATTTTCCGTAGTGTTGGGACGACCGATATCGTACAAGATTTTGAGGCTCTAATAATTCCGGGGATTCTACATTGTCAGGAATTGTAGGGGCAGGCTCAAGGATTTATTACAACGGTGTGAGCACGCGTACCCGTTATTATAATCTTGGTACCAACTTTGGAATGAAAAGGCGGTCGACCTATGGATACAGCACGGACACCGTTCTTGACGCATTAGGCCGGGGGCGGTCGTAGGCTGACTGTACTTCGCTGATTGTTTATATCTCATTAAGCTGTTAACAGAAGCCCTCCCTAGAAACCTGCCCCCAAAATTGGCTTGCGACACAACCAGAGTGACGTTGAGACGGCGGCGGTTAGCATTCCTAGAATAGAGATCGACGGGAGGATCGTGAACATGCAGGCTTACTAGCTCCCACTATTCTTATCACTGTCATCGAAGTATTAAGGAAGGATTATCTGGCATCCAGATCTGGACCTTTAACTATTCTAAGATCTATATCGCCAATAAGCACTATAATTATGGGTCAGAATAAGATTAAACGAATCGGGATAGTATGTTAACCCAATCGGTCTCATGTAAGTACAGCCGTATTTAAAGCGCATGAAACCACCCTAGTATTTTGCTCTCCTCTATTATGTTGGGGGCTTCAGCTCGTTCTTCGTGTCGTAAAATTGAATGAAGTTATTTTTAGGTTTTGGCGTCCAGACTTAAATAGCTCGTTACATATAAAGGGATCTTGCCATCTCGAAAGCGGTGGATACTTAAAATTCCACACTCCAGTTAATACACTATTAGGCTTCACTCATCGTTGCCTCAGACATCAATTGCACAAAAGAGTCACGTATTCTCCTCGGAAAACAAAGAACCATTAATATGCACGGCCACGACGATGGCTACGGGCAGGAGCATGATGGGACTGGAGGAGATGAGGGCTATGACTACCAAGATCCCCAAGGTCATGACCTTCAGGGTATGGGTGGCGAGATGGAACAAGATGGTGATATGGCATCATTGATTCAGATGATGGTCAAGTTGATTATGGAACCACAACCTGGACCTTCACATGTTCCAAAGCCACAACATGCTCATTCGAGATTTGCACAAGATCCTCATCATTCCGCCTCAATGCAGCTCCTCGACAAAATTGCTTGTGAGTATTTCCTCCAGCTGTGGGCTTTGTGTTAATGATAATTATAGCGGAACCTATCCATGAGTCCCACGTAGAAAGCATGGTCCATGTTGGGCTTCTGTTGCTTGCTCGAATGGCTAAAAGAATTGGTATGACTGCAGGCCATGAGGCTCAAGAGGAGGGCGAGGGCGAAAGCCTTGGCCACGACCAAGGCCACGACCAAGGCCACGACCAAGGCCACGACCAAGGCCACGACCAAGGCCACGACCAAGACCAAGGCGAAGGCGATGAGTGCTAGGCAGTGGGACAAGGAGACTAAAGCAAAAATCGCCAACCACCAGTCCGAAACCATGTTCGAGCGGTACGGAGTACAATTCAACCTAACGGTAGTACTGTTAACGAGGTTTTGTCCTGGATATAATCCAAATAGATGCGTATTAAGGGATTGGACCAATTAATATAACAATTTGCTGAAGTGCTTGTACTCGTCACGTTATCGACGCCCCACACAATGTTGTGGGAAAACTAGGTCTCGGCTATAGCGTCATGCTGCCCGTTGATGGCGGGCAGAAACAAGAACAGGAAGCAATAGCACGAGGGTGCGACGGGGCTGCGAGGGGCAGACTCGAGGAGCAGAATTCGTGGCAGGGCGAATGATGGGTTCCGAGATACAGACGAATCTCGTTGCCCTCGACCAGGTACCGAGGGTGGGCGCCATTTTGTACCCTTAACATCTGGCCCGAGAGTGGGTAAGTAGCCCGAAAATGGTCGTGTCGAGCACGCCAAAGATGAGATGCTGGTCGTCGAGGATGAGAGGACCGGGGCGAGAGTTGCAGACTGAGCAGGACCGTCACGTCGAGAGTGAGCAGTGCTGATGAGGGTGAGATGAGCCGGCGTGACAGGAGGCCGGTGAGCTGGTGGCTAATGCTGCTGAGGCGCCAACCCACGCTAAGGATGCCTTATAAAGGCGGCGCGCTCAACGTGATTTCCATTTGCCACGAACCTGACATCCCCGAACAAAAGACTCTAACTGTTGCCTTCGAGTCCATCTGCATTTTATAATCGTACTCGTGATTTGGTTAGCGACGAGCGTGGTAACCTTTGTCACCACTTCTTTACGTTGTGACTTGTGTCGAAGCGCCACTGAGGTAGTGTATTCCTGTGTATCTGATTTACTTCGGGATCAGGGACATTTGCTTAGTACAACTACACAATCTGAGGTGGCCAAACTAAGCTATGAATTTGACGCCGAACGAAGCGGCGAGGACGCGGGAATTCTTGCACCACAGTCCTGGAAGAGATTCACCGTCAGGGACGCTCCGAGCGGGTCAGGACCAAGAAGGAAGAAACAAGTGAAAATACGAAGTTGAGCCTAACATTGAGAGAAGTGCGAACGATGACTAAGTGTCCGCTTCTCAGGATAGATCTAGTCTTCTGATTGAGGGACAAGGAGCCTCCACCGTCAAAGAAGCCAATACTCTACCAGAAATGAAGGCCGATTCGGTCTCAGCAACGAAACCTCTCACATGGAAGCTAAGGGAGACAACGAAGCACGCGGCTGTGTGATCCGGTGTAACTTGCATGACAGGCGGCTACTTGTGGCATGTTTTAAGACATGCCACAGGACGGGGAGAAGGCAAACATCAGTGTGGAAGGACTCAGGCACATGAGACGCCTAGCATTGTGCCCAACTGAGACGAAGGCGGACTTTCGCCCCTGCGCTCTGTGCAGCTACAGCATCCTAATCATCTCAAGGGAGCCGACCGCGACTTCAGGTCAGTCCACAAATTTGGCTGACATTTGATGCGCGCATCGAGAATCTGGGTATACCCATTTCTAATCATTCGGGTTGCGAGCTGAGTTTTCGCTATGGATCTCTTATCGAGACCTATAGTCGGCATGGTCTGCAGATGCCCACAAAGCTGGAAGTTTACAATCAATAGGGTCTTTTTGTCTCCGGAAAGTCGCAGCAAGGCTAAATGCATGTCGCCACGTGGTCGTCGCTTGGGCTCTCGTCTTTGCCTCGCCTTCCTTCGTTCACGGCCCTTCGGCCATTGAATGGTTGGGAGATGGCATCTGCCAGAATAAATAATGGCAAGCCGCGTCGACATAGCCGTCGTTCTACACGGCACGTCCTTCGTAGGCTACTCAGGGGCATGCGACCAGAGCGATAGCCGAAGCTGCTTCTGCCAATTTGAAGATTAGCCACTTCTTTCCCCCAAGATTCGATACAAGGTCCGTCTTCAGGCTAAATTCAACCTCAACGTTTCCATGGACCTCACGGTTCCAGGTCATTCTAACTCCATGCATTTCCGCGCGGGGGAACGAGTTTTGTGGAGCGAGACTAGTGTTATACTGGGCATTGACCGCCGACCGGGCGAATTCCCCATTACCCCAGATTGCACGAGTCCGACTCACGTGTCAATGCCTATTTGCTTCGGTTTCTACCAAGGTCAGGTCATGACAAGTGCTGAGATACCTCACAGAGCTTCATCCTTTCGTCCTTCTATATTACGGACAAGTTATCATACCACCTTGTGACCCTTTTAGCCACATCCCAGCCGCCTGGCTTTTACCCAAACTCAACGCCGTGGGAGACGCCACAAGTTCTCTACTCTCCTAACCGGCCCATCCCGTCTATCCCCGAACGCGAAGCGGCGTCTCGACGGTCAAAGAACTTTTGATTGATGGCGCATTTCCTCGAGCACCGTGAATCATGCCGTGAATGTGCTTTAGCCTAAATACCGTCCGCAAGTATATCCTAGGCTGTTGCAATTAACCCCCATACTTGAACGGAGACTCTCCGGACGCGGCAGTTCGAAATGTGGGGAGATCGTCGACTGGCTGTCTTGAATGCTTCATATGTATTCATAAAGAACGTGATTGATTCACTAAGCAAACGACAGTCTTCTAGTTCTCACATCCCCTTGCAAGGTTGTCAGGAGCACTCATCGAAGCAAGCATGGCACCCCAGGAGAACCAAATTGTTGTCGGCACAAAGCGAGGAGACACAACTATCAACGTCCAGAAACTTTTGGAAAAGCCATGGTACAAATACAAGCACCTCAGAAAGCTCTATGGATGGCTCTGCGTCGTGCTCATCGTACAGGCCACGAATGGTCTTGACGGCTCGATCATGAATGGCATGCAGACTTTGACATATTGGGTATGTTTCTTCCGAGAAGCGTTCGTCATCGTTGCAAAGCGGAACTTCTGTCCAATTCAGCCTGGCAATGCTGATGATGAGGCAGCAATCCTATTTCCACCATCCGACGGGTGCTCAGCTTGGCATCTTCAATGGTACCCAGGGTCTCGGCGGTGTCGTTTCGCAGTTCTTTCTGTGGTGGCTGGTCGAGAAGATTGGTCGCAAGCTGATCATCATATCTGGAGCCGTCATAATCATCATCGGCGTCTTTCTGCAATCCTTCGCACGAGGAATTGCCATGTTTGCCGTGGCTCGCTGTGTCATTGGGCTCGGCCTCAGCTTCGAATACACGGCCGCGCCTATGCTTGTCTCAGAGCTTTCGCATCCAACTCACCGTGCCCAGTTGTCGACGTTACTCAACACTTTGTATTACTTTGGTGAGAGCATCGCAGGTCAATGGTCGGTCATCTGCTAACACGATTCCCAGGTGCCGCTATTGCTGCTTGGGTCACATTGGGAACCCTTTCCATTGAGAGCGACTGGAGCTGGCGCAGCGTCTCATTGATTCAGATGTTCCCCTCCTTGATCTCTGTCAGCCTTACCTGGTTCGTACCCGAGAGCCCCCGCTGGCTCTGTTCTCGCGGCCGAAACGAAGAAGCATTCAAGACTCTTGTTGACTGGCACTGCGGTGGCAACGAGGCCGATCCACTTGCTACTTTCGAGTACAATGAGATCGTGCAGACCCTCGCTTTCGAGAAGGAGAATGGTAGCAGAAGCTGGCTCGACCTCGTCCGTACGCCCGGTAACCGCCACCGTACGTGGATCGTCGTGAGCTGCTCGATTCTTAGCCAGGCCACCGGACAAACCATTATCGGCTATTACCTCGTCTTGATTCTGACCGGAATCGGCATCACCAATCCCCGCCACCAGTCTATCATCAATGGTTGCTTGACAATGTGGTAAGTCTCAGGTTCTTGGATTTGGGGGATGGATGAGGTACTAAAACATCTGCAGGAACATGGGATGGGCATTCTGGGGCGCATACGTGATTGACAAATTCGGCCGTCGGCCCATGCTTTTGACCTCCCTCAGCGGCATGCTCCTTTGCGGATTCTTACCGTGGACGATCTGCAGCGCGTTATACGTCCAGGATGGAGTCACGAATGCCGGTCCCGCAGTCATCGCATTCATCTTCATCTTCAACGCCTTCTATGCCACGACTTGGAATGGTATCTTGACTGGATACACCGTCGAAGTTATGAGCTACGATATCCGACCGAAGCTTATCTGCACGCAGAACTTGCTTGTTCAAGCGACCATCACCGGATTCAACTACTTGGTAAGTTTCATCAGACGGCATCTCATGCCTGAAGTGGACTAACATTTGTCAACAGAACCCCGTGGCCTTGAAGAACATCGGCTGGAAATACTACCTAATAATAAACATCATTATCCTCATCGCTCTGGTGGTAGTGTACTTCACGTACCCTGAGACCTCTAAGATCACGCTCGAGGAAGTCAGCGTCATCTTTGACGGCAAGAACGCGGTGAAGAACGATATCCTCCAAAAACAGGCGATCAATGCTGGTGACGAGGACGCTGTGGGAAGGGACGACAAGAAGGGCGCTGTGGAGATTATTGAGCGTGAGCACATAGAAGTGAAAGAGTAAGGGAGTGATGAAGTGGGCTTCGGAAGGAGACTGCTCTCCCAAAAGGGCCTGCAATGAAGGAAGGGGATCATCGACTTCTCTTCCCCTTTGGATGAAGGTCAATCTGCAGCAGCAGAAGCTTACGGCCGAGTCCTGGAGTGCCTCCATAGAGCGGTACGACACCCATAATGACCATGTGATCAGCTTCACTCATAAACGCTTCTTCGATAGGATGTGCATTTATTAATGGTCCTTGGCATCGGTCAGAAAAGCGGATACAGGTACAAGTTTGATGATTGCAGCGGATGGGCGTCAAGACATCATGTTGAAGCATGATACGGAAAGACAAGCCGTGCCTCTCGTAGCGACTGGGTGCTTGATAAGGACGAAGCGGGCCGCTGTTCTCAGTTGAGGTAACGGTATGAACACGACAGGGAGAACCACCGTTTCAAAGCAAAGGAAAATCGATACTTGAATGAAGGGCGCCCACAATCCGGCCGGGATTGATATCTTTTCAAATGGACCTGTGCAACGACACCCCGCCTGGCCGGTGGTGGAGGTACTTGTACTTTTCGCACAGGCCCGGTCACTCCCTGACCTCGAAGGATCGAGAAGGATTGGGTTCCCGAGGGCGAAAGGAGGAAGTTGAGAGCACATGAAAGTCGACATACGGCGTTCTCGGTCCAGATGTCACCCCCAAAAGAGAGTGGGTTAAGCTGGTTTCTGAAAGAGATAGTATTACCATCAGTTTGTAGAGGAGAGGGAAAGATGGAACAAGGAGTTTGGGTGCTTATCAAGCTAGTCTTGGATAGGCCTAGTTCGTCATGTGATAAGTATGTCTAATGAAATGACTTTTTCATCCCCCCAACGTCCCCTTCAGAGTTTTATCATGAAGTCTAAAATCGCTCCCTTCATTCCCTGGACTCCACTATCGATGGAAGTGTCTCCTCTCCAACCATCTAAATGGGACATACGTGACAGCCGTGAATGAGAATGCCAACTCAAATCCAATATCTCCACCATACCCGATCCCAATCAGCTTGCCAATAGGACCGATATACCAGACCTGAGCCATTCCCATCGCAGCACCTAGCACACCGCAAAGGAATGCACCCAAGACAGCAATGCTAGGAGGTAGCTGTTTCGGCTGATCGTAATACTCTGGAACATAGCCCGAGAACCCGCGCTTGAAGAGGAAGTGTTCTGGCAGAGCAATACCTTCGTAGATAGCGAGCCAATACCCGATCACCAGCATGAAGTTCTCCAGCACAGATTCGAAATGGTCATAGCCTGGGATCGCAATGGCACAGTAGATGACCGTTCCAACGAGCGTCCAAAGGAATCGTGGGACTCTCTGCGCGTAGTGTGTGAGAATCTGCAAAGAAAACGTGAGTGAGTAGATGTTCGGGACGTTGTTGGCGAGAGTCGCCAGAGCTAGGACAACAAGACAGAATTCTCCGAAGCCACCTAACCGCGGAACGAGGACCTGATGTAAGAGGCCACCAACGGCGTTCTTTGCGTAGGCGTCTGCATACGCCTGGTTCGAGGGGATTGCGGTCGCAATGGCCACACCGAGCATCTGAGTGAAGCATAACGGGAATAAGAGACCAATGAAGACATAGACGAAGACTTTGGTCCGTGGCGTGTTGACGGGTTGATAGCATGTGTAGTCGCTGGCATAGGAGGCCCAGCCTGTGGCAAATCCGAAGATCGAAGCAGCAAAAGACAAGACGGACCCTGCCTCGCCTTCGCCACTACCCATAGGGATATTGACGAAGTCACCTCGGTGAGCAAACACACCTAACGTGATGAGGAAAATGATGAAGCAAGGGATCCAGGAGACCATCTCATAGAAGTGCACGACCTTATAGCCGAACAGGGTGATCAAGAAGGTTCCTGCCGCAAGGACGATAATAGCTGCCGCTGACGGGAAGTTATCATTGACTGCTCGGAGGAATTGGGCGCCGACGATGACGTTAACGGAAGACCAGCCAAGACAAGCCAGGGAGTTGAAGATGGCGATGATCTTCACTCCGTAATACCCAAACCAGAAGCGGCCGAGGATTATCTGGCGCATGCCGAATCGAGGACCAAATGTCGAGAAGAAGCAGACAGGCAAAATCCCCAGGATATTGATGAAGAGAATAGTGAGCACCGAGTCGACGAAGCCCAAAGCAAAAACGGGCACAGCGAGGACGCCAATGGCGAAGGAAGAAACGACCATGTTGGCGGCAAGCCACTGTGTTGGGCGTCAGCAACGAGATTCCATAGTAAAAGCCACCCGGTGGGTTACATACCATGGTGCCGACTTTGAAAACACTCTTATCCGTCCGTTCATCTTCAGGCACTCGCTCAATACCTCGCTGTTCAATATTGAACCGTCCTGCCAGACGTTGTAACTTTGCATAGGCCGAGTCCCCGATGACAAATGATTCCCCATGGACAGCGCCTGAGGCGTCCGGAGGGACCACTGAGTGGTGTTTGTCGCCCGATGAGACGGGATACTGGTATTCGACATCGTAGCCGTTCTTCTCGTACGAAGTCATCTTGCCGGAGTCCAGGCCTTGTATTTACAGTCGACGAGATGCGAGATAGTAGGATTGGAGGGTATGCCGAAGGTCAACGGGCGAGGAGATGAAGAGGGAAGATCCGAAGCATCAAAGCACTTGAGAAGACGATGGGGACATGAAGTAATATAGCATCCCATATCGGCAATTACCACGATTGATTGAGATGGAGGGCGCCGTCACTCTGGGCGCCCAGACGCCGTCTAGGCCGCTGGCATTGCTTCCACGATTGTGTGCCTGGGTGGTGCCCCACTGTTCGATCTTCAAGATAAGGGTCTTGGTGCTTCGAATGCTCGCAGTCGCACCGACCTGATTCAACCGATTCGGTCGGGGCCGACGCTGGTCTGGACATGATTGCTTCACCACCAAGATATCCTCGAGCGCTGATCATCTTAGTTTTGTTCTGCTGGGGGCGCCTTGGTCTTCTTCATACCTGTGTAGATAGGGGAGTGAACGTTTCTTTCTTTCGGGGCCACACTCTGACTCGCGTGGATGGCCGGAGATCGCCTTCACCTGGAGCAAACCAGAGCTGTTATATCGGACAGTTTGCCGCGTATATTGCCCATATTGAGGACTCGACAAGCGTGGGGAAGCTTGAAGCGATAGAGCTCGGGGCAGATTGAGACCAGCGGGGACGAGCTTCTGGAAGGAGAGCACTAAGCATGCATCTCGACTCCTTGGCGGAGCTTGAGAAAGATAAGCAGCTGTGGCAGCTGAGCTCGCCATCCAATGACGATGCCTTCAGTCACTCCTGTTGGTCATGCCTGATTGGCCTTCGCCGCTGGCCGGGGTGTCTCTCCTTGAGCCAGAGCTCATCGAGACCATCTCTCGCTTCTCCGATCTTTCTTCTGCGTAGCTGAATCCAGTTTTGGCTGTGGTGGCTGGAACTGGTTGCTGAAGCTGCCACGCACTTGACGTAAATACAGCCGAGGCCCGCTCGAAGATCAAATCGAATGGGCGAAGAAGGCTGAAACCGCCATGTGGCAGCCCGGGGACGGCCATGGGCCATGAGCCATGAGGGTACCTACTCGGAAGGTATGAGTTCGCACAACCTTTGTAATACTCGGACCGCATTGCTTTCGTACTTGTACGTCGTACAAGGGCATGTGGCTCATATCGCGTGGCAGAATAAGGTGCTTCATAGCATTCCAAGTTCTAATCTAACAACATGGCAACAATTTTCCGTAAATCATCTGGGATATCTATATGTCGAAAAAGAAAATAAAAAGAGAAAAAAGGAAAAAGAAACATCAGACGCTGACTCAACCATTCGCCGTGACCGTCAAAGGTAACCCTGCACCCTGAACACTTCCAAAATCGCTCACATGCCTCCCCCAAGTGACTCCATGCCCGCGAGCTCGTTCCCCTGCACATTGTTGAAGTTGTAAGGAAAATCCACTATCCCATCCAGCATCCAATTCAACGGATCAAAGACGTCATAGCTCGCCTGGCCAAAGTCCATGCCCACATCGTCAACCATGCCAGTGGGCATTCCAGCCATGCCCGGCACGATGGTAGAGTTGGGCAGCATGGGATCATTCATTGCAGGCTTCGAGCCCATGCTTGATGACGGGATGACGATTTGATTGTCAGGTTGCTCAAGGGTAGGGTTGCGTTGCCTCACTGTTAATCGGTCAGAATCATCCTCACACGAAATGGGACCATCGCGGATACCATCAGAAGGTTTCCCGCCACGGAAATGGAAGTTCTGCCGCCACTGCCAAACAGAGTCAAACACCACAGACATGGACATCCGGCACTTGACCTTGAGCTGCAAACTGTCGTCGGGGACACCTTCGCCAATGTTGTTACGGTTCGGCTCTGCACGCACCCTTCCGCTCTTCCAAACCTGGGCTAGCACTTCCGACAGCCGCTCTGCAAGGTCATTCTCCACCACACTCATGTTTCTCAGTGCCCACACCGTTCTCGAGAGGAGTTCAGATGCTCCTTTGGCATCCAGCTCGTGTTCACCCAGGAAATTGTGCATCAGTTTGAGGAGGGAGAACCCTGCCCCGAGCATCATGTGGAATATGTAGTTTGTCGCATGCGACAGCGACAGACCATGGGAGTAGCTTGAAGGCAGGTTGACGCTGACATTGGACTCTAAGCTGAGACATGTCTCGAGGAAATCAGTCGTGGCATAGTACAGCTTTAGCATGTCGGTCCGATATGAAGGCAGTGACGGCGGCGAGAAGAAGGCACTCAATCTCATGTGCAGATCAGCCGCCTTGAGGTATACCTTTGTGATTGGCGACGTGTCCTTGCGTAACTTGTCTTCAAGCTCCTCCAACTCGTGTGCGAGAAAAGAAACGTACGTGGGCCGCTCCGTATCAGCCGCGAGCCCGACGGGATCGTGTGGATTCATGTAGAGCGTCCTTGAGACCTTGTCGACGAATTTTTCAATCAGCAACCGATTGAAGATGGGGGCCGGGAGTTCGTAGTTGGGATTCGTCTCAATCGGTTTTGGTCCGAGGGTCCAATCGTAGATGCTCAGAGGGGGCTGCCCATATGCGGTGCATATTCTCTGGGCGACAATATTGCACACGCTCCAAACCACAACCCGATCCTGCAGTTCCACTTCTCTCAGTTCGACTCGGAATTTCGAGAAGTCTTGAGCGTGAGTTGGACGGTGCAGACCAATCTGTAGGGCTATCTGCATCATCATCCCACAGAGCATGAAGGTTGGGTCTGTCGACGTGCTGCTGGTAGGTAGAGGCCAAGCACACAGTAAGATGAGAGCCTTGACAATGTGATAATTTTGAGGGACCTCGGCGACGGTTGACCAAACAAGCCGCATGACGGGTCCAGTGAGAGATCCATATAGGTCGGGCTCGGGCGTATAGTGTCGAGCGCCCACAGAAATGATAGTCCAAAACAGCAAAGGGGACCTGGCGTAGTATTCATCCGGAGTTCTGTCAGGGTTGAGGAAAGGGAGAAATGGATGATGGAAGGTGAAGAAGCGCTGGAAGAGCTCCTGGGCCCGGTCGATGGTCAAAGTCACCTCTTCCAACCGCTTGAAGATTGGCCTTCCTGGGCCGCCACCTCGTAGGTCGAGTAGTCCCGCAGCAGCGGCATCTGAAGTAAAGGTCCCGTCTCCGGAGGGCGATGGCTGCAGATTTGCATTGCCATTTGTATGAGACCCATTCGCCACATCCGTGGTCTGCTGTTGTGCCGCCACTTGTTTTCGCAGCTCAATGATCTCGCGCTCCATTTCTGCATTTCGTGATCTCTTGCCAATCCTCTTGAAACTGTCCTCAATTTTGCATTCAAGATTGAGTCGCTTGCAGCGGGTGCATGTCTGAAAGGGCTCCTGGACAACATCGCATCGTAGCTGCAAGAGCACATTGTTAGCAGAGACACGTCCAGGGAGAGGAGAAAGATGGCGGCTGCAGAGCGCGACAGCGACAAGGTGACTCGACGCACAGTCCATGAGGGGCAGCTGGCGGAATCAATGGCGGTCGCGGTGACGCCTGGGTGAAAAAGAGGATTCTGCGGCAGGAATCTCTGGGAATGCGTATACAACTCGGTTCCGTCAAAGCTCACCTTCTGCTGTCGACATTCATTGCAAGCTCTTTTCACGGGCCTCCGCCTGCCATCCCGTGTGTGTTCGTCACCATTGTGGTCGGGTGATTCGAGGCTCGCTGGGGAACTGTCGAAGCCCGCGACGGAGGCATTCCTCTTGTGACTTTGGGTCGGACTGGTGTACGCGGTACCAGGACCATCGCCTGGGCTCGCGGCAGATGTAGAAGCCAGGTTGAAATCGTCGCCAATTTCAAGGCCGATGAGGGTTTGGATTGGGATTGTCCACCCTGCGGTCGCCATCCGATATCGCAATTGGTTTTGCTAAGAGATAAGATAAGATGGAGGGTGCTCAGGACTGCTGGCACCCCTAGGCTAGCTGGCTGTCAATAGAGTTGGAGGCGAGGGAATCGGGAAGTGGAATAATCAGAAAGTGTGCCGGGTGGGCACTTATTATTGGCCACCACCACAGGCTTTCGTCCCGAGAGCGAGAGCGTCATCAGATACCCCGAGACACCCTTCTCATGGCACTCTGTAGAGCCCAGGACCAGGACCAGGACCGCCCCCAAAAAAAAATTCCAATGGCAAGTGATGGGAAGAAGAAAGAGCTGTTAAAGGCCCCATTGGAGAAATCACAGCAGCTATGTCCCAAGGCGTCGGCGTCCAGGAACACCCTCTTCTTCGCCCAACCACAGGCTCACGACCAGCGCGGTAAGAATATTATTATGAGTCATTTAATCGGCGAATAATATATGCTCGATGGCTGACCAGCGGCTCACAGTAACCGTTTTCGACTCCAGCATTACATCTGAACCGTTTCTCGACTCGGTTGTCCTTGAAACCCTCAGGAAACGACAGCAGATGGAAGGCGAGGCAGAGGCGTCAGGCAGCACAGCATGACAAGAGGAAGCATATATCGAAAATCAATTGCTAAATCGCCATTCATCTGGGTCGGCCGTGCTTTCTAATTGTACAGCTCGTCACTTCATCCATATCATTAATCGTCAAGACATCAAGTCGTGCCATAAGTCTTTGGCATCCCAAGTCGAGTAATCAATCAACACGCTGCAGAAAGATCCTCCCAAGCGCCCGACGAAAAGGAAATCCAAAGCCGCCAGGGCCCGGATAGTACAGTTGAGCATGATGATGTCGTTAAAACCCTGAAGTGTCGGAGAGATAGTTGCTCATCAGCACCGTCTAGACGTCAGACAGGCAACACCTAAGTGCTCGATGGTGCCGCGTTGATGTGCCACCCAAGACCTGTGTCAGATGTCCCGTGAAAGGCTGGTATTGCTGGCTGGAAACCTCGAATCTCCTTGCGAAATAACGTTGGCTCCAATGCTGCGTCGAAGATCGGCCCTTCTTCTTTCTCTTCTCTCATCCTCTTTCCGCTGTTTGGCATGCATGATCCTTTCTTGAATGTCCTTGATGCCAACAAGGGGAATGTGGAACCGTAGCCCGCTGCCTGACAACTTGTGTAGTTTGCGACTAGCTCGAAATTTGGCAAGACTCGAATGGCTGGATTGTTTGACGATACCTCTCTTCTGCCGGCGCCGTTCCGATATCCGTCTGACCAGGGACACTGGACCCGTTATAATCGTCCTCTCCTGCGGCAATCCCAGAGAATTGTTCACAATTCCTTGATCCAGGGACCGCTCTTGAGGCTGTGATGCAGGACGAGCTTTATCGATGTCGTCCCAGAATGCACGAGGCCGCCAGAATGGATGCAAACTTCCGTCAAGATCCTGATCAGCCTTACGATTCCGGGCGTTCTTGAGACTCAAGTTTCGAGAAATGGAGCTCATCAACGATTCTGAGCGTTGCCGAGGCCAGCCCGGTCGCTTGAGAGAGTCGGTCCGATCAATCCCTAGTTGTTTCTTCACTTCCTCCTCGCCAGGAGTGGGTGGAATCAGCTTGAATTGCGGCGGCTCCGGTGGGTGTCGAGGGTTGCGCAAGGGTGAATCGACTTCGATTTCTGGCAGGTGCTGCTTTTGTACCTCCTGGACCGCTTTCGACTCCGCAACAGGAAATGGCTCGATCAGCTGCACGGAATAGTTGTTGTGGGGGAAGTAGTTGATCGCCCTTGCTTCGTTGATCTCAGGGGAGCCAGATTGAAAAGAGGGCTGTGAGAAGGGCGTATCAAAAATGGACGGTGGCCGGAGAGCAGCCCATTCCTTTGTTCCAGGCATCACCAGTCCCAGTGGATTTGATACCCCTTCACCTTCACCTGCAGGAACGCCGAGACCCCCTGAAAGCATGGAGACTTGAGGGTTGGCAGGGCCCGAAGACCTGCCAAATCTTTGATTTCCAGCCGCTCGGTCCGAGTATTGTATCCCATCTACAGAATCCCAATCTCTCAGACTGTGGACAAGTCGTTCCGTTTCCATTCTATCCAAGGTCTTGCGCAAGTCTTTCTCAGCTTGTTGCCTGCGTACATGCACATGCTCAGATGTGATGGAATTGGCGCGGGACGTGGTTCTGGATGTGGGCGCCGAGAGTGAGGAGCTCCGTGGAGGTATTAGAGGCGCCTGGTATTGCTCTCTACCGCGATCCGCAGACTCGGAAAACGCCCTTTTATGTTGCCAGGAGGAGGGTGGGTTCTCAGAAGCTTTGCGAGAGTGAGAACGTCCAGAACTGTTCGAAAGCGACTGCCTCTGGCTACTGTTGGCCGCAGAGCTCAAGGAGGAGCTCCTCTCTGGAATAACAGCTACCCTAATCACTTCAGTTTTTGGAAGGACAGCGCTTGAGGCCAAGCTATACGACCTCGAAATCTCCGAGCCGAAACTCCAACGATGTTGATTGCTCAACCTTGCCTTCTTATGAACGAGACGATGGGGGGAGCCTGAAGCGGAATGTGTGGAGTTCCTGTTCGAAGTCGGCAAGGGCGAGCTCACTGAACGCAGAGATTCATGCTTGCTGACATGGCGCAACGTCGTCTTCCGTCGAGGCAAAGAGTTCTGTTCAACGACATATGCTTCAACGGTCGAAGTGGTGGATATGCCAGAGAAACGTCGATTATCTTCGATATCCGCTTGTTGGTCCTCGATTGACTCATCCTCGGTCGGCACAGAATTGTTCCAACCGATGATGTTTGCAAATTTCTCTGTTGATGCCGATGGATCATGGCTCTGCGCCTCCAGAAGCCTTTCTCGCAGGCTCTTGTCCCGCTTCAAGTTATGCTGACCAATACTGTGGCGCACAGAATGGGGCGACTCCACATTGTTAGACAAAGAGACTTGAAGAGGGTCAAGATGTATCCGAATCTCCTCTCCGATTGGGTTTGCGTCGCCGCTCAATCCCGTGGTCTGGTGTTGAGGAACTCCCCCACGTTCCTCGTGGGTCTCGATATGAATTACCTGGAATTGATCGACGAAAGGTTCCGGGGATTGACTAACGGCAGGACGTTCTCCGTAGAGCTCTATCAAAGGTGATCTAGACAGAGGGCTCTCTCGCAGGCGATGGGCAGCGACCCCAAACTTGTCAACGGAACTCAACGGCCATTTGAACCCATTGTCCTGGCGCGGCGTATAGCGCTCAGATTCACCCTCTGACGTGAAGTCCTCATGGGCAGTCTTGAAGGATTCTGCGTGTGTGGAAGCGATTGAGGGCTGGGGACCCAAAAATGGGCGCCGGAGTGTCCCGTAACGCTCACGGGGAGGAGTGTTATCAGGGGTTGGCGGACTGTTCTGGTTTATCGGCGTCACCAAGCTCGATCTAAACACAGCGGTGTCCGAAGATGGGGTAAGTTGCTCCGGAGCAGGCGGGTTGGTCTCACTGTTCGCACCAGGTGGTGTAGGAGGGAGATTTGGCGAAGTAGGTAAGACCGTAGACACGGAGTGATAAGAGTGTTCTTCCGGTCGATGTTCACCAACTTCTTGGGCAGAGATGCGATAAAGAGTTCGAAGGTTAGTCGACCCGGCTTTGGAACCGTTCCGAAAGGGTAGAGACTTTGAGGCCGATGGAGAAGATGGACCTGGGGGATCCCTAGCTGGGCCCATTATGGTATATTCGGTGGTCCTCCCCATCGGAGCTCCGAATTATGGCATTGAAAGAGATTCAATAGGCCCTCCTCTTCATTGCGACAGACGACCACGGGAGCAGCGAAGAATGAGATTGTACTCAACACATAGGGAGATGTCTCGTTCGATCGCAGGGGTGATTTGAGAGCGAAAACAGGTGGCGGCGAGGTTGGCGGAGTGCGTGAGGCGTGGCGAATCGTTGAATGCGTGACGCGAAGTGTGACAGATCCAAAGACAGTCCGCAGCTGGTGGTGCGCAGGTGTTGAAACAGTCTGCCGTCGGGGTTCGGAGGGTCTCAAAGATACTTCTGGCGCCCGTCAACTGACTCTAGTGTCGATAATTATCCTCTACAGCTCCTAGGTAGATAGGGTATCGGGATATTAAGACTCTCTGGTTCGAAGAGCGGAGTCGTAGATACGCAGTTAGGGAGCAGTCGAGGTCGGTGACAGGAGCATTGACAAGCGCCTGACGGCGATGGATTCCGAGCACGGGGACGAGTGACCTCGAGCACGAAGGAAGGGACAAGGAGATGCGCAACGACCTCTTCGGACACACAAAGGGTAAGTATGCAATATATATTCGGATATCGAGGCTTTGGGAATCGGAGGACGGATGTTGGACTTGAGAACAGCGATGCGAAACTTGAAGTGAGAGGACGGAACTACGATGACAAGGATCTGGCTCGCTGGCTCGGGTTCTGGGGGAGAGAAACGAGAAACTGGGCGAATCGCAGCTAGCCCACCAGCCAGCAGTTTAGGCAGCTCAGCCGAATCCACGCGGGAACTACGAGGTACCTTGGAGGTCCTTCGGTAGGGGCTCAAATAACTCACGTAATAACTCACATAACCTCCTTGAGCTTTCCTGTGATGCTCTGATCCCTTGCGACTCTCCCCCAAGCTCCTGTCAGCACCTGATCATCTACGAGGTATCAGGGGGTGAAATACTGAATGCCCTTCACACTTACCCCGGTGATCAATGCGTGATCTCCCTCGCATCCCTGTCTGTCACTCGTCACATTCCCAAGGTCCTGCGCAGCTCTCGGCTTCCCCTTCAGCCCCAATGGGGCCAAAAACCAAACAATCAGCATACCGCAAACCTCCATGGTATGTTGAGCACACGACTCTTCCGTCAGATTGATCACCGCAATCCTCTTCGTCCACCAGCCAAGTAGGTAAGTCAATTTTCCTCCCCTGCGCCTCTTGGCCTCTCAAAAACTCCCTGCTCCTCCCCATTCATAATGTCCATGGTTATACATGCTCAATCACAATCATGGTATCCATAAGAGATATCGCATGTCTCCGCCTTTCGTTCGTATTCGCTCTTTCCTTATGTCAACGAGTCCTCGCATCCCCTGTCCCTCAAGTAATCCAGCCCGATACTGGTCCTCTCTCCTTTTTTGAACTTGTGCAGAAAACCTTCCACCGCATAGTCGAAGTTGGATTTCTCCAGGGCATTCTGACTTCGCTGTTGATCTTGGGATGTCTGGTTTGCCTTCTCGTGGGTGTTCTTAGCGGGTTGGCCGCCTATCTTCGGCGTCATGACACGAAGTTGTGGGAACAACATGACGAGATCAATACCTCCCAAGGCGAAAAGGATGAAGAAGAGGAGCCGGCCTCGCCTTCAGTCGAAAGGCGTCTGAACAGACCTGACATCGAACACACCTACAAGTTGCAGTCCCGATGTCAAAGCCGAATCTCCCGGTATCTTGCCAGCAACCCTTCAATACCTATCACAAAGCTCAATATCCATGCCTCACCGCGTCGACCATCAAATACAACTGGTGCTTTATCTGCACCGTCTTGGCCCTCTTCGCGAACCCCAACACGAACCCCTGTAACGCCAGTCCGCTCCGCCCTCTTCAAATCACCACCCTCGTCGAGGCAGTCATCACGCGGCCGGACTCTTCTATTCGGATCAACGAGAGTAAGCACGAGCTGGACTTCTTCCCCATCTCCTAAATCCGTGCACTGGGCAGATGAGATTGAGGTGACGGCGGTGGAGGTGAGCCTTCAAGAGACAGACTGTCCTTAACCGAGGGCCAGACTGGTCCTCAAATCGAAAGAAAACCCATCCGACAGAGTGACATCAATGAAATTGGAAGTGATACGGGTTAAATCGTATTGGGTGCCTAGGCAGTCAAACACCGCGGGCTTTTCCACGTTGGGGAACCCATCCACCACCCAACGTGAATCTGGGTCGGGACTGTTTCACATGTGCTGGAATTTTTCATTGAGAAGGAATTTAGGGTTTATTGGCATCAGGATCTGTTCCTATTCATGAGCAGATGGTACATGACTAGTTCTCTTGTCCTCGGCGGCCAGACTTGCTCGGACCAGCGCGGCAGGTGGCCACTAAAAGTCTACCAGTATAATCAACGCTGGAAGGCATTGTGCTTCTGGGGAGAAATGCAGATGAGATTACGTCCTCGTTGATTCTCACACAGTGTCAATCCCAAGTTCACATTCGCTGAAGAGCAGATGGGGGTGGTCTGCTCAGACACTGGCTGGTGCAAGTACGAGTACTATATCACTTTGGCCCTCGATAGTAACAAACGCCACAGCCTCATCAGGCCACCCCCTTGTCGATGGTGCGTTGTTTATTCTGACAGAACGTTTTGGGAAAACTGACAATGGAGAAAACCATGTAGCTCTGGTGAAGTTCGCCTGTCTTTTGTCCGATTCGTCTTAGCTCTCTATATCTATCTATACACGGCTAGCTTGAATAACTAGGGAAAACTCCGTTGTGCACGACGTGGCGAGACTATCTCAGTCGTGCTAGGATAATCCGCCATGAATGATCCCCGATGAGAATTCGCAGGGGCTTCAATGCGAGGGAACTTCTCTCTTCTCTAGCATCAGACTCGCGAGCGTACCAATACCGACCACTGCCTTCACCCACATCTATCCGCTTACTCGAAGTCCATCCACCTTCCCTTTTCCCCGAAAGCAGCGGGAACATAGCAGTCTCACTGCGCTCGTTTCCCGTCGATGTCGCGCCTCCCTTCCACGCTCTCTCTTACACATGGGGCTATCCGTTGATACCAGAGTCACGGCCCTCACGCAGTAGCAACTGGCGTCGCCTGGCGTTCTTGCAGCGCGTACAGGCGAGAGCTCCCCGTCTGCTGGATCCGGAGGGCCACGCTGGTCTTGGTACTGGGATGCCGTCTCCAGCTTCACCATCCCTGCATCTGCCAGTGCTGCGCACAAGAATCACGGAAAACACTCCGTGCTTCCCTGTGAAATGTGAGGGTCGCAATATCCGCGTCACGGCGAATTTGTACGATGCTCTAGCCGTATTGGGTCGCCGGAATCCCAATGAAGGGGACAATTCTCCTTCAGAAAGGAAATTCATCTGGGTGGACGCCCTGTGCATCGACCAATCTTCTCTCGTGGAGCGAAATCAGCAAGTCAATTTAATGGCGGACATCTTTAAGGCGGCGCAAGGCGTGGTTGTGTGGCTCGGAGAAGAGGACGAGTTCACCCAGGACGCGTGTACGGTCATGGAAAGTATTGCAGCTGTTCCAAGGGAGAAGTGGTCCAATGTGCCATACACGGGCTTCTACGACGGGGACGGCGCCTGCTATCACGATCTCGGGATTGAGCCGCTGAGCTATCAGAACTGGCTGGGTCTAATCGCATTCATGAATCGCCCCTGGTTTTCGAGATGCTGGGTGGTCCAGGAGCTGGCACTCGCGAGGAAGGCCATTGTCATCTGTGGGAGTCGGTTGCTGCAATGGGAGCAATTGGCCACAACGATTGAATTCGTCCGCGCAACGAAATGGTATCACCACTTGTCCACGGAGAAGATGCGGCATATCCGTGAACTAAACCGAAGTCCAGGGGCGTATCAGAAACTTCTGGCAAGCAACACCAGATTTGGGCTTGAGCCCGTGTATCTCAATAACACACGGAACGCGCTGCAGTCATATTCCCAGAGAGACAAAACTGGGGGCCCGTCGCTGAGGATGCTCGTGGACACTCATAGGTATACCAGCGCGACTGATCCTAGAGACAAGGTCTATGCTTTCCTCAGTCTGTCGAATAGATCTCAGTCACCCTCGTCCAAGCCCGATCAGATCAAGCCAGACTATCAGACTCCAGTCCGCCAGGTGTACACAGAAGCTGCATGCACTCTGATCGAGGGCTCCCAGACCCTGTACATGTTGTCACATGTGCAAGATCGATCATCGACCAAGGTCAAAGGACTTCCCTCTTGGGTCCCTGACTATTCTGTCGCACTGTCGCCGTATCCGCTCGAGTTTCGAGGAAAATGCAACTGGTCGGCCTGCGGTAATCTGAAATGGACGCCACCAGGTGACGAAACAATGCTTCGCAGAGGCCTCTTGCCAGTACAAGGCTTCCACGTCGATACCATTGCAGAAAGGGCCACCATGCCGCACGAAACCACGGATGCTGGAGAGCCATGGGCCACTATCGTGGATCTCGTCTTCCAACTCCCAAATCCTTACCGCACGCCTTCACTCGGGGGGGCTCCGATCTCACGCCTCGACGTCCTCTGGCGCACGCTTACCACAAACACATACTCTCGGCAACATCCAGCCCCTTCTGAGTGTGGAGCGTTGTTCATCGACTACATTCTCAACCTGCAGATACGACACCGTTTGACCCCTTGGTCGTCACATGAAACCGATTTTCAACCACATCAAACACCCGTCTCGACTCTTACCAACCCCGATTGGCATGGTCTGTTGGCGTCCGAGCCCGAAACTTCTCCGTATAATCTCTCTTTCTACCGCGATCGATTGACCGCATTGGTAGAGAACATGTTGTCCAGCGACTCATACTCCCCACTTGACCTTGCTCAGTTGCATCATGACATTGAGCACGGATCCGGAAGATCGCGACGGCTGTTCCGAACGAAGAATATGATGCTTCTAGGAACTGGTTCCCGGTCTCTTCAGGTTGGTGATGAGGTTTGGATTCTGGCAGGTGGTAAGGTGCCATACATTCTTCGACCTGTCCAGAATAGGATGGATGGTGAACGCCCGGCCGACAGGACGCATCGTCTGGTGGGCGAGGCGTATGTTCATGGTCTGATGCACGGTGATCCACACCGTTTCCGTCAAGACTTAGTGTCGACGGTCTTGGTTTGAAGTCCCTCGTTTCATAATCCTTAGTCTTCGCAAATGGAATCAACAGAAGGGAAGATTCTGCAAATATGGAAGGCACATATCACATCTGGATACCCCACAGACGAGGACTGTTTGGGTTTGTACAATTAGCCCTGATTGAGGAAGTTAGCATGAACCCGTATTATGACGAACCAGATACGAAAATGTGCAACATTATACATCAGACAAGTTCGAGAAGATATATGGCTGGTTGTTCTAGGCATTGCGTCCGAACGCCCAGGGTTGGAGAATAACCTTCGACCACTAGAGCAGAGCGCTTCTCTGGCCCCAGCGGCCTCGTAATTGAGTAAAATCAGGTCAGGGGTCCACGCTTGAAGTACTTACCAAATTCAGAGCCAAGTTTTCGCGAAGTCCTCAGTCGGGCTCTTGTTGTATAATCAACTGCAAGGACCGTCCCCGTATAGAGATCAGCCCATATTGGTTTCTAATTTCCCTCTCCTCGCTCTCATCTCCTCCACCTTCCTCTTATCCTCCTCAAACCGCTTCACTATCTCCTCTTGCTCCTGCTTCCTTCTCTCTCGCGTCTGGAACCTGTAGAAGTCCTCCAACGCCTTCGCTTTCTCTTTCTGCTTCTCGGCAGATTCTTTCGCTTCTTCGATCCGTGCACTACCTCTTGATCCTCGTGTAACAGTGATGAAACCATCCTCGTCCGGTATTGCGCGTTTGCGTGCGTTGTCTCGAGAGCGAGATTCTTCGAGTTGAGAGTAGGTGGTCATGTATGCGTTGACTGATCGTAAGAGGTCCTTGCGCGAGGGGTATTGGAGTGATTTGTGATGTTCATATCTCGTCAGCCCCAGGCGCGGCATTTCGTTCGACCCTAAGCGTGCAACGTCTTCCCATGTGATCGATGTACCCGATTTTGCGGCGCGTCGGGCAGCAGCTTTGAGGGTGAGTTCCATGCTAGCCTTGTCCACAAAGACGACTATTGCTGTCGCACCACTCTTTTGGATTTCGCTGTCGAAGACATTTGGGAGGGAGTACTTGTCCAGCCCGGCCTCAATTTCTTCTACGGTCATTCTTTTGCGCTTCCGACTTGATTTCTTTGCGGGAACGGGTTGTTTTCCGGGTGCATTTTCTGAGAAATATATTTCCTGAATGCGTCCGCCTTCAAGTTGGGTCGTGAACAAGTGTTTCAGCGACTGCTCGGTGGCGCATACAGGGATATTCACTAGAAATAAAGATCGAGGTGTATCCTCGTCGGGGATTTTAGGGTCGTGCGGTTTGAGGTAAAGGTAGTGAGTAGCTTCTCGGGGGAAAGATCCTGACGCGTGTAATTGCAGAGGTAAAGCGATACAGCCGCCTATCTCACGAGGGACTTTAACCATGGCGAAGGGGTGGTTGTCTGAAGGATAGGATGATGATGTAGACACCAACTTTTTCATCGCAGTTGGGAGAAAAGTACGAGGTATCCAAGCGTCCAATAAGGGGGACGGTGGACAGAGCCTCAAATGACAAAAAATGACGGTCACGAAGCACGACTGTCTCGTCACAACAAGGCTGCATTCCATGCCACTAGTCGGGGATCAAAAAGGGCAAGTTCTACGTCGCTCACAGATTCTTTCAATCGCCCTGCTTTCTCAGATTTCACCTGCCCATACCACATTCGCCTAAATTGTTTGACTGGAAAAGCAATACCAGATACATCTCTTACAAAGTTATTCGCTTCACAGCATGATGCAGGACTTAGCAAGCAACTTTCGAACTGGTCGAGATGAGAACTTTCAGCCGTTTCGAGCCATCGTCGACAGCAGTGCCGGTATTGGACAGGGTATCACTATGGTCATTGCTTTAGGCATTCCGGTCATGCACCATCATAAGCCTGCTGCATGGGCTGAGCGGATTGATCTTCATGAAAGCTATCAGTGGGGATCAACTGCGTCTCGGGTTCCTGTACCCGTACACCATCAATGGCTTCATCGCTTGCTTGATCGAGGGCGAGAACCTTGTGGAACGACCACCCCTTCATCCTACTGGCCACCTTATACAGTTCTCACCAACCTATGCCTTCAGTCGTCTAGGATACTCTTTCCGCGGCTATATTCCGTGCTAATTTCGCAGGGATATTGCCATGCAGAGGGCGAGGAGCATCAGGACAGAAGGCTCTAGACCTGAGACACAGCGGCATATGCGATAGAAATCAACATTCCGGGTAGCTCCTGCTGCACAACCGCTCTTGTCTTCGAAGAAGGTCAACGAAGCCATTCACCAATCGCATCATCACGAAGATCACCAATGGATCGAGATTGGCTTGATGACATAACAGGCCCAGATGCGAATCGGTAAAACGACGCTCTGATTTCCCTATAGCTGCTAGCATTCCTCCCATCTTCATTTAGGGCGAGCTTGACGGTTCTTGTAGACTCCATGCTGAGGCTCGACTTGATGACTTCTGCCGTGCCAATTTTCAAGTCAAGAGCTCCTTTGAAAGTCTCCCTACATCTCTGCTCTGTTTCTTTTGCTAACTAGATTTTCTCACAGTTGCTCGAATACAGCGCCCGAGCTGATGCGGCAATGAAGGTCAAGCAAACATGGCCAGGGCCGGGCAAGTTCCATTCGTGGATGCTGACGCCATGCGGGGTTCAGTAAACCCGATTCGGAGACGGGGCACATTATGCGAGGTCAGAGAAATCAAGAGGGTGGTTGTGCGAAATAGAAATGTCAGAAAGAAGATGGGTAGTTCGCTCAGTCTCCGGCATGCCCTGATTTCGACTTAGCCCCTAAAAATAACAACGCTAGACGGTATTTGGTATCAGCTAAGCATGATATCAATGGCCCTTAGTTTATACCCCGATTAAGTGAAGATGGTATGCTGAGACTAGCCTAAACCTACTTTGACAAGTTGCTGCTTTACAAGTACGGAGCGGTTTGTACCAACCCCAACTATCAGTACTCCGTGCCTACCCAGGTCCCGAATACACAAGACTCCAGACACCCTAGTATGTTTCATAGCTTTTCAGCGTCGACCTGAGCACCAACCTCTGCTCCCCCGAGCGGACAGTCCAACCAGACGTAAAATCCGACAATTATACTATAGCCGGTCTGCGTAAATCGACGCGTGTCGAGATTCCTCAGAGCGGATCCCCAGAAACAATGACCAACTTCCGGCCAGATACATCATGCAAGATCAAAAATCTGAATAAGCATGTCGATGAGGCTGGGAATTTGAAGCTTCCGCGAACGGAGACGGTTGTTGGATGGCCACCACACCATTTTATCGCACAGATCGCGGTCATTCTTTCTCCATTTTGTCTCTCGTTGCTTTCTCCTACGCCTTACGCTGTCTGACTACTGCAGCTCGTCTCCCGGATACCCAAGCCGATTCTTTCTTTAGATGGGTGTCCTCTACCACACGTCAACCTCTCCGCGATGTTGCCATTGAGTGGTCAGCAATGTCTCACATCCTTCAGAAAAAGACTGCGCTATCTGTATAAGTCACTTCCGTTCTTTGCACCATAGATACCTTCATCTTTCCCTTCATCGCCTCACACTACAAAAATCAACAAGCATCCTTTCGTTGCATGATACTCGAGAGCTTCGCCACTCCACTTGATACACTCGCTAGCCTCCCAGCCGGCATTTTCAACTTCTGCCCTCCATTGAACTTTTGACAAGATCCTCACAGCCAATCTCCAAGATGCTGGCTTCGGTCCCGTTGTTCCTGGCGGTCCTAGCTGGTTCTGCTTTGGGGCTGCCGTACCCGGATGACCAAAAGCGTGGCAATATTTATCCAGTCTACAGCAGTCCATCTTACACTACGATCTACTCTGCATACACGACACCCTCCACCTATTACCCAGTGGAAACGACCACTTCCACCTACTCCCCAGTGTACACATCCAGCTCGACATATTTGTCCGTGTACAGCAGCTCTTCCACTTATTCTCCATACAGTACATATCAAACTACGTACACCACTCCGACCATCTACTCTACGACCACATACACAACTCCAGTTATCTATACCACTACTACATACCCTACTCCTGTCTATTCCCCGTACACCAGTCCAGCTATCTACTCGACCACATACTCAACCTGCCCTGCCCCTGCCACCGTAACCAGCACAGAGACAATCTACTCAACAGTGTACTCAACAGTGACCGCGACAAGCACATCAACATATACTGCAATATCCACTGCAACGTACACAGCCACAGCCACTGTGACTTATACCGCTACATCCACTGCGACATATACCGCGACCGTCACCTCAACAGCCTACGTGACCTATACTACCAGCAGCGTGGTTTACTCTTGCCTCCCCACTTACAGCAGCAATACATATAGCAGCTCTGTTTATTCAACTCCGATCTATACATCCACTTACACTACCTATACGACGCCGGCGTACATTGCTACCTATAGCACCTCTATTTACCCAGTTCATACTCCTTACACTACTACAACTTACGGTTCTGGCTGGTAAATCACAACATGTACTTCTTCAGACTGCGAGCTCCGACTCGAGAAATGTGACTTATTGGGCCTATCGGCAAGAAATTTTCCTATGTTGTCTGGGTCTTTTGAGGACAAGATCCTTCCATGAAGGTCCAGGCAGGGGAGTCGGGCATATTGCGGAAAGAAGAGTCGGTCGCATGGTACGAAACCAGATGAGGTGTAATACATCGTTGATTGTTGGGATCTGATGAGCAGATCGACAGCTTAATAAAGCACACCTCGACATTCCCTTTGTCTATATAGCCAGCCACGCTCCTTATCCCGGGAAGGAGGAAGTCCTTCATAGTTGACTCCGCTAATATAGTCGCCTCCAACACCGAAGGTGCTCCCAGCAGTGTTATAGGCTTGTACTACGTTCGTTTTTGTCCGTATCCTAGCATCTATCTATCGCCCGTGGAAAGAGAGGATCCCAGTCTTGCGTTCGGATGTGGATGTTCAACATTATCTCCTGCCTGAAGAGCCCCGCTGATGAAAGGTTTGCTATGGAACCAACCGAGGGATGTGTGGCAGGAGCTAAGAGGATGGTGGATGATGCTAGATGACGGACTTTGGATCAAGATCCCAAAGCTTGACTTCATGTTAGTTCACCATATCGGGAATTTTAGAACCGTAATTGTGGGTAATACCAGTGGCGTAATTTGCCTGCATCCCACAATATACATCTTCATCTGTGAAGCTCAAGGCTAATGGGCCATCACGTAACTCACAAATCTCAGGTCTATGGCGATCTGAACTCCAGAGCCGTATTCGCCTTTTTTACTCCAATATCAGGCCGCCGCTCAGAGGTGGGACGTAGGGAACGATTCTTGCATTCCAAACTCCACATCAGCCAGATAGGACGCATAACTCGTCGTGACTAGACATAAGAAATGCAGATTCGAACCATCGCGTGTGTCAAGGGGCCACCGCATGTAGTGACCCTTCCTTTCTAGGACTAGTATACCCGATATCCATTGCAGGATCCACCTCAACCGCGCCGCTTTTAAATTAACTATTAACCTCAAGCAGGATTTGTCAACTCGACCATCAACAAACTCTCCCGAACTGTATTGTAACAAGGCAAAGTGGCTGTGCTGTGCTGTGTAGGGCTGGTAGAGTGGTAGCAGGGGGGAGAGAAGTTGTCTAGTCACATGTCAAACCAAAATGGGCTGGCAGGGGGAGTGCGGAACAGTTTACAGTGCTGGCAGAGTGCCATTCTTTACAGTTCGAGCAGAGTATCATGAATTTTATGGCCTTTTGGTGCCGTCTACCTAATTCCTGAGTGTTTTTATCAGTCCTGCCCTGTTTCTCGATGCTGCCGCTGTGCTAGGCGTTCGTTGCCCTAGCCGCTGCCTCTCTGGGTGGTGTTGGTGGTGGTGTTGTCTTGTCAGCGTCAACCAGAAACGCGTTCTCGATCCCCGACCTGCTGGACAGGCCTCTGTGCGTTTTTGCACGTGCACGCCGAACCATGAAGTGCTCTGTTACAGTATATTACCCTTTCATACTGCCTTTGACAGGTCACCGAGTATACCTCATCACGTATTCTTACGGCATAAACCATGCCGTTCGAGGGGAGTGCACAAGGCATCCGCAAAATAAGATAGAGACACGTTTACGCAATAGATACATCAATCCGCCAAAGCCTGGCCCTCCTTGTAACGACCCCCCGCACGACTCTGATCTAGATCAGCCCCCTTCTAGGAAAGAAGAGGCATGCCCAGCATATCGGAATTCAGGGGTATCCTTTGAAGTCTATCAAGTCAAATGGGTAAGCTAAACCGTACTCTTATTAATATACATAGGGGCTGAACATCGATGAATGACAGGTGGATCTTCACGGCAAGACTCCGTCACTTATGAATAGTTATATAACGTACTCTCTTATCGGGAAAGCGAAGTCTAACCAGAATTTAGACGAAGGTTGTATTAAATTAGTTAATAATACTACGGGCAGATCGGAGGATTTCCGTGACTACAGTGGCTCGTATAAAATTATATAGATCCTCACCTCTCGTCCCGAAGCTTGTGACACCTCGATCCATTTCATGAGAACGGGATGGGGGTGAAGTTTTCTAGCTCTCCAAGAACCTCACTCATAGATGTGAAGTCGCCATGCCAGCAGCTCTGAATCAACCGATCCACAGTTAGAGATGTGACATCGGGAAAGCGATTGTTTGTACACAGCTGTTTAAACTGCTGATATTGGTCATTTAATGCCTCGAGCTCATGGTGTGGTGGTCTTCTACTTATAACACTGCAAATTACACAACTCCATGTGAACTTTGTCTAAATCGGAATCTCAATTACGGGGGAAGTTCGTCAGATTTTATCTGAAGGACTTCGCCTCGTTGGAGAATGATGGAACCATCTTTCCGAGTGCCCAGCAATTTTGCAATGTTGTGATACGAGCCAGCCGGGATGGTGATACGCTCGACGTTCAACTTCGCCTATATCGTTCTCTTGAAATTCTTTTAAAATTCTCTCGTCATCGACCCCATAGACAATTTCTGATTTCAATGTAGTAAGAAATTGTAATGTTTCGAATGATAGCGAATGAATGTCGCTGTTTGATGATGAAGTATTTTAAATTATTTGATATAAAGCGCCCTTAGAATGGAGAGTAGTGAGAGGAAAGATCTCGCGGCGCGCAGGAAGGGTTATGAGTCGAACAGCATCTTCCCCCTCGACGGTAACGAGTGTTTGAAGGACTTTTCGGGAAGCGCAGGAAGGAAAGAGCGTCGTACTGAGGCCTGTAGTGGGTGCAGCGTCGTTCAGTGAAACGATAGCTGTATCATTGTGCTCCTAGCTTTGACAGCTCTCGCTATGGCGCCATATGCTTTCGGGCTCTTCGAGCCTTTTCTGACCGATGAATGGGGTGCATTACAATAAGAACAGGGGGATACCTGGATGTTAAGTGTCTCGAAGGAAAGTTGGATGGTGGATGAGGTTGGAACTTCTTGTAGGTGCGGATCATGCGGAGAGGGAACGGGACTGCCACGTGACATTAGCCCTTAGTTGTTGAACTGTAAAGTCCGAGACTTCATCGGTGATGTCCAAGGCACTGACATTTGCCCTGTTTTGTTTTGTCTCCCTACCCGTAGCTCGAGCAAGATATGCGGATAAACATGCTAAGAACATCATTATCTTCTGCCCGCCTTTTGAGAAGCCATCCTTCAGTAGGTTGGCTGGCGACGCCAACAATCCGCCCAATATCCTCGACCAGCTCATTATCCGCAACAGCACTCCCCATTACCGCAACCGGACCACCTCCCAGCGCTCCCGTTCCAACATCACCACAATATGGCGATCGGATTGAAGAACGAAGAAGGAAACTTGAGTTGCTTAAACAAGGCAAAGAGCTCCGCGCAGCCAACCAACCAGGAGAGAAGACAAGCCCATTGAAAAAAAGGTTCTGGAGAGAGGTCCACGTCAAACAAGTCCCTGAGGGGTATCAGGTCTACTTGGACAAAAGACCTGTGCGAACTCCATCGAAATCTATCCTCATGGTCCCGCGCTCCAAGCCGCACCTAGCCCATGCTATCGCGATTGAATGGGACATGCTCGAATCTGCGCAGCAAGCATTGAAGAACCATAACATCCCCATGACTTCAATAGTGGCGCGGGCGCAAGACATCAGCGAAGCAGAAACACGGGGGGATAGCAAGATCCGAAATGAAATCATGGCGACCATGATGAGATATCTGGACACAGATACGTTACTATGCTGGGCACCAGAATACGCACCAGCCTCTCCCTTGGAAATGCAAACCGAGCGCACAGAGTCACTGCGCGAGATTCAGATTAGGATAGCCAAACCAATAATCAGCTATCTCAGCACATATGTGTGGCCCGGTGTGGAAATCAAGCCCGTGCTCGACGAAAACAGCATCATGCCCGCGCAGCAGGATGAAACCACGAGAAGCGTTATACGAGGGTGGATCGCTGGACTGCCGGCGTATGAACTCGCGGCCCTTGAGCAGGCAGTGCTGGCGGGAAAGAGTCTTCTTGTCGGCACGAGACTGTTGATTGAGTGGAGCGAGGAATTTCGGGACATGCAACCCCGCGGCAATGAGACACGTTTTGGCATTGAGGAGGCCGCCGAGGCGTCAAGTCTCGAAGTACGATGGCAGACGGGCATGTGGGGGGAGGTAGAAGATACCCATGATGTGGACAACGAGGATATCCGACGGCAGCTGGGGAGTGTCATTCTACTTGTAAGTGGGAGTCGATAATCTGTCGACGGGATAGGGCGATGAAATGTATGTTCACGCTGCCAATGGTCAACATCGAGAAACGAGACTTCAAAATATGTCTGAACACGCATGTATGAACTGAAACAATGCAGATTGCAAAAGGAACAGGTATAGAACACAAAGTATGTATCATTTAGCCCTTCTAGAAGCAATTTGCATAGATTTGTCCTAGTACTCAATACCTCGATGTTCTATTAGCAGAACCATATCTAAATTGAAGCTCAGCACCGCCTCCTCTATCATCATGCCCCTTTTTGTATGGCCAATCTGTCAATTACCTCCTCCGCCCACCGCATGTACAACGAGATCCTGATGTACCGACGCCCACTTTGCCTGATGTTCGGAAAGATGGTCGTGGCACGCGCCGATTGGCAACCACCAGCCACATCTTGGAAAAGATGACGTCTGATGCCACCAATGCTTGACTCCACGTCGTCCACGACCCGAACGATCAATATTCGCCATTGTTTTTTTTTCTTGTACAATGGGCATATGCCCGACGATGCTTTTCTTGGCTGGGCAAATACCTGCAAAGTCCCTGCATTGGAGGCTCGAAGGGTAGGGCGAGCATGCGCACCGCCACAGTTTAGAAGTAACAGACGGTGAGAGTGAGGGTACAAATGACGATGCTGCTCCCCCTCGTAGAGTCTGAGTCTCTACGCTGTTGCTACTGTTCTTCAGATCTCCGGCAAGACCAGAAGGTGAAAACTCCCGAAGCGGCTTTGAAATCACATTGATGATATTGACTACTCTTGTTTAACCGAGCCCGGCCAGCATCGTGATCGTCCACAAGAAGCCAGCAAAACCAACGGGGCTGACCACCAAAAAACCACAAGGACCACTATCAAGCTGGTTGTACTATTTGACGTGGTCGTGTTCATCCTGGCCATTATCCCTTCACACATTCACGGCTTCTACATCTCTCTCACCTACTTCAATCGCAAGAGGAAAGTACGCAACGGGGTCTATCCGGGCACACCGAAGCATTTGATCTGGAGCGAACGGGCGAACAATGGGGTTGCAACCAGGAGGGAGGTGGAGAGGTTGAGATACGAGAAGGAGCAGGGGAAGGTCGGCCGCCGAAACAGCCAAAGGTTTACAGGCTCATGGGGACGTGCTGGTTCCGCGAGGCGGGTTGAGGACCGGGACGATAGGTACAAGGAATATGCTGCGAGTCCGCAAGTCAGCAGGGATGGGAGGCAGAGGGGGTGCAGAAACTACGACGACTGCTCGGACTGGTGAGTGTGGTGGGAAGTCATACTGCCCATGATGCTTGTGGCTGTGGAAAATAGTCTTTGACAGGCCCGTCGTATTCCAACTGGCGGGCCAGGGAACGAAGTGGTTGGAGGAAGCATCTTGGATTGCCGACGACAGACAGCTGTGTGCAGCTCAGAAGAGACGAAGTTGATGTAACGCACAGGAGCACTCCAAGCTCTCTCATGACTTTGGCAAAAAAAAAGACCTCTTGTAACGGGATAGATCGCTGTGAGATCAAGATGAAGTGGATATTTTATAGTTACCAATGGTGTACAACGCTGGGTATGATAGGGTTTGAAATGTCCGTGTTTGTTCTTCCTCTATGGTTTCGTCTCAGTTTCTATATTCCTTTGAACTGGCCTCATTTGCAGTGCCAGAGAAGACCTAGAAACCAGGGTCGCCTTCGTTCGGACAACTTTAGCTCCTGTCGCTGTCAGAGGGCATATCTCTCTTTCTGCAACGGTACACTCCGCAGACTCATTTGTACCGTTGCCTCATGCTTCGTCCTTCGCAAAAGCTCACACTGCGTGGCTCATTCCAACCCGCCAACAGCTCGCGTATATGTGTGGCCGTTAACAGTTTGCCTTGTGGCATCGTCCATGGGATATCGTATCATACAACACATTAGAAAATAAAATTTATCATGCCATCACCCATAAGCGCAGGCTCAGTCTAACGCGTGTCGCTGATTCCTGGTCTTTACCATATTCTTTTCACCGTTCGGTTATCATCTTTCCTCTCCAATGTTCGGGAGGGTGTTAGAAGGGAACAATCGGAACAGGGCACTAGCTTGTGTCGGTCGCCTTCTCTCGTTCCCTTTCCCTCTCCTTCACTAAGTTATCCTCGCCCTTGGCGGGGAAAGGATATGGGCTAAAATCGCGACTGCTAGTGCTAAAATTCGACTGGACCGGAGGATGTTTCTCGCCGTAACTCGCACCATTACTGTTAGATTTGTACGAGCCATGTTGCTGCTGCGCAGGAAAGTCGTGATTGTTGGGTACTGGCGTATTGATTGAGCTCGGATCAGTTGACACGGGGCTGATGATACTGTCCATATTCCCATCACCGTCAAGAGTCACAGCATTCAGTCCGCGTAGACCGCCCTCAATGTCTCTAACCAGACGCACGAATTCTTCGGGTACGAGCCCACTCTCGCCTGTCCTGGGATCTTCAGCCACCAACCAACCCTGGCCGTGCCGATACGACACCAGAATTATCTGACCTTCCTTCAAGGGTAATTCATTTTGATGCTCGCTTTCGAAATCAAAAAGTGCGACGGCCTTGCCGTGCATTTCCTCGTCGGGACTGGCAATGGTGAATGAATAGTCTTTTGAGAATCGGGCATCGTCTTCGGCATCCGAGAACTCGTCCTCGGACACGGGCCCTTCGTCACCATAAGGAGACGGATTGCGCTGTAGGGGTTTTGCGAAGTTGGAGTCTCGGTGTTGGGGTGCGTGCGGGAATCGCAGCGCGTTGTTGTCATAGGTATCGACGGCTTCACCCGGTCCATCTGCGTCTTCTGCATGACCCGCTGCGCCGACCACGACGCCGTGATGGGGGCCAGCTGCTCCAGGAGATCTCCCTCGCTCATTTGATTTATGCTTTTTGTGTCTGCTGGTGGTGACAATCGGGGATTGAATATCTTCATCTTCGCTGTAAGGAGGCCCATCGTCTTTAAACGTCATTGCAGGTAATCGATCCCGACTAAAACCGCTGGCGTTAGTTTCTGAAATCCAGGGCGGGGTTGCAGACCATTGGCCTCTAGAGTCGTCCCATGACGAGACAGCGGGATCCGACAATCTTCTCGACTCGCTCGCCGGTGTAGATAGACCTGATTGATTTGGAGGGGGGCCGTAGTGTAAAGGGTGCGTCGTCAAATATGCGAAGTCTCGAACGAGGGTATATGAGAGGCTCGAGTGGAAGGCAGGAAAGACATAGGACGTCGGCCGGGATTGCGGAAGGTAGGAACCTTTTGAATTCGTGGAAAAGGATGACATCCGTCTCTCAGCATAGGAAGTTGGTCTTTGCGAACTCGTCCGCCGCGGTGTCGGGGTGGTAGTAATTAAAGGAGTGAGACTGGGAGGAGAGGTGGTGGCCGCGGCCATAGGGGGAGACATTGTAGGTGGTGAGGCTGTGATGGTGGCCATCCTGACCGTGGAAGAAAGATGGGATCGGTCGCAAGATGTTCAGGAGGCCAAGGAGGATCAGATCTTGCGAACGAAGAAGGATTGAATTGTTGTTCTTCGTCGAAGCGCACCTATAGGCACGAGACCAGAGCAAGGAGGAGGGAGCGGTGGGCGGCTAACAGGGTCCCAGAAAGTACCAATGGCGGCGGCGAAATTTGGAAAATCGAAAGGACAGCGCGCGCGCTTAACGAGGAGAGAGAGTGTCGAGTACGAGGAAGAGAATGGAAAGCGTCTCGAGGAGCCAGGTACGAGCGGCTGAAGGTCCTAGGTTGAATCGTAAGGAACCTCGAGTCAAGTAGTCGAGAATCAGACGAGGCGAAAACGGCGAGGGTCGAGAAATACGGCACATCTAAATATAGCGACCAGACAGAGACGTGATGGGCCGAAACGCAGGGAAAAGGTTTAAGTAGTATGCTCAAGGGATTAGAAGAGCAACAAAGTCAGGCGATGGCGCATGGTGGTGGTGAGGAGGATGACAAGAAGTGTGCTTGCGGGCGCAGGCAAGACAGGAGGTCAGCGCCAGCCTGGTGAAGAGGTAAAGAGGGAGGAGTTGAGAAAGTCGAGGGTGGTAGCAGTATGGGCAGCTACCTTCCACTGGAGGGAGGTAGGTATTCGAACAGGCACGAACCGAGTAATAGTCGAGATGGAAGAATTGGGAGGAGAATCGGTTTCACTGGTTTACCTGGTTGTGCCTCCAAGTGGAATGGGATCTATGGGACGAACAAGCCTCCAACCACAGGCGGCCAGCAGCACTGCAGACTCCCCACAGTCGCCCACTAGGCGTTTCAGATGCCGCCGAGCGCCCCCAAGGGCCAAGGCAGGCCAGCAGGGCGCGTCAGGCTGTCGGGCCACAGGGCCCAGGGCCAGGCTGAACTTCCTCAGGTCCTCGCTTCCCTTCATGGAGAATATTAGCCGCATCTCACATCCTGAATCTTGATCCGCAGCCCGGATTTCTGCTGCCCTGCCCAATCTCGACGCCCTCGACGCCCTCGACGTTGGCACCGAGTCACCGATATATTCCCCAAACACCCTTGGCCTCGGCAGCCACCATCATTATCATCACTTCCATCACAAGGCTTCATCCAAGCTGTCGACCAAGGTAAGCTCGGCCAGTCCAGCAGCCCTTCATATCTCTCGTGCCCATCCTGTGATGACCATCTTATTGGAGCTGTCCTATTCTCTTGCTGCGGACATCCACAATAATACGCAATTTCAAATATCTGACTGTGCCGTTTTGAACGCTGCTTGAATTTCTTGTCTGTTCAAAAATGCCAAAAGAAGCTCACTGACCCAGAAGCAGTAAATATACCATGCTTTTTTCAGGGCAATAACCTACCTCTCTCCCTCTCACATCATGTCTACAGACCCTCGGCGCGCTCGCCTCCAGGCGCGAATACAGACACCTCAAGCTGCTCAACCGACACTACAACCTCTCCCGTCCTCCATTGTAGCTCCCTCTCCTACCGTACCTACTCCGACAGCACAAGTTCATTCGCAATCCATCGCTCTAACAGGCCTCGACGGCAACGTTGATGCACCCATTCCACTTGCCGCAGCGGCGTCTACAGCGCTTGCGCCCGCTACAGCGTCATCCCATTCCCCCGCAACGTCTTCACAAGATGAAATCCCCTTCAAACTCAAATTCTGCACAGTCTGTGCCTCCAACAACAATCGCTCGATGGAGGCTCATCTTCGACTCTCCGCCTCGACGCACCAATATCCCGTCATCTCCTTCGGCACGGGCAGCTACGTCCGCTTACCAGGCCCCTCGATATCACAACCCCAAGTCTACAATTTCAACACCACATCCTACACGAAGATGTATGAGGAACTCAACGCGCAAGATCCGCGCCTTTATCGAAATAACGGGATATTAAACATGCTTGATCGAAATAGAAAGATTAAATGGGGACCGGAACGGTTTCACGACTGGATTGTTGGCGCTGCCAGGATGGAGGCCTTGAATCGCGGAGACAAAGGCGCCGTGGGAACGGAGGGAGGTGTGGTGGATGTGATATTTACCTGCGAGGAACGATGCTGGGACGCTGTGGTGGACAATTTACTCGACCGTGGCGCACCGTTAAATAGACCTGTTCACGTATTCAACATCGATATCAAGGATAACCATGAAGAAGCGCTTGTCGGCGGTGGAGCGATCCTTGAGCTCGCTGACAGCTTGAACGAGGCGGCCATCCAGGAGAGGCAATTAAGCGGTACGCAAGGATGGGAGAATGGGACCGGAGTCGCGAGGATGAGCTTTGATGAGAAGGTGCCTGAGATTCTTGCTCGGTGGCAGGAACGGTGGCCGAATTTACCAGCATTGTGGACTCTGTCGTGGTTCTAGAGAGACCGGGTGACTGTCAGATCACAGGATGACACGTTAAATCGCCTAGTCCATCATGCTTGATCACTTAGCCGGGCGCTGGAGGAATTCCATTCAGGATATCCAGACCGATAGATTCAAAAAGCGTTCAGGTCTCTGTATATGATTCTATATCTTACTCCCCTTTTCTATTCCCTTTTCCCTCCGTTCTCTCAGGACCTCCTTCCTCAACCCGATCTCCACGTTCCTTGGTCCCTCCTTATTGAACTTCACCAGCACAACATATTCCTCATCCCCCTTCAAGCCCGACTCCTTCAACTCGGGACCTGGCTTATCCAGCGCAAGCACGCTTCGGCCATCCTCTCCTAAACTCATGCCAATCGGAGAGATAAATTTCTCCTTCCATGGCACGGGTTTCCCTTCCGTTTCAATCCGTCTCTTCAATGTCTCTCTCTTCCTCAAAATATCATTCTGGCTCTCCCCGGGTCCATCAAGTGTCTCTGAGACCAGATAGAGGAGTAAGAATTGCGGTGGGAACAGGATTATGTCTCCGCTCCTCGCCATACTCAACCAATCCCTCGCAGTCCTCCACTCGGGAGCCATGGTCTCAATTTGGTCCGCTGTCGCGTGGACACTCGGGTTGCCCTTCTCTGACGGGTCGACGAAATAGATGTACATCTGCGTGGTGAACCGTTTCGGTACATTGGGTGGGGTGACCCAGTGGGTGAATGGAATAAGGCGGTCTGTGTCCAGGACTGCGTTGGGGGAAATGGTGGATAGCCAGGATTTGAACGAGATCTTGCCCTTGTGAACGGCTTCACGACCATCTTTTCGCACCGCCGTACTGACAGGTAGTAGCGATTCCGCGGTTTTGGATCCGCGAGCCAACAATATCCCCGTCTCCTCGAACAACTCCCTGATTGCGCCTGTTCGGTATGCAATGCTGTCCAGATGCTGATTCACATCTTTGGGGTCGGTCGGTAATTCTCCATCGCTGGGTTCTAGATTGCCACCAGGGAAGACATGTGCAGAGGGGAACGCACTAGAAGTCTGAACACGGTGGAGAAGGAGAATCTCATTGCTTGGGGAGACGAGAATCGTGCTGGCTGAAGGGGAGGCCGGCTTGGGAGATTTGTGCTCCGAGTAGCCTCTGACCTCGAATTTGGGCTTCTGTCTCGAAGACATCGTCAAGGCCGCGTCTGTCAAGCGGTTTGTAAGGTCGCGAATAGTCCGGGAGTGGCGGGAGACGAGGACTGGAAGGGCCGTGTCTAAGCTCGGGCCAGAGAGCAGGCAGTACTGTCTAATGGTAGGGCGTGGAAGCTGAAAGGGCAAACGTCTTTGAAACCGACTATAGGGGAGCCGTTGCGGCTTAAGAGATGAGCGACTGAAATCTAAAAGTGGAATATGAGGAAAAGAAGACGAGTTGCCCAGAAATCTACATGTCGAAGTTGAGGGAAACACGAGCATTGGAGGAAGTTGCTGTGAACGGCAAACAAGTGAGACAGACCGAGGCTGAACAAAAAGAGCAATGGCCCGTGGGGGGATCAAGGGGACGTCAGGGAAAGATGGGGAAGGGCGTTTTTGATCTGACTTGCTCGGCTCGCGCTTTATGATCGACGAGGTACTTATGTACTCGGTATTAATACGCTGGATAAGACGGTGCCTTGCAGAGCCGACAATGCGCCGAGGTCCAAATAGATAAGGACGGACTACATAGGCTACTACTAACCAAAATGGTACGAATGTGTTCTTTTTCTCTAGGGAGAGCCTTTCATCTATTTGAAACTGTCATTGGGTATGTCATTCCAATCATGAAATCATGTGCAACGTCAAAACACCTGAGATAGAATGATATCACTTTCCCGGACTGGCCATCAACACCAGGTTCGCCTTCGAGATGCTGTTGTTTCGGCATTCTGCTCGGCCACCTAGGAGTAGAGTTTCTTTTCGAAACTGTCCAACCCGTGCACGTTCCCTTCGGCCTGGGCACTGACGGTCCGGAGCTCGAATCGCACTTTGCCGCTGCTCACCTCGTCGCGAAACTCGACCAAGCTCTTGCAGCCAATGTCTTGCAGAGAATGTTGTAGACCAGCGAGCAGGTAAGGCACGAATTTGGTGACAGAACCTCGGTCCAGCACTGCTCCCGAGACACCCTGCGCGACCAACAATCGATCACCCTCTGAGAAGTATCGCGCCGTTCCGGCATTGCTGGCCTTGGAGTTTTTGCCTCCTCCGCCAGCCTTCTTGTCTTCCATGGCGTCGATGCTGCCCATTCCCCGGTAAGCTTTGACAAGCTTACCTTCACGGTTGATGTAGGACTGGCCAGGAGACTCGGTGGTGCCGGCAAGGAGACCACCCATCATGACTGTCGAGGCACCCATCGCGATTCCCTTGACAATGTGGCCGACGTTCTGTATACCTCCATCGGCGATGCAGGGCACGCCGAATTTGGCGGCAAAGGACGAAACGGCGTGAATAGCTGTAGCTTGTGGTCGTCCCACAGCCATAACCTCCTGTGTGATGCAAGCACTGCCGCTGCCCATGCCAATTCTCAGGCCATCGGCACCGGCAGCGATGAGATTCGCGGCTTGTTCCCGCGTCACCACATTTCCAGCAATAACATCGAGTTCAGGGTACTTCTCCTTGATGTATCTGACCATGTCGATTTGATACATGCTGTTGCCCTGGCTACTGTCCAAAACCACAATATCCAGCCCGGCATCAACCAATTTCTGCAGTCGGATCTTATCCTCGGGCCTAGTGCCAATGGCGGCAGCCGCAATTAATTGTTTCGAAAGGGGTAGTTTGGAGGCAAGAGGATAATTTAGATTCTTGAGGAGGTCGGATCGGGAAAGTAGAGAAACTAGGTTGCCGTGTGGGTCGACGATAGGCAGTTTACCTTTTCTCGACTTGCGGAGGACGTCGTTGGCCTCGGCCAGGGTCGTGCCTGCTGGTGCAGTGATCAGGTCTTTCGACATGACCTCTGTGACCAAGTCGTCTGGGCGAGGGTGGAACTGGATATCGCGAGTGGTGATGATGCCAATAAGCTTGGACTTCAGCTGCCCGCTCTCTGCTCGTGTTGTCAGCTGCTGCCGCATACTGAAACTCAAGGATAAGATAAGTGCAAGATGCGGTGTGGTTCTCAGACAGAAATCTCCATAATTCCCCATTGCAAGTTCATGCTGCGGATGAACGAAAGTTTAAAAGGGTAAATAGCTTTGGACATCATCGAAAGACAGGACGAGGTGATGATTGATGAGCCTGGAGACGTACCGGTGACTGGAAATCCGCCAAATCCCCACTTCTCTTTCAGCTCTTTCGCCTCGCCAACAGTGGTCTTAGGGGAGAGAACGATAGGATCAGAGATGAAGCCGTTTTCGTATCTCTTGACTTTGCGAACCATGTCGGCCTGCTCCTCGGCAGCGCAGTTATGGTGGATGACACCGAGACCGCCGAGCAAAGCCATGTGGATGGCCATAGCGTCTTCAGTAACAGTATCCATAGGCGAGGAGAGAAGGGGGGTCTTCAGAGAAATTCGTTTGGTAATGGGGGAGTCGAGGGTGACCTCGGAGGCAGAGAAACCTGTGCGAGAGCGTTAGACGTATGATCTCCCAGCGAAATAAAGGAAGACTGGAACCATACCAATATATCCAGGAAGAATCAGGAAGTCGTTATAAGTGAGAGCTCCATTTTTATTCGAGTCCAGCAATTTGTTGATGTCGAGGCCATCGCGAGTCTCGTAGTCGGACTCCAGGACTTGCAGGGCGGTCCGATAGTCCAATTTCTCGACTTTACGCGTGATAGGAGTGCCATTGGCGATGTCTCCGTTAGCAATCGGCATGTCGACAGTAGGTTTTAGTAGAGTGCTACAGCAGAGAAGTTCACCGATGGGCTGCTGGGGTCAGGGAGGGCCTTTCCAAAGGAAGGGAAAATTTTCAGAAGGACGCGCAGTCCGAAAGAGAATTTTGAATGAAAAGGCGGAGAGCGGTGGCCCATACGCAGCCAATCGTCGCTGTGCGGCAATTTGACCAATCATTGCTCCTAGTCCTCACAAGCAGGCTTGGCGCTCGTGTCCCACCATCCTGTTTGGGGATTGATGTAAACAAACCACTGTCAAAAACTGCACTTGTCGATTTGATTCTGCCCTTCACCTCTCCGGCTGGCGGACAAATAAATCAGAGTGCCCGTCTATTCACTATTATTGCCTGAATTCTGTCTGTGCTTTGCTACTTGTCACACATCTGAGCTTCGAAATTTGCAGCCGTCTGAGGTGGCACTTTTGACTAGCTGAATGACATCTTGTGCAGACAGTTGAGGATGCGACGCAAGCCTCAAGTACGATCCAGTTCAAAGCTCGTCCACGTTAGTCCTGTGCCTGAACGCTCTCCGGGATGTCGCACTACGCTCTTCGCCGAGCACAAACAGACAATCAGTGCGGATTTCCTCAGCGACAGACCTCAGCGGCGTCCACCGCTTCCTCCGCCTACTCCGGGGCGTCTAGTGCTTTTCTCCCCAGCCGTACAAGTACCGTCACTTCCACCAACTCCAGTATCTACTCGAGAGGCTCTCCAGGTCACAAACGAGCAAACACAGTCACAGAAGAAATGACGCCCACCAGGACTTACGGTGGGAGCAGCAGCGTGGAAAACAGTCCTGACCATGTCTATCGCAATGTTCGTCAAAGTCTACGTCCACTTCCTCAAGGCCCGTCGCCAAAGTCAACACCCAACGCCCGCCGACCGAGCGCCTACCATGTCCGAGCTCACACCATCGACCGGTTCCCTCAGAGTTTTTCCGAAGATCCATTCGTCGACAAGCATCTACATGAGCATCATCAAGAGACGCATCAGGCCAAGACTCATACCCATCAAAATTCACTGAATCCGCACCCAAACACATTCAAAGCTCCCGATCTACGAGAACTACAGAAATCTTCTACGACCCATCTGAAAACCTTGTCAAAGTTTGCACAAAATGGTGATGCCGAAGAGTTTGGGATTGCAGCCCCTGGCCAATCTGTCATTGGACTACATAATCGGAGACAATTGAAACGCACAGACTCCGTTGCAGCAGGTGCCCGGTTGGTGGCCAAGAGTTACGGCTGGGGTGAAAGGAATTGGATGGATAAACAACGGCAGTTCTTACAGGCTTACGAATATCTCTGTCACATCGGCGAGGCTAAAGAGTGGATCGAAGACATTATCAATAAGCCAATTCCGCCTATCGTACAACTGGAGGAGGCTCTGCGCGACGGGGTCACATTAGCGGAAATAGTTCAAGCATTCCATCCCGACCAAGTCCTCAAGATCTTCCGCCATCCGAAATTGCAGTTCAAACACTCAGACAATATTGTCTTGTTCTTTCGGTTCCTCGAGGACGTGGGTCTGCCGGACCTCTTCCGCTTCGAGCTGATCGATCTGTACGAAAAGAAAAACATACCGAAAGTTATCTACTGCGTTCACGCTTTGTCATGGCTCCTTTACCGCAAAGGCATGGTTGATTTCCGAATCGGGAACCTTGTTGGCCAGCTCGAATTCGAGCATCATGAATTGGAACAGACACAACGAGGCCTCGACAAGGCCGGAGTCAGCATGCCGAGCTTTTCAGGCATGGGTGCAAGCTTCGGCGAGCCGGAGCCGGAGCCGGAGCCAGTGGAGACTGAAGATGAAAGAATAGACAGAGAATTGCGTGAGCAAGAGGAGATCATCTCAGACTTTCAAAATCAGATCCGTGGCGCGTTGGTCAGATTACGGCTAGGCGACATGATGCAGCAGCTTTGGGACACTGAGGACTTCATCGTCGACATCCAGTCACGCGTCCGCGGCGATTGGGCCAGACAGATTGCAGATTACAGGCTCCATATGCAACGTTTCGCCACTAATCTCCAGGCTGGGAGTCGCGGATTTCTGGCGAGATTGCGACAGGAGGAAAAGGCGCAACAATGGAGGTCCAGGGAAAAGGAAGTGCTCAAGCTACAAAGTCTCTTCAGGGCAGGCCACGTTCGTGCTCAAACGCGTGCTATCAAGTCGGAAGTGCGAACCCATGAAGCTGGTATTCGCAATCTGCAAGCTGCTATTCGAGGAGCAATCTCTAGGCGGGACGCATTCGACCAGTACGAGGCTACCAGAACAGTCGAGAAAGAAATCATATTGCTGCAAGCCATCATTCGTGGGATGCTCACCCGAGTGGAACTTCAGGACGATCATCAGTTGCTGGAAAAGCAAAGCTATGCGATCACCAAAGTTCAAGCGGGCGCAAGGTCATTACTTGCAAGAATAACTCAAGATAAAATCAAGCAGTGCCTACTTAACTCGTCGCTTGGATGGGTCTCATTACAAGCCACCGGCCGAGCTGGTCAAGTCCGTTCCAAGCTTGCGTCCCTAAAGCAATCCATGAGATCGCAGTCAGCTTCCATCAGCAACTTTCAAGCAATCCTCAGAGGCGCAAATGCAAGGGAAACTTATAGCTCGCTGAAGCTTTCTCTACTGCAGCAATCGACCAGTACTATCCCTTTGCAGGCTGCAATCCGGGGCTTCATTGCGCGGAATCAGCTGCAAAAACAGCAACAAGCCCTGGAAAGGCATGCAGCCAAGTTCACCCAAGTTCAAGCAGTTTCTCGCGGAGCACTTCTCCGCATCCAGACCGGAGAATTACTCAAAGAACTTCGCGAGAAGCAGAACGAAGTAGTTCAACTACAAGCCCTCATTCGTGCCATGCTCTGCCGTAATCGTGTTGGGAACTTGCTAAGCGAGTTGGAAGTACACGAGGAGTCCATCACCGAACTGCAGGCCTTTGTGAGAGCAGCCGCTATCCGCTCGCGATTTGCAGAGAAGAAGCGCTACTTTAAAGAGAACATGAAAAAGGTGATCAAGATTCAAAGCGTTGTTCGGGCAAAGATTCAAGGAAAGGCATATAAAAGCCTCACTGCCGGAAAGAATCCTCCTGTGGGAACGCTGAAAGGTTTCGTTCATCTTTTGAACGACAGTGATTTCGACTTTGAAGAGGAGGTAGAATTCGAGCGGCTTCGCAAGACCGTGGTACAGCACGTCCGTCAGAATGAGCTTGCGGATCAGTACATCACCCAGCTGGACATCAAGATTGCTCTGTTAGTGAAGAACAAGATTACGCTGGACGAAGTTGTTAAACACCAACGACATTTTGGCGGCCACGTCGGCGCCCTCCTTCCCAACTCAGACATTGCCTCCAAAGACCCGTTCGACCTAAAAGCGCTCAACAAGGCCTCTCGCCGGAAATTGGAGCATTACCAGGAACTTTTTTTCCTGCTTCAGACGCAGCCTCAGTATCTGTCGAGGCTGTTGAGACGTATCAGAGAGCAGGCCACAGCAGAAAAGGAGTGCGACCGGGTCAAACATCTAGTCATGGGTATTTTTGGTTACGCTCAAAAGCGAAGGGAAGAATATTATCTCGTCAAACTGATTGCGCGGTCCATCAAAGAAGAAGTCGACTGTGCCATATCTCTGCAAGATTATCTCCGAACAAATTCATTTTCCAACAAGCTATTCGGAGCATACAGTAAATCGCCTCGCGATCGGAAGTTCTTGAGAGACATTCTCGGCCCGCTCGTCAAAGAGAATATCATTGACAACGCTGTGCTTGATCTTGAAAGTGACCCGCTTCAGATCTATGTTTCTGCCATCAACAACGAAGAACTGAGAACGGGTCGACGAAGCCAGAGAGACCCTAACGTACCAAGAGAGGTGGCAATTCGAGATCCGGAGACTAGAGCAACGTTTATTGCCCACATGCAGGATCTGCGAGACATCACAGATCAGTTCTTCCTTTGCATAGAAGACTGTCTGCAACGGATGCCCTTCGGTGTCCGGTTTGTTGCCCAGCAGACATACGAGCATCTCGTTGCACGATTCCCCGGCGAAGAAACTGATTCTGTCCTTCAGCTTGTGGGCCAGTGGCTATGGCGTCACTATCTTCAACCTGCTCTTCTGGAGCCCGAGAAGTTTGGTGTGGCCGATCGAGCGATGACTCAAGAACAGAAACGTAACCTCGGTGAGATAGCAAAAGTGTTGACCCAGGCCGCTTCAGGTCGCGAATTTGGCGGTGATAATGTCTATCTCCAACCCCTGAACAACTATGTGCGCGAGTCTATCGGACGGTTTGCTGCCATTTGGAGTCATGGTAAGTCGATCAGTGCCGACTTGAGATTTTTCCAGCTAATGTTTCTCTCAGTCATATCAATACCACCAGCAGAGGAGTCCTACGACATTGACGAGTTCAACGACCTGTATGCAAAGACAAAGCCGACCCTGTATATCAAAATGGCCGATATTTTCTCGATCCACAAACTGTTGTCCCAAGAGATTAGTTCCATTTGTCCGAATCAGGACGATGTTCTCCGTGACATCCTGAGAGAATTGGGTAGCGTCCAGAGCAATGAAAGCGAACTCAGGGGTGTCAGCTCCAGTGAAATCAGTCTAACACTAAACCCCAAACTATTGAACTCGGAAGATCCAGACGCGGATGTAAAGGCTCTCTTGACCGAGACCAAGCGATGCGTCCTCTATATCATCCGAATCCAGTCAGGCACCAATCTCCTCGAGATATTGGTCAAGCCAATCGCTCCAGAAGACGAGGAGAAATGGGAGACTCTGGTCAATGACGAACTCCGCGCTGGCAATGGACGTCGTGGTGCTTATACCGACATCAACAACCACCTCGACATCAGTGCCCTCTCGTACCCCGACCTCAAGCGTATTGCTTTGGAAAATATCTTACAGCTCGAGTCTATTGGTCGCTTGACACGCTCCAATCAGTATCAAGACCTTCTCAACGCCATTGCTATTGATATCCGCACCAAGCACCGTCGAAGACTGCAACGACAGCGTGAACTCGAGAACGTGAAGACCACTCTGCAACGACTTAATGAGCAAGCATTGTATCTCGAGCAGCAGTTGAAGACCTACAATGACTACATTGAACAAGCCATGGTTACTCTGCAGAACAAGAAGAGCAAGAAACGGTTTGTTATGCCCTTTAGCAAACAGTGGGAACACGAACGCGAACTGCAACGTTCTGGGCGATCCTTCAAATTTGGTTCCTACAAGTACTCTGCACGGACTCTGGCAGATAAGGGAGTCCTCGTCCGCTGGCGCGGATACCATGAACGGCAATGGGACCGAGTGGATTTGACATTCTCTTCAAATGAGGTCGGGGTGTTCACTATTGACGGCAGCTCAGGGAACATGATGATCCCTGGAGCAAACGCTCAAGTGCCGCTCGACGATCTTTTACAGGCACAGTTCAACAACACGCAATTCATGGAGTTCTTTGAAGGAGCGCTGCGAGTCAATGTCAACTTATTCTTGCATCTGATTATGAAAAAGTTTTATAATGAATGAGCGACGACTGAAAGCATATGGATTCCTGGAGAATTTGGGCGGGTCGTATGGGGGCTTCTCGGTCGACGTCCTGTTGGGAAAGATGAAGGACGGCGCAGGCTGTGAAATGGAGAACAACCTTCTAGGCAATAGAATTTGGTTCAGTCTGGTAAGGCGCCATAGCCTCCTAGCAGATTCGGTCGACTATCTTGCACTCATATGAGCATAGAATCAGAAGTTATCAAATACAAATCGAGTCAATGTCCAGGTCTGTGACGGCCACAATTAGACTCCTTGCTTCGGCGCGGGAGGAAAATTGGTGCCAGGGACATACACTACTCTATGAATGTTTCACAGATCGTCTGCGCGGATCTACATGGGAGAAACACCTACCCGCCTCTTTTTCTTCCGACAAAGGCGAGGTGATGGAACACCAAAACGCCACCAGTACTTGCACCAGTTTCGGAGGGAATGCCGTTCTGAATGATGACGAGCACCATTAGAGGCAAAAGGGAGGTTATACTTTGCGCACGGCCGAATGTGATCCTGTACGGCCTGGAAGAGGCATTTGCCTCATTTCATGATGGTCTGTGAGGTCGTACAGTGCAATGATGTCAGAACGTACGCGACACGCTGGGTCAATGTTGAAGATAGCCGGAACGGTTTCGCTCGCCGAACTACACTCAGCAGCGATTCAGGAAAGAGTTTGTAGAACCCAGTGCGGTGCTGTACTCAGCTGCGATTCAAAAATCTTCAAAATCTGTTACCTCGAGAGCTGCCTTCATTTTGGCACAGGCTAATTTTTGATTGAAACCCGTGATTTTCCTGTCTCCCGCCCATACCGCGCACAATTAGTCTTATCAGGATCAAATAGCGCTTTCGAATCAAGTTTTGAGGTATGTCAGGATGGTTAGGAATAAGGTTCTGGCGTAGAGCGAGATGTCCAGCTGCAGACCGACTAGCAAAAAGCTCACCTTTCGGCGGGTACATACCGCAGAAGCTCATATGTGGACGAGTTGCTGGAGGAGTCAGCTAGAAAGCACTCAGTGCAAGAACCTGGAAAATGGTGATCGACGACATCCAGTCCTGAGCTCGCCGTGCTGCGCCGCAGATCTCAGCCAAATATGTTGAAGAAGCTTACCAGTACTCGAAGCATACCATTGATGAGTGCAAGGCCCTTGCTTTGGGCTTCTAGCAAACCACCTTGGGCTCGGTTTCCCTCTCTTGCGGAAATTGAAGACATACCAGCGCGGTGCACGCCCTCCAGGAATTGGAAATCAAGAATTGGAAACCTGAGATTTCATTTTACGGATAATCGTTCCGCTGTTGGCTCGTGCTGGACACCAAACTGCAAGGCACAGGTACAAGTGCCAGAAGGGGTTCAGGAGTGGACCCAGAGCTTCGCCCCATTCGTTGCCGACGTAACCTGGTCAAGTGGAAATGGAGTCGCACAAGATCAGGAACAGGTCTTGGATCTGTCATACGACGAGATGGGCCTGCACCACGTGTGAGCTAATAGGAACTGGGATCCATGTACTGGTAAACCGCGAACCGATAGAGCGATCTGAGCGATTCGAGATTGCATGGCAGGAAAAATGTCATGAGACTTTCAGGGAAATTGTATTTTACAGCAAGACGAAGTCACGAGGCATTCAAAGGTGTGGGACGTGTGCCGAGCGCCTTGGGTTGGACTAGCTGATATGCCCTCGGAATGCATTCTGCTAGTCGTTTACTACCCCTTTTCTGAAGAGAGTCTCTTGAAGATGCGGTTCGATAAATGGAGGTTTCTGTCGACGCGTTGAGCGCGGGTCAGCTTTGTCCCGGAGGCGGGACATAGTTACACTGATATATATGCATGATGTCAACGGGGCAAAAAGGGGAATGCGGCTCGCGCTCGAGGATTAGCGTTCGATTGATGCAGGACACGTCGATAAGCTCACGGCTCCATATCGTTGACAGGCCTCCCTAGGCTCTTCCCTGGGTTTGTCGCCGTGCCATATCTGGGACTGCCGAATGGGAAGAAAAGACGATCAGAGGTAATGGTGATGTTGACGTGACGTGTTTGAGCCTCGACAGTTGAAAGGTGGAGTGCTCGGCTGGTGCTAGCTCGCGGCCAAAAGTTGTTATCGGCTCGTTAAGCCTGGTTCCCCTTGCATTGGAATGCCTGAAACGGCCGAATCAAGGTGTGCATGACCCTCCTCGGGCTCAGGGGTACCACCATCATGCGAGCTCTGTTTCTGCGAATCCCCGATGGCAGTCCATGTGAACGACCGATAGTCTGAGTGGGTAACATGCTTGGGAAAGGCTGCCGCGGCAGGGTAAGATGATTCTCATCATTCGGGCTATATAGGTGCTGGGCCGACCGGAGTAAGCGGATGCATCAAAAGGAAAGGAACAGCCGTTGCGATAGGAAAGGGAATCTTTTTTCTCCCATAGCTGTCTTCTCTGCTTTGGACCATTCGCATCCCACCCGTGTACAAATAATATTCCTCGATGACGATGCGATAGGATAGACTCACCAAATACGTGCCCATCCGCGTTGCTTGCGTTAGCAACCCGTCAGCCATGGCCCATCACCAACGGAACTCATCGATAGCATCCTCCACCAAGACAGCCACGCCAACGGACAGCTGGGAGTCGTACTTTGACTCTTGGAGGGTGGAAGACGACGACATGCCCGACATGGCACCACCTCCAGCGCCCACCATCATCGAGCCCGTGATAGTGGATGACGAACTATACCACCCGGACAGCCTCCTGGATGCCCAATTCAACCTGGATCGGGCCCTGGATTTGGAGCTGGACTGGGATTTCCAGGAGTATCACCACGACTATCAGGACAGCTGCTCCCCCAAGGTGTTTGGGAGATTGAACGACGACAATCCGGCCAATAAACGGCATGCGATTTGCGTCTCGAATCGGCGGGCAGCGGCGGCGGCATATTGTCAAGGACAAAGTCGAAGAGATCGTCGCCCTATGCCAGTGATACCAATGACCAAGCGGCCTGATGACGTTGATCGGATGGCAAATATGGGGATGGCTGGGATGGCCCAGCCTCGTCAGCCATTCGCGGCACGGCAGGAGGATCCGAGCAGATCTGGCCATGGCCATGGCCATGGCGCATTTGCGAGGAGCCTGCAGAGGCACCAGCGCCGGTCGGATTGCTGTTTATTCGAGGGCTTGAGCCTGGGGTGTCCAAGTAGCAAAAGGCCACACCGGGCACCACAGCGCAAGGAGCATTTCAGAGGGGCAGGAGGCGTGGGGAACCCACCACAGGCGGAGCCACTGGTAAGTTTTTGCCCCCCGCAGTGCCTAGGGTGGCTGTGGACAGCCCTTGACAGCTCCCTATGATTTCATCGCCTAGCACCTCTATACCCACACTCCCTAGCATGCTCGCGACTTACGGTGCCTTTGGTGCCTATTGCCGATGCTTGGTGACGCCCACTTTACGTGTTCCACAGCAGTTCGCACCTGGCTATAGGGCCTCACCAGCCCTCATTCCTTCACCTAGGACCCCTCGACACTTGCCCCTCCAACCTCGCGTCTTCGTCACACATCCGTCACTCTCTCCTTCCACCACCATTCATTCTATCTCTTCCTATCTTCTATCTTCATCTTGACCAACATCTTCCTCATCTGCTCATCCGACCATCTCGTTTATGCTTCTTCGTTTATGCCCAGGACTTCCTCCTCCTTTCCCCCTCCGGCCCGGCTTCCACCTTGCAGCGCCATTTCGAAACCAAGACTGGTAATTGGCACTTCGCCTTTTTCCGTCAAAGCTGCGCTCCGCTTATCCTGCTGCTGAATCATCCGCCTCACCATTTTCTGCAACCACCAAAATCTGGGCCCCAGGACCCTGCCTGCTCCTTGCCTCCTACCTACTGCCGTGAACTTTTTCTACTATCCCGCACCTCATCCTTGGTCACCCGCTGGCAGCGATCGAAATCTCTTGAACCTCTCTTCCTCCTCAGTCCACCTCTCCTCTTCTGTCTTCACATTGCCGCTCCGTTTGTTTACCTGCTCTGGACCATTGGCTAAAATGAGCACCATTCAGAACCTCAAAAACTTTATACGTCATGGGAAGCAGGCCCGGGTTGCCGAACCTCCCCGCGATCATCCCACTACCAACGTCTCTCCAGTTCATGCCCAGCAGCAGAAGTACCACCACGGGGTCACCGATCCTGTAGGCAACCACCATAGACAACCACAGCAACACATTCAACCTCAACCTGGTGAATATTTGGTGGCGGCTGGTGACAATCGAAATGTGGCCGCTCAAGCCGGAGCTGCCGCAGCCCATGCTGCGGGCAAGAACCAGAAGATCCAAGCAGACATCGAAGCCATCGTCGCTGAAGAGAGGGAAAAGGCCAACAAAATGCCCCGATACCCTGGCCTCGAACGCTTCATCCTGGTAGAAAAGATGGGAGACGGCGCTTTCAGCAATGTCTACAAGGCCAGAGATACCCAGACTGGAGACGAGGTCGCCATCAAGGTGGTCCGCAAGTTCGAAATGAATTCGAATCAGGTATGCCGCGAGTCATGGGACACCGCCATGCTCTAGGATTTTCCTTCTGCCCCTTCCACCCCCCTTCCCCCTCTTCGGCCCTGGCATTGCCGTTCCCAGCATTGCACCACTCCCCTCTCTTTCTCTTTCCACCGTCCCTTCTTTCTTCAAGACAGCTTCAAAACCAACCTCTTCTAACCTAGGGCGATGCTCACCTTCATCCGAACTTCAAAAAACAACCAAAAGGCGTGGAGGTGCGCACTTCCATCCTATTCGAAACCTTTTCTTCCCACATCCTCTTTGACCCAATTGACGCACTGATCCACTCCTTACCTCCATCGGAACGAAGACTAACCTCTTCTCATAGCGAGCCAATATTCTCAAAGAAGTGCAGATTATGCGCCAATTGGACCATCCCAATATCGTGAAGCTCATTGACTTTTCCGAGTCCCGACAGTATTACTATATTGTTCTCGAGCTGTGTCCGGGTGGTGAATTGTTCCACCAGATTGTCCGCTTGACGTACTTCAGCGAAGATCTGAGCCGCCACGTCATTACTCAAGTCGCCGAGGCGTTACTTTATCTGCATGAAGAGACGGGTGTGGTCCATCGGTATGTATTGGGGTTGGGAAATGATATATCACGCGTGAGGCTAACCTCGCTCCAGTGACATCAAGCCTGAAAATCTTCTGTTTTATCCTATACCGTTTGTCCCAACTCGTATTCCAAAACCAAGAGGCCCCGACGACGAAGACAAGGCCGATGAGGGAGAATTTATTCCAGGTGTCGGAGCTGGTGGCATTGGTCAAATCAAGATTGCCGATTTTGGCCTTTCAAAAGTTATTTGGGATTCTCAAACCATGACGCCCTGCGGTACAGTTGGCTACACGGCTCCCGAAATTGTGAAGGATGAAAGATACAGCAAATCAGTTGATATGTGGGCTCTCGGCTGTGTGCTGTACACCCTTCTTTGTGGTTTTCCTCCTTTCTACGACGAGTCGATCCAAGTCCTAACGGAAAAGGTTGCTCGGGGCCAATATACTTTCCTGTCGCCGTGGTGGGATGATATTTCGAAATCAGCACAAGATCTGGTCTCTCATCTTTTGACTGTCAATCCAGACCGGCGATATTCGATTCAAGAATTTCTGAACCATCCGTGGATTCGCAACGTCAATGAACCTACCTATGCTGCTGCAGATGCTCCACCTCTTGCCACCCCTCTTCATGTCCGGCAAAAGGAAATTGCCCAAGCAGGCAACATTCCTGCAGAGTTCCTCACCACTCCCAACACGCCAGGGGCCAGGCGAGCGGATTTCAGATCGCCTGGTGCTGTCAACCTACGCGAAGTGTTTGACGTGGGTTACGCCGTACACCGACAAGAAGAGGAAGCCAAGAGGAGAAAGAACTTCAAGCAAGGCTACCGAGGAGCGGGTATGCCGGGTGGATTAAATCCTCTGAATGAAGATGACGATGATGAGGATGAAGATTACGAGGAGGAAGTATCTAGCAAGGTGCCGAAGAATCAGCAACCCGCCGACGTGTCCAGCATGGAAGCGAAGATGCGTCAAACCAACCTCGGAACGCAGCCGTCTGCAGCGGCCCAAGCGCGAGCTGCAGCAGCGCCGGCTAGAAGCCAGCATCACAACAGTCAACAAGAACAGAGAGGTTATGGCCAGCATAGCGCGGCGGTGGCGGCGGCGGCCAAGCAGAGCGTTGGACAGCGGAACAAGCAGCCGTTCGAACTGAGCCTGGACAATTCGACATTGTTGGGCAGGAGGAATAAGATGGTAGCCGCGGCCAATCCGAATGCGCCTTCGAAATTGAGAGAAGAGCTGAGCGTGAGATGACGCGGACGAAGTGGGAGGGAAGTGATTGGAAGGCAGGCTATGAAGGATAATCCGGCAATTCCGCTACTCTCTTTCTGCAAGAACCCACGGGCGACGAACGCAAGAAACGGAGCGTTTAGTTGATATTACGCCTTGTCAAAATTGCGCCTAGGAGGCTCGGCTGGAAGCAGCACGCTTACAGGAGAAGGACCAGCAGCAACCTAATGAACGTCAACGGGTCCTAGAAATGAATGGGACATGACGATGCAAGAATCCATTTGAGATATTTCCTTCTCTTTTTCTTTCTGTTTGGTTCTGGCGTCAGGGTGTATATGCCAATGCCATGACATATGCTCGGTACGGAGCACCTTGTGTAGAGTCACATGGGAAATAGGCACGTGGCCGATGTACGACTGAGGATGTACGAGCTACTGGGCACAGCAGGCTCTTGCTCTCCACACCACCACTTTTGCTTGCTTCCCCTCATTCTTCCTGCATTCGTTGTCGCTTCCAGCGGACAGTACATACCCAGTACGGAGTACTGGGTAGGGCCTTGGGACTTCGTACCTCGTAGTAAACTACATTCCCATCTCTCGTTAAGAGCCATCTCCACACCAACGGCCACGGATATGACCGATCTGCGTGCTCAACTTTTTCTCGCTATAATGCCATTTGCAGGGTTTGGTACGGTGGCAGCCTCTGCGTTCCTTTTTTTTTTCTCTCTTCTCTTTTGCTCGTCATCTGCCGTGTCTTGCTGAAAAAACTGTGCCAATTGCCATCTCACAAATACGAATACATATACCGGACTAAACAAAGACGTCCTGGCCTCTTTGCTGAGTTTCCATCTCCTTCACCAGTTTTACGCCACAAGCCAGGATCAACTCAACAGCTGATCTCCGCCTCTAACCATTGAACCATAAAGCTTCCCTTTTCTCCCGGAGGAATACAGTCCATGACCTTCCAGCACCCCCAAGAACAGCAACAATACCACGGAACTCCCCTGGGCCAATTGAGATTGGCTCCGGACGCAACCCCTCCTAATCCAGATCAAAATCAGCTTTCCCAACAATCATACTCACAAACTCCATCTCACCGAGAACCAAGCCGTTCGCCATGCTCAACCCCTGAAAGAAGCAGATCTTGTTCGCTGTCTGCTGGTCAAGACCCCAAGAAAGAGTTATGGAAGGACAGTGACCAAACGCTTGATGCCTTCACCTCTGCAACCAGAGAAACCGCAGAAGAAGCCCAGAAGAAACTGGGTCGTATGGCTGTCAGTGATACGAAAGAGATTCACGAAATCTCTGAACTTGAACGCCTCAGTGTCGGGCCGCTGCAGGCGACATCTGCGGCACCATCAATCGCTGCAGCACCATTCACCACTTCGTATTGTTGCGATCTCGAACAGTCGCATAGTCACGACGCCTCGGGCAAACCACGGCCCGGATCCTCCTCTTCACCATCATCCAGCTCCAGGACCCCGACATTGCACCAGGTGCCCAGTGGTTTAATCACGGCCAGTCGGGTATCCACTGATGCGTACGGGAATACGTATCCAGAGGGCGGCAGGGAGGCGTGGTTGTGCGTGTTTGGCTCTTTTTGCGGGTTGATGAGCGCTCTTGGGATGATGAATACGCTGGGAACATACCAGGCATACCTTTCCACACATCAACTTCGAAGCAAGAGTGAGAGCACCATTGGCTGGATTTTCGGCATCTACGCCTTTCTGTCCTTCGTCCTGGGCGTACAGATCGGGCCGTTGTTTGATGCCAAAGGGCCCCGTTGGTTGGTGCTTGCTGGGTCTGTTTTTATGCTCGCTTCGCACCTCCTCATGGGGGTGTGCACCGAGTACTGGCACTTCCTGATCGTAATCGGCATCGTAGGTGGGCTCGGGACCTCTTTGGTTTTCACGCCTGCCATTGCCGCGATTGGTCACTTCTTTCTGAGAAAAAGAGGCCAGACTACAGGCCTTGCGGCAGCTGGGGGTTCTATGGGCGGGATCCTCTTTCCACTGACTCTCCAGGCACTGTTCCCCAAGATCGGCTGGGCGTGGTCGACTCGAGTCTGCGCACTGATTAATCTGGTTCTGTTGATGTTTGCGAACCTCTTCATCAGATCGCGCCTACCGCCACGGAAGGCCACCAAAGAAAACATTCTCCCGGACTTCCGGATTTTCAGCGATTCGGTCTTCGCGCTGACCACAGCGGGCGTCTTCTTCGTCGAATGGGGCCTTTTCGTCCCATTGACCTACCTTAGCAGCTATGCCTTGAGCCACGGCGTCTCATCCTCCTTTTCGTACCAGATCATTGCAATATTGAATGTCGGCTCATGCTTTGGTCGATATTTTCCGGGATTTATCGCCGATAAGGTCGGGCGGTTCAATGCCATGGTCGTGACCATCTCTTTGTGCCTGGTCTCTACGTTGGCGTTCTGGCTCCCAGCCAACGGATCCATTGCGTTGATCATCGTCTACGCGTTGACCTTTGGGTTCGCCTCCGGTTCAGGCATCTCGCTGACTCCCGTATGCGTGGGCCAGTTGTGCAGAGTCGAGAATTATGGACGCTATTATGCGACTTGCTATACTCTTGTGTCGTTTGGATCCTTGACGGGCATTCCGATTGCGGGACAGTTGGTGACAGCGTGCCAGGGCGAATATTGGGGACTGATTGCGTTTACTAGTTGTAGTTATGCTGCGTCGTTGACCATGTTGACGGCGGCAAGGGTGGCTGGTGCGGGATGGAGTTTGAAGGTTGTATACTGAGTGAGTGACGAGTGCTGGAAAATTGATGAAGACAAACACCAGTATGTAGAGAGATATTGCAACGAGAGATGAATCACTGAGACACACAAGCCGCTCTCTCTTTCCTAGCTTCGCAACGCTCTTATGAGTCGTCTTGCTTCGTATCCCTCTAGATGTTTCAAACGCCAGACCTGAAACGACTCGAGCAACAGACAACCACCCCGCTGACTAGGCGGCGCATATTAAGGAAGGGGAAGAGAAAGCAGCGCCCGGTGCCACATCGGATCAAAATATCCGGGATTCGCAGCCCCGCGGAAATGAAATTGCTAAACCGTCAGTCTTACAGCAAATGGGGGCGAGAAAACTCAGCTCTTTCTCGGTAAGCAGATCGTCCTCTTTTCCTTCTGAATGTAAGCCAACAGTCTTACCCCAGCCTCTCCCCCGTACTCTATTCTGTCAGAACTTGCGGGCCTCGTTAAATGCCCGGACGAGGAAAAGTGAACTCAAGACAACTGTCGGGACCGAATCCTAGCCAAAGACTTCACGCTTCGTGGTGCCAACTCCATTGCACTCGCGAGCTTGAATGATGTACAAGTATCCGGCAGTCCGCAGCTGGTGCCGCCTGCATTAACTACGAACCCGATGATGGACGACCGGGGTTTGATCCTCGATGGCGATGCCACTGCCCAAGATGTTTACAGCACGCTCCATGCTGAGGAGATCCGTACCTTGTTGCTGGCTCCAGGCAATAAAGGCACCCCTATCATCTGTGAGATGCAAGTGGTATCTTCTCCCAAGAGTACTCAGTTCGAGGCTCTGTCCTACGTCTGGGGTGAAACCATCCCATCCAAAGTCATCTCTTGTAACGGCTTTGACTTTCCTGTTACGGAATCTCTGTACACTGCCCTTCTACATCTGCGCTATCCAGACGCCTGGAGACGGCTGTGGGTAGACCAACTTTGCATCAATCAAGTCCAGGGTCAGGAGTTGATGAAACAAGTCGGGTTGATGGGTATGCTCAACCAAGCTCTGCTTTAGATGACATTCCTGCGTGCTCATGCCAGTCCAGGAAGCCTTTATTCTTCTGCATGCCGCGTGATTGTCTGGCTCGGCAAGTATGACCAGAAGATGTCCCTAGCATTCGAACTGCTGCAGGAGACCTCTCTGAGTTCGAGCCTTGTTCGGTCGGATTTTCTGGACTCGTCGAGTGGGCTTTCCACACCTCGAACAAGATCCCTCGCGGCTCGAGGAACTTCCAGGTCTCCACGCTTGTCGCGATATTCTAGCCGTGCATCGAGTTCGCGTGAAAGCCTCACCAGCCTCTCCTCTTCAACTTCTAGCCTCAGTAGTTTGTCGCTCCCTCGGCCAAGGAATAGACGGCACGACACTCCTCCCGCTTTGAAATACGCGTTGTCGATTTTTCAGCACGTGTACTTCACGAGGAAGTGGACCTTCCAAGAGATCATCCTCGCGAAGGCCGCAATTATCTGCTGCGGCGATCTCGAAATGGCATGGAGCGACTTATCTCTATGGTACTTCCACTACGCTTCAAAGTTACGCAGCTCGAGTCTCTTATACGACTCTAACGGCTCCTTTGAGAGTATCCTGACAGTGAGAAACGAACTGGACAAGGGTACACTGAAGCTCAGTAAGTTGCTCATGCTGACCAGGCCAAGAACGAGCATGAAACCCGAGGATGCAATTTATGCCTTGCTGGGCTTAATGCCTGACTTGCTACACGCTATAAAGTCGAAGTCAAATATCCAACAGCCTCCAGGGATAGTGCCTTCTCAGGAAGAAAACTTGTTCTGCCTTTATCTGAAGGTCTTTCTGTATTGCATTGAGAAAGAGCACGACTTAGCCATCATCAGTGCCGCTGGCAGGTACAGGGCCAATGTCCAAGCAACGAACTGGCCAGGCTGGCTGCCGGATTGGAGGCAATCCCTCCCACTTCGGCCGTTGGTCATCATAAGTCCTATGGATCTTGGCCCGGAGTCCGCCTTTGATGAGGACTCTCCTAAAGATGCGCCGCCTTTATCACAAGCCGAGACTTCGCCCATTTACAGGTTAAATTTCCATCCAGGGCCGACGGCCTCATTGATGTCATCGCGGCCCTCTCTGACAGTATTTGGTGTCCGTCTTGGCTGTATAGTCACGCGTCCACTGTCCTGGCCTAGCGTTTTCTTCGTCGCCGACTCACCAGCTCAGTCTATACTGAGCGGCAGCCCTGATGAAAGCCAATTTACTCAACCGCTTGCAACCCTAGCACCGGCGCTCTTTGACGAACCGTTGAAATCTCACCAAGCTGCATATCAGGGGCCAAACCAGGGTTATGCGCGATTTTTGTTGCAGAGATCACTCCAAGCTGGCGCCCAATGTCGCTCCGTGAGGACTTCAGCCATGGTGCAGTCTGGGGATTGGCTCTGCGCCTTCAGAGGCGGGAGTGTATTATACACGGTTCGTCCACTCGACGGGTTTCCTGCTGCCCTCCAAGCAAAGTCCACGTCACCGAGAAGAGGGAGATTGTTACGTGAATCGAAACGGTCAACGTCATCGACTGGCAGTCCACCTCACCATCCTGCTAAATATCTGTTCTTCGGTGAATGCGTGGTGCACGGCCTCAACCCAAGCGAGGTTCTGTCTCATCAAAACGAAATGATGGAATTTGAACTAGTGTAATCTGGGCGTCGGAATCACTCAAATATACCCCTTAACAGCCTCGACAATGGGTGGAGGTTGTTGTTACCAACTGCCAAGGGAGAGCCGCTTGGCTCAGGCTGGCCGCAAAGAGCGCATGTCGATTTGCGAATCCCTGGACCAGGACCAGCAGAGATAGCTGTTCATGAGACCTATGGCTGACTTCCATGTGTTGTCACGAGGACTGAATTGACTGACTTGACTGACCACAGTTCAGCCCTGTCATTCAGTTTGTTTGTCCAACGCAAGGCCACAATTCCGGCCAATGGACCAATCATAGCCCGGTCTCCCCTTGCAGCGTCTAACTGTTCCGGCCAGGCGAATCATCTCGTTCCATCTTTCAGCTCCAGAGCGTATCGAATTCCGGCCTCCAGCAATTTCTTACTTAAGAGCAATGGATTCAAAGAGGGGTCAACGGTGGGCTTCTCCTTCTCAAATGTCATTTTTGGGCTCATGGGCACCTTACCACCCACCGTCCGCCTGAGTCCGGCGGACCTTCGTCCCACTGCAACCTCATCATCGAAGACTCATGCTTGGCCTGGGCATACGCTGAACAACGCAACAAGGGAGAATATGTGGTGCCAATGCATCTCTCCTTGGTGTCACAAAATGCTGGTATGAAATGCAGAGCAATCAGCAGCCTTGCAATCTCCGTTGCTGGGACTTATATGGATGCAGTCAATGCCAAGACGAGGCTGGTAGCCCCTATCACGACATCCACGTACTCGACAAGCGTCCAAGGTTACGAACGGGCTCGGATTCTTCTGCGCGTACATGTTATTACTCTGTCATGATGGAATCCGCGTGGACTTTGCTCACCACAACAGTCGCTCTTCTCCTATCCATTGGCCGGAATAACTTCCGGCCAAAGGGGCATATAAGCAACTGATCCTGCCCCCGGAAACGAGGAGACTCCTCGAGCGTGCATCTGGACTAACCGCTCTCCTGTGTCGTTTTTGCTCCACACGAAGGGCTTTCGACTGTCCAGTTGCTATACTCGGGCAAGTCTACACCACCTGTTTGATCGCTTCAGATCCAACTACTACGCCTGTCAAGATGACATACCTTGTCGACTCACCACCGCTTCCCCCTCTCTCGACTCTCTTTCCTCATATCCATTCCAATGCCGCAAGTCTCCCACGTTCTGCAGACCCTTTCACGGTTACCACCAGCACCGGATTTCTCCCTTGCCGTTCGCCCCTGCTGCGTCTGCCAGCACAATTCAATGCCTTATCAGCGATTCTCGACGACATGCCAATAGTCAAAGCAGATGGCTCGCCTGGTCTGCTCGCCACCTTCAAGCTCGGCCCTCTTATCGACTCGGGTGCTTTACCAGATTTGACCTCTTGTGTTGATGACTTGCGGACCGATACTGGCGATCTCGACCTCGAAGCCATTACCGCCGTCTTCAGAGACTACAGCTTTTTGGCTAGTGCGTATCTCCTGGAGCCTTGTTGGGAGACGTGGTCGAAAGACCATGAAGCCGGCTATGGTTTAGGGAGAGCGGTCCTGCCAAAGTGCATTGCCTCGCCACTAGTGAAAGCAGCGGACATGTAAGTATTCTCTCTTAGCAACGAGCTTCAGTACTTTTACGTGTGCTCACTAATCCTTCCAATATAGTCTCGACATTCCGCCATTCATGTCCTACGCTGCATCATATGCACTATATAACTACTCCCTCGTCAATCCCGGTATCGGTGCAAGCTTATACGACAATCTCCGTCTCATCCGTGCGTTTGAACGCGGTCTCGACCCCTCAAGCTCAGAAGCTGGCTTCATCTTGACCCACATCCATATGGTCCAGGAAACAGGTCCCTTGATTTCAGGCGCCGTCGACCTCCTGTCAATCATCGAAAACTCTCCCAATGATGTATCTTCCGCAGTCTCGGCATTCCAAACTATGCTCTCTGCCATGGCCCGCATCGAATCCCACATGGAACAAATGTGGACCCATTCCCTACCAAAAGACTACCTCTCTTACCGCACATTCATCTTCGGAATCACCTCACAATCCATGTTTCCCAATGGGGTGGTCTACCAGGGCAGCCGCTACGGAGACTCCAAACCCTTGTATTTCCGCGGTGAATCCGGCGCAAATGACAGTATCATTCCCCTATTAGATCATCTGATGGAGATACCCATGCCGAGCAACCCGCTCACGGAGATTCTCAGAGATTTCAGGAGTTACCGACCAAAGACACATAGGGAGTTTCTGGCGTGGGTCATGAGTAAAAGCGCGGAAGTGGGTGTGAGACAGTACTGCACTCATCATGCCTCGTTGCGGAATATGAAAGGCAACAATGAGGCTGACGAGGACGAGGCCACTGCCTTGCTGTTGCCAACATTCTATCTCAAATTACTTGACCATGTGCGCAGTTTTCGCTGGCGTCATTGGTTGTTTGCTAGGGAATACATTATCAAGCGCTCGTCTCATCCCACAGCCACGGGAGGATCTCCTATCGTTACGTGGTTGCCAAATCAGTTGTTTGCAGTCATGGATTTGATGGAGGACGTGTATGGCGAGAGTGGATTGAAGAAGGTTGTGGAGCAGGGTACACGAGAAACGGAGACAAAGGTGGTCAAGGAGATGATGGATAATGTTTCAAGTCAGAGGGAAAAGCTGGACAAGGAGGTTAACAAGTATTGTGCAGAAAGGGGTGCCTGAGCAGACGCATCCATCTGGCATCAGGGCGGGCTCCTCTGACAAAGATGTGGACTCTGGCCGAGGACCCTGTCTATGTCCAACCAGGAACTGAGACTAACGACAACAACTGTGAACAAGGAGCCCGTCATGGTGAAGAGTGTTTATGTTAAGACCAGCGACAATCACCCGCGAATAGTGAATTGAATGTCTCGGCGAAGGTCGGCTAGGATCGGCGCAGAGGTTTTTCCGGCCCCGGTCCCACCCCACCCATTCCTGTCTTGGAAGCTTTGGGCCGTTACCGTTAATATCCGGGTGACAAAGGACCCCAAAGGACCCCATCTTTCACAGCTTTAGTCTCAGATTGAATGCTCGGCGTGCCGAGTGTCTTGACGATATCGGTGCCCATTTAATGAGATACACAGAGAGTTTATTTGAAATACAATCGTGACAACGTCTGTGACACTGGTTGTTAATATCCGGATCTTGTTCCCCCCTCTCCACCGCTGTATAAATACTTCCTCTGCTTTCCAAACTGTCGGGCTTCCTTTCCACACATCATTATGATCATCACCAGTTTGGGTGTCTATCTTTGGTAACTTCTTTTCTCTTTGTTCAATCTCTTCATGACTTCATGGTTGTGAGTAGATGCAAGACAACACCATATGATCATCCTTGAGACTTCCAGGGAATACACAACAGCTTCAGTGTCAACAGCATCTGTCCCTTGGGGCGACAAGCAAGCCTTGGTATTTGTCCCACCTTGCCATGACACACTTGATCTTGCTCAACATGAATCACTTTCGTCAAAGGATTTCAGAATAAACTGCAAAGGCACGGAAAGCAAAGGGCACATGTCTACGTCGAACTATTTCACTCGATCTTCAAGTGCCAGTCAGTGGCAGGTGTCGTTGCTGGTTAGCACTGAAGAATGATCCATATCCTCAGTTGATTCTTATGATGTTGCTGACAATTGAGTTTTGATTAGTATCATGCGACAGATCGATTCAGGATGGTTGAAAAGAAGAACAACCTTCTGTCTGCCTCTACGAGCCACTCGTTTCCTCTTCGCCCAAGAAGTCTAATCCATTGTTGTGTCCTCGCTTCTATCCTTTCCATCCTGGGTACATGTGGAAATCAGCATCTGTTCGTTGGTGGTGACTTCTCCAGGTCTGTCTCCTTTCGTCTCATCAGAGCTCTTCGAAGAGTTCGACATTGAATTGTGTGCTTGAGCGACATCTTGGTATCCCTGCCACCCAAGGATCCGAGGAAAGAGCTGTCCATTTCCAGCTTAACGGATTCAGAAGTTCTCATTTCCCACGAGATGGTGCAGCGGTACAAGACAGAAAAGCGTCTGCTCGAAACAGCTGCCATGTTGATGGTACTCTGGGAGTATCTCGAGACCCCCAGTAGATTTGCTCTACGTCCGAAGTGAGTAATTCGAAGACGGACCAGCCAAATGACCGGGCTACATATATATATTTCTTTATCGGAGGATCTTCCCGCACTCATTTTTGTTGCATTGTGCGTAATCCGACAAAGTCAGAAGACGTGTTCTAACTGTTTTCAGCTTTGTGCAACGAGTGCGCGTGTGCAGAACCGGCGTGGAGTGCATGCCATCAGGCGTTCGATATGCTCCGGTTCCGGCCGCTGCTGAAGTCTTCACTCTGGGGCATCGCACCACCGGCATTTGACATGCGTTGCAGGAGCCCGCATCCATGCTGGCCACGTCCCATCTTTCTCGAATGCATGCCATGAATTGTTGGCGGAGGGCAGGACTCGATTATCAACCTCTTCTATGAGCCCTGCCTGCCACCCGTTCTGCAGAGCAAACCGAAGTCCAAATGAAGAGGCCAACAGGGAAAATATGAATGCATTCTCCAGATTCGGCAGCCTGTTGGAGGCCTGCAAGCCTCGCATCGCGACCTTGGAGGAGGCGGGTAGCCCGACGGACATTGGCCGACCTCACCGTCGCTTTAACCGTCAGCCGGAAAGTACTGATTGAAAGCAAAATTCTTCTCCGGCATCAAAGTCTGGCGTGGGTGCTGGCAGGCTCTGTTCCCTTCTCAAGGACGTCTACGATCGCGCTCTCTTGGGAGAGATGGGCCGTCGAGCAAGTGAGGTGGTGCTGGTCGAATTTTCCGAGTCATGATCGGTACTCCCTCTATCGCTCCCGCCTTGAGCCCGTTGACATGCCTGTTGGCGTGCTATTCACCTATATTACCCGGTACTAGCTCTACGAGGAGTTCTCGACCATCAAAAATATCATCGACCACAGTCCCCCTTTGTACAACGAAGCTAAGAAGAATTGGGTTAGACAACAAGGGTATCATACAGGCGTTGAACAAGGCTACGACACTATATGAAGAACCTCCTCTATGAGTTCCTAAACAGAGGTGCAGAGTATGGTCAGGCTAACAGACAGCGGTTTCGAGACGACATCAATAACTCGAATCATCTGCATATCACGAAGCAAGCTTTGGGCTTCAGGGTGTTCGCTGCCTTGGGGCCAGGTGACCTAAGCACCTAAGTATCCATCACCCGGTGGGAAGCATACAATCCCACTGATACGTACAGCTTCCACAAGATCGGAATTACCTGCCCCCTAACAAACTTCTTCATCGATTCGGTGAAGCGTGACGGGAAGCTGCGGTACATCACGATGTACGAGCTCTTCCGCTCGCTCGAAGACAAGGTCATCAACCCGATCTTGTGTGATCGAGCTTCTGTCTTTGCTTGAGCAACCAATTGACCTTCGGCCGGGACCAATGAGCTTTGCGGAGCGTGTTGATGGTCATGTAAAAGGGGGGCCAAATTAAGCTTGATAAGACAGCTACTGGGTTGATTGATTGGGAGTCCGAAGATGACTGAGCGACAAGGAAACATTATGGACAGCCGAGTGGAACAATTGTTTGTGTAAACTTCAAGGAGCATAACGCGTCTCCAAAGCGCCGATTAGGCGATATCATTGTCAGAGTAGAAAGGCAGTTGGTTATCGAGAGCAGGGAAACTCCCAAATCAGAACACTCGTGTAATCTCCGGTGACCTCGTCTACCGGTGGCGGGGATGCCGATGGTTATCAACTGGAAAACGCATCAATACACTCCGAGGATCAAGGCCTCGTGTCTCGCCATATTCGTCATTTCATTGCAGCCTAGGGGATGTGCAATTTTTACCTCTTGCCCAGCTACCCGTTCTCAATGGCGGCGAAAGGGAGAGCAATCCGAGACTATGACGGCACTCGTCCCAACGCCATCTTAACCTTGGAGCACGGCCGGAAAGGAAGTCAATTGAATGGCACAGCGACTTGGTCGTCCTCCGGGAGACGGATCACCATCACATGTCGGAATGCAAGATACACCCACTTCGACTGTTCGAGGTCAGAGATATCTGAGTGACGAGTCCAAGATGGCACTCACCAATATGGCCTTCCACCTGGTGTGGAGAGTTGGTTTATATGAATGAATGGCGGTAAGTTCAAGTGTCTGGGATTGTAAATTATATTTTGTTACCCGAGGCCGGGATCAAACTAACCATTTCATAGGATTTGCATGGAGTACTCTTTGCTCCGTTAGCTAGTCTCAATGTTTTGACCCGTTACTTCTTTATGGTTACAGCAGCGGGCCAGTTCAAGTATCTGATTCTGTAAGAATATATCCTGTCATCCAAGCTGAAGGTCCTGCTAACCGTTTCATACAGTTGGCGTCGAGTACAATCCGCCTGCTAGTCTTAGCACTTTTAACTGTTGCAAAGAATTGGCGTTGAGCATGCTTCTTCAGCGAGACGCAAGACTCTGAACTGTTGTCTCTGTCAAAGTCGCCACACCAGTGTGCTGGTACGTCGCCCTCATCCACTGCCACCAATGAATCTGATTGCTGAATTTCTAAGTAGTAGAGGGTCAGAAGAGAGAGTCGACAGACAACTTGGACATGAAGAGCCAAGGCCATCAACCCAGCCTCTCAACTGGCCAACTATTGTGGTTTCTGCCCTTCTTTTGAGCGCCAATTTAACAAGCCATCTCTCATAGGCGCGCATGGCGGGAACTCCTTATGCGGTTCGAAACAGGCAAAGATAGGCGCCATACCGATATAGCTGTTACATGTACCACCATACCCATTTCTCAGAAAGTCGGGTGCGTGGTGAACGTCAAGCAATACAGCCTGAAAAGGGCCTGGTGGACAAAGCCGGAAATGAGACTCCACGCGTGCAGATGCTGTGGTGAGCATGGAGGAATAGTAGGGCGATCCTGGGCAAAGCGTGGTGCGCACAGAATGGTGAAGAGACTGAGGCGGTATATGGTGTGCGCAAAAGGAAACGAGTGGACTCAAGACAACAACATCGGAACTGGTATGAGTTGCCCAGTTCGGTTGCACGAAAACAGCGGCTATTCCAGACAGTCGCCATGAGCCATTCCCCAAATATCACTTGTCAGCTCAACCTGTCCATGCCGTTGCTGTTCCACAATACACAAGGATACGGATGTTTCTTGGAAAGCTACCGTCAACCAAAGGTCACAATTTGCCTCAAGGCTGCCGCCATTTCGCCAATGCTTTGTTCACTCTTCCATCTTTCTCTCCTTGCTGCCTCCTTTACTCTTACCTTTCACCAACGACCGCAACATCAACCACATCCACCAAAGTGTGTTGCTCACTTTGCCGCTGTCGTAGTCTTGGTCGCGATCACCCACTTCTGCCATGGCGCAGACAAGATCGGCAAGCTCCTTTTGAACTTTGTAGTGCAAATACGCTGCTGTTAGATCTAGACCGTTGGTGATCCCGCCTGGAGAGATACTATTAGCGCGTGCGGTATAGGTGAAAGAGAGAGGTAGGGAGGGGGGAAGAGAGAGTATCAAGAAATTCCATGGTAGGGTACCTACCAGACGACCAAATCTTTCCATCTCTCTCCCATCTCCTATCCACAAACTTTGCTGCGGGAAATTTGTCCTTCAATTTGCCCAATATACCTCGTGGGCCGGTGATTCTCTTCTCATCCAGAAGCCCTGCATAGCCCGCAGGAAAGCTTCCGGTGCAGATGATCAAGAAGTCGGTCTTGTCGGCTTTCTTGTGCGCGCGGAGGAAAGCCAACACATCCTCGTCGGGGACCAGATTCGGATCTGGACCTGGGATGAGAAGTGCATCGAGTTGACCCGGTTGAACGGCTGGCGATGACAGAGGGTCCGTCACCGGGAGCGTCGCGGAGGACGTCATGGAGGCGTGAGTACCTGACCCGGAGGCAGCAATGTAGTGGATTTCGACCGGGATAGCTAGCTCAATGAGCGGCTTGGGCAGGCCGCATGCTTCGAGGTATTCATGGGTGAGCATACCAAAGAGATCAATGGCCGAGGCATCGAGGAGCTGCACCGGTGGAATCAGGAGGATTCCGACGCGGAGAGAGATCGCCTTTGGGGTGGTGGACGTCATGTTGCATTAGAGGAAGATATTTTGCGATTTAGCTCGTGGACATGGACGTGGTCATCGAGATTATTGCTATAGTGATAGGGAATGGGGCATTCAAAATGCCAGAGAGTCCAGCCTCATAATGCGTGAAGTCGGACATATAAGTACCTGCTCACGACAACGCAAAGCATGGTTCCCAAAGACATTGGTGCCTGATGCTCCGAAGAGAGCGGATGTGGGAATGTATCGTTCTGCATTTCACAGACTTTTTGCGGGAAAGTGAGCAAGTCTAGGTGAAGTCGAGAGATCATTTGGAAATAGTGACCTCGTAAGGTGCTTCTGCAGGGTTATTGAGTCGCCAGGCTCCAGCATTTCGTCTTGACCGAACTCGGTTGAGGAGATCAGCCATTGGGCGAGAGGGAATGGTGAGACAGAATCTCCTGGAGAGCAGAACAGCATAATTGGGGTTCCTTGAATGGGAGATGAGAATTGTCCCAATGTCATCCAACCGGAGCAGAATGAGGCCGAATCATCTTGGATGGAGATGTCTGGCTCGCTGGATCCGGAAAGTATCCGAATTCGGTTAGCGGGGAAAGCGGGCAATGTGAGTTCTTCCGCCCCGAATGGCCTGGGCCGTAGTGGCCTACAGCTTCTCCGCCCTGGAAATTCGCCGAGGATGATTAAGAAATTATGAGTATATTATATGGAGCAGCTCACCCATGATCTGGATTTCTGTCTATTTTGAAAGGACGCATCGCGTGGCGTAGGGAAGATCCTTTTTCCCTCGCACGCCCTCTCGCCAGGTCACAATGCGGCCAAAGCTCCGGAGTTCCTTGGGGGCACGCATTAGCTGCTGCGGCATTCGATGATCCTGGGACCCGGGTTCACCAGATTTACGTCAACAAAGATAAAGGAGAGCAGCCCAAGGAACCAGCCTGGCACGAGCTGGAGGACACTTTGATATGTGATCTCCTCTAAAAGGGAGAAGGGAGGTTGGTTTCCACCACGGCTTCCATCGGACTTCCAAGTTTTAAGTCGGCTCTTATCCGGCGCTTGACCAGATACAGACTAGGCATCTCCATATAAATAGAGACTAGCGTGCTTTCTCCGGCTAGTGAGGCTCTATCCCCAAAAGGGCAAAACCGGCACAGGGCCTGCCACCATCTTTTTCCCATCCATCCAACATTTGCCCTCTACACGCGCCACCAGGATTTTGTTCTTCACCCCCTGCTGGCGTATTTGTTCGGCCCAAAAAGTCACGTCGAACAAACAAATTATTTTCTTCTCTTCATCGCTCTTTCGCAGGACTATGTCCCCGTTTATCAGCATGCGGCGCTTTTCTCGATCCAGTTCCGTCCACAACTCCTCCCAACCCTCCACCTCAGCCTCACATCAGCCAGCACCTCCCACTTCATACACGCCGCCTCTCTCCCATGCGCCCATGATGCCAAATGGCACGACGGGGTCTCTTCTCGACTCGAGGCCCGTGTCGGCAAAGACCAGCTCGAGCTTCGACTTCGCGAATCGGCCTCCCACCAACTACCAGATCACGGCCCTGCCGCATAACGCCATTGGCAATCTCTCGCGCACCGACCAAATCGTCCTGCGACACTTCTGGGACGTCAAGTACGACGAGAACAAGTCTCGAGATCTCCATTTCGTAAGTCTGCGTTGAACTCCTAGAGAGTGAGCCCGAGCGAGAAAGGTGACGTTCAACTGACGGCATTCACCCCCGGGGGTTCAACCCAAAAGCTCAAATTCCCCTTTTTCCCACAGTATCCGGGTCATCAGGATCTAATTCCTTACTGTGAAATCTACCACCTAGTGAAGACTTCGCCTGGTGCGAAGATCATCAGTCTCGGCAGCGCGAACGGCGTCTACATTGGGTGAGTTTTGAGTTCCTGATAAGGCGAAACTATTTAGGATCGCTCTTATTTGTTGCGCGACAACGGGCGACCTGGTCCGGCTCTCACCCGAGCTAAAATATCTAATATTACATGACGAACTGATCTGACAATTCAATCCTAGATTTGAGCTCTTCTCGGGCTCCCAGCTTCACATCGACATGGACGACAGCTGGCAGAACATCTCGCACCACCGTGTCTCCTTCAAGAAATACGACAAGATGCTGAAGGACCCAGCGTCAGACGCGACTTTCAAGTCCTGGCCGAAACCCTTGACGATCGAGTTTCTAGAGGAGCAGTACCAACGCTGGATGCTCGATCTGACTAGTCTCTGCTGGGAGACCGCCGAGGTTAGGGAGCTTGGCGGAGGCCGTGGGGGCGGCGGTGACGGTCCAGAGGGGAGCGTTGACGGTGACCTGAAAGATGAGATGTTGTAGCTCGTTAGAGGTCTGACCGAATCGACCTTGACCGTGAGGCCTTGATGGCTTCCTTGTCAGTTTGGGCGCGCCCGCGCCCTGTTTTGAATCGGGCCGTCGCAGGTTCTGCAATCCAGCCCAGCTTGTGTGCGTACGATATCACAATCATACCCGACACGCAGACCTTCACCAGAAACAAAGTAATTAATGGGCCCTTTTAGAATTGTAGTTGCCAGGAAAAGGTTGGAAAGTCACAGAAATGAGATACGAGGACAAACGGCCCCTTTTTTCCACCTGCCTTGCAACAATTGGTAGTGATTCATAATGACTTGGAATGACCACCGACAGAATCAACCTAGAAACATCCATGTACAGGGTACATAGCCAGGATACTTGTGTACCTCGTACTTGGGTGCACCTTTCTCCGTGACAGATCCTACACATGCCAAGGAGTGACAGATCAGAATCCTCGTCTGTAAACACCCATTGTGTGCGTCCATATCTGCAGGGTGTGTCAAGTGCTGTGCTGGCAGTCCATGTTGTGTGGATGGACGTGGGTGTACTATCTTCCCATGCATAGATGGAATTGGATGCAGCCTGCCGTTGATGTCCAGTAGAGTCTGCGCCTGGCCTTGCGCTGCGTAGCATGTGCCGTGCCGTGTTGATGTGTTCGTAGTACCCTGTACTATGTTTGTTTCACAGCCAGCCCCATGGACTTGCATATCTGCGGTCAACCAAACTGTCTGTGTCTGCCCACTTGATACATGTTGATACATGATCAGGCTGTTACTATGTTCTGTGTACATCTTCAGCGTTAGTGACGCTTCAGACTTACAGAGGAATTGATGCCGCTACCTTTCGAGATTGAAACGCCCACCGCCCCCTTTGTCTGCGAGTTGGTCTGGATTGAAGGACTGGCAACGCCTAACTGTGGCTAACAGGTTCCATCCCTGAAGTCGAGCAGATGTTTAGTCGTCTGCTGACAAGCTACAAAAGTTCCAGGCCATACAGGAACAGCAAGGAAGCCGCTTTGGACGGAAAAGGCTGGCTACATTTCCATCTCATTGGCTCTGTCAAATTACGTGCACGCTGGCAGGCAGCAGCAGTCTCAGGCAGCAGAAGTCTCGGACACCAACATTGCCTTCATCAACAAAAAAGAAGAAGGGAAAATGTTGAATCAATGCGGGGGGTTGCCTTTGGTTGTGAAAAGAAAAGCTGAAGGGTATCGTTAGGTTATCGTAGCCATACTTACATAGCATGGTCTAAACGCTTCTGCCGAATAGATTGCCCAATTCAACCAAGAAGTGACAAGTCATATGAAGCGAACAGACCAAGTCAATTTGCCCGTAGCACTTGCCCCTATCATCCGCCAAAAGCAGCTTGCCACAGGCGCATACGCGGATGATTTCCTCCCGGCTCAATGACTGCCACATAGATATTTTCCACCAATTGCGACCGGCAAGACTGCCTCACAACGAGCGCGAGGGCCTCAACATAGCGGAAAATCGAAGCATTCAAACGTTTTACATTCTCGAATACTAAAACTGAAAACTCGAGTACAGAAACGGCCCGGTTTGCTGAACGAGAATCTCATGAAACCGAGACCCTCATAGGCATGGATGTTGAATGATGTGGGCACCGATAAAGCGCAGCAAGTTCTTCCTTGCGATCGCACTCTTTTCGGATGCTTAACGTCTTGTGTTGTTATCGACTCGCGGCCTTCATGACGGGAAGTACTCTTCTCTCCAGAACGCGTCAAAATCCGCCAGGGACTTCTGAGCAATGAAGCCAATATCCATGACTTTAACGTTCCACTCGACAGATTGCGACTTTCCGAAATGGATTGGGCTGGCAGCTTCCCAGTCGTGACCTTGGTTGAGATCCACGGCGATCGGTCTTTTTGTGAATCGAGGCTCTTCTGGCGGCGGCCCAGGAGGTGGATCTATATAGCTTGGATACACAATGGCGTGAGCCTGCATTTCAGGGCCCATTTTCTTCTGCCCCACGCCCCGCCCTCCGTAGGAGTTAATAGGGACGCACATGGAGTACCCTTGCCGTTTCCTGACAACAGCCGTCTTTCTGATCTCGCTGTGGATAAGCAACCCATTAGGTCCCTCACTCACTCTTCGCTTGTCGAAACCACGAACAGGGGGGTCGCCAGGTTTTAGGCCCAAGGACTCGTGATACAAGAAGGAAAACACTCTACCTACACAAAAGAAGTTGGCACCCTCACTGCGTAACATGTAACGAGGACCAAGCCGTGTGGAATCCGCCGCCAATTGATCCTTGTTATTGCCTCTGAATTCGACATTCTCAAAACCGCCAGCAGTGGGTAGCTTGTGTTTGTAGTGTTTCCATCATAAAAGTTGTGAAGATCTCAAATACGCACGGGATTTCGGTGCATTCTGTCGCTGGTCGCTTGCCCTCGTGTCTCGCTGATAAGGTGCAATTGGTCTTGAGGCAGGCATAGCAAAGGGAGCAGGGCGCACATCTTGTACAATTGCAGCGTCGGCCTGGATTGGAATTCCGGGAGCACTTCGTTGGTCAAAGGCTCACACTGGGGGCAGCCACGTTCCTGGCGCTAGTGCTGGGAATGCTGGGCATGCTGCTGGTTGTACATAGGCCGACGCTGAAGGGTGGGGGGCATGGCCAGCATGGGACACAAACTGCCTTCCATAGGAAGCATCGGCAGGCAATGGATGGCCATAACCACGTGTAGCCATTATGTTGAGACTGAGGCTCTGTGGCCCAAGCGGATCCATGTCATTTTGTTGTAAGGTCCTCAAGCTTTCCTGAAATCTTCGATGCACTTCACCTAAGATCTTTTCGCAGTCCCTAGAATATCCATGCCAGTTCGGGTCGCTAGGATCTTTACGTCCTAGTGAAGAGAGGTAATTGTAGCGATCTTCGGCAATCCAGTTTCTACACTTTTCGATAATTACATATCGCTAGATGCGGCGCAGCGATAGAATGTGATCGTAGTTTCTTATTGCCTGAACTGCGGCATCGAGAAAGCTCTCCGGATCGGCAGACAGAATGCTGGGTCGCGGTCTATAAAGCGACTGCACTCCGGAAAATCGTCGTATTTGATCTGAATAAATCCAACGACAGCGGCAGACGGGCGAGACGCTGCCACAACAGTCGGTGTTTGTGGAGTCGATTGGGACATTCGACTGCTGCGGATTAGTACATTGTTCCTGACAGGATCAGGAACAGCATCGATTCCGTCACGGACTGGTCGAGACTCTCTTCCGCTTCCTCGCAGGTAAATCCTCCTTTAGAGCGAAGGCGATAGGCGCCTCTCTGCGCTTCAGGTGGTTCATGATCATTGGTTCGCGGTGTGTTTCTGACGCTGCTCATATCTTCTTTCAGATCTTCGGCTGATGGCAATCCGACATACGTACTTCCCGAAAAACCATCATTCTCTTGATAAACACCTCCTATGCTTTCGCTCTTACCATAACGGCCTCCAGCTAAGCCCTTATCCTCTGGACGGGCCTTTTTGTTCTGTCCCCTCGACGTCTTGAATTGACTCGGGACTCCTAGCCGTCGTGTTGCGCCATCGGTCTGAAAGTTGATGGCTCTCATAAACTGCGAAGTTCGCTGATATGTATGTTAGCTCTTTCTTATTCGAATTTCTCGACTTACTAGACAGAGTGTCGTTACGGTGAGATGCCCCTGGGTTATTGATGGAGTCGGCGCTAATAGAAAGACTCCTTATAGGATTCGAATCCTGCGAGGAGAGGTTGACTGATGGCGCCAGATGTGGGCGCTCGTGCAACCCGGATTCTTCGAAGACAGAGGCCTGAATAGATACTCTATCCCAATACGCTGTCAGAAGTTCAGCAAGGTCGGAAAGATTCTCAAGTTTGTCTTCCAGAGCCGTTAGGTTCAGATTTTCTCTACAGATCAACAGGTCAGTTGGAGACGACACATCTTGCCTTCACCACAAGGATGATTTCTATGCTCCTCGTGAAACACTTACCTGATATTTCCCTTTGATCCCAGCATCTCAGTCCAGCTCAATTGATCTAAGACCCTCCTTAGCTCTAGCAGGTGGCCTAAGACAAGCTTTGCAAGACTGTGGTTGTGTAGACTGATGTGTGTCGGGATTTGTGTCTTCTCCAACTCGATATCTGAAGCCCATGCTTTTAGATGGATGTATGCATCATGTAACGCAATAGAGGTCGTTTTATCAAGTAAGCCGGAGCGCTCCTTGTAGAGAAATTCATCCAGGCGGTGAATAATGTGCTGATAAACCTCTGAAGGGGCGAATCTTTCGTGATCTAAACTCCGCTCGTCGAAGTGACTGGCATTCGCCGATACAGCGCTGTGTACCTTAGACGATGGACTATCGACTCAGGCCCAACCATCCCCCATCGCTATGGTTGTTGTCGATCTGGATTGTGGTAGTTAATACATACCATGGCAATACATAGGGGAGGATCAAGCGGTATGAAAGCAATCGAGGAGTTGGGATGCCACGGCAAGGAGGTCTGCCACATTTGCGGGGTCAAGTTGGGTCGCAAGGAAATTCATGAACAAGTACGAGGTCAGCAGGCCAGTTCTCTATCTCATGATTTTTGGGTCAACGCAGACCTGGTGCCGATAAAGCCCAATGCTCCGTACTTCTGGCGTATCCACCATCCCTGAAACCATGCCGTTTGACCCGCTGTCCATCATTTGACTATGTGGGGACCACGACTGGGTTACTCAGTTTTCTGGTCAGCTCAATTGATAACCTTAACACAAAAGTAAGTCACTTCAAAGATTGCAAAGACCAGCTTATTTTCCATCCAACGAAGTCGGAAACGACTCGCTTACGCTAGGACCATTGGAAGCGTATATGGTCTCCGCCTCAGCTGCACGAAGCTGATTTCGAAGGCTTCTTGGGGAGAAATGCTTATCAGGACATCAAAAGACGCCTAGAAAACATACGACTTGAGAACAACAGGCTGCAAAGCATTATGATGAATGGCCTCAGGATCCGGACGCCCGTAAGATGAGCGATGACCTACCTATTGAAACCCCGTTGGACCTTCTTCAACAATCAGATCACTGGTGGCGAACGGTCCGGGCTCCAGCTACGGGCCTGACACAGAGATATGAGGATCCACCACATCCTAAGATAGCTTTCAGGCTATGCTATGCATTGGCACGCAACTTGACACATCTTACAACGTCAATAACCTTCTATCAATGAAGAAGCACCTTTGGGAATCTTATAACGGCAATGTCACGGCGAGAAAAGCCCTCGAACTTATCAGAATCAGAACAGCATTAGCGCTAGGGAACTCCGTTGTGTTGTTGCATGGCACGCCCTGGGTTCATGGCCTCTGTACTTGCGGTTTACGGCATACACCCATGGATAATGACGAGGAAGTATGTGTATTCAAGGATGGACACACTCATATGATGCTGTCGAACGCATGTTTTGATCCTGATTTGGCAGATCGCTCATTTTTACTACTTGAACTGGCTCTTTCCGAGCTTGCAATTGCGAAACCAATCAGCTTGCTTGCTGAGCACCAACCTCATCCCCAATGGTGCGAATGGCAGTTCCTTCTTGGGGTTGACATTAAACTGGAGTGGCTCCAAGAGCTACTGAGCCTCGTCCGCAAAAGTGCCAACGTCAAATACAAGAATGCCGTGCGATTCTGCTTTGTACAGGACACCAAGCTAGCAGGGCGGTTGTTCAGACCTACAGACCTCCAAAAGATGCCTGCAAGAACTTGTGAAGCCGTGAGTGCCTCACGCCTTGTTTGTCTATTTGCTATTCTGCTCGCAGATGGCTTAGTATCGAAGAATATCACGATATCATTGCCCAGGACCTAGCTGGACAACGCCCTCGCGACTGGTATCGGAATCTGATGGTGTGATATCGAGCCTCCGAAATGTGAGGAAACACCCGACTGTCCGACCAACTAACCACCCGTGGCGGCCATCACTTTGGCCGAGATTGAGCCAGCGGTATTGCCCCGTCATCCAAAGACAGCCCCAGGAGTAGACGAGATATCCGGGAGAAGAACGCATCCCCCAATCAGTTTGCATGAACAAGAGTCGGTCCTCATAGGTTCGAGCGGTCTGAGCGGTCTTTGCAGTCTTGGAATGGCCACTCTGTCCTGCTTCCCTGGAAGCTTGTAAGTGGAAGAACGGTGTTGGGTGTCTTGAGCCCTGGTGCACAGCTCTCAGTCTCAGATACAGTATTTCTGCGGTAGAAACATCGCTCGGCAAAAATGCTATCAACCACCATGGGAAGCCTTCTGAGAACAGATTCTGCGCTTGAACAATTTGCACACTCTTTGGTTCCAGTATGTGGGATGGAGCACGCGCCTGACGCTATGCCGTGTGATTAGTGCATGTGACGGAGACTGCAGCTGGTGAAGGTTGTGCCAGTGACCAGAGGACTGTAGGGTGTGCTCGGTACAGGGTAGAAGTAGACGCAGTGATGGTATGTAATACTTGTAGAAACGACGAATTTGGCTGAGACAGTCCAATTGATAAGAGACAGCAGCGCAGTCGCCGTGTGCAAAGACGAGCTGTTGGACCAAAAGAGTTCAATTATTGAAACCTTTACGGGCTAGGTGGGCGTCCGCATGAGGGCTGGGCCAACCTGTTCAAGCCTGGGCCATTTAATTACTGATAGTTACGTATTGTAGGCGGGCGGCTCGTGTCAGTGGCTCAGCGCCTGTGGAGGTTTGCAATTAGCAGGGGGGTGGAGCGGGTGTAGGGGGCTCGGGACGGGCGGGGCTGTGGTTGTTGTAGGTGCTTCGGATGTCGCTCCTCCCGGGACCAAGCCCTGGGGCCATCGACAAGCCATGCCGCATGCCGCATGCCGCCTTTCTCTGCCTTTCTCTGCCTTTCTCTCTACTGTAGACAAATTATCCTCCGTGCCTCATCACTCCCTCCACAATCAGGTTACATGTTTGCGGCTCATATACTTGTAGGACATCGTGCATCGACCGGGAGCAGTGGCCAATTGGCCGATTGGTCGTGGCTTGCCATAGACCAAGCTACCTCGTACTCCATGGTTAAGTTGTTGTTTTCGTTTCCTTGGCCTCGTTTACCTCGTATATCCTCGTAGTTGATCCCCCAGCATCATCTCTTTCTGTTTGGTCCGTGCCCATTCGCTTGATTCAGCTTGACTTTACCGGCTTATTACCAGGCACACGAGATTCTCTGCCATTCGGTCTGGCAACACCCCACAAATTCGAGGCCCGCCTGAGGATGATCTGGGTATAGAAGGGCATTCTGGGACGAGGAGGCTGATTGTGGGGTCCAGCACGTAAAGACTATCCTCCCTAGATTCTCGGGTATGTACTATTGTTCTGGGCGGAGTCCGGAGTCACTCTTGCGTCTAGACAGCTCTTCTTGCGCGTTCTGTCCTCGGTATAATAAAATCCAACACATTACGGGCCCCCAGTCGCAGCCTCCTCTAGCAAGACCTATGTAGGCGTGGATTGAGGGACACGATGAAAATTACCTTGACAGGCCATTACAGCTTACGAGATTGCGTACAGGCTGAACTTGTCCCCCGACCAGATCCAGCCCCTATCAGACCGCGCTCTCCTCGTGTCCACCTATGAACAATAATTCTCTGGCCTGGTGGTCACTTCAGCGTTCGACCAAGGCGCTACCGTCACCAACACTCGTGTCACTCGGCCTATGCAAAATCCAGCCTGTCTGCCGCACAAGGCCCCTCCCCCCCTCGCGAGATATCATGTGCCATTTTTGAAAGAAACATAGGGGATCGCGAATGAAATCCCAAGGCAGACTGCTCGTTCGGGGTTAGCATTGTGACACCGCACTAGACGACAGGTTTCTGAGACGTGCTGCCGTAGGCGCGAAAATGGACGAAGAGTATCATTGAGGCCATGTGATGACCCTCGTATCCCCTGTGGATAAACCCTGCCAGAGTTGATACATTCGGAGGCTGAGCTGCTTCGGACCGCGAGGTCCTCGCTGATTTCATTGCCAATTGGTGTCCCAGAATGGGCCAGGGGAACTAGTATACGGGATCTCAAAGAGGTCTTTGTCTGTTTTCCCCTCGATCCGTTGGTCAATTCTGTGATTGCCTGCTGAATTCGAAGGGTTTCGTGAAGGACCCTATTTGCCCAGTCAGACTCCATATGTGCCTCAGCTGAGAGCCAGAGTCCAGAGTCTTGGATAACAAGGCATGACTGGTGAAGATATTATTTCCCTCCAGGCTGAGTTTTGTGGTGTTTGCCTTTTTACAGTGTCCTCAGCCTTGTAAACGTTCTTTTTGCACTCTACGGCCTTACTAGCACCCCTATCCTGAGCCTTGTCAGGAAACCCTAACCCCTCGAAGAAAGTGCCTGCTCGAATGCCTCGATTGACTTGGTAAAAACCAAAAGGTATGAAGAAATCCCGTCTCCTGCGAGCATTGGAGCGTTTGCAACATCTTTAGACTGCTTCAGGGAAATTTTCCTTTGGCAGTATCAAGACGTTCTTAGGGGCTCTGCATGATCAAAAGCAACAAATCGATGTGTTCGAGACCGAGTCAATGACATCATGACAGAAGCAACACCTGCCAGCCTGCAGATTGAGAGGGACGAGAGCCACATAGCTGAACCTTCGAGCCCAACTAGATCGCCCTCTGCGAGAAACAGACTCAAGATAATTGTCGACCTTACTGGACAGCCAGAAACTTGCTTTTGCTCGACAATGGAAGCCTAGTCCGGATATTTGCTCCTGGCATCTCAGAGTGACAAGTCATTCAAGGAACAGGCCACGGCGAGGTCGGCGTGAAACAGGATCCAAGGCTCGAAAATGGTGACAGCAGTCCTGAAATACTAGGCCCATCCGATACAGTCAGCATGAGCAACTTCGGTCTCATCTTCAGCAAGGCGCTGGAACGGTGCACATTCATTCTTCCCTGAATCCATGGCGGTAATATGACCAATACTTTATCACTTGTGGGTTAGCCTGGTTAGAGTGTATCCTGGCCGAATTGCGATATCGGTTCTTTGTTACCTCGTTGGATCCGATGCTGGGACTGCGCCGAATGATGCTCTGTCGACCTGTACACGACAGTCTCATTCCTCATCAACGCTGTGTATATGACACGTGGTCAAACACAAGGAGGCATTAGTGCATGTTCCTCTCTTCGATGCTGGATACGGGGCGACGTCAAAGCACGGTCAAAAGCTGTTTATCTCGAGGCGCAATTCCTGTTCGTCCTCCGCAAAAGTCCTCTCAAGCGAAGAGTATATTGGCTGCTGTCCAAGAGTGTGCCGTCAACCTTTTCGCTTCATTTTGGGCAGCAATCCAATGCGACACTGCTCACCGCCAAATTAGATCCAGTCAGAACCTATGACCCGTCGGATATGCCGTGCTTCTCTCCCGGGCCAAGCTTTCGGTTGGTTTTTTATTGCTTCCCACTTCGCACACTAGAATCGAACGAACTTACTAGATCGCAGGATCCCAAATGCAGAGTAGAAATTGAATTATAGGGTACATTCTGTCAATGACGAGATGGATATAAGCTAACCGTGGGAAACTTGTCTGCCTCTCGCGGCTGCTGCTAGATACTGGAAAGCCGGATGAAAAATGCGTAAAAAGAGTTCCGCCGATATTGACCTATCATTCGCACGCTGGTGATTTTCGGACACGGGCATATGCTCAATGGTGCAAATCATAACTCGTCCTCCCCATCTATGGCGTTTTTGACTGGTAGCTTTGAAAGCACGAGTGACAGTTTCCGTGAATGTAGAGCGGAGTCCAACCTGACAACGACATGCAGGTTCCGCTTCCCCCCGAAAGGCGCATTCTTGATATTGCTTTTGCCTCGCATAAGGCGGTCAATGGTTGGTTCTCTCCGTCACTGTTCACAGGGACCGTTACGGATTGCCTGGTTTCCTTCGACCGACATTGACGGCGTTGCATTGTTGAAATGACCTGCGATAATTAGAGCTTTTCCGTAGTTCGTCACTCGGAAGTGTCCATATTTGGGTGTTGATTGAATACTGAGTCATCGGTACTGGTATCGAGCCAGCCCTGTCACGGCGGAGGTGCTTGTTCTCGCCCCAGCTCTTTGCGCTGTTGTCGGGGGCGGAAGGGCCGCTTTCAGCCGCTCTTTTAGTCGCCGCCATATCTGCCTTCCATAACTAGGAATGATCGAATTGAACAGCACGATGTGCCATCCACCCGCCTCCGGAAAAGGATCGATCCACGTACGCAATGTGCAGAGTTGGACGCCCTCGTACAGTGTCACGCCGTGGGATGTCAGTACATCGACCCTGGCTTGAGTCGAGGTCCTTGCGGCCCGAAGGCAATAAATTCCAAGCCACGTAGAGAGAGAGTAACTTGTACTTGTGTTGAGTGACGATCAGGGAGGGAATCGGAAGACAAGGTCGAAAATTGGTTTCTTCTTGAGGGAAATTGCGTCTTACCGGAAGGGCAATGGTGCCCCCCACGGTATCAATATCATTGCTTTTGATTAGTCCGGCCACATCTCTTGTGTCAATACTTCCATAGATTGAGGGTCAATCAACATGTTGGCATGTACAAAGACAGAGTAAAGTAGGCTGAAGATGAGGCTGGGATCTAGCATTTTTGGAGGTCAGGACGCAACGAGTTTCTCAGATGATCAACCGCCAAGACGTAAAGGAGGAGGCTGCGAGGCTGAGAGAGAGCCTAAAGCATTTTAGGAAGGTTTGGGAAATGGAAATATTGCCTTAATGTGGAGGCTGATATTGAATGTCGCCAGACCCGCGCAGCGATTTTGCCGTATGGGAAAGGCGGAAAATCCGTAGTCCCACCGGGCAATGTTTTGGCGTTACTGCTAAAGCAAGTCGTTATGTCATGACAGATACAGCTGAAGGTTACAGTAAATACACTCTGACTAGTCGGAGTATAAGTAGAAAAAAAAGGCAGCGACCATTCCTCAAACAGTATACCAATGACAATCTGTAATGCACGAGGCTCTGAAGAAAAGGGGGCAGACGTCCAGGTTTGATTTCCATCTTCACCAATTTCCACGGTCAAAACAAAGTGGGATAGGGTGGGTGGCCACACGAACGAGACCCAACTGACGCATATTCAGCGACTCACACAATGCCGTCCACAAGTCATGCTGCTCCCGCAGCATTGTGGACGGCGTCCAACTGTCGGAGCGCCTTTCGATGAGACTGACACCCTGCTGCTGAAGGTGTCACCACCAGGAGCAGCAGAAACGTATATAGATCGACGGACACAGGTTTTCGCTCACATAAAATCAAATGGTCGCTTGCGTCTTCAGAAATTCTGCCAGCTGCTCTTGCCAGTAGAGACGAAAATAAGGCATCGACGCAGCTGATATTTTGCCGACGTTCTTGACCCTGACGTTATGTTCAATGGTGAAGACTTTGTCGAACCGGATGCGACTTGCAGGGTTTAACTTCTTGTCTTCGCTTGTTTTATCGACCATGATCGGGTTTTTAAACATGACAGACTCCCCAGGAAGGCTTTCTGGCTTGGTATCCTCCATGTAAATGATGGCGTGTGCTTGACGATCCTCTTCGTCAAAGCTGTCCCTGCTAATGCCCTTCCCGTGATATGTATTGATGGGTATTGCCCACGAGAACCCATGGCCCTGTTTGATGACGGCGAAACGGCGGATTTGGCTATAGATCTTTTGGTTGTATGGGCCAAGGCTTGTAAAGCCCGTGTCCTCTGTGTGTCCGACGCCGGTGGCATTGGCATGCCACAACATTGTGAAAACCCTGCCAACGGTATACCATTTGCTGTCCTTTTTGTGATAGCCGAGGTCTAGCTCATCCTTTGTGCCATGACTTTGCGGTCGACTCCGTGTACTCTCCCCGAAGGACGGTCGCAATGGTATTTTGTTATTCTTCTTTTGGGGAGACCAGGTTTGCACCGGATATGAAATTTGTGATACAGACAATTCTCTTTCGACCCTTTCATCTCCAGACACCTGTCGTTTAGGCATTCTTTCAAACTGGCTGGCAATTTGGGCGATTTCCTCATTGCTCTCGCTGAGATACTCTGCAGAGAGCTCGTGAAAGTGAGCCTTGTCGACGTGAGATCCTGGTGGAGCATGGCCGCAGCTCTTAACCAAGAGGTAAAGCCGAATGCAGGTGTCTCGAAGGTTGGGCTCCCCCAGAGTTTCGCACCTCACTGCTTCTAGAAAGAACTGGTAGTCTTTTATCACAGACAGTTTTCGGCGAAGTGTGTCAGCAAGCAATTTTGTGTCTCCACGCTGATTGAATGTTGAGACACAGATAGCATGCCACATCTCGTCATCGTCCAAATAGAAACAATCGCTGCTCACACCTTTTTTCAGATTGTCGGCTGAGGACGATGTGACATTCGTATTTCTTGAAAAGACAGGACCCTCTTGATAATCACCTCCTCGGCTATCTATCTCGCCATGGCGACCTCGACCTAAACCCTTAACCTTCGCGTAGGTCTTCGGTTCTTTCCCCTCAACATCTTGAAGCGACTTGGGATTGCCTGCCTCGGGGCCTACTCCCGTGCTGTCATCTTTCGGCCATGAAGCCACATGTTCATCTTTTGCGGGATGACCTTGTTGACGTCCTCCCCGCTTGGATTGCTGTCGAACAGGCATCTTTTACGTGGACAGACAAAGAAACTATTATCTTGATCCGGTACTCAATGAGGCTTTAGGCTTCGAGATAGCTTCTGGCAGGGCCTAGCGAGCGGGGTTGTGGAAGTCAGGGACCTAGAGAGTTCGTCCCCTTCAACGAACACGCTGATTTGACTGCGTTTAGGGGCAAAGGCAGCCTGATATGCTAGGTGAGTGGCTTGCAGTAATGGAGACGCACGAGGGCACTTGCAGAAGCCTACAAGTTGGAGGAGAAGTATCCTGTAGCTGAAACGCCATCGTTGGGTCGTCTTATACACGATGAGAGGGGCTATCCGAGAACCACCGCAGCTCTTCATTTGTCCAGGTGAGGCTCTTGGTGCAATGTCCTGCTAGAGAGCGTCCCTGTCTGGAGCGCTGTAATGGAGCGTATCCTCCAGTGAACTCTTCAGACGCCTGCATTGTAGAGCTGAGTCATTGGAGGGTACGGAAGCTAGGCGGGGTTGTGAGGAGTGCTAAGGAGTATCTAGACGAGCAAAGAGGTCCCAAGCGACGAACACGTCTCGCGTACCCGATCCAGCAGAAGTTTGAAATAATAGGGCGAGAGAATTGCCGACCCGAAGGGGTGGCCAGGGCGCCGACAAGGGGGAGCAAGGAATAAGGCGAGTACATACGAGTACATACCTACATATGCCCCGACCTCGAACTTGTATAGGGATGGAGTTAACTCCGGGGGATGAAGTCCAAACGGCTAATGATACGAGCCGCTCGTTGTAGCGTCTCGTTACCTTATATGGACGGAGTATCTTACCTAGGTACGTTACTTACCCGGTACACACAGCGCCGTACCCATTACTGTAATAAGCCTGTACCGGGTAAAATTGCTCAGCCGCGTTATGCCGGCCCTAAGGCTAGTGACTTCAATCCCGGGACCGGACCGCCTCCCTCTCCCCCTTGGTGCGCCTACCACTGCCCGTAATGTACCCCTACCGACTCGCCCATTCGATGGTCATGCACTCTCGTCCTTAGATGCGCTGCCTCACTTCCCCCACCATTCTTTTTATACTGGACGTATGGCCCTCCCTTCGGGTTGGGGACTCTCGCCAACATGAATCCACCTTCAAGAATCTTTGGGAATGATCTTTTCCCCCTGGAACTTTCTCCCCTCCTGGTTCAGGGATAAGACGGCGGGAAGCAAACAGCAGGTCGGGTAAGCAAGGTCGCACAGTGCCGACACTCCCTTGCATTGCATTGACACATTGACAGTCTGGTATTGAATCCGGCAGCATCGTCCAACCTCCCACAATCAGGAACTGGACCTCAAAATGTCTCATGCATACACGAAGCTCGTCCGCTCGTTGGGGCAAATGTCGACGCCGGGGACTCCAAGCGACATTCTACCGAAGCGGAAAAGAGAATGGAAAATCACGGTGTTGTGAAGGATGTGACTCTAGGAGGGACTGGACCTCTAGGAGATGCGGCTGAAACTGCAGAGCCAGTGCCTCTGCATAATAGCGATGTGGGCCGAGGTGCCAGCGAACACCACAGCTTGATAGCTCAGGTCTCGCCATCAGACGTTGAGCCTGCTCCTCATTCCAACGCACCAGAATCGACCGGTCGTTCGTTGGCTTTGCGTAATCTATGGAATCAACTTAACAGTACCGTTGGGTCCTTCACTAGTGGTCTCATAACCGCTGATGACCTTAGGCGAGAAGGCGTTCGACAGAGGGAAATTGCCTTACGAGAAGCTGAAAGCATATTAGCTTCTACAGGCGGTAACAATTTGCGAGACCTTCGGGACATTTTGTTGGGATTGCAGCGAGTCGAAACGAAACTGCAGGAGAAGGATAAAAACTTGATTCAGCAATGTTCCCACATTCGCAGCCAAGGTTTAAAAATATTTGGCTCTGCAGCAGAATCTTCATTCAAAATCCTTGAGGACCAAGGGCTCATTGTCCAATCCGAGGGCTCTGATACAGAAGAGTCCATTCTTTCCACGGATGACATTCGACTTGATCAGACATCCGAGGCTCGACGTTATCTCTCTAAGAAAGGCGATGTGGATCTGTTGAGGGAGACCTTGATGGATCTGGATGTGGAGCAGATGATGATGTCCGAAGCGGACGAACAATCGAACATCCTAGAAGACCTCGAGTCCAGGCGGAATGAAGCATTACTTGAACTAGGGCGAGCTGAAGAGGAGTTGGCCAGGCTTCATGACGAACTCCCAGAGAGGAAGGTGAGCATTTCCGAAGAACACCTTCGTCCACCTTCGGAACTGGAGCAGACGGTCGCTGGACAGAGCGATATCGAACGTGAGAAATTGGGAGACAGCGAACTGGGGTCTCAATTTCAGTCGGACGTCCAAGGAAATGGTTTGTCCCAGATTCTCGAAGGCGCGACAAAAGACAATCCGGTCAGATCAAAAACACTCGTTAATGCCTACCTCCTGTATCAGCTGCGGCGGTCACCTCAAGAGCAGCAACACTTGCTCAAAACGGTTGAAGAGATTGGCAGAAAAAGCGATAAAGCTCTGGAAATAGATCCAAGCAATCTTCCCCTCGATATTTGGTTTGAAGAGGAGACATCCACAAAGTCTCGAACGAAGAATATATCCAGTCAAAGGTTTTCCAGAGGGACCAACGCTGACACGACTGCCAACACTCAAAAGTCTCACGGTTAGACTGAACCGCACGAACGACGAAGAGCTCCAGATGACGAATATACCCGTCCGCGGAGTATGTTCGCTGCTTCAAAAGATGATGTCACCCCTTGGATAGACGCGCAACCTTGAGTGCCGGTCTCATTAATTTGCTATCGTAATATTACTCTACATCCTTGACGCGTCCTGCGTGAGTTTTGGGTCTATCTGTGCTTCTGAACTCAAAGGTGCTCCGTCTTCCATCCAATTCCCCAATTTCTGGACCGTTCCTATCATTGCTCGGCCTGTCTTTTCGGATTCAATTCTGGCGAAGCTGTCGTTTGGCACCAGGCCGTCTCCAGGAGACTCCAGCCTTGCCATGCAAAAAGCACCAAATGGTTGTCCAGTGAACCCTAAGCCACGTGCGAGTTCCCATTTAGGGAAGCGTTGAAAGAGACATGTCAGACAATGAGACTCAGGGGGTAGCCTGTTCGACCCATAAGGCAACTTGGGCAATCTACGAAGTCCCAAGCAGTCGCTGTCGATGACCTGACTACTCAGGTGATACCGCCACGAATGATGCCTTCTAACCATTGCCACGAAATCGCTCAATCTCCAGACTATTTCAGAAGATTCACACTGCTGTCTCACCATAGGGGAGTCTCGAGCCGCTCTGTGGACAGTATGGTTGGGTGATTGAACCCCAGGCTGGGTTGGTTGGATGTTGTGCGACCGGGGACTGTAGCAGCTGACGGCTCGGACCTCGAACGGCATAGGCGACCAATATGCAGATTTCTTGATATGCAGCATCCACGGAGGCAAGCAGGACTTGCAGAACCCGCTGCAGTCAAGATATGAAGGCGTGCATATTCCGGCGTAGGCATGGTGCCGAGCAAGAAGCACCCATGTCGAGAAACGCGATGCAGGCCCGATTGAGAGCGAATGGTTCAGACGCACAGCCTCATTTTCACGGATGTCTCGCCGTGAGGCTGGCCAATAGATTTGGCCAGACCCGCACCCACAGCCATGGAATTTGTGGAAGATGGTCACTGCTTGTAGAGACGAGCCATCCACATGAATACTTCCACTGCATAGGTAGGGCTGGAAGCAAGTCGATTTGCTTGAATTGGGTAGCGTGGGGGTCAAAGATGCGTTTTGTGGTAGTTATTTCTTTTCTGGTTTTCCGCATCCGAAGGAAGCACAGCGTCTAAAAAGAAAACGAGAAAGAAAAATACATTGGTCATTACTAGCATTTTCTAAGCCCGTTGTTACATATAACGAGCATCGCCACGACCCGACACAGGAGCCGACAGGGAACAAAAGTGCCGCACGCCCACAAGGTGCAAGGTGCTACACATTCTTCCCGGTTTCAAGGAATCGACTTTCTGTTTTGCCAGGCAGTGCTTGCAAGGCCTTCCCGCCCCCCCTTCTCTCAACTAATATGCCCATTTCGGCGATTCCTGCAGGTTCATTCGGGCCCAATTTACTCCGTAGATCCGCCTTGGCCTCAGAACTGCGGGATGGGCCTGGCTTTATCGAAGGATCACCACCAGGCCGCCCGGCGTCTGGCCGATGGCTCAGGACGGTGATCCTCGTAAATATTAGTTGAGGCGGGTGCCACGGGTGGAGAAGATAGATCCATTCTGAACGACAGCAATGAAAAGCTACGAGGCGAGGGACATCGTCGTCCGACTAAGAACGGCACTCGACGAGTAGCGCATCAATAATGAATCAGACAGAAGCAGGCGAAAAGCAGGGTTCAGGCTGGCGATGGTGTAGGTGGCTCTCCTCTCTTCCTTGTGAGAAGCCATGCGGCTGAAGATAATGAATGCACAACCTCCCCCCTTTACAAAGCACCAATAAAGGCGCGGAACTCCAATTCCCTGCGGGTGCTCGGGGGAATTTGCCTAAGTTGCAACCTCGCACGAAGGTTGGGCAAAGCTCTCGTCGATATGCCATAGAATAGAGAAAGATGCAGCGATGAGGGCACCAGTAGCGAAATTGCTAGTGCTCGACACACTCTGGGAACATGGAGGCCCTTGTCTGCAACAACCTTGAGTTCTCGTATTCCTCGTCAGGTCCTGGGACATGCAACATGAGTACATAATCCTTGCCAGTCATCCTGTCGCACCACTTGGATCCCCTGAAGGACATTCTGGTGCCATGGCTTTATGGGACATTGTACGTAGGCCGAGCCCGTCTCAAGCCGTCCCGAACGGGAGAGCTTCGAATTAGCACCAGATTATTGGGGTGATCCAGTTCGTTCCGGAAGCGATGCGCAAAGGACAGAGGGGAATGAGCAGGGGCTGCAAACTGACGAACTCCAGTTCGTGCCACATGCCAGCGCAACGCAAGCCATTTTGCCGTCTAAAGGACCAAGCCACCAGGCATTCGAACGATCTAGGTCAGCTGGACCTTAGGCTATCGCAAGCCCCTCGACAATTCGCTATTGTTCGGAACAGCTGCGCTTGTAGTATGCATTGGCGGCAACTAGTTAGTCTCTGATTTCGTCAGGACTACTCCATGCTGGGCCTATGCCTCTCATGACCTCTCCGCTGGTGTTGATCAGTCGGTTTCCTATCTGCCGACCCCGCTGTGAGGCTCTGCGGTTAAAGGGGCACCGGGTTCAACCGAGGCATTGCAGCGAGAGACGTCAGGAGGAGGATGGGGACGGGGAGAAGCTGACGCAGAGGATCAACTGCGCCCCCTTGAGGCATGAATGTCCTCGGGTCCGCATCCTCTATTATGGAGTGCGCCTTCAATGTTGCTAGGAGATGTGTATATCGTGAATTCGTAGCAGCCTGCAGCAAGCTGAACTAAAAGGATCCATTCGCTGTAGATAGCAGAACAGAGAGTTTCCAATCTGTGATTCCACCAACAACCAACTGGAACATACGGCAAAATAGCATCATTCGAATGTAGGAAAGACCCGTCATCTTTGGCAGACACCCAAGTATGGGAAATCTCGCTGTCATGCTCATATGGATTCCAGGGGGAAAAAACAGCAATCCCTCGTACGCTAAAATAACCCAGTTTGGTAAAGAATTTCTCAAAATCAAGTCCTACGAAAGCTGTGATAGCTTGGATGGTATCCGAGATTGGAGCCGGAAACGTAAATGGCGTTGAACAGTAGACGGTGATTTGGTCTGGGGTAGGGGTGAGTAACGTATTTCTCAATGGAGATTCCTGCGAGGATGGTGCTTTCGAGACGTCCCAAGTCCCTAAGGGAGTGCGTTCACTTTCTGGAAATAGGACAGCAGATAGGGCAAACTCTCTTTAACTACCCAGCCGACGTCCAGGGCTTTCACTGTATGTTGCACAGTGTGTGGCTGGGAGTAGCAGAGACGGCTCCACGGATTCAGTTGCTGATCTGGGCTTGCTTTCCTGACAGCTATGGGTCTTTTGTCCGACATGGGCTCACCTGGCAGCTGACGGGGTGTTGTGTCGTCCATATGGATTATCGAATGGGCATCGATATCCCTTTGAGATGTTTTGAACTTCCCCAATCCTCGTTTACCGTAGGTATTTATTTGGATACAAACACTGCAACCATGGTCCTGTCGGACGACGACCATCCTGCGGATTGAGCTGTAAATGCGTTCTCCATAGAGCCCAGTGCTCACATTGTCGCTCAAGTACGTGTTGCCCTGAGAGTCGTTGAAGGGTTCATGCCAGAGAATGGCAAACACGCGCCCCGCTTGGTAATAGCTCGATGGTCTCACAATGTACCTGGAGTCTAGTCCGGTAGCACTCTCATTAGGGTCCACGAGTGGGCTTTCTGGTGGGGGCCGTCCTGAAACTGAATGTCGCTGACCCTGGCTAGGAGGTGGCCTGGCGTGGGCACCAGGCTGCGCTGGTTGGGCCCGCGGGGCGTTTGGGTGAGGATTTGGATTGGTAGACTGCACAGACCTCTTAGCATTTGCGCACGCTTCGTTGAATTCTTCATAAAGCTGTTTTCTCGACGAGGAAGTTTTGTCAAGCAGCTGGTCGAAATAGCTCTTGATAAGGTCATCCAGCCCTTCAGTCGGACCTCTTCTTGTTTGTCGTCGTTCGACGAGTTTCTGTATCAATTGTTGCAGTCGCTTGAGGATCAGATATTGCTGGATGCAACTATCACCGTACATCATCTTGCCGCTATATTGGATCTCGGAGCCGCGGCTGGCATACTGATACGCATGAATGGCTTCCCTCCGAAGATCCTGAGGATTTGCCCTGATAATTGAGGGATTCGCACGAAGATATGCCGCCACATTTCCGTAATCACCCCGAGGAATATTTGCGAAAGCCCGAAGCGTCAAGTCTAGAGTGCTGTTAAACATCAACGCCCCTGATGCGGAAACCCGAGAGTTCTGTTGTTCTTGACCAGGAGCAATTTGATAGCTCCGTGGAATTCTGTAATCGGGGTCAGCAATCAAACGCAACGAATTCCTCACAGAGCTCACCCCTCTCGAGGAAATATTGGATTGGCCGCAATTGCGGAGTTTTGACGTCGATCGTCAACGGCGCGTCGCGATTGCACCCGTTGGGGGTCGACCCGTGGCGTAGATCGAGGAGCATCACTGCAAGCATGAGATTGAAATCTGAGAGCATCAAATCACTTTATGTGAGCAGAACTTACAGGCGTGCCTCTTCGGAACCCTGGTTATGGCTCACTGAACCCTCGTTGGTTTGTGCTTCCTGGCGTTAGCAGACGCCTCTCTTGCTGTCGGTGCCGGCTCTTACCAGGAGTTCGACCATTACCACGTCTGTCGCCTCGTATGGGCAAGGACTTGGGCTGGTCGGGCATGACGGATCACATCGCCAAATCAAACAGACGGCAGAATGGTTTGCAATCAAAATACCTTCAGGCCAGGAACGGGTGCTGGAGGAAAGGGGGGGCTCCACGCCCAAGATATACCAGGTCATCAGGACAGGAGTTATCCTGAGCCCTCTGGGCCAGTCCAGGCCAGTCCAGTGAGGAGCATAATGTGGGCGAGTAGTGGCATATCCTGCAGAAACCAGAGCTGCAATGCATTTGGAGAAGTCGAACCGACTGGAGTGAAGAATGCAGTCGGTTAAGCCATGCCTGCGTGGAGGCAGCCTTTTCATTTGGCCGGCTCGATAAGCGTGAGGAGCTAGTGCGAGCGTCGAGAGAGTCGAGAAGCCTGAGGCATCTTGGTGGTGGTAGCGGTGGTAGTGGTGGTAGTGGTGGTAGTGGTGGTAGTGGTGGTAGTAGTGGTAGTAAGTGGTAATAGTGGTCAAGTGGTGTATTGGGTCATGGTATTGGGCCTGTATCAGGAGTTGTAAGGACAAGGGGAATTTGACAAGACGTCCTTGTTGTTCTGCCTCCACCTTCCCGTTGTTCCCGCCCTTCCTCCTTAGCTCGATGCCTAGCTTGGTGCCCGGGGTAGGTACTTGGGACCACTCACCCTAAGCGCAGGGAAGGTGACCCCCAGTGACCTTCAGGTGGTCTTATCTGCATGATACCCTGGCTATCAACTGCCAGTCCGTTGCGGCATCAACCTAGACGGCAGCAAAGCACCTTCTGCATAACGCCTTCCCCCCCCCCCAGAGTCTCTTGCCCCTAACTAGGTAAATGGACGGCCTGCCTAGGACCAGTCACACCTGCATGGACAGCACAAAGGCTGCGGCTGCTGCTGTTATGTTTCTTCCCCCCCTCCGATACAAGTAAGGGCCGGCTCCCCCCTCCCCCCCCCCGATCGACGGCACCGTGCTTCAGCCTCATCTCGTTATTGCACCTCGCTCGCCTTGCTTGAAGCCGGGATTCACAGCATGAATGCATTCTGCACTGAATTTCCTGTCAGGTGGGCGGCAGTTGAAGCGGCTTTTTCAATTGTCCAAACCTGCTCCTAAAACGTCAGCACCCAATTCAATCTAGCCTGTGTCTACGTCGGGTCGGAACACTGATAATTCAATTTTCAGGGATGAATCTTCCCCCAATCGCCCGTCACGGTTATTGGGGCACCGCCGTGAGCACAAATGGTCCTACCCGTCAAGGTTCACGGAAGACCAGGCTGGCGGAGACCCCAACCGCCCGGCATCGAGCTCAAAGACCTCGTACCGTGATGTAGCAAGGCAAAGACAAAAGCAGGAAGACAGAGAAAATGATGACGACCAGCCAGAGGCAGTCGCCGTGGACGCCGTTCGCGATGATTGTATAGCAACATTGCAAAGATATCGAGATAGCCATGCACATGTTCTGAAGCAGATATTTGAGCTGAACGAGGCGAGGGCTCCGATGTTCCAGCAGACCCAAGATGTTGTTGACGCCTTGCAAGACCTCATGCATCTACTGACCGACTTCACCAAATCCGTGGATTTGCCTGACGGCCCCGCCGCTCAATTTGGTGAACTCCAACGCAAATTCGATCTGTTCCGCAAAGGCCGATTTACCAGGTTTCGGGCAGACGAGGCCAGACGTGCTCATTTAGAAGACGACGTCATTCAGTCACTCTTTCACTCTGGCAGGTATCTGGATGGGTTCCTGCAGACGAATGCTGCGGGATTGGCTCCTTTGCCAGAGTCTGACATCGGTCTGGTTTTTGCAACTAAAGAAGACGACCTGGAACAGGAGCCTCCTGAGCGATCTCCGGGGGATGTCCAGTACTTAACAAAGATCGGGGATAGAGACATCATACTTGAACAGCTCTTAGATCTTCGAGGCGAGCAGGCTCAGCTCCTCGAAGAGCAGAATTCAAGAGCTCATTTCGGTCTCAGCTTGGACGAGGACTCGTTACACTTTCTAGAATCCTTCGAAGAGCAGGAGCAGGCTCTGCTTGACGAACTAGAATATGCCGATCTGGGCCTGGACGCCTTGAAGCAGCTTATGATGGATGATGAAGCTCTAGCAATCTCAAATGAAGCTTCAGCGTGTGAGCCTGATGAGGATGAAGGTGCACTTAGGTATCTTGAGAGAGAGATGCTGTTGAGCCAGCCCACGAACCACTCTACACGGCGAGAGGGGAAAAGCCTACTCTATCAAGAAATTCTACATCGCAAGATCAGATGGGTAGATCACCTCTGCGGCCCAGATAGGACACCCGTGGACCACGGCGACTTGGTGAACGTGTGGCTGCTGCACCGGCTACAGTTTCTCCCTCGACTGCTCGGCGAGTACACTTCACTCATTGAGACGCAATTCGAAGAGATTGAAGAGGACGATCTAGCGCATCTTTTTCTGGAAAGGTGGTTCAACGACGCGTCTGCCACCGATTTTGCGAAGCGTCGTATATTTGCGGACCAACAGTCAATGCAAGCAAATCTCGCAGAGTCTGGAGATCTTGAGCCGCGAAGCCTTTCAGCCGTGCCCATCCGACCCACGTCTATACCATTGATGAGAATGGGACCTTCCACGACCACGCAGGACATCATTGCCCAAGCGATGCAGGCACAAGGCATACCGTCTTGATCTATGCCTGACAAATAGTTAACCCATCGTTCATCAACTGTTGCCCTCGAAGCGGATGTGCACTGGCTTACCAGCCGAACTCTCGGCAGGGCATGTTCCTCCTTTCTTTTCTCTGCTACATGCGGTCGAATCAAAGAAGCCTTGGCCTACACTTCCCTAGCCTTGATGCAACTTCTTGCTTCGGACCAGGAACTCGGTTTTCATTTGTTATTCATTTATGTCTTTGTCTTTGTTTCTCTCCCCGTACTATTCGACTGCAGCGTTGAGGCCACGGCGGCAGGATTGAAGCAAAAGAGTGGCGGTTCGTTGTTCAAGTTTTGTTCTGGGCTGGGACTGGGATGGAATCCCTCGTGTGCAACTAAGATATCGGAATCAGGCTGGGAACTGACTATAGGGCACTTGAATTTCGGCAGCGATTTATGACGATCTACATAACGACTCGTGTAACACATGTTAGGGCTCAAGGTCGAAAGCAACAATCCAATTAATGACAGACCATTTTTGCGTCCTTCAGGGTAGGTACCGTAAAGACCAAGCTCTGTGAAACTCCCTTTGGGCATTCCGGCTTTGTGCCTCTTCATCGAGAATCTCTTCACCAAATTTGCCGACCCGGACATCGAGCCCCTCTATGGGAAACGAGGTTCTCTCGACTTGTCTCAACTACCACGACATGGCATTTACATGCTTCTACGGCATGAAGCCAACAAGTCACGGTCACGCTTTTTGTCATTGAGATCCTGCTGGGCTACGTCCGCGCCTAAGGATTTCTCACGATGATGGTGCCCTAGCTGTACACCAACCATCAGCTAAGATCTGCCTCTTCAGGCATTCTATCGAGGCCCCAGACATAGCTCCCACCCCGATGGCCATGACTGGCATGGACGTGGAAAGGCAACACGAGGCAAATAACGACAAAGCTCCAACGAGAAGCCGCCGGGCTTGTCCCGTGGACCTGATCTTACAGTCTACGTTCCACCTACATTTATTGGAGCTTCTGCCAATCCTCCAGGCCAGGCTCCCGCGTCTTGTTGTTGGACGGGCACACTTGTAAAGCCTCCATTGGTCGGCTAGCACCCAATCACTCCTCCCGGATCAGGCGCCCAGGTGTGGCAATTTGCCTTGATGAATGACCTCCCGCCACATCTAATCAAACGGCAACGTTACAGGTGTTTGTCTGGAGCTCCTTCTGTCCGTTCTGACCAAGTCGAGAATGAATTGATGAAACTGAAGGGACGAAATGAAGCACCATTCGCTCTAAGGCACCAAACTGTCGTCCAGGCAGAGGCTGGGAGAACGCGGTATGCATCGATCAAAAGCGCCTTGTTCACACGCCCACACGGGGTTGAAACTCCTGGCGTCCAGATATGACTAACCATTATGACATGCCACTCTCACAATCAGGCACAAAAGCTCCTCCCATGTACGTATATTCCGTCTTTCCTCCTCATCTGCCAAACGATACCTTGGGCGCCAGGTCCCGAGATTGAATCTTCAGTCCTCGACATGGAGTGCCGCTTTGCACATGCACCTAGCACGTCTACCGTGTTTGAGTTACAAGCGTTGGTTGAATGGAGTCAAGGGCAAGCAAGACAACAAGTAGCGACGCGCCGCTCCCTGCACAATCATCCCCCTATCCCAAAGGCTGAACAGGGTGCTGTCTGTAGCTGTCGCGTCCTTTTGTCTGTCCATGTTGGGCATCCGCTTTATCCGACCATTGTCGGTCTTTCGAGACGCCTTGATTCCGGTGGACAACTTTGTTGGTTCCCGTTGACTGGATTTCTTGTCAGGGGGCAACGCTGATGCTTCGAATCGGGATCTGTGTAATCCATAGTTGTGCTTTAGACGGCTTCATTACCATAGCATGTGGCTTGGGAGAAGTGAGAAGAGGCCGAGGAAGGGAAAAGGCAGCAACAAAAATTGAAAACAGTATGTATGCATTGTGGATGATTTGAGGCACATGGAGATGTGAGCAGAAGCTGGACTTCATCCTTCTTCACCTTGGAACCAGTGTCCCTGAAGAGCGGCAAAGATGCTTGCATTCAAGGCCTTGTGTCGACATCCCTTCCTAGTATTGTACATCTCTTTCCCTCCTAAACTCTGGACTGGTCGGTCCATCACGAATTCCCATAGCCGTGCAAACGTCCCGACAGACATGTGTGAAAAGAGTCACGTGTACGCTATCGGATGCGGGTATTTTGTACAGTCTTTCCTCTTTGCTCCCCGCCGTCCCGAATGCTTGAAGTCTTTGAAGTTGTATCCTCTGTCACAATGCATCGACAGGAAACCGCCATCGCCATCGCTCAAGCTTTCTCGGAAAGACAAACCCGCCACGCCCATACAATGGGCCCATGGAACCCGAATGCCATGATGTTGGCCGCCCTTTCCAAATGCCCGCCTACCAGGGTCATAACATCGTGAAACTCATCGCTTGACTCGAAATTCAAACTCGCTTTCGTGCAAGAGTATAATCATAAATAAACCGACCAAGTATCTCTGTTCAACCCTGAGCTCTGAGCGCGCTCACGGCCTTGTTGACCTCGTCGCCGGCGATTTTCTCCCACTTTGCCTTGTCATCCACATCAAGAGCCTCAAAATCACCAATCCTATCATACAGCATTCGGGATATGTCGCGATTGATCGTCGTGTATTCGTCTTTCGTAATGGTTTGGTCATTATAGTGTGGTTTGAGAGCGCTTGCAACGAGCTTTTGCACGTCGGCTTTTGCAGTCAACGACATGGTTGCGCGGTTGGGGGAAGCCTCCGTTGAGCGGGACTTCGCGGTAGAATCCTGCCCGTTCTCAAGGATGCGCGGTACACGACTTCGAGGTCTTGGCTGTGCCAATGGTGTCGATGTTGAAGGAACCGGAGGGACTCTCGGCCCATTCAACCGAGGTGCACTTGGCTCTGTCTGTTTCGGTTCCGGCGAGGTAGGTCGTGGAGGGGAGTATTCAGTAGATGGAAAGACAGGCTGTATGCTCGAAGACAAGCCAGCGGGTGAGCCAGGTCTGAGCGCAGGAGGTGGAGGAGGAGTAGCTGACATTGCCCTAGGTGAAGAATGATTCGAGGGAAGAGGAGACAACGCAGGTGATGAGGGCCGCGGAGAGTTTTGGTCGGCTGGTGGACTTGCTGCAGGGCGGGGAGAAGGACGGTGGAGGTTGATGCTATGCGTGCTAGAACTAGCATCCTCGACTTCTTGCAGAAGGGATTGTAGAAAGCTGGGGGCGGCTGGGTCAAGGTTAGGCTGCCGTCTCGGAATGGGGCTTGCAATACGTGAAGGCTGTCGACGCCGAGTGTTGATAACGGTAGGAGTATTACCGTCAGAGACAGTGCGGCTGGACGCGCTCGGTGGTCGTCGCTTAGTCGCAGACGACGATCCATTTTCAGGCTCTGCTGGGGATGACGTGGGGGACTTCCGCTTTCTTTTCCGCGTTGAGCTGGGTTCATTCGACGAAGCTCGAGCTTGCTCAAAAGCATGCCATGCCAGGAGTTCATCAGCACTCTCGGCTTGTGGACGTGGTGATGCTCTCTCTCGTCGATTCCTTGGTGTGGACTCGCCTCCAGGGCTGCTGGGAAGTGCAGGTTCAGTCTCTCTGAAGCGACTGCCAGCTCCATGGAGTTCTGCAACCTGCATTCGGCGCAACCAGGCATCATGGGCCTGCCGATCGGCCTGGTTGCGTTGACGATGGCGCCTCAGATATCTGGCTGATGATTCGTCATCTTCATAGGGAAAGTCAAGGTCAAGATTGATGCGTGACCAAACAGACTGCCAAACCTGGTTCCAGCTTGACTCTTGACCTCGTTGCCTGCGCTGTTGACCTCTCGTGCGTCTTCGGTTTTGTCGCCCCGATCGAGCAATTGCACGAGGATCAAGCTCTCGTTGTGCTCTGCAGTTGTCACAAAACCAATGGCCGTAAGGCACCTCTTGCAGATCGACACAATAAGTGTGCCACAATTTCTGACAGCCATCACAGTACATCAGGACATCTTCATTGTCATCTTCACCGCACGCTTGACAGGGCTGGTCCTCATCCTCTTCTTCTGGGATTTCGAGAAACATGGAAGGATCTAAGTCGGCGACCTGCGTTCGATCTTCGACCGAGTAGGAAGAAATGACGTCGCCTATATACGCGTTAAAATGCTGTGCAATTAGGGCAGCGACTAGACTTTTTCGGACTTACCATTGATTGAACGCATTAGTTCAACAAGACGGAAACTGGCACGGCAGATCGGACAACTGTTAGCTCTTTCCACCCAGGGTGTAAGACATTCATTGTGCAGGTAATGCCCACACGGTCTCAAATGGGCGATTAGATCGGTCACGTCTTTGCCAGATGATGTCGTGGCACTTGGTTCAGGGTCGGCATCGATTGTCCTCGAGTCGGCGGCGGCATAAACGGTGGGTGGAGACTTGGCAGGGCTGGCAGGGGGAGCTGCAACTTCGCCATCGCCGCTGCTCAAGTCTCCTAAACAGACAATGCAAGTGTCGGACATGCAGAGATGTAGCCGGAGAATTTCCAAGAGGACTCGAGCAGCAGCAGGATCATGGGCACAGTGCGGGTGTTTAATGGTGGCATTTAAAGTGTCAAGAGAGGAAAGAAGCGAAGGTGCAGGTGGAGCGAGTAGATCCGATTTAAGGGCCTCGCTGAGGAGGGCAGCTTTGGCGGACCAATGAAACTCGGCAGCTTGGGGGTGGGCTCGCAGGATGACGAATGTGACTGGCTTCTGGGGCTTTGCGCTCAGCGTGCACAGCTTTGGTGGGTTGTCTCAGCAAGGTCCTCGGTTGAACGCCTTCAAAACGGGGTAAGCTCCGAGACTCGAGATGATTTGCGATGGCAGATGACGCCTGTTCGTGACTAAACCCTAAGAAAGGACATTCAAGGATCAGGCAACAAAGAGGACTGCGTTCACACCTTGGCTTTCCGTCGTGTCCTGGAAGAAATGTCGTCGGTGGACGAGTGGGGTCACATACTTGGAGAAATTGTGCCAGTGTAGGTAAGAAGTAGCACCTTTCCTCCAAGTGGCGGTGAATTTGAAGCCGGGATATGGATGGGCCAAGGCGTGAGACTTGGCGGCCACCCATAGTATCCTTTCCATTCAGGCTTCGGTAATCATCCGACCACCCAATGGAGAGAAATTTGTTGCGTCTGAACTGGGAGAACGTTCGCGGCTCGTATGGCATCAGTCATAGACAAGAGGCTTCGAGCAAAGCTGCCTCTGCAGACTTGAGGTCGGATCAAGATCCGCTGCCCGAAGCCAGGGATTCAAAAAACAGCAGAACGAAGGGTCAGAGTGGTAAAGAGGAGATCGACAACGAAATGAGACCATTGGTCTTTTTGGATTCGTTCATTCGATTGGAGGTCTAACGATTCGGGTTGGGTCATGACAGGCAGCGTTTGCTTTCATCGATGCGGATGCTGCACGTTCTGCTCGATCGAGACCGATTTTTCAGGCTTCGCCTGAGATGCTACTTGAGAACTTGTGGAAAAATTCCGTGTCCGTGGGATTGAGAACTCCGAGTCCCTGCTAAACATTGCTTTACACCTCCGCAATTTCCCTCAGTCGTCGAATGGTCGATCTGGTGGCGGCCGCAGCAGGAGTCCTGGAAAGGGGGGTAGTTGTTAGAAGGTTCCGACCCGTGGTTCAGTATGGCCCTCCTCTTGGACTTACGAAACGGTCCATGCACCTCCTGCCACTGTCTTCTTGCAACCCTTGCAGTTCCAGATTCCGACTGCCTGTCTCTTGACGGTATTTTTGCCGCAGAAAGTGCAGATGTATCGGGCGTGTTGGGTGATTTCCATCTTCTTGACTTGTTTGCGGAGCGATGCCCCATATCGAGTGCCATATTTACCGGTCACGCCGACCTCTACAGGTGGTCAGCTATGTCTCTGTGAGGTTGAGGGAGTGACGGGAAACTCACTCTTCGTGCGCTTCGTCATGTTGGCGGTTGTAGACGAAGGATTGATGGGGAAGGTGATCTGGAGATGTCGTTGCTGGTTCGCAATTTGCACAAATGCAAAAGTTCGAATGCGGATTTCACAGTGCGGCCTAGCGGCTTGGCGTGAACAAGGATATTGTCACGTGATATGTACCCCGCTGAGTCAGCGCGCCCTCGAGAACTCCACTCCACATATCAATGCAGCCATAAGGGGATCAGGCCCTTAACATCTGGAACATGTTCATGCCACACATCATTCCACTTTCCAATGAATGGCGGGGGGTAATTGATGTGTCTGACAAGGACTCCGTATTACGGGGATTTTCCAATTACTTTTTTTGCAGTTGTGAACTTGGTTGTGTGTGGCGTGAAGCGAGTTTTTCTGATTTTGATGCATGTGCATTGGTCCCGGACTTTCTGGCGCCTGACAAGTCTATTAGGTAGTGCCAAAAATATCGCTCTTTGGGGGACACTACCGAGTACTCCGTATCGCCTTCCCGCCTGGAGTGAGAGGCTCCCGGCAGTGGGCGTAAAGGCCCCCTCCCCGAGGAGTAAATAGTATGCCCAGGCGCCCCTACGATATCTGTCTTCTCCGCCTAGCCCTGCCCCTTAAACCTGCCAACACGCCCTGCACGCCTCCAGCCACGTTCAATCCCACTAGTGCTCGGCTGGGGAGCCAATGGCGCCCACCACTAACACCTGCAAGTCTCAGGGCCCAGCAGCTGGCTCTCTTGCGCTCTCTGACGACCTGTTCTTTTTTGTCGTTTTCCGCAAGTTGGTTCAGCTCATTCGCGTCTTTAGCTTCCTGGATTCCTGGGTCCCGCGTTCTGCTCAACGTCAAACCCCCCCCCCCCAAAAAAGACGACACCTTGGCCTTCATTTCTACACCGTATCCATCCAGCGAGACCTCAATTGCTGACCGTTTCTGGCCCTGTCGATAATCTGTTTTATTTCCATTCCGCTTCTTGTTGTCTCTTTTTCTCTACGTTCTTTAGAGTACCCAGTATCCTGCCCTTCATCCCCTTCTCCTGACGACTACGTGCTAGTCTCTACCTCCTTCATTTTACTTCGGACAGCTCACGTTGCCTCACAATGGCTGCCAGCCGTCAATACGACATCATCCTTCTGGGAGCCACTGGCTACACGGGGAAGCTGACCGCTGAATACATCACGACCAATCTCCCAACCAACCTCAAATGGGCCGTTGCTGGACGCAATCAATCCAAACTTCAATCCTTGGTCGGTGAGCTGAAGTCCCTGAACTCGACGCGCAGCACTCCCGACATCATCACTGTCGCCAGTCTGTCTACCCCTGAATTGACCCCTGTGGTCAAGAAGACCAGAGTTCTCTTGAACGCCGTGGGCCCTTACCATCTCTACTCGACTCCGGTGGTCGAAGCATGTGCTCAACAGGGAACTCACTATCTCGACGTGACCGGCGAGACCCCATGGGTCCGCGATGTCATTGTCAAGTACGAAGACACTGCCAAGAAGTCCGGAGCCATCATGATTCCCGAGGTGGGCGTTGAGTCCGCCCCGTCCGACCTCGTCGCCTACATAGCCACTCGTTTGATCCGCAAAGTCTGGGATTGCGGCGTCATGGACATGATCGCCTCGGTGCACGAGTTGAAGTCCTCTGGTCCCAGCGGCGGCACCTTGGCCACCGGGTTGGGACTGGCCGACTACTATCCAGCAAAGGTGATGAAGCAATGCTTCGCCGACCCCTTTGTGCTGTCTCCTTCCCACTTGCGGCCATTCACCAAGGACACGATCTACCCACGCAACCCCGAACCAAACACATACCACCGCACCGGTCTCCAGAAACTCACCGGCGTCTGGAAATATCCACGCCTGGGCCATTTGACGACTTCCGTCACCGCAAAACCTAATGAGGCTATTGTCCACCGCTCCGCTGGATTGACGCCTTACTTCTACGGCTTCAACTTCACGTACGAGGAGTACATGGCCGTGGCGAGTCCTTTGGTCGGCGTGTTGATCCACATCGCCGTCACCATTTTGGCCTTATTGCTCGCGTTCCCCCCGACACGAGCGATCCTAAAACTGTTCACCACCTACAAACCCGGCTCTGGTCCGACCAAGGAATCCACCAAGGGCGATGTTCTGGAACTCCGCGCCGTGGCCGTGGCCGAACAGCTCGCCAAGAACCCACGCAAAGCCTTGGCGCATTTCCGGTACGAGGGCGGAATGTATGCTCTGACCGCCTTGCTGATGAGCGAGGCCGCCATGGTCATTTTGGCAAAGGAAGAAGAGATCAAGAAGAACCACGGCGCTGGTTTCTTGACCCCGAGTTGCTTGGGAGATGATTTCCTGGAGAGGCTGGAGAAGGCGGGCGTTAAGATCGGAGTGCAGCAGATTGGGGATGTAGGCAGCAAGTAAGAATCACCAGGGACAGCAACGACACGGAGATTGTTGACTGAGGCGCAATCGAGGTCCTAAGGAGGCTTGGAAGAGAGACCTACTGGTATGCGCGGGTAAATTGGTGGGGTTGGATGCAAAAGGAGTCAAGTGGATGACGATGATGGTAATCTTTTTTTGGGATCCGGCTGCTGGCTTGGGGATGGATATATGTTGACATGTAAGTTTAGAACATCCTCGTTCAATACAAGACGTTGCACAAAATCAAGAAGGAAAATATCGCAGTCCTCCAATGGGGCATCCCAGTCCAAGTTCATTTGCCACGGAACGTGCGAGACGAAACAGGCTCAAAGGTGATCCTCAGCCTTGTCCTTCCTTCGCTGCTCCCTTCAAACGGCATCTCAATCATGATCGGCGACGCATAGTGCTGAACAACCGACTGATTTAGAATCCGCAACATCTTATATGCATGTACGCCCTATGCTGATAATGATGCATGTGCTATAAGCCCACCTAGAAGAGTATGACGCACCCACTGTAGGGATCGTCGTTGAAGAATGTCCAAAAATCCAACCCAACCCATCATCCGCTTCATCTTCATGGCCCTGACCTGCGATCCTTCTCTTCTTTCATTCCCCATTGTGGGCATCCTCCAAGTGTTCCCAGTCTTCCTGCCTTCGCCCACTCGTCAGATATAACTAACCTTAACCCCCATCCCAACGGTTCGCCGCAACTTCTCCCATGCCCTCCTCGCTACTTCTCGTGTCTTCTCCCTAATCTGCTTCTGAGAAAATGCTATTACAAATGCCAGCACAAAAAGCAAAAATCGCAGCATTGCCGTGGGATTCTTTTGTAGGGTTGTGGCGAGATTACGAACCAGATTTGAGAGGGCAAGGAAGAGTTGACGGGCTTGTGCTGCTAACACGTTCTGTGAGGAGGAAGATTTGGAAGAATTCTTTCGTGTAGGTGGACGACGTGGAGTTTGCGCGGGAGGCGAGAAGTGGGTGCGGCCGTGTATTGAAGAACTCGAGGGGCCAGGTGGCGGAGGAGATTGTGGTGTCAGAACAGGTTGAGGAGGGAGATTCGAAGATGAGACGGTTGATATTGTGTTCTGTTTTGCAGCAGCATGCGCGCCGCCGTTTGGATGTGCCCGTTCAATCCCATAGTCAACCTCGCTGCTTGTCCGTTGGTGCTTGGACGCGCCAGTTTGGGATGGAGAAGAAATTTCGGCCGTGGTGCCAGTGGGGCCAGTACCTTCTTCCTGTGATGGCTGTTCCTCTGTGTCCTCGAAGACGTCCTCCTCGGCAACAAGGCTAGATTCCCTTTCCGTAACGTCTTGAAGTTCTTGTAGGGTCTGCATAAATGCTTCCCGTCTCTCCTCATCCAAAATATCACTGTTTGAAATAAGACTCTTCGCGTAATCCCACTCACTGTTTCTGGGCAAAACGTGCAGCGTAAAAAGTTCAAGGACTTTTATGCGCGAGGTGAGGTCTTTGGGGGTGTTGGCACCATTCAATCCCGTCGATGGTTGGTGGCCATTGCTCAAGGCATGGTCGAGGTGGCTCGAGAGGTCGAGATCAGGATGTGAAGACGACGAGAAATAGGCTTCTAGACGGGATTGATTGAGTTTCTGGTCTGCGGCCTGTCCAAGGAGAAGGTTTGATCTTTGCTAGTGTTAGCATTGTGGCAGGCGACATGGAGCAGGGACACGGGGCTGCTATACAAATTATAGACAACCTCAGAATCAACTGAGCCCTCTCTACCCTGGTAGCCATCCTTGATAACCTGTTCCCACACCTCGCCATTCTGCACGCGCCTAACAATCTCTCTGTATTCTTTTGACCCGAACAACTGTTTCCCCTCTTCGTACCCAAGATCGACAATGGAGTTTAAGAGCGTGACATACAAGCTCCAGATCTTGATGCGCTGACTGGTGGTCGCGGTCGCAATGGGTGCCAGAGCCGGGCTCTCGTCTGGTCTTTTCTGGCTTGGAGGGGTGATCACAGGCTGCAGGACTTCGTATGCCTCCAGCAGTCGACGGGTGAGAAACAGTTGCGAGGCATGCTTGTAGATTTTGGAGATCTCGGATGACGTCCGCTTGCTCGACTGGTTGAGGGACGAGATTGACGAGGAGAGGTCGCGGGAGCTTGACTGAGAGTCCGTGCCAATCGACATGTTAATCACTCTCAGGTCGTATGGCGAAAGTAGAGCTCAAGAATGCACAAAAAGAACACGATTAGCAATCACTTGAAGACTGAGAAGGTCAAGTCGGCGGGTCGGTGTCGAGGAGAAATAATGAACGTAGCACAGTTTCGTCACGGCTTCAGTTACAAGCGAGCGAGTCCAGCCGCTTGAACCTCGGCAACGAACTCGACGTCAATTTCCATCTCCCGCAAAGAGGACGCACTACGGGTATGCAGCATTTCCAAGGCAATCATTGATAGAATTCAACGCTTCGTAAGATCTAAAATACCCTCCTGGGTGGCATTCACCTGCAACTTGTTGCTGATCAGCTGCCAAAGCTCCGCATTCTCTTCCCATCTTGGTAGCAGTCGGCCTTCCTTTACCAAGTCCGCTATTCTCTGTTGTTCACGGATCTTCGATTCCTCTTCTGAGGTTTCGGCAGGATTATCTTCTAGCATGTCGAAGATGTTGACTTTCTTGGATATTGCCCTCAGTTTCCCGATCTCATTCTTGGATTCTGGAGGTGGCTTTGATTTCGCCTTCGTTGCAACAACTCTCTCGCCAACCCCTTTTTCGTCTCTTTCTATGTATGATAGCTGTCGTGTGACAGATGTTTTCGACCCTTGTCCAACCGCGCTCAGTGCTCCTGTCAGACCAGACCTAACGGTCGTTACTGGGGCTTTGATCATGTCGACGAAACTTTGCGTCTGGCCTTGCTTCAGGCCTTCTTCTCCCGCCTGGACCTCAGTTGTTGTTTGGGCCGTATCTTGTAATGTAGCGTTTGTCTTCTCTTCTGTTATGCCACCAGGATTTTCAACCAATGATTTGAAATCTTGCTGCTCTCTTCTCAATTTGGTGGGCAACTTCAACCCGATCTTGGCAGTTACAAAGCTGTCAAAACCAGCCTCATGGTAGTTGGCGACATGAACATATCGGTCGAAATTGAGCGGTAAATGTATGTTGGGTAGTGCCACCGAAGCCAGGTCGCTTTCAACAGCTCTCAGAGATGTGTCGGCCCATCGCTTGTTGCCCAGGCCAGCGACATATTTGGTGTCGATGACGATGGGAAACAACTCGCGCAGCCTTGCACTGAAGTCTGCTACTTTCTCGGGAAGGTCCCCAATGAAACAGCGATACAGGTTCATAACATCTGTCAAGCAGTTGTGGCCGACTAGCGCTCGTGACCGGCTTTGCAATGTCGTCTGGAGCTGGTTGAGAAAAGCTTGCACGTCCTTTGGTTGATCTTCTGGTGGAAACCCAGCAACGACGTAGTAGTGTGGAAGTTTAGAGATATCACCTCCGGTAATGGCCTCCAATATCCAGCGGAATCCGATAGCGTTCTCAACCTCTATCTCACGCTTTCGTTCACGTTCTCTTTTCTCATTAGCTTGCTGTTTGCTAGTAGGATTGGTGACTTGGACAAAATGACCCATTCCCTGCGTCTTGAGGTTTGGATATTCGTTTCTAACGATTTGATGGGTCAACCGGACCTGGTAGCGATTCAATTCAGAAGGTATCGGTTCTTTGGCGTCTTCTGTAGGGATATTGAGATAGGCTTCCTGCTTGCCCTTGGACGCGGCTTGCCACTCGTCAATGGACTGCTTGATATGTTCCACCAGAGACGAGTCTTCTTCCTTGAGTTTCATGTCAGGAATATTCGATCTCATTTGTTCGTCTTCGACTAGCTTCTTGCGCACTTGATCCTCCTCTTGTCGAGAAAGGTAGTGGATACCCTGTTGAATGGGTTTATCGACGCTGAAGCCATGGCGTATCAAGAAAGAGATTGCTAGCGCGGTCAGCCATTGGAAACAACTAGTAAGCAGATTAAGGCCGTACCACCACTGTTATATGACCACACCCGAGCGAAGACTGATTCTTTTGTTGCGGGCAATGGGCTGAGATGGAAATTATAGGGCCGAGCTTCATATCGTCCTGGTACGGTCAGTTCAAGACATTGCACTTTCACGCCGTTTTATGGAAAAGAGTATGTCCAAAGAGGAATATCTGTGAGCTGCAAATCATGCACAACTTCTGTCTTGCAGATCCGTGCTTGTAGACCGAAAGCCAGATGTGTCAACATCAGATCATAGACAATGCATACCTTCCTCAATATCCTCGGTGACAACAGTGATCCCGACTTGTAAGACCTGATAGATCTGTGCCGCCGATCTCAGATCTTGGTAATATTGATGCAAATCAAGCTTGCCCGAACCGGCGCCAGCCCTCCTCGCCGCAACACCTGAGAACTCTAGATCAAAGGCGATGAAACGGCTATTGGCGACATGTTGGATTATTTTGATGAGTTCTTGCGAGAAGTTACCACTGTTGATATCCATGGCGCACGGAAAGGTTCCTGATGGCGGATCAAGCGGCGAGAAAGGAGGCCCGACCAGCTTGAACGGTAGACACGAAATTTTGCCGTAGAGATCAAGCAAGCGGCGGGAGAAGGTGGACATATAACGGAAAACCAAAGAGTGCTAGGGACGAGGTCGCTTATTTGCTGCAAGAGTGCAAGGAGCGAGAATGCCCTTTAGGTCTTGTAAACTTGTAGGAGTCATAGAAAGGCAAACACCAACCGACTGACGAAATAGAGAGTGACAGTGGTGGCAGCTCTCAGCTCGATCATCCAGCGCACTGCACACCCTCACACAACATGTTACTCTGTACTTGACTCAAAACTGCCTGTCTCTCAGACTTACCCCATATCTCGAACAGATCGACGGCGCGACAACTGTCAGGAGAGTCGCGTGCTCATCTTCTCGGCAGGGAAGCGTGCTGCGTCAACATCATTTTCTGGCTGGGCGAAGGCGAAAAGATTGTGTGGGGGAAAATTCGGCCGCATTTTCCATTCTTCACTGCGGTCAATTGACAAGCTGCCCCACGACAAGTCCATTTGCTCGATAAATACATACAGACACGACTCACCACCCCCCCCATCGAACGACGTATTGTCCTTCTCCTTGACTAGCCATTCCCCGTCTTGATTGCCGCGAGACATGCGACTTGTAACTTGGTCGGATTAATCTTCTTTCACCGGCGGCATGTTTGCCTCACTTCCCTCCACCCTGTCCTCACTCCTCCAAACGTCAACTCTCGAAGACCACGAGCAGATCCTCTCGGAATGTAGCAAAACGTTGAAGTCAAACGGCTCTGACATCGGGACCCAACATGTCAAAGTCGTCGCCCTCCTCAAACTCGATCGCTACGAGGACGCCGTGAAATTCATCGAAGAAACTGCCGGGCTGAAGAACAAGGTCGAGCTGGAATATGCCTATGCTTTGTACAAGACTGGCCGTCTGAAAGAGGCCGCGGAGTTGGCGGCTACGATAAAGGGAAGAGGGGCACAACATGTCGAGGCACAAGCCCGATACCGTCTTGAAGACTCGGCCATTCCTTCGGAACTGTACAAGCGCCTACGAAGTCAAAAGCTCGATTCGGAGCAATACGATCTGCGCGTGAATCAGGGCGCCATTGACGCTCAGGCGCAATGGCTTGGTCTCGCTGATGCCCAATCAATACGACGAGTTGGAAGAGAAGATCTAGAAGCTTTCGAAACTGCGTATAACGCCGCCTGTGGAAGTATTGGGAGGGGGGAATATGGTCAAGCCGAAGTTCTACTGAAGCGAGCAAAGGAACTATGCAAGCACTCGGACGATCTCACCGACCAGCAAAAAGCGGACGAGCTCCTCCCCATCTCGGTTCAGCAGTTGTTTGTGCTATTATGTTTGGGGAAAATGGCAGAAGCAGAGAACCTTGCTGGTGAAATCAACGCGGCGGACGCCTCCGACCTCTCAACCCGTAGAATCGGCCAGAACAATGTTCTATTGGCCTCGTCAGTGTTCAACCCCTTCCTCGCTCACAAGGCTTTTCACGAAACTCCCAAGATTCCACCGAACGATAGACTCTTCTCGTACCAGAGTATTCCCCTAGAGTCCAACAGAATTACCATCGACCTGCAGACTTTCAAATTCGACGGCATTGCCTCATCCACGTCCAAAACCACCAAAGGAAGCACTTCTCCCTCAATATCGCCCGATGTGCTGCTAGCATCCTACTTCAATGCAGCCGCTCATGCCAAAACCGAAACAGGCAAACCCGCCATCAGAAAGATATTGCCGCTACTAGCGAAACGGCCAAATGACATTGGGTTGATAATCACTTTAGTCCAATTGTACGTGGTGAGTGGAGACACAACCTCCGCGGTTGAATTGGTTGAGACGTTGTTCAAAAGACTGGAGATGTCTGTCGCCGAGGGCGAGCGAGATATCAGATTCAACCCCATGCTTGTGAGTCTCATGATCAGTTTGTATCAGGTACGGGGTCAGAAAGATCATGTCAAGCAGGAACTTGCCAAGGCTGCAGTACATTGGCGAACCAAATCGAGTGCACCGATGAGTTTGCTCACCGCTGCAGGGGTGTCATTGTTGGAGTCGCAGAGTGAAGAAGACGCGAAACTCGCATCCGACATCTTCACCAAGCTCCGCGAGCAGCAGCCGAATGACAAGGCTACGATTGCCGGTTACGTGGCGTCACATGCCCAGGATGACGAGGCTGTGGTTGGGGCAGATGCCGATAAGCTGACTGGCACGGCTGAGCTCATTCGCAATATCGACATCGACCTGTTAGAGAATACGGGAATTCCACAGTCGTCGAATGCTCTCACAATAGCACAACTGGGCCGGACAAGAAAACGAGGTGCTCCGGCGGGTGGCAATCTTAAACCCAAACGCATTCGGAAGTCGAGATTGCCCAAGGACTATGATGAAAGCAAGAAGCCGGATCCTGAGCGGTGGCTGCCTATGAGAGACAGAAGCTATTATCGCCCTCCCAAGGGTAAGAAGAAAGGCAAGCGCGGAGGTGGTAGTGATGATCGCACCCAGGGTGGCGCGGTGGATGAATCCTTGAATGTTGACGCGAAACCCGGTGCCGCTGCGGTGGTTACAGCCTCCGCGGGAGGAGCGAACAAGAAGAAGAAGGGGAAAGGGAAGAAATGAAGGAGCACGGAGCCCTGGCCCCAGCAATGTACCTACAAGTAGCTGTTCCCACGCAGTGGGCAAAGATACATTGTCTCGCGTTCCAACCCGAAGAGCGTGTTGAATTGAATTTAGACACTGTCTCTGACTGTGATGACAAGCAAGAAATCACCCAATTCCGCCACTCTTGACATCGGTGACGATCCAGGTCTGGTGTATGAGGTTCAATGCGCTTCGGCGCGATTCTCGGCTCGAAGGCTCTAGCGATGGAGGGGGCCACTCTACTTCGTACGCACATTCAGCTGGACAGGAATCTGAGACATATCGAGACCGGTTCCAGCAAATCGAACACGAGCATTAAAGCTTTCTTAGGCTGCCCAGGTAAGGGAAAAGGAAAAAGAGGCAAACATTGGCTGTATTAGAGGGACGGAGTTACGAATCTAAAATCATGCGATGGTGGTGGTGGTGGTGGGTGGCGGGCGACGAGATGGAGGAGGGAAAAAGGAAGCCCACCAGCCTCACTGCCTAGCCTCTGTGGGTGCGGACAGAGCGAGGCCCAAGAGGTGAGTTGGTGAGTGAGTGGTGAATGCGTGGTGAGAGAGACTGCGGTGCGCTGCGCTGCCCTCGGATCCTAATCGTCATCTCTCATCCACCATCATCAACCTTCACCCATCATCCATCCATCCATCCATCCATTCCATCATTCTCATCGTCATTCTCATCCTCACCATCTCCATCCTCCCCCCTCCTCCTGATTCTCACCTCTTCCATAACCGCAACATCGTCCACATCCAAGTCATTGTCTGTTTGCTACCGTACCCGATACCCGGACAGGAAATCGCCCCCCCTGGCTGAAGCCATCGTTTCCTTCTCGAAGCTCCCGAGTCCCAGCCTGTCCGCTAGCCCATCGCTTCAAACGGGCCTCCCCGTCAGCTGCCGTGTCACCAAGACCAACCAAGGCTAAAGGGCATTAGGCCCCATTTTGTGGCACACATTTTCGTGTGGGATGACGACTAGATCCAGGGCCAATGCATGCCGAGTGCGTTATCAAATCCCCCTGGCGGTGCTGGTGCCTCGGGGTGCCCCCAAATTGCTGATGCTGACTGACCGGCCGACACGTTCAGAGCAGGTCGGTCCCGGTCATGAGGACACATTGTCATCGAGTCTGTCACCACCGTGGGTGCCCTCGACGGAGTCACTTTCCCTCCTCCACAATCAATGATCGATCTTCCGCTTTCGGCTTCGATGCACCTTGTTGGACGGGCGGTGTGTGGTTCCCGGAAACCTTGTTGCGTCCATGGGTTCCCAACTCCCCGGTTCCCTTAATATTGGAACACTGTGATACTGCGGCTGATTGGCCGGCCAGGATGATTCCGGCCGGGGCGTGGCGACGTATCGGCACACGGCTAACCTCCATCTAACGTGCAAGCAAGGTATTTTCTTCAGCTCGTGGCCTCCCCTGAGGCAATACCCCCTTCTGCAGGTCCACTGGGCCGTCAACTCCGTAAGGGCCGCATGATTCGTCCAAGGGTTGCTGAGCCTAGCACACGAGTGCCGGTCGCCAGCAATATTGGCAGTTTGGCCACATCCATCCAACGTCCCTACCTCTGTTCTCTCCTTCACCAGTGACAACCTTGCAATGACCTTTCAAAGACAGGTGCTCGCATCCTGATGCCACTGGACCTCTACCAATTGCCTTCCTATTCCGTTGCTCAACTTTAAAACACGACATGTTTCTCCTCCACTTTTGAAAATGCGTGGGTCAGGTGTCAGTGTCTTATCTCGCTGTCAACTCTCCTTCCGGCTTGACGCGGTCCATGGCTCTTGGTAAAATCGACCTTTCTACACAGATATACCACATTTTGCTTGAGATTATCACCGTTTGTCTGCCTGCGAAAAACTTTCTACTGTGCGACCGCTAAGCTGGCGACTTGTCTACGGACAACTGACAACAGAAAACGTTCGGTTGACGTGTCATCTTTGCCAGAACAGCCCTTGAACGAGCATATTCAGTCGAACCCTCCAATCCTTCCACCCAACAGGTGTGCTCGGATCCGAATTTGTCCTACACAATGGAGCTCGCCTGTGAGGACTTTGTTGCCGTCAACGTCCCTGCCAACTTCCAACAACCCGAAGACCTGCATGAGTACTTTTCACTGCGAGCACCGCCAAACACAAGCATCTGGCGCAAACCGTCAGCGTCCGATGACACGAGTGCCCCCATGATTCTAAAACGATTACGTCAATCCTTCATTCTGGCGGAAGTAACTGTGTCCGCCGACTTTGCCAGAGAATTTGACCAAGCTGGCATCGTCATTTTCGCTGGCTCGCTTCCTGATCCTTCAACTCGATCACCGGTTATCGCGCGTCGAGTCTCGCGATACCAAAGACCCGGGAATGAAGCTTTGGCAACGGGGAAATGGGCCAAAGCTGGCCTGGAATTAATAGAGGGGGAGCTCCATGCTGCCTCCGTGGTGGCGATTTCCCCTTGCGGCGCGGATTGGGCTTCTTCAGCGCGCTTACCTTCGCCACCGACGCCGTTTGGCTCCTACTCACTCACTTCGCACTCCCTCCGCATTAAACTCGAGCGCGTCGAGGAGTCCCTCTGGATTTGGTACAAACTACCGGATCATATTGCTCCCTTCGAACAGCCACATCATTGTTACCCTGGTCTTGATCCTCGATACCAACGGGAGCGCAATCCGGAAGACGTTGCATCTGGGTGGAGGAAGATGCGCGAGATCATGGGCTTCTTTGGCGGTGGGTTGGAACATCAGAAGGGCACGGTCTGGGTTGGATGTTATGCGAGCAGACCGATGGAGTTCGAACCCCGGCATAGCTGGGAGACAGTCGATGGTTTGGTTGCGGAGTTTGAGGATTTGGATATCTTATGATCCGCTGCGCTGTATTTGCGACCCAATTAAATGGACAAACGGTCAAAATTGAGACTGCGGCTTTGCATACGAGTGCAGTCGATCCTACCACCAGGAGGTTATGAACTGGGCCAAACCTGCAAGGCCAACTTTTCAGATCTTGGCGTTGCAATGGTTCAGGTCTGATTGGTGCATTTTCAACAGGAGATGAGATGAGGGTACACGAGACAGAATCACCATGATTGCATGAGCAGCAGACAGGTGCACTAATTACGGAAGACAAGAAAGGAGGAACACGATTTGTGAGTTTCCTTGACCCCGGGTCAACCGACGATAACCGAACGACTTAAGGGCCAGGAATAGCAGAGGAATGGCCAGGGTATGGGACAGGAGACGTTGACGATGCCAACGCTGAGACTTCAGTGATTGCACTAAGAGTTTCTGATATCCTGCAGAGGTCAAGAGATGGATTACGAGGCGGCAGGATATGGGTTCGGGAGATTTAAGTATGCTGTCGAACGACAAGCATATTATCTGATGGTGATTATTGCAGATCTAGTTCTCTGTTTTACACATTCGGCATGACAGCGGTAGAGGATGAACGGACTGGGCAACCAGAAAAAGGCCGTTTTTGTCTAAAGAGGCCCAGGATAAGGGATGGGGGAGATGCAGATAGACGGATGGGCTGGAAGATGAGTTGCCGGATTCACCAGGCCAGAAGCAACAGCATGGCCGGATCGAGATAGTGTGCGCGTGTGGCACGAGTGTATGTATTCTACGAATCGTACTATACATTAGATCTCGGAGACCAGATATAACTCCTCTATATATCCAGCCGAGTCGGTAAGAAGCAAAACGCCCGCAATTGCGGCTTGCACAGCGATACGAGACTTTCAAGACTGAAAGTAGAAGACGGAATTTGAGGACCAGGAACACAGAGGGGTGAAGTCAAAAGAGTCCCATCTATCTATCTATCCACCTCGGGGCCCAACGGTCTTACCATCTGCGGCACGAGAAAAGGATTCGGCACCCTACAAAGTGCCTGCGTGGCGATCAGAATCCAGATTGGAGGTCGCGGTGGCAGAAACCCGCCAATGCGTTTTATGTAGCCAGAATCAGAAGGCTGTGTTGCACAACAGGGAGAAAAGGGTCTCGATGCGAGGTGAAAAGGGGGGAGGGGCAGACAGAGATAGATTGGAACAGGAGAGGATGGGGAAAAAAGAAAAGTCAAAGACTCGGACGTGGTTGGATTGTTGGCCTGGTGAGCCTCCTCTACAGGTGGCTTGTCGTCATGATACATGATCCTTGCTCAAGAAACGATGCACATCGTGTATTGGCATTTCGTGTTCCGTGAGCCTGTCGAAGAATAGCAACCCTTATCCTCCTCCGAGCGCTGGGCAGAGAAATGCAACCCGACCTGACCTTTTTGTTCTACACAATCTCGCCTGACTGAGGCAGATATAGTTATCCAGCATCAAAATGCCTCAGCGGAAGTTGACCCACGTCCACCTCTTAGCTGATAGGTTTGATGCACATCCTTCCTCTGCAATTGGAGGCTTGGGCTAGATAGTGGGCTCACATATTTCAGAACATCGATGCATTCATCCACTGAAGAGATTCGTGTCTCTATCTGAAGACTCCAGTCTCTGACCAGCGCGGAGGAGTGAGATGTGCACTGATAGAACTTGGCGGCGACTGGTGGGTGTGGGGGGCTGTTGTGTGGGAAATGTCATGTTGATAAAGGCCGGTTACAGAACCCCTCTGGATTGCCACGATTGCTACTGCCCAATAGCTCAATAAGACTCGACGACACGGCGCCCATTGCCTGCGGGCATGTCGCCTTGATGGATTTCAACCTCCACACCGCGTTCTTTTGCCCATGGAATGATGTCCCTGGCCACGTTAGGACAGTGAAGAAGTGTAACCTTACGTAGTCGACCAGTCTCTCTGATCAGATCCGACACAAATACCCCAATGGCTCCAGCTTGTTCGAAACAAAGTTCTTCTAGAGCCGAACAGTTCTTGATATATGCAAAGGCGTCCGCGCTGATAAAGTTGGCATTGACAATACGAAGGTATTTTAGACTCTGAAACCAAGGCATGCTCATCATGTTGACCACCTGCTGAGCGACATCCTCGTTGACTGTCACTGAACATTTTGACAATTTCCCCGGTGACGTCTTCTGCACAGAGGACAAGACGAATAAGGGGAAGTAGTCACAGTTAAGGACTCGAAGTTCCTGGAGCTCGTTCAATGCAGGACAAAGTGCACAATCCATATGTTGGGCCAGGAAAACGCACGAAACGAGACTCAATTGCCTAAGCGATGCGGGTAGGATAACTCTGAGCAAACGAGATCCAAGAATATCGAGACTTCGGAGTTTCGTCATATGACTCAGGTCTAGAGTACCACTCGATGTAGGCGTACTTTCATAGGAGATGCCCTTACAGGACAGAACCTTCAGCTGGGGGAACTCGAGAGAAATGCGGTCCTAATAAACAGTCAGCTTCCACCGGTAGTAGTCACATTGTCAAGGTTCATCACACACATAAGCCAAGTAAGTGCAGTTAGTAGAATGGAGCTCCAATTCTCGGAGACTGCTGCTGTTCAGAGACGCATCCGCAGCGAACCGCCCACGCACATTTTGGAATTTGGCAATCTCTAGCGATCTGCAACTTTGTAGAACAGTGCGGATCCATTCAATAGGGGTCGGTATGTTGCCGCATCCAACAATAATAACCCTCAGATCATATTGGGTCATGGGCAACAAGCATGGGTAGAACTTTGCATCTCGCCATTCGAAATACTGGAGCGCTGGAAATCTCTCCCAATGTGACAGAGTCTGGGCAAGGTATTCCGCCGTGGGGCCTGGAAGTCGGGATACTTTGACTGTTCTGAGAGTTCGACACCTTTTAAGAGCAGTGATAAGCGACTTCGGGGTGATTTGCTTTGTAGTGTTAGGAAAGGCCAGAGTGTCGACCAACGGGTGCGAGCTGCTAACGGTTTTGTTCCATGACTTGGAGACACGGAGCAAACGTATATTTGACCGGTAGTCGAGAAATGAAAGAATGATTTCGATGACCTCAAGCGGCAGGACAACAAGGGGATCTTTGGCTTGGGAGAGCACGATTTCGGTCCTCATCTGGTCGGCTGTTTCCTTCATTTCTTTGACGAGCAACCCGTGGTTCGCATCTGAATCAGGGACTTTCTTCAAGCCATATTCAAGAAATCTCATTGCGGCGATTTTGTTGTTCTTGCGCCGTTCGATGACCCCAGCTCGGATATAGCCTCTGGCGTCTTTAGGGTCAAGTCGGATCATAGCTTTTGCGTCTTTCAGAGCCTGGTCCAGACGATCTAAGCGTAGATACACCGCGACACGGTGTTCGAGAATTTGGATGAGAGACATACTCTTGTCGATGTCGGAGACCTTGAGAGCATCATTTACAGCAGTCAGGGCGAGAGTATAGTCGCGTCTCCGGACAGCCTCGAGACAATTCTCAAGTAGGGGTTTAACCCGTTTTGGGGAATGACTCAAAGCCATCTGAGCGGAGGGGATACTCGACATGTGCTTTATGGAGCGGGCGAGGAGATGCTTTACCAGTAAGATAGTACTATTCTGTTTAGAGGGATAAGGTGCGAGGAGCGACGCGTCAAGGTCGCGATCAGGGCAATTCAGGGTTATGAGATGCACGTGATTTTCGGATAAACTACGGGGGCGGCTGCGTCCATGTTTACCACTAGCCTCATTTGGCCTCATTTTGGCACTATCCGACCACCTTGCAACTGCTCAAGTTCAGAGCTCTCCAAGGAGCAGCCTGCACCAGGCCCTTCTCAGCCCCGTCAAAATGGAGTCGAACAGTCTAGAAAGAGCATCGCAATACCTCAACAACCTCTTACTCGCGCGCGGTCTCCTTTCAAATGGAAAACCCATCGACTTCGCCCGCCCAGATCGTAATGGGTCTGGCACCAACTCGACAATGTCCCGGATCATCAATCTCGTCCACGACTTGGTTCTCCGACGTGATCAAGACGCCGAACAACGAGAGAATCTCGCCATACATATTCGCCAAGCCCGCGCCGACGAATCTCAGCGTGTCCTCGATCTTCAAAGGATGCAGGCCAAGAATGCCGAACTGTCGCGAGCTGCTGCCGCGGCCGAGTCGCAGGAGCGAGCACTAAAGATCAGTGTGCGTAAACTAGAAATCCAAGTAAAGGAGCATAAAGAGCAGATGTTGAAGATGAAATCTACTCTGGATCAAGTGCGGGCCAAATGTCTAAGCGACGTTCGCAAAAGGGATGCCGAGTTGGACAAGCTAAAGTCCTATTTGGCGGGAATGCAGCGCGGCAAGAAAGACTCAAGTGGGATGAAAATAAATACCATAAACTGGGAGCCAGAGGTTAAGGGTAGGGAATTGCGCAACGGCCAGAATGTGAACAGCTCCGAATGGAGTCTAGAAAAGGAGAGCACCGGGTTCCTGACCGCCTTGGTCAATGAGACGAGTACAGAAAATGTTACACTCAGAAAGATCATCACAAACACTATGGAAACTATGCGAGATATCACCGGACTGGAAGACAGGGAAGCGGGCGCTCAGGACGAAGAAGACCAGAAAGACGGGACACAGATACCAGACCATTTGCGCGAAACCAAACGAAAAGCGACCCACCAACAACCCCAAATCGAAGGCCTTACCTCCTGCGACGAGTTAGCTGAGCAAATGACTGCCGTTTTAGGACACTGCCAATCTATACTCAAAGATCCATCATTCGTTCCAATCGAAGAAGTTGAAATCCGTGATGAAGAGATCATCAAGCTGAGATCAGGATGGGAAAAGATGGCAAATCGGTGGAAGGAAGCGGTAACGATGATGGATAACTGGCGCAGACGCATGATGGAAAACGGCGAGGGACTGCCAAGGGACGATCTGTCAGGGCTAGAGTTCGGAAAGAGTGTGGCTCTCCTACCGAATGGGCAGCCTGTTTTTGGGATGAACGAGGAACTGTCATCGATACTGTATGAGGGCAGCAAGCTGGAAGACGAAGAACCCGAGCACGAAGAAGTCCTGCCGGAGCCCGAACGAAAAGACATTGGATATCCAATGTTGACTCAAAGCGACGTCGTCGAAAAAGACGAAATCAAGATACAGCGACCGGGTTTCGATCTCGCTCTCGACATCTCGCCGGCAGAGGAACGTCCGCCCAAGAGGCGTGTCTCCATCGCACGCAAAGGGGGTAATCTAGGCAAGCCAATTCGACCACTACAGGCGATTGACGTGAACAATTTCAGTCGCTCACCGAGACATGGTTTCGAGAGCCTATCAATGTCGAGGGAAAGTGCAGATTCCGGCATTGGCAGTTTAGACGGCGAGCCTGACGCGGAGCGTGATGACGAGAACAACGGATTTGAGCTTGAAAGCAAGACGATGGGTTTGGAATCGCGGATTCCGCGGCAGGTAAGATTCACAACATTTGTCTCTGTCAACTTTTGAACGAGTTCAAGTCGTACTCATTCCGATACAGACCAAAAGACAAGAGCCAGAATTAACGATCGATGAAAAACTGGCAGCGGTAGAGGCAGAAGCTCTTGAACGCCAGCGAGACTTAAAACCAGCTTATGGAGCCAAAAGCGGCAAACGAAAACACGAAGCGAATGCCTCGAAGACTAGAAAGGCATCGAGGAGGAGAAGCACATTGAGTCCGGAGGAGCTGGCTGAGTTGATGGGCATTGAATAACAAGGACTTTGGCATGCCTTCTGATGGCTCAACATCCTTTTGGACGCTGCTTCTTGAGGCTGCCACTCCGATGCTGAAACTAGCCATAGATCAAGATACATCCCTAGTCCCTTTGCATATAGGTACGTTCTGTACACCTGCCTGCATCTGTTCCCCAGCGACTCGGCCTAGTCTAAGGTGGCGATCCAACGTTTCTTGTCGGACTCTTTCAAGACAATTGGAGGCCCCCCCTTGTCCTTGTGCTCCTCTAACTCGATTACCCCCGTTTCACAGACGACTTTCATTGGCATGCTTCTCGTTCACGAGCACAATCCTATACCGTGCGTTGCCCGCATCCATATCCACAATCGCCCGATTGGCCTCTTTCATGGGGTAATTATTATTCCACGTCCACACCTTCTTCTGCGCAAACAGTTCCAGCATCTCCCGGATCTCTTTTGGGGAGCCAATCCCTGAGCCCGTGATTTTGATCTTCCTGGAGAGGAGGGAGAAAGCGTTGAAGGAGGGGATGTTGTCTTCAGGCGCGCCAATCTGGACGAACGTGCCGCCTACACGGAGGAGTTGGAGGTATTGCGCGAAGGGCATCTTGGGGCTCGAAACGGTCGAGACGATGAGATCCAAGGTTCTGCGGTGCATGCGCGCCCAGTTCTTATCTTCATCCGTGGCGATGAAGACGTCGGCACCCATTTTAAATGCATCGGCCTTCTTTGAGGAAGTGCGAGAGATTGCGACGAGTTTGTCCACGTTCAACGCTTTCGCGCCCATGACGCCAAAGTGACCTAGCCCGCCTAATCCCACAATACCCACGCGTTTCCCTGGGCCGGCACCGTACTGCGTCAAGGGTGAGAAGGCAGTGATTCCGCCGCAGAGCATCGGTGCTGCGACATCGCTGGGTATTGCTTCGGGAATCTTGAAGACAAAGTGAGAATGCCCGCGCCAATAATCGCCATAGCCGCCGTAGGACTTCGACCCGTCAGGCCATTTCGAATTGTACGTTCCCGTCTGCTTGACTTGACAGTAGTTCTCCATGTCATGAGAGCATTCTTCGCAGTCCGGGCGGAGGCAAGAACCGCTTTGTGCACCTACACCCACGCGATCGCCTACTTTGATTCCGTTTTCCACCTTCGAGCCGACGCGCACGGCGGTTCCAACAATTTCATGGCCCACGCAGACGGGGTAAAGGGTCGGACCCCATCCGCTACGAAGAGTGTGAAGGTCGGACCCGCAGATACCACAGTGGGTGATTTTGATATCAACGTCGGTTTCTTCAAAGGGCTTTGGAGTGTAGCTCTGCCAGACCATGTTCCCTTTTGCCGAGTCCTTGTCGAGGCCCATCCAGCCTTGGAAGGTATAGTCTGCTGCCATGCTGTCGGTGGTTAGTAGGGAAATCGAGATAAGGTCTGGTAAGGATGAGAAGATAGATGAACAAAGGAGACGGGGTTGCTTCTGAATGGAGGACGGAGATGTATTGATAAAGAGAGAATGCCAGGCAGAAGGGCTTATATATATATATATATTTTTCGGTATCTCCACCACTCGCACGCGGCGTTATCATTCGCAATGCCCGTCAAGCCCGTCTGCAAGATATAGTTCCAAGGCTTTTTGTCAAAATGGTTATTCCGTCCGGAGCTCGACCGAGGTAAAAGCCCAAGTCGACACTGTTCTATTGCCGCATGTATCTGGGTAAGTTCCATCCCTGTGGGCAGACCAAGAACGAACAAGCATATCGATAAGGATTTTAGTCGCACCTCGTCTGCCTCCAGTGGATGATGATGACTTATTCTATCATATTTGGTCCAGATGGTTCCGCGGCAATGGTAGGCAGTGGAGTACCGGAGCAGTATCATAGATTAAATCGTACTCGGTAAATGGTTGATGGATATAGAAAACGAAAATTCCGAAAGCGAAATGATTCAAATCTGGTGAGGTCGAGGTCGAGGAAGGCTGTGCAGCATCCGCAGCATTGTTCGTGCGCACCTGGTGTCTTGGTGGTGCGAGTGATGCGGTTTTGGTGGTTTGTATAGAGAGGATGACTAAGCCGCCCGTGCATTTTGCGCGTCTCAGCGTCAACAGACGCGAGCTATCAACTTGTCGGTCGAACACAGTTCCGCCGCTGGCTGTCCTTTTCACACTTCCACCAGAACGAGATGATGATATTCCCGCGGACGCCAACATGAACAGATTCTCTGCGGACTATTCGTCCAGCATCAATTCCACGCCCGGCAGAACTCCCGCTACTCGAGGCTCGAATTTTCTCTCCTCCAACCCTCCTCAACTGGCTAGCACCACTCCTGTTGCTCCTCCTCCCTCTCAGATCTTCGGCGGCTCCACCTTTGGTACTGGTGTCAGTAAACTCCAGCTCTCCAAGCCTACAAAATCCCCCCCTTTACGCGCATCCCCGAACTCCAATAAGCCTCAGCGTCCGAAGAATGGCGATCACCAGATTTCATCAAGAGCCAGGACGGGAGACTATCAAAATGAGGAAGCGGACGAGGATCAAGACATGGACGAAGACGATGAGGAGGAGGGACTAAGCCAGTTCCAGGCCCGCCGTGGCTTTCAATCCATCAGCCAACGGCAGCCCGCCTCCCTTATGAAATTCAGTACTATGAGTACAAGAGACTCGAGGGTTTCTGCGCCACGTAAACCTTTCCGCAATTCGACGAGGCTGTCTGCGCTGCCACACAAGGGAAACGATACAGTGGTGCTCAGTTTGGCTAGAGACATGGGAGCCAGGGCGCAGCCAGCTTCGATCAGCGAACCGGACGAAGTGATTCTCGAAACGGAACAAATCCTCCGCGAACTAGACGAACAATCTCAATACCTCAAAGACAGCACAAATGTCCTCCAAGTCGTCGCCGAATATGCCTACAGTCTGATCAAAGAGTGGCAACGGTTTGTCGAGCCGGATCGCCCTTCACTGGATAGCAACGATATTGGCCCTCAACCTACCGCTCCTGCTTTCGCCAAAGCCAACTACCTCGCTTCCCTCCTACTCGCCCTTCACCATCCCCCGCCCTCTCCAGACAACATGGTCATCCCGGCACCACGGGTTCTTCTTGATTGGCTTGACAACTACCACGTCTCCTACGACCAAATGTACCGAGCAGTCGTCTCCGCTCGACCCAATTGTACCTCACATGAGCTCTTCTGGGACGCCGTTCAAAGTCTGACACTGCGGGGCAAACTGCAACAGGTGATGCAACTTTTCGCAGACGCGGACTTCAAATATGCCGCTTCGGCCGTGGACGACGGAGCAGACGGTGTGGGCTATAAAGGTGCTCAGCTCCAGACTGTACAAAGCGTCATCTACCGAGCTCGAATTCTACTCAATTCCTGCCCAGCTATTCAATCAGGCGACTGGAACGTTGCCGGTCCTGACTGGGACGTCTTTCGCAGCGCTGTCGAAGCTGCATTGGACAATCTGACTGATGAAGCAACCAGCCAGGACGAGGACGAGTCTCCCTTCGAAGCTGAGAATTTCGGGTTGCGCAGACCCGAAATGGGTCTCCTTGGGAAGATAGGCCAAAAGTCAGCATCATCTCTTCCTTGGACTATTTTCCAGAACCTCAAAATACTCTATAGCATCCTTCTAGGCAGTGCCGAGGAGATTGCAGCCCAATCACAAGACTGGCTCGAGGCCGCTACCTCCTTGACCATATGGTGGGATGGCACTGCAGAAACTGCAGCAGTTGCGCAGTGGAGTTTCGACGTCAGTCGGGCTAACGACTTGACCAAGCAAGACGAAGACTTCAATCCGTACCTCGGTCGGCTGAGAGATGCGTTCCTTAGTGTCACGGATCCAAATGACAAAAATTCATTTCAAATCAATGCAATGTCTCCGGTCGAGGTAGGCCTTGGATGTATCTTGCAAGGGAGTACCCAAGGAGCTTTGACTGTTCTCCGCACGTTGTCTCAATGCATCGCTTCATCCGTGGCGGAAATTGGTGCCGAAGCGGGCTGGTTAGAAGATGAAACCCAGGCTCGACCCACTGGGTTGAATGAAGAAGATCTCATGGTTCTTAGCTATGCCGCTCCCAAGCACGGCATCTCCAAGGATGACTTGCTATTATCGTACGCCGAACAACTCTTCCACAAGGCCACACTGCGTCTTTCTGACGGTTCCTTGGTGGAAGGCTGGGAAATGTCTATATCCATCGTCACCCGTCTCGACGACCGCGAAGTGATGCACACCGCCGTGAGCAACTTCCTCGAGCAACTGGAAGTCTCGACTCAAGATCGAACCGAGAAACTCACGAATCTCTGCTCAGATTTAGGATTACAAGACGAGGCGAGAAAGGTCTCCGATAGATTCGGCGACTACCTCGTGAACAATACCGAGCAGTATGGCACTGCCTTACTGTGTTATGCACGGAGTCATGCAAGCCATAAGATAAGGCAGTTGATAGATGTGTTGGTCAGCTACTCGCTAGTTCAGTCCAGGGCGTACCCTCCTGAGAATGAAATGGACGACGGACTGCGGAGTTTGGTGGAAAACCCCAAGACAGCACTGATCGACATTGCAGAAGTCGATCCCGAGGCTGCTGAAATGCTGCAATTCTACCTCGTAGGATACGCCTGTCTGCGGAGATTCTATACTCTGCGCGACGAAGAATCTGGCGATGGAAGGACGACGAATCCCCGGTCTCTCGCGCGGAGGAGAGCAGCCGCGAGAGCGCTTGTGGCGGCGATCAATTCTGCTGCAGATTCTATTTATGGCGGCTTATACGATCCGCAGAGACAAAGTGCGATCCAAGTTGACGGGCTGTTGACGCTTTTAGGTGAAGCTACTGCACTTCTCTCGCAAAGTGACTGCATCAAGACCGCCTACCCGGCAGGAATAGGGATCGGCACGGAAAAGAAGAGGATATTTACGACTGAACAAATCTATTCTTTACTCGCGGCGATCGAGGACCTCTCTACCGTATCTGAACGAGTCTACGCTGCGACGGAGGAGTGCCTAGTCGCTTCTCTTAGAGAGTACCATGGATCACGGCCACCGAGTCCAAGGGCGGTGCTGAAGAAGTCGATGAGTAGCGGAAGTGGAAGTGGTTTCTCGTACTCGCTCATGGGAAGCGAGATGCTGGGTAGGAGCATGACCACCGACATGACGGGCGCGAGTGGAAGTGGAGTTTTAGTCGGGGGAGCCAAAGGGCAAAATTCCAAGGGGAAAGGGAAGAGTACCCAAAAGGAGAAGGGATGGGACTGGAGAGACAAGTTTTCGGGTGAGGACGTGCGTGGACAGAATATTATAAGGGTGTTACGGATGGTGTTGGCGGAGGAGTTGAGTCTTGCCGAGCTCGAAGAAGGTGCTGGGCTTTGAAGACATGTTACTGCACAGAGACGAGACCAACAAACAACTTGTAGTGTGTCAAGTCTGGCAGCCAGGATGGCATGATGCAGTCTGCCTCAGGAGAACCTGTACGAGTATGCGACCGGTCAAGAAAAAGAGAGGCGAGAGGAAAGGATCATGCGTTGTCAAGGGGGGTGTTCATGGAGGTCCCCCAGCCACTCAACAGGCAATGAATGTGCAGCAGTTCTGTTTAATTCTCAACAAAATGTATGAAGAGAAACAGACCAAGGTTTCGACTTAGATCGTCCATGCGTCAAGCCAAGGAGAGAGAGAGCGGCCATCGCGTTCAATTCAGTGTACGGACGATATCAAACGTGTGCAAAACCCCAAGTCCATCGCAGTGCATGTTACATAGAAAACAGAACAATAGCTCCTCGATTGCCTTCCCCAATTTCCTTTTGCTGTGCGTGGTATGTCGTTGTTGTTGCGACCGTTAATATCTGTCTTCTGTTCACATGTAAAGCTCGTAAGTTAAAAAGAAAAATATGTGGCGAAAGCAGGTTTTGTACAAGAAAACATAAAGCCATCAAGTGCAGAACATGAGCTGTGTACGTTCGCCTTCGCCGTGATTTTATTTTCATTCCCGTGCCGTGAACCATGCAGTGTGTATCGTCCTTCACGTTCTTTGAGCAGCTACGCCGCCCAGTCAACAATCACCCTAGGGAGAGTAGCGGTGCAATGGTCATGTCATCCTTTATCCCCAAGGTGTGGCCGCCTTCCCTTCTCTTTCTGGTCCCATCCTTATGTATTTAGAGTGGCCATCCACTCGTCTCGAACCCAAAGTTCATTGCGAGGAACTCGTCCCCGAATCCAAACGCCATAAGCTCATCACTCGTGAAATCCATGGGAATCATGTCCCCTCCTGGTCCAGGCATCATGTAGGGCATCATGGGGGCCGGTTGATCATAGCCAGCAGACATTTGATTGATGCCAGGTAACATGTTGGACTGAGCAGGATTGTTCATGATGGTATGGGACCATTGTTGTTGTGCTGTCGGTTGAGGCTGAGGCATTACTGGGCCAGGCCCGGGCGCAGGACCCATTGCTGCCTCGGAGAGCATCTGTAGTCCGCTCCGTGGCTGAGCTTGTTGCTGCTGCTGCTGTTGTTGTTGTTGTTGTTGGTGAGGTTGTGCAGCATTCCCGTCAACAGACGGGCGGTGTTGAGAATTCCATCCCAGATTAGCTGGGTCCTGTTGCAGCGGAACAGCCTTGTATGCGTTTGGTGGCTGTTGTGGCTGCGTCAGATTGTTGCCGGTCCTGGCGTTGACATTACCATTCGCCGGCGTCCGCTGTCTTGAGACTGGTCCACTTCCATTATTTACCGAGTCTATCCTCTTCATGTGCCAGCTCTTAAGCATATTAAAAATTAGTGTGAACTTGTGAGCCACGCGGGACATCCCTCCTTCACAGGCCTTGCTGAGCGCCTCTATCATTCTGTCGAGATAGTATTCCACTTTCAGATCTTTGTTTTTGAAGATGATGTTGAATTTGGACCCCTTCGCAGATACAGCCGAATACATCTTGATCAACGCAACGGCGGCGTAGGAGTTCCTAACAAAGAAAAGCGTGGGCAGCGCTCGCAGCGCCGCAATGTCCATGTTCAAGAAAGCATCGAACGCGGAATGAGCAGAGTCAACACAAGTAGTGAGGGCTTCTATGTGAGCTGGCGTAACGTTATCCGGGTCCGGAGGCCCATCGATCGGAGTAGAGATATAGGGAGGCCGGAAGTCGTCAATGTTGTGATTGTGGTGCATGGCGATTTCGTGCATGTACAGATTTAGAATCCCTTCAGTGTGTTGGATGATGGGCTTCTTGGCCATTTCCTTGGTGGCTGCATGTTGCCACTCGACAAGTTGGCGCTCGAATGTCTTTAGGTGGTATTGAGTTTGGGGGTCGGTTAATGACAGCTGAGAAGCCGGGTCGTCCATGGAGAACTCAAAGCCGATGTCTTCGGCTATATGTTGTCCACGCACGAGATGGCAGAAATAATTGTCAGAGGGATGAGCGTCCGGCGACGAAGTGAGAATGTCAACACACTCGTCAGCGTAAGGACTCCAACGGATGAGTAACGGCCGTCGGAGAGACATGGATGAACTGGGGGCGGGGCAAGGTCAGCTCAGCGCAATTCCACCTTGGATATGGACTTACTTGGAGCACATGTAATAGCAACCCAACCAGCATCGTCGCACCTCCACGCTGTTGGGATCTGACAAAGGTCTTTTGTTTTCGTGATATGGCCGCCAGATGCTTCCTCCACCTCGTCTCGATCTTTTGCCCATCCCAAGGTCTAGGGCCATGACGGCGGCAATGTGAATCAGCTGGTTGAAGTTTAGCTCTTCGTATTTTTCCGGAGGCTGGTAGAAACATGTCGTGACTTGTATGGTCTGGACAAGCTCCAGCGACTTCTCTCCCCGAAAGATGACTTTGTCGGCCAATACCCTAGTAATTTCCAAGATCAGTCCAGGTTGAAGGTCGGGTCGGATGGTACCGGAAGCGACCGCAAGCACGGCAAGGAACAAGATGGGCTTGTGTTTGCGAATTTCATCTGCGTGGGTGCCGGGTGGGAAGACTACTATTGGCAAATGCTCGCACATTTCTGCCATATAACGATCAAAGCATTTCCTTGCCATGTTTATGTCGATGAGGCCGCGTTCGATGGGGTCCACAGTTGTCGGTTCCTCGGTTTTTGTTGTATGTTCCAACACGGGCTGATAGATATTGGAAGGAGGAGGGGGGGGAGGAGGAGGAGGAGGAGGAGGAGGAGGAGGTATGGGCGGCTTATACGACGGGGTGGAAGATTTACGCAGCTCTCCTCCAAAGTAGTCATATTCGTTTGCGATCTTCCTCTTTACACCTTGTTGCGGAGAGTGAGCGCTCCCTGGTAGTGGAGGTGGTAGTGGCGGAGGTTGATGCCACTGACCTCCGTATCCCTGCACACGGGCGTCATGAGGAGGAGGGTGTGGTACCGATATAGCTGGGTCGACCGCGAGATCAGGGTCCGCTCCTCCTCTTGCGGCCAGAGTCGCCGTGAGGGCGTCGATTTTCTTTTCCAACTCGGCGACTCGGCTATCTGTTTTCTTTTGCCTCTTCCGGCTAGGGGCTGTGACGATACATTGTCTGTTGGCTTTTGCACATCTCTTGCATGACCCTGTAGGATGGCTGTCATCGGGCTCGCATTTCACCTTGAGTTGTCGACATGCCTCACAGGCGCGCGGCCTCTTTATGTCATTGGGATCGTTGGGATTGCCAGACGGACTTTGGTCGTCAGGGCTCTCCTGCGCGTGCGAATTGGTAGGGTAGTAGTTGGGCGTCTGGATGGATTGGTACGAGTTATTGGGGGAGGGTTGGAGGGAGGGTTGCAGAGGAGAGAAGGCGCCAGGAGGAGCGTTGTGGTAGTGCTGCTGAGTGTCGCGAGGTTTGGGAGGACTGCTCAGGTTGGAGCCTCGGAGGGCTGGATCGATGTGATTGAAGGTGTCGATGCTGGCCATCGAGTTCTTGATAGCACAGAGCTAGCCTGTGATTGTTGATCGAGTTCGGGTCGGCGGTGGTTGATGGCGACTCGCCGTCGAGAGGATCCGGAGTGCCGACGCAATCAACTTCCTCTTTATTACCCAGAGCACCCTGCAGGCATGTGTGTCGCCATCAAGGAATCTAGGAGGACGAGATGTGAAAAGGCAGCCATTCAGTGATAAATTCGACGTGAGACTTTCTGTTGTACGGGTTCGTGGGCTGGGTGAAGTTGTGGTCAGGCAGGTCGGCGTTGGGAGACTGTGGTGACTGAGAGCCGATTCCTGCGCTCGTCAGACATGACGACCATGGACAGGGGGGGGGGGGGGGGCAGGAGGAGGAGCAGGAGGAGGAGCCAAGGGGGGGAGGACAAGGAGGAGTCTACGCCGAGCGGCGGGTGGTGGTGCTTGGTGGTGCCAGAGGCAATGGAATAGCTTGCCAGTGAATGGCTTTTGTCGGGCCGTGGCATTGCGCATGCTTGCCCTTGCCTGCCTACTTGGTATGCATTTACCACCTAGGTACCGAGTATTATGTAAACTCCCTCGCGGTGCTCGTGCTTAGGGCTACAAGGGCCCCCAGGCCAGAAGGGCCAGTGAGGTACAGCCACTCAATCAATCTTCTGGTAGCTCAACCTCAAGCTTTAATAATAGCAAATCTCACTCTCCGAAATGGTAGATTGGGGCTCCTTTGCTACAAATATCAACGAGCTCTCGGGCGCCGCTCCGCACCAATCTCACCTGTCATGGCATGTCTTGCCATATTTAAACCACGGAGCACTCGGTACACTTCCTACGACTCGGGTTGGCGTCCCCTATGGACTAGGCTATGATATGCGATGAGAAACACCCGCATATTGGAGTCGGGAACGCTCGTCATTGATACAGCTATGCGTCATCTACTGTATGATTGATATGGGCATCTTATGAGTTCCGGCCATGCCAACGCTAACGATCCATTCGAGACTCATCCTTTCACCAGAGCGCCTCTATCGCAAGGAAACCAAACCCGGATACTTCCACTGCCGTGATGCGCCGTCGAGCGTCTTTTCATTTCCCCATCATTCATTCGTCATTCAAGTCCTCAGAGAACAAAAAGGAAAGCTGTGTATGCATGGTTCATGCTATAAGTTTGTGCACCGGGCATTCTGCCTTCCGTCCCAGCCATTCCAAAATGCAACTCCTGTGGAACTTACACAGGCACTCCAACCTGACCAACTCGTCGCCAACATCATATTCGACCATACAGATGGAGCACTCTTGGACCTGGCCGTCTTCTTGCGAGACGCAGTCTTTTTCGGTGGCTGTGAAGGTGAGCATTTGTAGTCGATGAGGTGGCGCTTGGGAGTACAACTGTGACGCCGGGCCCCCTGTTTCAGTACTTCCAGCTGCTACCGCATTGCTAGTCTCCGCATGGTAAGTCGGATCACGGGAATTGATGCAATCCATTATATGTGTTTCACGGGCTGTTTCGTCGCCGTTCGGTCCGCGAGGGGGTAACGCATGACGACAGACTGGGCATATATCGTTTTCGTTCAATCGTGGTCGCGCCGATGGGCTATCGGTAAGTACATGCAAGGGTCGAGGCAGAGGTCGACGCAATTGCGATGTGACGCCAAATAATTCATCGCGCGGGTGTCTACTTTCGGCATAGCTTGCACGGGGACGGTTATAGGTCAATCGGCCGTCATGAGGTGGGTAGTCCTGCACTAGTTAGAACGCTTGGGTTAGTAACAAGCGATAGGGAACGTACCCTAGAAGAAGGCCCAGGGAACTGATTTGTCCCGGCAGAAATTGAGGATGCTTGCAAAGGATATCGGGTAGGAGATGGTTGCCCTCGGTATGAACCAAGCCAACCCAAAGCATCGGATCTGTTTTCTGGATTGCTATAAGGAGCTTCGGTGGGCCGATGCTGCTGAGGAGAATATGGATTGCCCTGATACACCAAAAGTCAGTGACATACTCGGTTACGATTTGGCAGCAAACATACCACCACTACAGGATTCCTTGAATAATCTCCGAACCCCGAAAACCCCGAAGAATAACCCCTCGGTCTGGTATCAGATGTCACTGCATGGCTCAAAGTTGTGCTTTGGCGCGCTCCTGCAGCCCACGGAGCTTCACGGGAGGGGAAATCGGAGACACGAGGAGGGTAGTTCGGTAAGGGGTCGGGTTGAGGATCGGGCACACATGGATTGCAGAGCCGCACTTTCTCTCCACCCTCCAGCTGAGGTTGTGCATCATAGTAATAGGAGCCCAGAGCGTTTCGAAATAGATTGTCGTCAATGTCATCCGCATTGGAATCTAGTGATTCTGATCGGTGGGTTGCAGGATTAACAGGAGAATCGACCACATCAGGTCCCGGCGGATGGACGATAAACTGCCGGGGGATTGTGATTCGATGTGGCGAACAGTCATTACAGACCACCCTGCCACACTTTCGGCAATGATGGCGTCTGAACATCCAAGTAAAGGGCCGGTTGCAGATAGGGCACTTGTTGACTTCTGAATCAGGCTGCCACCTCGGCACCATATATCGTCTTGAACTGCCTGACGAGGACCTGCTCAGTCCATTGTCTCGAGGTGTCTGTGGTGGTGGTGGCGGCGGCGGCGAAGGAGGAGATGAGCTTGTGAGATCTATAACCTCAACAATGGATCGATTGATATTGGTATCGGATGAAGCATGACGCCGGGGAGTGGGAGGAGAGGACGGTCCATCCATGCGGGAGGCATTATGGTTCAGTCTCCGATCGTAGAAGCCATTACTGTTTGTTCTTCTCCTGCCTTCTTCGTACGTTGATGGGTTTGTAAGCCTCCTCTTGCGGTCAAGGGCGACGATGCTTCGCCTACGTTCTTCCGTGGTCTGTTCGGCGGAGGGGAGGGGGAGGGGCAGAGCACGGTCTCGCGGAATGGCAGCCAGCATCGGCTCATTGTGGCCCGATCCTGAGCCAGAGCCAGAGCGCCAAGCGGAGGGACGAGAGACTGGCAGGTCAGGCAGTGGCCGCTGAGATGTTGAGCCTGTGGTCATCTCAGAGCGTCTGGAATGGTGAGAGTCATGACGAGCATGATGGTGAGAGGAAGTTTCCCGGTCAGATTCGTCGCAGCTGCTCTGTGAAGCGATAGAGTCTGATGAAGACATGGCCCTTTTTCAGAGTCGAGCGCAACGAGAAAGATGGTAACGCAGCCTTGTTACCGGATATCTTGAAACCTCAAGGAGGGAGAAGGTGCAAATGGAGGCACGTGTCAGAGACAGTGATGACGGTGGCGGAACACGGACATATCACGGCGGCTGAAACGCGCACGGGTGCAAATGGGGATTGCGAGGGAAGAGCAGGACGCGTCTCCTCTACAAGTACTCGGCGATAAATGGCATAATACACGTATCTTAGTAATTGCGAGTGAGGAGACGCTCAGCGCGTCAGAGATATGTTGCTGTAGGGTGTGTGTCGTATCAGCAGTTTTCAGGATGACAAAAGCACCCCAGTACAAGATATCGTTGCAGAGACTTCTCCTCGAGCAAGAGAGCACGTGTTGTCTCGGAACAAGCACGGAGACGGGGCTCTAGGCTCTACGTGTACTTGGTAGGTATTATTACTCGTACCTAGCGACGGAAGTGTCCGAGGAACAGTAGCCTGTGCAGGTGAACACGGATGACGAACCACCACCGAACAATGCCGAGTCGTGGGGGGGGGAGGGAGGGACTTGCAGGCTAGTCTTGCAAAACAGCCTTAGCTTGGTTAGTGATGTGCATGGCCCTTGATTGCCAGACCTGTAACACCCAGAAATAGACCTCGAAAATCAAGCCCAGTTAACCAGGAGGACGCCACAGGGAGTCCCGACTCCCCCAGGAGTGAGACCTGCCCAAACCTGCCTCAACTGCCCAGCGCCCAACATCTCCAAGAGACAGGAAGAGAGACAGAAAAGAGAAAAAAACCGTCGTCTTCCGAGCTGCCGCTCCTTCTAATTGGCTCAGCAAGGTCCCTTCCTCGGGTTTCGTCTCCTGCTGCGGCGGTGCCTGCGATTCTCACCACTCCCATCGTTTGGCCATCAACCTTTCTCAACGCTCGCTTCAGGTTGTCCACGGCTGTTACTTCAATTTTGACTTCTCCTTCGCTATTGTAACTCATACCGTCGCCATCCACCTCGTTTATTTCCCTTCGTCTCCGCCATTTCACTCGTTGAGCATTTACCAAGCACATCAGCACCATAGCCACGCAGTAATTGGAATCCCTCGCGCAGATCTGAGACACTCTTGGCAAGCAGTTGACGATCTTTTTCAACCTTTTGCTCTGGTCAATCGCCATTGACAGCCTTGAGCTTCTACATGTACCTTGCCCCTACTTCGCCCTTGTTCCCGTCGTCGGCGCTTGAACGCTAGACGGAGACACACGACCTGAGTAGCGCCCCCCCCCCCCCATTCTGTACGACTTGAACCTCGACTTTTCGAAGTGTGTTCACCGCGCGATCGGGTCAGATGTCGGGCTAAAGGGAGACTGACTTGTCTTGGAAGAGGAGGACGAAAAGGTCCCTTGCGCAGAAATGGCGACGGGTCAAGGCGGATATCGAGGTGTGGACTGCGCGTTGACAGTCGACAAAAGACCGCATTGGCATCGGCATCGTCCATCGTGGAGATGGGATTGGGGACACCCGCTCACCATGATCTTTTTTCTGCTCGTCCTATGCATGTCGTCTGTCCGCGCCGCCTATGTCGAGTTTCGCAACTGTCTGGACAGCAATATTGTCGATTCCAATCCGCGCATCCTACAATTTGAACCCTTCAATGTATCCGCCGTATTCAACAGCTCTTCGTCGTCCGATCGACATCATCTCAATATCACCGTTTATGGCAATGTCACAGGCAAGGCCACTGAACAACCTTACCCTCCTCCTGATGATCCGTCATGGACCGATCCCAACGATACTTTTGGCAAGATCCCCGATTTGAGCGAGTCCAACAACAAGTATACTACCCTCTTTGCTCGTGTAAATTTCCTAGGGTACACTCCATGGAACGCAGACCCTTCGCGATTCTGTGAGTCCGTGGTCCATGGAGACTGTCCCTTGGCTCCCGCATTCTATGTCAACGAGAGCGACTTGGATCGATTACCCGCATTTTCTGTCGCACACGATTTATTCTCCAGTTACGCCTTTGCCTCACTTCAAGCCACCCTCAGAGTTCAGTCGGGCGATGCCAGCGGCCAATTCTACAGCTGCATCACCGCCACACTTACTCCCGATCTGGGAGGATCTCTCAAGGCTATCCTCAGATATGTACCGCTCGTGGTACTGATCGTGGTCGGCGTCGCTACTATCGCCGCCGCCATCCTGAGCCCATGGGGCTCTGCGGACCTGTTTCAGTGGAGCAGCAATTTCGGGCGTGATGAGGACTTGCTTCGCCTAGTCACCCCCGGATTTGGGGACTGTCTGCAATACATTCAGTTTGTCGTCTTGACCGGCAGTCTGTCCTTGAACTATCCTGGCTTTTACCAACCAGCAGTGAGCCGCGTCGCCTGGTCTTCGCTCATGTTCAACGAGAGTTTCGTAACTGGCGGAAACGGCACCCAGAGCCTAGTCGACGGCATTTACGAGTATCGTACCGACACAAAATATGGCCTTGATCGAATGAGCCAACTGGTCGGTATGACCTCGGACAAGGACATTTGGGCAGATATGATTGTCTGGCTGGTAGTCATTGTCGCTTCCGTCTCAATCTTGACTCAACTGGGCTTTGCAGTCCGCTGGATTTACCGAAAAATCAAGAGAGAGCCACCAGAGGATCTCCGTTCCAAAAATGGGCCATTTACCGCCGGAAACGTGGTCCGCCTGGTCATGAACTTCTTCCTGTTGCCTTTGGCATCGCTGTCATTCTATCAGCTGGTGATCGCAGGGAAAGGCCCAGCGTATTCAGTTGCACTCGCAGCAGTGGCGCTGGTCATCGTCGTCGCGTTCTGGATCTGGTTGTTGTTGTTATTTGTTCGGACGAGACCGCGCTCGTTCCTCTTCGATGACCTTCTGATGGTCCTCGCTTACGGACCTCTATACAACACCTACTGCGATGATGCTGCCACTTTTGCATTGATTCCTCTTCTCGTGAACCTTATCCGGGGCATTGCGATTGGAGCAGTTCAGCCGTCGGGAATCGCACAAATCGTGCTCCTGGCAATCTGCGAGATTGTTCTGATTCTTACAATCAATGCTTTCCGTCCATTCCCATCAGCCACTTCCATGAACATCTATCACACTTGCTTCTCAGTTATCCGACTCATCACCATCCTTCTTTCTATAGCCTTCGTGCCTACACTCGACGTTGAAGATTCGTCGAGAGGCTGGATCGGGTATGCCATCCTCATCATTCATGCTTGTACTATGGTTTTTGGATTCTTCCTGAATGCTGTACAAACATTGGTTGAAGTCATTGCTCGCCTTGCTGGTGCAGGTGGACGGGATGAGGCGACGGGGGCCGCCACTAGAGGTGGGTTGAACAAGGTGTTTGGAATGCGACAATTGTCGCGACGGATGCCGAGGCGGGCTACTCACGACCCGCGCCACAGTATGTCATCAAATGCGGCCATGTTCAACGCCATCGAAAACGACCAGCAGAAGCTACAAATGGCCAAGACTAGGTCTCGCAGTGTGTCTGCTGCGTCCGGCGTCCTGTTGGAAGGCGGCGCAAACTCCAACAGGATCAGTCAAAACCTTGATGTCCGCATTGTCGGTCAGACCACGCCTGATAGATCCAGCAGGGGATCAAGGCGACTCACAGCCAGACTTAGCGGCGCAGGATCATTGGGAGGAATTGTCGGTATTCAAAGGCAAGTGGAACAAAAAGACCCGTACTATCGACCGCCGCGCAGGAATACAATGGATGCACTCGCTGGAATCGACAGTCGTCCAGATCTAGCCCAAGTGTCGTCAAAGGGCGCCGCGGCAACTGAAGGCGCTGTCGAAGGCGATGCCGGTGAAGGGCCTTCTACTCCCATGCCTTTGGAGAACGACGACCTCGAAGACAACACCAACGATTTGACGAGGACAAAGACCGACTATGCTGTGAGAGAAGTTGACTTCTACTACGGCGTGCGTGGTGCTGCTCTCTCAAGTGGAACGAGGAAGCTCAAAACTGGGCCGGCTGACCCAACCGGGCCTGTCTCCACTGCCACCGGATGGTTCAAAAGTCTTCTTGGTGGTAAGACAAAGGAAAAGAACAAGGGCTTCGAGGTCGTCAGAAGTGCTCGAGTCCCTCCTCCAGGGCTGTTTCCTCCACAAACTCCTGTCCGAGAAACCCAGATCACCGAACCTTATCACGACGAAGTCCGGACTGTAGAAGAGAGTCAGACTGATCGAAACAGCGCAGGAGTTTCATCTCCCCCTCCGCAACCGAGAGCCCAAAGACAGAGCCAAAACCAGAGTGTTTACGATGACATCTCTCTTGCAGACTCTGACGACGATGACGAACCAGAAAGTCCCTTGCCAGCAAGACCGCCGTCATTGCCCCTGATCGAATCCGTGGGCGGTATTGAACTGCCTAGTCGCATTGGTTCTGAAGCTTCAAGGAAGTCACGCGGCAAGCCCCCGCGGGCACCAGACACAGACATTCCAGCGGTTCCTGCCATTCCTCGCAAAAGTTCACGGAGACAATCCGGCGGGGGTTCACAAGACAGACGACTAGCTGAATCTGCATTGTCTGCCTCAGGTCCAACCGACCCCAAGTCCCGAAAAGCGCCGGTTCAACCAATAGGCACTAGTCGCATTCCTTTTGCAAACACACAATCTTCAACCGCTCGGAATAAGAGGTACTCCACCGGCGCAGAATCGACCACGTCGAGCGTAATCCGCGATGGAGACGAAAACATTCCCCTGCATCCCTCGTATACAAGTCAGTTGCGGCAGTCGGCCACATCCGCATTAGGGGCCCATGGGGCAGATCTCCACAATGACCGGCCATCAAATATGGGGTTCGTTCAGCAACACAGGGCAAGCGATCATATCCATTACAGTCCGGATTCGCCTGAATTCGAGGGTAGCACCGCAGAAGTTCACGGGCGCCCGGGATATTGAGCGACTAGTCACTCATGATCTTGAAGGGAATCACGAAGTTTACGACCTTTTCTACAGATTACGTATTGTGAGGAGGACTCAAATGTGATTGGAGACATTCCATTGCAGGCACACGTTGAAGGGATATGAACACGGTAGTTTTGTTTCGTTGATTGTGGCCGTGGTGTTAAGAAGAGCACAGACTGACGGGAATTGGAAAATTCACATTGGACTCGAGGGGAGACATCGTTTTGGCTCCTGTTTGCCAGTTTGATCAGCGCGGCGTCCGGTCTTGTGCAGAAGGGAAAGATATCAAACATATTCTTTGTTTGCATGTATATAATTAATATTGTTCGTCGTGTCGTCTACGAGTGCCTGTTTTCGCATTCCTCTACATACCTTCGCGGTTAGAGTGTGCAAGGTGAGGGACCGGATGTGGTGCGCTGATGGCGACGGGGAGAGGGGAAGAAGCATGGGACTTGACATGCTGGCACCAAGCAGAATGTGTAGGGGACAACAATAACACATGGGCGGTAGCTGGTAATTGTCCCTCTTTGACCTGAACCGAGCACGGGCAGGTTAAGCTGCTGTTTCTTTCCATCTTTGGTCGCTGTCACCTTTTCAAGAGAAGTATTACTCCTGCAAAACAATAATCTCAATTGGCCTGTTGCTCACGCTCTTGGTGCTAGACTCACCATATTTGACAGAACACAGACCCAAGAATCCTTATCCTCTCCTTCCCTTTGAGCAAGCCCTCGACTTAACCAAAATTGGCTCGATCTATCTCATCCTCCAGGCCTCCCAACTGCGTGATGGAGGGGTCGGAAAGATGAGTTGGCCACATCGCGGGCCAGCATCTTGGTGATTGCCATTACACAATTACGAGCGTCCATACTCGGTACACCGGAGTACTACACCAAAGCCCTCCCCGAAAAAAGAAAAAAGAAAAAAGAATGTCACCCACACTTCATTCTGGCAGAGGTCACAAGATCCTGGCACTGGCAAGCGCAAGCGACAAATGGGACCAGATCCTAGGCACGAGCCACGGGACAGAGCCCTCAAATGTTGACGCCTATGATATGGGTTGGTGGCTTTGAATCTACGCCTTCTCGTCCAGACCCCTCGAGCTGCACGGTACTTGTACTCCGTAAGCAGATCAGAGCGACGGAGGCGAGACATCATGGACCAATTGGCCGAAAGTTGGCCCCGTCTCTCGAAGGGTTCGCTAGATACGGAGCCCCAGCATTCTCCTGCTTCGATCCTTTTGGTCCTGAGACAACATCCCCTTCGATGCGCAAATGGCGTGGTCTTGAAAGCTTCTGGTGACACGAGGGCCGGGCCCTGCCCCCATGCACAAACCGCAAAGCCAGAAAAGGGGACAGCTGACTTCTGTATGAGGTGAGGTCTGGAGGTTTTAGATTCGAAGGTCAGATACTCCAATACATCGACAATCCCGGATGTGCACGCCAATGCATGGCTTAGATTGGTTACAAAGCGGGACAGCGGGTGGCTGCAGCCAGCATGATACTGTGCAGGTTCAACCGAAGGAGCTACTTCTAGTCCAGATTCAATGCGCATATTCCCACATTCGGCCACGGGTCGGTGTGCAGAGGTCAAATTCAGGAGTTGTCTGGGAAGACCTTTACCCCCGGGCACAACCTCACCAGACTGCGGCTTTGCATCTGTCTACGCTTACCAGTGGTGCCAGTGGGCATGGAAAGGAGTTGTCGATTACCTGAATCGACTACGGGCGCTGTTTCAGGACCGCTTGGTCCAGATCCCTGCCTAGGGCATTTCAAAATTTCCATCTCGAGTATTTCAAAGAACCCCAAGTATCTTGGCGAGCGGCCAAGGCAAGCCTCGTTCTCAGCAGCAAGGCGCCACCAATGCGTGGAGATTTACTGGGTACGTAGGGTCGTTCACCCAGACTCCTGGGACCAACTCGTCTACTATTGGCCTCTCGGTGGTGGTCATGTCCGCGGAGACGGGCCTGCAAATCCGGTGTTCAGACCTGCCACGGCGCAGAGCATGCGTGGTCTCGCCATGAAACTAGGTAGTGATGAGCGTGGGGATCTCCTCGCCTAACACGAGTGAGGCGCATCCGGTGACACGCGGGTGACATGCGTGGCCCTTGTTCCTGTTCGTGTTCGCAGTTCATTCCCGGCTCGATGTTGTTTCAGGACATACCTGGAATACCTCCGAGCGCGTCAGACGCTTCTTCGAGACAATCCTCGACGACATTCGAAAAGCAACACCCCAAATACAAGCAGACGAGGCGAACAGAGCGTCGCTGGCCAATGCCTACACGGGATACTCCGATCTCTATGGGGCACGCAAAAAGTAACTTCTTCCTGCGTCGCCACCATCCCTGGACACTCCCTCAGCTCAGCTGGCTTCACGGGGATTGCGGGTCGCAGGTCGAAACCAACCCAAGGATTCAGATATGGTACCCAAGTACCGTACGGCACGGCTCGGAGTCCTTTCGGAGACATTCCACAGCTGGATCGAGTAAAGACTCGTAATCGTCTCCTCTTACCGCGTTCTCCTCCAAGATGGCCCCAAAATATTTTGCGGCTAGTACCTCTTAAAGCCAAGGCAGGCCAGACAGGCGGCCGGCAAACGGCACCTTGGGCCTGTCTTCCGGTGAAATTCTCCTCCTTCTCAGCTGTGAAAGGACGCCATGCAACCCTGAGCGAAGCTGACCGACCGTGACAGAAAACTCTCCTTCGACCAATCAACCCTGAGATCTGAGTGATTCGGCGATCACGACCATCAAGTACGATAGATCCTGGTCCGCCGACTCTCGAAAAGATCGATCCAGAGCCCACCATTCTGGCACTCCAAGAGACAAGATCTGGGTTTCGTCTATCGGCCCCCAGCCGCTTTCATTGCCCCTCAGCTCCAAGAAACTTGTGGTTCTCGTCCACAACCACCAACATCCCACGGTTTGATAGTCCAGGGGATCCATCACGACCTAATTCACGACCCAAACCCTGCATTGTCTTCAAAGAGTATTTGTAAGTGTCTACCCATCACAGCCTCGGAAGATCTTGGTCATTTGGACCGGACCCTCCCGGTGATGTCAACACGCTTTTGTTTTCCCCCCTTTGAGCGCCGAGGAGGCACTAGACCCATGATTGCAAAGTGCAGTGCATGCTCGAGGCTCGGGGAAAGATGCCGCGAGACTTGTAGGCGAACATCCCACGAGATACAGGGATCCTGCCCTTTTGTCTTCAAATTATTTTCATAATGCGCACTACCATCCCGACCAGCGGTCTCCGGTCTATCTGCACAAGACCCTAAAGCCAACCATTTCTCGCTTGTTTGATCGCTGCCCCTGTCCAGCGACATTGGACCTAACAAATGCAGAAGAAGCACAAGCACTCAGCCTAGCACTCAGCATTGGCGAGAAGGACGATGGCCACCCAGTCTCTGGGCTATTCCCAATGGAAACTTGTTTCGCCTTTCCTCAAGTGACATCTCGCCAGGCTTGCACGCCTGAGTGCACTTCAACTGATACAGTAGTTTCGATTCGGCAGTGGACGGGCTACACGCTGCTGGGGAATGATTAATCTACACACCCTCCAACATCTTGAAATCCAATGTCGTCCTTGTCTCGATTCCTCTCAAGTGTTTTGTTTTTTTCATCAATCCTGAGGGCTGCCGCAGTCTAATGCTACCACTTATTGCCACACGGTCTGGAGCAAACATCCTGGGAACTCCGAACGGTAGCATCCACCCTCGGTCGAGATTCTCTCTCCACCGCTGCATCCTCCTTTACCATTTGGAATTTGGACTATTGCAAAATTGTTCGAACCGGGATTCCAGTCTTCACTGGAATCTGCGGTTTCCATACTATACTTATTACGTTACCAAAAAGGATAGATCCTGTACCCATCACCTCGACGTTTCGGATCCAATCTATTGGCGGTATTGTCGTCGCATCAATAATACATGTTTAAAACGATTTCTGTCTTCAATCATTAGCAGTGGGAGGGCTGTCCGCTTCTTGCGAGTCGCTGTCCTTAGACTTGCTATTCTCACTGCGCCATACCGACAATCACGCGTCGTGCATGCTATATCGCGGTGCACACCCGATATCTAAAGGGAAAAGATGCACGCGCCACGGCTGTATGCTCGCCTCAGTGGCGAGGCATTGGTGACACAAACCATGATGCTGATGGACAATCCTAACACCAGAACTTCGTCTGCACAAGCAGTTGAGGCCCCTCGACCATTAGCATCCTTCAAACGGCGGGCGAACTCTTGTAAGCCCTGCCGGGACAGCAAATCAAGAGTAGGATACAGTCCCTTCAAGTTCAACAATCTTGCGGCTAATCCTCATTGCAGTGCTCAGGAGGCATGCCCTGTACAACCTGTCAAAGGAAGCGCGACAAGCCCGAATGCTTCTACGTCGCCTTCCCTGCAAGAATGGGGAGGACTCAAGTAAGTAATGGGACAGCTGCACATGGTGCTACAAACACTGCTGATAAAGAAGCTAGCCTAGGCAAGCCCATGGTTCGGGACAAAGCGTCGAGCAGGGTGCGCTAAACTTCTGTGGAATCTTTTCGTTGTCCAGGAGTGTGGACGAAGTATGACGGTTCTTGGATCTGCCGATGTCAAAACGCTAACCGCCCGTGCAGTTCAAGTTACTTTTGCCTACAAAGGGACGATTCAGGGAGATCATAGACTGTATACGGCCTATTCAAGCGTTCAACCTGAAAGGGCACGCCGCCGATATTGAACCAGTGATTGACCTCGCTCGACTGAATCAATCGACGAATGACTTCGATTTCCAGTTTCCATCCAGTCTTCGCCCGCTCTATATGAAATACAAGTTTGTGCGAGATCTACTTGTTGCTGGGAAGGCAATGCAAGCCTGGGCTGCATTTCCAAGTCTTGTCCGTGATGCAGAGATCATTGGCTGTAAGCATAAGCAAGTCTCATTCTTCGCAAAGAATATTTAACTAATTCTTGCAGTGGATGTAAATGTGAGCCTAGCCACAGCTGAAGCTGATGAAGATTTACAACCTGGCCGGTATCTCTGCTGGCTTCTCGTGGAGCTTGACGTTCAACTCAGCTTTCTCCTGGGTCGCCGTCCCTTTATCGCACCTTTTCACGGCGTTGCCACGCCATTTTCAAGGACCCCGCGGCAGGAAGAGGAGGGCTTGCAACAGAATGTCTTTGAATTTTCACAATACATGATTGAAGTCTTGGATCGGTTCAACAGCGACAAGCACGACCAGCAGATGATGTTTTCTGAGGCGAGGGAGATAATGTTAGAGACAGATCTAAGTCGGCTATACCAACTGCAGTTGAAGCTGCCGCCCCTCTCTCACAATGCCTGGTCTGACGCTCCATTATGCATTGCAGTCGCTCAACACCATATTGATGTCCAACTAGTGCTCATGGTTCTGCATTGTCAGACGTTGCGGTCGATGCCGAATCAACGCAAGCTGCCCAGAGAAGCCAACTACAGGAACTTGCTGAAATGTACTCGAATGATTACCGAGATGTTCGACAGCATCCACGGCCTCGACCCGACCAGAACCGCTGCATCCTGGGCACGGTGCTTTGGAGTGTTTTGCGCCACAGTTATGTTGGGCATTGCTACAATACGTCAAGAGGTGGGCGTGGGCATAGGTTCGAAGCGTGTAAAGCGGACTTTGGAAATCTTCAGAGACCTTGCGGAAGCCGGACAGGCCTCTGGAGTTGCGCAGCTGGCCCTGGAGTCTCTGGGCCTGCTTGTCGACAGAATTCGAGAACTTGAACACACTCCAACCACCGCCACAACAGCTACTGACGATGTTATCCCGCCGGCTCCACTTCGTGGCCTGGAGGACAAGGCGAAGGAGAATATTCTAGGCCTTAAACGTCGCCGAAGATCAAGCCTCGAGGGAGGGTTGCAAGTCGACAAGAGACCAAAACTTGAATTCAACGACACAGCTCCTAGTTGCTCCGTGCAACGACCTTCAACCTGGCAACACGATTCAGACCATTCGTATTCTCAAGCTACAGCCGCTTTCAATAACTCTTCTGCCAGCAACATCCAGAATCGACCTGGGCAGCACGGCCTCCAACAGGAGGAACGTCTCTCACCCGCTGCTTCAACCTCATTCGGCGCAGATAATCAAAGAGGATTGTCGAATGTGGGATATGGGTTCACTCAACTTGAGCACTTTCAAGAATTCCAAGCCGCTCATCACTGGGTGCATCCGCCGATGATGTACCATCCCCCAATGTACGACGATTGGTGGCAAGCTCAGTTTGCCTCTCATGATGCCATGTCCTCTGATCATACTCGACAAATGTTCTATAGCCCGCTATCGGCGCCGCCAATGGATCAGGCCCATCATTCTGAGACCACCATGCACGGCGATGGACATGCTGGCTATGCTCATCTACAGCAAGAACCCACGACCCATGCCGAGACTGCCATGGTGATTGACTCGACTGTACATTCGCTGGGCAGCATGCAGGCTTTAACACACAGTCTGCAGGGTCCGGCAGAGGGAAAGGGCTAGCTACACCACTCGCACAGAGCCCCATGCTGGCCTAGACCATGGCATGAATGATGAGCCCTCTGGAGATGGCTATTCACATGTTATCATTGCTCGACCTGCGTCTTCCGATCGCCGTTGAGTGCCCCCAAATATAAGCTAGTCACAGGCAAATATATGGATAAGGGAGGCGCCGGCGTTGACCAAGTGGCTGCGTGAACATAGGCCACATCGATATGTAGCATCCTCGGTATTCAGGCGAGCAATGTCCTTCGTGTCTTCGAATTGCACAAACTTGGATCCAATGCAGTGAAATGGTGGTCAAGCCCAATCGGGGAGGTACAAGCGAACCCAATCAGGGCTGGCGGCATAGAGACGGCAAAGAGCGGCACGTGGAGCATCTTCCGACCTCAACTGCGTGACCTGCTCAACTGCTCAACTGCTCGACTCCATCTGCTCTCAGATGCAAAGCCGCTCAACTCCTAACCTAGTACCAACAACTGCCGTGCTACATATTCCCCCTACACCAGCACCATCCCTCCTCGGGTGCAACCATGTAAAACCGTCGCCATGTATCCGCCGTTTGATTACTTTGAGCACCGCCGGGCCTGGTCAGTTCAGTTTCGATTCAACTCTCCCAACGGGTGCCTATCTGGCAGCACGTCGGATACTGACCGCTTCCTAGCGTAATCAAGCAGCGCCAGCGCGACGCTCGCTTCGACTCTCTTCCAGACCCCTACAAAGGCCCGCTCACCTCCCAGCAGCGCTCCATCCTCGACGCTCCGATTGCCCAGTTGGTCCGCGACGTTCACAATGGCATCTTATCACCCATTGACATCCTCCGCACCTATGGAAAGACCACCACTGTGGCGCACCAACGAACAAATTGTGTCACCGAGATCCTTTTGCCAGAGGCCGAATCGTGGGCACGGAATGACCAGGATGTGAACCTCAAGGGTCCGCTCGCCGGTATCCCCGTATCTCTCAAGGACTCCATCGCCGTGGGTGGTTTCGACGTGAGCGTGGGATACTCGCGTAACGTATTCAAACCATACAGCGAAGACGGTGTCATGGTGAAGCTTCTCAAAAGAGCCGGAGCGATCCCTCACGCGAAGACGGCGCTGCCTATCACGCTGTTGAGCTTCGAGAGCACAAACGATCTGTGGGGCGTGTGTAAGAACCCGCATAATCCCAAGTACTCGCCCGGTGGGAGTACAGGCGGCGAAGGGGCGCTGTTGGCATTAAATGGATCAAGGATTGGAATCGGCTCGGACGTCGCGGGCTCCGTGCGTGCCCCTGCAGCTTGGTCAGGGATTAATTCCCTCCGCTGTTCGACTGGCAGATGGCCCAAAGTTGGCATGAATACGTCGATGCCGGGCCAAGAGGGGATCCCCAGTGTGTTTTCTCCAATGGCAAGGACACTGGATGATTTAACCTACTTCACGCGGGCCTTCATCGGTATGAAGCCATGGGAAGTGGACTACACGGTCCACCCTGTTCCCTGGCGCCAGGAACTCTACGATGAGACGTTTGCGAAGAAGCCGCTGCGCATCGGCTTGATGGCCACAGACGGCGTTTGCGCTCCTGCCCCGGCGATCGCTCGTGGTTTGGATGTCACAGCCTCCGCCCTCCGCTCCGCCGGCCACCAAGTGGTCGAAATCCCCGTCTCTTCCTATCCCCCCACCGCCACTCCGGCCCAAGGATTGCAAATCGCCAGTGTGCTGCTCTGCGCTGATGGCGGCAAAACTTTCCGATCGTTCTTCCGCACAGGCGAATCTAACGACCCAGGTGCGGCGCAGATCAATTTCTACATGTCTCTGCCTCGAGCTGTCAAGTACCTGTGGTACCTCTTCACGCGCTACATCCGGCGTGACTCAGTGTGGGCATCCATTCTCCGCTATTTCCACCCCCTTAGCGCATTCGAACAGTGGCGATGGGTTGCCAAACGCGAAGCTTTCAGGGCGATGTGGTTCGACTGGCTCAACCAGCCCGCGCAGCAATTTGATTTCATCTTGTGTCCCGGAAACGCCACTCCGGCCCTGCCGCATGGATGTATGAAGGAGGCGGTGAGCAGCTGTGGGTACACGTTTTTGTGGAATCTGTTGGATTACACAACTGGTATCATCCCTGTCGCCAAGGTGGACCAAGAAAAGGATGCTCTGCCGAAGGGCTTCAGGCCAGCGAATGGCGTCGAAAGGGGTGCGTACAAGTACTACGACAGCGCGAAAATGGCGGGGCTGCCGACTGCAGTGCAAATCGTCGGCCGGAGACTGACGGAGGAGAAGGTCCTGGGTTATATGCAAGTCGTGACTGATGCGTTGAGAGAAAGCGGAACGGTGTACGAGCATTTGGACGTGGACAATCTACCCGAGCTCGAGCAGGGAAACAGGAAGAAAAGCCCCGTGGATCCCAAAAAGATTTGGTAAAATGCCGTGCTGTGGGTGAGCAGAGAGTTGACTACCGTGGAAAGGGAGCAACGAGGAGGATCGAGAAGAGAAGGAAGAACGCGATGTGTGGTATATATGCATGTAGTATGGATTGGGAGCCAGCTGATCTCGAGAAGAATAAGATCTGCAATATGAGGAATGTTCCAGCCTATCTCGCGTGGAAACACAAGTCAAGCAGAAACCCATTTGGGTCACCGTAGGCTAGGGTTAGCTAGAAATGCCGTTTAGCTTGTGACAGGCCTCATATTTACATATCTGAGACAAGAATAACACAGGTCAACTCGGCCATCCTACAGCGAGATGGGCAAAAGAGCATTATGTTTGATCTGTACATTGAATCGCTGAACAGCGTCCAACGCTGACACTGCCGTCGCCCAAATACTACCGCGATGAGACCTCGTTGTGCCAGGATGCCCTGCAGCGGTTCCTACGACAGTTGCCGGTCCTTGTTTTCCTCGCATCGATACTTCCAGCGTGTATTTTAGGTTCAAGCTGACTACCTGTCTCGCCTGGTACCGGGTAGCTTGGCTCACAAATGGTATGACGAGGAGAAGAGTATGTAGGGGCTTCAGACACTCATCCGGACTCCATATCGAAGCCGGGGCCCTCGAGATCCCCTCTGCGGTTCTTTAAGGAGATTGATCATCAAACTTCTTTCTCCACGGTCATGTGTAGGTCTCTGAACAAGGAACGGGGCCCTCCCATTGCTTGGGGGAAAGTATCTAGCTGTGGGCAACTGTGGGACAGCATAGAAGCTTGACAAGGTTAACTTCGCAACAACTCGTGTCATGACTTCGGCCCCCTTCTTCCCACCTGGGCGATCACGGTGCCTTCATGGACTCGGAGGGTACTCGAGGATTCAGCTCCTTTCGAGCCGTAGGGTCTTCTAGAACGCTAGCATTCTTTGCAGAACTTGGTTTCTCATGTGGACTCAGCGTCTTCCGAAGTGCGTGCCGCTTCTGACGATGGTGCCTCATACGACTGAGCGTCATTTGACGGCTTAGGATGAGTCTTTGGTGCGATGTGAATGGCGCCGGATTGAGTATAGGTTTCGCTAGGGTGACCAACAGGGCGGACTACCACTGTTTTTCGGACCAAGTCGACAAGTTCCAGCTTTACTGGCAAAAAGGAACGAAACTTCACTCCTTTTTCCCAGCCCTCGTTTGATGCCAGAATAACCGCGTAGACATTGAAAGGCAGAAGAACGCCCCTGAGCCCACTGTCATCGGGACGAGTTCGCGTAGAATTCACTGAGGTCACATTCACGTCCCATACGTGCGGGAGTTCTGCCTCCCTGAAGTGGAACGCTCGGAACAGTGCTTGTGTGATCCAATGCCTTCTCTCGGCGCGCGTTATCTCACGCGCCCATTCATACATTCTAGGCGAATGTTCTACTATAAATTCGTCGACCTTTTCCTTCGAGATAGGCAGCTTCAACTTATCGTCCGAATCACCCGGATCCCCCGGCTGGATTGCTCCACTCGCTTCCGCTCGGAGGTAGGCATCCACCTGCCAGTGGGCCATTAAGTCTGGATAACGTCGAAGAGGATTGCTGAACCATAGATGGACTTGATGGCTTTTGTGGACATGTGGTATAGGCGAGGACGAAAGCTTGCCTGACGGATACTCTGCATGCTCGCCGCGGCCCAATTTGTTAAGTTTGGAAGGGGGAAAGTCCGCTGTATATGAGGAGCCAAAGAAGCATGCAGGTAGCTTGCGATCTTGAAACCACTTCCCGGCCGACTCTGCCACGAGGTCTCCACATAGGGCTGTTAAGGTAACATACTGCGGCATTTCCTTCACCCGATTCAGTCGCATATACCGAGATACTGTAATTCTGATTGAAGGATCGCCCTGGTACTGTTGACTCCGGAAAAGACTCTCTTCATCAAATCGACTGCCTCTTATGTGGACGTAACTTTGAGTCGAAAGGCTTCCTTGGACTTCCCAATCAGGCGCCACCGCCACGATTCTCCGACGACTTTCCTCTCGAGCAAGAAGAAGCTTTTCCAACATTTGAAGCTCGGACAGGTGGGTACGAGCTTCTTCGATATCTGCAGGGGCCGCCTGTTGCAAAGACTTCGGGGGTAATCCAGCTTGTGGCCCCAATGACAGCGTGGCTGCCTCGTATTCAGGTTTCCCCAGAATATGTTCCACAGCAGCGTTGGAAAGGTGGATCACGTTTCGAAGCGTGGTCGGTCGAATCTTGATGTCTACCACGTCGCCAGCCTCTGTCAATAGGGTGCTGACTGTGATGGCGGGAGAGCCAGAACGAAGGGACAACGTTCGAGCAAAGCTGTCAGGGACCATACGTGCAACGTATGTATTATGAAAAACACTCCCAGTGAGTTTCAAGGCTCGCTGTGCTATGATGTGCTCTGGATCAATGAACGCGGTAGGGTGCGAAACATGTCCATGGATCCAGTATGCACCAGGAATTTCGGTGCTAGGCTCAATAGAAAAGCCGTCTTCTCTGACATTTGTTTCGCCAGCGTCGATGCAGTAAACCGGGAGATGGTCAAAACTGTGGCGCAAAGATGCCATAGAATCAACGAGCAATCCATGATCGAGTGTCTTGCTGAGACCCAACCTGTGACAGAAGAGGTCCGCCTCGTCGTAGATACGGGTCAGGTCGTGACTAGCTCTGCCGCCCGGAATCTCTAGGGTCACATTGTGGTCGGAACGAAGAAACCATGGTGGCAGGGTACCCAACTCTTGAAGCAAAAGACAGCCCATGTTTTGGTCGAGGCGAAGTTTGGGGTATGCACCGATCGCCCGGAGGATGAGAGAAGCAATGGCAAGGTTTCGGTTGTTATCGGGGGGGGGATAACGAACATAACAGTCCCAAAGGAACTCTAGAAACATCTTGTCCTCTTCCGAGAATGTTTCGTCGTTGTCTTTGACGGGAATTTTGCCGTTTCCAAGATCTGCAGGTTGGATGGAGCTGGGACCAAGACTGCCAATCGTGGTGGGAGACCGCAGAGCGCGGCTTTTGAGGATCAATCGCCTTGCCTTTGCGACGAAGGAAGAGAGGGGATTGCGCGCCAGAGCACCGGTTACGTCCTTTCCCATGGCGGCGGCGGCGGCGGCCTCTTGATATTCTCGAGCCCATGTACAGACTTGATCAAAGCGCTGTGCCAGTCTTTTAGGCATGATAGCTACAGTTGCTGAAGGATAGTGGGTCTTCTTGAGGATGGTGATTTGAGCAACATGCTTCCTTCGGAGTGTCCTATAGATGGTAAAGAGGGCCGCAGGAGGCACTTCGGAGTATTTGACACCTAGTAATTTGGTTACGACCTGCTCATACGAGAGGGAGATGTGCCTTTCTCCGTCGGCAATGCGTTCGTAAAGCGAATCTAGCAAAGCAAGGTTTTCTCGCCGCCAGGTGGACATATCGTCGATGAACCGAGCAAGCCGGGTTGTTAGAGTCTCGGCGTCGGCGGAAGGGATGTCGCCTGCAAAGCTGTAGCCCATCTTGACCTCGAAGTCTGCGGCTTGCATCTCCAGTGGCTTGACTGGCAAGTGCTTCCGGATCTGGTCCACTTCTTGTTGCGAAGCAAATTGCTTGAATCTAGGGCTGGGCTGCTGGACGGATTTTTCAACGACCCAGCGACCGTCGAGTAGCAAATACTGACGCTGCCAGCCCAGGGTGCCCAAGAAGATGGCTAGTTGTGAACGTGCAAAGCGACCGGCGCCAGCCGTATATTTGCCAGGCTGCCACCAGATCAGATCACCCGGATCGAGATGAGGGACATTGCCGCCTTCCACTGCATCTTCCCATGTTTCGGGAAGATCGCCTGCACCCACGTCTTCATCCTCGCCCAAAGTATTATCGGCGAGGCTTGCTTCTTCGATGAACAAAGAGTTGGGCAACACAGTTAGCCTTTTGAGCGGGAGTGAATCGCTGTTTGCATCTGCTTCTTTCCTTTTCTTCTTGTTATTCTCTGCGCTCCAGGCTCTTAGGTGGTTACGAATTAAAGAATTAGGTGGGACGGCGGGATTCTTGGCTGGTGAAGAAGAGGATCGAGTTGTGGCAGCGGCGCCCAAAGTGATATCTTGAAAGGCGTCAATGCAAGGCTGGGAAGGCTGGGAGGTCTCTAGTGATGCCAGACAAGAGCTCAATGTATAAAATGATCTCCTCTGCTGTCTGAGCTGCCGCGTGGCATTTGCAGGTGTCGAGAGTCTCTGTCTTCGATTGTGACCGAGGAAGGCTGAAAGGAACACATTGTGCCGACATTCTGGACAGATGTATGGCAGTCGCTTCTTGGTGACAATGCCTACGCGGCTTCTCGATGCCAGCATTTCGAATTGAGAGGCCGAGTGGTGGGGAGGACAGAGAGTTGAGGTGAAGGACTGAGCACTCAACGAGCAGGCTTGTACTTGTAGGCAAGAGATGGAGAAGTCGCAGTCGCAGTCGCGTTCTCCAAAAAAAAAAAAATATTATGGAAGGCTCCGCGTTGTTGCCGTCTCCAGCACAGTCGACCAACCAGCAACAGTCCGCTTGTGACTCAACACCAGTCAGTTTTTCTTGTGAATCTGTCCCGTTCCCTTCCCACAGTGGTTGTACAGGAATTCAGACAGACTTGCAACCGTCAACATGCCGATCCAGCAGCCCGCAAACCAGATCAAACTGACCAATGTGTCGTTGGTCCGGTATAAGAAGGGCAAGAAGCGCTTCGAGCTTGCATGCTATAAGAACAAACTCCTCGAATACCGGTCAGGAACCGAGACCGACCTCGACAACGTCCTGCAAGTGCCAACCATCTTCCTCAACGCTTCAAAGGGCGAAACTGCCCCAAATGCTGAACTGATCAAAGCATGGCCTTTGCCCTCGCAGAATGAAAAACAAGAATCCTCAGCAGCGCATGGAGGGAAAGGCGGTGGAAAAGGAGGAAAGAAGGGCAAAGGGAGATCTACAACGGATGAGGGGGAGGATGAGAAATCTTGGAAAGACGCCATCATTGAAGAAATCCTGAAAAAGGGCGAGATCCAAGTAAATGCTAATGAGCGCAAGGAACTACTGGACAGAATGGAGAGGGAGATTGTGGAAGAAGTCGCCCAGAGACTCGTCGATCCGCAGACAAAGAGAGTCTACACTACAGGCATGATCAAGAAAGGACTGGATGTTCTCTCTAAACAGGGAGGTCATGTGCCCTCGCAGGATTCCTTGGGTCATAGGCTCGGCAACTTGAACTTGGGTGAAGGCATCAAGAAGGCCGTTGCTGCACCAAAGGGATCGAGCGAGACGAGTGGGCAAGCGACGCCTATGACCGACGACGATAACGAATCCGCGTCTGGTGGTAACTCAAAGGGCAAGAAGAGCGATATGCCAACATGGACTGGGGTCGTGACCAATAAATCCGTCAAGCAGCAGGCTCTTGAAGCGATTCGCGCCCTGATCGCATGGCAGCCCATTCCCGTCATGCGTGCGCGTATGAGATTGCGAATCACTTGTCCCACCAACATCGCCAAACAGGCCGCGAAATCCAAAGTTGCGAGTACAGGCACAGAAGCTGGCGAAGACGCTGGGGCCGATCACGGCAAAGGCACTATCAAAGATCGCATTCTCTCCTTTGTCGAGCAAGTAGAGAGCCAAGAGGTGCTGGGCGAGGAGTGGGAAGTTGTTGGATTCGTGGAGCCGGGAGCGTTCAAGGCCCTGGGTGAGTTTATTGCCGCCGAGATGAAAGGGAAAGGGAGACTGGAAGTGCTGGACATGGGTGTTACACATACCGATGATTGAGAACTTTGGCTACACCGAAAAGGCGGAATGGACGCCTGGTTTCTAAATCCGATCCCGTGTGGGCCGGACGATGGACAGAGACAAAACACGACTTTACTCGATGCGACGTCCTGAATCCCCTGTCAACATGGTTGACTAGCAAAACAACCGCTATACGTCTCAGAGCAAACGGGCCATCCAACTGGAGGCTCGATCCCCCAAATACGGCCACTATGCGGCTTCCGGGTCTCCATCAAGCAAGCCCCCATCACGTCCAAATCCAAACGCATTTGTCACCACCCACTACCATCAAGGAATTTGGAATGGATTACGGGCCAGTCGGTACCGGATTGACCTTGCAGATACCAACGAGATGCCAACCCACAGACCATTTCACATGTCAACTTATCTGGAATGTCCCGCTACCGGAACGGATACTATCACAGGTCAATCACTTCGAATCTTCACTACGAGTCCAGGAGAGCCCCCAGATACTAGAGAGAGGGGATTATTCGTTACAAGGTTACGCGGCCAGGATACTGCGGCAGCGCTCGCACTATCGGGATATGTGTCTCTCACGAAACCGGCTTAGTTGGTGGACGCAAGCGGTTGAATCGTCCAAATGGGAACAGAGAGACACACAACAACTTGAGACCCATCGCTTCACACGTTCACTGCAACAATCTGCGGTCTCAAGAGGGATTTTACAAAAGTACCAACAATAAGGTCACGAGATTGGTGGTATGAGAGAAACTGTGGGAGGTAAAGGAGGTTGGACGACGAAGCCGGCATTTATCCATGATTTATCAGTTACCCATCTGGTCCAACCCTCTCACGTGCACAGTTTTCGGAGACATCTCGAGTCTGACGAAGACGAAAAATAAACGAAGAGGCACGTGCTGAGGAACAGTATGACAAAATGGCCACTGTTTCGGACAGAGAGCCAATGGTATGATTGAGAGAGGGAGCCATTGCTGCCGTCGCCAAAGACAAGGTCCCTTCACTGGAACAGAAGGATGCCTTTAAAGCTTTTCGCCCGATCCGATCGCTTTGCATCACAGCCTGCGCAGCCAGCCCAGCCTTGGGGACGATCAGAAGAGAATCACACCTCCAGCCCAGTATGCCAATGTCCGATCAGAGTCTATATCCAAGTTTTGCCCGTGGAATTGTTGTTTTCAAATGAAATCGTAGACCTTTGGAATAAAAATCTGAAAAAAAAAAAGGTGTGGAAGAAGCCATCCCTCCGTGCCATGCTTTAGGACCGAAACACCGAGAAATGCTATACCCAGGTCTATGTCCCATGTCATGCTAGAAAGGCCGTGCTGCCCGGTGCTCAGATATCTTTGGATGTCGACTGCCCGTGTCTGAACAATGCTATTGTTGAATTGTTGCTTCCTGTCTTTATACTGAGCGCCAGTATGGTTTCGGGATTCCAGCAGGATTGCACCTTCGAGTTCGTGCCCGTGTAAATTGCTTCGTTCGTGCCGCGTCCTCCCATGTTCGGGTGAGGTTAGTCTCGTCATCATTCAGCATTTGTCCATCATGCTCCCACATTTCTCCTATCATAAGGCAACACCAATTCCTCTGTCGCCAAAATCCCTCGGTCTCAGCGTAGCCCTCGTCATGGCTTGCTCGAGCTCCTCGGCTGTAAATGGTGTATCGTGGCCGGTAGTTTGCTTGGACAGAGCTGCCAACTCCGGCATGTGGATACCACTGTCATGCTGGGCGAGTTTGTTGTTCGGTTCGGCCGGTGCAGAGGGAACCGCCGTAGCTTGGTCTGAGAGGGATGCTGCGAAAAGGTCAGTTGAGTTGATGGCGGGAGATCGAAATGGCATATGGAAAACATACTGCTTGCAGTATCTGCATCAAACGCCGTACTAGCTGCAGCACTTTTCTGCCTGCTCGTGCTGTCCGAAGAACTACCACTGCCTTCTGAATCCGCACCACTCTGATTTCTCAGCGCTGACAGGGGGTGTTCCTGCACCGAAGGTCTCCGACTTGCAGCTCTACTGTGGACTCTACTGGCCGCAGCACTTTGCGATTTCGTACCACCAGGAGAGAATGTGCCTGAGAGTGCGAGCGAGGTCCGTCTCCGGGCCGATGAGAAGGCGTCTGCAAGGGAGAAGGCTTGCAGGGAGGCTTGATGTTGGGGATCGACCTTTCCCCGGTACTTAGACTTTGGGATCTCGTTGGGCTTATAGTATTCAATGTCCTTCCGGTTTGTGTAATATATTTCACCATTGGGCCCCGTCTCACTTCCCGTACTATTCTTCTTGGACGTAAAAGTCCTCCGTAACTTTACTCGTAGACCCATCGTGCCTGTGCGATACGGAGGGGAGAAAGGAGTAATGGTCGGGAGCGCGCTGACGGAGTGTCTGTCTAATTCTAGTACTCGACTCTGAATGGAACCCTCTGTCGATGGGCAATAGACAAGCCCTGGTTCAAGGCAAACGAGGTTCAGTCTGTGTCGATATTGTAACGATGAGGATAGGAAGACGGGAGGGACGGAAAGGACCAAGAGGTCTCATAAGAAGGCTATCAGGCTGGATCAGAGAGAAGTGGAACTGCGGTGGCTAGAGGCATATCAGACACAATCAGGAGAGCATGGACCTGTGGGTAGCAATGACGAGCGGCGGGCACAATTGTTATGCTGAAATCTGGCACAAGGTAGTGGGGAGGGCCGGGAGGAATATGGAGATAGGCGTGGTCAGTGTGTCGCCATGGTCGACAGCTGGGATGAGACGTCTCCGTGCCCTGTGCGCTGTGCCCTTGTACCCTGCTCTTGCCTGTACAGTATTTCCCAATGCAGCGGTCCAGTATCCACCCTGCGCCATCGTCGACGGGTTCTATCGCAGTTCTGAGCATGGCGGCTAGCATATGGGAGTAGCATATTATCGCAAAGCCCGGGAGGAGGCGAGGCACCCGTATGGGCCAGGGTCGAGACGGAGGAGGGTGGAGCGGGCAACAGAAGCCCAAGGCAGTCAAGTTGTGGCAGAATCCGACGATTCCGCCGATAGGTCTTTGCTGATGTGGATTCGGATGGATCAGGTCTGAGGTTGGCCGCAGTGAGAAGTGGTCCTGATAGTCCCAATCCTACCTCACTACTCCATACCTACTCGGCAGAGTGCCTGCGGTCGGGGGCAAGGGCAGAGAGATTCCAGAAAACGAAGCGGGCAGGAGTGCCGGCCCCCTGCAATGCAACGTGTTGGCCTGAACAAATTGCCCGCCATAAGCAAAACACCCATATGCTCCGCAAGTACCAGATTGCGTAAGTATGAGGGTCGAGCAGGGCCAGGTGTCACCTTTCCACCTTCTAGAAAGATGCTTGTTCTGGGTCTTGGTGTTTTGTTCTGGCGCAGGCGGATTTCGCTGGACGTGGTTGGGTGGCGACTTCCCGCCCCTTGCATTGGCCGCCTGGCCTCTAGCCCTGTACTTGCCCTTACTAGGTACTTGTTAGCCCTATCAAGCCGCCGCGGAAGGGGGCCTCCAAGCCTCCAAGCCCTTGGGGAGGGACCTGTAGCGTGGCTCCCTTCCAGAGCGTGCTCCTCCCACCTCTGCTTGTTGCCATGGCCTTCACCCGACGTGCATGAGCGACTTGTTTTCTGCTGATAAGGTGTCTCGGTGTGCCTCTCATTTCTCAGGAGATAAAGTTCTTCGCTCGTATCACTCCACGGACAAACAAATCTCGTTTGCCGTCCAAGTATTTGGGCAGGGCAGACAGAGTCCAGAATCAGTTCGCCACGACGAAGCCACCGACGGCGATATCTCGCTCCAAAAAAAAACACAACGCTGTGTCGCCGCCATTACTGTCACGTGACTATTGCTCGCCATCGCCATCGCCATCGCCATCTCCATCTCCATCACCGCCATTGTGGGTTTCAAGTAACACAATAATGACCTGGTCTCGGGTAATCCATCTCAAAAAGGCCAATGATGTGCATACATATACTTGTAGGTATTTCCCCCAGGCTCTTTGGTTGCACTTGGGGCGATTGGCCCATCTCTTGAGATCTGGCTGTGTGTGTGTGTGAGTGTGTGTGTGTATGACACTTCATTCTAGACCAAACTGGCACCACGGACATCACTTGGTGTTTTGGGGGGGGGGGGGAAATGCCAGTGGCCAGTGCACCTACTGCCCAATGAACAGCTCAATGCCTTCGGTCTGTGGCTTGAAACTTGAACCGCTTCTCCCAGATCGTAAAGTTATTGGTGTCAATGGTGTCATGGGATCCATGATGCGTATTGTGGTTCGAGAGTTTCAGGTTATGACGCAAACCAGGAAACCATGGCGCAGACAGCTCAGAACAGTTCAGACAGGGTTCACGAAGCACAGCTTCACCTCCCTCTCCCATCTCCTCCTCCAAAGCTTCTCTTTTGTTTCTTCTTCTCTATGTGTAGCGACATTAGTTGATGGCCTTCTCTCCCCTGCATTTGGCCCACCGTCGACAACCTCTAGCAACCCCAATATCGAATGGACAAGTTCAAGACCATAATGTACGTATTCTCATCCGCCCAAGCTCTCCCTCGCCTAATACAATGCTCAAGGCAAGCCAGGGACAAAGGAGACACCCAAGAGAAAAGCGGACCGACTGGTCGACTGACCGGACAAGGTTCTCATTTTCCCAAGAGAGAGGACCAGCCTGCGGGTGATGCAACCGCTTCTCAGGAAAATACAGCCGCGGGATACGTGCTGGGTGCGTTCATCCTTTGCATCGTGCTTATCGACCTACTGATTCAGCGATAGGCACCGGTGCAAAGCAGGCCAATGAAGCAGATCCGGCAAGTGGCTTGTCAGGTCCTGGTTCTGGTACTGCTGCCATTGGCGAGACCTCAACCTACAGCTCCCACACACTGACCAAAGGCGATACCGTTGGAAATGTGGTTGACTCGAGATCCGAGGACCCCACCACTTATCGAGTCCCAGAACACGCATACTTGTCAAGCAAAGGTGTACCGGAGGGTGGCCCCTTAGCTGCCGCAGCGCACGCATTTCACAAGGACAAAGACTATAGCAGTATGTCACGCTCCAGACTTTGCCTGGAGAGTCCGTGCCACTAACCTGTCCAGCTTCTCATATCCCAGGAGCATTTCCCAAAGACGTGACAGCGCATGATGCCACCACAATTGCTCCTTCGACTTTGACCACGACGACATCACCAGCTGAACGATCAGCGGTATACGGTCAAGTTGAGAAGACAAAGGTGCCTGATGCGGCCACCGCAGCTCAGTTTGCCGCAAGAGGTGCTCCGGGAAGTCAGGAGCAGCCAAGCTCGGAAGAGCCCAAGAGATCTGGGACAATTGGAAAGATCCTAGGTGCCGTGGGCCTAGGAACTGCTGCTAGTGGTGCCGCAGCCGCTCCTTCCAGAGCAGAGGGCGATCAACCGCATGCCGTCGTAGACACTCCTGATCAGCCTACCACTACTACAGGTCTGGAGTCCTACACTGCCCCAAGGCGCTCAGGGCCTCCTCCATCGCATCACAGGAAGGAGAGTATTCCAACTACAGCCTACCCAGCAGGCGTAGATTCTCCTGCACCGATCAATCCGCCAGTCGGTGGTACCTCAGTCGGCGCAGAGCCGGGCCAAAAAGATCATGTCGGTCGGAATGCAGCAGTGGCGGCTGCAGGTGTTGGAGCTGGCGCAGCCGCAGCTGGCGTTTATGCCATGCACGGTAGCGAAAGGGAGACAGCAAGGCCTGACTGGCCTCTGCGCGATGACCTCCCTACTAGGACACCAGGTGCTGCGACTGTTCCTACTTCAGAGGGCGCTACCAAGCCCACGCCTGCAAGTCGACCAGTTCATCAAGACCCCGCCGCTCACAATGCTGCACTTGCTGGTGGCGAAGCGTCCGTCGTGCCTGAATACAGCCAACGCCAAGACAGATTGGAAGCTCAAGCCCAGAAAGACAAAGCGAAACAGGAGGCAGCCCGTGCGGGAGCCGCAAGTGTTGAAGGCGGAGCATCTATCGCACCTGAATACACTGTGCGTCAAGACAAAGCCTCAGAAGAAACAGAACGGCAGAGACATAAAAAGGAGGAGGAAGCTGCGCTCGCTGGAGTTGCAGCAGCTGGAGCTGGAGCGGCTGGGTTGTATGAGTATAACCAACGTCAAGACAGGCTTGAGGAGGACGCTCAGAGACAGAAGGATTTGGCGGAACAAGAGGCTGCCCGACAGAAGCAGTTCGAAAAGGACCAGAAGGCTGCTGAAAAACACGCCAAGAAGGAAGAGAAGCATCATCAGAAGGAGCTCAAAAAGGAAGAGAAACATCACCAGAAAGAGCTCGAGAAGGAAGAAAAAGCCCGAGAAAAAGCTGCAGAGAAGGAAGAACAACACCATCGCAAGGAACTCGAGCGTGAGCAAAAGGAACGTGAGAAAGCTGCCGCCGCGGCGGCTTTTGGTGCCGGCGCAGCTGGCGCTGGTGCATATGAGGTCTACGACAGGGACAAACACCCGCCTCCCGCAACGGCAACTGATGAATCAGGTCACACAAAGCTTCACAAGGAGCCGGAGGAGAAGAGGCCGGGTCTTTTGAAACGAATCTTCAGGCGCCGCAAGAACAAAGATACAGGTGAAGAAGAGGAATACGAAGACCACGAGCATCATGAGGCTGAGGCTGAGCATGGCGACCACCATGTTGCCGAAGCTGGAGTCACTGGAGGCACGGGTGTCGCCGTAGCCGGGACTGCTGCTGCATCCCACGAGCCGGCTAGAACTTCGTACGAGGCACAAAGCGGCGGCCTTCAGAAGCCATCATACAATCCCTTCTCCAAGGACGATCCAGCACGCGGACCTGCAACCACAACCAGCAGCAGCACGCCTGCAGCCACCAACTTGGCACCAGAACCCCCTCGCTCAAGGAGAAGTAGCGTTGGGCCGGATGCAATTGACCCTACCACAACCCATCTACCCTATGACCCTACCCACCACCCTGAGAGCCGGAAATCCATCTCGGAACAAGGTGAACATCTCGACCACATCGGCGGACTGACGGCGCATCATCCATACGCCGAGGGCGAACAAAAGCCCGGGCTGGCACATAGGATCATCGATGCGTTGAAGCCGTTGCCTGATAAAGAGGAGTTACAACAGCACGCGGAAGAGTATCATCATCACGGACAGCCGTCTCAGATGGGGCGGTAGTTGGAGAGCAGCAGAGGAAGAACACTACATAATCCGATGTCTTGGATTGCCTTAATCAAAGTATTGTGATCAATTCTTGGATCCACCCCGACGCTGTTGTTTCTCTAATTTAATTAATCTAAAAAGAATGTCTAAATTGCGGTTAAGAATGAATATCCTCCTCGGGGTGCCATATTCGAATGGGGGCTTCACGAAGTAACCGAAGATCACTTGACCTACCTGTGACCCGGCAGGGACCGGGGTGGCCTCTTTGCCTTTGTTTCATGCATGTAAGAACGCCATAGCATGGCACGGCATGACAATGATGACAATGAGGTATAAAATATGATACATTTCTTTCGTTCCAATTAGCCTAGCCCTCTTCCCTTCCAGCTTTGTTTGTGGCGCTCCACTCAGTTGAGCTTGTCTGTCTTTTGTTGGCCTAACCAACTCCGAGGGCCAGCTGGGGCTCGAAAGACTGGATGGTGGTGGTGATAATAAAAGCAATACCAAAAATTCTGCAGAAAACGAGTAGACACTCGATAATTGCAATACACGCGTTTTGGTTCTTCGAGCCCTCCAATGATCTCGACGCATTGGCCCGTTCAATCACCGAGAATCGCTTTGCTCGGTGAAAATGCTGTGTCGAGTCCCCTTCTAAAACGAGCGCCGCAATTTTCGCCTTTCCAGACGGAGAAATCGTCGCTCGAAAAATGCATCTTAGCATACCAAGATCTCAAGAATAGATCCAGCCTCGAACGCTAGCTTTTCACATGCCTTGAGGTTTTTTTGGACGCTTCCTTAGCATCGGTCTCCCGATCACCACCTCTCACACCATGCTCCCCTATCCTTTCTTCGTATACAACCTTGCCGCAATATTCATGCTCCACAGTTCCTGGAACAACAACTTCGCCGCATAAGGCAAGTAAATCTGACTTATCCGATTCTTGTTGTTACAGTTCTTGCACTCAAAGGTATTCTTCTTGAGTTTCGCAATCACCGTCATCAATCCGCAGATATCGCAAATGTGCACGCGGAAAGGATCAGAAACGTCAAAAAGGCGTTCTTTGAGGAATGAAGAGGCACCGTGTGCGATCATGCAGTCGCGTTCCATTTCACCGAAACGGAGACCACCGTCGCGAGCACGACCTTCGACGGGCTGTCGGGTCAGGATTTGGGTTGGACCTCGAGCGCGGGAGTGGATTTTGTCATCGACCATATGTCTTAGACGCTGGTAGTAGGTAGGGCCGAGGAAGACTTGTGCGACGAGCTTGCGCCCAGTATGCCCATTGTACATTACTTCGAAGCCTCGAGATTGGTAGCCCATTCGTCTGAGCAACTCGGAGATCTGGGTCACGGTGACTTTCGTAAAGGGCGTGGCATCCCCTTCATCGCCGCGAAGTGTCGCTACTTTTGAAAGCTGACATTCGATCAAGTGCGCAATCGTCATGCGAGAGGGAATGGCGTGCGGGTTGATAATCAGATCGGGCACAATGCCTTCTCGTGTGAAAGGCATATCTTCATGACGGTATGTGATACCAATTGTACCCTTCTGACCATGGCGAGATGCAAATTTATCGCCGATTTGAGGCACTTTGGTTGTCCTAACTCTGACCTTGGCAAACCGATGGCCTTCATTGGTAGTAGTGAGCAATACCTGGTCAACAATGCCAGACTCCGTAGATCTTAAGGGTGTTGACACGTCTCGCTTAATATGCTGTTTCTGTCTTTGACCAAGTTCTTCGGCATCTGGTGCCATTGGAGCGGTCTTACCCATGATGATATCTTCTCCGCTCACCCGGACACCAGGAGCGACAATGCCATCCTCGTCAATCTTGTCATATGTACCGTGCTTAAGACGAAGCGTATCAGCTCTTGTGGGCTTCTCAAACTGCTCCACCACGGAGTGGCCGACTATCTTTTCCGAGTCCTGGTAGGTCCGGTAGAACAGCGAACGGAAGAGACCACGATCGATCGAGCTCTGATTCATGATGACGGAATCTTCTTGGTTGTAACCCGAATAACACGCGATGGCGACAATGGCATTTTGTCCTGCAGGAAGTTCTCGGAATTTCAGGTAGTCCATAGCCATCGTTCTGGCAAGCGGTTTCTGAGGATAGTACAAGATATTTGCCATGGTCTCCATCCGTTGGTCGAAGTTGGTGAGGAAAACACCCATAGCCTGTTTACCCATAGCAGACTGGTAGGTGTTACGAGGTGATTGATTGTGATCGGGAAATGGAATGATACTGGCGCAGACGCCCAAGATCATACTTGGATGAATTTCGCAGTGAGTGAAGGTGTGCGAGAACGGGTTGAGCAGAGGGTCGTTTCTCCTCAAAGGGTCATCTTCGGCCTCTATCTCCATGCCCATCCATCTTGCTTTGGAATCGGCTAGAGCTTCAGGGGTCATGATGATCATTGCAGTTTCTTCCTCCTCGGCATCAAGGTATTCGACAACGCCGGATTCGAGGAGATTGTTCCAACCGTATGGCCTGACTTCATCAGTCCACTGAAAGCCGCTTTCCTTCAGGTAGGCAGTCTGATCAAGCTTGTTGATGTGTTCCTTGTTGAGCACTAAGTTGCCACGGTTTTCTGATGCCGGGTCGGTTTCAACAACAAACAGGGGACGAACAATTCTGCCCGAGTCACCATTGACTTTGAACTCTTTCTCTCGAATATCCCAGACCAGACTTACTTGGGCATCAAACACGCCCTTTCTCCGTAGTTTGCGGAGGTCATCAACGAGACGTTTCGGGTCGCGTAGGACTACCGCAAACCACACACCGTCAACAAAGACCTTGGTCGCCTGAGGATTCAATCTAGGTTCCCAGTCTTCCAATGCTTCGACATGTTTGGTGAGGATATAATTCACCAGAGGAGCAGTCTCGTAAGTATTTGTAACCATCGACATAAGAGACAAGTTCTTGACCAGACCACAAGCCTGACCTTCGGGCGTCTCAGCCGGACAAACGTATCCCCAGTGAGTGTTGTGGAGTTGACGAGGCTTTGCAATTTTACCTTCTCGACCGATTGGAGCATTGGTACGACGAAGATGTGATAAAGTAGACGCAAAAGTGTAGCGGCTGAGCACTTGAGAAACACCAGCTTTCGCTTTGTCTAGTTTCTTTTGATCGCCCCAGTTACCAGTAGCCAACGAATACTTCAAGCCGCTTGTGATGATGGGATGTTTGAAGCCGGCCATGATATTGATGGGCTGGCCTGCCTCCACGCGCTTCTGCATATATCTGTAGAAATCTTTCGTAGCTTTGTCAAATTGTAAACGGAAGAGGTTGGTCATGAGAGGCCCAGCAAGATCGAGTCGCTTTTTTCCAAGGTGATCTCGATCGTCCGGTTCCGCACGCCCGAGGGCGCATTTCAGCAATCGGTTGACCATATAGCCTAGGAAGAATGCCTTTCTAGCGGTAGCATCTGGGCTTTGTCCGATATGGGGTAGGAACTCTTTCTGCAGGATGTCTGTGGCATGCTTCTGCCGTTCATGGCTTCTCAAAGTCGGAATGTTGCCTCGGCGCGCAATGAAATCTCGAGCTAGATCTGCACCCTGGATGGCCTGACCTTCTTGGAGTGAGCCCATCAGCATATCCATCATTTCTTTATCGCTTTGATCAAAGCAGATCTTCTCCAGGATATCGGCATCAGAGACTATGTCCAAGGCTCGGAAGACAATAACGAGAGGAATGTCCTGCTTGACATATGGTAGTTGGACTCGGATCGGGTTGTCGATCTTGGTGCCATCGGGCCCATCCACTCTGCGGAAGAGCTTGACTGTGCACTGAGACATCATGCGGGCGCCACGATCGATGACGGATCTGATTTCTGCAAGGTGGGTGAACGGGGAAGGCGCTGCCTTTTGGAAGACTTGGACGATATTTCCAGCACTTCGTTCTTGAGCGATGAGCACTTTCTCGCTGCCGTTGATGATGAAGTAGCCTCCCTGGTCATATGGGCATTCTCCCCATGCGAAGAGATCTCTCTCGCTTTGGAATTTCTCGCTCACCAAGTGACAGGTCATACTCCTGACCATGATGGGTATCTTTCCAATGTATACCTCTTTGTCACTGTCAAAGTCATCTTCGTCTTCGCCCTCTCTCCAGAAGAGCTCAGTGCCGTCCTCCTTCATGACGCCCGAGTCTTTGTCGTCCTCATCCCATGGGCGCTCTTTTGCGTAGTATGTCCGTCTGGTCATCTTAACGTAGACTGGACTCGCGTATGTCAGACTCCTCATGCGTGCTTCGTGAGGCATACAGTCTGTCGTAGTGCCATCAGGTTCGACTTGGTTCGGCTTGCTGAGTGTGACCTTGCCGAATTTGACTTCATGCCTCTTGATAACAACTGGGTTCGGATCATTTTCATCCACATTTTGTGCATGGTCCAAGGTAACACCACCCTTTTCATTGACTAGATCTTGCAGACCCGAGCGCATGAAATGGTTGAATGAGTCTATCTGCATAGACGCCAACTTCTTGATATCGAAGAACGAACTGATGACTTTCCAGCAGTCTTCAGATGTGATATCTTGTTCTCCAGCGTCCATCTCATAGGCACCAGCTTCCCCATAATAGCCGTTCGGTTCATATTTGACCTCGTATTCCGCCATGAGGGGCGATCGATGATCCGGGAGCGGTCGCACACGATAGGTGATTGGGGAATTCCGCGAAAGCTGAGGGAGAGAAGGAGAAGACAGACGCGGAGGCGAATTCGATTCTCCCTCCCTTCTGAGTCGCAACTCAGGTCTTCAGAAAGCGCTCTGACAAAGGGCACTGAATTGTCAGTCAAGACTTCAGATTTCCTCTGGAGAGCCACCAACAGAGCGACAGACAGCCAGAGACCCGGAGCCGCGAGAGAAAGACACCCGACACTAAGCACAGTGTAAGGATTCGTGGATGTTGGTTGCTGTGGAGAGGAATGTCCTCGAGGATCTTTTTGGCGCGCATAAAAGTGAAGGCGACCGTGGCAATTCTTGCCGCTTTATTTGCAGATGGACTAACCTCTTTTGGATGCGGATACGACTGCGGTTACCTCGTAGAGTGACTAGCAAGTAGTAGCTCTAGAGAAGGTGACAGTGATGGAATGTGAACTCATGGATCATGAATGAGAATGGGTATCACAATTATGCATAGAATCCATGCATGTCAGCTATCAGCAATTCGTTCCTCCCTAATGGCATAATTAGATCTCGCATTCACAAAACACCAGCTTCATTGCTCCACGCACAAAAGTAATGCCTCCAGCATTTCCTCCGTAGCCTTCGCTTCATCACTCTGTCCAGGATCCATCCCGTTGAGTTGATCCCGTAGGCTCCGCTCGAGTATCTTAAGCCCGTCTTCGCTGAGGAGTATGGTGATGGTCTGTCTCGCTCCGTTGTCTTCTGCCACCATCCAGCTGAGGATCAACTCAATGGCCTGGAGTGAGAAGAGGCCGGCGTCTAGTCGCCGTGAGAACCACTCGTCGGCCTGTGCTTCCACTTGGGCTTGGTTGAGATCTTGTCGCTCCCTTTGAATATGCGCATCCACTTTGCTCAATCTCGTCTTGTATTCGCGCCGCAATTCGACGAGCTTTGTGATTTTTTCGTAGTCATTTTCCACAAACTTGGCGAGAGTGCGTATCCTTTCGGCAGAGCCTCCCGGCAGATACCTCAACATGCTTGCCAGGATTCCAATGAGATGCTCGACCAAGCTTCGCTCCATTTTGTGGGATTTCATAAGCATGCCGAAGATTGTCTTGAGTCCGGCCGCGTCGACCAACCTCACCGAGACAGATGTCGCATTGCCTCCACTCATGGCGTGGTCGAGCACTCGCAAAGCCCGTGCTTTAGCCAATCGACCTTCTCGGAGCATGATGAGACACAGCTCGACACCTTCCCCTTCGACAAACTTCTCGCCGGCAATGCGTTCCTCCACCACACAGGCTAAGCAATCAAAGAGATTTTCGGCAAACTCTTCCTCGTCCGAGTCCTTTTCGGGATCTCGCTTGCGATACGCGCTGACGAGTTCGAGAAGAGAGTCGACTCCGTCTTTCCGCGCTAGACGATCTCGATTGGTTTTGTTGCTCTGAAGAAGTATGGCCAGAATTTCCGCGGCGTATTGGCGATTCTGTCCAACCTTTCCCCTCGCATAAAGATCCACTTTCTTTATCCTTGAGAGGAGCCATTCCATCAGGGCATCTTTCGCCCCAACAGCCTCCAAGTTTCCAGTGTCGGACAAGATGTTCTCGACAACATTCAAAATATGATAAACCCCTGCTCGGTCACTCTCATTGTTATCCTCGTCCAGTCTACTGAGGTTGCTCGTAAGAAGATCCACGATGTCACTCTGAATCGTGGCCTTGACCAAAGTCTTCCATTGTTCTTCGGTAGTGGTCGAGTCCTCATCTGTCAGCTCCGCGAGCAACTCACAGACAGCGATGGCAATGTCGGTATTCTCATGCGCAAGCAATCCAACCAAACTGCCCACACAGCCCATTTTGACGAATTCGGCGTACAACTCGCCGTGTTCACTCAATAGACTCAAACCTTTGATTTCAGCATCCAAATCGGCCTCACTGCTCACAAACTTCATGGGCTCATTCTCGTATTTGGCTCGTAGTTCGGCGTTCTTGTTGATTTTCCGTTCAAAGTTAATGGCCGTGCGGCGCAGCCATGTGGAATCAATCTTTTCTTCCACCTCACCAGCTTCATTTTTATCGATGTAATCAATCACTTCTCTCTCTTGTTTTGTGACACCGCCGCCAAAGAAGCGCCCCTCCTCATCGTCTCCGACTTCGTCCTCAGGGTCTTCCGGCGGCGGTGCGGGTCCGGCTTCGAGATTATCTCGATCATCTAGGACCTCATCCTGCACAAAAGTAGCTTTGCTCTCTGAGCCATTGGAGGTGGAATCGTCATGTGAGGAGCCATTGGCGGAACTGCGTGGAGAGGAGCCGTTGGTCAGTTTGGCAGATTTGTTGGAGAGGGCATTGGAGAATGACTTGGTCGGGTCCTCGAGTTTTCGCTTGGAAGCGACGTTGGGTTTGTGGAAAAGGTCATCAATCGAGGTCATGACTGCACGATGGGCAGATCAATTCAAGGCCTCATTGTTGTCTCTTTTTCCTTAATCTCTGGTGAAGAAAAAAACGAAGAGGGCTGCACCACCGGAAAACATAGGAAAGGCATTCAAGGCAGAGAAATCCGGACAACCGCAAATTGAAACTCGGGAAAGTTTCCATTTGAGCGCGTGCCACTTTTTGCGGCGCTTTTCCATTCACATGGACGGACATGGTTGGCTTTGTACTCCTCCGTACGAGGTACGCGAGACTCCATCTCCACTCCATATTCTTCACAGCTAGTTTTCCCGAGCGGCAGCATCGGGCCTTGGGCCTTGAGGTCTTTCCTCTCCTTTTCAACGGCCCAGAACGGCCCCGAGGTTCTTTTGCCAAATATCAAACAACCCTTTGATCAACACCCCCCCCTCCTCCCCCCACCAGAAGCCCCGTACCCAGTACCGAGACCGGCGTCCCATCTACAATACCAGCCTCGCGCAGTGCAACATCCGCACCCACCTGAACGAATTGGATCTACCCCAATTGCAACCCACATAATTTGATTGCAAGGCAAATCCACCACCAGCCAAAATATCGAGTACCTCGTTTGCTTGCATTGATTCCTAGTGTACAGGTAAATCTTAGGATCAGTAACGCTGAAACGAACAGCTCCTAGCACCAACTGCAGCGATCAAAAGAAACCCCAAAGCTGCCCAGTTATATCCTGCTGCCATCCTCTTCCTCTCTGATACCAGGCAGGACGAACCCACTTACGTCAAAATGGGATGTCTTCTGGCCATGACTGCAGGCAGATCGATCTATTATTCTCGCTCATACAATATGATTGGGCCAACCTGTGCCGGTAAACAGACTCCAACACCACCCAATCGGCTTCGGCTGGTGAGGCCTGCAACTAGCTTCACCATCAAGCTGGCTTGTCCATGACTGTCCCCTATTCAGCTCGGCTCCACAAAGGCTGTAATTAAGGCCACCTTCAAAGCCTCTGTCGTTCTTCGATGAAACATGCAACACGGATCAGAGAAACTCGGCCCCTCTAATTGTTGCATGGGTACCACCCGCGGCTCATGATGGAATAAAGGGTTCGCTATCTGTCGATGACTATCCGACGTCTCAGTTAAGTGTGGTTTACTTTATTGATGCTCTTGACCATCTTTTTCTTCGAAAAGAGCGGCTTTCTACTCGGTACACCTGGGTTTCGTTTCGTTTCTACATTCTCGGTGAAGATGCGGTGCCTTATAACCGGCAGCTTCGTTCTCGTTGCTCTTTTCTCCATAGGACATGCGGCAACCAACGTCTGCTATAATCCAGATGGAACTCAGACGGTGAAAGATACTTATTCTCCATGTTTTCCCACCACCAACGTGACGCACTGCTGTCCAGAGGACTCAACTTGTCTAAAGAATGGGCTGTGCCTGATGAAGGTGAGTAGTGGAACTGCCGCGAGAATTACCAGGTATTGCTTAACATCTCCATGACAGAATGACACTACCCTCAACACTGGTCTATGCACGGACAGTACGTGGCAGGACGATGCCTGCTTCCCACGCTGCCTAACCTCCCAACGCAAACCCGGCCCAAGTTCGCTCTATCGCTGCAGCAACAATAATTGGTGTTGTTCGGATGGTGCCTCCAATTCCACCTCCTGTTGCCGAGACGAAGGCGTCAAGCTATTCCCAATCATTGCACACGCAGCCGTGGAAAACGGCTCAGCCTTTTTGCATGGCTACAGCATCGCACCCATTGCTAGCATTATTACAAATGGCGCATTGCTCTCGAGCACGGCTCTGCAGACAGTGACCTTCACGACGGACATATCTGGGTCACCGATCACCATCACGGCGACAACAACTGGGGAACCCGACCCTGTAGCCATCAGGGAGGTCAACAGCTCCAGTGCGAGTCTCAGCACTGGATTGGGTACTGGACTGGGGGTCGGTGTTCCTCTCCTTGCAGTTATCGGTTTTCTTTCATTTCTCCTCTTCCGAGAGAAGAAACGTCACCAGGCGACCCTCGAATCTATGTCCAGCAACGACGGCTATCCACTTGTAACCCATCATCAAACAATGTTACCTGGACAGTATCAAGTCGCAGCTGGTAGCTCTGAGGACCAATCGCCCTATCCCATGCGGCACCCTGCTGAAGTCGATTCGCGGGAGACGAAAGTTGCGCGTCTAGAGCTTCCGGCATCATGAGCCCAGTACACTGAGGTCAACCAGAGGGAAATCAAGAATCTCACCTGTCTTCAGAGCCATCCCGGGAGGCCATCAAGGCAGCATTACTTTAAGTCCTCGGCGCATACCTCGGCGGGGGTTGCGAGAAGAATGCGTCGGTTTCGCTGTAAGAATGACCGCCTATTGAGCCCGCCTCAGGTGGCGGGATGACCCAATCTCCCTCCCCACGACCACCAGCCTGGGCCTCACTTCCGTCATCCTGATCTTGTTGGTTAGAAGACTGCGCCACGAGTCTTCCAATTCCAACACGTGCCAGCCCATACTCACTCTGCCTCTGGATTCTCGGGTACTCTGCCTGGACGACACTCTGCTCAGGCATACTACTAGCAGGCACCACTCTAATCGGCACATCCTGGCACGCAAACTTAAATTCCCTGCCTTCGTATTCGATTCCAATCTCCAAATTCAGCGTATGCTCAATTGCAGCATTATATGTCGCAAAATCCAGGACAAGACTCTCTCTTGGTATGCGCAGTTGAGTGACCTCGGCGAGGTCGACCTCCATATAGGCGGATATTTCCATGGTGCCTGCCCCGTCGGTGCCAGACGGAAATGTCTCACACTGACTGATTGAGAGTGGCAGTGAGCATGTTGTTTTTCGCGTATACGTCTTGCGCGTGGAGGTTGATGGGTGGTGCCCTGCTTGGACCTTCGTGTGTTGAATGATTGCGATCTTCATGCTTTTGATTGTGAGGCTTGTCGCAGCCGATGGAGGCAGACTTTCTATGCCAGTTGTTGCACACGTTTTGGTGTTGCTGAGTGATTGGCCAGAGAACAATATGCTCATTGTCGAATAGTCTTCTCTGTTCTCTATTCTCCGTGGCAGAAGGACAGAAATACTGAGTGAAGGTTCAGCAGCCGCCAATCCTTCTTTGCGGCCATCACGTTGCAATTTTGAAAGCTTCAGGATTCGAGACATTGGGTTTTGAAGGGAGACATGCGTCTTCCCTCGGGGGAGTTTGAACACTTGGTGATGGCGGACATAAGACTGATCAACTCGACTGGTAGGATTCTGAGTTGCACCTATCCTTGCAGTGTTCTGGGGCAGGATATTGATCGAACTTTTTGCGGCGATGCTTTTCCCTATGGTCGCCATAGGAGAGCTTAACGGCGGCCTCAATGTCGCTTCGAGAATATACTCCACAGCACAAACAAATCCCCGACAACTATACAGCATAGTCGGCGGCAAGTCATGCTTTTGGATACCTTGGACGGTCCTTTGAAGGGCTAGACACCTTGACATCATTCTATCATCGGCGTACTCGGGCACTTTAAACCCAAACGGCCAACTATATTCACCGGCACTGTGCGTCCATTTCCCTCCAGTATACAACACCTTCTCACGCTGAAAGAGGACCTCGCGCGAGTGATAATCGGTGCTCGAAACACTGAGATCTCCATAGTTCTGAGTCAATGTAACGCGAGACAGGCCAGTGAAAGTGATGACGATGGAGCCAATGGGAATGGACCTGGCCGAGGTGAGGAAAAGGGTACCGCTGAAGTGGGAGCCTGGGTGATATGGCCCGGTTTGAGGAAGCTGGATTGAGAGAGACATGGTTCGGGGCTTTTCGCACCGCCTTCGATCCAAAGTGGCGGATTGGATTTCCTCAAGCGGCTTCTGCAATACAGACTCCGGTCATTCGTGAGGATCATGTTAGATAGAACCTAGTCGCATGACAATTTCCCGTACACGGTTGTTGCATTCGATGTATCTCCAAAAGGAATAAAGCCTCAACATTGAAATCCCTTTGCCACGTAGCGAGCAGCCATGAGAAGCTGGCAGAACCTGCCTTATTGACGGCGGAACGGATCGGTTGTATTCTGTCGCAATTCAGGCTCAAGACTCTCGACCAACCTGTCTGGTGACCGTGCGCAGATCAAGGAGGGTCTACTGGGTACTTGGTAGATGCAAGTCTTCAAGAAATTGGATCCAAAGGCAGAAGAATGAAGTCTGATGCGGAGAGTTTCCATCTTCTGAACTGACGAGATGCACCAACTGCCGGGCACGCTTTCGCCGGCCGGATGTGGTACCCGAGAGATCCTTGCGTGTCCATCTCGAACGAACTAAGGATGTCTTCAGCACCATGGAGTGGGCAAGGGTCATTGGAGGCAGAAGGCCTTCCATGCGATTGATTCTCATCCGGCTGCATCAGCTTGATGCGTGTGCTCGTCAACCCGCCATCGCCTTTTGAGTGTGGGATAGTACAATCTACCTATGTTGTGTCGTTTGAGCACCACTGTCATGCCTTTCAGGCGTCGCGCGATCTGAACTCCTTGATCGCCAATACTCATTCACTGTGCCGGTCCTTATCCACCCTTGAATTGCCTCCCAACTGCACCAGCAACACTGTGCCTGCCCCAACCCATGCTTGAGTTGCATCCCAACTGCGCCAGGCCCAAACTTACCACAACTCCCGGCTGATGTTCCAAAACCTTCCCCAGTCTGCCGGGATCCCAAGCCTGAGCCCTTGTCATGAACGTCAGTCTTCGTTAATACTTGCGTCTCCTTACGGTCTTGGGCACCTCGTCGCCATCATTCTCATACTCCTTCCCCTCATTGACATCCTTCTTCCTAAGTGTCCCGACACCATGCCTCACCAGTTCCTGATCGTCGCCCTCTGAGTCCTCAATATCAAACAACACCGGCAGGACGAAGCTGTCTTCTTCACCCATCTTCCTCTCCACCGTCAAGATGTCCACCTCCTCGTCCTCTCTATCCAAGCGGCGCTTCTGGTGCTCTTCTTGTGGGTATTCGTCGAACTCGTCCTCGCGCTCAACGTACTCGACATTTTCCGTCACTTCGGTGAAATCAGGTGCCAATGCAGACCACTTCTGCTGTGGCTCGATACCCCAGATCTGGATGCTGCCCGTTTCAATGCTCGTACATGCCAGGAGCGGACGGGAGGGATGCCACTCAATTATCGCGGGTTCCTCACGGTTTTCGAGAATTCGGAGGAGAGAATTGGTACGAAGTTCCCAGATGTAAATGTCCTTCTTCATGTATGTTGAGGCTGTCACGTAGTCTGCGATGCCTGTGGATGAACTGTGACTGAAGGCGCAATGGTTCCAGCGGAGACGATTGACCAGGTCTTGGAATTTGTGTTCGACAGTGAGGACAATGTTCTCTGCCAGGGTGGCTGGGTCACGGTCGTGCTGGTCGTCACTACTACTGGGGTCCGTGGCCGGTGCAGTGGAGGGAGTGATCAGGCTTAGATCCGGGAGGTTGATGGTGCGGATGATTCGGTCGGTGCTGTTGGCAAGGAGTTGGCGGCCGTTGGTGGTCAGGCGGAGAAGAGAGATAAGACCAGTCGAGATCTTTGTCGAGTGGATGATTTTACGGGATTCGGTCTCGAGAATGTTGATGTACCCCTTTGAGGTGCCGGTGATGATGTGATTGCCTAACACGGAGAAAATGGCTGAGGTGGTGGCTTGTTTGTTCTCGGAGGCAGGGATGCTGTCGCTCAGAGGGGTAGTAGGAAGGACACGCTTGACAGGAACAGCATCGGTGATGTCAACCAGATATGGTCGGTCTTCGAAAAGGGAAGCAACGAAGAGCTTGTGGTTGTATGGGTGAAGTTCCGCTGTGTAGATTGGCGCTTCGAATTTGACGGTTCGGATTCGTTCCTGGGTTTTCAGGTCCCAAAGACAGGCTCTACAGTCTTGGGACGCTGACAGGACGTAGCGACCGCATCTCGACCAGCTGAAGGGCGTTAGTGCCCGTGCAAATGTATCGTAACGAAGGAGGAGTACCTTAAACTCTGAATCTGCTTCCAATGACCATGAAGTTTCATGGCAACCCCGTACGTCTCCATGTCCCTTGAACGAAAATGTCAGCCAATTCCTCATTTCAAGACGCCAAATTTTTGCGCTGTCAACATTTTCTTATCCAGGGCCACTGACCAGATGATGATTTTTCCATCCACCCGACCCGACGCGAGATAGTCGCCCTTGCGACTGAATCTCAGGGTGGTCGCATGGCCAGATCCTGGCTTGAATCAGTACTTGTTTCCAACACCTTGCTTCTGGTCCACTTTTTAGAGGATCTCGGGCTGTACATACTAAGGTCGTTGGTGAGGGCGTCAGGGGAGTCCTGGGCTAATTGAAATGGATCTATCAGTGCCAAATTCATGATGTTGTCGTTGACACAAGAGGGGTCTCACGAAAGCCTGGCGGCTTCAAAGCCTTTTGACGCCATGCGTCTATTGCCGGATCCGGTCCTAGCGCCATTGTTAGCCTTATCACGTGCCGGTGGGTTTAGACGGAAGACAAAGAGGAGAAGGAAGGTTAAGCGAGAATATCGATGCAACACGGCAGCAGTGCGAAGAGAATATGTCGTTGTTAGTGAATTTGCAGTGATAGCTTGTCACTTAAGACCTCTGTGTCATTGAGCGTGTGAAGTGAATGTATCATGTTTAAATGCGATGGCTTAATCTAAGACCATGAGCTCGAAACCAGCTCGTTCTGGACACTCTTCACCCAGACAATCTGCTACATATCATCTGACATCAATGTCCTCGCTTCAGGCAGCAGTTGTAGCACCAGATACTGTGTAGAGTCAGTGAACCCAGAATAAAGACTCAACCATTGCTTTCTGCTTCGCGGTTAAGGAGTTTCATACCCGGTATTTTTGAACCCTGGTCTAGAACCGCAGAGAGGCTGAAAGGAGGCGAATTTCTGCCGCTAAAAAGCCGCCTTCGCCGCTGGGCTGATTTTCTTGGCGCGGCGCAGGCAACCGCTCGCCCTTTCAACTCTCAAATTTTGCGCTGGCTTTCTCATCCCTTCCTCATCCTCTTCCTTATCACCACCCCCACCCAACCATCTCAACACGATCGCGCCTACGACTCTACGCGTCCTAATCGGTCAGCCGATCGCTTTCCGGGAAGATTTGGATCAAAATAAAGAAAATTGGTCAAGAGCGCAGCTGGAGAAGGACACGGCATTGTTTTGGGCGGCCCGACAGGGCAAAGGTCATCCCTGACCAGCATCGCGCAGCCACCCGCGCAAGCACTGCGATCATCCCAGATCGTGTCAAAGAGTGAAGAAGAATCGTCTCACTAGGATACTCGAGATTTCCGGGACAAACACGCGCAATCATGGCGAGCCTCAATTTCCCTTATTCGAGCGCGCCTCTGCGCACGGTCGAGGAGATTCAGTTTGGCCTCTTCTCCGCCAAAGAGACCGAGCGCCTCGCGGTCATCGACATCGAATATCCTGAGACGATGTATGTAGAGAATAAAAAGACAAAAATCACTTCTCTGATTGTTGATCTCTAACCCGTGTTTGACCAGGGATGAGCAACGCCTCAGACCTCGCGAAAAAGGTCCGAACGATCCTCATCTCGGAACAATCGATCGCAATTTCAAATGCAGTACTTGTGAAGAAAACATGGCCGAGTGCCCTGGCCACTTTGGTGTCATCAAGCTCGCAACTCCAGTCTACCACTATGGCTTCATGAACAAAGTCAAGAAGATCTTGGAGACGGTCTGCCACAACTGTGGCAAGATCAAGGCGCTTGATGTTAGTCCCTCCTGTGACGTGCATCCCATTTCTCACTGCTAATCTCAATTAACTGCAGACCGAAGAGTTCCGCCATGCAGTCTCGATTCGAGACCGAAAGCGCCGCTTCGAAGCAGTGTGGCGACTCAGTAAGCCTCGAAACGTTTGCGAAGCCGATCCTATTGAAGACCCCGATCAACCTTTGAAAGGACCATCTCAGCCTAAGCACGGTGGCTGTGGCAATGCACAACCGGACATTCGGAGAACTGGATTGCAGTTGTGGGCGACCTGGAAACCGCGAAAAGGCGAAGACGATGAAGAAACTGCTCCCGAGAAGAAGCGAATCTTCCCACAAGATGCTCTCAACACGTTCCGTACCTTGACCGACGACACCTTAGACTTGATGGGTCTCAGTCTTGATTATGCCCGTCCTGAGTGGATGATCTTGTCTGCGCTCCCTGTCCCTCCTCCACCAGTCCGACCCAGTATCAGTGTTGACGGTAGCGGCCAAGGACAACGCGGTGAAGACGACCTCACGTTCAAACTAGGTGATATCATTCGGGCCAATCAAGCAGTGCTGCGAACTGAAGTTGACGGCACGCCTGACCACATCAAGGTTGATCTCTGTGATCTCCTTCAGTATCACATTGCCACATACATGGACAACGAGATTGCAGGACTAGACAAAGCGCAGCACAAGAGTGGTCGACCCATCAAATCGATCCGTGCTCGTCTTAAGGGTAAGGAAGGCAGATTGCGCCAGAACCTGATGGGAAAGCGTGTCGACTTCTCTGCTCGTACCGTCATCACTGGTGATCCCAACCTTTCTCTTGACGAAGTTGGTGTCCCGCGAAGTATTGCTCGCACGCTGACCTACCCGGAAAGGGTCACCCCCTTTACAATTGATCGGCTGAGACGCCTCGTCAGGAATGGGCCCAACGACCATCCCGGTGCGAGATATGTCATTCGAGACACTGGAGAGCGTATCGATCTACGCCACCATAAACGTGCTGGAGAAATGACTCTTCAGTATGGCTGGATCGTCGAGCGTCATATCCAGGATGGAGATGTCATTCTCTTCAATCGTCAGCCATCTCTTCACAAAGAGTCTATGATGGGTCATCGTGTCCGGGTCATGCCCTACTCCACTTTCCGACTCAACCTCTCCGTCACAACACCATACAATGCCGATTTCGATGGCGATGAAATGAACTTGCACGTTCCACAGAGCGAAGAATCTCGAGCTGAACTTGCCAATCTTTGCATGGTCCCCCTCAACATTGTGTCACCACAACGTAATGCACCTCTAATGGGTATTATCCAGGACACTCTGTGTGGTATTTACAAGATCTGTCGTCGTGATGTCTTCTTGACGCGGGATCAAGTCATGAACGTCATGTTATGGGTTCCTGACTGGGATGGGGTGATTCCTCAACCAGCTATCATCAAGCCTACACCTCGCTGGACGGGGAAGCAGATGATCAGCATGGTGCTCCCACCTGCTCTCAACCTCGAGAGACTCGATGCCAAGGGTGAAGACCCGTATGTACCAACCAACGACACCGGTCTCATGGTACTTGAGGGCAATCTTATGTTCGGCTTGTTCAGCAAGAAATTTGTCGGCACTAGTGCTGGCGGCATTATTCATACGATCTGCAACGAATTCGGGCATGACACTGCCAAGGCTTTCTTCAATGGCGCACAAACCGTGGTCAACTATTGGCTTCTACACAACGGGTTCAGTATCGGCATTGGTGACACAGTGCCCGATCCTGACACTGTCCAAAAGATCCAAGACGCCGTCGACACTAAGAAGGCCGAGGTCGATGACATAACAAAGAAGGCCTACAACGAAGAGCTTGAGCCTTCTCCTGGTATGAATGTTCGTCAAACGTTCGAGAGTAAAGTGATGAACTCTTTGAATCAGGCTCGTGATCAAGCTGGTGCTGCCACAGAAAACAGTCTGAAAGATCTCAACAACGCCATCACTATGGCTCGTGCAGGCTCAAAAGGTTCTACTATCAATATTGCTCAAATGACTGCTATCGTTGGTCAGCAGGCTGTGGAAGGCAAACGTATTCCTTTTGGCTTCAAATACCGCACACTGCCCCATTTCGCAAAGGACGATTACTCCGCTCCTTCGAGGGGCTTTGTTGAGAACTCCTATCTGCGTGGCTTGACCCCCACAGAGTTCTTCTTCCACGCCATGGCTGGTCGTGAGGGTCTTATCGATACTGCTGTCAAGACCGCCGAGACCGGCTATATCCAACGCCGACTTGTCAAGGCTCTGGAGGAGGTCACCGTCAAATATGACTCTACGGTCCGTGATTCAAGAGGAAATGTGGTCCAGTTCATCTATGGTGAGGATGGACTTGATGGTGCTCATATCGAGAACCAAAAGGTCGATATCATTACCATGTCAGACAAAGCCTTCAATGACCGCTACATGGTAGACATCATGAGCGGAGACATCTCCATGTGGAAGGGTAGACTTCTCCAGGCAAGAGAGCTACAAGGTGACACTGAACTCCAAGAGATGTTCGACGAGGAATATGAGGCCCTTCGAAAATCTCAGGATTTCTTGCGGAAGATGGGTAAAGGCACCGAAGACTCGATGCAGCTGCCTCTCAACATCGCACGTATCATCGACCAGGCTCAAAAGAACTTCAAGATCCGCCGTGGCGACAAGACCGACCTTGATCCTCGTCATGCCCTTATTGCAGTGAAGCAGTTGTTGGATCGACTCGTTGTCGTCCGTGGGGATGACCCTATCTCGAAAGAGGCCCAAGACAATGCAACCCTCCTGCTGAAGGCACAACTCCGCTCACGGCTGGCCTACAAGCGGCTTGTTCTTGAGCATGGCGTCAATAGATTGGCCTTTGACAATATCATCGGAGCTGTCGAGAGTCGGTTCATTGCTGCACATGCAAATCCAGGTGAAATGGTTGGAGTTCTAGCCGCCCAGTCCATTGGCGAACCCGCCACCCAGATGACTTTGAATACATTTCACTTTACTGGTGTGTCGGCGAAGAACGTCACTCTGGGTGTGCCTCGTCTCAAGGAAATCTTGAACGTCTCGCAGAACATCCGAACTCCGTCTATGACTGTGTACCAACTTCCAGAAAATGCCGGTGACAAAGAAGCCGCCAAGCTACTGAGAAGCCGTGTACAGCACACCAACTTACGCTCCGTGGCAGAGACCTGCGAATTGTGGTACGACCCCGATATCCAGAGTACCATCATCCCCGAAGATCTGGATATGGTCGAATCCTACTTCATCATCCCCGAAGATACAGATCAAGATCTCGCGCTACACTCCAAGTGGCTGCTTCGCATCACTCTCAGCCGAGCGAGACTTCTGGACAAGGCCCTCAACATTACAGATGTCGCCTCAAGGATCAAAGCGACCTACGGCAAGGATCTGTCGGTCATCTTTAGCGATATCAATGCGGACGAGCAGATCATTCGTATTCGACTTGTCCAGAATTACGGTAAAGATGAGGATGACGAGCGCAAAGAGGACGACGAAGTTCTTCGACGCTTTTTGAATGAAATGCTCGACCATCTGACTTTCCACGGTGTCCCCGGGGTGTCGAGAGCCTTCATCGACCAGAAAAGTCGTGCGATTATCAACGACGACGGCTCTGTGTACATGGCCAAGAGCGATCCGCGGTGCAATGAATACGTGCTCGAAACCACTGGCAGCTCTTTCGCAAAGGTCCTTGCCATTGACGGAGTTGACACCTCTCGCACTTATACCAACCGCTTCACTGAGATCTTCGAAGTTCTTGGAATCGAAGCTACTCGTGCTGCAATTCTGCGCGAGTTGACCCAAGTCTTGTCGTTCGACGGCTCTTATGTCAACGCTCGCCATTTGGGCATCCTGTGTGACGTGATGACTGCCCGTGGGTATGTCATGGCTGTCACTCGTCATGGCATCAACAAGTCCGATACTGGTGCATTGATGAGATGTTCCTTCGAGCAAACCGTCGAGATCTTGCTTGAGGCTGCCGCAGCTGGCGAATTGGACGATTGCAAAGGTGTCTCTGAAAATCTGATTCTGGGTCAACCTGCGCCTGTTGGTACCGGAACGATGGAGATCCTTCTGGACCAGAGCATGCTGTCTACCGTTGTCTCGGACAACGCCAACCTTGGACTTGGTGGTGCTATTGGTGTTAAAGGCTCACAGCAACTCCTCGAAGGTGCTGCTACTCCTTACGATACTGGCTCGCCAATGCAAGACAGTGGATACCTTGGCTCTCCCGACTACGGGGCTTCCTTCTCTCCCATTGCAGCTTCTGGTTCGGAAACTCCAGGAGGATTTACCGACTACCAACCCGGATTTGGTGGAGCTGGAGGATTCAGTCCCTACGGTCCGCGGAGCCCTGGAGGTTACTCGCCTGCCAGTCCATTCGGTGGCACCAGCCCAAGTTCACCTGGCTTCTCGCCCACTGCTGGCTACTCACCAACCTCTCCGATGTTTGGCGCGACCAGCCCTGGTTTCGGGCCAACATCACCATCCTTCTCGCCGGCAAGTCCTGCTTTCACTCCGACTTCGCCTGCGTACTCGCCAACCTCTCCTGGGTACCAAGCGTCGCCTACTTCGCCGAGCTACTCGCCGACGTCGCCCAATTACTCCCCGACGTCTCCAGCTTATGGATCACCAACGTCACCAAGCTACTCACCGACTTCTCCGGCTTTCAGCCCCACATCACCGACGTCACCGACGTCGCCCGTTTACAGCCCGACGTCACCGATGTACAGTCCGACAAGCCCTATGTATGGTGGTAGTGCCAATAAACAGTCTCCGACGTCACCAAGCTATTCTCCCACCTCTCCTACCTACAGTCCGACTAGCCCGACATCACCGACGAGTCCATCTTATTCTCCCACGAGTCCTATGTACAATGCTTCTCCAAGAAGCCCAGCGGCTAGGACGGCGACTGCCACCAGTCCACAATATTCCCCGAACAGTCCACAGTATTCACCAACTTCTCCGAAGGAGGACTGAGTCCTCTTTGTACCATCATATGACTTTGATGTCATGCTACAATGGAAAATTCAGATACAGAGCGAGTGACGGATCCATTAACTTGACCTTCTGTCTTCGACTCCCGGTCTGATGTAGCGGTGATGTCTTTTTTTAATGCAACTTTCTAACGGCCACTAAATTGTCACCTTTGGGAAAGAGGAGGCTCCCTGTCAGAGTGCTCTCCGCATTATTTTTCTCCGGCCACAATGTGTTTTCACAAGACACTAACACTTGAACATTAGCGACGGCGTTGGATGGTTTTTCAATAGTCTCTTTACTGGGTCGACGTGCTATTTTACATGAAATGGGATGGTTAGACACACTTTTCGATGAGTGAAGATCAGAAAGCTCTTTTCCTTTCGAAGATGAATGTGCTTCGGGGGTGGCATGGGACAGGGAAGAGAACATGACTAGCGGAGGTGGCAGTATGGTCCGATACTGACCATTGACAGCGATGAGGGACAGCTTGGTCGGTGCATCGAATTCCGAGAGGCGACAGGCGAGATAGTCGAAAGGGGACTGAACCATGAACGGATGGTTCGAGGAAAAGTTTGCAATTGTACTCTAAGATAAACATAGAATGTTATTCGCAGGGTGGAGACTTGGTGATGGAGAGCCGTCAGGCAAGCAGGGGATATTGATTCGCACAGAGACATGTGAATGCAGCCGAAGTCGAGCAAAACTGACGGGAAAGGAAATCTGCGATCAAGGAGACGAGTCACTCACAGCTGATGTGAGCTTGGAATTGTCCTTCTCTTGCGTCCATTCGTTTCCTGGATCTTGCAGGTTAGGCAATGGAAACCAGAAAAAAAGGAAATAGCAATTGATTGAGTAATTGAATTCTTCCACTGTAGCCATACGAGGACGAGTCCCATGTTCGTAAGGCTGAGCTTCGGGGATGGTGCGGATAAGGTACTGCATACAACGCCTGACGCCTGTCTGAACAAGGAATACTTGGTCTGTGCCCTTAATTACCGACGCCATGGCCTGTTTGAGGAAGTTCATTGTCACCCAAACAGAAAGGTGTGGACAATGCACGGATGACCCCCTCAACCACTCACAGTGGTGCGAGCGTATAATCGATATGTCAATAGCCACGTCAGTCTCCGTCCTGCAACCTCTGGCCCTAATATGGCAAGACCAGGTCGAGATTACGCAACTATGGGGTGGCCCTAGAACCGCCGAAGGTAGACGGTGGGGGAGGAGGTAAGAGGGGACAAGAGGGGATTACTGAACTGATATGACATTTCATGCTACCTATATAGAGCCGTTTTGGGACTCTTGACTCTTGTCCACACCACAATACCATCTGCTTCTACCCCACCGCTGCCAGCTACAATGAGTCCCGCTCACACCGGCATCACAGAGCAAGTTCTCTCCTACAAGGCTCCTGATCCACCCGTGAAGGAGTTTGAACCAGCTCCAGATCGTGCCATTTTCGCCGATCCGGACAAGAAGTCGCTCTTGGCTGCGTGTAAACAGGTCCGCAAGCTGACTCCCTACGTCGGGACGGAGCTTGTGGGAATCCAATTGAGCCAACTCACAGATGCGCAGAAAGACGAGTTGGCCTTGTTGGTTGCCGAAGTACAATGGCCCCTCTTCTGGATGGCGCGGGAGCTGCTAACGGGACCTTTAGCGAGGCGTGGTCTTCTTTCGAGATCAGGACCTTAGACTTGAGCAACAGTATGCACTGACTGCTTACTACGGGATTGTAAGCTCATTCGGACGTCTCTGTGTCATTCATGTTGTAGCAGAGGGACCTTCGTACTCACTCTATGTGGTTCCTCCCCATAGCAAGATCGTGATCCCAACCAACAGGACCCCAAGCATGTTACAATCTTGGGACGAAACAGGTGAGCGAAGCCCTGCCAGAGAGACATTCGCCCTCAACAACCACTGGCCGTCCCAGCGATATCCGAAAGTACGCCGACTATGGGGGCGAATACCATTCCGACCACTCTCACGAAGCCAACCCGCCGGCGTACACCATGTTACGAATGATCCGGACGCCTGAGAGTGGCGGGGATACCGTCTTTACGAGCCAGACTGCGCTGTATGATAAGTTGAGCCCGACATTTCAGAGGTTGTTCGATGGACTACATGCCGTGCATAGCTCCGAGGTATGCCATGCAATATCTACACCAGGTGCACCAGGTGCAAGCTCTGCTGTCGAAAGGCTATGACACCCATCCCTGCTGACACACGGGATGAAACTTGCAGAGCGGCTTCGTGAACTCGATCAATGGAGGCTACAAGCCATTCCGTGGCCCTCAGCGTCGCGACCACCCACTGGTACGTCTGTTTGATTTGCGTCGCCGTGCTCTTCAGTCTCGGCCAAACCGACGCGAACACTCTTCGTCTCGGAGACACTCACCGTCGTCGTATGCATACAGGTCCGCACGCACCCAGTCACTCGCCTCAAATCGCTCTTCTACAACCCGACCTTCGTCATCCACATCCGCGAGCTCAAGGCCCAAGAGTCGATCCACACGCTGAACTTCCTGCGTGAACACCTGCACGCGGCCGATGACCTGACGGTGCGGTGGAAGTGGGAGCCCGGCTCCGTCGCCTTCTGGGACAACCGCGTGGTCGTGCACAGGGCCATCCCCGGCGGCTACGACCCTGCGACGAGGGAGGGCAAACGCACCGCCATCTTCGGCGAGAAGCCCTTCTTCGACCCCGAAAACAGCCAGACGTTGAGCGAGCGTATTCGCGGCATGGGCGGTCCCGAGGCCCAGTACGAGGAGACGAACATCTACTTCAACAGTCCGCACGTTTGAATCTGGCATGTTGCCGACTATGTATGTAATCGTTGGCATGGCTCGTGGATGAGAGAGCGGGCTCTGGAGACAGCGGTTGGCCTGTGAGGGTGTTGTCCTTCCAGAGCCAGAAAGTCCCCAGCAGAAGAAGAAGAAGAAGAAGAAGAAGAAGAAGAAGAAGAAGAAGAAGAAGAAGAAGAAGAAGGAGAGGGGAGGAGGAGGTAGAGACAATAACAATGATAGTGTCCATGACCACGACCATGACCGTGTTTACTGGGTCGAATTTTTGTAATCCATCCATCCATCCATCCAAGTATCTGGATTCGCGATTGCATACACGCGTACCCAAGTCTCAGTTGGACTTTCGTCTCTCTGGGCTGGCCCAGGGCAAACCCAACCCTGGCGGCTTTCCTCAACCCTTTCTATGTGTACTGTACATGCATAAGGACACCTTGCAAGCCAGAAAGAACACAACGTTCGCACAATAAGACGGAAACCCCTTCCCCTGTATTCATATTCTCATCCGGCGCCGGACCTCATGGAAACGCCCATCGCTTTGCTCCTAGCCGGCCAATTGAACCATGCTCGGCGCTCCAAAAATGCAGACGTCGACTGAAGGACAGGCGACATAAAATTAAATCCCCCTTCGGTACCCCTTCTCCTTCAAAGTGCGACTACCTTGACTCTGAAGTTGAACATGCAACTCGGCAGCGCGTCGGTGTTGTCCATGTCCAGGAACGTCTCGAAGTCGACGGTGCCGCCGCCGCCATTGCACGCCTGGGCGTTGGCGATCATGGCGTTGATGTCCACGCCCGCGTCCTGGAGGGCGAAGATATTGTTGCCCTGCTGCGCGTTGTCGATGACGTCGCCGTTGTCGTGGTCAATGCCGTTGATGCGGAATAATGCGCACCCTGCTCCCGCCGTGAAGCCGTTCTCGGCCCGGCACAGCACGCCTGGCTGGCTTGGCGGGTCTTCCAGGGGCGTCGTGTCGATCGTCACGTCGTACCCCATCGTGCTGAGCACGGAGCTGACGATCCAGTTCTGCAGCTGCTTCTGCATCTGCGCGGCCAGGTCGGCGCGCTGCGGCACATCGTCCAGGAACATGCCGTGGTAGGCGTTCAGGAACGCGAAGGTGCTACCAATCGTCGACGCGTCCGCGATCAGCCGCGGGTCCTTGTTCGCGCCGAAGATCTGGTTGAGGATGTTCTGCAGCCGCGACTGCGTGCCTGTGGCCATGTTGGCGAGCTGCTGGGTGAGCTGGTCCTCAGTGGCCGAGACTTCCTGGTCGATGGCTTCGTTGTCCTGGACGATGCTGACTATGTCCTTGGAGTCGTCCTCGAGGTCGGACTTCGTCGCCTTGATGATCAGCCGGATCTTCTTCATAAACGTCGTGGCCGCCTTAATCTCGCCGGCGATAGGCAGGATGTCGGTGACCAGATCGACGATCAGCGAGAACACCGCCGGTCCTATGGGCTCTTTCTTCGGTGCCAACGCGCTGACCATGGTGTTGATGAAGTTGGCCTTTGTGATTGCATCCGCGGCGTCCTGGATGGCGTCGTGGTGGTTCTGCAGGCCCTGCCACAGGTTGATGTAATTCTGCACGATGAAGCCGGCCTCGGGACCGATGAAGTTGGCGCAAAAAGGTGCCCTGAAGTCCGTTGAAGACGCAGTTGGTCGCAGCGTCCGGGTTGTTCAAGGTGGGAATGGTGCAGGTGGTGCTTCCAAAGGTCGAGCAGTCGAAGTTGTCGAACGGGTTCTCGGTCGGCGTGTCCTGCGAGACGAAGAACTTGGGAAAATTGTCAGAGGTGTCGAACTGGTTGATGAAGCCTGCCAGGAAGTTGTCGATGCCAAACGCGTCCCAGTTGGCTTTGGTCAGATCACCCTGTCCGCAGGCCGTGACTGGAGTTGTCGACATGAAGCATGGAGTGTCTCGCTCGGTCAGAGGGAGTTCGGACGTGTCGTTGGCGGCTGCTGGAGCGCCAACAAGGGCGACAGCAGCCAGCGAGACCAGCACTGATTGGAGCATGGATTGAGGATGGCACCACAGAGTCTGGCTCGATATTCACAGGCCGGTCAAGTCGCCATGAACAGGGGAAGAGATGGGGAACAGATGAGAACTATATGAGAAAGACTGATACGGGTTGGATGATGATATGGGTATTCACTCCCTTCTGATTTCCTTACCTTGGGTATAATCCGTACATGGCGGTTCCTTACTACCTCCCCTGGGTCCTCTGTCCTCGCCCGAGATTCAAAATTTGCTCCTTAAATCTCTCAGCCTCATAGATTTAGTAGTAGTGGTAGTGGGATTCATAGAGGGGTGGATGCCTTACATAACAAACAAAAGCGAGGGCTGGACACCGAGCTGGCGAATTCTAGTGCTGACCGTGGCGGGCTCTCTCCGACTGCATGTATCTCGGGCTCAAGAGTAAGATTGCTCGACGAGTTGGATTGCTTCAAATTCCCCTTGCATGCTCACTCTGTTATATCGTCCCGTCTATATAGATCTGTACACCACTCAAAGGAGGCGACGTACCGAAGTTTTGTTTGCTGTGGCTGATGAGCTAATGCTTGGGGGCTGAAGTAGTGCTTAGCATTTGCTTCTCTCATTTAAGCCTCGCCCTCGCGCTATGGATGTACCTATGCGCTTCATACTTGCTTGATTAGTTGACTTGGGGGTTCGTTATTACGGCGGACATCCTTTGCCCCTCTTAGCATCCTGAAGGAGTAAAATTGTCGAATGGGGAGAATGCTCACTGGGGCTGAGGCGAATCCCTTTAGACTTCCTCGGGAACGGTAGTAATTGTATGCGCTGAGTCAAATGGCCGAAATCCTTACAACTCGGAGGGGGTCTTTGCTCTGAGAAGGGCTTATCGTGTTGAAGATACCGAAGCGACGGCAGTTTGCTGCTCCTTTTCATCGATCAAGGCCAGGACAACCCCACAAGGCCATCTCTTGATATCAATCCCCTCGACATCCTGGGCGATTCTTTCTCACTGAGTATCTTCCCCTCGAGTCTGTCGAGCAATCCACTGTCGCGAATATCATCATGGAACCCCTCCGTCTAGCTCTGCCAAACCAACAGAGTGCAAGACAACATGAACTCACTGAACATGCGCCCACACACGAACACTTCCGCAAAGCGTGAGGCAAGGCAAGAGCGGCTCCAAATATCTGTCGCGTGCTTGCCAGCTTTATTGCGCTAGGGTTCGCAGCATCCATCATTGGCGTGCTCGCCCATGCCGCAGTAGTATGGGCCATAACTCGAAATGTCGTGGAGCAGCAATCGAACGATATTCGCCCGCGTGCCTGGCCCGACCATATTGACGTCTGGCCAACTTGGGTCATGCTCGGGGCTGCGGTATTCGCTGTTATTGTGCAGATCCTTTCGCTGCTCACGTTCTGCGGAGGGGTGAGTTGCTTTCTATAACCTCTTATGCCACATATAATCCAACACTGCGCGCAATCATTGACCGAATCAATCGTTTAGACCCGTCGCCTACGTGAGATACACCTGCATACCTGGGCTGTCTTTTTCACCTCCTTGCTTGGAATCGCGGCGTGGATTGCTGCTGCCGTGTACTTCAAATGGCAAGACAACCACGGCAAAAAAAGCTGGGACTTGTGGTCCTGGTCGTGCACTCATAAATCTCTCAAAAATGGAAAGATGTCCTTTGAGACGATGTGTGTTGAAATGGTGAGTCTGGGAAACCCAAGCAGGGCCGACAAACACCATCGGGTAGAGGGATGAAACTGGACTGACGCGATCATTTTTGCCCAGAAATACACCTTCTACGCCTCTATCGTGGTGGCAGTTTTTGAAATCGCAAGCTTGGCCGTCTTTGGATATATGCTGGTGCGCCGGTGCAAGGAGCGACCTGGATATAGCAAGATCAATATGTCGCAAACTTGACCTCACGAAGAGTGGATGTCCACACAGGCCGCTCCACATGATTTACGTGTAGAGGACCTGATGCGTCTCGGAAAGCCGCAAAGCGAGTTTGTTGCAAGGCGACGGTGTCATAGGAATCGCTATGAACAAATGAGATGGCACTCGGAGAGGCAATGACGGGAGTTTTCCAGGCGATTCTAGCGGTACAGTGAGACAGGCTCCGCCGAGCTGACGAATGAACCAGTAAATGAGTCCCAAGACTTGTGCGAAACATCGAACAGCTTCGGAGTTCGAAGCAGTGTTTCCCAGAATACGCAAGCTTCCAATCAGGATACGGCTCATTGTGGGCATCTGAGATTTGGGATATTATCTTGATGATTCGACCTATGGGAGCCTGAAGGTCGATATGCTTGACAGGTCGTTCTGGTCGTGCCAGTGACGCTGTCAGGATCCAAGCAAGGTGCAGAGATCGCAAGTCCTCGACTTTGATGTTGAGTGCTGTCTTCCATAACGGAGGGGGGACACAGCCGCAGGAGTTCAGAGAAAATTGGATGCTCAGGTTCCAGCCCCCCCGTCAGACACGTAGGAAAATGGTCGCTTCGACGATCACGTCGCACCCCGAAGGGCCATGAGTCCCAGAATCTGAACTTCAAGAACTTTCGTCTCATCGACACCCTCGCTGGTGTCAGTACTGGGGATGCCGTTAACAGCCTTGCCTGAGCCGGCCCCTGAAGTCGGAGAGCTGAGTTTATAGAGCTTTCTGATTCTCTCCATGTCTGCAACTTTGCGAAATGTTGCATTATCAAATGTACTTGGTTGACCTTGGATGTGCGTCGACAGATGCTGGGTGACACTTTCTAGGGTCACTTCGGGCATTGTGGCAACCTTCAAAACGAGAAGATCTCTGGTCGATTCGCTGACGCCGAATCTGCGAAAGGCTTCGCCAATCTGCATGTGCCGTTAGCGTCACCTGAGCCCAGAAGGACTGAATTCTGCACTAACGTTGTTGTTCGGGCTCAGAGAGAACACAATCTCCGAGTGGACGTTCCGTGACTTCAATCTTTCGTTGAGATAGTCGTTCATGGCACGGAATGCAGCAGCAAGCACGTGGTTGACAGAGGCAACCTGCGAGAAGAGGAATCAGGTCAACACTGGGAAGCTGTAGGAACGTGTTTGAGCGCTTACCATTCTCGCATCAATGAAAGCGTATTCGAAGTCCGAGTTGCCAGCCAGCAGCTGTTCCTTGAGGAAAGGCGCATTCTCCACATCAGTGTACACGGCAACGTAGAGCGCCAGTTCGAGTGGCATATGAGCCAGCTTGATACTTTGGACCATGTTTGTGCCAATCCAAAATTCTTCAAGCCTGGGGGGATGTGGTGTCAGTGCATACAGCGAGGGGGGGGGGCAAGAGTCTGACTTGCAAGTGAAAGAGAATTCTGGATCTTATCTTGGCGCTGACATAACCAACTTCAGCCTTGTCGCCTCTCGCCACTGACCCGCGCCCGCTACAACCGAGCAAAAATTCATTTGTCCAACGCCGCGGATTCCACGAAGACAGGAGTATACTTTATTTTTAGGTAAAATGAATAGAAGAAATGTGTCGAAACATAAAAAAGAACAAAAACAATCAACAGTCAGGATTCCCAAGTGGTCACCCACCTTAGTACTAACTGACCGGCATGTGGCTTAAGTACGGCTGAGCGAACGGGAAGCCCTGTTTTCCACATCCTATGGTCGATTGCGGCAAAAAGTAAACATTTGTAAATTATAGGCTCCAGAATAGGTGCTTATCGCTCTATCTGTCTCACTTCAGCTTTGTGGTGCTGTCTGACGAGCCGAACACCGACTACGTATGACCCCGAGCGTGCATCTACACACTCGCGATGCGATACCCATCTTTGTTGAAAGCGTTGTCATGTTTTTAAACTGGATTCAATATTTTGTTCGACTTCTCACTGAGCGCACTACAGAAGCTCATAGTCGATACATAGTATTTCCATTCCTTTTTTCTAGACATACTGCTCCGCTCAACAACCAATCTTCAACGATGTCCCTTTCCCTTGAAGAGGCGCGATGTCACAGAGAACAGCATACCCATGATTCTTTGGAGAAAGAAGGCTCCCACTTGTTTCCAGAATCATGTCAACTAATCTCATAATCCGGCGTCGTTAACTGGAAGCTGCCTCGGGTCGGTCCAATCATCAACCCCATTTTCGGGGACTCCGCCTTCTCTTGTCTCCACGATGGCGATATTGACTTTCACGTCGCTGTTGTGTTCGTCGTATGGACAAAAATAAGATGGCCACGAGCAATTCGACTGTGGCACTTTTGGACATTGCTGAAACGAAAGACATCTATCAAAGCTGTCCTTCGAGGTGGGTACTGACCTAATCCTAGATGAGCGAGCCGCCACTTCCTCGCAGGGATTCTGACCCGATGGACGGCTTGTTGAGTCTGCTTGGGAGAAGAGGATACTTTCAACCTCACAGTCTGAAGCTCTGGCTGAGAAAAGACTAGTCATCGCAAGATACTATGCAGGCATCAGAGTTCCAGTTGTTGAGGGCCATGTTCTCCGCTAATCGCCTTGTCAAGTAATCATCCCAGAAGAACAAATGGCTGCTAACGTATACTGCCTGATTCGTATCCAGTGCTTCATTGTTCGATAGTCTCCACAACCGTTGAGCAAGCCCGCCTGCTGGTGAATCCGGTAGCCGAGTGGCGGTCAAAACTGTTGCCACCCACATAAGAGCCTGCTGTACAACGGGAGAAGCACTTGGTGTCGACTGAGGGAAAAGCATGGGCATCAGATCGCTCTGGCAAGCAAGTGCTAGACAACTTGTGCGGTGGAAAGCGTCGGCCACCAAAGTAACAGGTGCGCACAGCACTTGACATACGTGCTCTGCGTAGGTGAAAAGACCAACAAGAAGTATTTCGTCAAGCGTACTAAGAAGGTGGCGATGCATCAGAAGGTCGGTACAGTGAAACGTCGTGTCACTTGCGGCTTTGCTGGAACAGATGTGTGGGTGCTCGACTGCACGGACTCCTATATTGAGGTAAGAATAATTTTGCGCAGGCTGGTGTCTGACGTACCTTTATCGACTTCAGCTATCTCCACGATCAATGAGCATAGCCGCCTAGAGATGGGTCTGCTCATTGCAAGAGCGGCAAGACCATATGGCATTTTGGACAAGCTCTCGATCATGCTCCCATGGTCGGAACACGGATTGTACAAGACTGGTTTCAAGGACTCGGGATTAATGGGATATTTGAATCTCTCTATCCGTCTCCAATGCTGTAGCAACTCTTCGTACCTGTTCAGCAAACATAGTCAGCCGGACTAGTCAAGAGAGCTTTATTTGGGCAGACGTGCATCATCACCCGAAAGTTGATGTAACCATCAAGGCCTGAAACTTCACCATCGCGAACTCTCTTCTCCATTAATCGCCTCATTGCTGTGAGGTGCAGTTCCATTTCAGCCTCCCAGTCCACATCACGACGGGAAAAGATCTGGAAGGCTGTCAGTCAATACGCGGTGCGAGCCGCAAGCGAAGGAATGTCTTGCATATAGAGTGAGTAAGCACAGGATACTCAGCAAAGTATATTCAGATGTAGCGTGCTTCGTGGAGAGTCTCGTGCGAAGTTTCGAGATGATGGTGTTGGCATGCTGGGCGAGAATTTGGGAATGCTCTGGCTTGTATGGGGTTGTGGCCAACTGTATCGCTCGAGCGTTTGCGATGGTTGCCTCGAATAGCATATCATCTTGGAAGATATTTTTGAAAAGTGCCTCAAAAATCGTCCTCTTGGAATTTCTATCGCCTCGACGGTAGACGGAGAATGGCGCCCAACTGTAGATATCTCCCGCTTTGTCAACAGGAGCTTCGTGTTTGATGAGGCAGGGGTCTCACAGAATTGCACTCCGGATCTCGTACTAGCATTGTCCTTTGCCGGAAAGATCCAGAATGGCTCATGAGGAATCTTGAATTCATCCAACGTCACAAGGTTCTGCTCATTCTGCTGGTTGTCAACAGGTTGCTGGCTGTTGCTGTGAGTAGGATAGGGATTCTGAGCATCAACATGTGTACCAACATGTTGCGACGGGCCAGGTTGAGAATGGACGGGTTCCCTACGAGGAATGACCCTCGATTTTCTGGAATAAGCACCAACTCGGAACCGCAATATAGTATTACTCGGAATCTGGGTGGAGTTTCCTGATCCAACTTCGCGAGTAGTCAGCATCGCGCTGTGATCAATAAAGGGCGAGCCATGACAATGACAATGGCGACTGGAGATGGTAATATTCAAGTAGGTCTTTCGAGAATGACTGTACAGAGATCAATCCAGGCACTCAGCAAGCCACCTGATACCGGCCTGCCAGTGGATCGGCGGTCCGACAACATTCGCTACAACCTAGCTCAGCAAGGTCACCTCACCGTGATCTTGGCTTGGGGTTGCAAGGGCGGCATGCATCTGGATGACAAAGCATCACCCTCTGGACTCGTGGGTTTCAGGCCGCCAGCCGAGAGGCCAAGCTGGTGAGGGTTCAAGACTTGACCAGTCGTGAGGCTCAAGGATCTCAGGTCGTATCGACTCTGTATGATGCGATTGGTGGCGCCACTTTTCTAAATAAGGGAAATCCTCAATCGTCTTTCCTGCTCCCGGCTTTTGTACTCGGACAAGATGTTCGTTTCTTCCCAGAGCGATCCTCGTGTTAGAAACGGGCTATTGCCGCAACGAGTCGCAGATGTTGTCCACATTCAGGGCATTAGGATATCGGCCAAAGAGGCGCTCGTCTGGGTGAGCAGGTATATTTACTCGTAGGGCTCGAAAGAATGAGCTGATACCGTGACAGGCAGGGGCACCAGTGGGTGTGGACATGGATTGAATGGATTGAAGCGTGCAGTTGATGTTGTCCGAGACGCGGACGTGAGTTACTGATGCGTCTCGGACCATGACATATGACGTAGTCGGTACCAGGTACTCCGTACAACGCACCATCAATTCAACCCTTCAACACGCCGAGAGTATTGGACGCAGTATCAGCCTCCCGAACTACCACTCTATTCACATTCACGTATACTTGTATATACTCGGATCCCATCCTCGGACTGACTCGGGGCTGCTTTAGGGCTCTGTCCCTGTCCCCTCCCACTTACTCGTGGCTGGTCTATCTTGTGCCAGAGTGTGCGGACAAAGTCGAAGCGACATGCAGTGAGATGACGGGACTATGCAGAATACACAAAAACCGGCCACTAGGCTTTTCTAGCGCACAAAGAGTAAGGAATAGCTGCAGCTTTGGAAAGAGTGGAAAGGTCAAGAATATCAAGGCCATCCGGCTTCAGGTCTGAGGCATGTGGCATAGTTCCCCGTCAATGGGTCGCAACCTGAGTCAGGGTAATTGACTGCGGCGAAATCTACATTGACAGCTCGTTCAGAGCTTCTCGAAAACCGCGACCGTTGCTTCGGCAGTCGACTTTGCGCTCTGCGGATTCATGCCAGTCACTATTCTTCCGTCGGTAACGTGAAAGTCGTCCCAGACACCATCCGCTCTAACATCTGGCAGGCGCAGCAACTGTCAGCAGACCCATCTGCTGAGCTCGAGCATACCCGGAATTTACTGATATGTCGCCACAGAGGAGGTCAATGAAACTTACATTTGGCACCGAGTTTGGTAGCCCACTCGTCGATCAATGGTTCACCCCAGCTCCGAACAGGCTCCATGACATGCATGTCGTATTCTGCCTGCGTGGTGAAGCCTGTAATGGTTTTTCCCTTGATGATGGACTCGCCCGTGGCTGGGTCGATTACACCGACATAGATTGCCTCTCCGTGGCAACTATCACGAGTCATATCAGCTGATCAAGCTCCAGATTTCTTTAGAGGGCACTTTCAAGGGGACCAAGTGTCAAGAGGGGCACGGGGAAAGATACACAGCCGACACAATGCCTCCCTGCGTCCAAATATCGGTCGCGATCTTTTGCAGGCCTTTGGCGTGAGGATAGTCGATCAGAGCTGCATGTCCGGCACTAGCGAAGAAGATACCATACTGCAACCATCCATCAGTTAGCATGCATGCCCACATTATCTCAACACATCGGCTGCCACCTTGAGGACAGCCGTTGAACATACCTTCTTGCCATCTACCGTCTCCACACTCGGCATATGATCCAATTTCTTCCTAAACCCACTGTTCACGTCTTCCCACTCCTTCTTGTCCTCACCGCTAAGAAAACTCTCCTGTAAGCTCAACCAATCAGGCACATAAGTGCCCTTCTCGGATACGAGGTCGACTTCAAAGCCATGTTGCTTGAAGACCTGGAATGGATGGAGAGCCTCGCTAATGAAGAGCCCCGTAGGACGGCCCTCATGGAGAGGAGCCGTTGCGGATGTTACGGCGATAATGGCCCGGCGTGGCAGAGGCATTTCCTTTTGATGGTTGGGCACTGGGGGTCGAATGTTGGTGGATTGATTTGAAGGGAGCAAGTTAACCAACGTGCAGAAGGGAAAGTTCGGTAAGGACGCTTTCAGTATCAACCTTGAAGTTGTTGATTTGAAACTTACGCTCTCATCGACGGAGGGCATCGTGTATATATGCTACTTGCGACCTCTTGAAATCCCTTGCTCGGATCATCCGGGCCAGACTGATGAACTCGTTTTCAAAACTCGTCATCTGGACAGCTCAACGACACCCGCGCACGCACGCACGCACGCACGCACGCACGCACGCACGCACGCACGCACGCACGCACAGAGTCCAACTGGCAAATTTCGACGGGTCGTAGGTAGAGGGTATGATCCAAACACAAAGAACGTGGTGGTGCTTGGGGAACCGAAGGCGATACGAGAAATCTACCAAAGTCCCTCCGCATTTCTCGCCTCACCCAATGGCCCGTCGATTAAAACTTGCCAAATGCGGTCTGGAAAGCCTAGTGGCCGCAAGCAACCTTGCTGAAATGGCCAAGATTGGCTTATACCAGGCTACTAGGGATGATGGGTGGGACCATGGGACTGGTGGAAGAGCATCGTTACCGGTCAATAATTTCAACCATCACACTTGGCTTTTTCAGAGTGAAATTAGCATTATCTTAAACTCTATGTATCTATCTCGTCTCAATAAAATGTCTTGGATATAAGCAAAGAGACTCGTAACTGGCGCCGTCTGGGCAAATGCCCTCTCAGAACAGATGCGACATACCCATCACCGGCTAGATCGTTGACATAATCTCTGCAACAAAGTTCGTTTTCCCTTCCCGCAACGGCGAATGCATTCATCCTAGAGACTGGCCAAAGTGAAAACGCCGAGAATCAACGCTCAAGGGGATCTGTCAGATTCGTGGAACTTGGTCATCATTCGTACTTGATGGGATGCAGCACCATCATGGGCAAACACATTCGCCCGCCTCCTGGCCCGCCTTCCGACTCCCAGGCAAGTTCGTCATTTCCATTTTCTCTACCAAGCCATCTTCTCCAGAGATAGCCGGCAAATCCTGCGTTTGAATAATATGTCGCGCCACGGAAGACGTGCTCGCCGGGCCCGAATACGCTGCCCCCTTCACCGTGGAAATGTCCGTGTCCGTGGTCCATGCCTGCTTTTTTGTGCTCCAAGCCGATAGGTGCGTTGTTAAAGACTTCGTCGGCATGGGTGCTGGGCCAATCCCGGTCAAAGTATACCGGAAGAGGGGCGGATATCGCTTTAAGACCATAATGAAGAGCAATGGAAGCGGGGAACATCTCTGGAAACATGGTATGTTTGTTCCGGTAAGTTTCCTCGTGCATGAGAAGGAGGAGCCGACGCGACATTCGAGAGGCTGTAATCAGGGCGGCGCGTGTAGGGGGTCGTCCGTCACGGGTGACGTTGTAACCGGTTATGTCGTCGTGGAAGGCCCAGCGAGTGTGTTCTGGACTAAAGAGAGGGTTTAATGAGATTAGATCCGTGATTTCGTCGTTGTCATCTGGGGTCTTTTGTTCGGGAATATCAAGCAGCCGCTCCTGCGGTATTTGTGGACCGGAAATTGGTGTTTCGTTGCGCGCCCTCACCTCGTCAACGACAGATTGAGCGTAGTTTGCAAAAGAATAATCGTGCAATGACGGAATATAGAACGTCGATGATCGCTCCCAAGCATAGTCTCTAGGTTGGTTTCCGGCCCAGGACTCGATTTGGTTCAACAGTTCGTGATAGTGCCCCGTGACTCTAATGTCCATTTCCCATTGCCAAAAATAATCATATTCCGGATATCGGGATGCAAAGTACTGTAGCGGGAAATGTAAAGATCGATATGCGTCGTAAATGTCGCCACCTGAGAAGTTCACGATGCTGTCGGGAAATGGTGGAGGGTAAATCAACTTCATTTGCGCGACAGACCAGAGCGTGCCCATTCCACGGAATTCTTCGGGCAAGCTGTCTCTCAGGATCTCGTTGTACAGCTCTTTTGAAGCCCAGATTGGAATGGTATCGTCCTGGACGTGAATCAGGAAATGAACCGTGTATCGACCTCCGGACGCAATCACGAGTTCGCTGATAATGGCGCGTAGCATAGCGATGTGATATTCCGTATAGTGGAAGGTGCTCCATGTGCGGAGCACAAAGGCGGTCCGAGATCGAATCCGACTGGAATTCTTCTCGAAGCATCCCCGCTGTGCATCGCGCCATTTCACACCCTTCCAGTCAATCGCAACCACCTGTTCTAATCCTTCGTAGTCACCTTCTGGCTTTTGGCCGAGTCCTCCTTCTTCTTCCGCAAGTCCTAAGCCGTAAGGTGCCAGTCGATTTAGGCGATCGTAACACACTTGATCATTGATGCCAAGCTCTCTTTGAGACCCAAACAGAGGCGCACTCATGCCCTGCGGTAACCCCCTGTATGCGGATATTGGAGGTGGCAGGGTTCTCCTCTCTTCATCCACATAGCATTCTTCGAGGTTCGTTGGCAAGGGCGACGGGAGCGCAATCAGTTCGGCGTCGTCGTCGTGCTTTCCAGGATCGAAGGGGTCAAAAGCATTTACCTGTTGCTCTGGGATATAGTCGGAGAATGGAACGATGTTTTTGCGCCCTCGATAAAAGCCATGAAGCCTGGGAAGCAGATTAACACTGCCGTTACAACCCGGCAGGCGCAGTGAACCGTTCTCTCACCTGGGAAACTTCTCCCACCAGAAGACCTCTCTCCCGTTTCGATCCACGGACTTTCCCATTGGAATTGGGCCATCCTCTTCCAACCCATCATCAACATCAGGTTCCGGAATTTCAATGAGACCTCCGGCCGACGTAGGGCGGAGAAACCACCAGAGCGAAACGGCAGTTAAGAGGGCGATTGCTGCTGCATAGCATATTGCTTTGCTGGGTTGGAGTCTCGAAATCTTCCACTGCCGTCGACGGCCCCGTCGTGGTCTTGGTGATTCGACGGGGTTCAGCAGACTGCTGCCAGAGGAATCGCTGCTCCAGTCGCGCTTGTGGATTGATATCACAGTTGCGTCGTTGAATTTGTTGGTTAGCGACTTGGGCAGCAGGTCAATCATTCCACAGGAGGCCCAACGTCTGACAGACGTGGGCGGCGGTCTCGCCTATCGCTGACTCCGATACGGGCGGCGGGGAGCAAAGCATAAGCTATTGGCCAGCTGCAGGCGAGGTTGAGATGCAGGCATTACCGAACAGTCGCAAACTCTACGCATACTCTGCACGACATCTAAAATCCCAGCACTGTACAATGCGACGTCGCAAACAGGTAGGGAGAAGAAGAAGAAGAAGAAGAAGAAGAAGGAAGATTTAACCAGAGTATTCTCGGTACTCCGTCCAAGATAAAAAGGCCTGCCAGTCCGTCGTCTGCGCTCTACTGCAACTTTTTGCTAGCGGAGGGCAGCTAGAGAGGCGGCCCCCATAGCAGCCTTTAAGCGACATGGACACGACCTTAAGAACCTTCTAATCGGGGGTTGGGCCGCCTAAATTACGGATCTACATGCTGGGACACCACTTGGACAGAGGCCCCCAGGCAAGCCCAGGCAAGCCCAGAGCTGGGAATGGACGGTGGCAATCCCGCTCGTTGGGCTCCAGTCTCACTAGCCTCTTGGCATTAGCAAGCCTGCGTGCCTTAACTGCGCCCTAATCACTGCCATCGCGTCCTTCTTCCACCACCTCATTTCCCTTGAGTGGCCGCCCGAGACACGATTGACTCAGGGTAACAAATCACGTCATATGTCTACAGGATCACTAAATATTCGCAGAATCCCTTACAACCAGCCAAGCAAACAAACGAAAGTACAGGGAGGAAGGATTTGAGGCTTCCTCTTCAATTTCACCCGCTTCTTGGATGAGAATTTGATTGACCCATCGGCAATTGCGACCACCAGGATGCCTACTGCTGTCGTTACAGGGGCAAACTCCGGGATCGCCCATGCGTTTGCCACAATACTGTGCGATGAGGTTAGCTCGGCCACTGCGCAAAAATCAATCGAGATAACGCTCCAGGTAGGGCTACACGGTTTACGCTGTCGACCGGAATCAAGGAGATGGACTCCAGACCCTGAAGGCTAAGACGGCTCTCGTTTCAGAAGTTGATGTGACTTCGCCCGAGTCGATTCAAAAGTTCAAGGACTCTCTCGGTGACACGACAGTTGACCTCTTGCTCAACATTGCAGGTGTGACAACCCCTCCTCGGACCATGAGCATGGTGAGAAGAGAGAAAGTAACCGATGGGTTTGAACAGGTGTTGCCGCCGCCAATGAAGACGACAGTCTTACAACGAGCAATCTGCAAGTCTTCCAAAGGACGTTTGCGGTCAACACTTTTGGGGTCTTCCTTCTTACACAGGCGCTGTTGCCCAACGTCCTGAAGGCCTCCAAGCCAAAAATCGGTATTGTTTCGAGCCGCGTGGGCTCAATGGGCGACAACAGTTCTGGCGGACATTATGCCTATCGCTCTTCCAAGGCCGCTGTCAACTCGATTGGCAAAAGCATGGCGATGGACCTGAAAGATAAGGGCGTTACAGTCATGCTGTTGCATCCTGGATATGTCAGGACAAATTTGTTGCCGACTGCGAAGATGCCCCCAGAGACAGTAGAACCAGATGAGGCGGCGAGAAAGCTGTGGGAGAATATTGTCAGCAAGAAGACAGTTGAAGACACGGGCAAGTTTTGGCACCGCGAGGGATACGAGCTGCCATGGTGATGACCCCTCTGGAAGACATCACATACTTGGGCTTTGGATGCCTCCGTTTTCTCGAAGCACTCAGCCGAGCATGGTGATCTCAATGGGCGTTACCGTGACAAACAAAAGAGTTGTTAATCGGACGATGCTGTCGTCCACAGGAGCAATGCCTGATCCATAGCCAACAAAAAAGACATACGATCCACATTACCCCCTAACCCTTCATATAGAAGCATACCGAGTCCTTCGTCTTACCATAGTTTGTATTCTTCACCCCTTTATTCATCGGCTCTACTAGATGGAGCAGTTGGAGACACAATTCAGGGAATGTACGGCGTTCCATGGCGTACATACCTACTCGGTACATAAGATGGATGATGTGATGCTATATTGCCTCGGTTAAACCGGTGTTTGCCCCGGATCCTGCACTATCAATTCTCCAATATCTTCGAGCTGTCTTAGAAATCAACTGTCACTGTCGCTTCACCTATCTCTCGTGTTCCAGTGGTTGTACAACTATATATTCGGCTCCCTGTAGATTTATTGTCGAATTCCGTTCCTAAGACTAGCCCTTGGCATCGAGGTGTTTTCGCTCTTTTTCCGCGACAGTACAGAGGCATCATCGACGTCACACACACACACACACGAAGAACCCGATACTGCTGACTGCTGCTGTTCAGCGTCCCCAGCCATGGGTTCGTCAAGTTCCCCTATGCTCGTCAACAAGGGCGTCCCAGGTATCCCATATTTCACCCCTGCCCATACTGCGGATCCGGGTGCGCCGTTCACTGCATCTCCCGATACCCCGACACTGTTCACTCCTCTAAAGATCCGTTCCAAGACACTGCGCAACCGCATAATAGTGGCACCGATGTGCCAATATTCCACGGCTTCTTCGGGTCCAGATATTGGCAAGCTCACCGACTATCACATCGCAACGCTAGGCCATTACGCCCTGAAGGGAGCGGCTTTAGTCTTCATTGAAGCAACGGGCGTGCAGCCAAATGGACGAATTAGCCCCAACTGCCCCGGGCTATGGAGTGACGCGCAGACTGAAGGCGTCAAACGCGTCTCGGACTTTGTCAGGTCGCAGGGTGCCCTGTCCGGGATCCAGCTAGCTCACGCCGGACGAAAGTCAAGCACCATGCCGCCGTGGCTGGCGTCATCTGTCAAGAGACCGTCTGTCCGCGCGGACAAGGATGCCGATGGATGGCCAGACGATGTGGTAGGACCGATGGGCGGGCCAGAGGAGAGCTGGGATGGCAAAGGATTATCGCAGGATGGCGGCTTTTGGCCTCCGAGGCAGTTGAGTGTGGAGGAGATCCAAGGCGTGGTCAAGGCATTTGCAGAGAGCGCGCGCAGAGCCGTGGAAGCCGGCATCGACGTTATTGAAATCCACGCTGCTCATGGCTATCTGATACATCAATTCCTCAGCCCCATCACAAATAGGCGCACCGACCAGTACGGCGGCAGCTTCGAGAATCGCACACGCATGCTGGTTGAGGTCATCAAAGCAGTCCGGGCGCACATACCACAAGATATGCCTCTGTTCTTGCGGGTCAGTTCCACGGAGTGGATGGAGGAGACGGACTTGGGGAAGCAGCTTGGAAGCTGGGATGTGGAAAACACGATGAAACTGGCTCGTCTACTTCCTGGGTTGGGGGTGGATCTTCTCGACGTCAGCAGTGGCGGGAATCACCCTCGGCAGCGCATCAACATGTTTTCGTCCAAGGACTATCAGACCAAGATCGCGCACCAGATCCGACAGGTGATGAAGGCAAACCACCTGAAGTTGCTGATTGGCGCCGTGGGTCTGATCACGGAAGCCGAGCAAGCAAGAGACATTGTTGACGACAAAGGATCGGACAAGAGTATCGGAGAGGAAGCCAACGCCGCAAAGGAGATGACAGATGCTAAAGGTGGCAAGGAGCCGATGGCAGATGTTATTCTTGTGGCGAGACAATTTATGAGAGAGCCGGAGTGGGTGTTGAAGGTGGGTTGGAAGTTGGGTGTTGACGTCGCCTGGCCCAGCCAATTCCTAAGAGTGAGGTTTCCGAAGCTGTAAGCCGATATGTCTGGCCTAGGGAGGGGATTGCTATAGATATAGATTGCTGGAACTGCGATAGAGTCTAGTTACAATATTTTGTGTTGGCGAGGCTCCCCTGTTGTGGCCGGTGGAGGCAGCGTGATCCTTTCCGAGCATTTAGTCTGACAGAAAGTTTTTGACCTCAAGGCTGTGCTTGCCAATGCAGATAGAAGAAGTAACAAGCCTCGCGAGATACGGAAACCCATTTTGCCAGACAGTAAGTTCAACCCCCCCTTTTTTTTACCACTTGATATCCATTCAGATCTCTCCAATGTCCGGAGAAGCTCCATTAATCCTTCAATAAACGTTGCACAACCATGAACTTAGGTGTCACAAGCATCTCTGTGTCGCCGTTGCCGTGCCATCTCGGCTTCGGACTTCCGCAACGTCTTTGCTGGCGTTACCTAGCCTCTGGCGACCCTCGCGACTGAGCTCCTGAAAACAGCTGCTCACCTGTTCATTGCACCGGATAACAACATATTGTATCAGTCACAAAACCAGCTAAATTCAAATTCTCAACCAGAGCTGACGTAGCTTTGCCGCGTAGCCTCACTAGCCTGAACAGAGGGGTCTGTTGCAGGCCGTTCTGAGGTTCATATGGATCGGTAATGGCTACGAGGCCCCCACGACTGTGAGCCTTCAATGCTTCTAGGGTGAGGTTTGAGACAGTCCTCATCTCGCCATCGTGTTTTACGCCTACACCTCTGTCGTTCATTACGTGGATATCCTAGTTGCAATGCTGTTCCCTTTCTCGTGCTGGCTACACGCTTGCATTTGCATTTTTGCGTTTGCTATTTCTCTGAGCAATGCGAAGAAGCTGGTGAGACACGATGCTAGCTTCACCCCCGACATTGTCCTGCGGGTCAGCGTCGACACTATCCAGCTCAACTGCCAGCCTCGTCTCTCAACGCTGGTCAACGGCACATACCCGGCACCTCCCATATATCTCGAGCCCGAGCGAACAACATGGATTCGGGTGTACAACGACGCACATGTGAATACGACAATGGTAGGTCGAACTCTTCCCAGAGGATCTCACACGAGACTTTGCTTGCTCACCGGTCACATAATATATATATATATATAGCATTGGCATGGTCTCTCACTGGCTGCGGTGCCCTTTGCTGACGGGGCCCCATTGGCCTCACAATGGCCGATTCCTCCTGGGCATTTCTATGATTACGAGCTCCATCCTAGCGCTAGCGAAGCTGGAACGTCCTTCTATCATTCGCATGTGGGCTTTCAAGCCATCACGGCATCGGGGGCATTGATTATAAAGGATGCTGTGCCTCCACCATATGGATACGACGATGAGATCATTCTGAAAATCGGCGACTTCTACCCTGAGGACGATCAAACCATCGAATTACAGTTGACAGAGGTTCCCTGGATATGGACGGGAGATCCGACGTCTCTGCTAATTAATGGACAAAGTGGAACAGCTCCTAACGCTTCTAATCCAGGTCCGTCGGACCCTTCATGTCAACCTTGGATCATGAATGTCGAGACCGACAAGACGTATCGAGTACGCCTTATTGGCAGCACTGCCTTGTCTCTGGTGCTATTTGGCTTGGAGCATCACGACAATCTGACCATCATCGAAACGGACAACTCCTACGTCTATCCTGTAGAAACGCCGTATATGCAGGTCGACACAGGTCAGAGATTCAGTTTCTTGTTGAAGACGAAATCGCAAAGTGAATTGGACCATTTGAATGGACGGACGAAATTCTGGATTCAGTTCGAGACTCGAGAAGGCCAGAGTGCGGTTTTTGCATGGGCTATTCTCAATTACGCCGTCACGAGCTTTCCGACGCGGCAAGGATTGGAGCAAAGCGGTCCCGGGGACCGTCGCGATTCGGCCTCAAACTCATCATGTGCGGGTTCCCTCCCTCCGGCACCAATCCTCGACCTACCCGCCAATGTAACAGATTGGCTCGAGTATGCTTTTCAGAATCCTCCGTTGGCAGGCTACGAAGCTCCCCCCAATGCAACGGAGGTGACTCGCCGCATCATCATCTCAACCTCACAATTCCTCAATAACTCCTCCGGCGACACAGTGATGATCTCAAACCACGAATACTGGACCGATACCGCTCCCTTAGGACCAACAACGAACACACCGTACCTCGTTGAGATTCTTCAAAATGGGAGTATCAATGGAGTCACTCCAGACTACGGCCGTGCCACCGCCAACGGGGGCTTTGATCCTCTCTCACAGATATATCCAGCCCAAATCGGCGAGGTCCTTGAAATTGTATGGCAGAATGCTGCTTCATACCCAGCGGGGATCTACGGTCCGCATCCGATGCATGCTCACGGTGGACCCTATTGGGACTTGGGTTCTGGCCCAGGGGAATACTCACCGGAAGCTCACGCAGCACTGCTGGAATCCTATTCAGCTGACAATGTCCCTTACCCCGGCTCGCGGCGTGACACGACCTTGTTATATAAGTACACTTTGCAGGCCCCTCAGCCTGGGGAAGTGAATGGCTGGCGAGTATGGCGCATACGCGTCACTGAGAGGAATGTTGGCGTGTGGATGATGCACTGTCATATCCTGCAGCATGTCATAATGGGCCAGCAGACGGTATGGGTGTTCGGGACGCCAGAGGAGATCAGAGCGAATTCGATGCCTGTACAAGGCAATTTGGAGGGATATTTTACCTATGGCGGGAATGTTATGGGCAAGGCTGGAGAGGAAGAGGCGGGGATTGATATTATGCAATTCTTCAGGGATGGATGAGTTCTTACATTGAACATGGAAGGGAATTGCTGTAATAGAAGGCTGAGATGACAGATTTCTCCCACTAGGCTTGTTGAAGAAGGTGTGAGGGTTTGTTTCCCGTTCGTCTGTACGGTGTTCATTTCTCTTCCCTTTTCCTATGTATGTGGCTAACGACGTTCTTTACCAAGGACACAAAAAGGACCTGCTGACCTCGATCCACATCTTCAAGTCCTCATTACAACTCCCACAGATCAGTGTTGAGGTGGAGGGCGCAGCGGATAAAGTGGTGATGTCTTTGAACACAACTGCCGAAGTCTAGGCGTCTGGGCAATGGAACATTCTTGCCCAGGGGAACAAAAGAAGCACCGTCCGCCGTCTTCGTATTCCTCAACCCTGGTCATGTTCCACCAAACTGCTGTTGCTCCTCGCCCAAACGCGCTTTCCCGCTCGGGGTTCGTGCTCCGAGCTCAAAGCGGACAGCCTCGCCGTTGCAAGATGCCCGTCACACTATCATCTACGGAGTTTGACAGCTTGTATGTGAGAATGAAACAGACAAAGCCATCCCGGCCGTAGGTGGTGCATCGCAGATGAATGGTCTATTGACCGTCCAAATGCGATCGACATCTGTCTGGTGCCTGTTGACAGCATGATCATCTCCCGCTAGACAGCAGTCCGCCACCGACTTTCGACCCCGGACAGCCAAGAAAACGATCGCGTTCAAGGTAGTTCTTCTGCCTTTTCAATTCGCTTTCAAAAGTGCAGCTTTCCCTCCCCTCCCCAGAATCCAAGACTGACTTGTTACTTGGCTTCCTGCCGCCACCTTGCAAAGACCTATCAACCTGCAGGGGATATTTCATCTGCCTTGGCCATGTGTTGTCCCTGGGCACTGTGGGAGCGACCAGAGCATCATGACTCCCGGTGATGACAGCCGGTATGTTCAGTGCGCAGGGCCTCCTCCCCACCGGATGGGACACACTGTATCACGTATGCCGGAGCAGCAACATGGGAGTCCTCTTTGATGATGATCCGCAATCTGTGTTCGAATGTGGGGCGTTGGTGAGGCCTGGAGTTACCTCGAACTCTTCGCTTTAATACACGTCTTCGAAGCCTCTCGTTGCCGGACCTGGACTTGATCTGTACGTGTTCATCACAGTCTCCGATAACTTAGATTGACACTCTACATCCGCGTTTCTCTCGGACCATGGCTGGAATGGCAGGAGGGACTCTGAAACCTTCGGATCTTGACCATCTTGAGCTGGATCCCACGAAGAGCGAGTCATCAACCGAGGAGATCGACTGGACAGAGCAGGAAGAGACAGCCATCAGGAGAAAGATTGACCGGCGAATTGTCCCTCTGGTCACCTTGTTGTACCTCTTTTGCTTTCTCGATCGCGCCAACATCGGCAATGCTCGCATTCAGGGAATGGCCAAGGACCTTGACCTTGTTGGTTATCGCTTCAACTGGGCGCTGAGTGTCTTCTACATTGTCTATCTCTTGGTGGAAGTTCCCAGCAATATCCTCCTGAAGCACATCGGCCCTCGATTCTATATTCCGGGACTGGTCTTTGGCTTCGGGTTGGTGTCCCTCTGTACCGCCTTTGTTAAAAACTTCGACCAGCTGTGTGTCGCGAGGGCGTTTCTGGGTATCTTCGAAGGCGGGACCATGCCCGGGATCTCATTCTTCCTGAGCACATTCTACAAGCGGCGGGAGTTGTATTTTCGAATTGGAATTTTCATCTCGGCTGCTTCGATCGCAGGGGCTTTTGGAGGTTTGTTTGCCACAGCTCTCTCGTACGTACCGCCATCTGCAGACAAATATTTCCCATTGCTGACGGATTTCAGCCGCATCCCTCGTTGGGGAACCGAGTCAACGCCTATCCACACGTGAGTGGCATTGACGGATGAGCACGGTCGCTAAAATGTCTGACACTTTGTTTGTAGCTGGAGAAATATCTTCTTTTTCGAGGGCTTGGTGCGTTCCAGGTGTGCAGCAGCAGCAAATTGTGCTAATGTCTTGTAGATCACTACCATCGTCGCTGCGGCTGCTCCGGCTTTAATGCCGTCTAATCCACAGACTTGTCGGTTCCTCACCGAACGAGAACGGCATATTGCGCATGAACGGTTGATCCGAGAGCATCGCGCTGTGAGCACCCTGTGATGTTTATTCAGAAACCAACACTGACGGAAACAGGATCCAATGGAGAAGGTTCAGTGGCATCACATCAGAGCCGCCATCTTCAACATCAACAACAATCTTTGTGCCGCTGGCTTCTTCCTCATCAACATCACCGTCCAAGGTCTGTCCATTTTTATGCCGACAATCCTGGCGGATCTGGGCTGGACCGCAACCAAGGCACAACTATATTCGGTGCCGCCTTATGTGGCTGCATGTCTCGTGGCGATTTTGATTGCATACATCAGCGACAAAACTCGCAGGCGTGGCATTTACCTCGCATTGGCCACCTTCCTCCCTATTGCCGGCTTCTCTATCCTTCGATGGAGCACCAATGCCTCCATCCGCTACATGGCCGTGTATTTTATCACTACAGGAGCATTCCCCGGTGGACCTGGGTTCCTATCGTGGGGAATCAACAGTGTGTCGAGTGCCCTCATGCTGGAGAGGTGGTTGCTAACACTTGGCAGATTCTGCTGGACCAGCCGTGCGGGCTGTTGCGACTGCGTGGATTGTCTCAGTTGGCACATTAGGAGGTGTCCTCGCCACGTGAGAAAGCCCGGACTCAGAGTATCTCCTGGATAGAAATAGACTGACGCTCTATAGATGGACCTACCTTGTCCGCGACGCACCTCGATACCCCATTGGCCACACCATCAATCTGTCAGCCCAGATCATCGTCCTCTGTGTTGCTAGCTTCGGCATTGCATACAACATGCGTGAGAATCGGGTGCGGGATCAAGGAAGGAGGGCCCATCGACTTGAGGGATTGAATGACGCTGAGAAGCGGGACCTGGGGCATAAGCACCCTGACTTTAGGTATATTCCGTGAGGTCCAATCTGGAGACTGTTGCAGAAGGGTTGCGAGCGCGTCGGAGGGATGAATGTGGGCATGGCGTCATGTATGGTAGCGAGCGAGAGGACATGAACCGTAGCAGAGCAAGTGCTTGTTACTCTTGTTACCTTGATAGGCATTCCTATGTGCTGTGTACTTGTGGAAGGCCAGCGAGGCAGATAGGGCGTTGAAGCCTTGCTGGAAACATCGAGAAGTGCGTAAAAGCGGCATCGGATACTCTTATCCGGAGCCACGTGACACAGAGCTCAACCCGATGGCCAATCAACAGCCTGGGCTTGCGAGTGCGTCATTAGAGCTGGTGGCGCCTCGGTCTATTACCGAAGTCCAAGTACAAGTACACGCATGGCGAAGCTCTCTTTGTGCCTGCGTCCTGCGTCCTGCTACTTGCATCGTCTTTCTCCCATCCCATTAACGACTCTCTTTCTCAGTTTTCCACCATCGCCTGTTTCTCATCGAGGAGCGCATTCATCATGTCCTTCGTGCTCAGGAGACCCTTTGCGGTCTCCCCCAACGCCTTCAGACAATTCAGCAAACCGTCAACGCTTGTCCGAGCGTTCCACTCCTCCAGTCCCAAATCATCCAACACCTTCTTCAACCCTCGGCCATTTGCCTCGACATCGAACGCACAGTCGCTGCTGAAATCAGCAGCTCTACGCAATGGTTTCAAGCGCGGCTATCAAACGCCCTCGTACCAACCTGCCAACCCAACCGCCAGCGGAAACCTGACACAGCGGCTTCTTTACGGCGCTGCGCTGGTCGGCGGCACCATTGTTGCCACCAATCTCATCTTTAACCGCGAAACACGCGAAGATGGCGGCATGCCTCCCTTTGAGCGCGAGTACTTGAACCAGACATTTATGCACACTGGCTTGGGCGTGGGGATTATCGCCCTTGCGGCCCGCACGCTACACCAGAGCGGCTGGAGTTATAGATTGATGGCCACGAATCCTTGGTTGGTGGTCGGGTTGGGTCTTGCTGCTAGCATTGGCACCATGTACGGCACGTTCTATACCCATCCAGATAAGTAAGTTCTCTAGCACCCCCCACTCGACCAGATAAAAGGACAAGTTTACTGACAAGGTGCCGCCACAGCTACATCCAAAAATATGCTCTCTGGAGCGCTTTCAATGTCACTCAAGCCGCCATCCTCACCCCGTTAATGTTCCTGTCTCCCGCTATCCTCGCTCGCGCCGGCCTCTACACCGTTGGCATGATGGGCTCGATCGCTTTCATCGGGGCCACGGCCAAACAAGAGAAGTACCTATACTTGGGAGGGCCGTTGCTTGCGGGTGTCGCCATCGTCGCCATCTCCGGGTTTGCGCCGTTGGTTCTCCCTGCCACGGCAATTCGCACGCTCGCGTGGACTGAGAATATTTGGCTCTATGGTGGGCTTGCCGTCTTTGGTGGATTTACGCTCTACGATGTGCAGAAGATTTTACACCATGCTAGGATGAGTGAACGGGGATTGGTGAGGAAGGACGTGGTTAATGAGAGCATCTCGCTCGAATTGGATTTTTTGAACATCTTCATTCGGATGGTGCAGATTTTGAGTATGAGGCAGAGTAACAGGAGATGATTGGTGGAAGGGTGAGAAAGGGCAAGTGGCATTGCATGGACTGGCGGGGAATATGTGACTGAAGCCAAGCGCAAAAGAGGTATGCAAGGGATTCAGCGTCATTCAGCATCGATGGGCAAGGGGAAGGAGTTGTTGGATTGCAGCAAAGCGCAACCCTTTGGGTGGTAGAACACAGCTAACTAATTCCTATCACTCAGGTGCTAATTGAGAAGAGGAAGGGGAAAAGAAGTGAGAATGAAGATGAATTTTCTCCTCTCCAACTCGTTTGCTTAGCATCGAATCCACTTCCCTTTATTTACCATGTCCGCGACTTTTCTAAACCTTTTCAGATTTTCTAAGATTTTCTAGAACTTTTGGGGATTTGGGGGGATTTTCTGGGAGCTGTCGGCGGCGCTCTCGATTGACAGCGTGACCAACCATGACTAGCTTCAGAAGATAGCTCCTTATGCACACTAGATGGCGGGCTGGACGGTGGATGGCTTCTCGTCGAGCAACACCTGCGGCGGCGGTGGTGGTGACCGTTTTCTTTTCTCACCCCCCGGGGGGGGGGGGGGGGGGGCCAGCAACCAGCACCATCGCAAGTATCAGTTACCCCCTTGACCCTACCGTTTTTCTCCTCCCCGCGTCCCCCGTCATTGACGAGGCAGACGGGAGCCGTGCTCAATATCCTCGTCCGTGGTCATTGGGTTGTCTGTGTTGATCACAAAAGGCCCGCCGACTTCCCCATTGATCAATCTGATTGTCTTTACGGGCTCGACGGTAGTTTGACAGGCTTCAGCTTGCTCAAAGCTCCATTCCATGCACGCTTTGCAGCCTTGGCGTCTTCTGCTCAATGGAGTCTCTCTTCCTGTAGGCCGGCGCCTCACATCCGACCGACGCAAATAATGGTCAAAGAACAAGGCCGTGAGCCCACAATGACAGGCTGTGGAGCGGCACTCCTCGCTTGGAACCTTGAGTTTGGTGATCCTTGCAGGCTCGCATGCTCCTCGCACGCGTGCAGCCTGCCCTTGGCACCGGGACACGTGAGACGGAGATGGATTTAATGGATTTACCTACTTGTACAAGTATCTCGCTCCTAATTCAGAACTGTCGCTCCTCAAGTCTCACGATTGATTGACCTACAGACAATTCAAATTTCCTCTCGTACATGAACTGCGCTGATCCTCGACTCAGCCCCAACCTCCCCTCAAGAGTCAAGTCAAAAGCTTTCTCAGCCTTACGGTGAACGGAGTATATTGCAGTATACACAAAATGCCTCCCTGGTCCCCACACATCTCTCCCGAGATTCTAAGTAATGTCCTCTTTGGTATTGTCATGGTCTTCATCGGCTTGTACGCTCTGTGGCAAACTCACCGAGCAAACCGTCAGCGCCCAAGTAGCTGCCTCTGATGTTTCACCTCTCCACCGGGCACAGTTTGCTGACATGGTGCACAGAAGCTGTCGTGGAGCTTCGCAGACAGCAGACCGACGCCTCAGATCGGGTTTGAACATGCTTCCCTCTCCGCCACTTCATCCCCACAAATGTCGGTACGCCGGTGCCATGGGTCAAGGCAATCCTTCATCATACCTGAAGAGGGACGGTTGTGACGGAAAGGATGGGCAAGCATGATGACTGCATCTCAGGCAGACTTCCATCCTTTGAGAAATGACAACATGTTCGCACCAATGTGCTCAATAACATATCCGCCCTCAAGAAGAACGAGAGCGGGCACCTCCTTGAGCGCCTGTCTTGTCGTCCTCGCAATAGTCTCATAGTCTTCTGTGTGAACCTGGAAATGACCCAGCGGGTCCGCATGAAAAGTGTCAAATCCCAGACTCACGATAAGGAACTCGGTCTTGAATTCCACTAGTTTCTTCAGGCCGTAGTCGAGTTTCTCTAGATATTCTTCGATAGGACTGCCAACTTTGAGAGGGAGGTTGATATTCATACCCTTTCCCTCGCCACTGCCTGTTTCGTCTTCCACGCCAGTGTAATATGGAAATTCGTCTTCGCCATGAATGCTTACGTACAAGACCTTGGCGTCAGCGTAGAAAATCTCCTGGGTGCCGTTGCCGTGGTGAAAGTCGATGTCCAGGATCCCAATTTGCGCATCAGATTGATGTGAGCGCCATGTACTCACCGCTAGAGCTGCATTGTTGATGTAGCAGTAGCCGCCTGCTCGTTGGCCGTCGCAGTGGTGCCCTGGAGGACGACAGAGAGCTACGACTGTGTCAATATCGTTGGGCCGGTCATCGAAGCCGCAAAGCATGTCCGTCCCTTCGCATGCAAGGTTTGCGGAAGCAATCATGGCTCGATAACTCTCCGACATGATGCCACTGCTCATATCGAAGGCATAATAGCCTGCTCGTGCAAAGAGATCCCTGGGCGGGCGGAGTGGCTTTCCCGTCGAAGTCGGGAACACGAAACACTCTGGCAGAACATGGCCGTCTTGCTCAATCAGGCCCGCTGACAGCCACTCCTCGTATACATTTCGTAGATGTCGCAAATATTCGTGGCCGTGGGTTTCTGAGGTGAGTTCCAGAAGTCGCGACTTTGGGCCTTCCCACAGAGAGCTGAGTGGCCTTGTCCCAGCTCTATATTCAGAGTTGTGCAGAGCTTTGAGGATTGCTTCGAGACGTTCCGGTGATTCTAGTGCAGGAATGAGGTTTGAGCCCAACAGCTCAACGGTCTTGTGCAGGAGCGTGTCAGGGTCCCACAGGATCACCAACATCTTGAGCGATGTATGTTATGTGTTTTCTGACGCAAAGCATGGCAGATAGCGATGAGGTTCCGCCGACAGCCTAGTCGAATCAGGGACTCGTCGCTACCTCGAGCACGAATGTGAGGTCGTCAAGATAAGCCGAGTCTGAGATTTTAGGTTGAAGGAAGATTGTGCGGATGATAATGGGGCCTTGCCATCACTAACTGGCTTCGGACAAACGAGATCTGCCGAGGTCTTGCACGTGACCCGTGTGGAGACATCCTTGACATGTGCCTGATCCACTCAAAAGTTCTGTGTATACATATTGCCATATATCGCTCCTTGTGGAGGGAGAGATGCCCGGTTCTGTTGAGATTCTATCGAAGGGATTGGCTGCATATCATTGCCTACAGGAAATTAGCTGGACGCTTTTGCGGTCGACCACACAATCTGCTAGAAAACACGTACTATTGTTCAGAAACTCCATTAGACGTGCATTCCTTTGTCGTAGGTTTCTGCATGTATCCTTCATGCTCTGAAGAGATCTCTGCTGCGACTTTGCGAAGTTGTCCAAGATGACGGCCATGCTGGTCATGAATGTCCTGCCTAGCGACGTCACGCGTTAACCCGAGTCAGAAAAAGGACTGGAAGGCAATACTTACTGGGTTGAACGAGGTCCGCGGCCAGCTCATGGGCAAGCCCGTCACGGTGTAAAGACCTGTTTAAAAACCCCAGAGCTGCAGCTTGGACATTGCGCGTGTACTCTTCTACCAGCGGCAAGACATCATTCTGCAGAGGCCCGTCGTTGCCTAATGCTGGCTCTGGAAACGAAACGTCCATTCCCATCGTTGGGGGTAAGGGAGGGACACCAGAAGCAGGGAGTATTGGCGTTGAATCCACATCCACCACAGCGAACTTGATCCCAGGGTTGTTCTCGAGACCTGTCTGATTCAGCGGTTCCGAGCCAAGGGGCAGTTGTATAGCGTTGTTGAACATCGATTGCTCTGTCATAATATCCTCCGACAACATTCCTGGAGGCATCCCTATGTCGGCGCCGGTCATGACATACTGATTGAAGCCTGCCGATAACGAGGAAATTGAAGGGTCGGCGATAGGAAAACCAAATGACGCGTCATTTGCATTTGCCGGGAATTGCTGGTTGGTATTTGGGACACTGCTTGTGACGTGCGATGATGTTGGGTCGTTCGGAAAGGCCGTGTATTGGTTTTGGACTGCAGCAGCGTTGAACTGCTGTGTACCATCAGCTTGTGTCTGAGCCCACTGATTGTGGCCGATAGTTAGAGGACGGCCGGAGTCACCAGCCATCCCGTACGCGCCAGACTCCCGCTCCTGAAAAGTATGTGGTTGAAATGTCTGTGGCGGTCCAGTAGCGACTTGCGTTGGAGGCAGATGGAACGCGTCATTGCTGGGACTTCGTCGCATTTCCGAACCCAGTTGGTTGAAGTCGAAAGGGGAATCCATTGAGGCGTTTGCGGAGGGGTCCGAGAACTCTTGCTTGAAATGTGGGCGCGGTCGATCAGTGAAAGAGGTGGACCTTGATCTCGATCTCGAACGGCTCACCTCGCGACGGGCGAAGCGACGCAGGTTACGGTCTTCATGAGGTTGAAGATTGCCGTGCTCGTCCATAAGGGAGCGAGGCCTTCGACCGGGACGACTGACTTCGAAGACTGATTTGCCGGTTTGCGCGATTTGATGGAGTCTTTCCTCTCGACCCATATACTTTGAAAACCCCCATTGCTTGATTTTGCGCTCCCATTGACGGGGAGTGGCGCTAAAGTTGAAGTGTTCTTTCATATACTCTGCGGCTTCCTTTCGAGTCATGCCGTGATCAATGTAACAGATGCGGAAGTTTTCCCTTTGAGCTTCCCAGTCCTTTTCATCATGGTGAGTGTCCAGAGCCTGCGAGTCGTCATCAGAAGCCATGGTTACAATGTAGCGAAGCACAAAACGAAAGGTGTGTCGACGCTGATAAGAGCGCTTCTCAGCCTGATTGCGCGGCGCTTGCCACGTGAGGCTTTCGGTCCAGTGAGCCTGGTAATGGCAGCAAGACAACTTCAAGAGGTAGAGGTTTGTGCTACAGAAGCTGAGAAGAAGGGTCTAGATATGTTGCGCGACATGCCGACTGCCTCTTCATCGATGTCTAACGGAAGAAAAGCGCGGACCAGCAGATGATGCTTGTCAGTAGCCAGGGCTAAGGACTCACTAGGCTTAAGGGGTTTTGTCTCGGACACACCGTTGAGCGCCGTCTCGCCGTCACTGCTCTTATTTTGGCCCCGGGACTAGGGCACCTTGCGGCTGAAATGTTTGGTGTTGGTCCGAGGTCGACGGCACGATCCAGGCCTTGGATTGCGCCTGACCAACCAAACCGTGGGGCGATGGGCGTCCAGCGGGCACCTAGCGGGCTTTGCTGACGCCGCTGAGAGGTACGAGGTAATGGCGGGTCGTTATTCATGGACTCAGCCTGCGATGTGGCTGGTGAGCTTCGCATGTTCGATCAAGAATTGCGCTTGCAGACTTTGTGCTTATCCGAATGTTGCTGCGGAAACTGCTACGGTGTAGCACAGATCCGCATTCGACCTTTCCTCGCCTTCTGTGTTGGTGCGCCTGGTATGTAGTGACAAAATCCTCGCCAATATCCTCACCCTCCCAACACTCACCCTCGACCAACCTCTGTTCAATGACAATCCAATGAGGCTGCTTTTGCCTGATGGCTTCATCGACTCACATTTCAGCTTCCGCCGTAATGTCCGACCGCCGATCAGGGCGCTGGGCTCTTCGGCTGGACTGGTTACTTTCCTATTTCTCCCTGGACTCGACCTCGCTGATCTGCCCAATTCCTCATGCGCTCCTGCTTTATGACCGGGAATCTTTGGGCATCTACCGTCCTTGAAGAGGACGAAGACTCTCTTAGACACAGTGAGTGATTTATTGAAGGTGATTTGGCAGCCAATACTTCAATGGTGATTGCGACCGTCTCACTTTCGTCGGGTTCTCTATATAACTTATCGCCACCGCCGATGCCATGTCTCTCCAGAGTCATGAACCAAGCAATGCCTTCCGCAGAGACTCGGCTGTGGCCGAACAAATTGTATTACATGTTGATGAAGAGCCTCAAGGCCGTGGGCTGGCTCCTCACTGCCACCTGGACCTCTACTCTTTCTTTGATCTGGCTAATTGGCAATACTATCTTCAATTGGTACAGCATCATGCTGGGGCCAACGGTAGGCGGTGAGTATAACATGGGACTATTGAAGTGAGGAGGGGGAGGAGACAGTGGGGACTGACAGAGTTAGCTATCGAACGAGCTGAGCACGATATGCCTATCCTGGAGGGCCAAAGCCCACCGTCCGTGTCGCCGGCATCGAGCCTGACCGTCAACCTGTCCGAAGGAAGCCCACCAAATCCTCCACTTCCTGAACCACCACAACTGATAGTTGACCCGGATGAGCAAGATTTTCAAGGCATGGGGGTCTGGGGGCACTTCTGCAATGGGGCTGAGGATTGAACTTCTGAAAGGGACGGTGTTATGAAGGATGCCCGGAAGGACTGGGAGTTTGGTGTAATTTGTTTGCTGGACTGTGGCACTAAAGGGGGACCATTATATCGGTGAAAAGTCTCTGCCGCACTGTTTTGAGCTGGAAGCTGTGTGCTAACAGTGTTCCAATGAGAGACCAAGTATTAAATGTAACGAATGGCGATGGCTCAAGGGCTCCCTTGGAAGTGCTCACGTGGGATCGTGGACGAGTCGCGTCTCGACCTGCGAATTAAGGGTCCATTATTTTGCAGCCCTCTCCGTATCCCGCTGAGCCTCACTTTGTTATGGTGGTCGCCGAAACTTCAATAACGCGTGCAGCACACTCCACCACCAGTGCATTTCAACTGACATCGCCGTCCTTGGTATTTTGCCTTTGTTTTCTCAATGCCATCCCAGAACCACATTGGCAGTCTCTAACCTGGGCCAATGGGCCGTCAAGGGCCATCGCACCATGTCCGCTGCTGTCGTAATTCTTTCGTCCTCTCCTCCACGAACGTTCGCGCGTTCTCCCACCCTTGCAGAGACTCCACCTCCGTTACGGTCGCCACGTACATTATCGACAAGTGAGGCCATCGACTTAAAGCAATTCAAGATCTCCAGGCAGGTTAGAGATGGGTTGTCAGGCGGCTTCAGCAGCGCACGTGCCATGCTCACCACAAAGGTCGGCGCGGAGAATATCCCCCTCCTGTCTCCAAGGAAAGATGCATTCAAGGCGAAGTCATCACCGCAGACCGATGAGCTTGCTGGAAACTCACTTGAAAGAGCAACACGGGGAAAAAAGGAAGGAGGAACACAAGCAGAGGAGCCGTCTAAGCATTTCGAATTTTCAGAGTCGTTCACCCCAAAGCCGAATCCACGTCCCAAAACCTCTCACGCCATCAAGCCACTGAATATCGAAGCTTCGGAGACGGGACCAAAACAGTCCGGTGACGGGCGTGGTTTACAAATGAGCAGACATTCAAGAAGCCCTTTCTCACCAAAGAAGGCCATACCAAGGCGATTGGACTGGACGCCCGTCAAGCCGAAGCCACACGATTTGGAGACTCCACAATCTGAAGACCGCGCTGTTGGATTTTCCAATGATCTAATGAAATCTTATGCCTTTTCCCCGGCAGCTACAGTGGCCATGGAGAAAACTGCGACAAAACCCGAGACAAATCAGGAGCGACCAAATAGGAGGAGGATTGACCTTGTGATGATTACTGAGGCAAGACCTGCACCGTCCTTATTGACATTCAAGACTTGCAAGGGTCTAGTTAAAGGTGTAAGCAATGGAAAGGCAAAGCCCCCAGCCAAGAAGGCTCTTACAATCACGGGGTTGGCGACTTCGCATTACGGCGAAAGCCGGCAGAAAGAGACAAAACTACCTCCAATGCTTGAATACCTTACGGCGACACAAGTGGGCGCTGGGAGTGAAGCAGACTCAGTTATGGACGTGAGTTTGAAGGTCTCCAAATCAAAGGTTCCGAGCAGGAGACCACGTCCAACCAAAAAAGCTCCAGCAAAGACGCGACTGAAGTCTCCTACATCCGCAATAAAATCCAATCTGAAACAACCATTTCTTTTCGGTCCGGCAAGTCAGTTAGCTCGCGACGAATCACCTACCTTGACGCGGGATACTCTGGAAGCATTGAAGCGATCTGAATGTCTTTCTTCTGACCCTATTTCACCACTATCGACGCAGCCTATCTCGATTGAGTCGACGTCACCCAAAGCTTGTCGTGGTACGGGTCGATTTGTCAAAAGAAGGAACTTGTGGGGTGCAGCTGGCCGCGACGAAGATAATGCTTTGCTACAAGTTGATACGGTTGACCTGACCGACTCGCCTGCCGTACGTCTAGCTCTGGCTGGGAAAGATGTGCTTCTGCAATCTATAGGTCCGAACCGTCAAGACATAGACACTTTGGATAATGGCCCACCAGGGTCTCCTTCTAGAGCACCACCTCCAAACGCCAAAGAAGTTGAATCACTGATTGATATTGATGATATCGTTACGCCTAGACTTCCAAAGTCCATCAAACCACCTACACAGACACGAGCGAGGCTATATCACACTTCTCGGACACTAAAACAGCCACAGAAGGCAGCCGAAATCAGTCAGCAGGACAGCGAGGCACATTCGGAAGCAAAGAGCGCAGTCTCAAATCCACCGCCAATCATGCCATCATACGTGGGCTTTTCTGATCATGAGCTTAGGAAACAGATAACAGCCTACGGTTTCAAGGCCGTTAAAAAGCGGGAGGCCATGATCGAGCTTCTCGAGCGATGCTGGGAGAGCAAACATGGCGTGCAACACCCTTATGACGATGAAAGCGCATCGGTTAATGCAACGACACACGCTGATCTACTAAGTAAAATTCACGATGTCTCTACGAGACCCGTTCCGAAACTCAAGAAATCTCGTGCTAAACGAAAATCCGAATCTGGGGATATGAGCACCGCCGAGGAGCCGAAGAAGAGGAAGAAAGCAGCGACGAAATCGAGTGAACCTGCACAAAAGGAAGGGAAGGCTGCCCGAAAGCGAGCGTCGAAGACGCTTTCGGACGAGAACGTTGTGGATGTTGATGAGTTGGATGAGTTTGATAACCACAATATCGAGGAGAAGCACAAGTCGGAACCTCTAGGGTTGCCAAATGAACCAGAGCGACCGCAATCCAAGTTGAGACCTACAGCACAAAAACCTCTTACACCACCGCCAACAGTGCCGCAAGAGAAATCCACGCCCTCGCAAGCATGTCAATCTTCTCGGGCCCAGAGCGTGAACAATATCTCGAGATTGGACGGTCCTGCGGCTGAAGGTCCTGAACTTACGCCTCAACAGACTCCTGCATCTAATATTATTTCACAGATTGATGCAGCTATCTCTCGCCATCCGGAAACCCAGTCGAAAGATGGAGAATCCCGAAACCATCAAAGATCGCCAACCTGGCACGAAAAAATTCTCATGTACGATCCGATTGTCCTTGAGGAACTGACGGTCTGGTTGAATACGGAAGGATTGAATGCGATAGGCGAAGATCGCGAAGTAAGCCTACTAGAAGTTAGGGCGTGGTGTGAACAGAACGGCGTGTGCTGTTATGGAGTCACAGGAGGATGGAGAGGACGGAGTCGGCCGTCTTGAGGCAGAATGAAGCATTTTGCAAAGAAACGATGCAACACTTATCATCAGGATGCGGAGATTGTGGTGACAAGGCGTGGCCAATACGATGTTATGAAGAGCGAACAAGCCGTCCAGTATCATATGTCCCCTCTTGCACACTCATGAACGGGGAATAAACTTTGTAGCAAAGGGCATCAAAGGGACTCAATTCTCCGTCACCACTGTGCCTCAGTAGTTGCTGAACTACCGCGTACTTACCCAGTCCTCGGTGCATAATCGGTGGAGATTGTCCCCGCAACTCCTTCAATAGGCGCTTGCTAGGCAGTCGGTGGCGTGTTCGAGCCCAGATGATCATCACAAGCACTAGCACGGCTTCTGCGAGGTAGCAGTATGCAAAGTGCGAATGGCTGAATGCAGCTTCTTCCCATGGCCACCAGCTGCGCTTGTTTTCATATGAACATCTACTCATGCTCTTCGCTTTCCCACGGCCACTTCTCAGTACTTAAACTATCTCCAGTGAAGCGAGTGGCCAGGTTGCACTGAAACACTCCGAACATGTGCTTGGGCTGAACCGTTTGGCTGTCTATCCTAGGCTGAGGTGGTCAGGAATCTTTTCGATTGACACTGTCTATTTAAGATGCTTTCCTCCAGGGCTACGAGCGTGAGTCCCTTCTCTTAAAGTATGAGCCTAAGCGGCGTCCACCCTGGCCAGTCCGCATCCCCAAATACACCTACGAGTTTTCTCCCACCGCCTCGCCAAATCCGCTTCGTCTCGACCGATGGCCAGCCGCACACAAAGAGGAGGCGTATAAATGCGGCTTGTCTCACTTGTCGCAAGAGGAAAACGCGTTGCTCGGGCGAGCGGCCCGAGTGTAAGACCTGCACGGATAACAGCCATGTCTGTTCAGGCTATGCCGATCGTCCAGCGCGCAAAGATGGTGAAAGAGTGGACGAGGATGCTGAAGAGGAAGCCGACTCTGGATCCTCAACGCCTCAAAAGCACAGTAGAGAAGCGGAAGTCGCGATGAAGCCGCGATATGGGCCAGAGAAAGAAACAGACAACAAGCACAGGGAAGATGGAGGAATGATAAGTCCTTCGAGCAATCATACTTCGAGCAGCTTCACCTCTTCTCGAAACCGGGTTCCCTACTTCCGGTATTTCGGGCCGACGGCGATCGTACCTGGGTTTAAACAGATGGTCGTGCAAGTCAAAGACCATAGATCGAGCTTGCCTTCCGCCTCTGGAGAGTCTCCCGCTGCTGGTCAACAGTTAGATGGGAACTTCGCTGTTGGTCAGGATAGAGTGCCCGTTGAGATACCCTTTTACGATGCAACAGACCCGGAACAGAATGCTCCTCTGATCACCCATCTTTGCGAAACATTCTTCGCTCATCTCGGCTGCAACTACCCTTTTCTTCAACGCGACAGATTTCTGAGAGATTTGGAAGAGAAGAAAGTCGATGCCATCCTAGTCGATGCTGTCTGCGCGGTTGCGGCGCGATTCTCAGCAAACCCTCTCCTTTGCAGATCCAATGACCCCTCCATTCCATTGGACCCGGAAGGAAATGTCAAGAGAGCCTTTCGGGGCCATCCGTTCGCTCAACGGGCCATGTCGGCCGTCATCGACACGTTTTCTTGCCCAACCATGGCTGTGGCTCAAGCCTGCCTCCTTCTCGCCTACGAGGAATTTGGCGTTGATCACGATAGTGGCTTATGGATGTACCTTGGCACGGCCATTCGCATGGCGCAGGACCTGGGCATTCAAAAGCTCGAGGGCTTACAACTCGAAGGGCGAATTGGACCAACCCCAAAAACTGCGAAACATAGTCAAGACGGTAAGGCTGAAGAGCAGAGGAGAGCCGAACAGCAACAAAGGCTGTCTCGAAATCTGTCTGAACAAGGCATTTCCCAGCTGGACGACCGAAGGGCAAGTGAACAAGAACGCATCGATACCTTTTGGGCAATCTTCTTTCTGGACCGAGCAGTTTCTTCTGGTGTGGGACGTCCTGTCACTCTACGAGACGAGGACATCGAAATCTCCTTTCCATATCGAAGCGATGAGAAGATGATCAATGGATACCCTGATCCGTTTCCTGCCATGATTAAGATTGTTCACATGTATGGACGAGTTGCAGATGTGCTCAACAACATAAAGGAGGTCAGCCAGGTAACGCCAGATGTGTTGAAGCGCTTGGCAAGCATGGAGAGAGATTTGACTGGTAAGGATTCGGTCTCTGCTTGAACCCTATAGGCTGACCACTACAGGCATATATCAACGCTTGTCGCTTAGGTTGCATTTCAATGCCACAAATTTCCAACATTATGTCAAAGCGGGTCATGGCACCAACTTCATATTACTACACTTCTGGTTCCACACCTTGATTGTCCTGCTTCACCAGCCGACGTTGCTGCACTCATTCGAAGGACGAATCCAACAACTTTTTCCCGATAGCAGGGAATTATCGATGTCATCGGCAAAGACGATTGCGGATATCCTGGCGTTTGCTGAGCTGATCGATGTAAAGAGTTTCATCGGTAATCCGTTTACAAGCCAGCCCATGTATGTCGCGGCATGCGCTTTTCTGGCAGAGGCTGCCGCCCATACCTCTCAGCCATCGTCTCGAGCGACATCTCCGCCATCAAACGGACATACACCTCGGCCAAAACCAGACGTGATTGCGGAAAGGACGCAAAAAGCGGCCTCTGCACGACATACGCTTCTCGCTACTGCTGCTAATCAAAATTATCAGCGGTGTTACAAAGCTCTTAAGACATTGGATTCTTATTGGGCTGGTTGTCGCTACATCTTGACCGCTCTTGACCAAAAGTCGAAAGGCTTGATGGATCCCTTGCTCTTCACTGCAGAAGATGTCGATGGGGAAATGCCATCGACAGAGCCCTCTTTTACCACGCCCGGCTGGCGAAGAAGCACTTCGCTCGCTGCTTCACTTGGTGCATATGGGAGACTCCGCACTCTCAAGGGACTGCCGGGGAGCGCGCCGATATCTCCATCGATGGACCTCAGTAATGCAATTGGATGGGCTTTGACTGGGACAGCCAACTCTCTCGCCCCCAATCTCAGCTTCTTGTATCCGACGGGGGGTGAAACTGAGAAGACTCCACTGGCGGCTCCGCTGACGAAAGATGAAGATGAGACGCCGAAAGGTACACCAGCTACGAGAAAATTTGAAGCACAATGGCAAAATCAGAGCGTGTCCATTGTCCAGGGGGACCAGACCATAACTGATCAACTGGGACAAGCCTACCATGGAGGAAGCTCAACATCTACTGATAGGGTGTCATCAGTAGCTTACGATCCAGTATCAACAGCCGATGCAGACCTTTTGCTTGGGCTTCACTCTCCATACACTGCTAGCTCAGCGCCACCCTCCAGCATCGCTCCTGGACCCATACAGCAGCCCAGTCAGCCATCCAATACCTTCGGATACTCACAGCAAGTACCTCGATATACTAGTTCCATAAGCCCCCGGCAACCGTTTGTTGACGCACAAAATCAAGCTTACAGTGATATGCTGATTGAATCACAAGATATTGATATGAGTGCAGGACAACAATTCAATTTCGATTTCTTAGGCGGCGACATGATACCCTGGTTGGAATATCTACCACAGGATGTCTTGAATTACTTTGCAGATCCACAAACGGAAATATGACTTCATCCCTCGACTCTTCTCGCCATGAGCAAGAGGATGATTTATGGTTTTAGCGACATGTCGTTCTGTTTGCAATATATCTACATACATAATCCTTAGAACGATGGACCACATGAAAGAAGCTTTCACGAAAAATGAATCTGGAATGAGGTTGGTACACACCCGGACACGATGATTTGTTCCCTGCCCAACTTCATGAGCAGAGCAAGCGTGCCGATAGTGAACAGCAGCAGCAACTCCAAACCCTGGCCTAGAATGACTCGACTAGCTAAACCATCTAATCCACTGGGGCAGACTGATCGCTTGTCAAACTCGTTGGAATCGACGTGGGCATTGGCTTGCAGATCGATTTCAGAGCCTTTGTAAGTATCGGCAAGTATGGGGGAAGGCCTGAAAACAGCTGCGGGCACCAAGAGGCGCCATGCTCACATCTGACTTATAACAGTCTCGAGAATTGCTCGGTCTGCCTCACAGTTCAACATGCAGATTGTGCAACTTTTGCTCCTATGGAGATTCTGCGCCAGATTTGGCAGCACATTCCCGCCGCTTTTGGTATCTGTCCTGGATGTTTGCCGAGATTGACGACGCCGTCTCTTCTTGCAAAAGGGCTTCAGCCCCATGACGCTGCTTTTACCCTAACATCCCCTGTGCTTCGCTCCTTGTTCTTGATGAAGATGTTGAACTCTTGGAAAAGACGGTTGCCTGCAAACCACTCAGCCGTTGGCTACCACGATTGCTAATCTTGAAGTCTTCTACCGATGCGCCTTCAGCATTGTCGTTCTTCCAATTGGTGCGAGAAGGAGCCTTAATGCTTGAGCTAGCCATCCGGTCTGGGATTGTCGAACAAAGTTTCCAACGAGAGTCATCTGAATCGATCTAATCACAGCCGGCGCCAAACACGAGGACTTCCCACAAGTGTTCACCGAGCCACTGCCAAAATATCCCTGGAGTCGACACCAATCGCACGCCCGGCCTCTGGGGAGCTCGTCTCTCATCCCACGCATGAAAGTACTCCGCTTGTTCGATCTTCCTCCATTTGACTACGTTGAGCAGGATTGTGCAGGCACATTGTTACAACTCCAACCGATTTCTGACCAGAGAACGCAGAGACAGGAATCCAGGCTGTGGAGATCTCCTTGACCGCTCCAATGCCACCAAGTTGCCATGAGCCACTTCCAGTCGACCCCTCTTGCCCCAGGCAGACGACCAACCTTATTTTTAATAGAGACTCACCCCAGGCAGAGTGTCCTTTGTCTGATCATGCGGAACGGGCCTGGCGGTAGGACACCGGCACGCTGTCACACCATGACAGTACGTAACCGATAAGCTGAGAGCACCAATCACGCGCCCACAGCATCTGACGTCTCTCGAACAATGTCTGCATCAATTTGCTTTTTGCGTGGGATATGGCGGCCTAGGGCTACAGTGGGAATCTCCTTGCTCGGATGTGATCGAGATATATAGCCAGCTGAAAGGTATAAATGCAGCTCTCTTTTCCTTATCTTGGGCTCTCGATCTTTCCTTCCTTACCATTCCAAAACACACATTTCGACTCAAAGGCAACAACAACAACAACAACAAGAACAGCAAACACTCCATCAACCCATATCAACAAGTCAGAGACTTCGATAAATTCCTCACAATGGAACCACACTGCAGCACCTGCTCCCACGGCTCCGGCGAATGCAAGGGCTGCACATGCTGCACCGTATGTCTCTTCCTGCCTCCCTCCCACGCAGTTGTATAAACACGCTACTGACATGTGATGAAGCATTAAATCTTTTCACCAATATATCCCTAGCTCTTGATCTTGCGAAGTGATTGATGGAATCAGGGTTGCCGCAATTGTCAAGGTTATCTCTGGAGCAGCGGGCAGAGGTGGATGCCGACATCGAAGGGTGCTGAGATACGACCTCGTCGCAAGGATAATAGCATCCCTAGATAGCAATGATCAGAAATACGCATTCTAGGGCCTAAAATTGCGTCTTGTCATCCCTTTTAGTCAAGGTCCGCTTGGATGAAGGAGGGGGCTCCTTGTAATCATGAGATGCGTCAAGGCAATCCCACGTAGTTTTCGTGGTTTCATATCCCTCACATACCTGCCTCATCGATGGTTCTTTTGCTCACTATGCTGGCTGTTTCCCGCCTGGTTCCTTCGACCAGAAACTGCCAATGAACATGCCTGGCGCCCCGCGCTATTGTCCCGGTGCATGCCTCCGTCCTGTTCTGTATGGCCGTTCTTGATACCGTATCCATCCGCGCATCCTCAAAGACCCGTCTCTATCACAGTATTGTTCGTTCACATCACAGTGGGCCATCCCATCTTCCATCCTCAGCAGATTTGTCCCGGACAACTCCTTTCCCACCGAGCGAGGGTATTCGGCAGTGTCGGGTCGGCAGCGTGGCCCACGCACTGCCCAGGTAAGACAGCCCCTCTTGGGCACAAGTTTCCTGTGTTACCATCCACCAGGACATGACATGTGTCAGGCCCCATGCTGTATCCCAAGCTAGTCAGAAGATGTTGGTGAAGTATGAATCCGACCGCTTGGGATCCCTGTCTTCACAATAATATTGCATATCGATCGCTTCGGGTTCGAGCCTGCTGTGATCGGCGTTATTGGGAAAGCTCGGCCACCGGATTCGCGACATCTGTCGAGGCAAAGAGGAGTGATTGGCCTCGCCAAATCCTCAGGTGTATGAAGCGGGTGGAAGGACATCGTTCCTGTCCCGATGATCCTGGTGCAGAATGTCAAGCTCCATTGAGACACCGATGTCCTCCTCCTTTAACGGGCTGTCGGGCTTGGCATGTTCTATTAGCTTTTTTAGAGTATTCATTCATCTGTGGTGTTTTCCCTGGCTTGGGGTACCCTGATGGTGAAGTCGACATTGGCCTTGGAGCACCGACTGCTTGTCCTTCTCTTGCGTCTGTTGCAGCCTGACTAACACAGAAACAGAGGCACGCCCATGATGGCGGTGGCCAGACCGTTCACCACGGGCGGTCATCTTGCCCCGGGTTTGGAAGAAGTTTCGGCGGTTGGCAGAGGAATATGGCGTCTGCCCAGGGGATGGAAGTCGAGCAGAAACTTGTTGGTATAGCTACGCCCCTTCACGCTGGAAAGCTGTTCGAGTTCGTCGATGCTGATGTCCCAACAGACAAGTAGCATCCATTGGTCTTCATGGCTGGGGACATCGTGACTGCTTTTTCTGTTGCTATGTCTCTCCAAGGAAATGAGCGATGGTGAAAATAAAGGAGAAGAGAGAGAGAGAGAGAGAGAGAAACAGAGGAACAGCTGCGCGGGCAATAATAACCGTCCAGGTGCTGGGTGCCCTGTACATATGGCTCCAGGGATCCGACCGACGCGAAGGGCTCCTCGTTGGGAAATGGCAGGGATTAAAAAGTGAGGACCTTAAGGTACCACCCCTTCCCCGACAGCCAGCATTCGACATTGCTAAATCAGGATTCAGGAGTTTCCTACCCAGGGGCCATGTGTCCCAATGGAATGCCATTTCGACCCAAAATTTAACATGTTTGCACACAATGGGCACTTCACCGCTGCGGAGCTTTGCAGCAAGGGCGATGGTAATCAGATTCACCAGATATATTCCGGATTCACTGGTCTCGTTGTGTCTGGGATGGAGATGACCATATTCCACGAGAATTGAGAGAGCTACTCCGTACATGCAGCACACCGCCTTCCTACGACGAGCACGGTCAAAGGCATATCACAGAATGATGTGTGGTTGTTGAGGCTGGAGAGGGCCTCTAGTTTCATTTCTCAGCATTTGACTGCTATGGAGTTGGGAAGACGACCATGCTGAGGGAAGTACTGGGTACGGAGTACTCCCTCGCTAACGGGTTAGCCTCATTGTCCAAGAAGATAAGTTGGGTATCACATCTCGACGATACGCCGAGTTGAGGTTGTTGACCTCCGCGCGAGCTCAGACATTATCTCTTTCCGATGGAGGTATACAAAAGTCACCTCTCTACAACATACTGCTTCAACCATGCGTAGGTAAAAAGAGAAGAAGTTAACAGGGTCCAACCAGCTATTGCACAGTAAGGTACCTCGTAGACATGCAGCAGACAGAACAGCAACAACAACGATGACCTGAGCCTTTTCTTTTTCGCCTTTCTCACAGGATCCTCCAATGCTTCATGGCGCCCCAGCCCTGTCGTCTCAAAATGAGGACCTTAAAGACCAATCAAGAGCGGAATAAAGCGGGGGACTCCATTTCCCAATCAAGGCTCACCAGCATGTTCTAAAAAAGCGGCAAGGTCTGTTTGTTGGCTGATATCATGTAGAGTGGAGTACAAAGACGTCATATGAGTGGACAATCAAAAAGCGGCGGCTGGCTTCGCACCCTCGCCGGAATAAGAACCACCCGAATGTGGACTCGGGTCGTGCTCTGGGCATGACGGGAACATGGTTATTCCGGTATATATATGGTTTGTGTAGGTGCCACTTGGTGGCAGATTTCTGTTCTGTTCTCAGGCATTCACCCCTGATATAAGCAGGTCGAATCTGGTCCATACGAGCACCCCGTTCTTGTACTCCGCACTTGTTCTTGTAGTCAGACATTATCGGATCCTCCCGCGCCGCCATGCCCCCCTGAACTTTGGCAGCCTCGCGGGGGCCATGCGGACAGGACAGCCACTTACGGATGGGGGCACAAATATTTTGACATGTCGCACGAAGAATGGGATGCTTGAGCACATAAGTCCATACATGTGTGTATGGACTAGGAAGTAAGTTGTGCCTGTATGCTTCTGTCGGCCATGTCAGCTGCGCGACTAATGCGACTGTGCAACTTTTGGAAAGGGGCAGAGCTGGAAAGTATTCACCTGCTTTGCGAACAGGTCGGCGTAGTGGTACAGGAAGCCGTGTCCGCTGTTCGGGTAGATGAACAGCTGTCCATTCGGCACTTTCTGCTGCAAGTGGAAGCTGTTGATCGTGGGGATCATTTTGTCGTCCTGGAAGCATGGACGGAAACATGTCAGCTTTACACCAGAGAAATGGGAGCATCCAAAGGACGGGGGAAGGGGATGAGGTGACAAGCAGCAAGCGAGGCTGCAATGTTGCCAGAGCAACAACGAAGCAAACTTATGGCTTGACTGACGGATCCCTGGGCCACCGGCACCGGTATCTTCAAATCGCCCAATCTCTCATAGGTCCCATCCAGGCCTTTGCTCTTCTCAGAATTGAGATAACCCGCCAAAGCTCCGGCCTGCGCCATCAACGCGGCGGCTCCTCCGTCCCCGAAAGACTGAGATGCCCATTCACTGGGCACTTCAGCGCTTATGTTCCCATCGCGCTCCTGAGTGCGCGCGCCCGTCACTCCTCCGCGGCCATTTCTCCCTTGGGAGCCCCGGAGCAGAAAAGCTCCTTGAACTCTTGGGAGGTGGCGTGCGGCCGTGTCGCTGCTGTCTTGTAGTCGTCGTCTGTCTCGGGAATATCTGGCCCCACACTCGCTGTGGATTCGCACATGATCAGCTTCCTGACCTTCGACCCGTCTCCGTCCGCGTGGTTCAGGGCGAGCAACTGGGCCACAAACCCGCCGATGCTCAACCCGAGAACGTCAACTTCCTTCACTCCTAACGCAGGTAATTGTCCCATCGGTGGTGGGTAGAGGTATTGTGTTTTGGCGGTCTGATGGGTAGCCATGTTTCTCTGACCGTACACGTCTCTGGATGCGCCGGGAAGGTTTAGATCAGTATGGACAGGCTAGAACTGTTGCAACATATCCCCAAAATAAGATGATGCACCGACCTTGAGGAAGATTATATACAAGCAAAGAATCGGTAGCCTGACAATCACAACATTTCGAAAATTGCTACTCAGGACAGAGAATTGTAAGAAATGATTAGAATACCGAGTGTAGCATTGCTGGGTCAGCCTCCGCCCGGTCTCTGCGACAGAAGAAAAAGGAGTTGAATTGCCGCGCTGCCAAGACCGTCGGTCAAGTTTCCTCTTCCTCAGGTAAAGCGGCTTCTATTTCATCCTGCCTTACGCTGCGAGGCTGGCTGGTTCGTCCTCCGATTTGTTGTCGCGGCCAGAAGCATCAAACGTCGAGCCTTGGGACTGAGATGTCATGTCGCCATGAACGATGCCGAGTGGCAATCTCCTGCCTGGTATGGTTCAGTTCTGGCGTCTGTTTTGCGCGACGCCATAGTATATGAGAAGGAAAAGCCGAGACCGAACTCTTTCTTAATTTTCTTTTTCTTTTTGTTTTCAAGCTGACAATGTTTGACTGGGATTGTCGACCGTGGTCCTGCCTATGCGCAGGCAAATATGTGTTACCACAAAGAAGCCTTGTCGCAGTGGGCCAAATATCGACCTTGACGATACCCGTTCGAAGAGGGACTCGGGGGCTAAGGCGCATGAGCACTTTCTGCCTCTAGCCCAGGCGCGGCCTTTGGGTAGGCTTAGCGATTGTACAATCCTTCACATGCACTCAGGTAGTCTTGAATATGCGTAAATACTTGTTCAAGCATGACAAGTGAACTACTCACAGGTAATCCAGCATTTTCGCCGCCCCGGCGGAAAGCAGGAAACGGTCTGGATTTGGTGATGGTCCTCCTCTGGTCCTTGTTATTCTCATCCGAAGCGCAGGGTAGCAGCTCGATAGCGACGTTGGGTCGTGCAAGACAAAGCTGCGCGAGGGAAATAGGTTCCCTTACTCGCGGCCTGGGGATAAAATGGCTATCGAAAGTAGAAAAATTTGTCTGCCACCACTGTATACTCGAATTAGCCCACCCTTTGAGACACATACCCTATCTTTCTCCCCACGGTAATGGTATCAGGTTGAACTCCTTGTCGATTGGGTGACTGTGACCTAAGCAGAGAAAACAAGTCTCATTGAATGGAACCGGAACTAGTAGCAGGCATAATGAATTCGAATGGCAGTGTAACAAGGCAAGGTGGCTGTGCTGTTCTGGGCTGGTAGAGCGGTGGCAGGGAGGAAAAGTTATCTACCCAGTAGTCACATATCAAACCAAAATGGGCTGGCAGAAAGGGGGTGCGGAACAGTTTACAGGGCTGGCAGTGTGCCATTCAATTATAGTTTAAGCAGAGTATCATGAATTCTATGGCTTTTTGGCGCCGTCTACCTAATTCCTGAGTGTTTTATCAGTCCTGTCCTGTTTCTCGATGCTGTCACTGTGCTAGGTGTTTGTAGCCCTAGCCGCTGCTCCTCTGAGTGGTGTTGGTGGTGTTGTTTTGTCAGTATCAACCAGAAACGCGTTCTCGATTCCCGATCTGCTGGACAGGCCTCTGTGCGTTGTTGCACGTGCACGCCGAACCCTGAAGTGCTCTGTTACAGCAGTGCTAGGAACAGAGGGCTACGTCCACCTGCTCGTCGACACGGAACGTTCCGAAATATAGGAGGGGAGAGGAGCTGCAGGGGGGAATTCTGCGAAGAGAAACGATCAAGACCCTTCGAAAAAGGAGACTGTATAAAAGATGGCAAGGGCAGCGGCAATTCACTCCCACGAGATCATTCCAGCGGGGTTGGACGGAAAGAAATCCTTGACGGTACAGGAACTATTCGCTCCACTGCGCCACCGGTCAGTGTCCGTGAGATCTTATTTGCGAGAAGTACTCGGTAGTTCAAAGAACTTCGCCTGTTGGTGAACAGGATCATCTCCTGACAACGTCCGCCTTTGGAAAACAGCGCTAAGAGTGCCATCTGTGAAGATTCTGAGGGGCCATGGCCAGTGTCAATGGTGCTAATTTCGGGGATCTGGACCCAAAGAAAGACGAAGCCACGTCTTAGAGAACCCGTCAGAAACCCTCTGTGTGGAGCGAAAAAGACGGCCGTGGATGGTCAAGCTCCATGTTGAGGTCTAAGACATGCCATCTCCTCCACAAATCCTGACGGGCAGCCTCTGCTTGCGGATCCGTTTGCAAATCAAGATGTTCATGCCGCTGTCCAGGATTTTGACGGGACACGCTGGGTCTTTTTGTGAAAAGGGGTAAGAGATGGAAGAGGATGAGGCGTGGAAAGCATCTGCTGGGCGTTTCGCCGAGGAGTGTGTGCTGGGGACGACGAAACCGAAAGAGGGAGCCCGAAAGAGGCAGCAAAGATGGAGGATTTCAGAGGAAGACAGATGGAAGTAGTGCTGATTACTGAAAGATTCAGAGAGAACTGGGGCCGACCTGCGCTCTTCTCATTGTCTCTTTCAGATGATCGTGACTCAAGATTGGTAAAATTGAGACCGGTAGGAAGTGTTAGTACACCTGCAGAGGCAACAAGTTTTGATACCAGCATCGACGAAGGCATTCTCCTCAGCTGATCTAGACTAATCACCCTCGAATAACGAAGCCATCGAACCTCAATTCCTTCACGACATACAATGTAGACGGGCTCCGTGGCTCCTCCAAAGTGTCGGGCACCCAGCCAATGAAGTTCTCTCTGCTGGGTCCCGGCTTTGCCTGTATTCTTTGAGCAACATGAAAAACTGGTACGAGACTGTTGAGTCTTCCTTTTCAGTGAAACTGCCCGGCGTGCCACCGCAGGCGGGGCCTCAGAATCCTTTCGTTCCTCTGCGCGGTCATCTCCCCATGGTGGTGGTGGTGGTGGTGGTGGTGGCGGTGAAGGCGGGCTGGACAATGGCCCTGGATTTTGACGCGACCGCAAGACGGGTTTCTGAAGTCCATGACCATAGAAGTGGGAAGGAAAGTATTGAGATCCCTGGGGAGGAATGAGAATCTCGAGACCGAGCCCGAGTGGCAACAAAATGCGGTGCTTCAGGGCTAATGGTTGTGAATACAAACCTCGTACCGACGAAAAGGATTTCATCTTGTAGGCGACTAAGAGATTCAACAGCCAACGAAAAGCGTGGAAATCTCAACTATCGTGGCTCCCATGCTTGTGTCCCTCGGGCCCGGTTGTTGACGAGGTGTTTGGGATGATGACAAACGGTTTGTTGAGAGAAAGTCACAGTTATCAATTCCAGAATCTCCAGGGCGATTCGGACACCACCCGTTCTTTGTCCCAAGTCCCTGGACAGTCGGAAGAATTTGACCAACATAGCGTGAATGTGTACCGAGCCGATAGGCACTATCCCTCATCGATGTGACATGAAGGATATCGGCGGAGTGTGGTTTGGCAGAGAGACTAGACGAGGGTTGCGGATTAGCACTGATGACGGCTCTTACAAGATATAACAAAATGCCAGGAGGCTCAAAATGGACGAGCAATTGCCAATAATTACTAAGCTTCTGTCGTCAAGGTAGTCTGGCACCTCGAAAACGTTTACTTTCGAGTGGTTCTAGGTATTGTCTCCCTCGCTTGTATTCAAACAATGGCGCCATCGTAGACTATTTCGGATCTGGAACAACCAGTAGCTCATGGGGGATACAATTCAGGAACTCGCAATTTCTGAGAGGGTGGGCTTGCAGGATCTCTCTTTTACTCTATGATATATCTCAATAGCTCCAGCGCGTACACGGCCATATAGCAACCGCCATAACCGTTCAATACAAGCTTTCCACCTTGAACCAAGAAACGACCCACGAAATACTCCCTACCACGCGCACATAACTGGCCCAACCTGCTTCCCAAACAAAACCCTGTCTCGAAGCACCCGCAAAAATGCAAAGCGAAAAAAAAAAAAAAAAAAAAAAAAAAAATGAGGAGCTGTTGCCTATGAACTCACGCCTTTAACAACACTGGCCCGGAGGCACACCGGTAGAACACCCGTCTGAACTTCAGTCACTACTTTGCATCTCGTATGCCGTCAAAAAAAAAAAAAAAAAAAAAAAAAAAAAGATAAACACCATCCACACGCCCCTCATACTGGACTTCGCTTTGAAGCTTGCCGGTGGAAATTCTTTAGCTGGCTGCTCAACCACTGTCCCCGCGCTTTCAGCATCTGGTTTTCGTGCTTCAAGGACTCGGCGTATTGCAACAGGTCTTTGACTCGCTTCTCCAGGCCCTGCACGTATTTCACCTTGCGCTCCCGAAAGGCACGCTGAGCCTGTCGGTTCTGCATCCTGCGTTTCTGTTCGCTCGCAGAATCTTCCTTGAACGAATTGTCACCAATGCTATTGTTGTCGTCTGCTTCGCTTCGCTGACGTTCCTGACGCTGAGTGGCAACACCTCCGGCGTCTTGGGTACCATCGTCTTCATTGTAGTCAAGCCGCAGACCGTAAGGCAGCTCGTCGGTTGGGTAGGTTGGAGTTGACCTTCCCTTCGGATGACTTTGGCTGAATTGCTCAGATACAGACATTGGAGAGGTAAATTGGTGACCGGTCACAGCGCCCAAACTCCAACACCCATCAAAGAGCCCGTGGTCTTGCTGCCACATGTTCTCCGCCGAAGTCTGGCGAGACCATTCCCCGAGGTCTTGATGCCGAAAGAGCTCAAAGTTGAAGAGATTGTCCGTGTTGTCTTGACCCAGACTGTGATCTGCAGGAAGGTTTGGGGTGAATCCTGGAGCCATCGATGTTGAGACTTGCGAATGCCTTGTGGATGGTGCCGCTCTCTGGGTCAGTCTTGACATGATGTTCTGGAAACTAGGGGCATGGGTTTCTACGTCGAACCGAGTTGATCTGCGGTGGTGAGGGGCGATTCTTTGAATCAACCATATCTTCAAGGGCCTCTGAGAAGCAGGTAGATGTCTGCTGACGGTATTGCTGCCTATGGAAGAGTGCCTGGCTACATGGTGACACCTTGATTCCGAAACGGTAGACGTCCGTTGGGCTTGACTGCTGATTGGGGCCGCTAGGCTTATTTCATCAATCGCTGTTGGACCTGTCATGGAACCGCTCAAATGAACCATAAGGCTACCCTTCATTTGGCCACTTGAGCCTGAAGACGCCCTGTTCTTAATATTCGCGGCAGCTTAACTAGAGGTCGGCTGCGCAGAATAATGCGGCATGATGGTGGGAACCCTGCACTGCCCTTTTGGGGATCAGTAATCATTGGTAAAAAGGGATCATGGATGGGCCCTTCATTTCAGGCAACCGAGTTCACTGGCGAAAGCCCGCGGAGGCGTTCACTCTGGCCGGGGTTGAGTGGCTTCAATTCTCATAGACGCAAGCGGCTAGCTTTGTGTCTCGAGAATCCACAATCTCGATTTCAGGGCAACTTACCGTACAGTGTTCGGGTTCATATTGGCAAACCCTGCTCGTCCTATGAAATCTCGCCCCCTTTAACTCAAATAGCAGCTTGCCCCTGAGTTGCCCTGAGTCACTAAATGCTTTGCAGATCCGACCGTCGGGAAAGATGCGCTGAGCCTTGCCTAATATGCGAAGGGCGAAAAACATCCGAAAACTGGGTCGCTGTTCGCTTCGGCACGCGAAAAGCCCGAAGCGGGAAATACCGGTTTCATAGGCTCCATGGCATCTGGTGAAATGGAAGCGTGCAGTTTAAATAGTCAGCGTAAGGACTCACCTTGAGATCCGCCACTGTTGACATACAACGTACTCGTAAGGTGCTCCGAATATCATGAGCTTCTGAGCAGCCGCCAGTGCGACTGAGGAAAATAGACGAACTCCAAAGCGCTTAGTTTACCTTCGACTCAAATATCAATCGAGCCTGCTCTTCCCGGTGAAATGTTTAGGGGGTTATAAAAGGTAAGGCGGTTTGTATTCCCAGTTTATTTTCTGCTCCTGCATCTGCAGCTCCACTCATGATGGCCGACCATTGAAAGGATGGCTTAGAGCAGTTGAGAAGCCTTAGAATCTGAGGCTCGGTTCATTTGACGGGCAGTAAACGGCCTTGATGGGTTCTCGATGGAGAAACCGAGGTAGTCCCGGTTTCCTCAAACTGGTAACCGACGGCTCCCCTCATTTGTGGTGGACAATAGTCGATGATAAGAGAAGCCAGTCTTGTGTTGATACCTGGGACGCCCATCGAAATTGACTGACCAGAAGAGTTGTTGGTTGGGAGATGGCGCCGCACTGGGCTAGATTCGTCCATCCAGAAGCACCAGATGTGCATGGCAAGTACCAGCCGACAAACGACAAGATCTTCAAATCTCCGTTCGGCCCATTTCCCCCTACGCCGAAGGACCTGAATGTGCACGAACTGTGCTTCCCCCCGAGTCAGCCTTTGCCCCCAGATTATGACCTTTTCATCGACGCTGTGACCGATCAAAGAGTCACACTCCACCAATTCTACGAAAGAGTTTGCGCGTTAGCACGGACACTTCGTTATGATGGTCCCAATCCTTTGGGATTGACGAGGTCGCCGGTGGATGACAGAGATAACGGGGAGATTTTAGGCCTCTTTTCCCGCAATCACATCCACTACTCCATGCTGGCTCATGCATGTTTTCGTGCCGAGCTGGTGTTTGGCGGCATAAGCCCTGCATCCACGGCGTACGAACTGTGGCATGTCCTGAGGAAGATGCAGATCACGTCTATTGTGTGCCATGAGACGCTTCTGCCTGTGCTGCGTGAAGCTATCAAGCTCGGGTCCGGTCCAGAGAACGAGAAGCTTCGACTCGTGCTTGACGAGAGGAAAATCGTCGTGCTGGCAGATGATGCTTCCTTGGATTCCTTGGAGGGCTACCTAACCGTGGAATCCCTCGTAAGACAAGGCTCGCAGATGCAAGAGCGCAAAAGAAACCTCGTTGGCGGTGACAAGCTGTGTTATCTGTTCCAGTCGTCAGGCACGTCTGGTCTCCCCAAGGCGATGATGATCTCCCACAAAAATGCAGTCCACAGCGGTTTGCAAGGGATCACTGCGGCGACGCTGACTGCACTTTTCAACAAAGTTGAACCCCTCACCCACCAAACACTCCTTGGAATTGTGCCAGCATATCATTCCTATGGCATGATCATGTGGATTTTGCGGGTTAATCTTGCTCCAGCCACCAATGTCATGATGTCGAAATGGAATGTCGAACTCGCACTTAGATCCATTCAGAAGTATAGAATCACGGTCCTACCTCTAGTTCCTCCGATTGTGAGGCAGCTTGCTCAGTCTCCGCTGACGGAAAAGTACGACCTGTCATCGGTTGTCGCCTGCTCCAGTGGCGCGGCATATCTTCCACCAGACGTGGCTTATCAGCTTGCCCAGAAACTGCCCGTGAAAACGCCCATTCCCTCTGGATATGGCCTGTCCGAAGCCGCATCCATTGCATCACCTCCGGTGGCGGGAATTTTCGGCTTAAAGGCATCAGAGCCCGGAACAATCGGGTTCCTTCTGCCAGGAATGGAAGGCCGAGTTGTTGACCCGGACACTCTGGAAGATGTGCCAAAGGGCAGCAAGGGCGAGCTGTGGGCAAGGGGGAACGTGGTAAGCATGGGATACTTTCGAGATCCGAAAGCCACTGCCGAGCTTTTCGCGGAGCCGGGCTGGTTGAGGACAGGGGACCTTGTAATGCGTGACGCTGAAGATCGAATTCATTATCTCGATCGCCTGAAGGAGATGATCAAGGTGAAAGGTCTGCAGGTGGCAGCAACCGAAGTGGAAGATACCTTGCTCGATCACCCAGAGAAGCTTGTGACAGACGCATGCGTTGCCGGAGTAAATAACGGTCGAGGGGACGGAAGCTTGTTCCCGAGAGCATGGGTGGTTCTAAGCCCGGAAGGCAAGAAACAAGGTGCGACAGCGGCGATCGCGAAGTTGAATGAGCATGTTGGACAGCGCCTGAGCAAACATAAGCACCTAGCCGGAGGGATCGAGATAGTTGACTCGGTGAGCCTAAATTCGGATAGCATTCTCTCCTCTGCTAATGACAAACCCTCTAGATTCCACGAACACCGTCCGGGAAAATGCTGCGGAGAGAGATGAGAGATGCATATCATCGCCGTATCAATGTGGAACGCCCGAGCAGTAAATTATGAGCTGATGGGCGTCATTGCCGCTATCATGGTGTATTTAGAGCCGTTGGAAACGCAGTCTCATTCAATTGAAGACGTCCTGGGGGCGAAGGGCGAAGGGCGAAGGGCGAAGGGCGAAGGGTAAAGATAGAACCATCACCCGTTGAATGTTAACGTCCGATCTCAGAGGCGAATCGAATTTGCGATATAGTGAGTACGTGCTCTAGAAGTACCGCACCAGATTGCCAACTTTGTTCAGTATTCGGTTGAACAAGAACCGGGTCTGTGGAACACAGCATTGCAGTCGAGCTCAGAAGGTCCACAAGTCATCCTAGCGTTGAAGAAATGCTGTCTGCATTGTCGAAACTGTCTTTGGAAGCTCGAAACATTATGCCGCAAAGATTAAGATGGTGATCACTTCGGGGTCTCATGAGCTGTTGTTGCCTCGATCCGTCATTGGATAAGGAACTCCTCTTCGCTTTTGGCCACTTCGCAGGGGGAGTTCATTTTTGGAGGAGATTGTGATCTGAGGCGCGATTAGAAAACCTCTCTGTGCGAGGATATCAGGTGAATCTGCGCGATATATGTACGATGGCAAAGATTTCAAGAGCTCTTCGAACTCATGGCAGGAGAAGTTCGAAAAGCATTAGCGCATCCTTCTATTATCCTGATCAGTCATCAGGAGTGTACAGTAAGAGGAAAGCGGGTCCAACGGTGTCAGACCCGCTCGGAGACGATGACGAGACCTTAATAATAGAACAGATGCATCTGAGCTTTAGGTGACCACAGTCATTGTTCGGCGCATGCTAGCCTAGCGGTGAGCATCGAAGAAATGGAAGGTCTGTTGGAAGCAGCTCGTTGTTATTTCCAGGCAACTCCCGATCGATCCAGCCAAAACCTCACGGTTTGATGACGGAACGGTATAGGAAATTACGGATGCGCGAACCAGGAAATATCCAAGCTGTAGGCGATTGTAGTCCTGGTTAGTTGGAGATCGCTTTACCGCATATTCCTTGTCGAAGAGATAAGTGTTGTAACCGGAAAACGACATGGGCAGAGGGGTCTAGAAGAATGAGACTAACGCCTGGCCAGGATCCATATCAAGTTTCTGGGTAATATGATCCGCCATGCGGAGTTCTCTATCGATCGGAGGGACTCCCGATATCATATCAATCCCGTCATATGAGCATAACAAGCTGACGATGGTGCGAAATACATTGTTAACGGCGCCTCCACTCTCACCAGGTTTAGACTGCAAATCAGGCATGATGGTCAGGAAGGAAGATTTCAGTCGATGATACGTTGCGGACATCGAGATCTGTTAGCGTAAGCCACACGAATCCAAGTCCAAATCTCGGTGCCTGCTTCCACGATCATCCTTGTGCTTATGATGAAAACCGCAACAACGCAAATTCCAGCTAAGCCAAGCCATCAGTGAGAGGTCGGGAGCCAGGAGTAGCGGAATGAAGAGCACTGCAGCAGCTTGGCCCAGACAGCCAGAGAAGTGTATTTGCCACAATGCTAGGTGTTCAGTAGTGAGTGTTGTTGGAACGTGGAATGGAACCTAGGAAACAAAGTAGCTGCGACGCCTTGAAGATGAGGCTGCGACACAAAACCGAAATGAGACCCAATACGAAACTCCGATAATATTCCCTTGGATAATAGAGGCAAAAGGGGATCACAATTGCTGCAATGTAGTCACTCCGCAGTGAACCCGCAAAGCGACTAGGTTCATTGGAGGACGCTGCCCGAAGCGCTTGGCCTGCAATTTCTGTTGATGGTTACTGAGACCAATACGACTGGGTAACGAAGTTCAGCGGAATCGTGAGGATCCTGCCGGGGATCAGCAAGGCGCGTGGCATGATCAAAACTTTGTGGACAAGCCCGAGTCTATGCGGATGTCGACCTCCAGGTTAACTGAAACAGCCGATAGCAATTCCCGATGACAGTGCGAATTGACAAAGCCGCAAGTCGAGCTCATGGACAGCCCGGCGAGTCAGGAGGCATGCGCCGGTATGATGGGCAAGACCAGTCCGTCCTTTCAACTTAGTCGTCCAAAAGATCCGCATACCTCAGTTGTGCCATTGTTCTTGACATCCTCAACTCGCCGTATTCCGTGAGTCCTGATGCTGTACTTCAACAAGGCCAAACGAGCACCCGCAAAGGAGGAGATGGAGCTAGAAAGAGGCATGAGCGGTGAAGAAGCCAGCAGTGAGGGTTTTCTGTCGTGGTCAGCGCAACAGAAAAACAGTTGCAGTGACGGTCGGTCGGCCTTGTGACTTCTCACCATCGAGACAGTCAGCGCTGTGTCGCAGTTGTTGCACCCTCCGGGAAGAGACTGAGAGGAATAGGAGAGAAACGCATAGGCAGAAACCCCAACATCCACAGTCGACAAACACCGGGATGCAGGAAACCGAGTTTCATGAATAAGGACAAAAGCCAAGATGGGAGGCAAGGGCTAACACCGTGAGTCGTGATTCGGCAGAAAACGAAGCGAATGCCCAACCTCGACTGTGGGGCTGCTGGGCGCAGGCGGACGAACAGGTGTTCATGCACAGAGCGGTCCCTCTTCGGGAGGGAACCCAGCCACGGGTCACGCCGCCCCTCATTGGCAAGGAAGCACAGAGGACGGTCGTGAATGAGACCGGAAGACGTGAACCGGCATGTTGCGCCTTTGAGCAGATGGTGTAAACAGGCGGTGGAGCCAGCGAGTTCAGTCCTTGTCGAAACGACAGCTGTCAGGCTGTGCAACCGAGAGCAGTGATGGGAGGCCGTGAATGAGTGGCACAGCAACAAAAGGCAGAACTTCGGGTCAACTGGAGGGAGCCAGACTTTCATCACGACACAGCGACACAGCGAGAGACACGATATAGATGGTCTGGCAAAGAGCTGGGTGTGTTTGCACAGGAATGAGAGCACAACCAAGAGCGAGACAAAGCAGTTTAGTTTGGCGAGGGCGGATTCCGGAGAAATAGTTCTTCCGGCCATTGCGGCTTCCAACCTCAGTTATGCATTTGTGCCTGCCTCGCTGCCCTCCAGCCTCCGCCCCTTCGGTCCAGTCTCGACCCTCTAAAGACACCAAATTCAGGACAAGTGCCCTGGAGCAGGATGCGAGATACCTCAAGCATCTTCATCGCCGTGCTTCTCTGGCGGTCAGGGTGGCCAGCGACCGACCCCACGCGACACAAAGCTCGGAAACGACCTCGTGATTGGCATCCGCATGGTTGACAGATTCCCAAGACGCTTGAGGCACCCCAACCCTGAAGCCGCATTTAGGTCACGGTCGACGGCTCGAGGCACGGCGCATCGCATCGCGGTTGACGTTTCTTTTAGCTTTCATTCACGAAGTGGTATTATGTCACCGCCATCTCCCCCCTCCAGGTCTATCCCATCGTCGCTCGATTCTGCCATTGACGTGGCCATACAGTCTGTGTCTGTCTCCGGGTGGCGCAAACATCCTCCTATCAGCACTTCAACTCGGAACAGTTCTAGCAATCCAGCAAATTCAATGAGATTTAGATCGTCCGAATACCTTCCAACGCCGGCGCTTCAGCTTGACTTCACCAGTGGAGATACGCATCAGCCAGTCTTGAAATGCTCTTTTGCATATTGTTCGCATGCCTGGAATAAATACGCATTGATAAGCAGGGCGGCTGAGTTGGATCACGACCAGATACTGACCTTTGCCGGCTTGCCTAGCTTCTGCCCAATCGCTTTCCACTTGTTCGCTTCATATTCTTTGATAGCTTCACGAAGTGCTGCCGACTGTAGACATTCATTTTAGATTAAGAAGTCGAATCATCACTACCGCATACATACCTCATCTTCGGCAAATTCAGCATAGTGCATATCCTGAATCCCTCAGTCAGTAACAACTCCGATTGCTTCAACCCAAGCCGTACCTTGTACCAATGTTTCTTCACACTGCCTTCGGTCCGTGCGGGAAAGGCCTGTCATGATTCAGCACAAGGAATATTCTAATCAGAGGCCAACCAAAGAGGACTACCTTTGCAATCTCACTCCAACTGTGACCTGCATCACGCATTTGCTTCAATCGTTGTTCTTCCTGAGCAGACCACGGCGTGTTGGTTCGCCCGCGCTTTTTGCCCGCTTCCTCGGCCAGCGACGCCGGCATGTGGGCGTTGGTTTGTGTGGATTCTGAGGGCAAAGCTGTGCCTGGAGGAAGCGTATTCAGCTTCGGACTGTGTGATGCACGTCGCTTGCGGGGATTCGACGGGTTAGGTGGAGGTTGAAGCAGGTCGGCATTGGGTTTGGGTGCCAGCGGCGCCTGAGGCGCTGGTACCTCTTTGTTAGTGTGAGAAGACGTGGTGGAAGCGAATTGTTTTTGCTTTTTGGCTGGAGGGGGTGACCTGGTGTGATGGGGAGGTCAGATTCGGACCGGTGAGGTCAAGACATAGAAATGAAGCCCGAAAGAGTAGCCGTCCAGGCTGGACCAGCAAGCAAAGCCCTTTAGTGCAATTTCTAATGTACCTCTCGGGACAAGAGAACTTACGACATGGTGACGGAAGTGTATCTGCTTAGTAGAGATGGAAGTCAGTCGAAGTTGCCGTCGGCATGATCGACTCTTGTTCTGGGCCAGGAATGTCCCTTGGAGTCTAGGCCAGCCACGCGAGGCACCCGCTGCTAGGAGAGGTAGGCAAGTGTATTTGGATCAAAGACAACAAATGTCACACAGCAGCGGAAACTGCTGGGATGCAGGAGCTAAGCTTGCACGGTGCTTTCAGACAGGCGCCAGCGTGGCTGAGACTGGGAATAGAGTGAATGAGCGGGAAGGTGTGACCACTGATCGGAGAGGAAGTGCAACAAGGCAAACGAAGGCCAATCAGGTCCAGCAAATCCAATGCAGGAGGGAGGAAGGAGGCGGCACAGTAGCGAAGAGGCGGTACGACAATAGTGCAGGTTTTGAGAAAAGAGTCCTCCTTTATCTGGTTTTCTGTTTTCTGGTTGTTTTTCTTTTTTTTCCTCTCTTCTCTCCTCTCCTCCTCGTCGTCTTCTTTAGATTAAACCTTTTCGGTTTTGCTCCAGTCTTGCTCGCACCAGGCCTGAGAAAAGTATCAAAGAAGGAGCAGACTAGATGGGTCGTCGATCATATGTACCTGTTTTCTCGGATTCCTGGTTCCTCCGCCACTAGAGGAGCGGTGACAGGAGTTGTCTAGACTTGGGAGCCTGGGGGAGGGATGGATGGATCAGAGATGTGCAAGCCACTGGTTAGAATAGCCGGAGGTAAAAGGGTGTCGTTCATGTACTCGGACAGGAAAACCGACCAGATGGAGGAAGCAGAAAGCAGGATTGACATGAGCTACACCAGAAGTACCAGCTCATTAGAGCGGAAGAGGTAAAGAGAGGGCGGGGAGGGGTTCTGCAAGGGAGGACCAGGGAGCTTGTAATGGATGGACCAGAAGAAAAGTAGACGAGTCACTTTTTTTTTTTTTTTTTCATTTTACGCTGTTGTTAGCTTTTTTTTGTCTCTCCTGGATCGAGTGGGCGTCTGTAGATACTCAATGTTGTCAACGGTCTCGTGAGGCGTTAGGAGGCATCAAATGGGGAGCGTCAAGGCACATGCCATGACCGTAGTGACAGCGCTTGGGAGACCGGGGTTGTTGGTGGTGGTGGTGGTGGTGGTGATGGTGGTGATAAAGAACGAGGTGGAGGTGGAGACACGAGGCTTGTTCGATATGCCGGAGGGATCAACGAGCGGAGGGAAACAAAAGGGAACGAAAAAAAGAGGGGTCCGGACTCCCTTGCGATTCAGAAGGGGGCGATACGGGGTAACAGGTTGCAGAGTGCAAACAAAGTAGGTCGCGATACCTAGCGACGGCATGTTGATGAGGCTGACTGGGTGAGTCCAGCTGCAGTGGGTCAGATGATGGAGTCAATTTTGTAGAGCTCGTGGTTCCTCCGTCACTACTGGTGCGCATGTGGTCCATTCCTAGTAGTGCCCAGCAGTGCCCAGCAGTTATTCGCAATCGGGAAGGACGGAGCAGTACGTCGAGGGGAGAGTTGGTGGCGGTAGCTGGGGAGGGGAGACTCGACGCGATCGATACCTGGTGACCATGTACTGCCGTGGGTGAAGATAGGTTTCGAAAGGAGGGGAAACAGGGAGACGAGGTACTTTGCGAGACCTAGGACCGAAGTAGCGAGGAATGAACACGCTGGCGAAAGACATGCTGAGAAGCACGGGGCGTGCATGACGAGGGAATCGCCGTTAGTACTCGGTATTGCGGGGTAGAGGCAGGACGAGCTGACCAAAAGTGAAGCCAAAAGTGACCAGAGGGAACCCAAGGGAGTCAAGAGAGCCAGAGGGATTGGATGGCAGTGGATCGCAGGTTACACAGAGTAGCCAACAACAGTTAGCGGCTGATGTATTGCAGCGCAAACAATGCAAGGCCTTTAAAATGGAGGGAGGAGGGCGGGCATGCAAGTGGCCGTTGAAGGGGAGCGGAAGCTGCAGGGAACAGGCTAACAGGATTAGTTGTCCGGACAGTCAGTACGGAAGTCCCAGAGGGAAGAGGCTATGAAGAGGGAAGTGAACAGCACAATGAAAAGGGAGAAAACGAAAGAGGGGAAAGTGGAAGAGAGAAAAGCCACATTGTCAAGGGTTGGAAATCAATTGATCAGTGATTGGCAGGAACTACATAGCTCACCCTGGTGGTCGCCGCCATCAACACCATCGAGATTCGACTGTGACACCCGCTCCTCCTCCAAGGCTGAAATTACCGCTACCACTGTCGGTACATGCACACATACCCAGGACTAGTAACTCGTGTACCAAGTACTCTGTGCTTGTCCTTACCTAGGTACGATCGACTAGTTCAATGCATATTAGGTAGTGCAGGATTTACAGGTGGTACGATGTTTGGAAAAAGAAACCCCCCCCCCTTTCGCCTTCGCCCACCAAAAAGGGCTTTTCGACTTACGCTCGGTCCATATTTCCGAGAGAAATTGTTATAAAACTGTTAGGACAGTGAAGGGGAACTGAGGCGGAAGTGAAATGAGCTGATGAGATAGACTTGTAGGGAGTACGAAGTACAAGTGAAAGAAAGGAATACAAAACAAACACCCACTCCAACTCTGATAAGCGACCATGACGGAAAAGGCCTTCCCTATGACGGCACCGACTGAAGCTCGGACCTCCGGACTGTCCAATCTCAAGACTGCGAAAAAGGAATCCAAATCCATCGCCCCTCAACAACAAGGCCTGAAAGGGCAGCTCTAGAAGTACTGGGTATCTGAAGAGTGAAACGTGGAGGTGGGTCGGAGTAAGTTGCTACCCTGTACTTGTTAGTCGGTTTAGTATGGACCAGCGAGCCAGACCAGTAACCTACTTATACTCGGGTACTGGGGGAGGTACCTCGTAATAGTAGTCCCGGTACTGGCACTTGTTACTGGCACTATTTACTTACTCTTGCTCCAGTGCTCTAGTCCCCCAGCGCCCTCGTGCCCTCGTGCCCTCGTGCCCCAGTGCCCCAGTGCCACTAGAGGGAAAAGGGCAAAAAAGCTGCGGTCGCGCCTGAGCGATCCGGATTTCTCTTGCGTCACTGCCAAACCCGCCCCCAGTCGCCAATTGTTGACGATTGTTTCTGCTGTTTCTTGCTGTCGGCGACTCCCGCATCACGTCAGACTCTAGATTCTCAATGGCTTTTACCATTTGCGAGTCTCCCCCATCTATCCACAAGCGCATACCTTGGTAGGCCAGTTCCTGCCCTGCCCGTTTAAAGATGGCTCGCTCCCGATCTAACAAGGCCACCAGCTAGCAAAATCCACCTGGATTTTGTCGCCCTCGCACCGAACTCGAACTTCGGAGATCTAGCCCATCGTCTAGGCAACTAGGCTATTTCAAGCCAATCTGCCGCACATCAAACTGCCTGCCTACAATCTCTCCAAGTGTTTACATTCATTCGTGCCCCCAAAAGACCTTTGATCGCCGCGTCAGTCGCCCATCCCTCTTCGACCAAGCTCTCATCCCCTTGAAGACCCTGAACGCTGCCACCCTTGAAAATTGTCCCACAATTCAGCAAGGCATCGAATCGAGAGAGACCGGTATAAGACAGGACGGTGTTCCTAAATCTGAGACCCTGTACCCCGTGGGCGAAGAATAATATCCCGCAGTGGTATGTATCGGCAGAGGCGTTCGACCATTCCCAGCTTGTTGGGACCTCGCTCCGAGCTAACACCCTGGTGTTTAGAGAAAAGGGACCGACCTGCTTTGGCAAGACCCATCGGCCCGAAGTTGACCACCTTGTCGTCACTTCGCCCAGCACGCTGAACCTCCATCGATGTGGAATCAGTAGGGGGGCCAAGCCGTTGGATTATGGGGTGGCGATGATCAACAATTCATCCAAAGACTGCTGTTGCGCCGAACCAACTCGGCCGCTGTTCAGTCTCAAGATGATACGCCCACGCCCCAACTGACTTCGATCTTCAACAAAGGTAATTCTCCCTCCTCCCTTGCGGCTGCTCATGGCATGGTAAAACACTTGAGCATACTCAACCATTTGAGCCCTGCCTCTGATGAAAGCTTCCCGATCACACCATTCGCCCAGAAACGAGTTCCGCCACGTCTCGGCTCGACACCGTATTTCAAGACTGCTCCAATGGCCAACTCCGGCAAGGTCGAGTTGAAGGTCTTCGTGGTAAAAATGCTTTAGCATGTCACAATCCAGCTGCCAAATTAGGTGTTTGATGTGCGACGCACATGGATGACCGTCGCTGATCCGGGTTGGCAACTTTCCCGCAAAGGCCTGGTTGATGACATGGAATACCGTGTTGGCATAGAGGACTGGCCGCGCCTCCAAGAGGATCGTTTTGTTGACTCTCAAGAGCTGGGACGACCTTGGCGAGTGGTTCCCGAACTTTGCGAGCTGGGGTAACAGAGCGCAACTATCATCCTCGCTTGTGGCCTGGATGACGGCCTTTCCACGGCCAAATACGAGACGGTAGATCTCGAGACGAATCTCCAATGGAAGGTCAAAAAGCCTTGGCGACGCCATCTGGCTGCTTGGCAACAAGATGTTGCGACTTCGATGTGGGCAACCAGCAAGGCGAGAAGACGTGCTTTTTCTGACGGTATATTTTGGCGACTATGGACAGGCCAACACAGGGTAAGAGACTTGAGGAAATCTTTCATATCTGGGAGGAGACGAGTTGCAGGATAATATTACCAGCCGAGCAGCCTACAACGTTGGTATTCAGGGGGGGCTTGGCCCACAATTGCATTCCGGACCGATTCGGCAGTGGTTAGATTAACCGGAAAATGGCGCCAATTTCGTAAGGCGAGTTCCTCAGCCTTATGTCGCCGGACAGTAAGTGGTCAGGTTCTGCGAGCCGAGAAGCGCAAAAAGAGGCTTGTCACTTCAGCTGACCAAAGCCGGACATTGCCTTGTTGCGACAATTGTGTCTTGACATCTGCTTCCAGCCCTCTCCCCGCGGCTGGGACATGTGCATATGGTTTCTTTCCGGCTGACTGCAAATAAATTCCAGCACCTCCGCGGCAGGGACCTTGAGACCGGACGGGGTTCACCGTGAGGCTCCGCTTGACTCATAATCAGCAAAGAAATTGAAGTCGTTATTCCGTATTATAGCCAGAGAAGGCAGGGAGCATTGGGACCGAAATGCGATCGGGCGAGAACGGGCCATTGAAGGCGCCAAGGAGAGCTGCCACCCGCGGAAAAGAATGCCACATGTTTGCCAATCACTTCTCATCAAATATAAAACCATCAGCCTAACGTTCCAACGTTCACATCATCATGGTCAGCCGCATTGTTGGCACCATTGGCACCTGACTTGACCGTACGTAATCATCTTCAACTCAGTCGGTATCCCCGGCAGCCACTGAGAGATTCTTTGATCAGTCTCCATTCAACATGCCCAAGAACATCATTTGAGCCCCCTGCATGGCCTCACTTCCCTTTATGGCTCATTTCACTATTCGGCCATATAAGTCGAGTCGAGTCATACAGAGAGTTCATTTTCCGAGCCACCTTGTTCGGATGCCAAGCTGGAGTGATTCTCGTCGTATTCTAGTTCAACTCTCAGTGGTATCTCTGGGCTGATTGCGTCCCTCTGCGTGGGTTCTGGGGGCGGACGGGATGGATCCGTTGCTGAGGGTTGTTCGGTCGAGCTTTCCATTGATACCACCGTCAGATTATCGGCCCTTTCTGATAGGGAACACTCATATGGTACCGGTGCAATGATGGAGGCTGTCAGCGTTGTTGTTGAGACAGCAATGCTCGTTGTCGTGACTGTGGTAGTGAGCACTTCTGTCAGTGGGGTCGTACACTGCAATGGCGGTACAGGGCTCTCTTTCTTGGATTCTCGTCTGCCTGTCAATGCAAACAATAATACCAAGAAGCTAAGGACGACAATCAGAAGGTTTCTGGTCTCTTTGGTGTGTTGCCTGCCAGGAGCAGCCATCTGGGCCTGCGTGTCTCGCTCGAAAGACCCTGAGCTAGGTGGTGGCTGCATAGGCTCTGATTCCAACACAGGCTGCTTTGCGAAGTTGATCGTGTAAATCTCACTTTCAAGGCGTCCGAACTCACCGTAGACTTCTCGTTCGCGAGAAGTTATGCTTTCAGGCTCTCGAATTGCTTCTCCGGGGTCTGGCGGGTTTGTCTCAACCTGCGAGTCGTCCACGAATGCAAGCTTTGCGTCGAGTTCCTGGCAGATCTCTTCTGGCAGGCAAACATTGATTTCCACGTCGACCTTCTCCATCTCTTGCCATGCTGCAGCCCATGCACCAGCCCGCATTAGGCCATTGGCAGCAAAAACTTTGACATCCCACCTGCGGTTCATCGCTTCTGGGCGTAAATGACTCCCACAGTCTGGACACTTGAGGTGAGCCGAACCATCAAGATCAGCCTCATCGTCGGTAAGGCTCCCACTCTCAAACCCGCTGTCTGCGCTACTGCCACCCGCGTTGAAGTAATGGTTGTGTTGAGTGCGAGGCTTCTCAAGGTCCAAGCTTTCCAAGAGTCGCTCTTCTAGAAGTCCATAATCATCCCTAGGGTGAGGGATCAGTACCCCTCTACTGTTGATCTCGACATCCGTCAGCCTGTCTCGCAAAGCGATCCAACGCTGCTTGTACTCCTCTGGCAAAAATTCGCTCAGAGCTGCATTTTCTTGAGACGAGGGTTGGAAGCGTTGATTGGGTGGCAACAATGTACAATGCAAGAGTATGAGAGGGAATTCCTTCTTGAGATTGGTGCCGCCTTTCAGGGGTGAGGTGTGGTGTGACCGGCTTGATCTTTTGGCCGGAGATGTCTGAATAGAAAATGAACTCCTCTGACTGTATGACGACATTTGTGAGCCGGTCCGTCTGTGGTGTCTTATAACACTGTGTGTGTCACTCATGGTTTCGTCTTTCATTTGCAGAGCTTTGACACTGCTGGCATGGCGAAAAGCGGAGTGGTATTCTCGGAGGTTTCTTGGGGACGTTGTAGCGGGGTGGGGGGCGGCTGCTTTTTCATAGGAATAGAAACCAAATGAGTCGCGTTTCGAAGGTGTACGAGAGCCACCATATTGTTCTCGGCTCGAAGGCAGGGACTGTGATATTGTTGTCGGAAAAGAGGAAATCGATGAGCATCCTGAGACGACGCGGTGGTCGGCGTCCACAATGCTGTCTTCATACCCGTGGTCCGGCTGCGAAAGGGCCTCTGACTCCGAGTTTGAGGTGCTTTCATCGTAGACTGCGCCAGAGAAATTGTAGTCGTGAGTTTGGGAGACGTTGGTCCGCGGTGGAGCAAGTGGAGAAGAAGACGAAGAAGATGGCTCCTGCTGCAGAGAAAGCGGAGAGGAGTGTTGGAAGGCGCATACTTCTGCTCCGTCGTGCACGGAAGATGGAATTGAAGATGAGCGCCTCGCCATCATACGACGACAATCAAGTTGAGTGATTGCATGTGCGCAGCGATGAGGCCTGTGCACAGCGCAAGCACTCCATTGTTTTTATTAAGCATGTTGCGCAGGGCAACGTGGTTATTATCGTCTGACGTCGGACTTTCCCATCCTGCTGCCCTCATTTGGCAGGAACCCCTTGAACCTCCTTGAACCTCCTTGAACCTCCTTGAATTCTCTGTGCGACTTTCGGTCAGACAGAAACAAATCGGTCATGCGCCAACCGCTTTCCCAGAGTCCAACTGGGCCGCTGCGCCTGACCCCTCGCCCCTTTCATCAATAAATGTACCTGAAGTTGGGGTTCTCGCGGTCCGTCAAATCGTCGAATGCGTGCACATAAGTCTCATCCTTAGCCTCTTGAATCCCGGCAGAGGCTAACTCATCCTTCTTTCGATTCTGCCGCTTGAGATGGAACCAAAGGAACACAATCACCAAAACAAGAAGAACATAGCAGCCAAGATGAGTGCTAAAGGCAATGAAATAACGCGGAGCATCGTAAGATAGGAACACTTGCGGACCTGGTGACGCAGAGTCAGCGATTCAATGTGGTCGTTGCCGGTGGCGGTGAAGTTGACATACCGACGGCATTCCCCGTGCACCAGGATACAAAATTCATTGTGACGACGATCGACTTCTTCGTTTGTCCTCCGACATTTCGGGAAATCATACTCATCGCCAGTGTCTGAGCAGCCCAGAACGAGAGCACGATATAGTAACTGATGAGGAGTCCCACCTTTGTTGCCGTGTCGGTGTTCTGTACGCTCATCAGAACAACGGTGCCGACGAAAGATCTACCATCCCGTCAGCCAGATACAGGGAAAATCGATGGGGAGGTCGCACGGTATGACAAAAATTCCCATCACCAGGCAATTCTGGCGGAACTTCTTGACGAGCCAGGTCGAAGTAAGCAAGATGACAATTATGACGGCGCCCAGGACCATCGCCAGTAATTGTGTCTGCAGGACGGTGAAGTCGAACCCTTGATGGAAGTAAGTATTTCCAGACCTGGCACGTGTGATTCCGTACTTACCTGTAATGATTATGTTCGCAAAAGCACCGAGGCCAGAAGTGGGCAGAGTGGTGCAGATCTGGATGAGGCAGTAGCAGTACGTCTGCGGATCCAGGAATGCCTCCTTGACCTGCTCTGGCCTGAACTTCTTGTTCTGCAGTCCTGTTTGGTTGCTCCTCACTCGTTCAACCATCAACTTCTTGTCCTCCTCTGAAAAGCACTTGGCTTTCATCGGAGAATCAGGCATCCACCAGCCCACAAAAAGCCCCCAAAGCACAGAGAAACATCCGTAAGTAATAAAAATTGCTTGCCACGATTTCAGAGGACCAGACTGAATTTGGGTGAAGCAATATGCAAGGAGACCACCCACAATTTGCTGACCTCCACTATTTTGTCGTTAACATTGAAAATGTCTATCTCGAAAGACAAGAAACCTCGAAGGCCTCTGCGACAACTGATAGGGGGTTTCCGGGAGACTTACTTCATCATGTACCAGTAGGTCACGGTTTCGGCCTGTTCTTCGCGCTTGTACCACATGCTACTGAGGATGAGAAAACTGGGTTGGCAGACAGCTTCGAAGATGCCGAGCAATGTCCTCAACGTGAGGATCGTGGCAAAGTTGTTCGCCGTAGAGTGGAGAGCAAGAATGGCCCCCCACAGACAAATGTTCAAAGCAAGATACTTTGCAATCGGCACCCTCTGAATCGTCCAGTTTGTGGGATACTCCACGATAAGGACGGCAATATAGATGCAGGTCGTGAGCCATGAGTACTGGAATCGGTGGTCAGTTCCTGCACTCTGAATTGGGGACGAGGTCCCACCTGTTGTGCATGGAGATTGAGGTCCTCTCGAATGCCCATGATCGATGCAAACGACATGGTTCCTTTGTCAAGAGCCTGAAGGAAGTAGGTCGGAACCATGACAGCAAGAATGCGCCTGTCAATCATCCGCCTCAGGCGCCTATTTTCTTTCTCTGAGATCTCGACGCGAGTTGCGTTCGCATACTTCGCGACGTCCTTGTCGATACGGTCATAATCGATGAAGTCCTTCTGCAGATCGCTGCCACCGGACACGACTCTCTCGATTTGAGAGATGTCCTGCTTCTCCAGCTCATCTTTCTGGGTGCCATCTGTGGAGGTAACGGTGTCGGCGACAATTTTGTCTGATCCGGGCATGGCTCTTTTAGAGGACTAGGTCTTCAGGGCAAATGACTCGATATTTCCGGCTTGATGGAAATATGGACCCTCGTTCTCAGAGGCTCCCAGATGTGGACCATATTCCTATTTGAAGTTGCTCTCCATGCTACTCGGGATAGAAGCGAACGAAACCCTCGGCGGAGGTTCCACCGAATACGACTGTGTTTTCCATTGATGAGAAAGAGATGCTCTGCGACCAAGTGAGTTGTTCGGTTGAACTCCTCCGGAATTTGCCTCAATGAGCTGCTGGTGGAGGTTCGGGGAAAGTCCGCATCAAGCTTCTCCACGTCTCGCTAGGTTGATCTGTGCCTTGTCGGGCACGAGAACCCCGGAAAAGAGGTACTTTCCTGTGCACCAAATCTTGGCTGCAGAAGCCACCATCATATTGTCGGACCATCTCGGTGCATTTGATGCCAGAGCAAAGAAAGACTCTTGAAAGGAAACAGCAGCGATAAAAGGGGGTAAAGAAGGATATTGGGGTCCTAGACAGGAGCAGAGCAGGGAGAAAACATGCCAACGCCTCTGACCATCGACGGACTAAGTGCCAAAGATCTCTCAGAAAAAATCGAATTGCTGATTCACAATCTCGTCAACATCAAGGATGAGACCGGTCATTTCCTTCTGAAACTGCCTGACGGACGGATTATTGACACCAAGGGATGGAGTGATTGGGAATGGACACATGGCGTCGCTCTGTACGGCCTGTACCAATATCATGCGCTGATCTCCTCACCACTGGCGCTGAAGACCATGCAAGACTGGTTTGCTGCAAGGTTAGCCGAGGGAACCACCAAGAACATCAACACCATGGCAAGTTTCTTGACTCTCGCATATCTGTACGAAGAGACCAGAGAACGAAGTTATCTACCCTGGCTGGACTCATGGGCTGAATGGGCAATGCATGATTTGCCTCGGACTACCTTTGGGGGGATGCAACATATCACGTACCTCGAAGAGAACCACAATCAACTTTGGGATGATACACTGATGATGACTGTCATGCCTTTGGCAAAAATCGGGAAACTGCTCAATCGGCCCTGCTACGTCGAAGAAGCAAAAAGACAATTCCTGCTACACATCCAGTACCTTTACGATCCTCAGACAGGGCTCTTCTTCCACGGTTGGCAATTTGTTGACAAAGTGCCTAGCACAGTAGGTCACAACTTTGCGCGAGCCAGGTGGGCTCGAGGGAATAGTTGGTTGACGATTGCTATTCCGGATTTCATCGAGGTCTTGGACCTTCCTCCGGACGACGGCCTAAGGTTGTACCTGGTCAGTGTCTTGCAGGCACAATGCAGAGCTCTGCGCACCTTGCAGACGGTTGATGGCATGTGGCGGACGTTGCTCGACGTGTCAGAGAAGGACGGTAGTTATCAGGAGGCATCCGCCACAGCGGGATTTGCTTATGGTCTTCTGAAATCCATACGGAAGCGATACATCTCAAAGGAATATATGGACGTCGCAATGAAGGCTGTCAGGGCTGTGATACAACGAATCGGCAATGATGGCGAACTGTTGGATGTGAGCTTCGGAACAGGGATGGGAAAGGATCTTAAGCATTATTTGGACATCGAACGGACCAGTATGCCGTATGGCCCAGCGATGGCAATGATGGCTCTGGTGGAATTTCTCAGGCTGTACCGATAGTAGAACAGCGCAGACCGAGACATGGATGGCGAGTACGAAGTACAAATACACCAAGACATATAGCCCAGCCATGTCTACAACTATTCGGTACAGGCATCGAACAGGCCCCGCTTTCCATCCTGGATCATAAGCACTAAGAGACCATGCGTAATTCGAGGACTGCTGAGATTCTAGATGGTGCATGTTCTCGTATAACATAAAATGTAGACGATGTCCATATCCTCTATCGCCATATTTGGAGCCTTCGTTCAGCCCACCGTTAATGCTCGAGATTTTGGTCTCTTTTGCTCGACGCATTTCAATAGGTGGCCATGACAATCGACATCAGTTCTATCCAGCACTATGCGCTGCTCGGTTTCTGGTGTTGGATATATGCTCTCTCGGCAGTAAGCCAGGTTCTGAACTACATATCTCAAGGATGGCTTGGAGGCGGGTGCTGATCTTTTCACTCCTCCAGCTTATCGTGTTCGTACTCCTGCGACTCATCTACAATGTTTCACCTTTTCACCCACTGGCCAAATACCCAGGGCCGCTGCTATGGAGAGCTTCCCGCCTTCCGGCTTCCTGGCACCAGGCATGTGGCGATCTGTACAAATGTATCGACGCCATACATGATGCCTATGGGCCGATAGTCCGCATCGCGCCCGATGAGCTTTCCTTCACAAACCCCGAAGCCTGGCCACAGATCTACAACACTCGACCTCAGCTGCAGAAAACTCGTTTCCACTTCCCGCCGGCTGATGAGCGCAAGATGCCCGAGAGCATGATCATGGCCAGCGACGCTGAGCACACCCGATTGCGGCGCCTCGCAAACCCTGCGTTCCTGAACTCGGGTGTCCTAGAAGTCGAGCCCGTGATGCAGCACTACGTCGACTTACTCTGCACGCAGCTAGCCCAGGTGTGCAAAGAAAAGGGCCCCCAAAACATGGTCGAATGGTTCCTGTGGACACTCAACGACGTGATCGGCCAACTGGCGCTGGATCAGGAGTTCGATTGCCTGAAGAACCGGCGCATGCATCCCTGGCCGAGTTTTCTCTTACAGGGCCTCAAAAATGCTACAATCTTTAACCAGTTTCGCCGTTTCGGTATCACCCAGGGGATGCTAATGCCGTTACTGACAAAGAAGCAGCTAGAAGAGAGGGACAATTTCTTCAACGCGGCAACCACGGCGATTGAACAGCGGCTTGATCGCGACGAGCAACAAAACACGGATGGTAATAAGGAGATCCAAGCGAAGAAGAGACCCGATATCGTGGGCTTGATGATGCGCGAGATGAAGGACGGCAACCGCCTTACTCACGAGGAGGTCACCGCGAATTCCGTGCTCATTGTTGGCGGAGGCGCCGAGACGACGAGCACATGCTTGAGTGCGACGTTCTATCACCTCTGCAAGACGCCGCGCGTTATGAAGAAGCTCCAACACGAGATTCGACGGAGCTTCGCGAGCAGTCGGGAGATCACCATCAGAGCAACCTCGAACCTACCCTACCTGAAGGCGACCGTTGACGAGTCGCTGAGGATCTTCCCCGTCGCTAGCTACATCACGCCCCGGACCACGCCGAAGGGAGGACATCTGATCGCCGGCGAAGTCGTTCCGGGAGGAGTAAGTGAAGTCATCGACCACCCGCTCATCGTCGCCCAACCTATCTTTTGCTCCATAAGCACCCGTCCGCTGACGATAAAACTTGTGTCCACAGACCTACGTCTCAATGGGCCAATGGCATATGGGTCGGTCGGGGCGATTCTTCGACAATCCCAGGGAGTTCCGGCCAGAGAGGTGGCTTGATGAAATGGGAGACAAGGGACCGTCCGGATTACAGGCCGATGAGATTCTCAAGCCATTCAGCCTGGGGCCTAGAAACTGTATTGGCAAACAGTAAGATTTCTTTGTCTGTCCTTTTGGCAGTCTGTGCTTTTACTGATGTTCGGCGAGGGTGGCTCTCACCGAAGCACGGCTCGTCATAGCCAAGTTGCTCTGGCATTTTGACATGGAGCTTGATGGAGATCACCCTACATGGGTCGAAGAGGCCAGGTTCTACGTGAGTGTCTCTTCCGTGGACGTCATGTTTCTGCTGATGTCTAGAACAGGTTCTATGGAAGCTTCAGCCGCTCATGATCAGATTGACGCCTGTCGAGTGATGACTGTGGTGTTGACGGCGAATTTGCGTTCAGAGCGGCGATCAGAGCGAAATGCACAGAGAATCTGTTCTTAGATTGCGACAATTTTCTCTATAGCTTGCCCCGTGAGAGCACCGAGCCGCCATCGGTTGTGATGACGGCACCGTTGATGTGGGAAGCTGCTCTGCTGCTCAAAAACACCACCAATCCAGCAATATCCTCAGGACGCCCAAGCCTCTTATTTGGTACTTCGGCAGCCAATGCGGCCTGCCCACCTTGCAGTTCCATCAGCCCCGACGCCATTTTGGTAGGGTAAAAGCCAGGGGCGATCGCGTTGGTGATGATTCCTCTCGGGCCTAGCTCGACGGCTAAGTTCTTCGCGAGATGAATGGCGGCCGCCTTCGATGCACTATATGCATATGTGGCATTTTCTCCAAGCGAGCCCACACCGATGCCGGCGACACTTGCAGTCACAATGACTCTGCTAGGGTTTTCTGTGCTCGCTCGCTTCTGTAATAGTGGCGCGAATTTCTGAACAGTGTAGAACACGCTCTTGACATTCAGATCCATGACCTTGCTGAAAGCGTTTTCGGGATGCGTTTCGAACGGGGCTCCCCACGTTGCACCGGCGTTTGCAAACAGGATATCGACGTGATCGGTCGTCTTTGCGACCTCGGCCGCCAGCCGTTCAATCTCTGAAATTTTGGAGGCGTCTGCGGGAACCGAAATGGCGACTGCGCCGGGTCGTTTGTTGGGAAGAGCATTGAGAGCGGCGACGGCTTCATCGCATGCTTTGGCCTTTCGGGAGGTAATGTAGACTTTGGAGCAGCCAGCTTGGAGGAATCTGTTGACCAAGGAATCAGTGCATGAGACATGGACGGCGAATACGTTGTCTAGCTTACCCGGAGGCAACGTTCAGGCCCAATCCTCGGGAACCGCCGGTCACGACAGCGACCTTGCCCTCGAGGCTGAATATGCTCTCGAAGTCTTTGAGCTCGACATCCTGTTCAGCACTACCCATCTTTGTCGGTGTCTGGCCGTCTGTCTGTCTGTCTCTTTCGGCCGAGAGTCTCACCCAGCAATCCGACTGTGTATAATGCAAGAATTCGGGGTATAATTGTCGTCGCAGACACTGTCTGGGGAAAGGTCCAGCAGATATACAATTGTCAATAGCCGAACTATTGACGAGATGCTGTCATCAAAACATCTATGATTACTCGGTAGAAGGTTCGCGATTCCGGTGGATCAAGCACCAGACGGATTGGATTGGGATCAACGCCGTTCAAACAGCCGAGGCTTGAACTTAAGCAGAGAGTTCGACGTTACAGTACAATGGGAGGTGCAGATAATGATAGGGCCAATTGAACAACCCACCGGTCAAAATCTAGCTAGCAAGCCGGGAGAAATGGTCGTAGTAACCATAGCAGTAGAAAGACGTTATCTATTGAGTATCTGTCCATGTACCGAGTATCTGAGAAAGAAGATGCGGAAGAGTTGCAGGGAGCAAGAGGGAGTCGACTTACTGCAGGAAAACGAGGTGCCTCCAGGCAGCTCCATGCTAGTCCTGGAATAGACTAGTGTTGATGTCATGTGACACCGCCGTCAACTGCTCTGCCTCGGTGTACCGAGCTCGCCAAGACCGAGTACATGTACTGGGTACGCTCCTCGCTCCCTTCGACCTTGGTCCTCACAGAAGAAAAGGGCGAATCTCTGGTGGGCCTCGTGCCTGACAAGGACCTAGACATCCAGCCGCCATATCCAATCTATGGACGTATGTATGTATACACATATACAACACATATCTGATGCTATTCGCCATCGTCCATCATAGCCTGCTCAATGGGTCTCAGAGGAAGGGTGCCGCGTTTCCGTTCACACCGCACTATCGTCTTACCATTGTGACTTTGACCCCTGCGCACCTGAAGACGTCTGACAGTGGACGTGGGCCCTTATCTAATGGACGAGTACATAAGACCAGTAAGGAGCACCAATCTAGAATGGGCTGGTGGGTTTCGACCATTGTTCTCGGGGCTACGGCCACTTTTTTGGGCCGCGTCGTCTTATAACATCCTGCTAATGGGGTCCCAAGTCCGCCGGTGATGTTGCTCTACAGCCAACTACGATGCCTGTTTTTGTGCTTCTTCCGAGTCAAGAGCCGCGTTAACTGCTCAGCTTATATAAATCCGTGGACAGATCCATCATCGCCAATCTCGGCTCGATATATACCAGCTTAAGGAACCCTTCTGTCAGCAGAAAATTCCATTTCTCAAAAATTGCACTGAATTAAAAGAACTGACCGCAACATTGCCAACAATGGCCAACGATGGAAATACTATCCCCCCAGAGACAGACTCCGAGCTTGCTGCGGTGCGTACGGCTGTCAACGAGACAAATATCGACGTCCCCCTAACAATGTCCTTATGTTAGATATGGAGGGAAAAGGGGATGCCAAAATTTTTCCTGCCTCGAATTGACAAGATGCCTGCAACGCGTCGGATCCACGCTCAAGGCAACGTTCGATTTATGAAGAGCCCTTTCGTCAAAGAGACGCTGGGTAGCCAAGTCCTCTGGACGGAAGATGACAGGTCGGTGGCCGTTCGTGATGGACATTCGGTCACGGTTCGGATCTATCGCCCCAAGTCACATTCTGGGACCCGGCCCGTCATGGTGTATGCGCACAGCGGGGGATGGTGCATGGGCGGACTGGACACTGAGGAGTTCCTCTGTCAGCTGCTGTGTATGAGGTTGGGCATTATTATCGTCAGTGTTGCATATCGCCTCGCCCCGGAATGGCCATATCCTACTGGCGTCTACGATACTTACGATGTCATTAAATGGGTGCGTGGCCCATCCATCGCCCCTTGCTTGGACTGAACAGTGATAGGTATCGGTCAACTCAAAGACCATTGGTGGGGACCTGTCCAAGGGCTTCCTCACCGGCGGCGCGTCGGGAGGCGGGAATTTGACCTGCATGGCTACCATCCTTGCAAGAGACGACAAGTTACAGCCTCCTCTGACAGGGCACTTCTTCATGTGTACCGGCATGCCACATAGCTATATTGACAGGAAAGGGAACAACAAGGTCCTCTTCCCAGAACACTTGTCAAATGGAAGTTGGGAAAGATATAGGAACGGCCCGGTCGCGACTCGGGAGATGAACATCCTCTATGGCCGTAAGCACAGCCCCTCATATTTTGTTCCATGGCCGGAAAGGCAAAAAAAAAGCTCACGGCTAGGATACAGAAATATCTGATTTCGACGCTTGCGATCCCTTTGTTACTCCATTGACCCAGACGGACTTCGCCGGGCTAGGCCCGGTGTTCTACCAGGTCGCCGAGATGGATATCTGGAAAGACAGCGCGATTTTCTACTGCAACAGGATCAAAGAGGCAGGCGGCCAAGCAAAGGTGGAAATATACCCTGGCGTACCGCACCTCTGGTGGTCCATGTACCCGCAACTGTCGATTAATAGAAAGTGGGTTCACAATCTGGTCAACGGTGTCGAGTGGTTGCTGAACCAGACACGGGACACCCCTATCTCCTCCAGACTTTGAAAGTCGATGTTTACCGCTGTTCAGGCAACGTCGGCCCATAACACCCTGGTTCATGGACCCTGGGACCCTGGTGCACCGGAATGTGCAAGTTGTTTGCTCCCGCCCCCGAGGCTGGAGGACAATCTCAGCCATTAGGGAACTCGGCGGACAAACGCTGATATGACCATTGACCGAATGTCGTTTCCCCCTCCACCTCATTCCAGACTCACCATCGAACTTGTGGAGACTATTCACGACGGAGATGACCATTTGAAATGTGCCGTCAATATGGCTTCGAATGTCGATATCAGAGCTCATGTGACTTCTTCTCCCTCTCCTGGTCGAGGTCTGGCAATTGTTTGCTTCCTGTTGACATTGGGTACCAGCGTCCTGTACTGTGTCACCGTAGAGTCCCTGTCCCACGAGACTTCGGCTTTCCCACATCAAGCGCCTTACGGAGGGAAAAAGAAACTTATTATTGACAATACATTTACCGGACGCCTTGTACTCTTCCGAAGGCCCCCCTAGCTTTCCCTTCATCTCTCTCTGTTTCATCTTCGGCTCCTTGGCTGACATGTACTAATATATCTATCTATAAAAACTCAGGTTTGTACATCGTTCACCTCGCTCACACTCCTCCTTGACCTTCCGCCTTTACACATTACTTTTTGACTTGCGAGGCCATCTCGAGTCGCATCCATCCATCATCAACTCCGTCTCACCTTCTCGCCTCAATACTGCTTACCCATTCCGTTGAGATCGCTTTTACCTCACACCAAGCACAATGGCCACCCAACGCTTTACGATCCTCGTCCTTCTCGCCTTCTACACATTCACTTCCTCAGTCCAGGCTCAAATTGCCGTCACCACGACTTCCACCTTTTCTAGGTCGACAACGCTGCCAACTCCATCCACAACCACTGAGGTATACACACCATTTGCAGTCTGCGCCACAGGGGGCGGCGACTGGTACATCGACCCTCCAACGGCGACCCAGCTGGCGGATCTGTTCTGTGATGAAGTTTACAAGCCGGGGAATCTGCCCGCGCAAGGTACACTATCCCGAGCCATGCCCCTTTACCACCTTGACCTTAGCATTCATTCTCTTCGGTCTTGGCATCCTTGACTTCCCCTGTTCTGATTTAGAGGCTCATCTGTCTTCTTGCGCCATGATTTTACTCCATTTTCGTTTTGTCTTTTTATTCTCCGGCTCATCTCTACTCTCAATGATGTAGGCCATGAATTCGACGCCAACGAGTATCCTACGGACCTCATCCCGGTCACGGTCAAGGACACCGACGTCCAGGGAACACACACACCATCCAGCAACGCCAGTCTAACCACCGCGTCCGCGGCAACGACGCCAAACTACACTCTTACCGAACTCTCAGGGGTCATACTCGCGGCTCGCCTCGCGCGTTGGCACCCCAAAGTCATCGATAATGTGACGTATGTGTCCGGCACTCCGGCGCAGTGCGACCTGGACGTCCAGCAGGACCAGTGCCGCGCCGGTCTCCGCCATGTCATCGACAAGTGCCAGTGGAACAGCCACTACTTTGGCGGTGTCAATTTCTGGCTGACCGGCTGTGGAATGTACAGCGTGCAAATTGCCAACTGTTCGGGCAATTGGCTCGATCCAAACTGCGATCTGTGGCACAAGAAGTGGCCCGATGTGGGTAGCGGGCCCGGCGAGTCGTTTCTACCCACGCCCACGCCCTCGCCCACAACGACAGCCGCAATGGCGACGGCGTGGAGGGCGTGAAGATGGACAGGGAGCGGTTTAGTGGTGTGGAAATGGACGTGGATGGGCGGATGGCCTTTTCATATTAAGAGCAGACCAGAGCAAAGCTGCAGAGAGGATGCGAGGTCAGTTTGTCTATCGCCGGGCGGATCAATATCACCAACACATGGCGCGCACACACACACACACACACACAATTGAGCTCGATTTCTGTTCAGATCAAGAAAACGCCTACACAGCAACCCGGCAAGAGAGCCTACTCTACTGTCCCTGCTACAAGAAAGTCCGGTGGCGTCTTGGCGACGAAACGAGACCAGAAACAGGGAAACCATCGGCAAAGGGGCCTCCTGTTTTTTTTTAAATGAAAGGGACACCTGTCTCTTTTCTGGACAAGACTTGGCTTCGAGGGAAAGGGTGGAACTTGCTTTCAGCTGTGGCCGGGGACATAACGGGTGCAGCAGCAGCAGCTGCAACATTAGACACTGACGGCGAATGAATGGAGCAGAAGGAAGGTCGGAGGCGCGATCTGCTCTGCTTTGCGCACGCTCAGACACGTTTGATGTGCTGTGGACATGCTTGAATAAAAGCCCCATTCAATGCTTTACGTAAAGACAGAATGACGAGTGAAGCGACGACTTCGAATAGATGCGCAATCGGATTCACGTATTTTGGTGTATCGATGGGGGATAGATGAGATGGTGAGTAAAACATGGGTCATAAAAGAACGTGGGATCAATCCCGGTTCAACATACTCCTCCAGCCGCCCACGCGATTCCCCTTCCTCTGTTGCAGTGATGCTGAACATACTGCCACTGCCCCAGACGTATAATGTCCACAGGCGTTAAAGCCATCGTGTCATCATCATCGTCTCTTTCCCCATCCTGTAGTCGTCAATCACACACCAGTATGCACCGCTAATATTTCAGGGCACTTGGCACCCATCCCGAGTCTTTTTTGTTGAGGGCCATTGTCTGTGTCACCTCAATTCGCCACTCCTCGCCGCTCTCTGGCTGGACGCCCCGGGGTGATGGATCCAAAGGTCTACACGCTGAACTCCAGCCTATTCCCAGCATAGTCTCTCGCGAAGAAGCGTTGCGGATATTCCACGCCTTGGGCTCCTTTGGCGGCGATCAGCAGCATTAGTCCAAATCATTCCGGAACACCACAGGCATCACCAGATACAAGCATCACAAGAGTAGTAATTGAGTAAGACGTACCAGAGTTGACCTCTCCGGGCTTATCCGCTTCGGTCGGCGCTGCCTCGCCTCCTCTGATGAAATGCTCCCAGATCCTCTGCCTCAATTGCAAAAGCGCCTCCGGGGACGCCAACTTAAAGCACGGGTGCCTCGATGAGAGCTTCTGAAAATCCGAGGGCGCGCCAAAGGCGATGTGCACCTGCTGGCCGGACGAGCCAATGTCGAACCACGCCAAAGTGGCCTTTTGCAAGTGTGGGACCGCGCGGGGCGTGAGACCCATGGTTGTCCCGTAGAACTCGTTGGCTTGGTTGAGCGTACCGACCGGAACAGTGAGGTTCACGTGGGCGATGCCCGAGATTAGCGACGACGAGTCGAGGGATCCCATGCTTGATGGCTTCACGGGGGGTGGGATGTTTTGAAGAGACGAGGGCGATGGTATTGAGGATGGCCGCTCTAGTTTATTGTCTCTGTTCTTTTCCTTCTTTCCTTGTGGCTCGCGCTCGCTTCCCAATTTGATGTGTTGAGGAAGGTACCCAGTACATGGCCTGACGATAGATTTTGAAGACGGTAAAAGACGCCGAAGGAGAGGGGCAGCTGTCGGGCTCTGGGCCGGCTGCACCCACGACGAGTGAGATTTTGTCTGACGGGAATGTCTCTAGGTCAGGGCACAGTCAGGTCCTGCCTTGAGCAGGCACAAGCTGCACGAGATTTGACGAGATGCATGTTCTCTCCATCTGGTGCGAAAAAAAAAAAAAAATTGAGATTTGTCAGACCGCGGAATTCTGTCCTCATCGGGCCGCAAGTCAAACACCGACGGATGCATTGATTTGGCGAAGGTCTCCGATCAATACCACCAACTCCCAACTGCAAGACCTTCGTGGGAAGAGGGGATGGGGGGCGGGAAATGCCCAGAGACTCGAGAACTGCTGCTCAAGTATGGCTGGAGCACTTCGGGCCTGAATTGGGAGTTTTGCTTTGTCACGGGAGTTCAGAGTCTTAAAACAGCTCAATTTACGAGACAACAAAGTCAGTCGACAAGGTGAGTTCTTGCCTTCTCATCACCCGCTCGGAAGCTTCTCATTTTGGCCCCGTCGACCATCGCGGTGATCTGCTTTCTCAAGCTCATCCCAAGCTCATCCCCATCTCCAGTCCTACCGTATGACGCTACGGTAGAGCAGAGTCCTCGAAGTTTCAGAGCACCAATCCTGAGCACCTCTGGAGAATGTTTTGCGCCAATCGCGTTGATATAGGAGGCGATGGTACGAGTCTGCGGACCTAGATGGGACGCAAGAGGACGAGGAGATCCTGGAAGTTCCGCACCACGAGTCTACTCAACTCAATGGCAGTGAATACACTTACGAGCAAGGTCGTGGCCTATTTTCAATCTCATTCGGACTGGCATACTTTATCACGATCCGAACACAGTGGCTTTTTCCCCTCCACGGCCATTTAAGAGGACACTTTTCAGTGCTTCCCCTTCAACCACCATGGATAACAAGGTCACGGAGATCGTCATGGTCTTTCTGGCACGATTTTTATCGCATACCCAAATATCCTGAAAACCCACAGCCTCTACGACTGTGGACAATCTAGGGGCAAGAACTTCTCGCAGCAATCGGAAGTCCCGTTCAGCGATACCCAGAATGGGCACCATCACTCCGGGCAAAAGTGACGGGAGCGACACCGTATTGTGAGTGACAGAACATGAGTCCACGGCCGAAGGAGCAAATCGACCTTATTTTCTTATAGGTAAGTTCGAAAGGGATGTCATTCGCGCCCTGACCGCTCCCTCTTGCGGCTTTTCGGCAGATACAATGCCAATTATGGGTTGATTGGTACCTCATTTGGTCTCTCCGGTTCCGCCTGACGATGCGAGAATTTCCTGGCAGCTGTGGAGTAAATGAAGAAGCCGGAATGGCGGCATTGCCATCTCCATGGTCGTGGTTCAGCATCCTCATTGGCAGAGTCTGCTTTCCATTGAACTGAGACATCCTGTCGATTCGCCAGCGGCCTGAGATTTAGCAGTGAACATGACTTTCGGTGGCTATCTGTCGAAGAATGGCGACATAACTCATGTCAGGAAGTTTGTGCAGTCAATACGATTGGAGTTTGGGACTTTTGACAACCAATCTTCCACGGTTAACTGGTATGTAGAACACCCCAGACTTCACCCCGAGATAGGTACGGACTACTTACATGTTGAGCACCATTTGCGCTCGACACAAAGAGTCTTTGCCAAAGCAAAGGCGCTCAGACCTTTCCTGGTCTAGCTTGTGTCAAACAGGATTCCTCGCGAGCAAAGCACTGCTCCTCCTCCAAGCCGCACCACCATTTTGCGGGGTATTGGGCATTGAACGCTAGAACAAAGCATTCTGAAAGTTGGATAGAGGGTGCCAGCTTTTCAAAGCGGCAAAGCTGTATGCAAATTACCAACAGGACGTTGGATGTGAATAGAAAACTTCAAGCAACAAATGAGGATTACTTGTAACTGGGCAGATGATCTTCATCTTCCCGGTCAAACCCGCAAATTGCAAAGATTATGGATTTACAAGACCACCAGCGCATCACCAATGGGGCGTGGTCCCCTCAGAATCCATAAAATAAAGTATATGCTAGGGAATGCGTTGCTTCAACTCAGGGAAGGGGAGCCCGTTGTTGTTGCACAATCCCGTTGGAGATGAGAGAAGCCACAAGATGTTGCCGCACGGGAGCAACCTCGATTCCTGAGCGTGAAGATCTTCTCATTAAAGCCTCTAAGACGTGGCAGGACGTGGTCTGCTCTGACTATTGGGGGTCAACCAGAAGTGAGGCTCGGTGGCCTGGTGAAACACTGCGGATACCCAGCACTTACCGAGTACTTAGTTAGAGGGCGATCCTTTGACCGAAACAGCCATCCGCTGGTGCTGCCCCCCCCCGTGATGGATGACGTCGTTGTGCTCTCCGCCAGGCTTGTCATTTTTCGCCTCCTGCAACAGAAATTCCTCATGACGAAGAATATCTTTGATCCTCGCGGTTTGGGGCAAGCTTAGCAAAACAGGTTGTGTGATGCCCTTCTGTTTATCAACCCTGGTTGGTCTACAACATGGCGACCGACACCCATTCTTGGACAACCACACGAGACCCTGAGGAGGAACCCTTCTTATATACTTCGTATCTGGTCGACGCAGGGTCTCCACGGCTCGGAGTAAATGCGGACCCTGCATAGGGGTCTGGTGTTGACAGAAAGGACACGGACAGTGGGACAAGGGCTTACAGTATCTTGCTTCCAGGATTACGGGCCGCGAAAAGATATCGGGGTCGTTAGCGCTCGCTTTCTCCCTTGCAACGATGTCCGTTGCCGTCGCCCAAGCCGCAGGGCGTGTTCATTCTAATCATCTCAGAAGGCTTACCTATGAACACTCTCGAAGAACAGTTGGTGGGCTGACACCACGTAAGTCTTTGGGATAATTAGGCTCTGTCCCTCCATTTGTTATAGTGTGCTTGCAGGACAGGCTTCAGGCGACTCTCAGGCAGCGCTAGAGGGTCGAGTAGCAGGCCCGGTCAGCCTACCTACCTCAGATGACACCAATGATTCTTGAAAAGATTCGAATCTCCAGCGGTTATTCAACCGGCGAGCAAACTAAGAGCGTCGATCTTTCTCGTATGCTAGTATGTCACCATCCCACAACTCAACCCCACTCGGTGACTCGCCGGAAGTCTGAGATGTGACTCGACGAGGGATTGAAAGAGGCAGATTGTTTTGAGGTCAACTCGATTCTCACTGAGGGATTAGTTGGAGGAGGTCGGGGCAGGTGTTGGTATGAGTTTGGCGGCCGAGGAGGGCTTTCTGAGCCAACTCGGTGGGCACCCACTTACGCCGCATACGGGCCGCCTTGCGGCACCAGAAGGATTGTGTTCGAGAGAATTCTGTGCGATAAGCCTGCTGGGCTCCTTGGAATTGGAATAAAGTAAGTGAAACTTGAATGTCGGCATGACTCTCGACTTCGGTTAGGAGATAATGATGTCCATCGGGACGAGGGAGTGAGTGATCAACGACGTCAAGCCGCAGGAGTATTTGCAGGCCACTGTGGCCGCTAAGCATGCTAGTTAAACCTTAGGTGGTATAGCGGCCCGTCTTTAACCCTTTAACCAGCTTTAACAATCATATAAGAGGCTCCCCCTTGCACAAGCGGCTCCTTAGGCTCGCCTTCCGTCCCATTCCTCTTGGCCGCTCCCCATCTTTCGCTTGCCTTAGACGGTGCCATTCCCGGCTACCCGTTCGTCAATTTTCGTGCATGCCGCTCCTCCCCCTCAAGCCCCTAAGGGTCTTCTCCTTGTTGCCCGGCTTTGGCTTTGGGGGGACATCAGCACTGGTCACTGGTGCCCGTCACTTGCCCGTTAACCTGCCCGTTGCCTGCGGCCTCTCACCACGTTGCTTTCTCTGGACAAACAGCCTTGCGCCATTCCATTCCCACGCGCAAGGATGCCATCATCATCATCATCATCATCATCATCATCATCATCATCATCATCATCATCATCATCATCACCACCACCATCATTTATTTGCCTTCTGCCCTCAACTGTGACCCTTTGCACGCCACCACCTCGTGGCCGCCATCGTTTTCTCCTCTCTTGACGCTTGTTGTAACATCGCCCCCGAACTACCCCTAAGGAATGGAGTCTTGATATAGAAAGGACACTGCTGCTCCTGCCACTGAGAAGGAGCGACTGAAACACGCGCGACTCCGACCCTCGCCCTCTCTGTGAAACTCCTCCACTGAACAAAAGAAAATCCAAGCATCCAGCGTGTCATCCAATCCCAAACAGCCCACTCGAAGGCTGGCGAGTTGGCAATCTCTGACTCTTAGGAGGCAACGCCGTTGTTGATCAATCCGCCATGGTCCACCGAAGGCTCGGCTTGACGACGTAACTTGCCCAAGCAATCCGTGGGACAGGTTACCCAGATCCACAAAACTCAGAGCTCCTCACCACTCAGCCGCGTTGCTCCAACGAGGAGATTCTTGTCCGGCTGAAGACTGACCGCAGCTCTGTACCCAGGACAACCAAGCACCACAAGGACACCTCAGGCCTTTCGAGTTTGACTTTTCAAGTTCCGCTTTTGGGCGACAGGGAGCCCATTTGCTTCTCTAGCAGTTGACTTTTGCCCTCTGACGATCATCTTATCCACCATCCAACCATCCAACCATCTACGACAATCACCCTCCGCCAGTCTACTTCCGCTTCGCTCACTCCACCGACCCTGGTTGCGACCCCATAACCCTCCCATCGTCCCTCCCTCTGCGTAAAACCGTGCCCTCCCTAACCCCCAAGGGCCCAAATCCATCGTCAACCCACTCCAAGCCCAGCCTCGGCGCCTTCCTGCTGCCCCAAATTCGTCCGTACAGCCTTCCCTTCCCGCCAAACCACGGCATCTCTGGCTCGTACCACCTGAGCAGGTGCAAACGCTTCGGATGCTCCGAACACCTTAGGACTGGCGCTGGACTTAGGTCAGTGCGCTCGTCTTGGATCGCGCATGAGGCCAATGCGTCATTCGGCCACTCCAGAACGTTGGTCAAGCAAGATTGGGAAAACAACCGACACAATTAGAGCGTCGGCAACAAATAATTCAAGACTGGCCAACACCAGATGCACAGCTCCCCATCATCGCCCACGGCTACGGCAACATTCCCTCAACCAGTCTCTATGACTGGGCACGAACCAGCAGACATAACACACCGCCCGTCTGTATCCCCTCCGATATCAAGTGGTGCCTCCTCCTCCTCGGAGTCGGACTTCCCTCCACCTACCTCCCCTCGGCCAGCGTCGCGACGAACGCGGATGGAAAGACCTCGACTGGGAGACAGACAGAGATCCAACACCATTATTGTGCCCAAGGGTCGAGACGTCGTCCAACGAGAAAGGCCCGAATACCCCCCGGATGACGCCCGAGCCATGAGTCCCCGACGCAACAGTGAGGACATTGAGAGGATAGAGCGTGGTCTTCGTGAGACGTTGAAAGAGTAGGAGACATCGCTCCCATGAAGCGCTTCCCGTACTAACTAAACTCGGTAGACAAGCGCGAAACCTACAATCTTCACTCGCCGCACTGGCGGAAAAGATCGATGAGGTCAAGAATGATCACAACAAGCTCGAGACCGAGAATCGCTTCCTGCAGGATTACATCGGCGGCTTGACAAGAACAATGTCGAGAGACAATCTCGGCCGAAGTGCAAGCACTAGCAGCAAGAAGAAGGGCAAACGATGAAGAACGACCTTGACGACACTCCCATACCTGTTTATTTCCCCTTGACCTTGTTGGGCAGCGATCCATGTCTGGTCTTTTCCATTACAAGCATGGCGATCGGATGAAAAAAAGAAAAGAACAACGGAAGAACTGCTAGGTCTCGTCGTTCTCAGTATACGCACGAGACGTGGAGAGACTTACGGGTGGACGAGTTCTTGTTTTGCCAATCAGTCCACATGTTCTTTTATGATACCCACGCCCAATTTAACAGGCTGGCTATGCACCAGACGCAGAAAGAGTAGATTTGATTATTATCATCACTATCATCATCATCATCATCAACCGCAGCAGCAGGGGGAAGACCAGGGGCAAATTTATTTTCTCGACCCCATGTGGTCATTAGCAGGTGCCTTCGCCATTCTTGTACAACACCTTCTACTGGCCAGGCTTTACGGCGTTCATTGGCGCAAGGCTTTGTGGAGTGCACTCGTTTATCCTATCGATGCTGGTGGGAAATGTGCAGGTGCAGGTAATTGGACTGGAGCAGTCTAGGCGACTCAAATGACGGGCGTTGTCAGCGAAATGTGAACGGACGGGATGTCGGCGGCATGATGCTGCGTCCTGGTGGAGGAAGAGGTCACGGTTCAGCCGTGACCAATTTCGAGTGCAGAATGAATCAATTGCACTCTTTTCTGCTTTGTTTCTGCCTCGATCGTCTTTGGCTCTAGAGTTGGCGGCTTCAGAACTTGATTTCTGCCCTCAATTTTGTCTCACAAGCTCCAAGTGTCGCACGTTGGCCTGGTAGATGCAACAACAGCGAGGAGCCTGTGCCAACGCATACCCTCTCTCTTCTGGCCTTTTTATCAGACCATACTACGACAAGTTCATCGTATGATTGTTCTTGCTATCCCGGTTCCCTCCCTCTCCCACCGTTCGTCGAGACGCATTGATGTCGTACAGTGCCAGGGCTCCATGCTATTTCCATTCTCCCTCGAGCGCCACCCACATGAGTGCTGTGACTCTCGGCAGCCCTTTGTATAACCCGTATCGGGTGGAGACAAGCATACGGTCTTGCGTCGCTCAGAATGGTAATTTCATGCGCCTAGATCGGTTTCAAGGTCGGCGACTAGGTTCGTTGGCAACGTCGAGTCCGTGCAGTGCACGAAAGCCAGACCATCAAGGTCTTCTTTGTTCGACTGTGCCAAGTGAACAATTGATTACCGGTAATGCTATGCAGCTCACCCCGCGGGAGAATTCAACAGTCTGCGTCCCTCCTCGTCGCTCGGAAATAGAAACGGGCCGTGTGCTGAAGCGAGGCATCTCCTGGTCCGCTACCTTTCCTCCCTTTCGTCATGCGGGCCACCTTGCACTCCAAGGGCAGCACGCTCGGGCATGACTTGACTGTTCGGGCATGGAAATGCAGATGGAATACAGCATGCTGGAATGTAAACAAGGGTATTCCGACCTCGTGCCTGCCGTCGGAAAGGTTGGCTGGAGTTCGTGAGATTGACTTTCTAGCAGTTGGTCAGGGTGCCGAACAGGCGGTGTCTGAGGTTGAAAGACAGCAGAGAGAACCTGCGGTAAGTGATCAGTCAAGCATCGGGCGGGCACAGCCTCTTGCTTTGCTGGGTATCATGTTCATTATGTCCTTGTACCGAGTAGACCAATTTCCACATTTTCAAACAGCACAAGCCCCGGGCTAGGTCTGGACAGTCCGCTTCCCGAAATAGTTTGTCGCCGGTGCAAAAGCCTCGCTTGATGCCGTTCAAGAAGACGACATAAAACAAAGTACGCTTGAAATCCATGTGCCAGAGGCCACCAGACATCGGTCGAGCGATGGTAGCTTCATTTGAGGTGCTTGCTTCTGATTTGGTTCAGTGTTAGAGTGCGAAGAATACCTCGACGTTTGAGAAGATCAATGACAGTCCGTTCGGATTAGGGTAGTGCTCGCTAGTGGTAACACAAGACCAAGGGGCCTTCACATCAAAGGGGGCGTATAGACTGGGTTAAGAAGACGCCAGCGCCCTCTAGCATATTGCGCTTGAATTCTTGCACCGTCATGTGGAGGAGGACCTAAATGTGTGTGTTGGGTGAACTGAAGACATTCAATGGGGAGCGAGCCCTGCCATAAGGAAATAACGGCCACACCTACACCAAAAAACAACATTTGCAGAGAGGCGAGTCCCACTGATTCTAAAATAGACTGTTAGTCGTCATCGGCTTTGAATCTTGATAGACAAAATTCGTCCCCCACATTCACTTGATCTCGCCTTACCATCCATCACCTAAGACAAGTCCATCGTGTACAATCAAACTGCTATCTGGCCCCCCTCGAGATGCATACTCCTGACCCTGTGGCTGCAGCTTGCCACTCACCGCATCCCAGAGCCAAACATCTCGGAAATCGGCCCGCCCACGGTCATAATGGCGGCATCACAGGGTCCAAAGAAGTGACTTTGGAAGCGGGACGCGTATGTTGAGTGGAACATGTGTGAGACCTCGACCAAATATTCCCCTTCTGGGACATTTGCTAACAGAGGGCGAGGGAGATAGCCTTTGTCAACCCTTGGGCGGGTTGTCCAATGCGAACACCGTCTCCACCATCAAAGAGCTGAAGATCGGCTCGTAAGAGACCAACCGAATGAAGCTAATTTTGCGCGACGCCTATTACTCACCCTCCCTCTTCCATTCCGCCCTACACCATGGTACGAAGCTTTGATCTGGATCGACAGCACGTGGAACATCGAACGACACGTCGTGATGATGAGGCTGAGAATGACTGATTTACTGCCAAAAGAGAAGAGGCCTAGGGCAGACCGCCTATCTCGAGCGGAATGGAGTCTCGAGATACCAGGCAGGTCGTGATCTTTTAGCAGCATATGTAAGAACGACTTGGTTGTTCCGTCGGAATTCCCAAGAAGAGAGAAAGCTTATCATCCCCGTATCCGGCGCGCAACTGTCACATACTTCCCCCCTTTGAACTCCGTCAGCCTTGCAGTTGAGTATCGGCGTGGACCGGGACACCAAACCAGGGATTCACAATGGCTACACCAAAACTAGCTCGAATTGGAGGCAGCAAGGTTCGCAGCGGTTGTGTGACATGCAAGTACGTCAGGCCATCGGGGAATTGGCACGGGGGCCGGCTGGATACTGACGATTGTTCGAAAGGCAGAGACACATAAAGTGCGACGAGGGGCGACCACACTGCCAGAGGTGCATTCGAAGCAAACGAGAATGCAAAGGTTATGTCGACCCGGTCCAAAGCAAAAAGCCGGCCAGAGAGGGACAGGCGTTCGTCGTCTACGTCCCGGATCCCCCTTACTCGATCACCTCTCTTCCAAACATGGATTGGAGGGAAAAGCGGTCTTTCAATTTCTTTCAGAACCGAACAGCTGGTGAATTGGCAGGATACTTCCGCCCTGAGTTGTGGTCTAGATTCATTTTGACTACGGCGCACCATGAAGATGCTATCAAGCACGCAGTGATATCCATCGGCGGTCTGCATGAACTCTTCCTGCGTCCTTCCCCACCTACAGATCCCGCTTTGCTTGCATTTGCCATGCAGCACTACGGCAGAGCCATGCAGCATGTGGTTAAACTCGATACGAGCAAATCAGCACGGGCGGTTGATGTTGCGTTGACTGTGTCAGTCCTCTTCGCCTGCATCGAGATTCTCCGAAAACACTTTGTCTCTTCCCTGAGTCACATATACTCTGGCATGAAGATATTAGCAGAGTTGGCTCGTCGCTCGGAAGACACGCCCGAACACTACCTGCCGAGGGATCTCCTAGTCCAAATGTACCTGAGACTAGACACCCAGGTCATGGAGTTTGGGAAGGATGGTTTCCAAGCCCCTCCCGCCTTTGCGATTACTTCAGTCAGTCCTGTGCCTGCCACATTCACTGATACGGATGAGGCCCGGTCGTCCTTTGAAATGTGCCGTTATCAGATACTGCACTTTGTGCGCAGTATCCAAGCCGTGAAAAGAGAGTGTGATTCACCCAGCGGATGTCTCCAGGACTTCGACGGAAGATACCAAGTGCTTCGGCAGCACTTCAGCGAATGGGGAATGGCTTTTGAGCGCATGATGCAAAGAAAACGAAGTCACGACCTTGCCGTGCTAACCCTCAAAGCCTCGAGAATTGCCCTCGATGTAATTCTGAGCGCATGCCTGGAACACAATGAGATGGTTTTCGACCTTTTTACAGACAAATTCAGGGAATTGCTCGTTATTGGGGACGAGATAGTGCTGAGGATGCTACAGGACACCAGGCCCCGAAGACCATCTCAAGGTGTGGAAATCACCTGCGAAAATAATAGACACGGTGCTTCCGCCCCGAAGCAAGACCATCACATTGAGCCTGTTCTATCCATGAACCTTGGAATCGTGTCGCATCTATACATGGTGGCAACGAGGTGTCGAGAGCCGGATATCCGACACAAGTCTTTAGATTTGTTGAAGACCATCAAAAGGCGGGAAGGGATCTGTGACAGTGAGATGCTAGCAGCCTTTGCGGAAAAGCTGGTTATAGAAGAAGAAGAGGGAGCCCGAAGCCACATGCAGGCCGTGCACACCAACAACAAAGGGCGGATTGATCTTCATTCGTCGAGTCAAATCCCGGAGACGGTCAGAATCCAACTCTCAGAACGCCGACCGCGAGATCTTGATGCGATATGACTACGAGGCTCGCTTGCAGAAAGCTTCCGATTAAACAATGCAGTACCGCCGCTCGCCGCTAGATCCTTCGGAAGCATGTTCTTCAGGAGCTCGCAGACACAGAGCACTTCATACTCATAATCGTTTTTCACTGAGAATTTTGTCGAAGGATGAATTGACTTGAGTTGCCCGCCCTACGACACTTATCTATGGGCATCTTGAAGATGGTTAACCAACGGTCCACTGACCCCTCGGCCCCCTACTAAGCAGAAATAGCTCATGATTGGAAGCGGCCGGTGTTTACACACCCTTTGCCTCAGCAGTCTTCTCCCTGACTTCGGAGACCTTCTCGTCACTGCTGTGCTCGATTCCTTGGAGTGCACTCAGGCGACGATCGAGCCCAATTTCAGCGTTGATCTGAGCCATGCGCTCCTGATCTGCGGCCGCAACACCACTGGATCCGAAAACGAGATCCATCTCCTCAAGACTGAGCTGCTTTGTTTCGGGAACTGGTCGATACGTCAGTAGTTTGTCTCAAAAGGGTGGCTTGGGCACTTTCTTACCAAAGAACCAGATAAAGCCCGCTCCTATGGTGATCAACAGGCCAAACAGAATGAAAGTTCCATATGTGATACCAGTAATCATATCTGGGGTGACTTGACCAACAATGAAGTTGTTCATCCAGTTCGAGGAAGCTCCAAGGGCGATTCCGTATGGACGTGCAGACAGAGGCCACACCTCAGCAACGACGATCCAAGCACTGCAACACTTATCAACCTATGTGCTAGCAAAAACGTTTTCAATCTGACTTACCAAGGACCCCAAGACCAACCAAAGTGGATGACGAAGAGCCAAACCATGACAATAGCAGCCCAACCAGCGGCATGATGAGTGGGCCATTGGTGCTGATTCTTCGCGAAGATAATGGCGATGATAAAGTGGCAAAGACCCATTCCAAGAGCACCGAGAGCCAGGGCAGGTCTCCTTCCGATTCTATCGATGTACAGGATGGATGGAATGGTCGCCAACAACATGGCAATACCGACCACACCCGTTGCCAGAAGTGAGGTAGTATTCGATGACAGACCAAGAGAGCCAAAGATCTGAAGCGCTGTCAGTGTCATGTGCGCCTTTTATTCAGCACTAGTGCTACTCACCTGAGGAGCATAGTAAAGCACGGCGTTGATCCCGGTCCATTGCTGGAAGAACATGGTCACTGTTGCGACAATCACTCGGCGGAACATGGGCCTTGTTTTGAACAGAGAAGCAACAGCGACGAATTGCAGCTTAATGGTGTTGGTTGCTGTCATCTCTGCCAGGTGTGGGAAGTTTGCCTCAACGGTCCGTTTCTCAAACATGGACTGGGCCTTGATTTCGAGGAACTCCAACTCAATGAGTTGATGATCAATGGACAAGGATCTCAGATTCGCTAATGTTCGACGTGCTTCCTCTTCTCGCCCGTGATGAACCAGCCATCGAGGAGTAAACGGCATCCAGATCATTCCGACAAGCAGGACGAGGGCAGGGAAGAGCTGGAGGGCAAGAGGCACGAGCCAGGCTGCCTCAGATTGGCTGTCACCTGTTCCTCCAATGTAGTTGGTACCATAGTCCTAGAGGGAAGTCAGTTGAAGTTGGACTGAACTCATTGAGATCGACTTACAATCCAGAAGCTGACCATGATACCGAACTCGATGGCGAATTGTTGCACTCCAATGAGCAGACCCCGAAGCTCAGGAGGCGAGCATTCAGCAACATACATGGGCACGATCATGGACAGCGAGCCGACACCCATACCGACAACGAATCGGCCTCCGAGGATAGCCGAGTGACCGGCCTGAACAGCTGTGCATTGCACAATAACACCAATGATGAAAATGCAGGTGTTTACCAAAATGGCATATTTTCTGGAGATAATCTCAGCAAGGAACCCGGAGTACAGAGTACCTGTCCAGGCGCCCAATTCAAGGATGGAGGTGAGCCATCCTTTCTTGGACTGGTCGGTGGTGTAATCTCCCATGTGCCTGTTGAAGGAATTCATAGTCCTATTATCTGGTCAGCGATTTGCACCTAGCACTGGAAGTCATAGCCGAAACTGGTGTGGAAAGAGAAGAGGGGAGGTGTGAGATTCTCCTCATCCAAAAACAAAAGTGGAAGATTCATATAAAGGACGACCGTGGTGTGACTTACAAGACACCGCTGAAAACACCTTGGTTGTAGCCGTAAAGGAGACCACCAATGCAAGCAAAGCAGGCAATCAGAAAGACACGGATATTCTTGACCAGAGCCTGCGGGCCAGCCTTGCCAGCCAGCTGCAGACGTTGCTGGAGAGCAGCATCGGTGAATTGAGAAGGCTTTCCCGCTGCGTGGACCATCTTTGCGACTGTACAACAACAACAGCAACAGATATCTCGGAGTGACTGGGGACTGGAAGACTGGAGATAGACCGCCAGATGGGCGTGCTTGGATCTTGTATATCATCCATTGCTGATCACCTCCGCGTGCCGTCTTCCGTCTTCAGGCTAATTCAGATCCTGGAGAACACACATGGTGCACATGGACCATGTCACATTCAGTTCGATCATGCGCACCGATGGCGTTTTCATTGGAGAGTGGGCAGATATCCTGGCTAGCCGACATGCAATCGGGAGAAAGCGCAGCGAAGCATTACATTGTTGGACTAAGAACCAACAAGGCCAGATCAGGGAATATCCCTTAGGGATCGGCAGCTAGCATCCGTTTCAAAAACGCCATCGCAGCCACCAGACTCCGGATCTGTCTGACAAAGTCCATCTGCGGCTTTGACGAGGATACCAGAGTGGATTGGGCGCTATAGGGAACGGAACATGGACTCGAGGGCTCGGCGTCAGACCACTATTTTCTCATCCCGTGTCGTGCTCAGGTTGGTCGGCCTTGTCTCCATTGGCGGGACGCTCGTACGGATCTCTGGATAATACAGCCCCCCTCGACCGTCGAATGTTCCATGGAATGCTGAGGTCGAACCTTGAAAGGACGGCACTCGTCTTGCCTAGGCAAAGGCGGGAAGGATCAGGAGAGGCGGAGGGCCCCAGTCCTCCACAGAATGTTCGCCCTCCGCCTCCACAGTCACAATTGGCATTTAGCCTAATTAACCGGCGTGATGAGTCCTTGCAGGTGAGTGGCTCAGTGGATGACAGGCAACTTGGGCCATTTCCCCTCTCTTCTGTCCTCTGTCTGCCTTTGCCCTTTTATCCAAAATCACTCCAGGTCGATTTCAACTGAGAGAAGAACAGGCCCAAGGTAAATACCGAGGTGCAGAACCTGGTGACGATATATCCATCAACCCTGGAGCTAGGAGATATTGCCGTGGGTACCGTACACCCGCCACCGGCCTTGAACCCTTTTCAACTCACAGCATGCCGGAAAATGCTTAGCGGTGGTGACGTCTTATGTTCACGAATGCGGAAGCAGCAGGAGGAATAGCAGACCGTCTATGTCCCTGCCACTCATAGGTACCGGCAACGACTTTCGTCCCCTGCTGCTTCCTTCCGGCAATTGAATACTGGAATGATCGTCGCTGCAAGACGTATCTTGCTAAAGGATGAATTCTCAATGATGGCTAATTCCTCATTGACCTGTTTGACGGATCTTGCGGAGAATGAGAGGGGTCCAGTAGGTACCAGGTGGGTGAAATCGATGCCTTATAACCCAGGATGGAGGCCGTGAAGGTTCTCTCTTCTCACCTGCTGTGAAAAGCGTGCTTTGCAATTCCCCAGAGCAGAGAGCATTGAATCCATGGCAGCAACTCTGCTTGGTCTTCTGGCTCTGCTTGCCGTGCCAACGGCGGCAGACTTGTTCCCAGATTGTGTCCATGGACCTCTTGCAAACAATCCAGTCTGTGATACTTCGGCCTCGGTGGCAGACAGAGCCAGAGCGCTTGTTGGAGCCATGACTCTTGACGAGAAATTCAATTTGACGGGCAACACTTCTCCGGGAGTGCCACGTCTAGGAATCCACAGCTATCAATGGTGGCGTGAGTTGACCCAAAGCGTCCGAGTTTCCCTCGTTGTACTCATCAAGTATCAGAGGAGGCGTTGCATGGCGTTGCGAGTTCTCCAGGTGTGACCTTCAGCCCAAATGGAGAGTACTCTTATGCGACTTCCTTCCCACAACCCATCCTGATGTCAGCGGCCTTTGACGATGCATTAATTCATGCCGTCGCGACAGTTATCAGTACTGAAGCGCGTGCCTTCAACAATGCCAACAGAAGTGGACTGGACTATTGGACACCCAATATCAATCCGTACAAGTGAGTAGGATCGCAGCTTGAATATAACCCGAGTTCCCCAAAGGCACTAGTTCTAACCTATGATGTTGCAGAGATCCTCGTTGGGGCCGGGGCCAGGAGACTCCAGGAGAAGATCCTTTCCATCTCAAGTCGTATGTTGCTTCCCTCATCAACGGTCTCCAAGGTGGTCACGATCCAGCGATCAAGAAGGTGGTAGCCACATGCAAGCATTTCGTAGCCTACGACCTGGAGAGCTGGGGGACCACAGACCGATACAACTTCGATGCCCAAGTTACTACTCAAGACCTTGCCGAGTACTACATGCAGCCGTTCCAGACCTGTGCCAGAGATGCAAATGTTGGGTGAGTGAGACATAGCTTGACCTTTTGCCGGCCAACTTACTTACAGCCATAGCTCGATCATGTGCTCTTACAACGCATTGAACGGCGTGCCCACTTGCGCTGACCCATACATTCTCCAAACCATCTTGAGGGAGCATTGGAATTGGACAGGCGAGGGTCAGTATGTGACCTCTGATTGCGACGCAATTCAGAACATCTACATGCCGCACGACTATACAACATCTCGAGAACAAGCTGTCGCCGATGCCTTGAAAGCAGGGACTGATCTCAACTGTGTAAGTCACCTTGTCCAAATACAACAAGCTGAGAAATGCTAACATTATCCAAGGGTACATACTATCAAACACACCTCCCTGGAGCGTATGAAAGGGGGCTTTTCACCGAAAGCATCCTAGATCAGACCTTAGTCCGTCTCTACTCTTCTTTGATACGCCTAGGGTATTTTGATCCGGCATCCGCCACTCCATATCGCTCCCTTGGCTGGAAGAATGTGTCGACCCCGGCATCTGAAGCCCTTGCATTGAAGGCCGCCGAGGAAGGCATAGTCCTCCTTAAAAATGACGGCACACTGCCGTTGTCATTGCCAACAAACAGGAACACTACCATTGCTCTGTTTGGAGAGTGGGCAAATGTGACGACGCAGATGCAAGGAAACTACTATGGCCAAGCACGGTTCCTTCATGGACCACTCTATGCCTTGCAACAGTTGCCTCGCGTCAATGTTAAGTACACCAGTAGCCAAGGCTACATTAACTTCCCTACCACGGATAACTGGGATGACCTGATCTTGGCTGCGGAGGAGGGCGACATCGTGATCGTTGCAGACGGCATCAACGATGACGACGAAAGTGAGAGCTTAGACCGGTACGACATCAGCTGGGCACCGGGAAAGATCGATCTGATCAACCAGGTTACCGCGCTGGGCAAGCCAGTCATCCTCCTTCAGATGGGTGACCAGCTCGACGACACTCCGTTCTTGAATAACCCCAATATCTCAGCTATCGTGTGGGCAGGGTATCCCGGCATGGCGGGGGGTGACGCTCTCATTAACATCATCACGGGCAAGGTAGCCCCGGCGGGAAGACTGCCAGTCACACAGTATCCTGCCAACTACGTTGACCAGGTAGACATGACGGACATGAGCCTGAGACCAAATGCGTCGTCTGGCAGTCCTGGAAGAACATACAAATGGTACGACAACGCGGTCCTTCCGTTCGGATATGGCTTGCACTATACCAACTTCTCTGTGTCGGTGGCCCAGCCATCGCAGTCAAGTTACAACATCACCAAGCTGGTATCGAGCTGCGACCGCTCGACGTACAAGTACCTCGATCTGTGCCCGTTCAGCACGTTCGAAGTCAACGTCACCAACACGGGAAAAGTGGCGTCAGACTTTGTGACGTTGGGATTCATCAGTGGCCAGAATGGACCTGCGCCATACCCCATCAAAGAGCTGGTCGCTTATCAAAGACTGTTTAATATCACGGGACACTCGTGGCAGAGCGCGGCGCTGAATTTGACGCTGGGCAGTCTTGCTCGGCGCGATCAAAATGGAAACCAGATCTTGTATCCTGGAGATTATGGATTGCTGGTGGATGTGCCGACCAAGGCCATGTTGAACTTCACCTTGACGGGCAGCACAGTGACGCTTGATCAGTGGCCACAGAGGCCCACGAGTGGATGAGGGAAGAAGGACGAAGGATGAAGAAGATACCGGAAGGGACGGAACGAAGAGAGAGATGAAGATGCATGATGCGCGTAACAAGTAGAGGATGATACCTGGGAGGATATGCACATGCTTGGGGGTAACCATGTAGACGAGGGTTCAGTCACTGCTGCGGGTAGTTAAGTGGTCCTACAGTAGGTGCAAGGGAGGTTACACCCGCGGATGCCTTGGTGCCTAGACTGGGATAGGTATGGGTGCCCCCTGATGCCCGTTGGTGCCCTTGGTGCCCTTGGTGCCCTTGGTGCCCTTGGCGCCCTGCTTACTCGCGGCTAGGTGCCACCAGCGCCTAACTGGTTACCTCGTGCGTGGTACCTACTTGTAGAAACCACAAAAGCCATACTACCAAGTACGAGTGTCGTCACATGCCAACAACGCTTTCCTTTTCTCCATCTCTACTTGGTCATTAGAGTCGATTATACCCCGCGTTTCCCAACACAGTTCCTCCGCAGCCCAGGATCAAGGATTCAACCACTACCCTCACCAAATCTTCAAACCTTCAATCTTCAATCCCGGCCCTTGACCCTGTCGGTCATTTAGCCTTCGACTCCAAACTTGCAGTTCCTGCTCCAAGACGCTTGGACCAGTTTTCTCACCCTCCTTATTCCCATTCCAAGCTAGCCGGCAAAACACCAACACCAACAAAACACCCGTCTACCAAAGGACAATGACCCAACTAGTGGGCGGTTGTTCGATGCTGTAGCGGTCACAACCCCCCCTTTCTCTTCGCTGGCTCCTCCCTCCGGCGTCAAAGTCGGCCCCGTCTGCTCCGCGTCTGCCCGTCTCCTTTTCTGCGAACGAGGCTTCAGAACCGTGCCTACCTACCTACCCACCTATCAAGCCATCAATCAACCCGACCAGGTGTCCATCTCTCGAACCTAATCCAATTCTCATTGCCCCCTCTCCTCTACTTCGTTCCTTCTTGGTCCCGCCCTCGGGGCCAGCTTACGCCTATCGGCGCCGCCGTTTTCGCAGAGTGGAGGGTGGGAAAAGGCCGGCACGGCGTAAAAGCCTGTATCGGTATTGGTTTAGTCTTCTCGCCTGACGTCTTACCTACGGGTCTGGTTTGGTCTGGGGCGATCCTTGACTGGGTTGGACTCGACTGCTCCTCCGGCCAACCTGTATTGCATGGTTGCACAAGGAACTAAAGGACAAAAGACGAAAGACCGGCCTAGGGGAAACACCTACGATTGAAGACCGAGCGCCACAGGACCACCGTGCCGCACTCTACAACTGATAGCTTTCTATTCGTGTGAGAGAGGGACCACCAAGTGCTCGGACTGATACTGGGTTTCTGGTACTTCACATGAGAGCGTGAGTGTGAGTGGCTGACTCGTACCTTGGGCAGGAATAAGCGGACGACAAGATTCTACACTGGTTTGCTGTGGACGCTTCGCTCATCCTCCGAGCCCCATTCCCAGTCTGCAGGTTTGCATTCCAACGACCGCCCCGATCCCTTCCGAACCCCTGCAGGACCGTCATGGGCCTCTTCAAGTCTCTCAAGGGCAAAATCGAGGTCGGGACCGAGAATCTTTCCGGAAACGAGCATCTGCGGCGCGAAGGAGGATGGAACCAGACCCAGGGCGGAGAAGCAGGGCAGTACGCTCCTCCGCCAGGGCCGCCTCCATCACATCGCTACCGGAGCCAGGAGTCGGAGGAGACCTTCAAGGCTCCTCCCGGTCCACCACCATCACACCACCGTGCCCCTGTAAATTCACGCGCTGAAGAATTCTCTCCTCCGCTGGGCCCGCCCCCTTCGCACCCCTCAGCTTCCAGACCCGACAACCCGCCACCCTACCACGATTGGACCGTGATTCCTGACACATCCCTCCTCCCACCACCCCCGCCCCTACCGCAAGACTTCTCGCCGACAAACAATGCCTCCTACGACTCCGCCGCGCGCGCTCATGAGTGGTGTGCAAGCCACCCCGTGTACACGCCTAGCACACCCAGCCACGAGATCCACCTCCTCGCCAATGCTGGTCACATCACTCTAGAGCCCCCTCCGCTGCCCCTGAGGAAGTACATGACCACGTTTCAGCAGACGAGTCCGACGACATGGATGGTGGCGACGGACAAACAGCAGCAAGACGCCGTCATTTTGGCCTCGATCCCATTGTACTTCGCCTGTGTGGACAACCCACGATCCACGTTGGAATCGACGAAGATCTACTTCGAAATCGCTATCCACCGCATCCTCAACGCGAACTCGGGCATCGCGATCGGGTTCGCGGCGAAACCCTATCCGCCGTGGCGGTTGCCCGGGTGGCACCGCGCGAGCATCGGTGTGCACGGGGACGACGGGCGGAGATTCGTGAATGATCCGTGGGGTGGGCGGGATTTTGTCCGGGCGTTCAAGGAGGGCGAAGTTGTAGGGGTGGGCATGCATTTCTCCACGCAAGTCGCGATACGTGGTCAGAGACCAGGAACAGGCAGGGTCAAGACGAGAGCGTTCGTCACCAGGGACGGCAGGGCGGACGATGGGTGGGGTTGGGATATCGACGAAGAACGCGACGAGCGGGACGAAGGTGTCGACGGCCTAATGGGTGAAGGGGACCTGTATCCCGCCATCGGAGTGTTTGGCGGAGTCGAGTTTGAGGTCAGGTTCGGGGATAGTGTCAGTTGGAGAGGGAGGTAGATGAGATGGACGGTGCTTGGTTGGCGTCCTCTATAGTGGCTTGCTGCTTGGTCTATGACGGTGAAGGTGGTGGAAGAAGAGCTGAAGATCCAGGACATGGAATATAGATGAGATATAGGTCTTTGTGGTGTCGGTAACTTAGGTAGTCAACCGGTCAGCCTAGCCACATGATGGACCAACTAACTAATCCATATCTATATCCAAGGGCACCTGCACGCCTATCCATAACTGCACACACACACAGTCATTCAGTTCGATGTTCCCATTTATGGGCGGATGAGATAGGCGAAGACAAACGGTTCTGGCAAAGTCTTGCAGGTCCCGTTCGGCCCATTCACGTATCGTACGGCCGAGCGACCATTCGGTCCTTTTTACCATCTATACGCTATGCAGAGACAGACCACTGCACAACTCGACCTGTCGTCCTATATTCCAAGGTATCGGGGCTGTGTCCTTTTATTTTGGGGGACCTGGGCTTTATAAAACCCAACGTCATGTCCTTAGAGCTTCCTCTGGTTCTAGTCGTCCGACTTCAGGCCGGCGTTGGTTCTTGGGTTTCTCTGGCCGGTCCAGAGTCCAGATCTCACCTGTACGCGTTGGCCAATGACTTACAAGTATGACGAGATGTTCGTCCACCGACCGGATCGCGATAACGATACTACGTAGGTGCCAAAGGGGTTCCGGTACACCACCACGTAGAGACGGGTTGCAGGGGCAGCGCTTGAAATAGCAACATATATCACCCCCATTGCGTGATTACCCGCGAACGAGAGAAGACGACTCGACTTTGCAATGTGCCATCTCCCCTAGATGGCCCTTTTCAGTTGTCTAGACAGGCAGCCAGCCGCGGGTGCCAAGAGAGAAAAAAGACTTCGGATAACAAAAGGTTGTTCTCAGAAGGCATCCGGGCTGATTACTTTCGTGATAGCTAGACTTGGTAGGTCTCTCATTGAACAATGCCAGTTGTATTGTGCTCCTTCTCGATGTTTCTGCCTCCCACAAGTTCCAAGCTCTTCACAGTCGGTGTATTCTCTCTAATCGTGTGGTTGCTCGGTATAGAGTTCTCTAGGATCGGAAGGGGTGTTCGCAATGGAAGCATCGGCGGCACGGCATTGGAACGGGAGTAACCTAGATGACGGTTTTAGTCCAGCCGAGCGGCTCGCTGCCAGAAATCTTATTCTCATATCGCCTATACAGGCATTCTTAGGCAATTCGAGTTAGCGTACTGCTATCTGTGAATGGACCGTGTCCGATGGCCTAAGCTCGAGACTCTGCGGACTCTAAAGCACGAGACACCCAAATTCGATGCCGTTGATATGCCGACAGCGCATGCTCCTCCCTGCGAATCCAGGGGAAAGGAGTCCGCTTGGCTTGGACGCAACTGGAAACGGGTACCTTCGGTTGATTGGCAGTCGAAAGAGACTTCTGATGATAGACAGGCGGCACAACGTAGTGGCCTAGGCCCTTGAATGCGTTGATTTCCGAAGACAGGGTCACGCTATGCGTGATTGTTCAGTGTGTCCCTTCTCTTGAATCGAACATTGGCCCACCACACAGCCAGATGTTGAAAATTGTCAGTCCGCGACCTATAGTGGACGAAAGCGGGTTTTATCTAGTTGTCTCCAATGCAAGCCAAAAGGATGGCATTGGATTGAAGTCGAGGGCTCGGGCGTTGGTGGGCTAACGGACGAAGGAAGGAATTGCTGCGTAGAGCGTGTGTTCTAGGGTAGTGTGAACTCGGAGTTAGCTGCTGAACCTGTCAGTCATGCAGTCGATATACCGACACCTTGTTCTAGAATGCTGGAAGCGGTATTAAATACAATCGCAGCGAATTGTGGAGTCAACGAAGATGTTGGGCTCCATTGACAGATATTCTGGCGCAATCCTCCTGCAAGAGCAAGGGACTCTTTCCCTCTGTAGGGTTGTGGACGCCACCAAGCAAGTAATACAACTCGGCGTCTTTAACCGATAAAGGGATCCCCGACCAGCTCTAGAGCACCGAGGCCTCCATTGGATCTCGAGGAACAAATCGAGGGCTTCGGTTAGCGGGCCGGATGAGATATACAGCATCGTTTGGTACATTAGTCCGGCCGTGAGGTGGCCATTAGAACCTTGGGTAGTCCTCGCCGCAGGTTGATTGAATATTTTGCGCAATCAGATCAGAGAGAACAGATCAAAAGTGCCCATTCAAGCGTCCCATGAAACTTGGGTGGGACGAGCGACGTCGCAAGGGCAACAGGAATAACACCACGTAATCGCCACCCGCGACTTTGGGCACTGGCAGGAGTCAAACAAGCAGACGCGTGACGGTAGCTTCCCAGCGCCCCTGGTACGGGCCATGTGGCTCGCTACTGCTGTTTCGTTGAGTAGGATGACTAGGTTTAAGGGTCGGGTGAGTCGCCGCTACTGATCTCCCCACCATTTTGGAATCCTTGACCTGCATGAAAACGGACAGCAAGTCCAATCGCAGGAGGAGAAAATTTCGACTGTCGGGGAGCCGCTGCTGAAGATCCAGCCTGAATGAGGTCGGGTGGCAAGAAACTCATTTGGGGGTGGCCTTCCAGCAGCAAGAGTAGCCAAGAGTTCGACGATGCCCACCGACAGCGCAGGATTCAGGGTTATCATTTGTCGGTAGATCAGAGGCATGTCGTTTGGGGCCGACCAGTCGGAAAGCTGGCGGGCAGAGAAGTTTCTTGACAAAACACTACCAGTGCTGCAACCATGCCGCCAGATGGCCCCAGACTTCCTGATCACCAAACCTTCCGCAATGACTTGCATGGCATGATTCTTGCAGCTGAGACGATCCGAGCGACGACGCACAGCATGATGCAGGAACGAGAAGTTGTCCGTTTCCAGAGATGGCGTCAGACCATGGCCGCCCACACGAAACCGTCCATGTGACCGGTGAAATCAGTGGGGGTGTTGGGCGGCATGCCTGGATTTGGTCGAAGCGCGAAACTCGGAAAACTGAGGGGGAAAGACGGCCAGAGTTGCCAATCCTTGGGTGTCTTCAGCATGTCCTTTGTGCAACGTGAATCTCGTATTCGCCATTGCTGAATGGCGGGGTGCAGATGTGCAAGGTCATGCGTACTGTACTGCTAGCACCTACAACGTTCCATAAGCCACTGTCAGCATAATGGTAGGTCAGCTGGGCGGTCATTGCCGGGAGGAGGAATGTACCGATATTTATTGACACACCATGGACAGAGACCTTGATTGAAGTAGTTTTATCGAGGCTGGTATGAGCAGAAAGGTCGGATGAAATTCCATGGAGATCAGATAGCGGTGACAACTCTGGGCACCGCAGAACCCTCCAGGATATTTGACGTTTTGGTGGCAGGCGATCCCGCTTCGGCCCGTGGGAAAATGCACGTAATCGATCTCTTTTGGCGGCGCCCCCCCTTTTTTTCCCCTAAGATCCAAGCCTTATTACGAGGTTCTTCACCGCCAGTCTTGCGTCAGACCACGGGGAAAGGCTGTTGAGAGCCGCAATGGCGGTGAAGGCTGACTGATGAGGTGGTTCCGGAGAAGGCTTCGCATGAACTCCGTTTGTCTGGCACGAACAGGAGATTGCAGATCATCCGCCGGGAGACAAGGACGAGGCTGGCCAGGGTCTGCACCAGCAATGAAACAGACATGATAATAATACCCTCGAGGGCACCAAGGGGGTGCGACCAATTACTCGGAAGAGAAAGGGGATGGCCTCATGGGCAAAGGCCAGGGGAGAGATGAGGGAGAAGAGGGTCGTACTGGGTAGTGCGACGGAAAAGGCACGGTCCTTCCAAAACGAGGGTGGGCGGCCAACGTCATTGCCAAGACCATGTCGTCGCCGGGGCCGGAGCGTCTGACCTTCTCGTTGCCCCCCTTCCATTCCCGCCGTCGCCGTCGCCCAACCCTGGGGACGACGGGGTTTCAGGCACGACAATCTCCTTTGTCAGCGGTCGAAGATCGCCCAGGGACGAAGTGCAAGCCCCGCGCTCTGACTTGTTTAGGGTGGTTGGGTAGCAATCTGCATCCCTATGCACTTCAACCGCGCTGGCTTCGGGGGGAAGTACAGCCCTGGCTTCCGGTCAACATAATATCTCTGAATCTTCATTCGCAGCCTCCCAACGTCTTGAGACCTGAACGTTGCTTGAGCATCTGTAAGGACAACGTGCTACGTTCCCAAAAAAGCCACCTAACGCCTGCCATGTCTCGGGAGGCTATTGGTGAAGCCCCAATGTGCGAGCTGTCGATGAGAAAACCCCCAGCCTCCACCAAAGGGCGGAAAAATCCTGCCAATCTATCAAGAAAGAGACGCTACGGTGGTGCTCCTCACTTGTCTCCGGTCTCAAAGTAGTTACACAACCAGCAGATCGGACGTGATCAAAGATGGCCATTCATTAGTACGGGCGACGTCTCCGGTGATCGAAAACTTGCCGATCAACTCGACTGTGTTTCCCGTGCAATCTGCGCGGGCGATGACCGCCAAGGTCATGTCCTCCGTATCAACCGTGTCCGTTGGCGAGACGGGTATTTCTCCTTGCAGGTATATGTTGGGAATGCAGCTGGGAAAGGCTCTTGTAACTCTTTCGGTCTGCCCGCTCAACCGATGACTTGTCAGATCACCACTGGGAAAATATGTCCAGATATGACCGGCCCTTGCGCGTCTCTATGCAGGTTACATGGTTCCAGCACGCTTTTGTTCTGCCGCTGACAAGATTACAGCAGGTTGACGTGAAAGGAAAGCGCCCTTTAAGCGAAGACATACAGCGTCAGCTTCAAGGACAGGGTCTCTGGCTTCTGATGCTCGTATGCGAGGGTTTTCGTTGAGCAATATCGGCAGCGAATGATGTGCTCCGCATAAAAGAGCCCCGAAACCATCCACAAAAAAAGCGCAAGTCGCCGAACAATCCCTACGTACGCACTGTGCAGAGTTACTTCCCTGAAACCCCCATGGAAAATTTTGACGCAGAGCAACTATCTCCGGCACGTCTGCCATACTATTTCCACTTCTGTGGAACCGTCGTATATACTATAAGTTGGGAGGGGCTGAGAGCTTTTTCGTTGCAAAAATGCAACTATGTGCAAACCAGCACATCCTGAGATGCCAGAAAAAAGCACATTCTGTCGGCTTTATTATTCCGGACCGCCATTGACGGCCCCGTTTGGTTATCGGATTGGCTCTGCGACGGATGGCAATTGCTCTGCTACTAAGTGTCCACGTATGAAGACAGGTTGTTCTCAGCAAGCCGAGTAACACCTTTTTTTTTCCCCCGCTCGTATGCATATCTGGCTAATAGGCTGGCGGATTCGTGTTGGATTCGGCAGCCGAGAACACATGTGCTCAATGTCATGGCAGGAATAGGAAGCTGAAAGAAACTGCGCGATAAGCTGCACTGGGGATATGCAGCTTTTGCTGCGAAAATGGACGATGCATCAGCGTCTGGCTGGTCGGCCATTTGCGCGACGGACAACGCTCGCTGTGGGGTTGGATGATGCCAAGGGGGCCCTAATGCAGACGCCACCGAGACGCTTATGCGGCCTGTTCCTCCATCTTTTTCCCTTGCTCAGCAAGGATGAGCCCAGTTAGCTCACGGACCAATGCGAGAAAAGTCACACTCTCAAGCTCCAATGTTGTCAATCCATCATCGAACTCGAGGTTCGAATCGATTATCATCTGGCCAAGCTCTCCAGAGACCAAATTCATCTTCGATACCTTGGTGGTGTGATCTTCGATCCAGGTCTGCCGGCCTGCCTGGACTAGAGCCATGCAGTAATGACCCAAGGTGTATCCATTTTTCGCCAACCGGCCGTGTTGGCGGCAAATGGAGGCTTGGGCCGGTCTTCGAGGCGAGTGTGGCGTTGAGACAGGGTTTCTGAAAGGAGTGGCCGTCTCCACTGCTGTTTTTGGGACGGCACGATGAACTCAGAAGGACAAAAACTCTGTCTGTAAATATGATTTCACAAGGCCATCTCGTCTTTCTTAGTGCGTCTGCCCCAGGATGCTCTAAGAGGGGACGGGGGCCCATCCATGCCGCATTCGAGTCCAAGGACTTTAGTGCCGATCAACCAAAATTGCGTCGCGTGAGACCTGTGTTTCGAATTGAAGGATCGGGATATGATGGTCTGATGAAGTCAGACAGGAAATGGTCCATGGCCCATCTCAGACTAGGGCAGGTTCGGCTGGGGAGAGGAGGGAGGCTTCGCGGACAGGTACATTCGAGGCCCAACGGATGGAGTCTCGAATTGGCTGTTTCGGCCCTCCTAGCTGAACCGAGATACTCGCCAGACCAAAACAAATGTCGTCCGTTCCTCGCACAGTTAGAAGACTATCTCTGCGGCTGCAGCCAGAGGCGATGGCCGAGCGATTCACAAGGGAGGTAAGAGATTTACTACTTGGGTTAAGGGGGTAGGCCCAGATAGGCCTGCGGGTGATTCCGTGTTGAGTGGCATCACCGCATTGCGCCATCTGGGGGCAGTGGGCGACCAGGGCGGGCACAGACCTTCTGGCGTCCTGTCAACGCAAAGTTCCATCCATGTCTGGACCCTTGCTGGATGAATGCAACTGTGAGCACAAGAGCGAAAGGGAAGAGGATGAAGGAGGGGGCTATGGGAGGCCGCATGTTGTCATGCTGATTGGGTTTTAAGATAAGTCTCATCCAGGCTGCGTTCTGGCCGCCGATCTGATCTAGCGATTCTTTTTTGGGAAGGGGAGGGAAGAACGCCCTAAGAACGATGATGAAAGTCCAAGCAGGTTTTTCCCGTTGCTGACCATCGTAGGTAGATTTGCCGCTTCATGGTGTTGCAATTATGAGCCGGCCAGGTTTTCTCTCTGTCATAGAGCTAACATGTAATCGTCGAGCTTCAGAGCTTGGAGAGAGACGAAACGAACCTCGGCCGACTATTGGTGGAGTTGCAGCCGTGGACTGGCTCCTGGTAGTGGGCGAAGGACGATGAGCGAAATCGAGGAGAACTGGCGATGGTGTGGGGCGACGCATGGCGAAAAGGCAGGTCGAGGTCCGAGGGCCCGCATTGCAGATGACAGCATTATTGACTATCGTAGTCGGTTCGATTAAATGCATGGCGGAGCAGCGTTCAAGTAGGGTGGACTGCAGGGAACTCCTGCTGTTGGTTCACTGAGGCCACTTGTATCCTCCTCTATGGCAGTTCGAGTCTAGCAACCTGTGCACCATGCAGCAACCTCTGATTGCTGCTTTCGATCAAATTGGTTTGATGATTGAGGAGACTGGTGGCGGGCTTGCCAGTGGGATGCGGAGCTAGCGGCGAATCGAACTTCTAAGACCAGAGATGGTGGACATGAAGGTGTGGAGACTATCGATTTTCGTGAGGGCGGCAATGAGATGGAAACTGCCGCTGGGAGAATGATCATGATGGGGACAACGAACTTGTGTAAGAGAGACATATGACTGTTGAAACCTGATATGCTGTGGTGTGGTGCCAGGAGGTTCAACAGCACACCCACCCCCGCCTCTTTCTTGGATTTTGCAGCGTGTCTCGGTCAGGTGGTCGGTTTCTCATTGTGATCTCACTTGATTGAAAGGTTTTGACTCAGATCGTAAGCCTGGTGCTGGGCACTTGACACAAAGAAACTTTTGGGTTGTTCGAGATCTGTAAGTTTTGGCCAAAGTCAGAGGACAGTTTTGCCATGGTCGGGAATTCCAAGACGGAGCACCTGCGTCAACAGGCCCTTCTTTTTCCCTTTCAGAGGACGTCTTCGGGCTTCAGGCCCTTGTACCGCCTGCATGACCACCCGCCATTAGGGAACTTGTTGGCTGTGACCCCGTAATCCAATCTGCGACTGACGCTGCAGTGATTTTATTTGTACCCTTTTCTTTCGTTTTCTGACGTTGTGGACAAGTGTTTGACCTCCGATCACTGGCTGCGGCGGAGTCATCATGGGAGGTGATCCAGACGGTTTGATCCACCAGCATGTGCTCGCATGTCCTCGCTTGCGACACCGGTGGGAGAGGAATAGAGGGCGAGGACACTGAGGATGAGAGGACGAGGCAGCTTGGATGGGGGTGTGTGTGTGTGCCCGCGCACAGCCCGCCGTCATCGGCGGCAAGGGCCTTGGAGAAGCTCATTGCTTGATAGTAGCCGCTGTGGTTAAATGATGCCTAGGCGAGCAGGCGCCTGCGGGCTGCAGATGATCATGGTCTGACTAGAGTCAATGGCCAACATCGACTCGTACCTAGGTAGGCGAGGGAAGGCAAAAGCTGCTAGGCTTTCCCGCATCTTCTCAGGCACCCCGGTCAGTAGAGTTGAGAGAGATTACCTAGGTACTTTTTGCGAGCGTTGACTGACCTGGGTGATTGACCGGTGAGTTTTTGGGTTTCCGGGGTCGTATCATTGTGGGAAGGCAGGATCGCCTGGCCAACACAAGGCACTGGGGGGGGGAAAGATCAAAGCAGGACGGGGTGACTCTGGAGGCTAGGGAGTCGAAACTTTGCAGAAGAAGTACGTACTTGGTAGATGATGGCGAGTAGCAGTGGTGGCAGTGCTGTCTGTCGATGGGCAATCGATTGTTGCAGTGTTTGCTGGAGAGCGACTACCCCAAATCGATTAACACTTGTTGCACCTGCACCTGCTCTTGACAGTTCAGTTTGAAGGTTCACTTGCAGCGGGCACCACCCACCAGCACACCAGCACACCAGCACACCAGCAGCCCAGCAGCTCAGCAAGCACCGAGCAGTCCCAACACCATCAACACTGCTACTACCACCACCACCACCACCACCACCACCACTAGGGCCCATGTAAGAGCTTCGCACCCCATGCTCATTCATGCTCGTGCTCGTTCGTGTTCATGCCCTTTTGATTTTCTTAAATGAACCCTTGTTCGAACCTAGTGCCCACCTCTCCCTCCCCCCTGGTCAAGCCACCCAGCAGCACCCCATCCCCCCCATTCACATCCATTCGCAGTCCCCATCAAATCCTCGACCAGGCTAAACCATTGCACCCCCCCTTCGTCCCTCGTCGCTTGACTGCCCCTCCCCTCCATCATCGACATCGAAAACAACCCCCCCCTCACCAACCCCCCCCCTCGTCCCATTCTGCAGATGCAGGTGCAGGTGCACGTCCTCAAGGCTCAACACGCAACCTGCAGGCGCCAACCTCTCTGGCCCAATCATCACCCCGGCCGGGCTCATCCACTCCTACTTATGCGGCTAACGAGCTAACAATTGACGCTCATCACAAGCTGCCCTTCTTATTCTGGGGTGTTTAAGCCGAAAACAAATCCTCACCTCATGCGAACTGCGAACTCGTCTGCAAGCTCACGTTTGTGGTTCTGGAGGGTGCAGGCTGGCGGAATTGCAGGGCGTCGCTGCAAGCCAACTAACTGCCAGTACCTGCTCGCCTTCACATCACCTTTCCCTCCGTCGGTCACTAGACAGAACTGGATGCATTACTGCATTCATTCGCCATTGCCATTCCAGTTGCCATTGCCTCGAACCTGAAATCTTAGGCTCGGTGCCCTTCCCCATATTTTTTTTTATTTCAATCCTTCACCTGCCTCGATCACTTCGTTCTGATCTCTTTCTTTTCTGTCTCTCATTACCCTCCATCCTCATGTCCTCGCAATAATCGGCTCTCGTCTTTGCTTGCTTGTCCTGTTTTTCTTCGGGGCCCCTCATCCTTGAGTGGTTCTACCACTCTTACTGTCGTTATTGTCCGCTTGTCATTAACTTGTCCAAGTGACACGAGACCAGATACCTCACTCCAGCCATGGACTCGACGACGTGGTTCAGATTCTTTGTCATCTACTTGTGAGTGAGATTGCCCTACTTCGGTTCTCCAGACCTGCAATCATCTTGGCGCGCCCCGGCCGAGGGGGGGAAACAAGACGCAGAATGGGAAACGAGACCACGGCGTGGCTAACCAAATCCAGCCTGTGGCGCTATGTCCGCCTCATTGTCAACCTGTGGGCCTTCTGGACTTTCAAGCCGATCCCCATCCCAGAGAATCCCACTCTTTGGCCTTCAGATGTTACGGTCATCTTACCTACCCTGGACGGCGAAGGGGAGGAGCTGGAGAGAACCATCGCCTCCATCATGGAGAACGAACCCAAGGAGTTGATTCTGGTCACAATCGATGAAAACTTGGCCAAGGCAGAGCGGACCATGGAGAAGATGCCGGCTGCCAAGTACCACCGCATCCGTTGCATGTCGGTCAAACATGCAAACAAGAGACGGCAAATGGCCAGAGCTATCCCCGAGGTCACCACCGAGATCATTGTCTTTGCTGACGACGACGTCACGTGGCCGCCTCGCACGCTCCAGTGGATGCTGGCCCCCTTTGAGGACAAGAGGTATGGCGGAGTGGTGACCTGTCAGCGTTTGAGACGGGCCGAGAATCCCACCTTCTCTCAGCGCATCTATGGGTTTCTAGGAGCTCTCTACTTGGAGCGTCGAAATTTTGACTGTGCGGCCACCACTCACATGGACGGAGGCGTACCATGTTTGTCTGGGCGCACCTGTGCCTACAGAACAAGCATCCTCCAGGACGTAAATTTCACCAATGGATTCACAAATGAGAAGTGGTGGTTCGGTCAATTTCAGCTCAATGCTGATGACGATAATTTCCTTACCCGCTGGATGGTTTCACATCGCCACGAAACCTATATGCAGTACCACCCTGAATGTGAAGTGCTTACCACACTTGAAGACAACCCAAAATTCTTGAAACAATGTTTGAGATGGGCGCGCAGTAATTGGCGCAGCAATCTCACCAGCATGTTTGCTGAACGTCATATTTGGCTGTAAGTCGCTCCATTTTCCAGGGCCCCTTTTCCGGTCCTTGGGAGAGATCTCTCCCTCGGCTTTTCAAGATCTTGGCAAACTGACGATCTTTGCCCCCTTGCCAGTCGACAACCGTACAGCACATACGCAGTTCACGTCACGACATTGATGCCGCCTGCCTTGCTCGGGGACGGGCTCCTCTGGCTCTATTTATGCAAAGGCATTCGTGACTGGCCGGCTGAGCAAGCCCTGACTGCCATTTATGCTTTCGCCGCATGGATGATTTTCTCCAAGTTCATCAAACTGGTAACCCATTTCGTCCGCTTCCCAGTCGATATCTTCCTGTGGCCTGTCTCTATTCTGTTCGGTTGGTTCCATGGAGCCATCAAGGTCTACGCTGTAGTGACGCTGGGCGTGGTAAGTGTTTCTGACAAGGCTCGGCATCGACTGATTGCAGCTAACGCATTATAACAGACCACCTGGGGCAGTCGACCCAATGCTGATGCCAGCGACTCTGGAAGGATGATTCGCCAAAAGAAATCCCATTGCTACGAATCTGGAGATGAAAAGTTGCACGAAAAGCTTCTACCTAGCGACGAGATGATGACCTACGCCAACGCCAACGACCAGAAACATTACCAACCTCCCTCCGCATAACTCCCCATCTGATACCAGGTGAATCTCTTCGTTGCTGAGCCTACACCTGAGAGATGTTGATTTGAGGCAATACATTTCCTTGCGAACCCCAGATTTTTACGGTCGGTCGAATTGTTTTTCCCTTCTTTCCAAAAACAAGCACCTTCTTTCGAAAAAGTACAAAAAGGGAGATTGTCAAAATTGAGGTCAAAAAGGACGGCAGACGGGAAGGTGGGAGGCTTTCTCTTCGATCCACAAAAGCTCAACAAAGTTAGTTTCATGCCTTGTGTCTTGTATCACCCCGGAGCTGGAGCTGGAGCTGGAGCTGGAGCTGGATTTCACACCAAAAACAAAAAACAGGGGACTTTGGACGCTCTTTTACCGGGGGCCGAGACACTCGATCATTTTCATGTTCAGTTCGGTCATCAAGGACTTGGACGGGGGGATTCCAAGGTCCTTCTATCTTGCACATGCATTACTGAGAGGAGCTTGGGGCTTACTTCATAACTTGACATTGTACATAGCGGTATTTTCTTCATGATGGGACACGATGGGATGGGAAATGAATCATGGGCTTGGCTGCACATGAACAGACACAAACGGATGGGCGGACGGACTCTTTTTCTAATTTTGACCGCCTTCTTGCCATGGCCGGGAATGACGGGATGGGATAGGGTGGATCGGGCTTGTGGTGGGCATGGAACGAGCTTTTTGTCATTCTCTCCTCCCTTTTCTGCGCACAGCGAGCTGGACATTTGTGGATTGAGCGACGGACAGGACGGATAGCGTGACGGATGACAGACAGATCTCTCGAGGTCTTTTTTTTTTCTGTTCCCTTCGGCCGGGTGGCTAATACTGAAATTGAATCTGTTTCGCGCACCGACTCACGTCTCTATACTTTGATTCTCTGTTGTCCCTTTCTACCTCATTGAATATCCTGCTGTCGGTAACAGCAGAGGACCAGGGAGGGACGGAGGGGAGGACTGAGCCGTGGTTCCTGTTTGCCCCCGGCTTTACAATTCCATACCTCGCCACGACTCTCAGCGATCTTGTGGGATCGGAATCGGAATCGAATCCAGCATTGAATGGGCCGAAAGTCTATCCAGACTGCAATGTACGCGCATCACACGGACAGGGCTGCATTGAACCGTGTTTTTGACTTATTATTTCTCTTCTTCTTCTTCTTTTTCTTCTTCTCCTATGGCTCGTATTCGCATTTTCCCCCCTCTGTTTTGCTTTTTTAGCTACCTGTCTCGCTAGTCTGTACGAGTTTGTCTTATTCTCTAGTTTGCACCAGCTTTTGGGGAAGCAAACGTTGGAAGCCGTAGACGGTGACGATACAATGATTTGGTTCTATCTATACCTCTATTTGGGGGTTCGGTGAAGTCCTGTCGTTGATGAGACGACAATATAATTTCCAGGGGATCAACGCTTCTCCTAACATATCTACCTCGCGGCCCGTTCCAGACCAAACCGCAGCGAGATCTCATGTCCGAGGTGCCTCAGTCCGGCAGTTTCTTCTATGGCCATAGAGAGAAAACGCTGAGGAGGCGACAGCTGCGTGCGGATAGTCTATGATCAGCTCCATGTCGGTTTTCCATAGCTTCTGTCCTTGCCGTTCTGAGCGTCTTTTTTGGGAGGTGTACCTCAAGCTCGAGTGACACCAGCGGAGATGCCTCCCGCGAGGTGTCTTGTTGTGGACAACCATGGTTTTTCCCCTGATCAGCTCTGCCCACTGCCAGCGACAGAAGCTTAGGGCGTTTTCCTCTTCTGCCATGTTCTTAGGACAGCACAGGCTCGTTCATCAAGCTGGGGGCACACAAGCAGGTAAGACCATTTATACACGTGCAACGTACTGATATAATTCATTCATTGTTGTTTGGCGATCTTCTTGACGTGAAAACCTTTTCCTGACTGCGCCTTCCGAGACTCGTGCTCCCGTGTATCTGTGCAGGATGTGCAGCTGCCGTGTAACAGAGGCGCCCACAGCTTGGAGTGCCGCATAGCATCAAGGCCAACCCGGGGGGGGGGGGGGGGTTCCATGCTGTGTAACGTTGGCGTTCAGTTGAGCTCAAGCGTTTGTACTTTTTGGAGCAGGTCAGGTTGTGGATGGCTCGGCTGCTGTGTCACAGAGACGTGGTAAGTCTATGGACTCGTTAATTGTAACTTTTGGGATAGAGCTTGGGAGGTGGGTGGCCAATTCACCGACCACATGTTGGAACTCGTGTTTTGCCAGCTGGTGTGGGACAGCATAAGACAAGGTTTCCATGATCGCCTTCCTTTTCCTTGCTCGTATTCGTCGCCATCTATCGCCCATACTAGTTTCCCTTTCCCTCCCTTAGGATTTTAGGGCGACTGCGTTCATGCGCCGTCCTGCGAACCACACACCATCTTTTCTCGCCTAGGCGAGGATACCTGCACCTTGGGCAACTTAGCGTCTGCGTGCAGGTCGTAGGGTCTTCATTGGTGAAAGAACCAGGGGGTTGGGTTCTCGGAGCGCCTTGACGGTGCGAGGAGAGTGCGGAGGACACTTAGGCCCGGTGCCAGGTCGTGGTACCATTCCTGCACTTTGTGTGGGTTTCCCTCCAAGGCTGCAGGCCGGCGACGAGGCTTGCAGAGGGCGGTCAGAATTGGTCGCCTGAAGTGCGTCTGGCTGTCGCAGAGTGAGGCTTCTTGAATGGTTTTCGAATTGTGGTTTCGGTGCTTCGTGGCATGACTGCAAAAACACATGTACCAGCTTGATTGGGGCCAGTGGAGGAGCGAGTTCAAATGTGATGACCAGAGGAGTGGCTTGCATACGAGAGCGATGAGGGATGCGTGGGATGCCTGCGCTTTCAGTGAGTGGATACCTCGCCTGACAGAGTGGTGACCGCTTCTAACCACTCTCATGAGGTCGGGAAATCCTAGGTACTTCGAGACATACCAAGTTTGGGCCCGTGGCCACCAAGGTTCCAGACCATGTCCAAATGGACGTTGAAGGAGACGGAAGACTTGGAGAGGTGACCCACAACAGGCCCGTCCATTCATACCAGAGTTGAGAGTTGTCTGTGAGTCGTTGGAACTGGGGCCACCAGGGCCACACGCTTGGTGGGCAAGGATGGCATGGATGGAAAGGCCCAAGGCGTCAGGAGTCAGGACTTTCGAGTAGGAATTCGAATGCCGCCGCCGCCCAAATCTTTCACTATCTTCCAATCACAACATGTTGCTCGTCTGCTCCAAAGCCTACCTGGTACAGGGAGTCCTGTTAGTGCGGCCACTGCATGCGACAGAGGGCGCCAGTCATTGATGGCACTACCGTGGTGTTGATTCTCACTTGCGAGTACAGTACTGGGTACATCTGATCCCACCTACCTAGGTACGTATCTAGGTACATCCCTAGGTACACCTTCTGCAGGCCTTCATACGGCGCCAGTCTTTTCCCCTCCCTAATTTGCCCCAGCACAGTTGGCGAGCTGCTGCGCGTCGGTGGTTTTCGGCCTCCTGCTGGGCCATCTCGAGGGCAGTCTTGGTCCAGCAAACTGTCAGCATCCTTGCTAGTCAAAGCACGGTTGGATCTTGTGTCACCTCCCCGCGTTGTAGCAGCATTCGGCACGGCTCGGGGCTGTTGCCTTCTTCCCTCTCATGTCTGGCATCTCGACCATGTCTGAGCTGGCTTGGATAGTCCCCAGGTCCTTGCTGTTCTGCCAGCTTACAGGGAACAGCGTTCTCGGCACTTCGCTCGACAGAGTACCAATTCGGCGTTTCCAGATTGCGTAACCTCGACGTGCTGTGAAATACTCCGACCAAAGTCGGGCCACCATTGGTCCTTCCCTGGCTCATTAATGCCCAACATAGGGTCCAATTTGGCTCGCGACGACATCAGGGGCCTCCGTCTGCAACTGGCGTGGCGACACATTATCCGCTAAAAGCGCTCTTCTTCTAACGACGAGGCTGCCGCACTGGTAGACAGTCACGTGCAAGGCTGACATGCTGTGGGAGGCTTCCTTTGGGTTCCCCGTCTTATTGGTCGAGTTCAGAGCGAAGGAAAAGTCTGACTGATTGTGGTGACTTAGATCATGACGAAATGTCACCTGAGACCGTGGTCTCCGCATTCGACCTCCATTACGGCTGTTTCGCGCCTCACTGGAGGCAGGCAACCTGGCCATAATCAGCGCTCGCCGTGTTGATGGAGACACGCGACAAATAGTGGGTACCTGCTTCAAGAAGGATTTGCACCTGCATCAAAACCCTGCAAGTCTTCAGAGACGACCATGAACTAATCAAATGCAGTAGCCATGGCCTGAAAGTGACGGCCTATCCCACACCCTTACGGAGAGGAGAGCGCAACCATCATCTCTTCTCAGCTTATAAACAGAATTCAGTCATGGATGGCTATTACTTGCCTCCAAGCTGCTGACAGGACGTGCGCCGAAGTGCCCGGCAGAGTGCCCGGTGCCAGCTGCGGTGCTAGCTCGAACATGCAGTTCAAGACTGTGCTTGCCGGCCTAATACGAATCCAAGACGCAGGAATAACAACAAGAGTTTTGTATATATACTAGGCTCCACAATTACTTCGACGGAAAATGCCGAAAAGCCAAACATGCAGCGGCAAGCCAAGCGGTTCAGGTCCCCATTGCATACCCAGTATGCACCTAATCAGTCGATGAAGCTTTTAGCCGGGATAACTCGGAGAGCTATCGACGGAGAAGGTCGGCGTCAAGATGCTCTAGCGGCGCCAGACCAGAAAAGCAGACTCCTTAAGGCCCATGAGCCTCCCGAGCGAATGCAGGCGCAATGAGCAGCTGCCGACTGCAGGGATCCGGATCATCGATGCAGTTGCACCTCCGCGGCAGCTGCACATCTCAAGGTACCTGCTTCTGCACAGGACAAGATGGTCGTTGGCAAGAGCAGCAAGAAAGAAACAAAGGCAGTCTCCTTACCTTTGCGGCAAATTGAGCATTCAGGTCGCAGGCGATTTGCTTCTCAAAAGGAGACTGATATTGATCCCTTGATGGAAAAAAGCTGTTCGAAATGCCGCTGAAGAGGAAAAATGCAGCGTCTGACGACAACTGTCGAAGAATTTATGGCGTCTTGAGCGTCCCCTCTTGCAACCTCCCTTGTGTCAAACTCCGAGAAGGTATTCCAACTCGACTGACAGGAGACTTTTTTCGACATTGTGGCTGCTTAGGTGGACCCAGACGAAGAATCTCCCCAGTAAATTGATTCCGTCTGACGAACGCTTTCTCCGGGGCCGTGAACCACATCCGCGATACTATATCAACAGCTGGTCAACATCTGGCTCACAACATCTTCGGTTGTCTCGCCACACTGATTATAGCTTTACCATTGCATGCTTGTTGCCCCTGCATTGGGAAACTTACCATGTGCCATCACCTCGACATGCCCCATCTTGACTTGACCATGGCGCCAGCGCGGTCGTCTGGAATGCATGCCATCAAGCACGGATCGCGGACCAGGAGCGTCCAGCCCGACACATTCCTTCCATCACACCCTGCGCTTCATTCTTGAACTTGAGATGCCTTCTTCCAGCTCTTTTGTGGTATGGAAGTGTCCCGGAACAACCAGCCCATGTTGATGTCCAAGGTATAAGTCCAAGTCGCTCATTTTCAAACCTTCTGGCCCTTTACTTTGGCAGCGTCGGTTCATTACAATGGCATTATATTACAGATTCATTTCCTTCTTCTGCTTCACCTTGTGGATCAATTCCATCCTTTCGTCAACACCGATAGGCGACTGGGAAGACATCGCGGCCATCGAGCAGTCCCACAGGCACCATGTCGCCCAATCCGGATCAAAGCACTTGCGGAGAAACGCCATATTTCGAGCAGGGCGTGCAGGTTACTGGAGGCCATTGTCTCCAAGCCAGCGGCCAGATCCCTCAGAAGACTTCTCAGATCAGTTGAACGGACTAATTGGCGAAATTGGAAGTGCGATTGAACAACTGATTGAGTTGCTTGCTTCGCAATTCAACATTGGAACTCTGTCGCCTGCTCTTGTCTCGCCAGCACAGACAACTATATTCCCTATCACGAATATCAACACTCCTCCGTCTTTGACGACCCCGCCAAGCTATGTAACTTCAACCACAACACACACCCCAGCATTCATCTCCTCCTCCTCCTCCTCGTCGTCGACGGCAACGTACACATTCAACCCACAAGCCTCCGACCTCAGTGTGGTCTACTACTCACAAACGGACCTTACACCTGTCATACCGCTGACTCAGGTTTGCAATGACCCTGCCATCGATGTTGTCATCCTCGCATTTGTCACAAACCTCATTTCCGACGGTGGATATCCTGCTATGAATATGGCATCAAATTGCTGGGCCCCCAACGCGGATCAACAAGCCGCTGGAGCCACGAAGCTTCTCGACTGCGTCGGTGACGGCTTCGCAAGCAAGATTGCCACGTGTCAGCAACAGGGGAAGAAGGTCCTGCTCAGTCTCGGCGGGTCTGTGGGAAATCTGACAATGCCGAGCAACGACAATGCTGTAGAGGTCGCCAATACACTATGGAGTCTATTCTTAGGTGGATTGGACCCTAGCCTGATGCCTCTGAGGCCTTATGGAAACGTGGTTCTTGATGGTATTGATATTGGTAAGTTTCTTTGCCGTCGCCGTGGTCGATGCGCCCCCACGATCAATTTGTGGCCGTTGGCTGACGTTTGTAGACAATGAATTGCCATCTGCTGCGATGTATATCCCGAAGTTAGTGTCGACGTTACGACAGCTAATGGGTTCCGACACTTCCAAGACATACTACCTCTCTGCCGCGCCGCAATGCCCCATTCCGGACCTGTCCATCCCTGTTGCGAGTCTGCTTAATGAGATTGACTTTTTTGGCATCCAATTTTACAACAACCCAGCGTGTCAACTTAGCTCTGGCCAAGGATTCTTGGGGTCCTTACAAGAGTGGTCCAGCGACCTCCTGGGCGCCAGTTCTCCGACCCGGCTAACGAAGAGATCTTCACGCATCCAGGCTCGACAACCTTCCCATACGTTCCACAACATCAACAACGGGATCACGTCCCCGCGACTGTTAATCGGCACGCCCGCTTTTCCACTCGCAGGAAGCGGCTACGTCGACGTGGCGACCTACAAATCGATCCTCGCGCAGGTGAAGAGCATGAACCTGCCGAATCTCGCAGGCGCAATATTCTGGGACGGCGCGTACCAGGAAGTGAGCAGGCAGAGGATCGACAACAGTGGCCGGAACGTGACGTTCGCGGAAGTGGTCAGGGAGATTTTGGCGTAGTGGGAAAAGAAGAGAGCATAGGACTAGACTGAATTATGGAAACGGATTAAAAGATGTACGGACATGCACGAGGGGTCTTGGATACGAGAGTTCAAGAGTTCATAATACAATGAATGCATCACTTCCTTCTAGTTACCTACATGGGAGAGAGTACATATTAAAATCCTGATTTTCCCTCAGAAAAGGGACGATGTCGGCGTTCGTTCATTCCACTGAGGGCCAAGGGTTCCGTAACGAGAAGGGGAACGGAGCGGAGAAGAGATAAAGGTAGTCAAAGGATGAAAGTCGAAAATCGAAACAGAGAGTAGAAGGCTGAAAGCTGAAAAGAGAAAATGCCAGAAAGTATCTTATGAATTGAATTCACTCCTCCCCACGTCCCACGTGTGAGTAGATGATGGGGGATCGTGCCTTTTTTTTTATTGTGCTTATGAATTTTCCATACCCTGCGTATCCTATCCTGCCCCAACCCATGCGAAGGAGAAAGAACGAGAAAAGTGGAAATGATTTCCTTTCCAACTGGCTGACAGTACCAGTCGGCACTCCTATTTGCGCGGCGCAACGAGCTAGACGTATGAGGCTCAGAAAGGCTCTCGTCGCCTAATCCAGTGCAGCCTTGAGCAGGCCTAGTCGACATTGATCTTGACGTACTCGCCCTCATCCTCGGAGCCGTATTTCTCCCAGTCGCTCATGTTATCCTCGTCGTCGACGTTTGCATGCTGCTGATGCTGCTGCTGCTCTTGTGGTTGACCCTGCACTTTGTTATTGCTGTCCTCGGGCTCGTATCTCGGCAGAGTCTCGACCGTCTCGTTGTGCGAATCCTCGAATCCGAGGGTCTCGGAGCGGTCGTCCCTCTCTCGGGAAGCGTTTTCCTCGGCTTCGCGTTCCTTTTCCTTCACTTTCGCTGTCTCACCCATGGTGATGTCCGCGAGAGCAGAAGGTTTCGATTCTGGTGCGACATGCAGAGTCGGCGGAGGTTGATGTTGAGGTTCTGGCACCGAGTCGGCGTCGTACATGTCCTTGTCCTCCTGCTCCTCATCTTCGCCCGCATCAAACAGCAGATCTTTCTCGTTCATGTAGGCGTCCTCGGGTCTCTCGTTGGAAGGTGCAGGCGAGGGAGACGATCCACCGCCTACATAGACTTCCTTCTTCTCGAAAGTCTTCTCCACCTTGGGCACGCGGATGATCAGGACGCCATCGACCATTTTAGCGGTGATGCCCTCGACGTCAACGCTGGCAGGGGCTTTGGATGTGCCCAAGCGAATGGTCTTCTCGAAGACGCCGGTTTCGCGCTTGCGACCGTCCACGACTAAGCGCGACATCATCTCTTCGTCGACCCCAGGTCGATGGACGACCCCAGCAACACGTAGAGCAGAGTGCTCGCCATCCCAGTCGACACCCACGTCAGACTTCTTGGCACCGGGGAGGGAAAGGTGGACGGTGTAGGCTGCAGAGGTGTCAAAGATGTCGGTTCTCGGTTCAAAATCAGTCTCGGACGAGCGCGGAGGTCTGATGCCCAGCCCTTCGGCGGCAGCGGTCAAGTCGACTCCAAGACGCTCACCCAAGTTGCTCAGGAAAGTGCCCAAATCAAAGCCGGACGCTTGGCCCTGACGATCACCGGGCACGTCGCGTGGTGGGGAGGGTGAGTGAGGTCCATGATGATGATGATGTGGTCCTCCGTGACCCCTGTGAAAGCCTCCGCGGCCGCGGCATCCGCCACGAGGACCGTGGCCTTCGGGAGCTTCAGGTCCAGGGGGCCCGCGGGGGCCGAAGGGGCCATGAGGGCTGAAGACAAATGGAGGTGGCCCAAAGGGAGGGGGTCCAAATGAAAATGGGGGTGGTCCTTGTGGTGCTCCCCAAGGACCGTGGCCGTGATGGTGACCATGACGGCCTCTTCCACCGCGGCGGCCACTGTTGTTTTCGTCGGCGTTGTCTTTGTTGCCATTGTCTTCGAAGTATTTCGCGAATCGACCACGACCACGGAATGGAGCGTCCCTACCTTCGGGCTTGAGGGTTGAAGGATCGATTTCTGGAGGGTCGTCGACGCTAGCTTCAGGCTGTTTGCCTTTAGCCTTTTCGCTGGGTTCGGCGGCGGCAGCCTGCTGGGCCCCTGGACGAGGCGGCTGCGGTGGTGGAGTTGGTGGGACAGGCCGTCGATGACGGGCGAAGAAGGGATGGTCTTCGATCCCGGCGACGAAGTCCCAGAAGGGATGGGGTGGCTGATTCAAGTAGTAGATGGGAGGCATCTTGCTTGCTCACTCACGATGTTTGTGAGGAATGAGAACGGGGTCTGAGATCTTGATCTGGACGATGAGATGGGATGGGATAGGGAAGAGGATAGGCAGACGAGGCTTTATAAAACATCACCTAGAGCTGTACCCCGCTGCCAGGCAAACACATTCCCTTCTTGTTACGCACTCACCTTCCAAAGCTTAGGCGACGATGGCGGCGACGCAGCTCGAAGCTGCGAGAAGGCATTGGACGCCACAGGCAGCCACAGTCCCTCGATTGGCTGCCTGCGCCATGTGGCGCAGATGGTGTGACTCTCTGCCATGTTCTTGGGATCTTCTGGGCTTCGTTATTCTGGGTGCCTAGATGGCGGTGCAATTCGACTGGCTGATGAAGTGCCGAGTAAGTCGGGGGGGCAAAATGCTTGGGAAGAGACAAGATCTTCGTATCCTTGAATCTCCATCGGCTTCTGAGACCAAGTCTGCGCCGATGTGCGACGCCGGATCAAAGTAAATCCGCTCCTCCACGACCCCCTCTTCTTGATTCGGCCCTGAGAACCCTCTGGACCCTCAGCCTTGTGGCCTGCAAGTCTGTCTTCTGTTCAGCGCAATCTTAATCCCTCGAGACCCGTTTTCCCACGAATCCAAAAGTCTTGCTGGACAAAGCAACCTGAAGAGTAGCCATGTCTGGATTCTCCATTGCATTCGTCCCACCTCTCAAAGTATGGTCTGGCTCTTTGCGGGAACAGTTCTTGAGTAAAGTCGTCGCTGATTCTAATGCCCGCGTCGTCTCATTCTCTCGCTGCGCATTGTGACAAGATCCCCAGCAACCACCATCTTGAGGTGGCTGTTCTTCAAGCGGTCGACTGCATCCGCGACGCGAGCTCACGTTCCAAGTGAGCGTCGCCTGAAGGTAGTCTCCGTTGGATGTCTCTAACCTTGTCGACGTAGTCTCTGACATTTATATTCCCCCGCCACAATTGCCCTAAATCTCTGTATGGTGACCTACATTCCACTATTTTTTGACGTCACGGGATTTGAGGGGGGTCTAATAATCTGTTAAATTCATCTCGAACGTAGTCACACGTAATGCAAGGTCTTCGAGATTGGTGGTAAGGCTGTGCATCCCCTTCTGCGCCAGTCACGTGTAAGGCCGCATTCTCACCCACCACCCACCCCCACCCATCTTAATGACCCCGAAACCGCCCATGCGTCTATTATATACAGACAACAAAAACAACAAAAAAGAAGCAAAAAGAGTATGTTGATGAGGGTGGGACTCGAACCCACGCGGACAGAGTCCACAAGTATAAGGACTTCTTACAACTAGCTGGAGCTTCAGATATGCCTGAAACCTTTTTCAAGGGATTAGTGACGATTCCTCATTAGTTTGAGTACAAATACATACTTGCGCCATAACCACTCGGCCTAAGAGAGCATGGTTAGCTCCCAAAATTCGCCAGCGACGATGGTGATTTTCACATACCACCTCACCGGAATATTTCGTAGTGTTTTTCATCAAGTCTAAAACATGAAGCGTTTTTTTTTTTTTCGGTGGGGAGAAGGGCATTTGAGGGGCGAGTGAGGGGTTGTTACTGGGTACATGAGCCTCACCAGCCCCCCAAGAGCCCCCCTGAGCCTAGTCCACCAGCCCAGTGAGCCGTGGCCCCCCGGCCCCTATGAGGCCTCTACTGTGTACTTGTACTTGTACAGCAACCACGATCTCTCCTTGCAACTTCGTTTTGATCAAAAGTCATCGGGCGGGGCGAGACAATGCAGTGTACTGAGGGAGTCTCCTTGGTCTCGGTTCGAAGATGTTGCTGCCCTGGCACACCCTAGAGCTCCCGTTACGAATAGTATTACTGGAGCACTTGTGCCTACAGCCTCGAAGGTCGGCTCTGTCTACCCAAGGCAAGCGAAAACGAAGATGACTCCCAAGCAAAAATCAACACTGTTGACCGAGCATTCCTTCTCATCTTCGATTATGCAGGACTGAGATTCTCCAAGGCTCACTCCCCGTATACAGAGTTTTTTGGGCCTGCATCGCAGGTCTTGGGTCAAGATCCTGGTGAGAGGATAAGTAAATCGGTATAAGCACTAACAAATAGCCTAGGTACCATTGGGAACAGAAGCGTCAATCAGACACGATGAAGACATTGATGCCGGGTCGAGTCGAACAGAGCAAATCAGGCCACCATAGCATTCCTGAGATTCCTTTCAGAGTCGAAACCAGCATGATTGCCTAACTATCTGCCAGGTACAGTGTAATACTGTGGTCACCAGTCTCTGAGGTGCTACAGGATGTCGTAAACCATACTTTTCTGAGACGCTGGTCGCTGAACAACTCCGCTCTGGCGGGCTTGGAGGCACCGCTCAATGATTCCACTGAGTGGTTCGGAGAATGGAGTAATAGTTCAGGCCTTCTGGCGCCTGAGGGCCTCTTTAGCGAGACAACATGCAAGGGGGAAGGGTCCCTCGCCAATCACCACTCCAGGATTGTCACTTCTTTCGCCAACGACAAGATATCCAACTTCATTACTAAGTATTTATCTCTCAAAAGAAAGTCAGTGGGTCGGCAGATTTCATTCTATCTTCTTTTTTTGCCCCTTCTGTCCTTCTTCACTAACTGGCAATATCGCTGGACCAGCCTCAGTCCTTTACGGATTAGCCTCGTCAAGCCGGTTCTCGGACACCGGGGCGTCTCAGGGATCGAACCAAATATCTGGGCGTACCAAGCTCTTCGAAACACCAAGAAAAAGGAAAGGCCAATATCAACCTTCATCCATTGACTTCACGTATCCGAGGAGAAGTGCTTCCCACCATGGCTCAACCTATCCTTGGTCTCTTTGACGCCAGGCGGCTCACTCCTCTCCTCTTTGCCCTCCTAGCAATCTACCTCTCGGTCAAGCTCATCCAGATCACCCTGCGTACAATCACTACTCGTCGTCGTTACCAAGAAATCCCGCAATTGCCCCGTCATCCAGTATGGGGCCACTTGATCAACATGGGCGAAAAGCTCAACCCGGCTCTCCGGAGGCATCCGGATTATGCATTCGAAGAAATTTGGGAGTCTTTGGGCCAACCACCAGCTTTTCTGATGGATCTGAATCCTGTTGACGGGGCGTTTCTCATTGTAGCGGACCCGGGCATAGCTGAACAGATCACCCAGCCCAACTCGACATTCAAATATTCTCTCCCGAAGAGCGACACCTTGATGTCCATGTACCGCCTCATTGGTCTTGAATCATTGATCATCGCCGAGGGCGAGGAATGGAAGCTCTTGCGAAGGAGGTTCAACAAGGGATTCTCTCCCCAGCATCTGCATACTCTGGATGGCATTATCATTTCCAAGACTCGAGAATTTGTGGATCGGTTGAAGCGCACTGCGGCAAGTGGTGACATTTTCACCCTCAAGGACTATGCACAGGATTTGACCACAGATATCATCACCACGGTTGCAATCGAGAAGGATTACCATGCTCAGACGACTCCCAACGGAGTTGGGTCAAAGGGCCCCTTTGGTATGCTCACGGCTTCGCGCTTACTTTCGCAGCTGGTGTTCCCAGTGGGCAGGGGGTTTAACCCGTTTATCTATTTTGATCCTATCCGGCCAATGAAGTCCTGGTTCTACGAACAGGTGTTTAACCGCGACCTGGCAAAGGTCATCCGAGAGCAGATAGCCGCCGAACAGAACCAGATCGAAGATTCGGGCAAGGATGCTGCAAATGGCAGTGCCCAAAGCGGGTTGCAGAGATCAATAACCCGCCTCGCTTTGTCAGGATTGAGCCCGGACGCAGCGCTGATCCGCAACACCGTGTCGCAAATCAAGAGCTTTTTGTTTGCTGGCCAGGACACAACTGCCACGCTTATCCAATGGCTCTGCTTCGAGCTCTCTAAAGCTCCATGGTCTCCATCCTCAGCGGCCATCCTCGAGAAGCTGATCCAAGAACATGATTCCGTCTTTGGCAAAGAGGGAGGGCCCTTCAATGCCCTCGACATCCTTGGCCGCACCGACGAAGAATCCCGTAAAGAGACGGAAGCCATTCTTGGCAGTCGCTTACCCTACACGACGGCATTTATTAAGGAGACGTTACGCCTTCACCCGCCCGCGGCTACGGCACGACTTGTACCCGAGCTCTCACCCGAGAATCCGACCCCAGCAATGTTGAAGCTGCGCACTACGAGCGGCGAAGAAAAAGACGTGCAGGTCAATGGCCTCAGGATCTACGTTTGTGCGCACCTAGTTCACATGAACAAAGCTGTGTGGGGGCCCGACGCTCCGGTTTTCCGACCCGACAGGTGGGTGGATGAGAAATACGTCGCGTCTTTGCCAACTGGTGCATGGCGGCCATTCGAACGTGGACCGAGGAATTGCATCGGGCAGGAATTGGCAATGGTGGAGGCCAAAGTTGTGCTTTGTGCGGTGGTAAGAGGTTTCCAGTGGGAAAAGGTGGGATATTCAGGAAAAGGGCAGAAGGAAGACATGGAGAGACCGAGGGGAGATGGTAAGGATCACGGGGAGAGGGAAGTGTGGAGTGTCAACCAGGTGACAGCTGTGCCAGTCGATGGGATGACGATGAAGGTTCAGCTGAGGAAATAGATGTTGGAACTAGACGGAATTCTCATAGACAGGAGGGCTTTTTGTTTTTGAAAGCTAGCACATCGATCTGGACTTGTATCATGCATGATTTCTCTGCACGGAGTATTCTGCCTTGATGGCCTCGACTCTGTACTGTTCGTGAGGTTTTTGGAGGCTGCGAATCCCATTTCATGGCGGACTTTCTCTACCCACTTCGTTGTGCCCAAAAGAAGATGTGAAGAGTTCGAAAGAAGCTCTGTCATCAGGGACATTAACGTCGAACCCGATAAAAGTATTGAGGACGTAAGTTCCTGGTGACTAGGAGGTCAATCCGTGATCTGTCACTTTGCTGGTATTGTTGTTGTAGTGTAGGCAGGCCGCGGCCACGTTGTTTACCTCCACTTCCCTCCCTCCAGATACATCATAGGCCCTCAGGCGCGCCTATGCATTCACACACTATGGGAAATCAGGCCGCCGTCTGCAACAGTAACTTCGTGAGCGATTTCGACGGCGACTTGGATTTCATCCTGTGCTGCTGTCACGTGCCGGGTGGTGCACGCTGTGTTGGTGGGCGGGGGAAGGAATGTAACTGTCGTCGATGCTGCGCCGCTGCGGTCCCTGATATGCTGCCCTTCTGCTGCCAACCTATAGGGAAGTTTGGTGTCTTGGTGGCGGCATCACCCCGTCTCCGTCCCGGCCTGAGCCTTGATTCGGTGCCATTTGTTCTTGGGGGTCGACCTTCCTGTAGATCGGGCTAGTTTCCAGGCCCCCTCCAGCGAGGTAGGCTCCCTTCCAATCCCTGGAGTCTCTCTGTTAAAGTCGTTCAGCCGTTTGTCTCTCTCCCACAGGTCTCGTTGTAGACTTTGACATCAACTTCGACAGCGACTTCGGATAATCAATTTACGAGTCCATCTGACAAAAGCATAACACCATCCAAATCGAGATGATCAGACTCCATGCGAAGCAGAAAGAACCTGTTCAGCGTATAGCTAGCCGTGGTCTTCGCTGATTGTCGTCTTCATTCTTCAGGGGTTCTTTGTGTACGCACAACTTCTTCGAACCACAGGTGGCCGTCTGGCTCCAAATGCTCATCATAAACGAATCTCCCCAAAATGGGTTTTGCATCCTGCCAGGTTGTAACTTTCATTTGATCGGCATGCTTTGCTAGCGTCGTTATGAACCACGGTTCTTCGAGTGATTCGGTTTTTATATTCAGATTGGTACGCCGTACCTTGAATTTCTGTCGTTGCTCGTACAGCGCGCCGGCGTAGAGCATCCATAGGTATGCCTCTTGATAGTGTATCCATTCGACTAGATTTAGCATCTCCATGGCTGTCACCATGTCCCGCGCCAGTCGAGGCATGATGACATGCGAAGCTTCTCGTATGTCAGCACCATCCTCTATGATCGCCTCGTGCACGCGTTTACGGCTCTCATACACCAGTGTGAGAACCATGCATGCCTGCGTCAGTCGGTGGCCTTCTGAATTAAAATGAATTCTCCCCTCCATTATGTCCACGTACAAGTTGATCAGAATTCCGAGATCATGAAACGTCTTGGTCGCAATCCAGGCAAAGACCATATCGGCCTTGAGTCTCTCTTGAGCAGTTGCGAATGGCAACGGGGTTTCAGCGAGCCACAAGCAATATCTCAATCTGACCATTGCCTCGCGATGCTCAGGAATTTCCACACACGGGTGAGCGTTGTGGACTCCTATAGGAGGGACTGGCATATAAGGAGAAGCGAGTGCCCATAGCCTTGCATGGGCCTTCGCGGTCCAGTTACCGAAAGGCACAACCGTCCTTTCCAGTTTCTTGCAGGCCAGTTCGGTGGCATCGAACATCATAACCAGAGTGTGCTGAACACGCTCCATCTCATCAGAAATGGGGTCGGGGAGACGCAGAAGGATATCCGCATGAGCTTTGGCTGCTATCGTGTCTCCCGCCATACACTCCGTTTCGAATAGACAGCGAATATGTAGTCTCAACGCAGCCAACGATTCGGGCGATGTTTGTGGGCGCCCGGCGAGCTCTTCTCGCAGCAATTTGAGGCTTTTGGCCCGCATTTTGAGCCTCGCTGTCGAAAGTTGCCTAGTGGTTTGGGCAGAGGTGAGACGCACTATGCCAGGAATGTGACCGCACAACCAGGCAAGAGCGGCGCCCTCGTTCATGTCTCTGAATCCCTTCATGCTGAGAAGAAAGCTTGACCCTCCAATGACCCGATCAGAGTTCTCATAGTTGACTATCTTAGGGCCTCCTATGGTAAGACGTCGGAAAAATGGTGGGCTGAAGATGTTTGGAAGCATGACGTCTCTTGCAAAAGTGATGATACGGTTGACTTCCGGTGTGATTTTGATGGGGCACGCATTGAACGGATCAGATGAGCCATGCAGGAGCCAGATCATCTCGCGATACTGTGGTTTAGCCTGACTGTTGGCTTGTTGCCCAATATGAACACGTGGTTTACTATACTCCTGTTGCTCTTCTTTTTGTATCAGTTGTTGCTGCAACTTTGCCCATTTTCTTTTTTGATGGGAGATTCTGGCTGCATGTGCCTTTATCTCCGCCCCCTCAAGCTCTTGCTCTCGAATAGGCCTGTCTCGTTTTGATGGGGGGAGAAATTTGATGTTTGAATGGAGAAAGAGCACCATGTTGGCAGCAATGGCCGAGTCATCGAAGTATAAGTTGACGAAAGAAGGCAGAGCTCAAACGCCGTGATGTGCAATTTCGACACAAGGAGCAAGTGTGTTCTCATTGTTGGAACACCCCACATTTTCTGAGGGATAGCCACTGTATATAATGCTGTGCAAGAGTCGTATGCAGCTCAGCTTTACTTCGGAGGGGCCGTTAATTGATGATCTGCATTTTGCGAAATGGTGTGATGATTTGGTTCGTGTTGGCAGCTTAGCTGATCTCCCGACGATCTAGTTGGTCGTCGTTTGAGGGGTTATGACCTAGTTGTACAGGGAGTGCCAGCCAGGGAGACACAAGCACGCCTTCCGCGATACCGAGCCCCTTGCTCGTCTTCGGATTTGTTAGTGTGCTCAACCTGAAATCATGATGGATTATGTCTGTTTGAAGTGTCGTCTCATTGCAGTCTTCATCCTCCATAAAGAGAGCTCAGCGGCCATCCTTTGAGTTTGGAATCTAATCCATAACCGCAGTCCAGAGCGCTGACAAAGATCTCATATAAGCCGCATATGCTATCTCTGGTTAGGGGTGTAAGGCTGCTTCCGCCGATTGAGTCATCCCAGAACGGTTGCTCAGAAGCCAATTACTCAGCCTTTGGCTGCTCTTTCTACCGGGGTTCTCCCTGTAAGGACATGTCGGCATTGACTGGCCCGGTCGAAGAGGCAGGCTACTCAATGAACCAGAGACAAGTGTGAAAAGGATGGTGTACCTTGGCTCCAAGAAGGCCACGGCGGGATTGTACATGACGACATAGAAAGGCTCTGAAGAGGACAGCCATTATTGCAAATTTTGGCCCTTAACAAGGTTGAAAGCCACTGTACAGTGTGCCGTAAAAGGAACGTCTTTGTCGGCACGAGGAGTGTTCTTGTTGAATTGAAGCACAACGATTTCTTTTACGCTTGATTCGACCGAGCATAAAAGAATTGCTTCAACTATTCGTGTCCAGGCTGTTCGGTCGACAGTACGAGGTATCGGGCCGGCCGGATCCTCTCATACAGTTAAAACTTCGAATCCATCGTGAGGAATGTACACACGCTCGCTCACATCGACAAATCCTCTTTTCGTCGTGGCAAGAGGTCATAGACCGGATTCTCCGTTATTGGGGAACATCTATTTTGGTATCTCCATTATGACTGTTGACCGGGTGGCATACTAATCAGCGGCCAGCCCAACGGGCCTGGGCCGTCAAAGTAATGGTTTGGTGAGAAATTCATCTGTGGGTCGCCGCCTCCCCCAACCGCTGCTCCTCCGAGATTGTTTTGATTCTGCGGTGGCGTGGGATAACTCATGTAAAGGCTTCCCGAATCATTAAGCAATGAAGCCAAGGATGTGGGAATTGTTGGGATGGATACGGATGTGGAGAGCCCACTAATCGGACTCTGAGGGAATGCTGCAAATATGGGTGATGTGACAGCAGTTCCTTGCCCAGACCCTTGTCCTGATGGTAGCGGATGAGGGAGGAAAGGATATGTCCCATCCCAATGCCGCTGAGGCTGTTGATGAGTCAATGGGGAGGTTGGTTGGCTTTGTGGTATCCCTTGGGAAGGCATGAACACCAGTTGGGGAAGGCTATTTCTGTGCATCGTTGCACTTGGGCTGGGGTTCTCTTGGAACGGAAGCGTATTGGGCTGTTCAATTTTCACCGGCCCACCGGCATTAAGGATGTTGACTGGGCTTGGTGGACTTTGAGCATTTTGGTTGTTTGGAGGCTGTTCAATCAACAGCTTTCGACACTCATCCTCAAGAGCTTGCACGCGAGGCTGAAATTGTCTCTGCAAGTGATTGCCGGTTCCTAAAGTGCGTTATGTTAGTAGTAGAATCTTGTTGGAAAAAGCGTCGACTCACTCAGGACGAGGTCTGCATATGCCATTAACGATGTCCAACCTTTCAGTTCATTCCGCATTACCTCGAACTGCTCAACGGTAATAGGGCCTTTCCTCCTCCTGTAGACATACAGGGTGATGCCGAATCCAGTCGCATATGCCAATGTGGAATGCCACGTAAAATCCACGCCTTTGTATCGGCTCGACAGTAGGTGAAAGCTTTGCAAGAGACGTTTAGCAGATTTATGACATATATCTAGATGACGTTCCTTCACTTCAGGATCGTCACTAGTACAGCACACTGGATGATGCAAGTTTAGCTGATATTCGGCAGCCCAGGTTTCGAATAAAAGGGTCGCAACCCGTAGATTGACATGTTTCGGCTTGTTTTTGGTCGACTCATCCCAGTCTTGCCGCCAGGCGATTATTTTCGTGTTTAGCGCTTCCACGGTTTGAAGGTATTCTGTTGCGGGCTTTCTCACGGCTATAATATTGTTGTGTAATTCTGTGAGAAGGGGCAGGAGTTTTGCCAGGTGTAAACAGGGCCAAAACTCGCATTGACCTGACAATTCCGACGCAAAGCCGTCCTTGGATATTTCAGAATCTTTGATGGCTCTGGGTAAAGGGATATCGATGTGCTGGAACTGCCACGGCGCTGGTAGGCCCACACGACAGCCTGTCGTCACGCACACCCCCAATATGGAATGAAAGACTCGTTTCCGAAGCTCCTTTGATAGTGGATCGTTCTCACCTTGGGGAAGTTGGATCTTGTCTGGGTCACGATGATATTCCAACTCGATAGCGCGTACCAAGACCTCATGACAATAGCTCCAAGACACTCCAGGTTTAGGCAAATTTCGAAAATGGATAATGATCAACGCCATTGCCTGCATTGATGCAAGCGACCGGTCATGGAGGAGTTCGCGGTAAAATCCCAGGGCGTAGTGAAAATAACGATGGGAATCCTCAAACTTTTCAGCAGAATGTAGATGATTTCTCACCGCCGTTTGATGGGCGATTATGGTGAAGACAATCACCACCTGAATCCGCTCAGCGACCTTTAACGTGCTCGGTTGCTCGTAGAATCTGTTGACGAGCTCCATAAAGCTGGGTCTGTGGACGATTGGAACGTATTGTGACATGATGACCAGGAAATGATTGGCATCTCGGAGAGCTTCTTCCTTCGGTGGCAATTTCGGATCCCCCACTCGCTGATATCCATAAATGGTATTGACAATCGATGTCCTGGAGAGGTTGAACTTATCCGTGATCTCATTTGGGTAGTCGTTCATCATTTCACATTCCCAGTCTGCAATGTCGATGTTGCCGTCCAAAATGTCCACGACAGTTCCCTTGACTGGACCGGAATAAAGAGGTTCACAATAATCTGGGGAAGGCCAGCCGATATATTTCGCATCAGGTCTTGGTGGCGTTGGAGACGCAGAATACGGTGTGAACTGGGACATTGAACTTGTGGAAGTCGCTGGAGGCACCACACCGTTGGGCTCTGTCCGCTGCAAAGAGCCATATCTGCACTGGTAGGCGGCTAGTTGCTCCCTCAAGAACAGCAGCTCATTTTCGGCGCGATGAGATTCTCCTCTTTCTCGTGCTTGCCCGGTGACACGATCCGTGGTGTAGCACCGCAAACCCTTCTGACGACAAGGCTGACATGCCACTGGGTCTGTGTCACATTTCATCTTCCTCTCCTTGCATCGGTCGCAGGCCTGTCCTGTTCGAGACGCCGATGCCAGCTTTTTGCGGACCGCATCACTGTACTGCGCAGGTTCTTCGGGGAGGGTCTTGAGTCTCTTCGCAGGAGGGACATGGTCATCGATGGCAGAAGAAGGAGTTGGTCTCTTCGAAGTAGCCGCGTCCATGGGAGGACAGATCCGGCGTCGTGTGCAAGAAAATCCGTGGTGGTGGCGAGAATGAGGCTCAATGGGAAAAGTGTCGGTTTTTTCGAGGGCCCAGGACTGATGGCATGTACCGAGTACCGTGGCACAGGCCCCATAAAAGGGGTCAGAGCTGAGCCCTAGCAATATGCAAGACGGGAGCCGCAAATGCAGACGGCTCAAGCAACATGTAAAATGGTCCAAGTCCAGGTCGAGGTAATGTTATATCAAGACTCACTGTTTCTGGATTAGCATTTCCAAGCTGCTTGAGATCGCAGTGATCGCGAAAGGGCCCAACAAGGGCAGGTAGCTACGGGGGGAAGCTTTCCGGGCTAGTGAGGCCAACAGCTTGGTCTCTAGATGACGCCGTGACGTAGACTACGGGCACCAAGGAGGCTCTTTCCCGCGGGATTGGCGGGCTCCTAGGCGGGAACCTTGGGTGCACTGCTTGAGTGGGTGCTTGGAATAGTGGCTGCCCCTCAATAACCGAAACCACATGTCTGGCACCTGCCGCAGCCCACTTGGAAATGACCCTCAAAATCCACTCGGTAGGATGTCGCTTCCCGTCGAGAGATAAGTCAGCAAAGAAAGAGAGTACGGAGTATATCGAAAAAAAAAGGCTGCCTCTTTTGTCACCTCTGCCTCAGACGCTTGTGATTCACGTGACCCGACAAAGGCCCGGTCCTTGGCGTCGAGAAATAATCTCCGGGTTCTCGAGATCCAGACCACTGCAGGACCACTGCCATGTGAACGACAGCAATTCGACGATGGACCTTGCATCTCTCCTTAGGTTAATTTCCTGCGCATGATGCCTTCCTCACACCGTGGTGTCTCTTACGATCGGAGAATCCCTCACCATATATCCTTTTCTCAGCCCCTACTTGACGCCGAAGAGCGATCTGCGAGACCTCGTTCTCATGGTCGAGAAGTCGGCGAGTCTTTGTTCGTAGAAGACCGCAAAGGGGATCGTCAAAATTTGACATATGGGTCGTTGGATCGACATGCTATTCCGCGCTATCGACCGGCTGGTCACGGTGGCTTGCTCGGCTTGGGTCCGAATCATCGCATAATCTCACGGTCAGAGTCTCACCTTGATGTGGACAATGTCGAGATTGATTCGACACGAAGGTCCCGTAAACAGTCTCTACTTTGGAACCTTCCCGATGACGATCAAAAGGTGCTGAATGTTCAGTCCGGAGTCAGCAACATACCAGATCTCCACAAGGACTTTCTGAGGTTCGACCATGATCATCCAAGGAAGAGGAGACGAATCTTGCCAGGATTGGAGCATCCAGATCTGGAAGACGATGAAAGTGATGAGTCGGACTCGGATATCCAAGGCCTTGCACGTTCTGAGAACGCTTTTGAGGATTTCAAAAGAAACCCTGTTCATCAACGTCATATCGACCTCTTGAGAGCCACGGAAGCGCGGCCCGAAGACGTGTCGGCCTGGCTTGCCTTGATAGAGTATCAACAGGTCCTCTTCAGCAATTCACACGACTCCTGCAGCTCCGGTTCTTCCTCGTCCAGGGGCATTGTCGATCTGAAAATGTCGCTGTATGAACAAGCATTGTCACGCGTTAAGGCTCGCGAAGATAGAATTGTTCTGATCGGGGGTCTCATGCAACAAGGGAAGCTGGTTTGGGATGCAGAAAAACAGGCATCCAAGTGGCGAACCTTCCTCGACGACGACGACGCCACATTCGACTTATGGCGGCTTTACCTCAACTTTGTCCAAACCAATCACGTCAAATTTAGCTTTCAAGATTGCTTGAACAGCTACAAGCAGTGGCTTCACGAGATTGAAAATGCGTCTGCAGACCGGACGAAAGATACGAGCTACATATACATTCTGTTACGCCTGACCTTGGTTCTGTGGCAATCCGGGTTTACCGAGCGCGCGGTCGGAATTTGGCAAGCGCTCCTCGAGTTCAACTACTTTCGTCCCCGAAACCTCTCTTGCGCTGAGCTCGTACCGTCATTCCAGGAGTTCTGGGGCAGCGAAGTTGCACGGATTGGGGAGGAAGGCTCGGCAGGGTGGTGTTCAAATGCAAGTGCAGAGATCGAGCCAAAAAGCGACAAACTGTTCCATGTCCAAGATATGGATTTCGAGGCCTGGGCTTCCGCCGAAAATGACCTCGAAAAGACAGCAGGAATGCCTGCAAGAGCTCTCGATGAGGTCAGCCAGGATGATCCGTATCGCGTTCTTCTGTTCCCGGATATCAGAGACTTCCTCTTCTCCCCGACCACAGAAGAGGGCTCCTGGCTACTGCAGGACGCCTTTTTGTTATTTTTAGGGCTTCCCCCACTCTCATCACTACCTGAGTCCAGGGTGTGGGAAAGAGACCCCTTCATCTATGGCCAGTCGCCTACGTACAGCATCTCTTTACCGTCTGCTGGTCTTGTGGATTACAATCTTTCCATGCGCATGCGCTTTCAAGAAGTCTTTCTAGAGTCTCGGCAATTGAACTCTGAGACACACAACATTCCGTTTTATCTCCCAGAGAGAGTCATCGCCTCCTATTTCGGCTTTGCTCGCCGAACCATATATCAACTTGCAGGACTGGCTTTCGGCGGAGAACTAAGAGAAGCGCATATGGAATATGCGATTGCTTTAGAAGCTGGAGTGGATTTGAAATCAGCCAGAAAACAAACGAGGTCGTTTCTGAAGCACAAGGCTGACAGTCTGAGACTCTATAATGCATATGCACTGCTCGAGTGCCAGCTGGAGAACTTCGAGAGCGCTGAAAGGGTTTGGTCCACAGCCCTGTCGATGCAATACTCACTCAGCCAAGAGATTCAAATTGATTCATTCCTTCTGTGGCGCGATTGGGCATATTCGTACATGTGCCGGAGACAATTTCGACATGCTAGGACTCTCCTGAGCATGATAAAAGATCCACAGGTGGGCATAGCTCGGCTTCAAAAAGCAATCGAAGCCAACACTAAACCCTCTGCTTCCCTGCAGATTAAGGTCGAGCAATACATCAAAACGCATATCGAGGCGAGCCGCTCCCAGAGTCGAGCAGAGCGATTACCGGCGTTGGTCGACGTCCTGGCGTTTCATAAGTATCTCAATGCCGATTTATCCCTTGAAGTTGCCCTAGAAACATACTCTGCATCTCTCAAATCGCTCGATGGTCTGTCGACAACCTCTTCTGCCATACTCGAGGCTATTCATGAGCACCGAGCTCGCTTCATATATGCCCATTCGGTGACTTTCGGAAGGTCTTTCAAACCGAGCGAGCTTGTTCTTGTACTGAAGGGCTCGGCAGAAATGTTTCCCGGTAACCTCAACCTCCTACTGCTCCATCATTATTTCCTTCAGAAAGCCGGGCTATTTGACCGGCTGCGGCAGGTCATCCCCGAAGCAGAAGGACATCGCCATGCTCAAATCAACGCAGGTGTGATTCCTTGCGTGTTTGACTTAACGATGGAACTCAACAGACCATCGTACGCGGGGAGCACAGATCACTGCATGCGCTCGGCGTTTAAACGAGCAACTCAGCTAGGGTCTCCAGGGCATGATAGTATCGAAATATGGAAATCATACGTTCTCTGGGAGACATCCCTACTGAAATTCCGTGATTATTCGGATCCACAGATGAAGAAATCCACTCAACATGAAGAGAGAGCACCCAATCACTCGGCCATGGCAAAGCAGTCCTTTTATGCGTCGCTACGCGCATGCCCGTGGTCAAAGGAACTATGCATGCTGGGATTTACAGAGCCTGTGTTGAGAAACGCAATTGGCAATGAAAAGCTTCGGCAAGTGTATCAAAATATGCTAGATAGAGGTATGCGGCTGCACATAGATATCTCCGATACTTTTCTGTAGACTATTGCATATATCATACTCCCGCACAAACAAGCAGGCAGGGTTGGACAAGGCTGCACGCTAAATTCGCTTGGCGTGATCTTTATGCCCGCTATGTCCGAAGCCTCCAAATAATTTTTTGTGTTACATGCTTGATTCAGAGTGGAGTTTTTTCAACGACCAGATTCTATCGGTTGACAATTTCGTCGCAGCTAGTCACTGTGACATTGTCGCTCATGGAAGCAGTTCCCAGTCTCCTTACCTTTCCTTTACGGCACCAGCGATGACCTCCACCTTTGCCGCGCAGCTGCGCACTATCGCCGCAAACTCTAGAAACGAACTCGACCTCCGCGCCCGACGGGACGCACACGCTGAATCGCTCCTTTTCGAACGAAGTGTCGCCGCCAGTCAGGACTGGGAGACTATATACCAAGTATGTGTGAAAGGCTTCCAAGAGCTGTGCTTGTTGGACGCAAGACTGCACGAATTTGAACAAAACCTATATAGTCCCGAGGCCAAGACGCAGGACAGAGAGCAACTCAGCAAGACACAAAATGAAGCGCTAGGGCTCGTGTTAGAGCGATGCCTCACTCTTCTTGGATCAAAGCTGATGCTTCGACCTGGCGTGCAAGCAGTGGAATGGCTCGTGCGGAGATTTCGCGTTCACAGTTACAACACAGATGTTCTTCTTGCCACGGTCTTGCCGTACCATGAAACACCAGTGTTTCGAAACATCTTGAGCATTATCCCAACAGACAGGCTCGTCAATGGCTGGAAGTTCTTGGGTCCCTATCACAAGGAGGCAGCAAATGTTCCTCGGCACGCTGTACTGCACAGTGCCACTCACAACGATGTCTTTTTCTCTTTCTTCAATGACTACACCTTGCATGCGTGCCAAGAAGGTGCGGCTCACCCACAACTCCACCGTTTCTGGGGCAGTGTTGTTGTCGAGGCCGTCAGTGGAAGATTGAGCCAGGTCAAAAATGGGAGAAAAGAAGTACAAAAAATGCGGACAGAAGATGCGTTGTTGAAGATTTTACCACTGCTCAATGAAGGATTGGAAGTCAAAGGCTGTCCCGAGTTGGCAGTTACTTGTTTCACGATTAGCCTCGTGTGTGCAAGCACTCTAGATCTGGAGGATCATGTCCTTGACTCCTTGATGAAGGCGATTGCCCCGTTCATCATCAACGAAGCAGCGGATTCCAGGGAAGCTTTGGCATGTTTGGCTATCCTCGTAACAAAGAAGACCGAAAAACGAGTTTCCAAAGATGTTCTTGACATGTTCATTAACATCAAAGATTTGGGGGCGCGGTTGTCTCGGTCATTTGAACACGTTCACTTGGCCCCGTTGTTCGAAGCCTTGCTCAGCTCAGCACTCCTGGGATTGAACGAAAAGAATATGGACAGAAGAGTGCAGTTTGTCGAACGTATGTTTGGCACCGCTAAGGAGCTCTTCGCATTGGCGACCAAAAGTCAGTTACTTGCCATTTTGCTTCGGAAGTTTTTTGACTCCGGCTTGTCACCCAAGTCGAAATGCTGCACACGGCTGGTCCGTCTACTACAGGCTCTGGCTGGCTCTTCCGACTTCTCGCCATCTTTCCCCGATGCAGTATGCTTAGCTGGCCGCTCTCAATCAGAGGTAGAAGACCTTCTACAAGGAACGATCAAAGACCCGCAGCTACCTCTCCTTGAACATTTCCCCGCGGAACCTGAAGGTCTCGAGGAAGGATCAACACATAATTCGGCTGGGGTGGAGGTGGTACTTGCATCCCTGCCTTCTGATACCACCGACTCGTCATTCCTCGTCACTGGGAAGCGTTTCCCGCTGTTCGATCAGCTTGCTCAAGCTTTTGCACTTTGCTGTAAGGAGAGGCGGCTCCTGGAACAATTTGAAAGGATTCCACTGTGGCGGAAACAAACGGGAAGGCCTTCGGATTTGCATACGAGCTTCCTGTTAAGAATGGCTCTGGGCGCCTTCTCACTCACCCCTCGGAGTGCTGCTCTTCAACTTCTCTCCGAAGTCATCGAGAAGGGGGTGGTTTATCATTCAGAGGCGCTGATTCCTTACCTTACCGTCCTCCTTTCTGATGATATCCAACTTGTACGACGTGCATCCGTCGCTTGCATAGTGGCAATTTATAAGGCTGCCTCGAAAGAAAGCGGAGGTGACCAGCACGCAGCAGAAACAGTGTACGATGCACTTGGCATGCTACACATCAAACCACTATCATCTTCGCAGGTAGCAAAGATCCTGCAACAAGCATACTTACCTTATTTGGAAGAATGCGTTTTGGATCGCTCCTACATTCGCAGGGTTCTTCAGACAGCTTTTGACGGTCCTGATCGCACGTCTTCATCAAAGACTGCCGATATTGAACTAAAGAAGAGCACAAAGCATGCGCTCTTTGATCTGTTGACTGGCTGTGCGTTAGGCTGCCCTTTGCTCAGAGTCAAGGTAGGAATACTTCAACTGCTTATCGGCATTCACAGAGTTGGCAGCTCAAGCAGCAGCGAGATTCTTTCACCCATCCTCGAGGCCTGGGCATTATCCAAAGAAGGTGACGCTGAAGATGCCGCGTCATCAGAAGGTCTTTCCCCGGGTCAAGTTGATGCCGCAATGGTTCAAGTCGTCAATGCGCGGGACAAGGAAGCGGTTCAGCATATTCTTGCAATGCTTGTTGATGACAAAGTCCAGCCTCGCGATGCCCTGGTTACTGCTTTCTTCGACAGAATTGCAGGTATTTGGAAGGACATGCATCATGAGTCACAGATCTCTGCTGTTGTACGCCTATTTGATATGTCCTTCTCCAAAACCCCCGCTCAAGCTGCCGGAGCTCGTCAAGTTCTGCACACAGTCACTCTCTCTACTGAGGCTCTCGCTGCACTGCTAGATCACTCATTTTCCGGTCTTGCTCAGATGCAAATGGATATCCAACCCAGAAAGAGACGTCGCATAAGCCATGGGCGTGAAAGTATCCCGAAGGATCTATCAATCGAATTGGATGGAGGCGAGGCGAGGCTGACGTTTGCGCTTGAGCTTATCGAAGATTCCAAACCAGAAAGCCATCCGCAATTGCTTGGGGGCTTGTTCGAGGTATTGATCATTCTAAGACGGGTTAAGGACATGGGAACATCTGAATCTCCTTACCTTCTCAACCTCTGCCTGAGCAGCATATTGGCAATCGTCGACAATGCACAAAAATCACTAAGGCCAGCTATTGACGTCTCTAGCATTCGTACCGACTTAGTCACCGATTGTGTTCGATCGTCAGAAAATCCACAGGTCCAAACTACAGCTTTGCTTCTCTGTTCCTCTCTGGCTTCTCTTGCTCCAGATCGAATATTACATAGCGTAATGCCGATCTTTACGTTCATGGGTAAGGGTATGCTTTCGAAGGACGATGAACACTCAATTTACGTTACGAATCGAGCTATCGACGAAATAATCCCTCCTTTGGTTGCCACCTTGAAAAAGCAAGATGCCAAAAAGCTTGTCCACTCCACTTCAAGCTTGCTCTCGAGCTTCGCTACAGCATACGACCATGTTCCTCAATATCGAAGGGCTGCTTTTTACCAACGGTTACTTAGCAGGCTTGGTGCTGATGACTTTGCTTTTGCAATCATTGCTCTTCTTGCGTCAAGACGGCATTCAGACGATCTATCTTCATTCTTTGCAGGTTTGATGGCCGACCTTTCGGCATCGACTCAGCTTCTGACCTTCAGAAAACTTATCGATTTGACTACAGATGTCTTCTCCGAGAATCCTCATAATGCTCTGCCATTATTGGACATCAGCACGACTACCCCGAATGAGAAGAGAGAGCAAGAAGCAATAGCCTTGCTTGGGGTAGCTTCGAAACTCCTCGAGCCAAAAAGTCTGAAGACGCAGGTAAAAGGACTTCCAAAGTCTGATGAAGCCGAAAGCGAGACCTTCTGGGCCGAGTTCAAAATCTGCATCAACCGCATCCTGGGCATGCTCAAATCCCAAAAGTCCGGCGACAGTAATCTGATTCCATCCACAAGGAAATGTCTAACCTCGCTCCTCGAGTTACCTCCCCTTGCCGACCTTCTTAGGATCATGCCCGATCTACTCCACGACATGGTCCAACTCGGAGAAGGTCATCATGAGCTTCAAACTCTGGCGTTGAGAGCGCTCGCAACACAACTCCAACACAACGCTCCGAGCTCGAGGGATACTAGAACGCAAACCGAAGCTGTCGTGTTCCTCCCCACCCTCCAGCAAATCATCCGCACCACTACTTATGAGGCGTTCAGGCACGCTGCGATTGCATGTCTCGATCGCATAATCGAGATGTATGGGCGCAAGAAACCGGACGATGTCATTGCCGCATCATCTACCTTGACCGAGATTGATTGCGGGCTGGATTCCCGCGATGAGAGAACAAAGATTATGTCTCTGCTCTGTCTTGCGAGCATGACGGAGGTCGTTAAGGAAGGAGGGATTCCGATCGTGGCGCAGGCCCTTCCTCAAGTGCTGGATCTCTTGAAATCGTTCTTGTCAAAAGAGAGCGAAAGCAGCAAGACCGAAGGAGGCGTGGAGCTTCACAACGCCTGCTTCACGTTGCTTTCTTCGTTCCTCACTCACACTCCCTACGTGATCAGTGACGAAAATGTTACTGTGCTCCTCAGTTTATGCTACCGCTCGTGCCTCGCAAAACCAGACAAGGCGTCGTGCAAGGAGGCTCGGCTCGAGGTGCTGGACCTCATGACTCAGAGATTGCACTTGAAAGCACTGGTGAGCAATTTAAATCAGGCCTGGAAATCGACAGTCATCTCCGGCGGGGAGGTTGATGGAGACGCGACTGCCGAGTATTTGGATATGCTTTCTAAAGCGATTGAGCGGAACCGGAAATCCGCGGTCGTGGGGGCTGCAGACGAGATATCGACTTTCATCTTGCAAGTTTTGGACTTGCGACGGCTCAGTCAAGAGAAAGACACTGCAGATGAAGAGACCCATACCGAAGGCGCCACCTTTTTGGACATTGAGGACGTTGAAAAGAGGTTGCATGAGTTGAGCATTGTGTTCATTTTCAAACTTAACGAGGCGACCTTCCGACCAATCTTTGAGGGGTGGGTCGACTGGGTGACTAAACGCAGCCCCGATGGTTCCTCTTTGATCGAGGGGGACTCGCAGGTGGATATAGCACGGACGGCGAGGCAAACAAGCTTCTACCTCCTCGCCACGCATTTCTTCATGAGGCTGAAGAGTATCGTTACGAGCTTCGCGAGTTATCTACTCCCTTCAATGAACGACATCTTCCGGTCCACTATCGACGGTGCCTTTCCAGCCGCCGCTGAAATGAAGTTGAACCCTACAGATCGAAATACGGACGCGAAGCCCGGCACGCATATTGACCTCTCGGAGGAAACGGGCCTGAAACTGTACAAGTCGAGCCTGGATCTGTTGATGACAATCGCGGCCCACGACGCCGATGGATTCTTCACTTCACCCTCACATTTCCAGCCTCTGGCCGGGCTGCTCGTCGAACAGTTGAGTCTGGCCTCGTCCTCAAAATCTAAAGTCAAAGGCCAAGGCCAAGGCCAAGCCTCCTTGCGAAAGGGGGTAATGGACGGGGTGATCCCCTGCATCGTGGCGCTGGCAAATGCCGTCCAAGACGTCCCTGCACACCACCACGCCCTCAACCACCTCCTCTGCCAACTCCGCCACAGCAACTCCGCCGCAGTCCGCCTTGCGAGCATCCGCACGCACCTCGCGCTCACCGAGTCCGAAGATGTGGGGGACGAGTGGCTCCAGAACGTCGTCCTAGGCCAGTCATCATCGAGCGCTGTCGCGGTGACCGAAGGCGGCGTCGCAGTTGGCGGGTCCGGCGAGACTATGATCTACGTGAATGAGATGCTCGAAGACGACGACGAGAACGTCGAGGGCTGTGTGAGGGAGTGGGTGAGGATTGTCCGCGAACGGGTCGGCGAGGACGTTTTTGAAGTCTAGTCTCGCTAGACGACGCGGCTTGCTTGTCATGCAATAAATGGCTTACAGAATGAATGAATGAATGAATGAATAGGTAGCTGGATGGAGAAAATGGAAATGGATGGAGGCAAAAGAAAATAAAATTAAGGGTTGTCGCAAACCTGGAATCGAAGATATGTTCGTAGGAGTTCAGATAGATCGACAATCCGACCGGAAAAGCGTGTTCTTAATATGTACAAAAGTAAATGTCATTTTTTTTTTTAAAAAAAAAAAAAAGGGAAAAGAAAAGAAAGGGGGCCGGTTTTGACAAAGGCTGCACCTTGGACATTCCATTGGCCGGCTTTGATGGACTCCCTGGCGACGTATTTGGTTTGATTCGAATTTCCCCGAAGTTTGTATCTGAGATTCGGACGAGCCAAAAATGTGACAGGGACTTTAACTATTGGCTCGAGCGTCAAGCAATCCGCTGCTGCTCCGTCTTCGGCAGCGTTCTTAGAACAAAACGTACGATGGCCACCCTCGACAATCATCCAACAGGTTTCGTCTGGCCATCGAGTCGAAAATTGGGGGATGACGCCTGATTTCAGACGTCCGGGCACAACCTGACGCAGGTTGGTTGGGACTGTCAGGTACCCTTTCGGTGACTCTTTCCCAATTTTGACGACGTAGACGTTCGGGTCCATCTTCCAATTGTGCTTTATGGAAAAGTAGTCTCTGACGTGTCCACCAAAATGCTGTCGGTTGATGTGTCGCATCTCGCAGAAATCACCTCTGGGTGGTCGGTCAGTGCAGCCAAGGCCTTTGATCCCTGAGAACCGGTCTAGCCCTTGCTCCTGGAAGCTTAACCTTAGCGGAGCCCGGCGCAGGAATTCTTGAAGCTGGTTGAGCCGGTCCGGAGTGGAAGAGGGGTATTGATTTTGCCAGGCTTCAGTCATCTCTTGGACAGTCCCATGCTGCCAAAAGCAGCCTGTTTTAATGTAGATGTTGAGGTCCACGTATCCGGGGGAGCAGAATGATCCCTGGACGCTTCTTGAGAATCCCGGAATACTGTAGCGACCACCTTCGCCGTCTAGCTCTTTACCAGTTTCTGTTTCCCAGGGGTCAGACCTTAGAGGAGCTGGTTGGGGAGCAATATCGTAGAACGTCTGTCCTTTTACCGTGGCCATTTTGTGAACTACTGTGTGACTCTCAGAGAAGCACCGCTGGTAAGGCAAATAGCTGAAGATGACGTTAAGAGCGTTGATTGCATCAGTGACACCTTTATTCGACATCCGCGTGACGGCTATACGAGATTGTATAGATTGGCGATAGTGCGCAAAGAGATTGCCCAGGGAGATTACCGCTGGTTTTCAAAACCTCACACGGTAGTGATCGCAACCTGGAACAGGACTGGCTGAGTTCTCGTCGTAGAAGTCGAATTCGCGCGGCTTGGTGACGTTCTCATCTAGTTGTACCGACGTGATCAACAGGTTCAGGTAGTCAGTAGCGACTGGATCCGGAAGCCTCTTTTCGAGTCTGAGTTGCTGAAGCAGGAGGTAAACAAGTCGTTTCTTCTTCGGTCTTGCAATCTTGGATGTTACCTGGTTAACAGCATTGCCGCTGTCAGGATCAGGGCCTTGACCGTAGTTATCCTATACTTCTGAAGAAATTCTGCTCATCTGCAACTTATACGAGTAGACTTGTGTGTATTTCCCAAGTGTGATGGGAAAATGGTTGACCAGCAGGTCTTTCCCTGGGATGTCGTTGTTCGATGTGGGTTGAGTTCTCGAACTGAAACCTGACTGAGAACCTCTCGAGCCAGAACCTCCCTGAGGAGGTCTCGGGCGGTGGGCTAGCGGGGAGTGTCCCGGTCTACCGGCGGTTTGAGAATCCCTCCAGCTGGCGCTGGCTCGGAGAGGTGCCGAAGGAATATTTGCTTGAGCTAGTGTCTGGGTGCTATCCGAAGGTGGAGGAGCCACTTGCACATTTGGTCGAGAATCAGCCACCGACGGAACAGTTGATTGAGCAATTGACGAGGAGTGGTTTGATCGGCCGTCATCACGAGGGAAGATTGGGTTTGCACGGTAGATCGGTTGTCTCTCGCCAGCATTGTCGTTGGCAGTGGATCATTTAGGAGGACCCCAGTTGGGGTTGTAATGGGACATCTTGGTGAGTTGAGTGACGAAAAGGATAGTTGCGAGAAGGAGAAAGCGACATTTCACTCAAGAGAAATGGCTTGACCTAAGTCATGTCAGCAGGACGAACGAGGACAGTTTGAGCCCAACCAGACCAAGCTGTTTGCCGCAATAGCAACAACACCAACACGGCAAACGCTGGTATCTTTGGTTTGTTAAGTGCCAAAGACGCGAAGAAGCGCTTACAGAACCAACCATGTGCTCTTCTGAACAGAAAAATGATGGAAAGAGGTCAAGGGCTAGAGGACAAAGCACCGCTGTGGTATAAAACGGAGCAGCCCGTGGAGGCTTTGGGTATGAAACGAAATGCAAGGTGCCCTTGGGATGTTGGTTATCCGTAGACCATTAGAGCCCAACGACCAACGACCAAAGACCAAAGACCAAAGACCAAAGACCAAAGACCAAAGACCAAAGACCAAAGACCAAAGACCAAAGACCAAAATGCCGAAAGTGATCTAGGCAAGCCGGGATATAAGTTGCAAAAGGAGCGGCTTTGGACCTGGTGATTGTCAGTAGGCAAAGAGCAACATCCATGAATGTGGAAAGATTCTCACCTTCACCATGACAGCGGACTTTCCTTGCCGTATCACGTTGATCCCGCCTCTTGCCTCCCTGTCTCAAGGGGCGGTGGCTTTTGGTCCTTCTTCAACCCGTCTCTTCAACTCGTCATTAAACTTGTCCAGCTGCTTGACCAAACCGCTCATCATACTGCCTGGAATCAACACGCTCAATAACCCTTCTGCATCTTCACCGTGATCGAACAACGTCTTCCTCCCGCCATCCTGCGCCACAAGCCTAAACCAATGAAGGCCTCTCAGAGCCCATCCCAGCGATTCGGGCAGCGGACCGCCCTTCCACGCAAACTCTGTCTCGTCGGGGTTCCAAGTGGTGATGCGTGCCGTATATGTCCCGGGCTTCGCGGTTTCAGACATCTTATTGGAAAAGGTGACCAGTGTGCCTTGTTCAAGGGGGTTCGAGTGGGCACGGATGGATAAGAACCAAGTGTTCCAAGTCGGCCAGCTGGGGAAATCAACGAGGACCTTCCAGACGTCTTGGGGAGGCGTGTCGATAACGATTGATGATACTGCCGGCATGGTGGTCAAGCTGTGACTGCTTCCACTTGACGGGATGTGTATGCCCTAGATGGGCCTGTCACTTCAACAGCAGTGAGAAAAGACAACATGGCGGCGCAGGAACGTCTTAAGTAGTTCTCCTTCATGGATGCCTGATTGACAAAAAGAGCAAGGAAATGTTCGCATCCCATACCGAACTTCCAGCAGGGGCTTCATTGTTGTTCAGAGGCCGAGTGGTTCAAGCTCTTGCAAGGAATAAACCAGGGGGTCAGCGCAAGCCGACCGAAGTTTGGTCCGGCTGCTCGGCGCCACCATCAAATTTCATATTCTGAAGAAATGGCCAAGACAGGGTGTAATATCGATCACAAATACTCCGCGCCCGACAGTCATTGTAGACTCCAAGATCCTACGCTGCCTGAGCATTGTCTGATATCATCATCAGTAAATTACCTGTTCTTGTAGACTTTTCATAGCGCTTAATACAAATCGTCCGATGGCCTGTGGTCGTGGCAGGCTAAGCCTATATTCCATGCTCAACACAAACAATCCTCCTTGAAAATGCCTCATGAAGCGCTGCAACGCAGGTCCTATTGATAAAATCCCATCAGCTCATGCCGTCACTCACGTCTTCGTGCTCCTCGTCTGCCTGGTCGTCCGGACTGCCGGCTCTGTTTTTTGCTTGGCCACCGTGCTTTCCTTGGTCGTAGTTTTCTTGCCTCGTCCTTTCTTTCCAGCAACTGCATTCCTTTTCTCCCTCAAGGGCCGGGATATATCTTCCTTTTTCGCCAACTTATCATCGTTTTCGCTGACAGCAGCAGCAGCAGCAGCAGCAGCAGCATTCTCATCCTCGGCAACATGGGCTTGATCTTCGGGACCTCTCTCTTGAGCCGACATCTCAACGTTGTTCCTTAGCTCTTCGTGGGTTGTGTCTTCGCTCTCGTCTTCGCTGTCGCCATCGCCATTCTCCGCCTGGTCCTGTTCTTCGTCCAGCTCTCGCTTCTTTGTCATGACCCTTCTCCGAGCCGTTGGACTACTTGCAGGAGACTTCATGTCTTCCATTTCAACGTCCCCGTCCTCTGTATCCGACTCTGCATATGATACGACGTTGGAAGTACGAGTACTCTTCCGCGACGGCAGGTTCGGACTGCTAGCAAGCTCGGAACTCCTGCGCTTCGGTTTTGGTGTCCTGCGGATTGCAAGAGTACTTTTCTTCGGCCTCTTTGCCGGTTTCTTTCTCCCTTCCCAATCATCCTCATCGTTGTTCAACCCCGCCGCATCGCTGTTCCGCTTCTTCTCGGCCACCACTGCCCGCTTAGGTGGTCGACTTGCATTCTTCAACTCTTTAATATAGGACCGAATCATCTTCTCTAGTCCAATAGCAACGTCTTCGGGCAGATAATTCTTCTCAGCGATTTCCTGCGCCGCTTCGTGGCTGGGAAGTGCTTTGAACAAGTTCCGCGGGAGGCTGACTTGGCCGGGCCATGTCTGGAGAAGGTTGAACCCCTTGGCATGCGCTGGCATGATATCTGCGTAATTTCGAATAACCGCCTGAGACAGATCGCTGAGAACATACAGTCGCTCACTTGCTTCATCAGTGCCTGTGATACCGTCTCTGGCAGCCTTTACCCGCTGTGCAATGTGGAAGATCAACGAGAGATTGTCTTCCGTGGCAACAGTCCACAGGTAGAAGACGATATATTTGGCAAAATCGAGCAATTCTTCCTCAAATTCGGCGCTGCGTTGGGCTGGATAATCCGGATGATGAGCTAGTAAACTCAGCAGACGTGCAAATGTCGACTCCATTACATTTTGATTTACTTTCTTATTTGCAGGACTTGCTTGGAGCTGCTGCCTGGCAAAGAATTGTACCCGGGCTCGAATCCAAGTAACAGTCGACGTTCGCAGCTCCGTGTCTGGCTCAAAGGCTAGAAGAAAGAGCGCCGTGAACCACCTATGGTGCAAGCGGTTCAGACCAAGATACTTCTTCAGTGAGTTAACAAACCCAGCCCGCACCGGATTGGGAGGATTGATTATAATCATCACGATTGAAATGAACGTTCGAGGGTCGACGAAGTCGTCACACTTTCTCTTATGACTGCAGAGCTTCAATATCAGGTGTGCAGCGATGAGTCTGAGTCGGTTCTTCTGTGAGGGCGGTGTATCCTTTGACGGCGTTATTTCTCCCTCATTCTGGATCAAAGCGGTGAGATGCTTCAATGTCTCCTTGGTCAGCGCCACAAATTCGTCGGTATCCGCGGTGTCATCCTGGGCCCTGCAACGATTGACGAGAATCCTCAAGGCCAATTCTTTGGATCTTGTCTCGTCGTCAGGCCTCTCATCCCAAGCACTCGGATCGTTCTTCTTACTAGGCGACCGGTTTTTGAGTAAGATTTTCGAGACAGCAAGTTCCTGAATGGCATCCAAATCGACTTTTGCCGCGGCTGGTGCGAGGAGGCAGACCTGCGCTATCGCAGCCAAGCGTGCAAGGAAATGAGGATCGTCGGACTCGATAACTTTCAACGCCTTTGTCAGGAGGTCTTTTGCGTACATTTCCTTTTTGTCAGCCGCCATCATGATAATGGTCACGGCATGTTTTGCTGCTCGTGGTGATTTCGAGAACAGAGCGAATTGCGCCAATGCAGTCAGAAACTTGCGCTCCTTGGGCATTTCCGATGGGTATTTTCGAGCAAACGCCGCGCATGCCTTCAGGGTGTCAGGGGTACCGTCTTGTTCGGGTCTTGTAGCTGCTGGCGCTTCATCCTCAAGCTCTTTGCACAGCGTCTGGATGTGGTATTTGAGCACTTCCGGGTTCCTAGCAGAGATCTCCTTCAGGACCTCGTGGGCCACTTCACCCAGACCACTCTCATCCGTCCGCGATATCGCCATGATCGTCGGGACATGGCTGCGATTATAGACGAGCAATGCACACCTGTAGAAGACCGATTGAATCGTATCAACAAGCGATTGTACAGTGCTCGGGGCTTCGCGTATTCGTTTAATGAGCTCTTTGATGGCATTGGTAACCGTGCGATAGTCGTACTCGGGACCAGTGGCAAATCGTATCAACTGATACCAACGACGATTGTGTTGCCTGGCAAACCTCCAGAGGTCAGCGGTAAACTCAGCTGGATCAGGGAAGCTTTTCGACAGCTGCTCGATCATGCGGGTGAGACGCTCCTCAAGCGCTGCCTCCGACGAGCCGTCTTCCACAACGCCTCCATTATATGCCTCACAGGTCTCCAGGAACACTCTCATGCCTTTGCTCATTTGCACCTGTCGATTCTGAAGGCTGAAAAACACCGCGCGAGGTCTGGTATCCAAGCTTCGAACTAGCGTTAGGATGCGACGGGCTCGAATGGCGTCAGGATCGAACACCGATTCTTCTTGTGAGCCACCGTCTTTTCCTTTGGCTCGCTGTGGTTGGCTTTCCGAGCGGGATATTTGGACTTTCGATGGCGGGAAAGAGAGCGGCAATAGGCTTTCATACAGCACTCTGTCAATGACAGCGTGGACGTGCGGCTCGTTCGTGAAATAAGCGCCAAAGATACGGTTTGGGATCTCTCCAATGGTGCTTTTGACGACTTCAATGCCCGACTCGATATCGCGCGAACCGACGCCCCAAATCCGACCAAGCAATTCAAATGCAGCCTCTCTGACGTGGTGCTTTCGATCAATGACGCGCTCAGCCAAAGAGGAAAACACGGTGTACGGCTCCGCTAGGCCGCCATCCGCTCCCAGAATATTGATCGTATCTTCGTAGGGGAAGGTGTTGATGGACTGGATGGCCGCCAAACGAACGTGTTCTTCTGGATCGCGAAGCATCTGAGCAAACCCGGCAAGCAGGTCCTCAAGCTCTTGAGGATTCAGACCGATGCCTCCAGCCGAGGTGCGCAAGATTCGACCAGCCGCATTGGCCCATGCTTCGCGAACAGCATATGACTTATCATTCCGACGGCCGCGAAAGGACTGATATGTCGTGGCGTGGACCGCCATAAATGGCTTGGGGGAGGCAGGGGTTAAGAGCGGGTTTGTGATTTGCGCAGGCAGCTCTCTTGGGCGGTCAATCGAGGGCAACGGATAAGCAGCAGGATCGAGGCGTACGGATGGAGGCAAGCCGGCAATGCCAATACCAGCAGTGATATCTCCAACAGTTTCAGTGGCCAGCCGACGAAGAGACGGAGAATCAGCGGAGAATTCTTCCTCGATTTGAGGAATGACATTCAGGAGAACATCTGGGCAGGCACGCCACAATTCTCGAAGTAACCGATGGGCTTTCCGCAAATCTGCTAGGCCCTCTCTTTCTTCACCGTCGCCATCCAGGTCCGAAGCAGAACGCCTGTGGGAAGGCTGAGGGACATTATTAGCAGTGGTCGCGTCGACGATCACAGTTCCAAAATATTGTGTAATATGGGCCGTCATTTTCTCGGGACAGGTAGTGCACAGTGACTTTGCCATGTTGTATGCTGGAGGGTACTCCTTGAGGAGCAATGTCCCTTGCTTGCTGTCGCGAGCATCCCGTTTCTTGCCTTTGGTTCCGTGGTCCTGAATATTTCGGGCGTCCACGCGCATAAACTGGGAAATGATGATGTCCGTAACTTCTTGAGGGAGGGTAACCTCATCGACAACTGCAGCCAGAAGGTTCTTTAGGTGGTATTCCACGCTCTTTGAAACCTCCACACCCGAAGAGTTATTCCCAGAGCCCGCGACAATATCAAAAGCTGTGGTGAAGAGAGACGTGATCAAGGTGTCGTGGTTCGGAATGTCAGTTACCAGTAGAATGCTCTGCGACTCAGCCAAGGAGTTGAGGATGTAGACATGTTGCGCATTATATGCATTGGTTGGATCTGCAAGAGCAGGGAGAATGGAGTTGATAATGACCGTGAAAATGTCCTGCCCCTCTTGTCAGTTGCGACGCTTTCAGGTATATGCCACTGAGAAGAGCCAGCCCACCTTTAATTGCCCCTCGAGAAACGGCGCATCCGGGGCGCAGATCTTGAGAACATCCACTATGCAGGAGACGGTCCATGCTCTCACGCCTTTGTCCTTGTGGCCGAGGAGATTTGGATTTGCCAGATCGTGCGCAAGGGTGGTAAAGGCGCGCGAGTCGACCTCATCCAAGTCATAAGTGCGCAGCTGGCCAGCGAGCTTCTGGAGTCGCGTGAGAAGGTCTCCCACGGCAATTGGTCTGCCGGCGCGCCATGTCAGGGTGTCTTCGAACTGCAGGCCTGGTATGTGATATCGACGCTGACTCGGCGCAGCTTCTGCTGCAGCGGCATTGCGAGGCCGAGAGGGCATGATGCAAAGAGGGGTGTCACGGCGCGACGATCATTTTCGAAAAGCGGTGCGAAACACGATCAGAGGATGGAGAACAGTTGTTCTACCCGAGACCAGGATGCGCTGTTGTCAGGTCGAAGGCTCGATGATGGTCAAGTGCAGCAAGGGGCAAGGATGTGGTGGTGGGAGCAGTCCCAGATTGATGATGGCGGCGGTGGTTGAATGCTGGCGATAGTGTTCGAGTAACATTAGTATGGAGTGCATACAAAAACGCGTCCGCATTGAGACGCGTCAAATCACTTTGGCACTTGATCTTGCTTCTGAGGCACTCCGATTGAACTTCATTGCTACCGGAAACCCTATTCTCGAGACCGTTCAAGACCGTTTTATCCAACCTGAAGTCTCTCTTTCTATGCTTTTACCGAGATATGGGCCCATGCATGACTTGAATTGTTGGTCGTGAGTCGCGGCCTTCTTCTCGTCAGCCCGTCAGCCCGCCAGCCAGCCACAGACAACGCTCCCTTAACTCCCCTTTCCCTCTCCTACTGAATATCCAACCCGTCAAACTTAACAACCAAATCATCCTTCTCACCATGCGGTGCGGGCTTCGCAGCATAGACACCAATCCAAATCTCTGTCTCCTTGGGCACATCTCCCCACCAAGTCACTTCTCTCAATGGTAACCTCTTCCCGCTCTCACTGACAAGCCAGATCCAGAGACTTCCGTCGCTTGCATTCTCCATCTCAACGATAGCCGTGTTTTCAATACTCATTGTCTCAGCCAGCAGAGGCCTGAGACTCCAATCTGCCCACCGATCCTTGGCCACAGTGCCCACCAACGGCACATTGTCGAGGAACTCAATGCCAGTCTTGACCCAGCGAGTGATGTCGCTCGTTCTTATGACGAGACACAGTCCGCCTTGATCGTACTTGTCCTTCCACCGGGCCGAAACTGTCACCTTGGCGGACTTGAATGAGCCGACTGTGTTAGTCCTGTACACTATTGGCGCATTGAATGAGTGCGTTGCAGGCGGCTTGTCCCAGATATCCGTGCCCGGGGAACAGGTGATTTCAAAGGAACCAGAAAGGTCTGGGATCTCGTGGTTCAGGTGAATGGCCTTGAAGTTCGATGTCATGATGTAATTGCTGGGCTGGTAAGTGTGCGATGCGACAACCAGCAAATTTGGGCGGCTTTTGTGGTGGACAGATCTTCAAATCCGTTGGAATGGTGTGAGTTAGAGTGTCTCTGGCCTCTCCCCTGCACGCGGCTTGACAACAGCTTTATCGATGGTTTTATAAGGCCTGGAAGTCTTGCGGGATGGATTTGTCCGTCCAGCGAGCACAACGTTTAGCAGCTACATCAGACCCTGATACGGTACCGAGGCCGCCAATCCCAAGGATACAGCGCCAAATTGGGAGCGGCCCGCCTTTGGCATACCGGATCGAAATCATGTGAAGGATTTCTGGTATTTTCCCTCACATTGAGACGCCGACACCAACCGGGAAGTGTCCGTGTGAAGAAGATCCAAGATGGAGTGTGGAAAAGTCGCATCATCTTGGCTACTTTCTGTTGATGCCAGGCCGCTGGCTGGACTTCTTGCTTAGATTGCACTATTCAGAAAAGCAAAACCAAATGCCCTCGACATTGGTGGCTCGAAACGAACGCATGCCAAACAACCCCGGGTTATAAAAGGTCAGTCCTCAAACAGCTCCCCTCGAAAACCTGTCTCAACACTGTATTCCAAAGCATTCTGGGTTTAATTTTGTATGGCTGGATCTCTCCCGACGCGGCTGATACGACGGCATAGCTGGACCACCTACCGCTGCTAATCACATTTCACACCTGAAGCTTTCCCACATGGCCTCTACAAGACGCTATCTCATCCTCTTTTCGGTGCCTCGGCGAAGATCTTGGTAAGGCGCTCATCAAGCCACTTGACATCGTCCATATTCCCTGGCGGTCCCCCAGCCCAATGTCCCCAGATGCTTGGATAGACATCCAGTTGGCCAATGCCCGGCGACATGTTTTTGACTTCATACTCGGAGTCATCGGGCCTGTTATGGATCAGAAGAGCTTAAGCGATCGAGAGCCAGATATTGAAGTCGAGGATGGTCGAAACAGGCGACCGAACAAGAGCACAAACAAACCGAACGGCAACACTTACGGGAAATACAGGTCCGTCTTGCTGGGCAAAACCAGCGTTTTGGCCTTGATGGCACCCATCGCCGCCTCGAAGTTTCCGTTATATGGTTCCTGCTTGCTGACGTCTCCAGCCTGCCATGTGTGCAACATGACCAACAAATTCTCCGGATCCTTTGAACAGGACCATGCTTCCCAGAAATTGACCATGAAATCCTCCAGGTCTTTTGCACCGTAGGCGGACTCATGGAGCTTTTCGCGGTAAAAGGCCTGCGAGAAGCCCCAGCCGGCGTACCCTCTCCCAAAGGCCTTCAGACCAGCCGCCTTCTCCTGCTCGGACCACTGACGGTTGGACTTCACCGCGACGGAATCCTGGGCATTCTCAACCCTGCCGAAGGTACTTCCCGCCGAACTGAGTCGCTTGCCCGCCAAGAGCGCGGACTTGACACCTTCCAAAAATACCTGGTTGTGGATGGACGTCTTTGCACTCCCGCAGAAGGGCACACAAATGTCGACGAAGTCCGGATACTGGGTGACCCACTGAAACGACTGAGCGGCGCCCATGCTCCAACCCAGCACAGCCCTCAAATGCTTGATCCCAAGCTTCTCCGTAAGGAGGCGGTATTGGGCCTTGACGTTGTCGTAGAAGGTGACGTCGGGAAACGGCACGACGTCCGAGTTGGAAGGGCTGATGGACTGGCCGTTGCCAAAAAGCGCGGGGATGATGATGAAGTATCTCTCCGGGTTCAACGTCTTGTCGGAGCCGATCAGCCACTCGTTGTCAGAAATGAGGCCGGAGTACCACGACGGATAGAGCACGGCAGCGTTGCTGGGTGAGCCGAATGTCTTGTATGCTATCCATGCCTTGGGGATGGTGGCTCCGCTTTGCAGCGCAAAGTCGCCCAGGTGGTATGTCTCGTAGTCTGCCATCGTTGTCCTCGTCTGCAACAAGTGGAAGAGGGAGTTGATGCTAATCAATATGGACAGATAGATAAAATAGACAGATATCTCAGTTGAATCTCGTATCAGAGTCGGTTGAGTCAGATAAGCAATGAATAACGAAGAGCAACAGTGGGAAATGCGTTCTTGCTCTTCCTTTCTCTCCTTCTCTCGCGTGTAAACTGCTTAGCCAGTCTCCTCAGCCCACTCTGTAGCAAACAAGAGGTCCGTCGAGACTCTCCCCTCGTATCATATCAGCAGCCAGCACATGCCGCGAAACTCTGACCCCGCAAAGTCGCTCATCTCCACTCGACGCCTCATGGGGGATTGGTGCTTGTTTGATACCATTACGCAGGGAGAGGAGGTGCCCGTTGTCCGAGAGTGTGAGTGTGAGTGTGAGTGTGAGTGTGAGTGTGAGTGTGAGTGTGAGTGTGAGTGTGAGTGCGAGCGCGAGTGCGTATGAGAGTGGGCGTTACTGAGATTTGGTGTATGAGTGTACATGATGTCGCAGGACACACACAGGGACAGATATACAACCAGATATAGAGGCATCAACGCAGGTGTACACATTACGTACCGTCAGTCATGACGTAGAGTATGTAAAACAGGGCGACACTACGACGACGACAACGACGACAACGACAACGACGACTCCCACCCTTCTATAACCCGCATAGATTATGTACCTCGTAGAGAGACACAATACAACGAGCGGACACCAAATCCCGTCTCTCTCTGACTCTCTTGAAACTCGGTGGGCTTAGTTCTATCGACCTATCTCCTTTCGTTTCTGTGTCTCCGGGCAGGCCCATTTCCTGAATCCAGCTGCCTATTGTGGGGGAGGGAGGCGAGTGCAAGATAGATTTGCCATTTGGCGATTTAATTTCTGACAGCCCGACGGCGACAGAATTTCCCCGGTCTTACTTGCTGCTCATCCTTCAAGGACTCACTGACGTACAGATAGTCAGACCATTGAGTTCATTCAGAAGAGAAGAACCAGCCGTCCACGTCGAGATCGGAAACTCTGGTACATATTATCTGAGATCAGAAAACAATAGCCTCAGGCTCCAATTCCTCTGATTGATCAACCTCAACCGCTCTACGGAATCACCTTCACCTTCACCTTCACTACAAACGCCTAAGAAGCCCTCTCCCGATCCAGGCCTGCTCTTTTCCGTCCATCAAACATGTCCACAGCTCCGTCGAATCCACGCGAGGCGCAAGAGAAGCATGACGCCGAGGCGAGCGTGAAGCGCAATCCGCACGGCGACTTTGCAAAAGTGCAAGCCTCGCGCCCGGATTGGGACGAGTCACGCACGTGGCGCTTCACCAAGACGCGGAATCCAGAGTGGACGTATGGTTCTGGTGCTGGGTCGGGATCGAAGTCAAACGTGAACGGACCATCATCCACGTCCGAGAAACAACACATCAGCATCGACCCCTACGCGCCGGACAGACAACCGGTGCAGAACTACAAGCTGCTCATCAGTGGCATCATCCCGCGACCCGTGGGCTTCCTATCGACGCGGTCCAAGGACGGCCTCTCGACAAACCTAGCCCCCTTCTCGTACACGCAGCTGTTCAACCACGACCCGCCCATCTTCTGTGTCGGCTTCTCCGGCGGTTTCGACAACGCCAAAGACTCGCTACGCAACCTGGTCGAGACGGGCGAGTGCGTGATCAACATCATTAGCGAGGACTTTGTCGAGGCCGCCAACGCCTGCGCCATCGATCTGCCCTACGGCTTGTCCGAGTGGAGCGTGTCAGGCCTGACGCCCGCGAATTGCGAGGTCGTCAAGTGCTCACGCATCAAGGAGAGCGTGTTCAGCGTTGAGGGAAAGCTGCTCTCGACGCAGGAATTCGAGTCCCGCTCCCCAAAGACCCCCGGGAAAAAGACCGGCGTGCTGGCCGTCATTGAAGGAGTCAGGTTCTGGGTGAGAGAGGACGCGATCAACGAGGACAGAACCCTCATTGATCCCGCCGTGCTGAGACCCGTGGCCAGGCTTGGAGGAATCACCTATGCGAGGGTGGTGGATGGCTTTGAGCTTCCCAGGCCGGTCTTGAAGGAGGAGAGGGCAGAGTGCAAGCTAGGCGAAGAGCTTTTGAAGGAGAAGGTGGACGGGCAGTGAGATGAATCAATCACCTTCGAGAGGTTGTTTTTGCTCTTGGCTGCTTTAGAATTAATTAGACCGAGAAAACGTTTTAGGCCGTGGGGCTCGGGTTATCAATAGATCATGGATTGCACGACAGTGGGAAAGAGCAGATAGATAGCGGACGAGCAGTGTTCACATAATATGGAATGCAACATTATGTGTCCAAATGAGTGTATCGCGCAAGCAAACCTGCCAGACAAACATGTACGAACAGCAACATCACACATGAACCCAACTGCGACATGATGCCTTTCCTTCCGCGCTGCAAATTGCAAGAGGGATATCCATCTCTTCGTTGAAAGCTGCTTTCATGCCGGACCTGGAACAGATGTCGGATCGTCTGTGTCAATGTTGATCTGTGGAATAGACAAGCCTGTGTTTGTTGTGGTGAAGGCAAAGCACCGTGTCTTCAGCAAATGAACTGACTGAGCGTCTCCGTTCTGCCTGCTGATCATAATCTTCCCTCAAATCAGGAGAGCCGCCGAAAGAGAGCTCTGGCTGCAATGCCCTATTTCCAAGTAGCATTGATGAGCCACGTCGTCATAGAACTCTCTTCCTTTTCTCCTTTACTCCAGAGTCCTTGCTCAAAAGAACTTGCCCTTGACTTCGACTTGGCTCCTCACAACCCCGTCTCCATCAGCATAGACTTCTCCCTCTGAATCGCCCGGCGCAGGACTGACTCTCCCAGTGTAAAAGCTCGCCGTCGGCGCCGCGGGCTTGTCCAGCGCATCGAACTTTGTCCCTTGAATCTTCGCGATGCACCACTGAACAGCGAGCCTCAATCCAAACGCACCAAGGGCCCACAGAAGCCCACCAACTGGCGCAGCCACAAACGCTCCGAACGCGGACCAATCATCCGCGTAGAGGCCTTGTTCCAGCAACATGAGAGCTCCTGCAGCGCTGGCGTCTCCCTTGTAGAAAACAAGGCCGAACAGGAAGACGGTGAATATACCACCCAATCCACCGACTACGACTTCAAACCCGCGCCAGGCGTAACATCGATCACTGAGCCCGATAACCAATACAGGAATGGACGACGCCGAGATGAGGTCGGAAATCAAGTAAATCTGTAACACCGAAGGGGACTTCAATGCCACCACGACGACCGGGACAATAATCACCACTACTGTGGCTCGGAGAACCCATAGGTTCAACTTGTTTCGAAAGATGTCGTTAGACCCGGTGCTCACCATGGCGGATTGAAAGCTGTCGAATGCTGCAGTGGACAAAGCGACCGTCATGACAACCACGATCCCCACGACCCAAGCGGGAAGTTGTTCCAGTAAGAGGAAAAAGGCGATCGAAGACTGCTGAGGCGGATCCCCCAGCGCGCCAGACCATCCTGCCAAGAGCCCAGACACGCCGCAAAGTGTCAAGATGATGGCGACCGCCACGGTCGCGATGCTTACACCGACCCACAGATCTTTATCCGTCTTCGCCGCAAACGTCCTCATCCAAAATCCCGAAATGAAGAAATCATTCGTCAAGATGGCCACTGGCAGGATGTAAACCAATTGCCAGCCCAACAAGCTCGCATTCAGGTATCCACTCTTGTCGATCAAGTCCTGACGGATATGAGTTTCCACGCCGACAGTGATGCACCCGATGATGATCAGCCCTACAACCATGGCGCCTTGGATGTTGTCCGTAATAAAAGAGACTTTGAAGCCGCCCAGGGAAGTGTAGATTGTGGTTACGGCACATTCCACTATCACCACGGGGAGCCCATTGAGCCCGGTGAGGGCGTTGATGATTTGTTGGAGGGCAGAGAGCTCAGCGACCATGTAGAGGAAAAGAGTGATAAGCCTGATTTGCGTTAGATGTGAGGAGATCAGAGGGAAAGGGTGAAGATGCATACGTCAAAGCGGAGAGATATAGGGCAGTGATAACTCCATATCGCTGGCGTGTCCACTCAGTGAGTACAAATCCCTCCGGACATTTTCTCCTAATGATGGGCCCAAGATAGGCAAAGATAAGAAGTGGTAAAGCTGAGGAGAGACTGTAAACCACGAGGCCCTGGACACCCGCGATCGTGGAGATCTGCGGGTAAGAAAATAATATGCCTGAGCCCAGAGCTGTTTGGCGGAAATGTAGAATTTTGTTAGTATGCACGATCTTGAGTGTTAGGGAAGGGGGACAGGGGATTAGGAAGAAGCTGGCAGCACGTTTCCCACGCAAGCATTAACTTGATCGAGTTTTGACGGTACAGTCTCAGCATTGTGTAATCAGCATTTCTCGACTTGTTCATCTCTGGCTTCTGGGGTAGGTAGCCAGGTGGATGAAGCGAGGGAAATGATCAGACACAAGCGCCCGTAGTGCTGCACATTGGCCCTTGGGCTTCGGCGTCGAAAAGAAGGCACACCACGCCTGAACCTGTTTGAGGTGGACAATCAGAGTAGAGGAGCAGAGCACGGAATCTTCTGTCGGCCAAAAGCAACGAGGGCCAATGGCGTTGATGCAAGCATACGAACCTCAGATGGAGAGCTTTGCTCAGCATGCCAACGAGTCAAAGTATTGTATCAATCAAACGAGGTCCTGTTCCACCTCGAAAAGCTCGATGTGTCGTCCCATTTCTGGTTGTGCTTTGGTTGTCGACCGTGCGTAACCCCCGTGCCGCTGCCGCTTCAGGCTGCTGCTCTTCGAGCACACTCACCCGACGCGATGAAGTTGAGGGCCAAAGGTATGCCTGGGGAATGTGTCAGCCTCCAACTTTTCTTCCAAGGCGGGAGTCTGGTAGGTTGGTCGGATGGAATCATTCTCTGTACCCTTCTGTGTTCGCAAAGTCGCGAGATACTCGCCCTTGGTTTGGTGCCGCAGAGTCCATGCAACGAAGAGACCGAAGACACTAGTTTAAGAGCATTGTTAGTTGTTCTTCTCTTGCTTTGCGTCAGACGGATAGGGTGATGAATTGCGCACAGGAATGCCGCGTAAGTTGTGTAGATGATGGCGTTGGACGCCTGTTGAGATGGTTGACCCATGGTGAACTTCGCCGAGCCGATCACTGACAGCTACTCTGTGATCTTCGATGGTTGTGAATGTCTGTACAGAATGAAGAGCTCAATCACCCCTCTCTCAGTTGGGGTATGAGGAAGAGAGAAGAAGAAAAATTCGCGGGCTCATGTCGACGTGGGGCACCTCGATTATTGTGGTCCTGGGCACAACTTGTGCTCACCAGGGCTCATGTCACATGCAGCTGGACCTCGGGCAGCTCGGGTTATTAACCTTAATTGCCTTAACCACCAACCACCACCATCCCGCAAATGGGGACCATGTTGCTCTCGACGACTAGCTCAGTGGCCCTCAGATCTCCCCGTAGAAGAGAGTGCTTCTCTCTTGCACGTGGGTGGTCAGGGTGGTGTAGATAGACAGACACTGACTCCTCTGGTATTATCCAGTACCAGCTCTAACTCGAATCCCAGCTGGGGCCCCATTCTCCGTTTCGACATTGTCTCTTCGCACAGCTGCACGTACTGTATTCACAGTCTCGTTTCAAGTCGTCTCGGTCCGAACATGGTCGCTGGCATCTCCCCAGTCAAGGAAAGAGCCCGGGCACCTAAGGCTGACCCATTGCGGCGTTCAATCATTGCGAAGTCCAGTAGCCTTTTCGCATGGATCCTCTGCAAACTCCACACGACATCCTTCCCAATCGTCACTTCGAATAAGAATGCCCTTGAACTGGACTGCATGGCTGATGTTGGCAAATCGGAAAACGATGGTACGGGTCTGTTACAGAAATCAGTTGAGCTCACATGCCAAACTGTGAACATCCGAAAACTCAAAGGACTCACCTCATTGTGATATGTATCCTGCACAGCCTCGACTTGACGTGCTCCAGTCTTTCCTTCAGCAAGTCTATTCAAGGCAACAATCCCCCAGTCGTCGTCTGCCCCGCTCACCTTAACCACACGTGTCGCGCCGCAATCGAGATATCCCTGTAGCATTCCGGAAATCACGTCCACATGATCTTTCTTGTGCACGAGAACAGACCACCTCTTGCCTTGATAACGGACTTCCATACCGTTGGGATACTCCTTGATATAGCGATCACAGGCATCGGCAGAGGTAAAAGTTACATGCGCCGAGATTGTGACTCGCTGAGGGTTGGATGATATGAGTCTCATACATTCAATCGCACCACCATGGATGAGAGACTGAACGAGGGTGAAATCGGCACCGCGTGGTAGACCAGAGAGTATGATAGTGCGTGGGCGAGATCCTAGCAGCATTAGTGATAAATGCGTCCAATAGATTCACGAGAACTTACGCGGCTTGTTGCGGAGCGCTGGTGCTCCCCATGACTTGAATCGAGCCAGGTTTTCCCTATCTTCCTCTTCGTCACCATCATCTCCTTCTTTAGCGCTGTCATCTGTCTCTGTGCTCGCGATGACCACAATCGTGGGGGATTGGGTGTGTGTGAAGGGGGGACTACTCTCGTTCGTTGTGCATCTTGCTGGGACGCCCTCCTCGCCACTGTTCTCCCATTCGACTGTGCTGTCTCTATGAAGATTAAGAGCGGAAGTTGACGGGGGCTCGTCTTCGACAGAAATCATGGTTGTCGACGCTTCTTGTTCCTCTCTGGACAGCTTCACGTTACCAGAACATTTCGCAATTGCGGTCTCAGCGAAGGTGAGAAATGGAACCACCTCTGGTGATTTGATCGTTTCCTTCGAACCTGCATTTATCTGTGAGAAAGTGATGGGATGGAGTAAACTTGGAGCTTACAGTCGTTCTCACTCTGCTGACCACCTGTTTTGTAGGCAGAATCCGCGAAAAGAGTGCGGCAAGGTGCACTATCGGGAGCTTTCTCTTGCCAGCCTTCCAGCTGGTTAGCTGGTAAACTACAGCAAACTCAAAAGGCGACAAAATATGCTTACTGCTCTTGCCAGGCTCATCTCTCTTGCCCTGGCTTACTCGAGATCCGATTGACGTCTCGTCGTTTTGGTGGAATATGGCAGCATCCGTCGCGTCCATGTTAGACTCTTGGTCTCGAGCTGTAGAAAGTTAGCAAACGCAAGAAGAAGCATGATCTGGCACTTGCCCAAAGCAACACGGCCACTAGCTACAGAATTCTGTCCCAGAATCCGTTCTTTTGACTTTCGGAATCGATCAATCACACTATCCATGTAACCCTGAGTCTGATGGCTTAGCTCTGCTAACTTGTTCTCTTTGAGGGGCTCGGCGCCGGATTTCTTGCCAACCAGGAGTCGATGCTGTGTTGGGGTCAGAAATGGTGGTCCGTCTGTTGCTGCGGCCGTATTGGGGTGCTCTTGCATGAGGCTTCTTTGCTTGTCCTGAACAGCGGGCGGAGTTGTCGGTTCGGTGACAATGCCATTCTGATCTTGGACCAGGTCGACTGGAGCAGTCCTCTGAGCAATAGACACGTGGGGGAAAGGAGAATGGTAAGGTGCAAGAAGGCTTGCAGTAGCTCCCTGTTGACATCCCGATTGCAAGTCGTCCGGACGGCTGCTGGTTTTAGAGAAGCCACTGTCACTACCGGCGACGATAACCTTGGGAGAGAAGTCCTTGTTCAAGTCAGCGTAAGCAGGGTGAAGGACGGACCGTCGAGAACATGACTCACTGGGTTTGCTGGGTTGAGTTTTGACTCGGGTTTTTCGGATTGGGTCGCACTCTTTGCAGACTGGGCATTGCCTCTGATCACGTCAAGGAATCTGTTGAGAATGGCAGGATCGTCGTACGGCGACGACTTGGCCATGATCGCGACTGTAATGAGTCTGACAGCTTCGCAAAACAGCAGGAGCAAGGCGCTTTACGAATAGCAATGAAGAAAGTCGGAGAGAAAGAAGTCGTCGAATGTGAGGCGAGTTGAGAAGGAAAGATCCAGCTGCGGTCGCCAACGTTTCCTCTGACTTCACTCGGGACATTCACAACTGATGGCCCCCCTGATACTTTTGACAACAATTTAAGGAACAACTCACTCCAATTTCGGCGGTCGATTTCACAATAAATGGCCGAGAAATGGGAAATGGTCTTGGGGCAGACATGCTCACTTGGAAGGCAGAAAGAGCTGTCCAACAGCTTCAGCATTTACATATCTCTCTTTCTCCATCAAGTTTTCTTTTTCCACAGCTGATCTCGAAACAGCGTCGCTCGCGTCGACGCCAGATGATTTTTACAAGCTCGTAATATTCCCACGCTGAAATTTTGTCTCGCTCCGGACGCCGTCGCTATGCTCAAAGATTTCATGAAGGTACCGGCACGAAATCCCAATTTCTTTCCCCTTCCATGATGTTTTCCTTAATCAGCGCCAATCCCTGGCGGCCACAAAAGCCTGCATGTGAGGCAAGCCTCGTCACTTGGTGGAATGAACCGTTGTTTGGCGGTAACCTCTCATCTGCAACCCAAACTGTCTCCTGCACTTGCTGCCACGGTTCTTCATGGCGCCTCGGGTTAAAATTTGGTTTGTTGGTAACAAGGTCAATTAGCCAATGAATTGGTGTGTACAGACGCTCAAACCGCCGCGTGAAGCCCAGCCACGAAAGGGTTGTGGAGTCATAGGCCACGCGAACAAAAGGGTTCATGTAAATGCCCGAATTTCCAGGCTCAGGGTTCTGAATGTCGGCGTGGATAAGGCAACATTCCGACGCATCCCAATAGAGGTCCCTCTCTGCACGAAAGCGATAAGGCGTGGAGAAATTGCTCGGGCTCTGATTGCCCGCGGTAATCAGCTCAGGTCTACCAGGTCGCGCCTGGAAAAATCGCGCGTCAAATGCAACCATCCCACCCCAACAGCTTCTAACTCGCACCGCGTCCTTGCCGTCCAGAACGTCTTGGTGACTGGTCTCGTCGCCACCGGCCGCAAACCACGGGTAGAAGGGCAGTCCAATGCTGTATCCCTCGGCATCCCTAGTTGCAAAAGTATCGTAGAATTTGAAAGGATTGATAAAATCCACCGCGCAGGCAGCTCTGTAGTCCGTGACGCCGTCGGCCACGGTGTGTGTTGAGAAAAGTAATTGGGCAGCGTCGATCGGATGGAAAACGACGTCGTTTAGGTAGAGGAGTTTGTCGAACGTGGTGCGTGAACCTTCCAGCGGCCTCAACGCTCGGTTCCGTACCTCAGCCAGATACTCGATACGCTTCACGCGTTCTTGTCCATGAATCTGGATGTGGGGCAGATTGTCGATGCTCAAGTGGTCCTCAAACACCAACGCATGATCACATGGAACCCGTTTCTCGAGTTCCTCCAACGCCTTTTTCGCCTCCGGTCCGGAATCGTTGACATATATCGAGAGAAATGCGTTCTGTGGTCCCAGCAACTGTATCAGCTCTAGTACATTTTCTGCCCAATCTCCGCCGAGCAGTTTCCCGCCCTTGTCGTAGATGCTCGCTACGAGAAAGACTTTTTGACTTTGCTGGTTCACACGCCCTGGAGTCTCGGAAGCCAACGCCCTTTGTCTTAATGCTCTATAATGAGGGGGAAGGTGAGTGTAGCCGGGGAAAAAGACGCCTCCCACGATAACGATGGCGGCGATGGTGGTGAAGAATATGTAACAAAATAAAGCGAATTTTCGAAGGAGTGATCTGGGCGTGCAGACGTATCGGCGAGGGAGTCGTTTTGATCTCGTTCGGGGACGGCGTGGCAGATACTGCCTGCGCAGCCACGCAGGGGCTAGGGAGATGAACTGGGAGGAAACTCCTGGTTTGACCACGCCGGACACCGTCTGGCCCGTAAGCAAATGGGATTGGAAACCATCGTGGTCTGAATCGTGCTCGAAATAAAGTAAAGGGTCGTCTGCTTCGTCTGATGTGTGTGTACTCGTCCTCGACAGCTCGTACTCATCCGACTGCAGACAAGGAGAATTCATGATTTGCGGGGACAAGGAGTGCGGAGAACGAAAAGAAGTTGGCGTAGTAAAGGAGAGGAAGCCGCCATATGACTTGGAAGTCAGTCAAGACTCCAAGAAGAATATAGATGCTGAAGCAGAGAAGACAGCGTTATGCAGGCAATGAAGAATGTATGTGGATGAAGGAGGCTGTGGGATATTCAGGGCGCAGGCAGACAGCAAACTCGGAGAAAATCTGGTAACGCGTGTTCTGGGGGCAGGGAAAGAGGGTCAGAAGGCCCGACCAGATGAGGGTGGGTTCAGGCACTTTTTCAGCTTCGGGGCAAATGTCCCAGGAACCAAAACGAAAAGAAGGGCAGCCAGCAGCAGCGAGCGAGTGACAATGCATGCTAAACTGAACCAGGCGCAGGACACGCTTCGTTTCGTAGGTGCACAGCCTCCATGTCCGCAAGGATGGGTGGAAATGGGATACGCGAAAAGGAAAAGCAAAGGGAACGTGTAAATTCTGGTGGATACTGATGTTCGCTGTGTCGAGTGGGCTTCGGGTAGACTAACGGGGGCGTGTGAGTGGTTGACAGGGCCCACGGCATCTCCTCTCTACCCAGTTAAGTACTTGTTAGGCTAGATCAGCATCCCCGGGCCACGTAACAACCCTAATCACCGATCCCCCCTGATGCTCCCAAATGCACCCCCTCCCCCAAGGCTAAAACCCGCAGGCCTCGCTTCTGGAATGGGCAGCACCATGCGAGGCGAGGGTGAAAGCCGCGGCCGAAAGTTTTAGGTTCCTGATCGTTTCTTGCTTTTTGTCCAGACACACAAATCACCATCCATTACACATTACACCTGCCCTGCTGTGAACCATCTGATCAACATCACCGCTACAGTACCACCACCCACCTCCCACCTCCCATCTCCCATTGCCCATCCCCCACTGTCTGTTACTATGGCGAAAAGCCGTGATTTGGCCGCTTCTTAGCAGGCGCGATGATCAACGCAGCCAATCACCCACCCCTGACCCTTCTCGCCGCTCAGCAATTTCGCAGCCCTGTGTTGTTGCCCTGTGTCACAGGCGTCCGGCATTTTGCCCCCGATGAGTTCCGGTCACCGCGTTTCATCAGCCTCGGCCTCCTAACGCCTGCTCCACGTTCCAGGAGTCAGCAAGCTATTTAAAGCCTCCCGAGATCGCGACAACGCAGTCAGACCTCCTATTGCTGTAAGGCTGACGCGATGGCAAAGGAGGCTGGTGCACACGCAATTCGATCATTATCTAAGCTGTGAAGCAACACGCAAGTAGCGTGCCCAAACAGCAGCGACACGCGCGTACGAGGCCCACGGCGGGGGTTGTTCGGCCTGGATGCCGGAGAGAGGAACTGTTGAAAAGACGCAACCAACCACCATCACGACAATCACGAGATCCCCCCGCTCTCTTATCGCTTCCTCTTGCATCCTGTACATATGTACATATATGCCAGACACAGTGCGGAGATCAGTTCGCTTGACTCGAGTCGGCGACACCTTCCATCCGCATCTAAAAGGTCCACAAAAGGACTTGGTAAGGGTGCAAGGAATCGCACACCAATACTACACCCTGCAAGCTACCGCCACGCGCCATGACGACAACTAATCCATTGGCTGCATGCCTCTGGCGACTCACCACCCACAAAAGACATCCAGCTCGCCAGCTTACTTGGACTTATTCCCAAACCTGTTTTGGGGTGTTCGTGCAAATGCCTTCCCCCCTGGCCTCTTTGCACTAGGTCTAGGTTAATAGTCCATTGAATGTGGGCATTCTACCACTATCTGCTCCTCCAACAAGCCCATTTGCGACAACTCCAAAGAGGAGAATGTGTCCCTCACAGCGTCAGGGCCCGTGAGTTGACTTACCACCCCCCAGCACTCTCCTTCAGAGAAGGGTTAGAAGGCGAGAGAGTTAACCAGGTGTGGATGTGTTACTACTGACACTGGCAGTAGTGGCGACAGCACTTTATGACCCAGCTATCTGGCTCGCTGGCTCGCTCGTTCTCAACCGTGGGGTTTCCCCCGAGATCGGCAAGAGTCCTCGTGTTGGACAAACCTAGTATTGATGACGAACAAACCAAGCTTGCAGGATGTTGATAGTGTGGCCAAACCATCACGATGGGAGCTCCTGCACGATGGATGATCCCTCCAATCCACCGAGAGCTGCCTCTTTCATCGCACGGAGCTGCCCATCCTATCCTCGGTTGATCCTCATACAACGTTCTTCCCTCCTGCGGACGTCATGAGGGTAGAAAACATCGACTAACCTCGGTGAAATGCACTGCCTGAAGGTTGAATCTCAGTGATCTCTCTTGAGATGCTTTTTTCCTCAATACTACGAAGCAATTTTCCTTTTCGGTCCTGGTTAGCCAGCAGCTTGCCGCCTCGCTATGAGATCCCCAATATTTTTCAACACAGCTCCCCTCTTCCCACCTTGGTAATTAACTTTTCGCATCCATTCTTCCACTGTCTTGATCCTGCCGGGATAAATCTTGTCCAACAACTTCATATCCCTGGTCGCTCCGAGGCCGCCACCCCAAAACTTCCACCACGCCGTAAAGTTCTGCCGCCAAGTCATTGTGGCCGGCGATCCGTCGGTATTTGCCCAGTTGGCAGGGGCATTTGGGTAAGGTTCCTTCTTAGGGAGGTATTCTTCGAACGAAACCCTGCGGTGTATCCCCTTGCGGCCTGTCACGCGCGCAAATGCCGATGTGATGTCCGAGAAAGAGACTTGGTCGGTGGCCATTTCGAGATTGATACCCGTGGAACGTTCTGGGTGGTCAAAGATCCATTTCACGAAGACGCCGACGTCGTGGAGAGCCATGAGGGGGATTTTGCCGTCCTCTGTTGCGTGTCGCGTAGATTTATCAGCATCCCCGTTTTCACCGTGTGAGAATATGGTGGCATCTTCCTGAAGCCGGCTCACTCACCGGACGGATTTTCCCACACGAGGGTGCCGTCGTCGAGCTCTTCTGCCGGCATCAACATTCCATCGATCAGCATGTCCTGTGCGAGAGAAAGTTAGCATCCGTTGAGTAATGGAAGGCCGACGTGCAGCCAGATACAGGTGGATTGAGGGTAGTCTCACCATGTAAGGGCCGACAGTGAACAGCGTCGACGCCATGCCCTTCTGATCCTGTGCAAGGATGAAGTCTATTTCACATTCAATCCATCAGCACCGGAACGTCATGCCCAGCCTTGAGACGTTCCAGCATCCTTGATATCGTGCAAAGGACGAAAACACAAGCACCACCCTCAAAACAGGTGATATATCTCAAGAACCAAAGAGAAACCTCATAAGACTCACCGCCAACCCGTCCCTTTGCGTCATTATGGCCCCAATGAAACTCCTCTCTCCAACCCGCAATCCTCAAGGCATAGTCACAGTTCGCCCAGACATAATGCTTCAGCCCCTCGCCCCGGGCAATCTCATAGCACCGAAACGCAAAATATAACTCCTTCATCTCGCCCAACGTGAAGCCATCGAGGTTCACCCACGCACCGTATACGCCCTTGAAGGCGCGGTGCAGGTCCGCTTCGGAGTCCTGCGTGCCTTGGATCAAGGTGACATTGGGGAGGGCCGCGAGGGACTTTGCGCGGGTGGAGGCTGGGTCTCGCGTGAGGACGCGGACCGAGTATTCTGAGGAAGCGGAAAGGGCTAGAGCGGGAGAGATGTGAGTGAGTGAGTGAGTGAGTGAGTGAGTGAGTGAGTGAGTGAGTGAGTGAGTGAGTGAGTGAGTGA